CTAGATTCTAGATAGTGATTAGCTAATAAGACCTACTCTACTACGGTCCTTACGGTCTAAGACCGTAAGGACCGCTAAGGGACCGCTAAAAGACCTCTAGGACCGCTAAGGGACTGCTAAAAGACCTCTAGGACCGCTAAAAGACCGCTAAAGGATTGTAAGGACCGCTAAGGGACCGCTAAAAGATCTTAAGGACCGCTAAAAGACCTTAAGGACCGCTAAAAGACCGCTACCCCCGCTTAAAGAGCGCTACCTTAGGGATAGCGGATTATATATAGGTTTTTAATAGCTATAATAGCTATTAGAGATCTAGGCTAAGGATATTAATAATATCTTAGTAGATAGCCTATATTTCTAATAGCCGTTAAGTATTTTATAACTAGGGAAATTAATAGTATCTAGATAGTAGATAGTATTAAATTCTAATAGCTATCGAAATTTCCGATAGCTATTAGAAATTAATACTAAGGATATTAGCTAGCTAATATATATTTCTAACTATAAAACTAATAAAACTCCTACCCCCCCCCTTAACCTCTCTACTAGAGTAGTAAAATACTTAAATTTTAGTTAGTTCTTATACTTTAATAAATAAGATTCTAATATATAAGCTTATTTTACCTACTTTATTAATGATTAGGCCTAGTTTATTATAAATATTAGTATATATACTAAAATAGTGTTTACTAATAGTAATAAACGTAGCTAAATTATTAGTTTATACGGCCGAAAATAGAAGGTCTTAGCAGAATTATAAATATACGGGGGACCGTACGGGGGACCGTAAAAGACTATAGGGGACCGTAGTACGGTCCTGACTACTTTAAAAAAAGACTAAGGACCGGAGGTCCCGGTCCCGGTCCTAAGATTTGGGACCGGACCCGGTCTTTACCGAGGTCTAAACCACAGTTTGGCCGCGACTGGCTACTTTTCTTTTATCTATGTATACATTTATGTGTACTAGCATACTTTCGGGTCCGACAAGGACTGATTTTGTACGGTAGACTCGGGTCGAGTCTTATTAAGTAGGGGAGGATGTAATCCTAGGCGTACTTTACCTTCCTTTAACCTTATATGTTCGGCCCCTTATGGGTACTTTCTGCCATATTTTACCGCACTTATGTCCTTATAGACATATTCGCTTACGATAATAACAGAACATGCTCTTACACTCCCGTTATCTCACTATCTCCGATATAACTAGGGTAGTCGTATATATTCTCTATACTAATTAGACTTATCCCTCCTTTAACGTAAACCGAAACTAGGTAAGAATAAGCGAGGATAGATAATAGGAGATAAGAGGTAGTCTTTTACTCTACGAAGGAAGACTAGTAGTACTAGATAACGGAGACCTTAGGGTATATCTACTTAATAAGGTCTATCGTTAACTATATACTATATATCCGAGCGAGACTAAAATAAAGGCCCTTCTCTTAAGTCGCTACTAGTAGCCTAACTAGGTAACCGACGTTAAATAATATATAGATAATTATCGAATTTATAAGCGGATAAAGATATAGAGAGACTGACCCCTAGGGTTATTATAACTACTCCCTACCCCCGATCGGCTATAGTAGTATATTATAATAGATTTCTAGATATTCCCTAAGGATAAGTATAGCTACGACGTAGTATTCGTAGTATACTATCGCCTTAGTAAGCGCTAGGCCTCTATCCCTTATAAGATAACTATAACCGAAGAAATAGCTCGATTATTTATTATATATCTTTTCCGATAGATAGGTATACCTAACTTAATTATATCGGACCGTAGAGGATAGTTTATATCAGCGTTCTAGACTAAGTTCTACCGAATTCTTTATATTAAGCGTAAGCTATCTACCGCTTACTACCTGTAGACTAACGGCTAGACCGAGATAGCTAACTAATAGATAGCCTAACGACTAAGAGTAATAGTTAATAAGTACTAAGATAACTAGTCCGAATAGCTACCGATAATTAACTTCGCTACGTCCGTACTATACTAAGACTCGATAAAAAGGTCCCTCTTCTTTATAGAAAGAGGATACGAGCCTAGAATATTATTCGATTAGGACCTACCTACCGACGCTTCTCTTTCGCCGTAATTAACTAGTAATATATAAAACTTTATAGAACGAATCGAACGAATCTAGAAAGAGACTACTAAAATAATTAACTATATATAAAGGCTCTAACGTATATAGGCGAATAAACACCGCCGTAAGGTAGATTTCGACGTAGGAGATATAGTCTATATTACTATATACTATTAGGGACTAGACTACCAAAAGCCGGAAGCTATCGGACTAAGCTAGCGGACTATATAAGATTATCGCTAAAGAAGGCTATATATTTAGGCTTGAGCTACCCCTATCTATTAAGGTCTACCTAGTCTTCTTGCTAAATAAGCTACGCTATTTATCGAAGACCGATCCCTTACTAGGTTAGATCGATGATCCGCTACCGCTAGTACTAGTTAATAATTAGCAAGAATAGGAAGTCGAAGGGGTCCTATAGTTACGCCTATACTACCAAAAGCTATAGTATAAGGTTAAGTAGCTAGGCTACGATAAGGACAACACTTAGTATTACGTAGCCGACTTTAAAAATACGCCGCTAAAACTAATAGATTTCTACCGACGATACCCTAACTCCCCTAGACCCCTAAAGAACCTATAGATCTAGCTAGCTATAGCAGAAGTCGACGAATTTATTAGTAACTATATCGACGATAATATCCTAGAGTCTCGGGGCGAGCCTCTTTAAAAAGGAGGGCTATATAACGCATAACAGAACGATAGACGGAGATTACCTGATAGACGCGGAGTGATAGAAACACCCGACCAAGCTAACCTAATAGGGCCTGTTTGCATAAGCTCTCTACAAGATAGTTACCAGAGCCTCCGTAGTTTCTTCCTTCTTCACCTTCGTTGTTTCGTGAATGCACCTGGTTACTTTTCCAGTTAGCTCTTTCCATGATCGTAACAATAAGAATATTGATTGATTGATAGCTGTAATATTATCGCTAACATCTACCCTAGTTTTCCTTTATAGCTTATATAAAGCCTTTAGAATAGGCTCGTAGCCCTACTAGGGGTTATTTTGTATTTGATATTGTACTTATAAGGAAGGCCAGAGAGGGGGTGAAGCGGCTCCTCAAGATCTACTAATAACCTTCTTTCCTTGTTATCCACCTATAGCGATCGACAAATCAATATGATCATTAGTTTCTATCTCTACTTTTGTTATTTCATCATAAGTCTTTTATCAGCCACATTTCAGTGGTTGTCAATACCTTTCCGACAACGCGCCTAGAGGACGACTATACCAATACTAGCTAGCAAGCCGCGGAACTGGTCGGCACTAGAGCTAGCGTATAACGCGTGAAACCAAGGAAATCCGAAAGAGCTTTGAACACCTACAATACACCATCGACGAGCAAACTGCGCTGATTCAAGCCGCTAGACCTAAGTTGAGAGAGATGGAACACGGCCAGAGTGGGCTATAGACCTAGAATGCGAAGCTACAAGAAGAGGTTCGAGCGTTACGGACGCAGATCGAGGGCCTAATGGGCCAACCGCCACGCGATCGTGGGCCGCTGCAGTCCCTCGGAGACTATTATTCTAAATACCCACTTGGGACACCTAGTTTCAGTTCAGGGGTGCGGATGCTTAAAACGCTGCTTGGACTGCCTACTTACTGCCTGTCCACTTGCCTGTTAGGCCCTGATATGCTTGAGTCGCTTGGAGCAAGAGCTGTCGCATGCCTGGAGGCATGTGTCGCTTGGGTTAGGCGAGGGAACTATTAAGCTACTGGCTAGAAGGTTTTGGCTCTGCAACTCCACTAGCCTGTTGGCTTTTCCTTACAAGATTAAGAAACCAAGAACTTAAATTGCCGAGCTTGCACCAAGGTGGCTTTTAATAACTGTGTTCCTGCCAACGGAGAGAATCACGAGTATAAATATGTTAAGAGATGTATTATACAAAACCAAGAAGGAAGGTTGGTTTGCTTGCCGATAAACTGATTTATGATTTTTCCACTAGCGAAACAATATTTAACTGCGATTGGACATAGGCAGCCCTCGGAGACAATAGCGGAGCCCCCGCTATACCGCTCCATACGCGGGAGTACAGATCATTTCCGTTGGAGCGGCATACTGGGAAAGCCCATTCTTCCGTTCTTCCGTTCTTCCGTTTAACCTTCAAAGGTTAGAAGTCACATGAAGCAATCGGGTTTTATCAGGGACCTATTTCCCCTCTTTTGGCCAAAAGAGGTGGGGGAATTCAACTTTGGTTCCCCAGAACGGCATCTCCGCCGGGGGCGTAGAGAACCCACGTGGATTTGCTCTTGTAAATTGAAGAAGCCGCTGTGTCGCGGCTTGAGACTTGCTTTTTTTGTGTCCAGTGTTAGTTAATTTCCAGACTTTTCCCCGCGAACACGGTACAAGGGTGCCCAAAAAGCCTTGCAAGAAATCACCTCGTGTAACTTCGACATCCGTGTCCGCGCCGCCCCCGCCCCCGCCCCCGTTTCCGCATGCAAATGCCACACCGCTATGTCTCGATGTGCTCCATCATAGAGAAACTTTCTTAGTCCTGGCTAAATTTTAGCTGCACATCAGAGGCTGTAAATGTAAAGCGCTTAGGCGGTTTTTGATTCGCTATGCACTGATTCAAGTTTATTGATCCAGTGGGAAAGGGATCGGCTATTTCTTCTTCGAATCGGCTCCTTTAACTCGATTTATTGGGCACTTTCGTTGCTGGTCTAGGGTAGGTAGATTATTTTTTGCAAATTGATGCAATATACATGCGAGAGGACGAGTGCTGGAATTAAAAGGTATATATATAAGGCCCCCTGACTCCTTTCAACCTCACCTCCATCGCCTGGCCATTTTGGCTTCAATTTCTTCTCTCTCACAAATTCTTATGGTTAATCAGCACAAATAATTCTGTACTCTGTCCAGACCAAAACAACGTTAATCCTGGGAGTATCCCGTGTCAGTCAACAGAGCATACAGTATGGCTGCAGACAAGATCACGATTGAACACAATGAGGCCAGCGACGGGGGCAATCCGCATAGGAAGGACCCTACTACCATCGCTGCAAATGCTCAACTGGCCACCGAAATAGAGCACACCATGAGCTTCTGGAAGGCCATCAGAATCTACAAAAAGTCAGTCTTCTGGTCGTTCATCTTTTCCCTCGCTATCATTATGGACGGTTACGACACGGCTCTCTTGGGCTCTCTCATGGCCTATCCTTCATTTCAGTCGCGTTTCGGTAAACCTGTCGGTTCCGGCTACCAGCTCGAAGCTGCTTGGCAGGTCGCCTTGACCTTGTCTAACCCGATTGGCAACATTTTTGGTATATTCATCAATTCATTCATTACCGAGAAATTCGGTCACAAGCGATCTTTGCAGGGAACCTTGGTCTTTCTCACGGGGGCCATCTTCATTCCTTTCTTTGCCCAGTCGATTGAAGTTTTCTTTGTAGGCGAACTTCTCTGTGGCCTTTGCTGGGGTGTCTTTACCACAATGGCTCCCGCGTATGCTTCCGAAGTCTGTCCGGTTATTTTGCGAAGTTATCTCGAGACCATGGTTGTTCTCTGTTGGGGCATTGGCCAGTTTGTGTCTTACGGTGTGCTAGCAGGCCTATCCGGCAGAAAACATGACCCTTGGGGCTGGCGCATTCCCTTGGCTGTTCAATGGGTCTGGATTGTGATCATTTTCCCTGTGGTCATTTTTGCACCGGAGTCCCCATGGTGGTACGTGCGCAAAGGTCGTATCGAAGATGCCGAGCATACAACCATGCGGCTATCCGACATGAATTACGTCCAGGCCAAACAGAGTGTGGATTTGATGATCCAGACCAACCACCTTGAAAAATCCATCGCCGAAGGCACCGGCGTTCTCGACTGTTTCAGGGGTACTAACCTGTGGCGCACGGAGATCGCATGCGTCACATGGACTTTACAGCAGTGGACTGGCTTTGTCATTACCGGTTATGCCACCTACTTCTATGAGCAGGCTGGTCTAGTAGCCACCCAGGCTTTCCACATGAGTGTTGGCCAGGGTGGTCTACATTTTATCTGCACCCTCTGTGCTTTCCCTCTCACTGGTCGCGTCGGGCGCCGTCCCCTGCTGCTCTGGGGAATGGTCGGAATGGGCATAATGATGTTCATAATCGGATTCATCTCTTTAGCTCCCTATACTTCCGCCCAAGGCTATGCCGAATCCGCCATATATCTGCTTTGGTTCACGATCATGGAGCTCTCCATTGGGCCTGGTGCATACATTGTTGTTGGCGAGGTCTCCACCACCCGTCTCCGATCCCAAACTATTGGTTTGGCGCGCAACGCTTGTAACGTCATCAATATCCTGAACAGCGTTGTTGGCCCCTATATTTTGAACCCTACCGAGGGAAACTGGAAGGGAAAATGTGGATTTTTGACGGGTGGTCTTATTGTGTTCTGTTTCGTCTGGGTCTTCTTTCGTCTACCTGAGATGCGTGGTCGAACGTACGAGGAGTTGGACATCTTGTTCTCCATGAAAATTGGTGCCAGGGACTTCAAAAATCAGCCCGTGGATTTGTCCTCTCACAGAAATGCTCCCAAGGCCAACCTAGATGCGGAGTGAATCTTCACGTTAAGAGGCTTCTGTATCTGGTCCTTGCTTGCCCGAAATCCCATTGCCATTCTACCAGCTAGGTCTTTCCTCACTTGAGTGCTGTCCAAAACGTACACATTAGCTTCAATACAGTCTGGTTATTTGAGATGATTATAGCAATATCTCCTTCCAGGTGGTGGTCCCATAGCCATATGTACACTATATACATTCAAGAATCTGGTGCGACCTACATCGACCAGCCGAGTACACAGTTTTCCATAAAGCTGAAAGCTACTGATTGAAGTACAGCTCCAAGTCGAAGACAATATAGTTGAATAATATACGAATCTCCATTGTCAACAGATAACAGATATAGGCATGCGAAGGCCCGCAGTGCAGTGACCTTGACCACAGGGGATGTGGGGCTGACATAAGCTATGTTAGATGGTTCCTAGGTGAGTCAGGAGCCCGACCGGAGTAACGTGAAAGACCAGGCCGTGGCTTATCCGAAATCGCATTGCGTTAACAAATTGGTTAGCCTTCACAAATTTCGCGCTCAACAAGCGGAAGAACAATCGCATTTGTGGGGCTTCTTTGTGGGCCGTTTTCCTGGGACATCTGAACTTCATTGTATTATCTTACAATGGACAGACATTCTGGTCCCGTATGCCTTTCGCCCGGACGCTAGAGAGTCTTTTGGCCTGTTCCTGTTTGCACAAATAGGCAACCTTACATTAAATAGCCGAAATCGATCACGAGGGTGAGAAAGTCAAATACGGCCCAGAGATGGAACCGCTCGGCTCTTAATTTCCCTTTATAAGTGGGGCATTTCTCTCCCGTTCGTCGAGGTCAACGAAGCCTGGAAATCGTTAGATTAGCCAGCTTGAACTCTTCAAACCAGATACCATTGACATCTGATTAAAACGATAACTGGATTTCCTCTCATGGCTCAAGAACAAGACACTAAGGACTTCCATTCACAATGTCATTGTAGATATCTTGCTTGATTTTCTTTGAGACGAAAGTGGTATTGATTTAATTATTTATGCAGCCTGCAAGGTTTAAATAGGGGACAGTCCAGAACCGACAGAAGAAGGAAGAGCGTTATCAAATAGATAGGGGAAGAACCAAGCGCAGTACGGTCCCTCTGGGCGAGGCTTAGCAGCATCACCGTCTTTGAAATGAGGATGCTCCAGACATTAACATATGCGATATTATTGAAACATGGGAATAGTTGTTCCTGGCTACATGCCTCTGAATTCTGTATCAAATCCTCCATAACCAGGTACAATCTGAAAACTTTGTCAGTGACCATGTTACGAGTTGACTTAAAAATCTGCTCACCAAGGACTCAAACTGTGCCCAGTTAGAAATATCTGCGAGCGAACCTCCATATATGGAGAAAGGGTTGACAGCGCTAGTTTCGTCATATGATACTCCCGCGAGAGACTCGTTCTGGTTTGAACCTGACACAGGATTCCTATCTGTTGTCACGTCGTTACCAAGAGCAGGGTCTATTGGTCGCTCAACCCGCCTCATAACCTCCAGACGCAATTCCTCTAGCACAACGCAGTAACGGGTCGTTAGGGATCCCCTAATTACCATTTTAGATAAATTTCCCTGGCACTGCACTGCTGCAGTAAAGTACTCTTGATCAATATCTGTAGAGAAGGAAAGCTGATGAATCGAATGAACGTAAAGGATAATTGCGGCAGAAAAGCCGAAGTATGTGGTACCCTGCGCGCATGCTGTTAGACTTTCACCCATGTACTAAAGGAGCTTGTGTCATCACTTACCCAAAATGATCGGTACATATGGCCGGAGCTGATAAGTTTTGAGACCGCACCAACGATCTTGAGAGATGCCGCTAAACATTCATCCACACTCTCTTTCATCTGGGCTTCATGGAGGGTTATATGTTTGCCTCTGCTGCCAGGGCATGATGCCTGAACTAAATTTGCTAGAAGCAATGGACGATGCACGAGGATGATAGTATGCCAATAAAACAAATTCACAACATCTTTTTGACGTTGAAACAAAGGGACTAGCGGTCCTGAAAACTCTTCATTGATGAAATTTGGCACCTCGCTTCGCCATGCTCTTAATTTCCGTGCATATTCAAGAACGAGATTGCACCGTCTTGTAGTAGAGATAGGGTGGATCGAATACAAATCTCGAAGTACAACGTTGACGATGCGATGAAGTCTAACAATCTTTCAGTCTTGATACTCTGTTGGATCTTTCTAGAGCGTCGTAACGTACTTGTAATATGCCACTGGTGCTAGCATAGGTGAGAATCCGAGACGCCCTTCTGGGGGATGAGAGTCAGCATTGAGGAATTCACAGCTATCCATTTCACATGGTAGATCTTGGTCTATATCTTCCTCATGAAGCATCCTTGGTCGCCCTAGCACTATGCTAAGGTAGCTATCCAGGCAATATGCACTCCAAAAGGTCCTCCGGCGGCATTCGAGTTCAATCAATCCGTCATCGTTAACGGGTGTAGGGTATTTCTTCCTATGCAAGCCCATGGCAATAGCAATTCGTACTGTGGCGCCAAAAAGATCCCAGCAGTGATTCATACGTGACTGCGAAAGCAACCAGAAGCACTGGAATAAACGTGCTTGAACACTAGCGAGACAAGCAGCACCTCTTTCCTTTGAAAGATGGTAGTCGGCGGTGAGAAAATAATGAATGCTTTCGGTGGATCAGCTTAATTGATGGAGTTTTAACGCGTTGCACAGACCTTTTTAGATCATTGGTAGTTTGCACGTCGCTGAAATGTCCTTGTGCTGTAGCAAAAATTGTCCACAATACAGCACGCCGCGCCGGTGCCTCGCTTGTATCTGCCATTGCCCCCATTGTTTCGTGAAATTCATTTAGCCAAGCCTCGATTGTAGGCCTGTGAAAGAACCGGTCAATAGGCACCGAAAATTCAAAGTATTTTTGCACCAGCCGTGTTGTTTGCTCTTTTGAAACCATGACGCAGAAGGTGGCAGGGTCAAAATTGGGCAACGGCGTGTCACCAAAAGTAAAGTTAGTCGGATTATGGTTGCTCATATACAAACGCTGCTGCACTCGGTGCAGAAACGACACACCGGAAGCTGGCCCAATATAGTGACCTTGCAGGTCCGTTTGTGGTAGCTCAGGAGACGCCCTGGAGGCTGGTTCGGTGGCCAGCATGGGATTTATCTCACGTGCTGCGCCGATAAGAGGCAATTCCCGGGATCGCTCTACCATTGCACCGTTACTCTCTAGCATTGTGGAGTGGGATTGGTGATTGCTGGTCAAGGAAGCCACATCACGTCGAGTGACTCGGGGACGTGGACCACGGCGATAAGGGATGGCATAGGCACAACACGCACTAAGCCGCGAGCACATTTCGCATGGATGGGTTCCTGTGCATCGTATCTTCCTTCTGTGTGGCTCGCAGGCAGGCGTCAGCGCTCTTCTCAATAGTGATTGATACACTACCGACCTCTTGCACCTATCACATGCTCTTGTGACGCGAAGACGGTCTCTAGCTGTGGCATTCCCTGTTTGGCGCTGCCCCACCTGCGGTTGCTCTACATGTGGAGAAAACAAAGCTGACGAAAAGGCGGCATCTGTTCGTCTCGGGTTATTATCCATCCGTGATAGAATGCGTCCGGCGGTTGCCCAGATCAGAGTCTTAGGTACGGCAAGGCTATTGACAACAAACAGCATGTACTCTGAGTGGAACCAAGTGCGGATAAATGATGGTTTTAATAGCATTCCCCGGAGACTGCGGGGACCCCGCGTATGGCTAGAGTCCCCGCTTCGGAAGCTGCTATGATTCGGCCATTTTTGATACCCTGTATTGGTGGTATCCTTTTTGTCACTCTGAGCACTACTCATATTAGGGTAAGACTCGTATGTGTCGAACTTAGGAATACGGGTATCGCCTAGTAATGTGTAGGCCAATAGATCAAGACAGTGTGTATTGTAGAAAAGCTAAGCGACATGCGCAAAAAAAGGAGAAACTGCCAAGGAGCTAATCAAAACAGGTTAGTAGCCGGCTGAATAATACCGGTGGATAGCCATATTTCGACAGTATGCATTATCAGAGGTCGGAAGTCAGAGTTCTCCATAATTATATAACTATCATGCATATGCTATGAGAGCCATCCTGGTAGAACTGGTAGGCACAATTCAAGATTCACCCCTCCTTCAATATACATTGTTGATTATAGCGATGCGACTTATCCACACCTAACGGCCACAAGGTTCTTTCGGTGAAATTGGGACTTTACCAGCGGGGCTTTTCTCTATTGTAAGCTAGTCAACCTACATACAGAGATAGTTGGCGGCAGGAAACTTTGGCCAAAGCACCAGTACAGTACTCTGGAGTCTACTATACCTCAACTTGGACTTCATCAAATTTTCGCTCGACTAGATCGACTCCAAATGCCAGAAAGCTTCCACTGTCCTGCTTGCTGTGGTGTATTAATCCATTCGAGCTCATGTGTTCTGTTCACAGAAGTCTTCCACGTTAAACTCGACATATCGAATAGAGTGAAATGCACGAGGGGACTCTTCCCCTTCCAAAATGAGTAAAACGACCTTTGTTCATAAGAAGTCTCGCGAGCCAGAGGTAATTAATGTAGGTTACATGCCTTTCAATTTAACACAGTTTGGGCCACTTAGTATGAGACTGATCATTACGCTTTATATTTTTGGTGTTGAGAATGCGAAAAGAGAGCACACCACCATTTTGTCAAAGGATGGAGGGAAAGGATAAATGGAATTTCTTCAGTTTGTATGAGATGAACTTATAATTTCACCAATGATGATAGCCGTTTCTCATAGTACAGCCAGGAAATTTACTCTCATTGTATACAGCAAGTTATCGAAACTAGCATCCCTGGTCCTCGTAATCTCAAATTGAACGGGGTCCCTTCAAACACTTCCCGGTAAGCCATTGTATCCAAAGTAGACATTGACTTTATTTGGACATTTTATTCCTGAGTTCAATGTGAACAAGGGTACCTTGGGTGAGCTGGATGGTAATGTTTTGCCCACTGGTAGTGTACGCATGGTTTCCACTGGAGACCCAGTTTCCGGCACTGGAGTAACTGCCATGCTGAACAGAGGCGATACCGTACGACGCGATGTCACTGAGGGTGAAGTTGGCTTTGCGGGTTGTTGCAAGCAAGATGGCTACGTCACTCCTCACGATACCGATGCCAACAGCGCCACTCGTGGGCGAGTATGAAACAGGGATCGACCACAGGCTATCCGTCAAGTTGGTGCTGGCATTAAGCGCATTGAAAAAGACCATATCGGTACCCCCCGCTCCATTGGGCACTTTTGTTGCAAGGTCCGCAGAGAGAGACTTGAGGATTTGATTTGTGCTAATGACACCCGTCATATAGGATCCGCGAGGTACTGGGGTAAAGTTGCCAGCCGCCCTGTTCGCTGGAAGCCACATACCGTAGGTCTCCTGGTCCATCAAGTCGTAAACATTGTAGTAGCCACCGCCGGCAAGCGTGGAAAGAATGAGCCACTCAGACGTGGTATATTCGCCGCCGTTCTCCATGATCATTGGCACATTAGATCCCATGGCCCAGTTCACGTTAGTACCGCCAATGGTCACCTGCTGATGACCAAACTCCCATAACTGCGTGACATTTGAAATGTAGGGGTCCAAGCCGCAGAAATCGACACTGGTACCACCGTTGGCCCGCATCGCCTCGTTATAGGTGACCTGCACGCTGAGGGCAGAGTTGATATTTGATCTTGTCCAGACTGGGTAGTTGGACTCTTTAACCGCGTTGGCTAGATTGACTTGAAATTCCCACATAGTGCGTTGAACGAAAGCCGCCTCAGATGCAAACGCAGACCGAGCAGACCAGGTTGCTGGATTCTCGTAAATGGTGCCGCCACCTGTTCCGGCCTGTATCTTGTCGACGAGACCTTCGTTACTGATGTCCACACCAATAAGGATCTTTTTGTCCCCGTTTGCTGTGTTGTACCCTGCGACATGGTTCATAACATTCTTAAGCGCTGTCTTCTCCAGTGCTCGGAGCGAAAAGTCATTCTTGTCGCTTAAGTACCAGTAAACTCCGTAGGGACTTCCATGATTCTTCACCATCATAGGAACCACTGACCCGTCAGAAGCTAGAACTTTCTCTACTAAGATGTGCCTATAGACGAAGTATGGCACACGGTTATCCATGGTAGCGCCGGAGCTATCGGAGCCAAACCAGAGGAACTCCAGTTTGATGTCCGCATCCTCAGCCCAACCTAACAGTGTGTCAACGTAGGAGTAGTTCCAGCTGCTTTGCTTGAGAGCCACAGTGTAGGAGGTTCAGAGCTTAATGTCCCTGCAACAGAGGCGCCATTTGTCAAGGACGTTTGGTTGACCTGAGGTTGGAGGATGAAGCTGGCAATCTTGCTGGCGCAGTGGTTGATTATGTAGTCGGAGGCGTCAAAGTCGTAGTATGACACAGCTAAGACTGTGTCCCATGCTGGGCTGGAGGATGCAAGCCAATAGTCACTATCTCCAGTGACATTGATACCATTATGGTTAGGAGCGTTGTTCCAAGTCAATGTATCTGCGGACCAACTGTGGTTGGAAATGCCGTAAAGGTTTGCGAAGAATGCGGTGCTGTTGCTAGCCGCAGTAGGAACGTAGATTCGAATCTTGGCGGCATCGATCTGGTCTAGGGAATAGCTAGTAAAATCGAACTTCAGATAGGTCAGGCTCTGCGCGGTTGTGTTGCTATGATTGTACCCGATTTGACCATATTCGTTCGTCGCAAAATTCACAGAGGCCGAGGCTCCTCCTTGGATATAGGTCGACTCGATTGCAGCAAAGGAGGAGTCTGGTTGGACATCCATCCAGTACAGTTGAGTATTAGCCACTGTGAAGCCTGCGTCCGCTGCGACCTGGTAAGTAAGGCCTATTTCTTCTGGTGTCATCCCCACGCCAGGCGAAGATTGTCGGATCTGAGCTGGATGCCATTATAGAAGAACGGCGATCCATCGACCATGAGAACAGGTTTGTCATACGTATATAGACCAATGTCAACGTAGGAAATGTTTGGCTGCGTTGGAATTGAAACTGTAAGGTTTGCCTCAATGACCGGGTATGTTGTCGCCGTTGCTAAGCTAGCCCAGAGGACGGCCGCTGCAACTGCACCTGAGGTCTTCATTGCTAGCTTTTTGTGGACACGAGAACTTGATATAAAATTTGGCTGGGTGGACTGGAATTCTGGGCCTGATCGCCTGAAATCTCAACATCTCATCGCTGGTTCATGACCGGATTTTATAGTTAGGAGGGATAGGTCTGCAGGCGTCCGGGCTTAATTGCAGAGAGCTTGACTAGCTTAACCACCACAACCAATGAACATCAAGATATGCACTGAATCGGGGATAGTCCGGCTTAAAAGAATCAGAACCTGGAACATGCCGACTCGATTCACCCGACTCCGGGGGCAAGGAACCATTGCCAGACAAATCCAATGGCAATGGCCACCACGGAAATGAATGATATCCGTCGTAAGTTTGTCATAAGGTTGGGCAAATAGCCCAGGTTCCGCACGGCTTTTAGCCTTTTCCACATCCCTGCAATATGCGGTCAGGGGAACGTGGTGATCGTGTGGCTACTGCCAGGGGTAATTTAGTCGGCCGGTCATCCGTTTTTGTCCTTCATTACGACACGTCCTTCATTACGACGTGTGATCATTATCTCACCATCCATGTAATTTCCAAGTAGCTATTTCTAGTTAAACGTAATTTTCGAAAAGAGTCTTCTCCCGCGGCATTTTCCGTCTCATTTCCGGCGACGAGACTAGATCGTGGGTGGGAAAAGCACTTCGTCTTTTTAAACTGGTTCCCTTGTGGATTTTAGTAACTAAGGGACTAACAGGTAGAAAGACATTTTTGGAATTCGGACTCAGTCCGTCACCTCATCCAATTTTCGTATCTCCATTTGTCCCACCCATTTTTTACATCACCTACTCTGCCACCAATTCGATCCAAAAAAGTTGCACCATGCGGCTGGAACCGTTAGACCTTCTGGATTACGTGTATAAGTCATACGGGTGGAATTAAGCCATAAGCATGTGGGGTACGGATGTGGGGATGACCATGTGATATCCCGCTCTGGGTGAGTGTCAGCATATTAGGTCGGATCCAGCCTATACGAATAATGAGAAGTTGCGATCCTCACCAGCTAAATTATTCACGCAAGTAGTCCATGTCAGGGGTTCCACCCGCGTGACGTTCTCTTGCAACAAAAGGTTCGAGACGTTACCCGGTAGTTTTCAAAAAATTAGATGATATATTTCTCGGAATATCCGATCGGCTAAAATATCCGCGTCGCTTTGGTCCACCGGCCAAAATGGAAGGACGGGAAAACGGAAATGCAAGGACGGAGATTAAATGATTTTTCCGTCAGTGTAAGCCCAATGGAAGGTCGGTAATGGTAGACTCTGGTATTTTGACGCATAATCGCGTAGAAGGTATCTCAAAGTGGTAATTTCGGGCCATGGGCATCAGCCCGAGAACAAATCATAACACCATGTATCCTCCCGGGGGCACAACTTTATTTTGAAATATTGTGAAGATTCATTTCATCGTTATTTCTCAGAATCCAGACCTGAGACTGGTCCACGGCGCAAAAACTTTCCAACATGTTTGATACTCGTTTCATCGGGTTCGAGCCTGGCACGAATAATCTGGAGCTTGCTGGTGCCTCTATTCTCGTTGACCTGAAGGACTTTGACGGTGTTCAGCTTGCTGTTGACAGTCTCGCCGCTGATCTCCACAAAGTAACCGGTTCCAAGTCAGCAATATTCAACGATGTCGCTTCTCTGAACTGGGAAGATTCGTCAAATGTGCTATCCAGGGACATAATGATTGTTGTGGGAAGCCTAGAAAAGTCTCAGTTCATTCGTGAGCTGGTAGATACTGGCAATCTCTGTGTCCAGAGTATTCAAGGCAAATGGGAATCTTTCCAGACCAACGTTCTAGCCTGTCCGTGGCCAAGCACAAAGCACATGTTGGTCATTTCGGGCAGTGACAAGCGAGGAACTATATTCGGTATATACACTCTCGCAGAACAGATTGGCGTATCACCGTAGGTGAATAAGCAATATTGCTTGTCTCAAGGTGTAATTTTGGCTTCTGATTGCAAACTAATGCGCTCATTCTGCTGCAGGTGGTATTGGTGGGCCGATGTCCCTATATCGCCACACAAGCATATATATGCTCTTCCTATACAGACAGCCCAAGGCGAGCCCAGCGTACAATACCGTGGGATTTTCATCAACGATGAGACACCGGGGTTGATTGACTGGGCTCATGAGAAGTTTGGACCCAAGTTGAATTCGGAGTTTTACAAGACGGTTTTCGAATTGCTCTTGCGTATGAAAGTAGGTCTATCTAGAAGCGAGGCAACCATGCAAGGTATCCCAGTGATACCTCCTGCTCTGTGCTCATAGCATTTGTACGACAAGACTAACATTCGATTAGGCCAACTTTATATGGCCTGCTATGTGGTCTGGCTTCCCAGAGCCGGGAAGCATCTTCTTTGAAGACGATCCATTGAATCAAGAACTAGCTCATAGGTATGGCATCGTTGTTTCAACCTCTCATCATGAGCCGATGCAGCGGAATATGTCGGAGTGGCGTATGTCAAATAAGGGAAAATGGGTGTGGGAAGAGAACAAGGAGAGAATTGTCGATTTTATGAGGGCGGGCGCCGAGCGAGCTCATCCTTACGAAAGCATTCTCACATTGGGAATGCGAGGGGAAAGTGACGGCGCGATACAGTCACAAGACCCCCGCGCTATTTTAACAGATGTCGTTGCCACTCAGAGGGACATCATCAACGATATCTATGGAAGGCCAGATGGTGTAGGTCGTACGTGTCCAATGGGGTTAAATTTCATTGTGGAGCATCTTTTTCTTCGCTGACTATTTTAAACAGAGGTCATGGCTTTGTACAAAGAGGTTCAGAAGCACTACGAAGAAGGGCTTGAAGTCCCGGATGATGTTACTTTACTGTTCGCTGATGACAACTTTGGTAACATCCGTCGACTACCGACATCGAAGGAGAGACATCGTCAAGGTGGAGCAGGGGTAATGTACACTTCATTTCTACGCGCTATACTAACGCTGACTATTGTTACAGATTTATTATCATCTTGAATACGTGGGTTGGCCACGCAGCTATAAGTGGTTGAACGCAAATTCATGCGTAGGTCCTATTGGCCCTATTCTACGAAAAAGTTGCTAAGACAGACAAGGCAAAAATTCAACAACAACTGTTGGCTGCACATGCCAGTGACGCACGCAAGATCTGGTTGTTTAACGTCGGCGATATTAAGCCGCTAGAGCTACCACTCACATTTGCTCTTTCCCTGGCTTGGAATATCCATACTCCATGCCCCGTCAGGCTATTCGACTTCTTCGATGCTTACGCAGAACGTGAGTTTGGGTTGAAGTATGCCAAAGATATAGCAAAATTGCTCATGAGCCATGATCGGATGATGTCGTATCGCCGGCATGAACACATCGAATCGAATACATTCTCAATTCTCCAATATAGGGAGGCCGAGAGCGTCATGGCGAAGTGGCGTATACTGGAAGAAAGAGCTGAAGAGGTTATGAGGAGTTTGCCAACATCGCATAAGGCTGCTTATTTCCAAATAGTACAACATCCTATCCGCGCGTCCCGTATTAACACCGAGCTACGTGTGACGTTGGGGCGGAATCAGCTTTATGGCCTGCAGCGCCGGAACACTACTAATGTCCTCGCTTACCGGATACTGCGCCTTTTTGACGATGACTGGTCGCTCACTGAGGAATACAACCACTCGCCATGGGTTGATGACAAGTGGAACCACATCATGAAGCAGCCACATTACGGATTTAGCCCTACAACGTGGCAAGCGCCGTCACGCGATATGATCACAGGTCTCAGTTTCGTGCAGCGACAGCAAGCATCAAATTTCATATGTGGCCAAATGGGTATCGCTGTGGAGGGCCACACCGGTGTTAGGCCAGGTCTTGTCAATGAAGAATCTGATCGTATGCAACCTTCAAGGGGTGAACTGGTGTCGGGCTTGACTCTGCCAGAACTTTGCCCCTATGGTCCCAAAAACCGGTTCTTTGAAATCTATACTCGAGGGCCGAAGGATGTGGATTGGTTCGCCGTCGTCGAGCAAGATTGGGTCTTACTCTCTCAATACTCAGGCCATCTGTCTCCGGATGGCGAAGAGGATCAGCGTGTGGAGGTCTCGATTGACTGGAACAAGGCTCCCAAGAAATTTCATGGGATCGTTATAATCAACATCCGATCACAACAAGCTGATTTCGAGCAAGTCCACGTGAAGGTCATTTGCAGGCAGGTGCCCGAGGGTTTCAGCGGCTTTGTTGAGTCGAATGGGTCAATTTCAATCGACGTCGGTATGTCATTTAGCGAATCGCAGCAGCTATACCAGGCATATCCTTACCTGGGACGGACCAGCTCAGGCGCTATTGGACTTGCACTATCGTCAAAGTTGCCGGGCATCGATTTACAGCCTTTGTTGTATCCTATCTATCTCTTCTCCGGCCCGTCCACCTTTCGTGTCATTCTGTACTTCACTATGACTCTCGAATACCAGCCGGAAGAACAGCTCAGATATGACATTTTGCTTGGCGATTCGAAACAGACAGCTCGGTTGCTAGAATATCACTTGATCGCAGATCTTCCTGTTGGTTGGGAAGATGCGGTCCGGAACAACGTCTGGACTCGAACGCACTCTTTCTGCGCTGTCTCTCCGGGTGCGCATGTCATAGGATATCGACCGCTCGCACGGGGACTGTTGCTAGAGAGGATTATAGTGGATGCAGGGGGTTTAAAGGATAGCTACTTTGGGCCTCCGGCAAGCTCTTTTATCGGAAATTTGGATTAAGATCTTCTAGTCCAATGGTGTGTATCTTCCACACGGCTCTCAAAGACCTTTTGTTGGAGTTTTGGGATCGCATGGCCCCGCTCCGCTTGCTGCAAGTGGTCCATAGTACTGAAGTCCCTCGCCTATCAAGAACCTCTCCCCTTCCATGCCACATCAAATACGACTATTACGTGCCATTTCACTCTATCCCCAGTAAACTGAATCCTTCACCTTATTAAGCTTCAACACCTTTGTAAAGACGGTGTACTAGAGCGAATAACAAAAGGATAAGGATAACCAAAGAAAGTACTAGTATGTGCTCGCATTCCTTTTCCTCCTATAGCTGTTCCATACACACTATAGTAGGGACCCTATTCTCTGTTACATTAAATTCCGAAAGTCCTCTGGGCGCGCCATAGCTCGCCTCTCTGCCCTTGTCCAACCGCTGCGAGAGTATGCACGAGCGTCGAACCTATGCGATGACCGATCCATATAGCTGGCTCACCATAAAGGTCGTGAAAGGCAAATATTCTGTTATCTGGGTCTGTAGGTGGCGGTCATGAATGTCGGCGCAGGCGTTTGTGGTATGGCCGGGCTCACACGGCGGCTGCGGTGGAGGATAACTTTAACAAGTATTAAAGTTGGCACAAGACGAAACCGACGGCGCTAACGGCCGGTTCTTTATAGAGGAATACAGCATTGAGTTACGGAATGACGACGAACCGCAGCTAGAAAAGTATGTGTGGGCGTTGAAGGCAGGCGGCAAGTCCTCGATCGAGCATCAAGTCTAGGAGCCGTCGAGAATTGCCAATTGTTGCGCATCAGTCATGACATAAAACCCGTCAGATACACCCAGGCCAGTGATACCCAATAGAATGGACACACCAATATTGGGCATGAATCGAATCCAGACCTCGACGCCGCGGTTCAAAAGCTGAGGGCATCTGGTTGCAAAGGCAGATTTGATGCGCGCCAACTTGACCCGGCCTAGTACCCCCTAACTATTCAAAGAAATATCGGGAATTCATGGGCCATGTTGTTGAAAAGACTGCGGACATCGAAAAATGGGGCAAAGCTACCCTGAGTACTCAATTGCACTACATGTCACTCGCGTCCGAGCTTGTTTATCAAACACAGATGGGTGGTGTGACTAGTGGCCTTGTTAGCCACATAAAAAACTGATCAGAAAAGCATCAAACGGTTGGGTATATCCAAAGAAATGCGGTTTCAGATTCCCAACAGCTAACTTGATAACACAACATGGGGCCGTCACATACGAGAAGGAGCTCACCAACAGACACCGAATCTCAATGGTTGATACGTTGGCTACCATGGATGCGCATCCCGAGATGGGCGACAAGATGTTGGGGGCAGTCATAGACTTGGTCGAGGACTATGACTCGGCTAAGGGCGCTGGTAGAACTCATTACAAGACTCTCCGAACAATTTCAGGAGTATCAGAATCAGCTACTGGCCTCTTGTGGTCTGCTACAAGAGTAATATATTCTTTTTGGAGACCAGAAATGCCAATTATTGGGCCCTATGAGCTGTAATTTTCTACACCCCTTCAAAACTGTATATTTGTACAAGTTGCTTGATTGAGTCTTCTGTAAATCATGAAAAACATTCATTTAATGTCGAAAATATTATGGCTGATCAAAATCATTGAGCCGATACTTTCTTGAGTTCCAAATAATCATTTTTCTTAGTCTTATATCATAATCATAGACTATATGAAGGACCTGAAATTTCGGTGGACTTTGACATGAGGCTTCCTGGTATTGGAGAGGTATCATCGGCCTTGACCTCGGCCTGTGTAAAATCCTTAAACGGATGGTTGCAAAAATTCGGGCAGTGTCTGAACATAATAGCAGGATAAAGCGAGGACAGCGTTTCAGCACCTTGAGATTGGAAAGCGTCGACGAGCCTCTTCGTCCAGGTGGATTTATATAATTCTTAGAGTTTCTTTGAAGGCCTTGCCTTGTTGCGGTGAAGTTCGGCGTAGACTCATACGCCTCTGCAAGATGGAAAAAGGCATCCAGTCGCTGTGTGTCCGATACATAGGAAATCTGAATTAGTGCATCTCTAAGAGTTCAAAACAGTCCTCCCTTTGCGGCATTTTCTATGGTAGTATGTACCACACTAATACACATGACGACGGCTCCACGTCGAAGTTCTTGAAGGGCTGAAATTCTCTCCTTCATATCAACGTCTCCCTCGAAGTTGCTCTTAACGTAGTTGAACATAAAAGAGCCCCGCTGAGCCTGAAAGCATTCCATGCGAGATAATCGAGCGCACTTCCTCCACCTGTACAGTATGAGAACACAGGCTCATGGAAATGCATCCTAACTAAGTGTATTTTAATCTCAAGTGGAGTCGATTCACGAAATGGTCAAGTTTCAGCGCCGACTTCCATTCTATGTCTGGAGGTGCCTTCAAATCAGGATAGTGACCAGCTGCACAAGCGACCATACGTGATTCATGACATACCCTACTGATCAGTGGCAAGCAGTGGTTGAGAGTGGTGGTATGTCCTTACTTACAGGGCGATGGCAAATTGTCGTAGTCGTTATAGTGGTGATCTCTTTCTCCCACACGGCGCGGAAGGCTTTAATGCCAGATGGCAAATCTCAGCTCGGTGGGAAGTTGAAAGAAGCGATGAAATACCTGGACATTGTTGTCGACCATGTGATGAGAATGGGAGATTTGCGACGAGAAGCCAGAATTCATCACGTCAGTTGCAAACGGGACTCCCTTGACATCGTCAAGAAGAGGAAGAGGGTAAATAGGAGGGTGAGTGTTGGTCTTATACAATAAATTCATCCGACCAGCCAGATACGGCAGTAGCCCTAAGCCCTACCTTATAGCGCGATTGGTTTTGATTGTTTATGACAAGAAGTTCTCCGCGTGTGTTCTCTATGTTAAAATGCCAAGGTTTTGTGGCACACGTGAGCAACAACGGGCACCGGCCTGTAATAGGCTAGTAGTTAAGCTTAGATGGCGATAGGAGGATAAGGCATCTATTACTTTAATAGCAAGAAAGAGAGTGGGGAGATACGATAGGATATAAGTCGGGTTATTGAAAACAAGTCTCTATTTAGTGAAGATATTGTAAGTAAGAAAGGAAAGAAGAGAAGGAAAGAAAGAGAGATGGGCCTTCTTTTAACTACTATCGCCTATCGGCAGAAACCTTCTGTGTTACGTGGCTGTTACAATATATATAACAATTTTTTTTGATTGTATTTAGGAACAATTATAGTCAAAATTCTGGATTTTATGAAGAGACAGGCTCCAATACTATACCAAAGGCGATATCCTGCACCTTAATCAGATGCTCGTCCATAGGTCCTGGGCCACATGCTGCAGTTCCTACACCTGCAACTCGTTCATCCAGTCTAACAAACACAGCATCATCTTCAATGAGATCACAAGGGTGTTGTGCTGCCTCAATAGACTCGTCGGAGTACCGGCTAGCTGTCCAATTCAAGCTTGCCGTTCCTCCATTCCCCACCGTACATCCCTGTCGGCTTGCACGGAAGCCCGTACCATTTTCAGTCAGAAGTTCCATCCAATATGTCTCTGTACGGTTCCCATTCTCCTGCGGAATGTCGTATATCGTCTGCAGTGATTTGACGTTATCAAATCTCCACAGGCCAATCTTCTGGGAGGCCTTCTTATCGGGATAAGATTCTCCAGGTCCGAGTCCCAGCCACCGTGCTGACTGCAGAGCAGAGCTTGTACGAAGATTTAGCCCTACTCGAGGGACAGTTGTCGGTGCGGTTCCAGTGGGTTGGAATCTCATGGTAATGGATAAAGAGCCGTCGGATTTGATGGTATAACGCGCAAAGCATTTCCACCCCCAGGAAAGGATTGGAGGAGAGAGGAATGTCTCGCTTTCGATGCAAACACAATCACTGTCTTTCGATAATATATTGAAGGAACGAAGCTGGTTCGTGAGGCTATGAACTCCGAATCGCTTCCAATAACGTGCCGCAGTAGGAACGTCGTTGTCTGTCGGAGGGCGCCAGAAACTAGGCACCATGGCGAGTCCTGTTTTTGGATGCGGTTCAAGAATAGAAGTCGAATTGTGGGTCCACTTCCTGAGATGTCCGCGAACGCAATCAAACTCAAAGGACCAGTTATTGCTGCTGATAAAGACGGTTGTCTTTGTGGACATGGTCGAGATAGCATCCCGCATACCTCGTGCAAGGCCCACGCCGTTGACCGGGGCTTTCTCAGCTGGCTTTGAGATCAACACTTGTGTCCAAGCAACGACATAAGCCCCTTGATCCCATTCAACCATTCCTCTTTGCTCGAATGTAATGGTCAGGTAGGCTGGGTGGGCTTTGTGATGGAAGAGCTCTACCGGGAGAGAAATATCAGCAGACTGCCCAGCGGGCACCATAGGTAACTCCAGCGATCCAGATGTCAAGATGTTTGTTCTATGTGTAAAAATTAGTTTGTGTTCAAATCATCGTGATGAAATTCATGGGCTCACTGTTTATCAAATGTCTCAAGCTTGTACGAAGCTCGGAGATGGCTTAGATCCAAAAAGTCGTACCGGTTCTTCACAGCCAAGATTTCTTTACGGACTTCCAATTTGACCGGTTCAAAGGCTCTTTTCAGCTCCAACAGACCTGGCAAAGGCTGATGGGCGCTGTTCAAGAGACCATCCATTACAAATGTTCCATCATTCGGATAGTCATCAAAATCACCACCGTAGGCATAAAGGCCTTCTTTTTGGTTGTTTCCCCCAATGTACAGCCCGTGGTTGGCCCATTCCCAAATGAAACCACCCTGCAAGCGCGGGATCTCGTCGAAGCATTTCTCGTAATCCGGAAGCAGGCCGGGTCCGTTGCCCATGGCATGAGCGTATTCACAGAGAATGATGGGCTTATTAAACTCGCCATTGTCCATAATACCCTCAGTCGCTGCTAAGGATCTCAACCGGCTAATTTCCGGATACATGTAGCTAAACATGTCCGTGGTTTCCGCATGGACGTCGCCCTCGTAGTGGATCAAGCGAGTGCTGTCAAAACGCCGGGCATACTCCGCCATGGAACGGTGACATGTGCCGAAGAAGGCTTCATTCCCCATTGACCAGATGATGATGCTAGTGTGATTCTTGTCTCGTTGCATCAATGAATGAACTCGATCAACGTAGGCTGCCCGCCAGATGGGGTTATCTGATGTATGGACACCGCACTTAGGGAAGATCATTGCCTTGCGCTCCTCGTACTCGAGAGTTTCATCCATGTCCATTGGCCGAGCGACAGCGTCATAGAAACCATGACATTCCAGATCGGCCTCATCAATGACCCAAAAGCCCAGTTCATCAGCCATATCAAGAAGCCGGGGGTCGGGGGGATAGTGGCTACAGCGAAGGGCATTGATGTTGTGGCCTTTCATGAGAAGAAGGTCTTTCCTCATGAAGTCAATGGGCACGGCACGACCTAGAAGGGGATGGTGGTCATGTCGGTTGACGCCACGCAGCCGGATAGCCTTGCCGTTGACGGTGATGAGGCCACCCTTGCGCTCAACCTTGCGGAAACCAATGCGCTGTGTAGCCTTGTGCGTCTTTTTGGATCCCGAATTTGTCAGGAGCATCTGCACTTCATACAGATACGGCCCCTCCGCGGTCCATTTCTTGGGGTTGGCAATAGGCAGGCTGAGTTCAACTGTGGATATTGCTGGCACTACCTTGCACTCTGTAGAAGCAACGACATGACGGTTGCCTTCGACTGACTCAATCAAATTAAGTACAATAGTGCTTGCCTCTGAGGCTTGGTAATCGATTGTTGCAAGAAGGGTCGCATCTTTGTATTCTGAATCGAGATCTGTGCGAATAAACCAGTCATTCAAGCGATCCTGGGCTGAGAAAGCAATCAAAGTGACATCTCGGAAAATTCCTATCATTAGATATTAGCATATGGTTTCTTTCCGCGTATCACACAATCTAAGTATTACCAGATAGCCACCATTGATCCTGATCCTCAATATATGTAGCGTCTGACCACTGATACACCCGCACAAACAATTCATTGTTGCTTTCCTGCAAATATGGCGTGATGTCAAATTCGGACGGGTTTCGGCTGCCTTGAGCATACCCAACCAAGCACTTGTTCACCCAGACATGATACGCGCTATCGACGCCGTCGAACCGCAAGCGTATTTCTATGTTTTCGGCTTGCCATTCGGCTGGCACGCGAAAATTCCGACGGTATGTACCTGTGGGATTATCCGTGGGTACGAAAGGAGGGCACACTGGGATTGGGAATTGTGTGTTAGTATAATTCGGCTTTCCCCAGCCCTGCAGCTGCCAATGGCCCGGAACATCGATGCTGGACCAGTCACTGTCAGAAGTATCCTCGCCAGGCTCCGGTGCCTCCGGTGGCGACCGGGACATCTTGAACTCCCAGGCTCCATTGAGAAGTAGAGATGTTGAGGGAATATGATAAGTGCGAGCGGGGAGGGTATTTCTGCGAAAAACCGCGGGATTCATGAAGTCGGGCCGTTCGGCATCCGCCTGCAGCGGCAATGCCTGAGGACAGCTCATGCTGATGGATTGAGGATTTCAACCCCGTAAGGAATGGAATGACACTCTCAGGTCGTCTTGGTAGTTGGGCCACCAACCGTGCTACTCTGCCACGTCCTTTATGGAAAGATGTTAGACTAGATGGCAGTGAGTGGCTCTCTGAGCACTTCTCGTCCCAGCTACCCCTTTCCGACAATCTTCCTCATTCTAAAGACCCTCTTGCGGGGTCAGAGACGTGTTGTCTGTACGTTGTCGCACTAGTTCTTCCTTCCCCATCTCTCGGAACCTTGATCCTGGGCCGGGTCTATCGGAGCCGGTCGGGGTGGGGCTAGTTCGTCGGCTGTGGGAGCGGAGAGGCTGTATCCAATAGACAAGCTCCGGGGCTATCGGCACCGGGTCAATCGGAGCCGCGGGACAAGGTTTAGCCTTTTATCAAGGATTTCGCGAGTAAGGTTTTCAATCTGTTGCCACAAACCTAAGTGAAATTGTCTAAGCCATTCAGGTCATGATTTAGCCGGCTGTATCGGGGATCGATATTGACTTCAAAGTGCCACCTCATCCAAATCTGTACCTATGCGCATCTGCAAAGCTTCGGCATGTCAGTTAGCCTGCTCCTGGTCACCTGCCCTCCCCAGATTAAGACCTTGAAACGGGCAGGGGCAAGAATCAGTGACCCGAAGCTGAGCCAGGGTAATGTGGAGGAGGGAGGAAACAAGTTTCGTCAATCGTGGAGTAGTGAGTCTAAGAAACTCCCTGTGTGACATCAAAGAGCATTTTGCGTGAGCTTGATCGCTTCTCTTTCCGTCTCTACGACTGAACCTTGATCACTCTTGACCATCATCGTTTTCTTTTCTCTATTATCGATATTGTATGTCACTCACCCCCGGGAAGCCATAGTAGCGATCCCCAGGAGGAATAGGGATTGTGCCGAGAAGACTACCTCTCAGTAGTTGAATTGTAGGGCCAACCCCTTTGTGCGTATCCTAATAAGCAGTACGGAGTACGGAGTACGGAGGGTCAAAATGGTTCGCCAAATCAACATTCGAAGAAAGCCAAAATCCGATCGAACTAGTATAATCAACGGATTTGTCGGCGTCGTTCAGAGTAACACTATTCCAAATCGAATTGTCATAGTTGCGCAAGGCAAGAGAACAGTCGCCAGACCCCAGGGGAAAGGAATCAACCGCACTGGCGCTAGCTGTCAAGCCCGGGGCGACCGAAGGTTTTGCGACCAAAAATTGAGGAAATGCGGGGATATCTTTTCCGACCGCAGAAGTAGGTATTCATGGATTGTAACGGTTGCGTGACAAACAATACAACGTCTCCTCCGCCAGGCAGGTCGTCACCTTAGTTCGTAGTTGGTGAGGATTTGTGATATAAAAACGGTATAATCAACTAGTATTGAGCATTTCGTTGCGTCAAATCAAGCTCAAAGAACAGTAATTATAGAGAAAGCATGGGGATGATGGCCTCACTTCCTAGGTCAACCACGGTTGAGGCGGCTTTTGGTTTCGCCACCAACAACAAACCCGCCTGCTAATGGAAGTTTGCCGGTCGGTCTGGGTCAATATGGAAGCGTTTGAGATTGGAATCAGACCAGGGGGCCATAAGCCGTGTGGGACTGGTTTCTCATCTCGTGATCTCCTTTAAACCCCGTTTCTGAAACCCCAGGCCGCGGAGTTTAGCGTGATTTTAACATCTGAGTACCACGGCAACCTGGACGGATTTGGCATGGCTTCACACTAGAAACTTGATGCTAGGTACGAAACGGTAAGTATGTTAAGCTCTTCCGTAACCTTGACTAGATCGGTCTAGAAGCCACATTCGCCATACTAGTGCACGCGTCCCAAAACAGGAATGGAATAGTACAATGGGCGCTCGCTGAGACAGAATCAAAGTCAACAACACATTAGGAGGAACAGACTCGAAAGACCAACCACGGAGCACAACCTCTCTCCGGTTTCCCAGTGGAGTCTACCGAAATGTGCCACATGCAAAGTATCTTTGACACAAGAGCCGATACGCGCTAATTGATTATCAGTGATCCGGGGATATTGCGTTTAATGGAGCGCGGGGAACGGGGCGGAAAAAGTACATAGGTAGCCTGAATTCCCCCCTCCCCTTCCCCAAATAACTATGGCCCTTCACAATCGGGATTCTTCGTGAACACGTCTCAGTCTTTATCTCTACCCCTTGCAGATAAGAGATAAAGCAAAAGTGCAGATTGCAGATTATCATTCATATTGACCTAACCCGATTTATTTACGAACCCTCAGTTCGAAGCCAAGAATGAAAGCCAAGTCCGAAGGCGACGGTGTTGCCGAATACCACGAGGATGTCATGGGTCATGTCGCCTTGGCTAAGGAGGCGGCAGGCCGCGCCACTGAGATCAACACCGCCTCTGTGGCTCTATATGCGGCCACTTCGGCTCAGCCGCCCAGGTTGCTGTCAAGGAACATGATCAAGTGAGCTATCCTCAACAAGAGGGCTGGCCGTTTTCTAACAAATTCGCAGGCTATACATAATCATGGCCGTTGGATACTTGATTTCGACGATGAATGGGTTTGACTCGTCGCTCATGTCTTCCATCAACGCCATGAAACCATATCAAGAGACATTCGGACTCGATGGCGCAGGTAAGGGCCAATTACTTAACTATCGCGCTTGAATTTCTTATTTTAAGTTACTGACGGTCAAACCTGGTTCAGGTTCTTCTACTGGTATGGTTTTCATTATTTACAACTTAGGACAAATCGCTGCTTTCCCGTTTTGCGGTCTATTAGCCGATGGTTACGGCCGCAAGGTCTGCATCTTTGTCGGCTGCCTCCTTGTTTGGATTGGAACCGCCGTCCAAGCACCTGCACAGACAATGGAAACTTTTATAGGTGGCCGTTTTCTCTTGGGATTTGGCGCGGCTCTTGCTTCTGCCGCGGGACCAGCCTACACTGTCGAGTTAGCTCATCCAGTATACCGTGGAACCATGGCCGGTATGTACAACAACTTCTGGTGGTTGGGAAACATTCTAGCGGGATGGACAACATACGGAAGCAATCGGCATCTTGCAAACTCATGGGCATGGCGAGTCCCTACCCTCGTCCAGGCCGGCCTTCCTGGAATTGTCTTGTTCATGGTGTTCTTCCTCCCAGAGTCTCCCCGTTGGCTCATTGCCCAAGACCGCAGGGAGGAAGCGTTAGCGATTATGGCCAAGTACCACGGTAACGGTTAGTGCTCAACGTTCTCCGAGGTTAATTCGGAGATTCCCATCAGATAAACGGGTGCGATAGACTAACATAGTTTGGATAATTGGCCATAGGTGACCCAAATCACCCAATCGTCCAACTTCAATACTCGGAAATCATTGCACAGCTCAACATGATGAGCAACAAAAATCCATGGTGGGATTTCCGCGAATTGGCAAACACACGCCCGGCACGTTATCGATTGTTCATGGTCATTGCCATGGCCTTTTTCGGACAATGGTCCGGGAACAATGTTGTCAACTACTTCATGCCACAGATGATTATTCAAGCGGGCATCACTAGTCCGGACAAGCAATTGCTAATTAATGCCATCAACCCTATTTTCAGTATGATGGGTGCTGTCTATGGCGCTACGTTGCTGGACAAGCTAGGTCGTCGTACCATGCTGTTGGGTGGTCTGTGTGGAGGCTTGATTTCCTACATAATGCTTACCATCTTTACAAAGGAAAGCGAGCACCACCCGTCACTCAGCTATGGTGTCATTGTATCCATTTATCTCTTCGGCATAGTTTTTGCATGGGGATTCAGCCCACTGCAGACTCTATATGCTGTTGAATGTTTGGAGAACCGTACACGAGCAAAAGGGTCTGGTCTCAACTTTTTGTTTTTGAACATCGCCATGGTTGTTAACACATACGGCATCTCTGTTGGTATCGGGAAGATAGGCTGGAAATTGTATCTTGTCTATATTGGATGGATCTGCGTTGAGATCGTTGTCATATATTTCTTCTTTGTGGAGACTGCGGGCAAGACGCTGGAAGAACTGAAGGATATCTTCGATGCTCCGAACCCGCGGAAAGCCAGCATGAAGAAGACCAGAGTTGAGGTAGATGAGTCCGGAACTGTTGTTAAAGTGGAGGCGTAACTATTCGCCTATTTTGTAGCCAACTTTGGTGTCTTTGAATTCAAAAGAGAAAGTAAACGTGGGGCTCGAAGCAGCGACTATCATCAACATGTTGTTGTAACGCCAATTGTCTCGGATTCCGGTTCATTCCGCGTCGCGCCGCTGGATTTTGAGACACTGTCGGACTCTATCCAGAATACCTGCGCGGTTGTCTGATCGAGAGTATCCATGGCGGCTGTCGAGTAACTAGAGCCGAGGGAGGCATCGTGGTTTGCAGGTTCTGGAGAATCAAAATTTGTTTGGATATCGATGGTCATTCTAACTACATTCTTGTCGCCTGTTGAGCCTCCATATTCATTATCTGGTCTAGAGAAAAGGGCCATGGACATTTGATTTCAATGATTTCCCAAGAAGGTTTACTTTAAAAGCATCATGAAAAGTTAACTATTTTCTTTTCTATGCTTAATCCAGTGATACTGACAACGAGTTGTGTAGTTTGGTAGTACCGACAGACATAATATCACATTAAATTCTGTAAATACGCTTGTATAACACCCGACACTTGTCGGTGAGATTTAGGAGATGTGCAAGAAGGCAAAGGTAGGCAAAGGTGCCGAGATGAAAGGTGGTATTTTACCACTAAGCACAGGGTTGTTCATTCAGTACTTATCAGCGCAAGGAGCGGTAGCTTACAGCTACCAATCTATGGATCACATACTATAGGATGCCAAATTTGCCCTGTTTCTGTGATGTATTTCCCGCCTCCGGTGCCCACCCGCCTGCGTCGCCAACCGTACCACGCGCTACACTTTCAGAGTACATTTTATCAACCAAAACGGCATACTATATTTCAAGTAAAGTCATTTTTACGTACATTAATATTTTACCTAACCTCGCTTCATCCACTACACCTTGGCGGCGCCCTTCGAGTAGGCTGGGATAGCTATAAAACCTGTGGATCGACTACCGCTAAAGCGTGTTGAACGTGCTCTATAGCATGCGACACAGGCTTTATGGTTCCTATCGCACCAGCAGCTGTTAAAGCCTATTTGCGTTCTATCTGCTCAGTAGCCTCTTGTCTTTTGGACGTGTCTTGGTATTTATAGTGAGTAACTTATCAACTTCCCCTTGTAGTAGACCCACACTGTATACCTATATCTCCCAGGCCTTACTAATTCGGTCTAGCACTTATCGAGAAGGGCTAAGGCAGCCTATCAGGCCTTATTGTTTGATTAACAATAGAGATTGCTTCAGATCCATAGGATTCAGAATTATTTTAACTAGATCCACTTAATGGCTAGCTGCCTAGTAGTGGTGGTATGGGCATCCGATAAGGTATATCAACATCGAGCCTAGCAAGCATAGACTCTGCATCGATTGGAACAATTCCTGCGGCTGCGAAGGTGTTCAGTATAGTCTCTATTGTGATTCGAGGACATATCTCTATAAATCTTAATAGTGAAACTAGTCATATCGTATAGTTTAGCTAGACTTTGCTTTTTGGCCTATGGGAAATATCACATAATAAATGGCATTTAGGATGTCACTTCTTTCTCTGGTAGGTGCTTACGCATATACGCATAGGAAATCAAGCTTGTTGATATGATGCCAGAGTATATAGAGTGGTAACTTAGTTACCACTAAGAACGGGCTTATATATTCATCTACTGCCCACGTTCTTATACGTTTGTATATAATCCTGGATTACTTATGCACTCGACCGTTATAACCCCCGGGTATTGGTATTAAAGACGTCAGTGTGCCTGTATATCTCATAAGGAAGCATTCAACAGCAAACATCTGAATCTTTCTACCATCATCTATCTATATAATCTTTATCGCAATCTTATTACATATCTCCCTTTTTAGCCCATACCAATAGTATTATATTTGACAAGTAGCAGGAGTTCAGACGTTACCGATTCAATCATATGACTGTACACTTATTATAGGCTCGTATTCTGCGAGATGCATACCGAGCTGGCCGCGTTTGCAAAGCTCATCGGCCCTAAACTACTAACCTATAGTGGTATTGGGCGAGATTGGCAGAGGAATTGAAAGCTGTTTGAAGTGGGTCTTGGTCGAAAATGCTGCCTTTTGTAATTGCACGATATTCTGTGCTGTCGCTCGCTCGCCTGTTTCGAGCCGGAAAGCCTCAGTTAGGAAAGAAACGCGGCAGATACAATGTCGTCACAAATCAAGTATCATAAAAAGCGCATGTGGATATAGTAAGATGTGCCACAGATATCTGTCTGGGCATACACCTCCGAGAAATGGGCCTTTCTCGGATTTCATTCAGTATGTCACTAATTATTATCGATATAAAAACAACTAACGCCAAGGTCAAAGCTAGTGACGAATCAACATCATGCTGTACTTCAAAGCACAAATCTACTGTGGATATCACATATGGATTAAGAGAGCAACTCAAGAACCAATAGACAAACTGAGGGGACTGTTCATCATCGCAATTCCGATCAAGCTCCTCATCACAACCCTGATATCTGCATTTTTTAAGGCCCAGCTTTCCAACCCAAAGTAGAATTTCGAACCACAGATCGGTATGACGCCTTGGTACTGCCAATTGAATGTGTAGCTCTATTATAGTTTACAAACTAGAGTTTGAGCGAACTCCTTCGAGGAAAATAAAACCTGTGGTCTGTCCTAGCGAATGGCACTAGAAAGAATTTGCATATGCCAAGTGAAACCATAGTGCACACGCTTTCTCCCAGCGTGAAGAGACCTAGGATCTGGACAGTACGAAGTCAGCGGTTGACGGGCAATACACAGTTTTAAAATCCCGTGAGATGGCACAGAAACCAATTCCACGCGGGCCGAGTGCGACCACGATGATAGAAACCTCACTCATTTAAGAAATCCAGGGGTGGAGCAGGAAAAAAGCTCGCCAAAGGCTAGGCACAGCCACAGGGATGCACTGCTTTTTAGAATTGAGTTGTTTTATGACTTTGATCGGCCCCTGCCTATTCTGGTCCTGGGCGGCCTCATGTTTTCTTGAATAGCGTCTATCCTCTGTGGCCAAGTGTTGCATCTGTTTATTATGACCCCAAAACATCTCACGGTTTCTTATATGACAAACCACGGGTTTCCTAACATGCTACAGAGTAGAGTTCAAAATGCAGCTTGCACGCATCGGCGCAGTTTGGGATATTGCAGGCGCTCATACTCCGTTTGCGAGAACTTGTCCGCAGCATATATTCACACGCTAGACGGCCAGACGCCCACATACGTGGTTCAGCCGGGAATAGGTGGCGGTACCATCGGATCTGCTTATAGTGTACGTTATTCTAGGACTTGTCAAAAAAGCCTCGGCCTAGAATGTCGTATGGAAAAAGGAGCGAATATTATAGTGGACAGGTCGGAACGAACCGTGGCTGCTGGCCTCCTTTCCCATAAAAACCAGCCCGTCGCGGGGTCACCCGGCGGAGATTGTTCGTGGTGATTACTGCAGCGAGTTCTCTGCCCACGGGGGGGATGAAGAGCTCGACGGCGAGGGTAGCTATCTGGCCCAGAACCTGGCTGGTGGTGTGCCGCAGAGTCCGCACGTATGGATATCCCTGTGTGAAGATATTGTAAACTCCATGTAGGCGGCCATCGGTGATATTATGTTCCCTTGCCTGTACACCACATGCCCCCTTGCCATAGACGAACCAATGCCTATCGTGTTCAGGCTCGGCTATCTCGAGCAAATAGTGGTCGATCCTGCCATCTAGGCGCACATCCGTTTAACCCTGAAAATGAACGAAGTGGCCAGTGGTGCCGATGGTGGATGAGGTAAACAGGCTGTTCAGCCGACAACTCATGGCAGAAAGACAGCTCTGGTGTTGGTCCAGCAAAGGCTGTAAAAATGGATCAAGTAGTAGCAAGCGGGGCAAGCGTCAGTAGCAGCGGTTGCGGAATCAGCCGCAGTGAAGAGGAGTAGGGAAGCGCAGAAGGAGTAGACTTGCGAAATTTTTGCCTGAGAGAGGCGCTCCACCATGGCGTGGTTGATATAGTAGCTCGCGGCGGGCGGATATAAGGAAGCGGGGGTTGGCTAGTCAGTGTCTGTTAGAGCGGGATGATCGCAGGCACTACCAATTTCGAACAATTTTCCTGGCAGCTATCGTAGGTCATATATAAGTAGAGATCTCATCCAAGGGCGCGCGGCTAAACCCGCGAGGGCGAGCAGGATGCGGAACTAGCTCGGGTGAGGTGGTGGAATAACCGAGGCCTGCAATCGACTAGATCGCGACCGGAGGGCACGGGAGTGCACGCGGCATCGATCACATGTCCGATACTGAGAGTCCTGCCTTTGAATATGCATACTTGGAGCAGTCAGTCTTTGACCTGATAGAGTGGCCGCTAGGGCTGATCATTGAAACCGATAGAGCATCATCTCTGGCCAAAGTACGGGGAGAGACACATAAAGGGGTGCGGAGGCAGTAGGCATAATTTTCTTTTTCCTTTTAAGAACAAGTTATCATCACACAGTATTTTCTAGGCAGTGCATTTCCATTTTGGCGGGCACACTACAGGACCAGCGCACAAAGACCGAAACACAGTCGGCAGTGATGCGAGGGAGCAGGGATCACCCACGGAGATGCAACAAGGCCGCGGAACGCGTAAAACGCGAAAACACGTGAGGTAGACGGAATCACGGAACATCAAGTCACATGGGGCCAGCCATAATACATCGAAGATCCTTGCAAGATTGTCAGGAGAAGCGGCATCACGTGCACCCCGCATGGGGATCGTTTACGTCAATCCGACCTTTCCGTCTCCACCTTCTGCACCATAATTCATACATTTGGTGCAAATAGAAGCGCATTGTCAGGGCCGATTGATTTTGACTAGGGGTTCACTACCTGGCATCTCGCATTCTGGCTCGAAATGAAGAGATTCAGGGCAGCTCGAGCGGTCTGTCTCCAATTCTTCCCCCTTGTCCGGAAGTAGCGAGTTGAATCGATCATCGAAACTAATATCACCCACAGTGCGACTCATGCCGCCAGCGAAAGTCAAGGCTCGTCATCTTCGATGTGATTTTGTAGCACATGATGATTAACGAACCTGACAGATGCGATGCTCGCGATCCCTGCGGGCCCTGTGTAAGCCTGAACCAAGCGTGTGTATACGGAACAGATGCTATTTCGTAAGTGAGTTGATTCCAATGTGAGGATTAGTATTAACTTGAGATCAGAAGAGGCAAAAGTGAAATGATCTTGGATACGGTCTTGCGAATGGAGGCTTCCATTGAAGAACTCAAGAGTTTGGCCGTAGGTAACGACTGGCCAAAGGTCATTTCTTACTCACCGATGCTGGTTTTCAGGCTACGGCTTCCGGTTCTAATATTATATGCGGCATCCAGGCCAAGTCTATGTCCCCGACTGGGACAGTTACCTCGATGTCTCAGGAGGCATCCCATCATCCCGGCGGGTGCACAATTAGAGACCCCACTGAAAGTGCTGTGCTTTCGTCAGGACATCTTTCCTCAGCGGAGTCTCTTCTGAAGTGGCCAGTCTTTCTAGATCATCCTTCAATATTGGAGGAGACAGAGTCTTCGTTATTGTTGCTCGAACATCGACGATCGTCCTTTCGAAGCAAACCCTATGCCATGGTTCCCAGCGTGGACTTGTCGGAAGTCAAAAGCATCGTGAGCGTATTCCAACAGACATATAACTTTTGGTTCCCTACTATCAGCTTGGATGATCTGAATTCATTAGAATTAAGGATACACCAACAAAACCTCGACCCTAGTTGTCAGTCGTGTCTCGCTTTACTGGTCATGTCGTTGGGTTGTGTCGGGGCCTCCGTGATAGATGAAGGAGGCTCCAAATATCCGTCTCGACAGCTGAAGCTGCAGGGAGAATTATGGTTCACTGCGGCAATGAAGATGCTTCATTTGGCCCACATTGAGATTAGTGTGCAAGCTTGCCAATGCCTTTTGCTGACTGCGTATGACAACATTTTTACACGCCAAACTGGCGAGTCAAGACGAAACTGACGACTACCTAGTCTCTACTTCTGCTATTTGCAAAGGCCACTGCAAACATGGTCTTATGTGAACAGTGCACGGACTCGTTGTCGTTTCCTGCTCTCCTGCCCTTTTGACAACCCGGAGCGTGATGATCGAGAACACATCACCAGAATATTCTGGTCCTGTTTTGTACTAGAAAGGTAAGCATAGGCAGTGTCACACAGCAAATGTCACCCCTACACTTATTACCGCCTGACTCTCACTAGCAACTATATCTCGGAGTTGCCAACGCTTCCACAACACTGCAACGCTGAAATCGAATCAATCCTTTCTCTTCCGGGCAAGTTTCAATCCCATGAGGCTATTGAAGAGGAAGAAAGGTCGACCTTCTACTTTCTCGCATCGATCGCACTACGCCGCCTCCTCAACCGAGCGCACTACGTGCTCTATGACCACAAAAATGGCCTTCAAATCGATTCAAATTATTTTCCTTCTGTGAACCAAGAACTGGCATGCCAATTGCAGGACTGGTATCAAACACTACCTCCAAGTCTGCAATTTCCAGAAGATGGAAAATCTGCCGATGACCCGCATAGCGAGTACCTAAGGCAGTGGTATCTCAGTTGTCGAAGTGTCATCTATCGACCGTATCTGGAGTGGGCTCTCGCTAACCCATCTTGGAATCTCAACAACAACCTGCGTATGCTTAATGGTTGTCAGGTTGCCCTCGACACTTGCTTATTCAAATTGAGGTACCTGAAGCAGGTGCCATATACTGTCATGGTAGACACCTGGCCATGCTCGCTTTCGTAAGTCTGATGCTCGCATATTATCTGCTAGTGTGAGGTCTTTCTGATACCAGAGACTTCTTCGTTAGAATCGCGACGGCGATGTTGACCCTAATGGGCGGCTTCTGTCATCCACAGCTGACAATTCAGCTTCGTCGTATCGCCTTGCTGGAGCTGGGCCCTCGCCTAGAGCAATTTTTACAAGAATGGATGACAATTCATGAGTCCTGCATTTCTCCTGGTATTGAGAAGGCATTGAGATTAATCATGAAAGTTCACGAGTTCTTCGAAAGCGAATGTGCAAAAACTATCTCGTCCCAGGAGGACGAACAGCACTTCTCTACTTACGCCTTTCGAGTGTCTCAAGAATAGTACTTTGTCAGCAATACTTTTGGGAAAGTACCAGCAAAGCATGCGGTTGGGAACGAATAAGCTGCCATCAATGTGCCTCACTCGAACCACCAGCTTCAGTTTCGGAGAGGCTTCTCTAGGGGCAGAAAACAGTCCGTATACTGGGCAACTCAGGTAGTGTCCACAGACTTGGGTCCCCGTATGTAGCTACATCTATAATTAGGCGTCCCATTCGTTCCAAGCAAGATCGATCCATATGTGAAATTGGGCTGTAAGATCCGTGAAAACCAAGAAATATGCCTTGAACACCACCTCTACACAGATTGGTTCATCATTCAGCTAGGCCTTACTCTCTCCGCCAATAGTAGTCAAGCTTATTGGGCTGTTGTAATCAGAGCCTGTAGACAAAAAGGGGCACAACCTTCCAGAACTTGATACAGTCCCCTTGTTTGTCATTTATACACTCAAGGGGAATATTGAGAGACGTAATGGGCGTCTATGGGTAGTTACCACCCTTTCTACCTTTTTTTACATTGTATGTCGTTGTCAACTCGGACAAATCATAAGACTACGCCTAGGCCTATGAAAACTCACTGGAAAATACTATGCCAGGTGCTGGACATATTCTGTTCGCAGGGAGTTTCAATTTGATTTACGTTAATTCAGTTGAGGTTGTTTGGAATCGATGTATTCTCCCTCAAGGAATTTTCTAGGTAAGAGCTTGTTAGTTTGTCATATATTGATTTTGAGTAGCTCTGCTTTTTCGACAATAAATGTAGGCAATCTGTTATAATCTTAAGTTGAACAATAATAAAGAGCCGGCCGTAAACCGTACAGAGGAAGCGGCGTTCACGCCCCTGGAGGTTGGCCTGCTCGTCGAGGCGGAACAGGAAGCAATTAGTGTAAACAAAGTCACACTGCAATCCAACGTCCCAGTGATGACATAGAGAGGGGTATCGTAATAATGGGTGACGTTGTAATCAAGTCTTTAAATGACGGTCTGGTGGTGAGAGTCTAGGGCAAAGGCGGATACATCGGCTGGTCATGCTAGTGGCAACCATCTGAATTTTGGTGGCTAGTTCAGCACTCACGCCACTCCCTTCGATGTCATTCGGGTTGATCGTATTCATGGCCGGGAAGATACTATTGGCCTCAGTCGACTGCGCCGTCAAGGCCGCCACCGTCGGCGTTATTGAGGTTGCAGGCCAGGTCAAGGCCGTGCAGTGAATCCAGTGTGAGGCATCATTAGGCCACAATAAGGATAAGCGATAAATAATATTTAGCATCCTAGTTGAAGAGTTGGTCGATTTTAAGAGCTGTGACCCTTCATCTTAGGTAAGACTAGAACATAACATGGCGGCTCGGAAGTTCCTCATTAGTGCGACAATAGGGGGGATAATATCCATTATTGTTATTATCACATCATAATATAAATGGCGGGAGATAAAAGTATTTGACTTATCATAAAGTATGCCTATTGACTCTACGGATGCCAGAACGCATAGTGATCCCTGTGTGAATGCCAGTGAAAGCCTGGACTAAACACAATCACCAAATAGTGGAGTATTCTTGCTCGGGCACCCAGCTGAGCGGGACTTAGAAAAAATTCAGCAGAACTGAGGAGGTACTTGGCCCCGGGCACGTCCGTCGCTTATGGCCCGACTGTGTTGCTTGCCATTAGTCAACCAGCACAATAATTTTGGATATTTTCGCCGGTCAGTACCTGGTTGATTGAAATTACAGAGTACCCTACGGTATGGAACATGTCACGGCGGTGTGTTCCCAAGTAGACTGCCGATAGTCGAGCGTCAAGGGCTCCCCTATATCTGCATCCCTTTGACCTTAGGCTCGGCGGGGTCGACGCGCCATGCCATCATGGCCTAAGTACCCGGCGAGGTCCGTGAAGTAGGAAGAAAATCGGGCTCGACCAAGGGGCCCTCCTGGTAGACATGCTATTCGCCCGAGGAAAGTATAACTAATCCCAAGTCCCGCTTAGCTCTTATACCTAAGCGGGACCTAGGATTCTATATTATATAATCCTTTTTACCCCTTTTCAAGGCTTAAACAAATTTTTTTCTCAAAGATTGCTTTGTATAAAATTTATAACAAAAAATGGTGTTTAAATCGAATCCTTTTATATCCTCTTATAGATTAGATATAAAGTAACAAAATATAATAGATTAAGATATAGTGTGATTTAGACTTGTAGGGGTTTAAATAATTGCAGTTAAACCATTAATTAGTATTGTTTAAAATAGATATAAATATATTAAATTATATATAAGAGCTGAACCGGACTTTGCGATCAGTCATAGTTCTTCTAAGTACCCTTGAACCTTTCCTGAGTACCACTCAGCTGGAACCCGCCCGTTGTTGATCTCATAATTTGGAAAAAGCAAAGTGGTCTAATAGTGGAGACTGGACAACAAAACGGTTGGGAATAAGGGACGTACGCCTCGAGGCAGCTAAGTTGGGGCTGAAGTGGGTTGAACACGAAGTAAACCTTGTGGTCTGCCGATCATTTGGACTCAGCTATGCTTAGTTGCACAACTAACCATAGCTCCGCCTACTCACTACGCTGAGACTCCTTTATCACCAGCAGGCTTAAATCTAAACTTACGGCTGGTTTTCAATAGCTAAGCTTTTCGGTAATATATGTCGGATGAGACCATCCCTCCGAAAGTCAATGGGAAGTAAAGCTACTTCCAATCAACAGTGGGTCAGCTCTTTCTCATGTGGAGGCATTCCGGTGCTAGATCTAACTACAAGCGTATATTCGCTGATGGCTGTCTTGGTAGAAGTATTTTCCCGGCATGTGCCAGTACGGCCGTATTGACTGTGAAGAGAGAATTCTTCCTTTTTTCGTTTCATATTAAGCAGCTTGGAAGTCCCAAACTGGCCCCTCCAGTGGAGTAACCGCGGCCCTCGACTGGCATCTATAGCTCATGTTTGAAAACTCAACATGAATCCAAAGAGAAACCGGCCAAACCTTGATGGGTCCGCACAAAATATGGATGGGGCTTTCGGAATATTTCGGCTTAGACCTGAATGTGCGCCCGACAATAGGATCGGCGAGTGCCGTGACCACCAGTTATGCCGATGCTGGTCCCACTTACTAGTCGAGCACGTGTTTTCGCGTCTGCGTTGACCAAGTCGAAAACCCCAATATTCAACCAGCCAGGTCACAATAATGATGAGGGGGTAGTGTACACTCTGGGCGGGGCGTCGACTAGTGCAGGGGGGCCGTAATAATATGGTTCCATTACGACACCTCTCTAAATGACCATTGCTAAATCATCCTAATAACTAAGCTCTCCGCGACGCACCTCATTTTTTGATAGTGTTGATTTCTTCCTATGGCTTTAGTTTTCCTACCTTGAGCGTCGATCACACGTTGGATTTCCGAGATATCTTAATATCATATCCATTTTATGCTGCATATCCCCTCCAAGAAGAAGAAACCACTCCCACCTTGGAGAAGAAGCCTGCTGTCGAAATATGGGTTGGTAACTTACCGCTAGCAAGTGATAGCTCATTGGATACCGTATCTCTTATATCTGGATATAGAAATTTGGATTACTCATGAGCAAGTGTGTTCGCATCGCCGAGGATCGGTCGTATGGGCATCGGCACGTCTGCACGGGCTGTGCTTACTGTAATACCGCCTTCCACCCTCGGTTCCCCTCTTCAATCCATAAATCTTTTCATCCTGATTTTTAAACCCTAACCCTTATTGGCTACGGCTATTAATTTATAGTTTTATCTCAGGGGTTAGTGGGATAATATACGCCCTAGCTATCTAGTACTCCGTATACGACCTAGAATGTTTCAATTAGGAAAGTAATTTTGGAATGGCGCTCTGAAGCGCGAAAGGAATAAACTGGGAAAGCCACCCAAAATTAGTGTGTCTAATCACTATTTCAGGGATTCAAGCCTATTGCGGAGCTCAGGATCCAGGTCAGCCAGGACTGCTTTTTGCAAGTGTCTATTTCATGATGATGATGATGATGAGTCTGTTAACCTAATGCAGACTAGCTAGTGCGCAGTGGCCATACAGGCCCTTCCTCTGACAGAAGCAAGAGCTAACCAAACACCCACTGAAACGAAGTAAATATTAAATATGAAGGAAAGCGGCGTTTTGCCAAGAAAATGCAGCCGAACACCAGCCCAATACCGTAACCATACGCCCGCTACAATCATATCAGCGCACGCTGATACTGTATAGCCTAGTATGCGAAGACGACGAATGATATCAAGCGGAACCAATATAGATGAATAACATTGATTGATTCAGTAGAAAGATGGGCGGAGAAGCGCTGTTAAAAGCACACACTCAGATACACCGCTATTCGATGTGTCTGATGTCTCCGGTACTCAGCTGTGACAATGGCTGCATTACAGCTCGGTTCCCTGATTACATAGGAAATACTAAACGAATGTGGGCCCATCAGCAACCAATCAGTTGCTAGTGGTAAGTTATCCCTTCATCCACTGACAAATCATATTCCACTGCTTTCTTCCCTCATTCCACTCTCAGTTGCCCTCTCCCCCGTTGTGTCGACATCTTCTATCTCAGGCAGCATTTTAGCTGCTTGATTCTCTCGATTGGTGTTCCATGGCCACGCAAGGTAGTCGTGTCTATCTAGATTGGACGGATTGGACCGGTTGGTCCAGCGTATTTAGTTGTAGTCGTCGCAGCACGTTTCAGGTTGAACTAGGGTTTGGCGGTCGTATTTCACATCGTCTTTGCGCTGTCTCCGGCGGTCCTTTTGTGTTTGGTTACTTTCCTCTGACGGGTTTGGGGGATTTAACAGCAAAACGTTATTTTCTTACATACTTACTGTTTTCTGTGCGTGTGCTGTCCTTTCTGAATGCTCTTGCTTCCACCAATGGAAACGCCTGCATAGCCATACCACACTAGTTAGATGGTATCAGGTTAATGGAGTATCTTCATTCGTACGCGGGGTAGCATATTTGCATTGAAAAGTTGTAGGCAGTTCTGTTAAATCAAATAAATTAAACTGCGTAAATATTTAATCTCCGCAGAAGTTGAAGCTATGCAATGTAAATTAGGATCATGTGATCCGAGGAATGTAGGGCAGACTTCAGTTGAAATCACCGACCTCGCCCACATAGTGGATTCAAGGACTAATAGAGGTAGCTGGGACATTCACGATCGTAAGGTGTTGGGCCTAGGTTTCGATTGGGGCAGAGCGCCTTCGCGTAATTTCCAACGAAGAAGCAAGAGTCATAGTTTCCTAAAATTGTCATCTTAGTGTATGTTGCTTCCTCTCTCTGTTGCCAGAGAGAAAAGAGTGCAGATGAACATACCACTAGCGCCACATGTGCTGCCCGAAGATTGACAGTCGTCATTGCTGCCGTAGACTAATGGAAGATGAACATTGATATGACTCGGCGCACTTGTGCTACAGACTTTGCCGCTGCCGTAGCGGAGGTCTGATTTGATCATCTTTGCCGTAGTAGATTAGCCTGTATGTCTTGAGAATAGAAGGCGGTAGGAAAGGAACTTACTCGAGCAATTCCGGATGCAATAAAAACGTTGGGCCGGAAGGTTTCGATAAAAGGATGCAGATGGGTGGAATCAGTCCAAGATACTGTATAAGCAGTTGTCTGAGCATGGCTGTTGGGATCAATTAGCTAGACCGATCAATCTGACAAGACGATTCGTACGTACCCCCATGTGTAGGAAAAGCCTGCTCGAAGGCCAAACTTGTCAAGGTACTTGATAGGAATTTTCTGCATTCCCGTTAGTTCTTTTCCTTGACAAACCTTCTTAGGCACTTTGACTTACCAAGTCTGGGCCGGCTTGGACTGAGAGCTGGTACGAGTACGATAAGGTGTAGGAGTTTGAAATACTTCCAGGGGGACACAGTGGGTCCGAGATTTTATGAAGATTGCCTGCCACAGTACTGTAACTCACAGTTTCCCATGAATAGCTTGTGGTCCATTCGGAACTGCATGAGCATGCTTCAAGGCATTGTGGAGTGTAATAGCGAGCTTCGAGGTCAGAACTATATTACCATGTGTCAGTGAAATTAAGCTGACCAGTAGTAATGAAGCTCACCCTGTGTCATTTTTGACGATGCTGCGCTCCTCCCAGAATTCAGATGGGACGTCGATTCCCCCTGGGTAATTGTAGAACTTTATCCCATCTGTAACATGGAAGTTTGACTCGTCTATCTCGGGCAGCGAGTGCTTTTGTGTCACATTGCCAGACTCGATGATCTTGGTACTGTTACCGAGCAAGTCAAGGACAGAGACTTGTTTCAGTTTAGGTACCGATGCAGCTTGTATTCCAAGTGGATACAATGCCAAGATGAGGATTGAGACTTGCAGTCGGATTGAGAAAGACATTTTGAGATAGCTAGGTGTGGTCCCTGTTAACCGAAGTGTCTTGCTGTGTCAATGAAGCTGGAAGATGGAGGGACGTTGCTTCCCTATTTATATTATTCGATGGCTCGAAATCTGCTCACATCCCTCTTTTAGGGTTCGTCTTGATCGGGTTAACTACCATCTGACCGTAAAAGGATATCCGGGATGTCTCACCATAAGCTATCGTGGCAAGCTAAAGTGTATGGTCTAGTAAGCATCCATAACGAAAAATATTAAGCGAACTCAAAATAAGGATAAAAAGTCTACTCGATTGGAAGAAAACAGGGGGGCTGTGAAGAGGTTTCCCATAGCCCGTACAGCGCCCTGATCCCTGTACCACCGATTTCGGCGGCTATGAGTTCATGGGTAATCCAGATTTACATACCAAATGTGGGAAATATGATCTCCTGTGGGACCTATCACCTGCTAGCGGTAAGTTACCGCTCACGCTGCTGATATAAGCTTTCCTAACAATCTAACTACTCGGTTATTCACTTGCTTATACTAGCTAGGGATAGACCTATAAAGCTTCCTACGAATTAGAGTAAGGAATAGATTCATCTCTTATAGCAGGTCGTTCTCACTATACGGATCTCCCTGAAATTTTAGGTTGATTAATAGTAGAGCTAGAATGTAGTGCCAACTCCTTGGGGTTCGTCTCTAACTAGCAAAGGAAAGTGGATATTTTATATTAGAAAAGCTTATAATTAGATAAATTAGATATTTTTTCCTCCTTTTTTCAAGGTTTAAATTAATGAGACAAAATACCCAGCCCTGAAATCATACTTTAAAGTTGGGGAACGCGACTATGCTTTAAGGAATCATTACTTAGCACTCTAATCTGTAAGCAGTTTCATATGTCCATCTCCAGCTAACACAGAATAGTGAATAGCAAGTTACTGGGAGAGGTTAGAATTGGATATCTCAGATATTTTGTTTAGATGGATGGTATGTTACCACTTAACACGAACCTTGAAGAAAGGAGGCGATCGGATTCGAGCTGTTTGTTTGACAATTTGAATAGGGTAGCGATGTCCCTCTATATTCTAACTTTGTTAACAAAGTAAGACATTTCAGTTATTAAGCCTTTTCACTAGCAAGAGCTAAGTATCTGACGTCTTCATTGACCAGTAACCTTGGTTCCGCCACACACGAGGTGCTTCCGATCACTATGGTATGTACGGAGAGAAGCTTGGGAGCTAAATTAACATCATGGAAGAACGGGCCCCACTAGCCAATGGGATCCCTTACAAAATCCCACGTGGATACATGGGCTGACAGAACTTTAGGCGCCCCTTTTAATATAACGTAATTCCTAGCCGAGAGCCACCCGGCCGACCGAGCTACCCCAAAACACTAAATATGATTTTTTCAGGTCACAATATATTAGCAACAAGGAGACGATGTTGCTTGATTTTAGTATAGTATGACTTCCTAGTACTAGAAATAGTTAAAAGGATAGTTAAAATATTCAGAAAATATTTTTTTGTATATATTACTAAATATACGCTCCGACCGAGCGATATAAATAGATAAATTTATATTGTCACGCCCTAAATTATGTCTCGACCTTATAGAAATACCTAGTATAATATCCTAAAAACCAAGATACCTCAAGTATATATAATTACCCTTCAGCGTTGAAATATGATGTTGGAAATGTCGCATTTAGTATAGTGTTTTAGGTGCCTTGGTCGGCTGGGTGGCTCGCTCGGCTGGGAATTACGTTACTAACCATGCTAACAAAGAGTTAATTCTAACCACTCTTTAAGAAAAGCTACCTGAACCTTAATAACATACTGTATCCTAATCCACTGCCAAGTGGGAAACAAGGTGTCGAAATAATAAATGACCATATAGACTAAGAATGTAGCCCATGGAGCATTTTTAGTCTAGTGGTATTATGCCCCAAAAATTTGTGCGACTAAAGGCCGTGCATTAAGCTTTTCCTCTATCCCCCATTTGTTGCTTTTCTAACCACGTGTTTCTAGCTTCTAACCACGTGTTTCCATTACCACCGCTTTCGGAAATGCCTCTTGGAAACAAACTTTTTAGAGAGGGCAGATTAAGTCAAAGGCTGCTTAACACTTTATGCCTGGCTTAATGGACAAAAGTCGCGCTTAAAACCATGTCCTAATAGCCATAAATTGAATGCTAAGATAGGACTTCTTAGTAACATCTGGAAGAACTGATGGGGTAGATGATGATAATCCATTCAAATCTACTGAATCCGAGCCATTTAAAGAAAGAGGGGTGGTCGCTGACCAAGCCCCGAGCTAAACTAAGAAGGAGCACTGGCCAACGTGATCAAGCTCTGAACTAGACCAAAGGCGCTGGTCGTCACATGACCAAGCTCCGTACTTAGCTGTTTGTGTGACATTAAAAGAAACAGTCCCGACACAAATACTCAGAGGCGCCGTTCTAACCTCACAGATAAGGTTCTATACGGTGGTAATGCAAAATTTTGAAAATATTTCCCTTATTGCCAAGACTTTTTTGCTGGATATATCAGGGGGATTACTACTCCGACCCCTGCCTGATTTTCTATCGTACCTGGGTAGGTTTAGCCTACCTGGGTACCACACCGCTTTCTCTACTGCTTTCATCTTACAACTTCCGCAACTCTCTCACTATCTATACACTCTCACTGCCCATCGATATAGCATTACCAATTTGGCTTCTCTCCGCTGAGCCAAGAAGCACCAATGGCACTGAATCAGGTTAGTTACTAAGCCAAAAATGATGTCTAATACTAACTATACTAGTGTCTTTATGGAGGGCACAAAGGGCGTGGAGGCATAGTCAATTCGCGGGGTCCTATACAGTAGTCAGCGTGGTTAGACAGGTGCTGAATAATCAGAATAAATTGGATACTAGGTGAGGATATATGCAGTTGGTTTCGTTGAAGAGAGAGAGAGCTTTTTGGGTGGACTAAAAACCTGTAGTTGTACTAGGAAACTGGAATTCAATACGGAAACAGACACCTTCGAAATCAGGGGGCGAATTGCAGCAGAAAAGGCAGCAGCTAGGTAGGCTAAACCTATCTATGTACGATAGCCAGAAAATCAGGCAGCGGGGTTGGAGTAGGGAAGGGGTTGGAGTAGGGAAGGGCGGCAGTCGGAGTAGTAGTCTCCTGTATTAATCTTATGCCAGCCTCTCCATATATCCTACAACATAGTAGCGCCCTGCTAGTAGGCTGAGTGTAACGGGTAACTATAGTGATTGTGAAGGCCTGTCGATTAGGTAAAATTTCGATAGCGAAAAATTAAAGTAATGCAATTGATTCAATCTACTGACCATTCACACAATCACCGAATCTTGACAGATTCAGACCGAAGGAATAGGGCTATAACACATACCGTGTATGCCGAATACCCGCGTACACCGGAGCACCGCCAAAACGTCATTATAAGACCAATAATCGAAAATATCCCTCAACCCATTTTCCCCTTACTACCTTGTTAGGTTTAGTGTAGTATATATGCCCTGTCCGCACAGTGTTTTTGAAAAGTGCGAACTGCTTAGTAACTAGTTCTATTAACTAGTTAATAAGAGTGACCCTTCATGGATTACTACTAGGAATCTACCAATTATTTAGCTAGCTAATTTTAATAGCTGTCGCTTGAAAATGGTTTATAGCTATTCAAATAGTCGGAAAAGAACTAATTCGCGACCAAGAAACATAAAATAGGTCTTAGGTCCTATACTACATGGGCTTCGTTCTTCTAATGATATCGTGATTAATCACGATAATAAAGGGTTTAAAGTAGTAGGAGGGATTGTTCAAGTAGATGGCGCAAGCGGCTGCGCACCACGAAGGACCATAGTGAATGCAATATTTTATAACGCGATATTTCAACAAAGATAACTTATTAGAAGATCCTATCAAGTCCAAGTACTATTTTGATAATATATAGCTTATCCACAGCGTTCGGGCAAAGATTGTAGGGTTTGGTGGTTTAAATATATATATTCATCAGCTATCGATCTATATTCTCGGTCAAGCCACGAAAGAATTTCCTGAATTACATTTACATCATTTGATTTCAATTACAGTACTACGCATATCAACAGTTGCATGGCAGCAATTAAATCAAACTAACTTGTGATTGTTATATTGGCCAAAATTACCGCGTTTACTATGGTGTATTGGGAAGCGCCGCTCTTATATGCGCCATTCGCTTGTGTATTACGTTAGTATATCTCGGATAGTTATTGAATGGCCTAGGCGCTAGACCTTGTGCAGTAAATTAGCATTGAATGTTCAGGATACTACAAATCTTCTTCAATAGCGAATATTACTAGAAATATACTACCTATCAGGGCGGCGCTGTAGGGTAGTGAAAGGCAAAGAGTAAGGCGTTAAGATCGTGCGTTGACGATCAATAAAGTCATTTTGAATATCAATAATACTGAGTACGATATTGCCATCCTATTCGATAGATCTTTTTCAGAGCGGTTTCCGTGGCAGAGTGGTGGCTAAAGTAGGAGAGTACGTATAGGTACGCGTTTCTTGACATGGTGGCCCATAGCGGGAAGGACGTTGTGCAAGAATGGCAGGGAAGGAGATACTAGAGATGTAGGTGGCCAAATCGCGGGATAACAGAGGGCTACGAGGGCGTATGGTTACCGTTTCCTATAGGGTTCAGGGGATTTACTGTAATATGGCAAAACACTGTTTTTTTATGAATCTACTGCTTGATGTGCGTGGACTAGGATTCAGAATGCTCTTGCTTCCGCCGGAGAAAGCGCCTGCATATCCATACGACACTAATCAGGCTGCATCAAGTTAATAGGGCATGATCTTTACTCATCATCATCTTCATCAAGAAGTTCACTAATCAAGAAAACTTGATTTTCAAGTGACTACGTAAGGTAGCTAAACGTGGTTTGCCTATTCATCTAGGGTTCCTAAGCGGAATAGTACGGCTAATACTTTATAAGTAGAATCCAACTGCAGAGATAGGCATCAGTTATGCTTATAGTTTTATCAAGCGCTACCCGAGGATGCGTAAAAGGTACGATGGTACGATTACATAGCAACGGGCGAAGTAGGAGGGTTCGGGAGTTATAATACCATAGTTTCAATACTTTACATATAGCTATTGGGACGTAGTATACGTGAGGATAGTATCTGAAACGATGAAAAATGGGGCTCCGCTTAATCCCCAAGGTTATTCCTGCTTTGAAATACAGTTGGAGGCCTCATATAGTTATATAAGGAACCCGTGGATAGGGTACAATTATTGAATTTGTAAATTCAAAGGGATGAATATACCTCCAGTGATTATTTTCAAAATGAGTGTTTGATAAGTGTTTGGTATTAAGAATGTACACTTTCCACATATTGGTCTATTGCAGCAAAACAATGTGCACAGATATCAGATATGATTGGCCTTTTTTGGTTGGAAAAGGTGTTTAAGCCCTATTCCAGAAACCCTATGATAGGTATAGTATAGCTACGCTTTGTTGCGAGCTACAGTAGCATTTGAATTAGATAGTTTGACGATCTATTGTAAGAAAAATGCAATCATCTGTCTCTAAATACCTACACATGTCTCTAACCTCCCCTAACCACTTGATTTTAGTGTTTTTGCTCTGTTTAAACATGTGCACGGGAGGTTAATTAGAAATAGGATAATAGCTAGTAATAATGATGTAGATAAGGAAGACTTATGTCCTTATATCTACCTATCGTAACGATCGCATAATATAGAAGGTTCCAGTAGCGTGTAGAGTAAACCAGAGTTATCTCTTTCTCTTCTTTTCCTTTCTTAGATTTGATATCTTTGTTAAATATGCTCTTCTATTTAACAACTTGGCAAGTGTAATACCTACTCTAGCAGAAGTATTTAATCTAAAACCCGTACGTAGTGTCTTGCATATACTAGGCTTAAACCACTTGATAATAAGCATATTCTTGCAAAGATAAACTTTCAACTAGAGAAACCAATACCTCTAGTTAGAGGCTCAACATCATCTGCTCTTCAAACTCCTCATAATCATCATTGGTAGATCATAAATTTGTAGCTTACAAAGAAGACCTATTACTAGGGGAAAACTCTCTAGCAGTCTAACATCTTACGCTCATCATATTGAAAACGAAGTTTCCTAGTCTACCTTTGAATGGACCTTCAGAATTGGGCTTCAATTCCAGATTTGTGTCAATCTTTTCAATAGGATATATGCGCTAAAGAACAAATTTGACTCGCTCTTGAGCCTTAGGCACGAACGATAACACCAATGTCTTTTCAGAGAATCCTGGCATTTGTCTGACCTAGATGTTTGAATAAAAAGACATTGGGTAAAGACCTTAAATTGCAAATTTTGACCTTGGGGCTTTTTGACTCAAATACAATCTGCCAACAATGCATTGTGTTTGTCTGGTATATTGTTGAGTCATATCTGCGTTTTTGTCATTTTGGGCTATCAACATTAAGACCTACCAATAACTCCGTTGATCTCCATAGAAACTATAGCTAGGCTGTTTCAGGTATAGAGAATACCATTATTATTATCATTATTGTCATCATCATGACGCGGCGAATACTCCTTCGAAAATATGGAATGGTCTGACCGGAGTTGGAGCAAAGAGGGGTAGACGCTATTGAGTTGGCTAATAGAATAACTTTTGCTGGTGTGCTAAGGAGAAGGTTTAGTTGAAACCCCTGCCTTTAATCTAGTGCGATCCTCGATGCGAAAAGGTTATGTTTGCGCCTGGTAATTAGTGGGGTGCGGCGTGTGCGACTCGCACCCCCTAGTGTCAGGGTTAGGATGTGGGGTCGATGTGTAAATTGACCAATTACATGTGTGCAGAAATCCGACCAGCCTTGGGAACGGCAGAAGGCGGGGAAGACATGCATAGAACATGCAGTAAGTCGAGGTCACAGTTTGTCGACAGCATATGTGGTTCCGATGCTGAAGCTATAAAGCGAAGACGTTGGTCCGCGATGAATCGAGAATGTCCATCACATCATCATGGCTCGACGACGACCAAATCCATTGCATGACCCACTTGAATATGCCACGCCACAGCTTCGAACAGGACCACCGATCACATATTCTACAGCCCAACGCGTCCTTCGTGGTTATGATTATGGTATGTGTCCTAGACTTCAACACCCTGATCCCTGTTGTTAATGTATTACCTCTTCAACAGTCATTGTTGGTGCTGGTGCGGCCGGCTGCGTCCTTGCCAGTAAGCTTTCTGAAGACAAGAACATCTCCGTCCTTTTGCTAGAGGCCGGTGGTGACAACACAAAAATCTTGGAGGCCAAAGTTCCTCTCATGTTTCCGAAGTTGTTCCATACAGAACATGACTGGGATTACTACACGGAGGAGCAGCCTGGCTTAGCGGCACGACAGCTGTACTGGCCTCGTGGACGTGTCCTTGGGGGCTGCACTTCTCTTAACGCCATGATGTACCACCATTGCTCCCCGTCTGATTTCGATGAGTGGGTTTCTATTCATGGATGTGAGGGTTGGGGCTATCATGATATTTTGCCATACCTGAAACGCATGGAGAAGTTCACCCCTAACTCGTCACGCCCTGCAATTGATATTCAAAAGCGAGGGTCTTTGGGAGAATGGCACACTGGTTATGCATGGCTATCCGAGATTGTCGATAAAGGATTCGTACCTGCATGTCAAGAAGCGGGTATTCCTCCAGTCGCCGATGTCAATACCCCGGCCGGTTCGCTAGGCGTCACTCGGTTCCAAACATTTATTGATCCTAAGGGTCAGCGCTCTTCATTCGCCACGGCGTACCTCTCAATAGACGTCATGAAACGGCCTAATCTCCATGTTGCATGTCATGCCCACGCCACGCGTGTACTTTTTGACCGCATCACTACCGACAGCCCTAGGGCAATCGGTGTCGAGTTTCAGACCAAACAAGGCGGCGATCGCTTTCAGGTACATGCACGAGAAGAGGTCATTCTTGCGGGTGGAGCTGTTAATACCCCTCAGCTATTGTTGCTGAGCGGTATTGGTCCAGTCGGCGAACTCAAACGTCATGGAATTCCAGTCCTCGTCGAGAATCCTGCGGTGGGAGAAAACATGAAAGATCACCTCTGTACGACTCCGGTAATCTGCAAGGCGAAGGCGGGTAAAACGCTGGACTATCTCTCAAGCAACATCAAAGCAATGCCAGCTCTTCTCCAGTGGCTGCTTTTTGGAAGCGGCCCTCTGACCAGCAATGTCGGAGAGGCAGCTGCGTTTATCAGATCAACTGATTACGAGAATCTTGGGTCCACAAGCTGCCTGCCAAAAGATAATACATCTGGTCGGGATGCCCCAGATTTAGAAATCATTGGAGCTCCATTAGCTTTCGTTAATCACGGCGAAGAGAGGCCAATTGATGGTAGCAGTGTCTTCAGCCTTGTCCCTATTGGCCTTCGTCCACACAGCCGGGGTACGATTACACTTCGCAGTAAGGACGCGTTTGACCCACGTGAGTAGCATGAACTTCGGAATTTCGAGCGGATACCAAGCTAACTGAAACGATTTTGTTTAGCAATCATCGATCCGAAATACCTGTCTGATGAAGGTGACAATGACAGAAATGTTCTTTTGACGGGTCTGCGTGTTTGTCTTAAAATAATGCGAAGTCCAGCTTTCCAAAATTTCTTTGAGGCCGTTCCAGTCAATGACGAGTTTATCTCTTCTTGGTGGCCTTTCTCGAGTGGCAACATCGAGTGCATCTCAGATGAGGATCTCATCCGGTTCATGAAGGAGAAGGCTTTCACTCTTTACCACCCAGTTGGTTCGGCGCGCATGGGCCCTACGCCAGCGTCGAGTGTAGTCGACTTGCAATGTCGGGTACATGGTATTAGAGGACTCCGAATTATGGATGCAAGTGTCTTCCCTGAGCAGATCAGCGGACATCCGACTGCGCCTATTGGTGCGATGGCGTTTAAGCTAAGTGACATGATCAAGCAAAGCCGAGGAAGAGGCGCACAGATATGTGCAAACCTATGAAAATAGACTTATTCATCAGGACACCATCGGATCCTTCGTCACCTTATTCAACCTGTGGATGAATCTTGGAAAATATAGTCAACCTTTGCCGTCTTCGATAGTTTGTACTTCATTAGCTGGGAATGATCAAAGTCTGATTTTGATTTTTTCCACTTCTTGGGATCATGGATCAATACCCTAACTATCACACTTGGAAAATTTAAAATAAAACTAAAAAAAGGACAGACCCATGGGACTGCTATCTTGTCATACAGTGAAAGGTAAGGTATGTGACGAGTGTTTCGTGGATCGCTCACGGGCCCGGGTACAGTTTCCGACCTTTTCGACATTTGTGAGGCTTATTTCAAATCCCTTTTTTTTAATAGTTGTAAGTTCTTTGACCATAAGAGGCCTAAGCATAAAGTGAAAGTTCTTGCATAGCCATTACAAGGCCATACTAACAATTTATTGGCATATCATATATGGCGGTCGATTGGGCTTGCCATAATGGACTTACTGGGAGTCTTTTCTCAAGGAGTTACAATATAAATCGAAAGCTCGAATATTATCCTGAGACAGAAATGAAACGACGCTACTTTCACACAGGATGAGAACACCTGCTGCCATACCTGCAAGGTTCAAGAAATAGTAGTGGCGATCACTTTGTATGACAGGCGAGCCCGCTCTCCTAGTCGTCGGCACTCGGTAATAGGCTGTATGGGTGTAGATAGATGAATGAACAAAATCGCTTTTCAATAGTCAATTGAGAATCCGTCAGATGCAAGTATAATGCTGTGCGCGAGAAGTTGGTCGAGAAAACAGACGAGGCGTACTGGCACAATCTGATATTTGTGAACTTATGGGTGGCGTTATGGGTGGAGGAACATCAATGCGTCGACAGCGCGAGTTTGCCGCCCTATTTGTGCGGCGTCCGAAATCTCCCGGTGAGTGAAACTGTACCAAAGGTTAGCCTAGACCTTCCGTGGCTCCGAACCACTAGCAAAGACTGGTACCATTTTAGAGTTTGGCGGGGATTTTAGGGTCTACCCCGCGCTTGGAAGGTGCGGGGTAATACGGGATCATGTGGATCTCCCATGTCCTTGACTTGGCGCTGTTTCTCTCTACCTTTCTGTGCTTATGTTGCCCTGGTCACACCAAGCGCGGCATGATACATCGGCGCCTACATTCCAGTCGCTGATATCCATACTCTCTGGAATCACGTTTAAATTATTCTCAATGTCAGCACCGGGATCGCCGCGTCCTTCAACAACAGTCAAGCCCTGGTCATCAGGCCGGATGTTGACCCCGACTCAGCGTGAGGCAAAACGCCGCAAAGATAGGATAACAAAGAGAGTGAAGTCAGAGAAACAAAAGGATGGACTTGAAGACATCCAATATCAAATAAAGGGTCTTCAAGATCTGATTCACGCACATCTAGGTAAGAAACATGCTTTCGGCACTTAGAGCTAAGGGGCACCGTTTCTAACATACTACGATCTTCTAGGATCCTGCGTTATCTCCCCGCCTATCGATTCACTTCTCAACAGTGTTTCTAATTCCTCGTCAATACCCATACCTGATCCGTTTTATCGCATAGAAGACGACGTGTCTAAAACAGACGATGTCCCGCCACTAGTCGAGAGTCCATGCGATGTAGGAGATTCTGAACGGAGAAAACAGTGGTTTGAGGACTACTTCTTTAAATCCAGTACTTCTTGCGCACTGTCTACGTCTCTGTCCGGAGACACGAGCTATACCATTCTACGATTTACAAATGACGTACTTCTCAAAGTGCGCGAATTCGGTGCGGCCGACATATGCACTAACGAACAACTCAATCACGATGCAGTCATCCGCGTGGTACTAGAAGGCTCGCATACTTTGCGAGACATGACGTATTCCTGTCCGCTCTGGAAGCTCCTGAGCCAGATTGATGAGTGTATATTCATGCACAGTGGCGTATTGACGAGATTATCAATGCTCACAATGATACATGCGATGCTGGTAGTATGTTACTCTCAATTATTAGCCTATTCCCAATTTATCCCTTTTTACAACGTTTGTTGACCTTTGCAAATCTAGGCGGTTGTTCGTGCCGATTCGTTTACGTGCCTTCCGGCATGGTATCGCCCAAGGTAAATCAGCGACAATGCAAAGACTTGGGCATGTGCTGATATCGCTTGTTTAGGCCCACCCAAATGAACTTTCCCCATCAGCTCGCGGCTGATTATTTTGCTTGGTATGCAAACACATCTACTGCCAAAATTCTTAGTAGGCTAACAAACTCTTTCGACTGCTTTCAGGCCGGGTTTCCGCGAACGTCTGGTAATCTCAGACTGCGAAATTTTGACGAATAGATTCTTCAAAGCTTTTGTATCTTCTTTTCGGCTGATCTGGCCCTATCCAATCAGTGACGCATATGAGTTCGACGCCGTCACTGGATTTTATTCCTTCTCGAGCACTTTTCAGATGCATGTTCGCGACATCAGGATGTGGACCATGTGCAGAGAGTTCTTTCAAAATTTTCCTCAGTTACAAGATGATATGTCACTGCACGCACCTGACATTCTGGCACCGACCGCACCTTCAACGCTTGTGGCTGCTCAGCCCTCATTCGTATCCATTGTCTAATATCTTGCGCTCTGAGTCTTAATCGATGGAATCGTTCAAGTCCGAAATCGTTGAGTATTTTCAATGAGAGCAGGTCATATGAGGAATTTGCTTAACAGAGCGCATCACGGGCAGCTCTTTAGTCCCCGCACCGTAATTCATATCAGCTACTGCCCAGAGACGCCCGTGATCCTGATTTCGATCTCCCCACACACCCGGAACGCCAGCACCCTGTCTGCGAATCTTCAACCTGTCAAGATGCATGTATAACATGAGTTTTTTTATTGCTATTCACCCAGCAGATTTAAATCAACAAATTCAATACAGAATGTTGGTGTCACGTAATACCCGCACATTTCTGGCATATGCCTGATGAAAGGACCGGGCAATCTGCGCCGAATGACTGGCCGGCAGGCCTTGCCTTACAGCCTAGTTATTTATTTACCTAGAATTTTATTTTGTTGAAATTTGGAATGAGATACTTGGAACTGAAATTGAAGTCAGCCTGATTATGCACAACTACCTTAGTATAGTTAGGAAATTTGTCCGTCGGAATTGAAACTGAAAAGTGAATGTTTTGCATATATTTCGGAAAGGAAATTCGTATCGTTGTGGCAGAAGTTGATGAAAGTTGATGAAATTAAGCCTTTTGGGGGATGCATGGCCATCGCAAACGAGAAGCCGATAGTTTGTATGGTGTAGAAGCCCGAGGCTTTTTATGGTGGTCAAAACTCTCGAGCCGCGCATCCGATAAAATTATCAATAAATATAAAAGGCCCTACGCCCTAGGGGTGAAATTGGAAGCTTACCTCCATCTTCCAGGCCGTTAGTGACGTCCCAATAGAATAAGCTCCTGGTAGACAGAGAGTTGAAGGAAAAGTCTTCAAAAGGAACTAAGCCCGCGAATTGGATCATAGGTCGCCTTACCGAGCCACCTGCAGCAATGCATTTGACTCCAGTCACTGTTTCTGCTTAATCAAAATTACGTGGTCTTCTTCGTGAAAGTTTGAGGGTGAAATAAACTGTATAATAAGGTTCAGGTTCTCGTATTTAAACTAATAAGATTACCAAAGGCAGTATATGCTGTTCCAAGATTGAGTTGTGGGAAGATTGTATGTCTTTTGAGAAAAGCCTGATCTCGGCTCGGGGTTGTATATCCCACTCAGTCCTTCACAAACCCCCAAAAATCCTGCTCGAGAACCTTTGCACACCTTGCTCCATACGTGGGAAGACCTCCAATATAGTTAAGTGACTGGACAGGTTTGCCGGGAATGTTAGAGCCCATGTACCAGGAATTCGCTTGTGGCAGCACAGTCATGTTTGCCAGACTGTTTACCTCATCACTCCAGGATTTTTCTGCTTCTCTTGTGGCGGTCAGGCACTTTATACCCTCATTTTCCATCTTGCAAATGATGGAAGCTATCCAATTTCCTTGCAGCTCAATAATGGTTGGCCCATTTGCAAAGGCGGTGGGTGCTTGTAGGCTGTACGGGAGGAACATATTTGGGAAATCACTGACGGTCATTCCCAGATTGGTAGAAACACCGTCGCTCCAACGCTCACCGAGGCTAATACCTTCAGTGTCTTTGAGACCTAGTTTCTTCAAGCCACCGGTGAAGGCGTCAAAGCCTGTTGCAATAGCAATGATATCGATTTCATGAAATTTTCCATCCGCAGTAACTATACCCTTAGGCATAACTTCGACGATAGGATTTGTTTTGGTATCGATGATGTGGACATTAGGCTTGTCGACTTGTTCGTAAAAATCTTGTTCAAGGGACGGTCTCTTTGCTCCAAACGGGTGAGGAGGTTCCAAGGGAGCTAGAAGGTCCTTCTTGACAGGATCGCTGATTCTGGAGCGGGTCTTTCTCGCCCAGAAGTCATATGCCGCTCGGTTAGCGGTCCCATCGAAAAGCAGGTCCTGATAGTTATTGAACCAGAACTTGAAGCCCCCATCTTTGTATAACTTCTCGTAGAAGGCCTCACGATCTTCCGCGGAATCGTCCATCGTATTTCTGGGGGTCGGCTGGTACGCCAGTCCGCCAAAGGTTGACGCACAGTAGGTGAACAATTGCTCGTAATTGATTTTGTCCACATCCTGTTTTTGAATATCGAATCGTTCTTGTGACATGGGCAGGCACATGTTCGGGGTTCGCTGAAACAGGTATGTCTCATCGGCGTCCCTGGCCCATTCTTGCGTGATTTGGATACCGGTCGATCCAGTGCCAATGACGGCAACCTTTTTGTTTTTCACATCGACACCCTTCTCGGGCCATTTTGCAGAGTGGAATATTGACCCTTGGAAGGAAGAAATTCCCGGCCAGTCTGGAAGGTATGGTTGAGAAGCAAAGCCAACAGCAATAAGCAGGTATTTGGCTGTTGCCACCTTCCCATCAGCGGTCTGGACAACCCATCGACAAGATGCCTTGTCAAATTCAGCGCTGTTGACTTCAGAATTGAAAAGACAATCTTTGCGAACGTGCAAAGTTCTGTCAACATGCTCGAAGTACGAGATCAACTCGCTTTGGCAGGGATATTTCTCTGACCATGTCCAGGCTTGCCAGATCTTTTTGGATGAGAAGGCGTAGTGAGGTGCCGGGCAGTCAACTCGGGCACCGGGGTAGCGATTTGCATGCCACGTGCCGCCTATATCAGATTTGGCCTCGAAAATTTTGACATTCAATTTCAGTTTATCGCGTAGTTGCTCAAGGAGGTAAATCCCGGAAAATCCGGCACCGACAATGATCGCGTCAAGGTCGAAGTTGACACGATCATGATCATAACTCGGCACGGATTGAATGACGGTCATTGTTGGACTTGTTGATGTCGATTTCTGGCTTGTGAATGTCTCTCCCGATGGTTTCGTCGTGGGCTATGAACTATTTCTTGATCCTGGATAGTGTCGTGGTCAATTCAGGTCTTATATCTCGCACTCTACCAATAATAAACCATTTTGGATATAGCGGAAGAGTGATAAAGTGCGAGTCGCACACCTATTTGTGGAGGCTTAGAAGGCGGGGAAGACAGTGAACTCAGCCGCCTGCAGATGTCCAAATATCTCTACATCCGGTGCATCCGACCATTGCGGAGAGTACCTGGGGATTTACGTAATACTTGACGGCTACATCTGCTTGCTACGCATGGATCGATCCAATGAGGGATGTACAGTGGCGGACCGAAAGTCATTGTACCCCAGTATCTCCGCTTCCTGACCGCTCTAGGTGCGCCACGAAAGCTTAGGGCTGAGATTATGTGTACGATAGAACTTGTCAAAACTAGCTAGATAAGTATAGTATATGCTAAATAACGATAGTAAAGAGGGATTTCAGTAGAGACTGCGTAGGAGGCCTTTGGTAATATTAACCTTGATACATCTATCAATCTAAATGCTACTATGCCATATAGGGTGGATGAGATTATTACAACGGAAGGCTGGTACCCTGAGTATTAGATAATGTCGAAATATGTGGAGTGGTAACTTACCACTAAGAACGGGCTTATTCATTGTCAGCAGATGAAGGGATATCTTACCGCTAGCAACTGATTGGTTGCTACTGGGTTCACACTCGTTTAGTATTTCGTATGTAATTAGAGATTAGTCAGTAACTCAGGCTTTGTAACAGCCGAGTATCGGCGACACGCCTGTTTCATAAGGGGTAGTCTACAGCAGCGCTTCCCCCCTGTTTTCCTTCTCAATCAATCAATGTTATTCATCTATATTGGTTCCGCTTGATATCATTCGTCGTCTTCGCATACTAGGCTATACAGTATCAGCTTGCTCTGATATTCATCAAGCACCCAGGTTTCTTATGTTTTTGTATGTAATACTGGCTTACAGAGAAACTCAGGCTTTGTAACAGCCGAGTATCGGCCGCACGGACAGAAATACGTCCGTACAGCCGGGGGATAGCTATTCAACAGGCTATCCCCCTGATTTTCTATCATCATCAATCTGATCAATAATCTCTCACCCCATTGGACATCTTTCGTACTAGCCCATACAGAAATAGCCCATTCTGTCAGATAAAGCTAAATAAGAATTGGAGGTTTTGGCGCGGCAGAACATTCGGCAGAAAGCGGGATCCGAAACAGTGTGGTTTTAAATACGTTTGGGCCGCCGCTGTAAGTGACGACTACTGGAGGAAGCATGTTGCTACAGGGCACCGTAGCGATCGATTGCTGGAAACTCGGCAGAGCGCGGATATTTTCAAAAAAGTAAAATATATTGTCTCTGTCTGGTGTATTGCACCCTAGCGATAAATACTATCATCTAAGAGGAGTGTAGCTCTTTCAAGTTACACTCAGCGGCACAATTTTATCGAAATTGGCACTAGAAGCCCAATGTAAGATGCTGAGTAGTCTACTCCATCTCAGAAATCACCCATTTGACCCCTCCAACGAGATCGATGACAAATTCCTTGCTAATATTCAACTCCTGGAACATCCAAAAGTAATGTGGTAGATCTGGGTATTCCACAAACTTTGTGCGGACACTGGTTGAAATTAGTGTCGTCCATACCAAATGCTGCTTGTTAACCTGACTGGGAAGTTGTACATACCCTGCCTTGGCAAGGGCCTTTCTCATAACTCTACCATCATCACGGAGTGGGTCTGTACCGCAAGTACAGATAAACGTTGGTGGAAAGTCTCGATGATGGGCGGACAGAGCCGTGAAAATGCTCGAGTCGCTGGGAGACGCATTCACAGCTTCTATAGCCTGATGAGAATTTTTCGGCATCGCTATTTCTAAGTGACTCACCGAAGAAAGTTTGCATTGAGGCTCTGTCGATAATCGGCACGTGTTCTGCATTCTCTTCGTAGGACCTGTAGTCTTCTCTATACTCTTCTGGACAGTTGTCCCAGTGCAAAGTCACCGGAGCCATTACTGCCACTCCATGGATGTATCGGCGTCCATCTGGGTGCTGCGCATAATGATTGGCAATGGACAATGCCAGAGCTCCCCCAGCGCTTCCACCAACAGTGAAAAATTTTGACTGATCGCCGCCTAGCTGAGAAGCATTATCCCAAGCCTATAATTGCAAGCAAACGGGTCCAGGGTGAGTAACTCCTTATCGTCAGCTCCATAATTTTAAGAGAACGCTCACCCAACGATAAACCGCCAAAGCATCTTGTAACATGACTGGTAGTTTATACCGAGGACCTAGTCGATAATCCACACTGACAACAACGCATGGAGCAGCCTCGGATATCGCTCGACAAAGTGCATCTTCGGACTCAAGATCACCACATATGAATCCTCCGCCATGGGTATAAACCCCAAGTGGAAGAGGACATCCAGACTTGATTGCGCCTGGCGTATAGATTCGGCACTTGATCCCTTCGATCAAGATATCCTTCGTCACAACCGAAGCATTAGCTTTCTGTCCGGAAGATGCCAACAGGGCCATAAGTCCATCAAATTGGCGAATCATTTCCTGAGGGTTCCCTTTCAAGACAGGACGCGATCCAAGGCGCTTCTCAAGCTATCAATACAAAAATATCAATATTGAGTGTCATGAATGCAAGACTAGTCCTTACCTCGAGCCATTCTGCATTGAGCTTTGGGCTAGACATTCTTCGAGTAACAAATCTCTTGGTATATTCTCTTGCTATATTGCCCACAATTGAGTTGAAGTTAACTGGCTAAATAATTTGCTGTGTCTAGATATTTTCTCTGATTATATTTAACCCAGCCAGATTGCGTTGGAGGGCGAAAGCAGGACTCACCATAGTGCGACTCGCAACGGCTCACACTGCTTAATGATTAGCCGGCAATGTTTCAAGGAATTTCACGAAGCTAATGCCACACATGTTGTTTCAGATGCCGTTGAATGTACATAGGCAGCTCTCAGATATGTGCGCGTAAAGGCGTTTCCGCCAAAGCAGAGCTGGTTGTTAGGGGATATTGGCATTGCGATTCGCGCAAGCCTTGGCACAATCAGATTTTGGGCACGGACGTCTGTTCCTTTTCGGAAGCGGGAGACAATTTCTTTCCTCATTAACTAGCCCATCATGATATGTGTAAAGCTAAAAAGGCATTATTGCGCTAGAGCGTCCTTCTATTCTTGCTTAGTTTGAGAGATATGAAATACTGGATTCAAAGCTTTAGCTTTACTCTATAATCTCTAGCTACCTTGTCTCCGTTCGTTTTCCTATAGCAAGCGCAGCTGCTAAATCAATGGTGGCTTGAAATTTACTGTCTACCTAATTACAAAAACAAAAAATTTTGAATACAGCCCTCTTCAGTCAAAACTCTGTGGACCTGGATCACGCCGAGCCAAAAGCCGGCTTCTCAATCGCGCTGTCTGTTAAAATAGCCGCAGCCGCGCTGTGATGTCAAAAGCGGTCTCTCACGCTACGTTCCATCGCAAAGTTTCCGTTCTAGAAACCTCGATGATTTACCATTTCAGAAATCACTACCAAAAGTAACGTTCAATTCATCTTGCCCAGTGTATATCAGTGTACGCAAAGCACACACTTTGCAGCGCTTCTGGCTCAAAGTATGTCAGAGGGGTTCCGTAGGCTCTATGTTGGATAATCTGTATCATAAATAAGTCTAAGAACACCTTCACTCGTGAATGCTTCACAGGTGATTGTTGAAATACAGAATCTTTTGAACAGGCTAACCTATCACCTGTTTCAAATAAGACGAGGGATAAATCTCTTGCTTGAGCGATGCCACTTCTTCCACCCCAACCAAAATTATCACCATTATTTTCCCTCCTCGACCCAGAATTTTAATGTCAATATCCATCAAACTGTTACCCAGCATCCTTCACTTGTGCTCGCTTCCACGCCATGCCAGTGAGATAATGCCGAACCAGACATCCAGCAGGAAGGGAGTGCAGAGGGGCGTGTCACTTTCTTGGAGTGACTACCATCAACTGACTTGTCATAAATCGATCTTGCTGAAGGCCCCAGAACGTCGTGACTTAGCTTATCTTTTGATGATTTGGCCGCATGAGACGCTGTCATCACTGAAGTGGTACCTTTCACATAGATGGCTTTCTGGCTCAAGCAGTGTCTAGGCTTGCAATTCGAGGGCGCATCCAGACTTAGTAAGGACCCTCAACTCGTCATCTTCTTAAAAGTTCCCTTACTGGAACAGCCTACACTTATGATATGTATCATACCACAAGCACTGCTCTGGTTTTGATAGATATTGGTGATTTCTTTTATTATCGCGTTCTCGGTGTTGGACGGTGATGCTCTCCCATGAATTAATGGAAGTTAGAGGTCAGAAGGATAAGAAGTGTTCAAGCGCTGAAATTATTTGGTATGCGTTGAATTGGCTTTTGCTTGTCGTTTGGACAAGTACTCGCCATGCGCTTTTTCCTCAGTCCAGTAGGTCGGTATACATGTTTCATCTCAAAGGCTCAGCTGTTATACTCTAACATATTCAGGGGGTTTGAAAATCACGAACAAACCTGTCGGCTGGTTAGATACGCTATTCAGTTTTGGAATCGAAATCAGCCGTTGTGTACTAAATGGAGCATTGGATGGATATTTCTATTCTTCCCGTTGGGAGACCAATGTTTGTTAATGGATTAGCTGAAAGAACAAGTATTTCAGAAATGTATAGGAACTATCCCGAAATTGGCATAGTGAAGGCAAAAGGCAAAACCCAACTGAAAATGCGTCAGAACGAGCTGTCTTCTTTTCCCTTGCTCCTGCCCATTGGAACGATCAAGGGAAAAACAGAGCGTTCTATACAGCAGCTAGGCGTCGCTCAAATCTACAGACTTGTTGGACTTTCGACCTCTCTGCGCGTAGGATTTATGCCGTTCAAAGTGCGATCTCATTACTTTTCCCTGATGCCACGACCGGCGATAGCTACGTAACGAAGCTTGGAATGGGGTGTAGCAGCGGGTCAGTCGCCTGTATTGACTCTGATGGCCACAGTCAGCATCACTATCTAACTCGCACCGGAGAACGCGTATTTGAGTAAGCTTTGACGGAAGAATCTATACCTGAGAACCGAACATAAACCATTAACGGTGACAGAAGAAGGTGTTCATGACGAAAAAACCCAGTCATCAGCTTGCTTTTTCAAAGATTCGATAAGCAAAACCAGTAATCGCCTCTAGTCAACTCGCAGCAATTTATTACCAGTCGTACATACATCATACCATCGCCTAGCGGCTTTTCTTAGGAGCGGAGCTAAGAATCTGCGACCGTTGAACTCTCGCGATTAGCAATTAAATATGCATCCAGGTCTTCTAAGATGTTGCACTTACACTCTTTCCCACGACACAATTGATGATTTGAGATAATAATTACACTGAAAAAGGAAACGGCGAAGGACGCTATCAGCTGCGCAATCATATCGGTACATCCAGGCTCAGCCTCAACTCGATGTCCAAAAATAGCGCTGTCTACTTAGTGACCGCCGTTTTTCCTACATGTTGGGGGCGCTCTCGGTATCTGGTGGATATAAGCTCCAAAATGGGACTTTTCGATTTGCATTCTTTGGAAATCTGCAGATGAATGTCTAGGGTAAACATAAAACCGCTCAAGAAAAGAAGGAATTTCGGTCAGGCGGTAGTTTGGAATTGCCTAATAGCCACCGTCCTAATAGCCAGTTAAACTTTGCGCTGAATAAGATGTGTGACAGCGTTTCTGCGGATGTAAGCCATATCCTCGTGTTCGTGTATGATCTCTAAGCTGACTGTCGCGCCAAGGACTCAACATATACATGTGCAGAGACGCCACACAGAGCCTGGACCACTCTCGATGCCACCAGAAACACAGTTATATCGACTATCCTGATTATGTGATCGACGGTCATCCGTACTCAAGCAAGTGAAATGCGAATAAAACGCCCTTGTTTCTATACAGGTCATAGCACGAGTGGAAGTATCCAAACAAAAGTAGAGAAAAAAATAATAAACGTAAAACATCGATCTTTTCATCGAAAAGTTACTACACTAGGATATGGTAGCAACCTTCCAGGGTCTTGTCTGATAGGTTGGAGGTCTCGTCGCAGTGACGCCCGTCAGCTGCTGCCGCAGCGAAACGCCCCCTCAGCAAAAAGTCTAAAATAGTGGCAATTGATAAGAGTTTAATGAAAGAAAAAGTGACAGGTCAGGATACATTCTAGCTTACAGAATGATGTTATGGCCGCAAGATGTATTTTCTGTGTATTGTCGAGGAATTCGCATTTCAGGTGAGGCTGGCCGACATCAGCGGCGCGCCTTAAGTTCTTCCTAGGTTTGCAGTATGATCTTTAGCCTCAGCCTTACGCCTTATGGGAATTGCTGATTTTTGAAATGCAAAATAATAGCAGCCAAAGGGCACTGACCCCTCCTCCGAATATAATAAAGGACCCGTTGGATCGAACCTGTTTTGGAGTCCGCCATTATTTCCTAGTTAGCTGTGAATAAGAGATTTTGGCCTTCTCTTCGGGTTTCTCGTTATCAGATAACTGTTAGGTCATGATCTGTGAATCAGCGCCATGGTAACCTTTCGCCTGCTGATGCTCCTCCTGAGCAAGCTGACCTTTGCCCTTCGGTATGACGGACAATTATCCGAATACAACCTCAATGAGAACAGATCAGCGAATAGTGTTTTTGATTACTGGGGCAAATGGCCAGGGCATTCATACCATCCCTCTCCTTCGAATTGGCGATTCCCCTTTTACACGCTCTTCCTCGATCGATTTGTGGATGGCGACCCCGAAAACAACGATATTAATGGCACCATGTTTGAAACTGACAACATTTCAAACCAGTATCGATTTGGGGGTGACCTGGTCGGCTTGGGGGACACACTAGACTACATTCAAGGCATTGGGATCAAAGTGAGTGGGTGCCTGCTATCCGTATGGAAGGATCGTTGACCGTGGAGGGTGGCTCCAGGGTATCTACATTGCGGGCACCCCCTTCGAGAACTTTCCTTGGAAGTCGGATAGTTATTCGGTATGTACAATTTGTCCTGGGATGCTTGTTACCGTCTAACTAGAATCAGCCAATGGACTTGAGCCTGTTGGACAAACATTTTGGAAACATTCAACAGTGGAGAGCCACCATTGATGAGATTCACCGGCGAGGAATGTATGTCATGGCGGACAGCACATATGGCACGTAAGCTTACTTGATACCTCATAACCTAAGACTGATACTGAGGAGACTGTGATTAGTATGGCAGATCTACTCGGATTCGAGGGGTTTCTCAACAGTTCTGCGCCTTTGAACCCACTCGAATATAGAACAATCTGGAAGGGAGATCGGAAATATTTTGATTTTGTGCCAAGCGATCACTACAAAGAACGGTGCACGTATCCTACTTTCTACACGGCGGAAGGAGAGCCCATTCTGAATGGTTCCGACCCATTCTTTGATGCACTCCGGGGGTGTTACGACAGTGAATTTGACCAGGTCAGTTCCCTCCAGTCGGATCATGACAGTCACTAAGCCATCAATAGTATGGTGCCATCGATTCTGTCAGTCTCGCACCTGACTGGCAAAAGTCTCTCGCCAAAGCGGCCTTGGTGCAGGATCGACTTCGGGAATGGGTTCCATCCGTCAGACAGAAAATAGAACGATTCACCTGCATTTTGATTACATCGCTGGATATTGACGCACTACGTTTTGACAAGGCAGGACAGGTTACTGTTGACGCATTCGCAAGCACTTCTCAGGCCATTCGCCAATGTGCCGCTCGCCTGGGCAAGGATAATTTCTTCATTGGGGGGAGTTCACGGCTGGCAATTCCTACGCGTCGATCTACCTCGGTCGTGGACGCGAGCCGGAAATGAGGCCGCACAATCAGAGCGAAGGAATTTTTCTTACCAACACCTCGGATGATCGATACTTTCTTCGGAAACCGGAGGGACAGGCGGCGGATGCTGCAGTGTTTCACTACAGCATCTATCGAGCGCTGACGAGATTTCTGGGCATGGATGGCAACTTCACCGCACCCTGGGACACAAGCGTCAACTTTGTGGATGCCTGGAGCGACATCCTCATCACCAACGATCTCATCAACGCCAACACCGGAAAGTTCGATCCGAGGCATATGATGGGAACAGCCAACCAGGACACATTTCGATGGCCATCCATCAAACAAGGAACGGCCAAGATGCTGTTAGGGCAGTTCATCACCTCCTTGCACCTGCCCGGGATCCCAGTTCTGCTCTGGGGCGAAGAGCAAAACTTGTACCTTCTCGACAGCACCAGCCCCCTTGGCACATTTGGGCGGCAACCAATGACTTCATCACCCTCCTGGCAAGCCCAAGGATGCTATGGGCTGGGCTCCAGCCTTTTCAATGACTTTCCCGTTGAAACTGCGTTGACCGGATGCCATGACCATCAAGTGGGCCTGGACCATCGGGATCCCACCCATCCAGTACACAACATCATTAAATCGTTGTACTATCTGCGTGAAAAATATCCCACTCTCCAAGATGGCTTCTATCTACAAAGTCTGTCCAAATCCACCCGCAATGTTACGCTTCCAGGGTCTAACGGCACGGCGACGGAGCTTGGACTGTGGGGTGTTGTTCGCGATCAATATCTCGGTGTGAATGACCTCGACCCGACCAACACAACCGCAGTGTGGCTTATCTATCATAACGAAGACACGTCGATTGCATACGGGCTAGACTGCACCTCACCTTTCACCAGCTTCTTAGCACCGTTCAAGGGGGGCACCAGAGTCAAGAATCTGCTGGCCCCTTACGACGAAATTGTTTTGCAATCTAGTCGGGTTCAATTAGGAATACATGACTCACAAGAGCTCAACGGTTGTCTCGGTCCAAGCACTTTCCAACCTTTTGATTTTCGAGCCTATGTTCCAATAGCGCAATGGATCCCTCCTCCGGTGGTGATGACCAAGTTTGTCCCCGGGCACGATGCTCGACTCGAGTCCAACACTCACTTCGGCGAAGGGCAAAGCGTAGAGATTGAGCTACAATTTTCAGAAAGGTTAGATTGTGATATAGTCACGAATAGCCTCACCATAGCATCTACGACCCACGGTCAGACAATTCCGAAAGTCAACCGCGAAAGTGTATCCTGCCAGATGGTTCAACCGGAGCCTTTGGAACATGCCGGCCAGATTCCCTCCACATGGTCCTGGAGAGCTACTTTGGATAATGTCACCCATGGGATCCATAGCTTGAAGCTCGAAAATGCTTCTACCGCCACAAACTCCAGATTCACCAACTCGGCTGACCGGTTGATGTTTCGCATCGGACGCAAAGACAACCCCATGGTATTCCCAACACTAGCAAACTATACCCAGACCGGCCTCACCAAATTCACCGACCAAGAAGGCTTCCTCGTGGAGCACAAAGCTCCTGGCGCTGATAAGTGGCGCTACTCAACCAACTGGGGCAGCTCGTGGAGCCCCTGGAACATCTACGATGGAATCCCAAGCCACATAACCAATCTGCCATGGTCCGGCACCAAACGACAACAGTGGGAGGGTGATCATGTCATTTTGCAGTACTGGAGCCAAGTGGCCGGAAGTAGTCAGCACATCCAACACATGGACTCGTGGGAAGCAGAAACGTCCCCGCGGCGATTCCCTCACTTGTTTGCCTTTGGAGATTTTAATCGCTATGGCAACGATATCGGACTGAAAGATTCCTTTTCTCTTGATGGACAGAAGGGTGCATGGACATTTCACTTGTCGGACGAGTGGCCGTCTCAATTCCAAGTGAACGTGTGGGGAATCAATCCAGACCAGGAGCTTGATCGTACCTTCGTCCTCGGCGATACCTTGAACAGCAGTCGGCTGAATCGATTACAACCGGACTCGCTCTCCGTGGCGGACAATGTGGTGAACTTTTCCCACTTCCCACCCGCGCCTTACATGGCGTACCGAATGGAATTGAACGACGGGACGTTGCGGTTCGAGCTTGTTCCAACCGGTCTGCGCCTTCACCAACAGGTCATGTACATCTTGTTATGGATAATCCCCGTCTTCACGGCCGTCCTCAGCGTCTGGATCTACATGGGCGCATTTTACCATATCACGTTCAACCGAACGGGGGTTTGGACTCGACTCCCATTTCACCTTCTGCCCGCCTTCCTCCGCCCTCATCGAGGCTTCACGAAGCTGGGCGACGATATACATAACGGGGAGCCTGGGGTGGAGATGACCAGTACAAAAGCGATCGGAGTTCTCCCGGTGGCCGCCGCCTCGTTGCCGCGGCCAAAACGAACGGTCTTGCTGGCTACTCTGGAGTATGACATTGAGGATTGGAACATCAAAATCAAGATCGGTGGACTCGGCGTGATGGCGCAACTCATGGGGAAGAACCTTCCCCACCACGACCTCGTATGGGTGGTTCCCTGCGTCGGCGGAATCGACTATCCACTTGACACCTCTGCCGAGCCCATGTCCATCGCCATCGCCGGCGACATCTATGAAGTCCAGGTGCAATACCACAAGCTACGCAACATTACCTATGTCCTTCTCGACGCCCCCATTTTTCGCCAGCAGACCAAATCAGAGCCCTATCCACCGCGCATGGATGATCTCCACAGCGCAATATACTATAGTGCGTGGAATAGTTGTATTGCGGAGACGGTGAAACGCTTCCCTATCGACATCTACCACATCAACGATTACCACGGGGCCGCAGCACCGCTGTACCTACTTCCCCGCACATTGCCTTGTTGTTTATCGCTACACAATGCCGAGTTTCAGGGTCTATGGCCGTTGCGCGATCAGAAGGAGCTCGACGAGATTAGTGAGGTCTTCAATCTAGACATTGCGGTCATCCGGAAATATGTGCAGTTTGGCGAAGTCTTCAACCTGCTTCATGCAGGAGCGAGCTATCTCCGCGTACACCAACGGGGCTTTGGTGCCGTTGGCGTGTCCAACAAATATGGCGATCGCTCTTACGCAAGGTATCCGATCTTTTGGGGCCTCAAGGAAATCGGCAAGCTTCCTAACCCCGACCCGTCCGATACTGAACCCTGGGATCCCGAGGCCGAAACTCATCAGGTCATCCAGGTGGATCAGGAATATGAGAAATCTCGCGGCAAGGACCGTTGTCAAGCACAGAAGTGGGCAGGGCTAGTAATCGACCCAACGGCCGAACTGTTCGTCTTTGTCGGTCGCTGGTCGGTTCAAAAGGGCGTTGATCTCATCGCAGACGTCTTCCCTGCGATTCTGGACAAGCACTCGAATGTACAGCTGATCTGTGTTGGGCCCGTCATTGATATGTACGGTAAATTCGCCGCCCTCAAGCTACAAGAGATGATGACGCTCTACCCCGGACGGGTTTTCTCAAAGCCCGAGTTCACTGCATTGCCACCTTTCATCTTCACGGGCGCCGAATTTGCCTTAATCCCATCCCGCGATGAGCCATTCGGGCTTGTGGCGGTGGAATTCGGTCGGAAGGGGGCCCTCGGGGTCGGGGCGTTGGTCGGTGGACTCGGCCAGATGCCAGGCTGGTGGTTCCCCGTCGAGTCAATGACAGTGAGGCATCTCCAGAAGCAGTTCAAATCGACAATTGAAAGTGCAATCGGATCAAAACAAATGGACCGTGCCATGATGCGCGCCAACTCGGCCAAGCAACGCTTCCCAGTGGCCCGATGGGTAGAGGATCTCGATCATTTACAAGCACAGTCCATCCGCGTACACGAGCAGCACAGCGACCCTTTTCGGTGGAAGCCTCGTGTTTCCTCACGATCGCGCGGTGGTCGACATTCACGCAACGTCAGCCAAGTATCACTGGTCATGATGCGAACCCCGAGTCCGCACATAGATGGAGCGAATCCGATCTCTACCTCCTCGGCAGCTGACACTCGGGATGAAGGTCTCCATCGCTCCCTCTCGCTAGGGGTCCGATCGGGACCGGGGCATCAGCCCAGACGGACCGTTTTACACGAGGGTACAGCGCTCACTCCCCGACTAGAAGAAATTGCCGATCTAGATGAGCAGCCCATATCAGCCGAAGAGGCCGAGGCTATTGTCAACCGAGAATATGACTCCTACGATGTGGAAGAGGGACAACGCGGCCGTTCGCTTTCGGGGACTTCATTAAACTCGGTTGGGTTACCAGGTCTAGGGATACATGACGCAATATCGCCAGCACGGAGAGGCAGATCACTAAGGAGGTCGTCTGTGTTAAGCCTGGATCAGATCAGAGGAACACGCCAGAGTTTCTCGTTGGAAAATGCGGATCCCACGTTCAAGGACGAAACCGGTAAATACTCACGCTCTTTCCAAGGTATGCTGCAGCGATTGAATGGTAAGAACTCGGAGAATGATCTCTGTATTGAGAATTTCATCGTGCACAGCGAGAAGGAATGGTCCGACAATCTGCGTCAAGTCAAGCTCGGCCGCGGACCCTCTCGCAGCCCGTCGCCCTTTGTCGGATCTCACAGTTCACTGTCGGTGAATGAAGCCTTTGATGAGATCGACGACGATGGGTCGGCCTGGGAGGACCTGTCGATGCAGGGATTGTTGCGGCCCCAAAGCTTCCAACGACCAGCGGCGATCCAACGCTGGATGTTGACCCGCATATTTGATTGGCCAGTCTACTCAATTTTGCTCGCCTTGGGTCAGATCATGGCCGCCAATTCGTCTCAGATCACACTCCTCACTTCTGTATCAGCGCGCAACCCCACTGCTCTATACGTGCTGGGAAGCTTGTATATTGTCACCACCTGTGGCTGGTGGCTTGCATTCCGGCGCTTCTCGTCGGTTTATTTACTTTCGCTACCCTTCGTGCTTTACGGTCTTGCATTTCTCACTGTTGGTATTGCAGCATTTATTGCCCGCGCTACAAGTCGAGCCTGGGTATACCATGTTGCCACCGCATTCTATATTACAGGCTCTTCCAGTGGTTATCTGTTCTTTTCGCTCAATTTTGGCGACGACGGTATGTGTCTGACATTGCTTGATGGGGTAATCATCCTCTAACCTTCTCGGCAGGGGGTTCAAAGATTGAATCTTGGGTGTATCGAGCATGCATTATTCAGGGCACACAGAATATATATGTCGCCGTGCTCTTTTTCTGGGGCACGGAGATGAGCCCCCAAACTGGCAATGGGCCATTTGGATCTCCGGGCATTACGGCAGCGATAACCATGCCTATAGGTGCTGTACTATTTGTCATCGCCGGGGTTCTTTTTGCCGGTCTGCCCAGCTACTATCGCCAAACACCAGGAAAGATCCCGGCTTTCTACAAGAGCATCCTCCGACGCAAGATTATCATCTGGTTTTCAGTATCAGTGGTGCTGCAAAACTATTTCCTCAGTATGCCCTACGAACGTAGCTGGGCATACCTTTGGGGATCCAAATATGCGCCTCGTTGGATGGTGCTATTACTTGCTCTGGCCTTTTTCATTGGGATCTGGTACGCGCTCCTCGCAGTACTAGCCTGGAGATCGAAGACCCATTCCTGGATCCTAGCTATCTTTGCTATCGGGCTCGGTGCCCCAAGATGGGCACAGATGCTGTGGGGCACGTCTGGTATCGGATGGTGGGTGCCGTGGATTGTGGGCGGTCCCCGTGGTAGTGCCCTGGGCGGCCGAGTCGTCTGGCTCTGGCTGGGCGTTTTGGATTCCATCCAGGGCGTAGGGTTTGGTATGATCCTACTGCAGACACTCACCCGGATTCATATCGCGGCGTCGTTGTGCGCTGCACAGTTGATCGGCACAGTGACGACCTTGGTTGCTCGCGCCACCGCTCCAGATCGTGATGGACCGGGTGATGTTTTTCCTGATTTTTCGGCCGGTATCATCGATGGAATCTCAAAGCCATGGTTTTGGATTGGATTGAGTTGCCAGCTGGCAATCCCCATTGGCTTTTTCATGTTCTTCCGCAATGAGCAGCTGACCAAGCCGTGATTCAGCGACGATCTGGAGTCTTGTCGGTAATTGATCTCAACCTGGTTTTATAACTGTTTGTTCTTTGTTGTTTAGGGCATAGAGGGCTTCATTTACCACGTTTTCTGTTCCATCCTCAGAGTGAGAGAACAGCAAATTTTAGGGAACAATCGGAAAATTGAGCTGCCATGCTTTCCTTCTTGACTTTTCTGGGACGATTTTCTCGATTTGAAATTATGTATGCTAGGACCATGTATTCCGACGAATAATTATGATTTTCGAGAAGTAGAGCCAAACAATCAACCCTCGAGTGTCAAACTGCTACCTAGAAGGAAGCTAAGGTGGATGTGGCAAGAGCATCGAACATTCATCTCTGCGGACGGAACAAGCACCGTATGGAGTAGGCACTCATGACCCCGGATTTAGTGGGAATGGCTATCATGGTATGTACAAGTATGCTTCACGGCACACTCAAGCCTGCAATATCTCCATTCTGCACCGGATCGATCAGCTGCTACGCCGACCATATGGCTCAAATGGCAACGCTGCGGCCACGATCGCCATCACAATATAGAGTGCGGCGCAAATAAAAATTGGAACCGGTGTTTTTGTCTGCCCCTTGAATTAGTTATCTTCCCGGAGCGGGGAACAGATGCAACCAAGGACTATTATACTCACATTCGCGGCATTTCCCACCACGGCACTGACAATTCCCATGATTCGATTCAGGCCGATGGCCACTCCATTACCCGTTCCGCGATGGGCCGAGGGAAATACCTATGTCGTAATTTGTATCAGCCGAGTGAAGAGACACCACATGGAGAGATGGGAAAATCCAGGTAAACCATACCTCGGGTGTATAAGCATAAAGCGTGCCATAGTAGATATTCAGGCAGAAGGAGATAGCGCATGTAAATCCCAAGTTCTGGCTCGCCGTGCGCACTTGTGTATAACAAAAAAAGAATACCATAGTGATCAAGGCGCCAATGACCATGGTTCCCCGTCGACCCCAGAACCAGCGAGAGCGGCACATGAAACCGGCCAGGATGGGGCCAGGAACTGAACATGTGTTATTAATGGCGTAGTTGCGCCAGGTGATATATGGACTGGATTCGCCGAAGCTGGCCCCTCGCGACTCCAGGTATGTGGGCAGGAAGACATTGTACAGTGGATATGCCAGGCCGATCAGGAGCCACGAGAACCACACCAGCGTCGTCGACCAGCCCATTTTCCGCGTGGCAAACAGTCCCTGCAAATGGGACCCGATGTCCTTGGTCGGGATGAAGCGCTGCAAGAGGCCGGCCGTGGTGACCCGGGCCCGTGTCGTCCCGCAAGCTCGCAACTGCGCGAGTGTAAGACTGCAGGGCCGTTTGTATTTAGTCGCGATGTTCTGCAGGACGCGGACCGCAGCTTCATCTTTGCCCTCGGCCAGGAGAAACTTGGGGGTTTCCTCCAGTCGGATGATGGTGACTCGCAGGATGGAGAGCACGAACACAAACGCCCCGGAGGTGTACCACATGTAACGCCACCCCTGGTTGTTTGCCCGGGTGCAGTTGTCAGCATCTGCGCACGAATAATTTGGGATGAAGCCCCAGGCAAAGAGACCGGCGATCAGCTGGCCCAAACCTAGGAGAAACGAAAAAAAAAGAGGGTTAGTCCGTAATGCCACCGATAGAATCAAAGGAAGGCTGCAGCCAACGTGTCTTACCCCACCAGGCGGCCATAAGCGTCAGGAGCCATTGGTCTCTACTCGGCAAGTACTCGAGAAAGACGGTGGTATCGAGCACTAAGTTCCCTCCCGCTCCGAACGCACTCAGGCAGACAAACAGGCCTAGGGTGACCCAGGAAGGGGATGCTCCCGCCACCACGGTGAAAATGGAGGAGATGAACAGGGACACATTAAAGGCGAAGCGGCGTCCGACAATGTCGGCGGAAAACCCCCAGAAGATGGCGCCCACGAGCATGCCCACATAGACGGCAATGGTCAGACCAGTCGAATAACCCGGTTGGAACTCCAGTTGAGCTTGACCGGAGATGATGGACTGGATCAGGAGGATCAAGGAGTCGACGGCGTATCCAAAGCCATTGAGGCAAAAGAGCTTCCAATGATGGGGTGTGAATCCGATCTCATCGATGGTCTAGCGGCGCCATAGTTCACCAAGTTAACTCCATTCGCACCGATTTTGCCTGTCGCAAAAAGTGGACCAGCCCGCAGACACGACTCACATCATTGATCAAAATCATCTTGGCCGTCAGGACCTCGTCGACATGCTCTCCTCCCAGCAGGTCATTTTCTCCATGGCCGATGGATCGGTCCTCGGCAAGAGGGTCGTCGTGCTTCTTGCTCTGCTCGGCAGCCCCCGCGGCGGCAAACTTGCCAGCGGACTGTTCGACATCCATTTGTAGCTCTGAAACCCGAGTTCTTGCGGTCGTCTGGTGTTATGGACGTCTCGTTGTCTCTCAGTCGGCCTTCACGGCCATCACGAGCCGAGTGGTGAAGGGAGCTGTGTTGGAACGAAGAATGCAGGAGCGCACGCGAAGAACACTAGTGGGGGGACCAGGGGGGTAGCTTGTTCGATCCCATTTATGCCGCCAGGAAGCTCTGAGTGAACAGCGGGGTGCTTTTTTTTTTTGGGTCTAGTTGCCATCCTCCGATTCGTCGCATTCACAAGATGCCCTTGATTGCCCTCAGCTTTTGGCGCGGCAAGCCTCCGGAAGAAAAATAAAGGAGAGTCACGACGAATGAGGCTAGAGTGACTGTGACGGGACAGGCGCAGAGTCCTCCCAACGAGACAGATTCCCCCACGCGACATGCTGGTTGGCTGTGGATGAGAATCGTGGCCGGGAAAGATGTGGACCAGGTGGAGGAAGGTGGGGGGAAGAATGCACCAACCAACCAGCAGTCGCTTACGCGGGAAAGCCCGCGAGGGCGTCCATCCTGGGCTAGCCGAAACCGGACTAGGCGCTACCGACGGGCCTAACCGTAGTAGGGATGTATCGGCCCTCGTGGGCGAGCGAGGCCAAAGCAAAGACGGGCACAGGCAAAGACGAACAGATAAGCGGCGGCCCAGTCGCATTTATCCTCGTCTCGTTACGGAGTATATCACACGACGAACCCAACCAGCCGTGGGTAGCTGCCCTGCACATCAGATGCAGATAACGGACTTCCTCATCCTGGATCCCCAGCATTGGCTCGAGATATAGCACCAACATCCCTTATCTAGAGGGATTTGGCTTTCCATGGCATTGATAATGGGCCCCGGGCAAGACGGGGGAGATACTTGAATCTTCATTTCGAATCCATGTCAGCCAACGATTGCGGTTGTTCGTGCACCGGGTCAACCAAGCGTACCGCCAGTCACCTCTCTCGGCTAACTAGTTCGCTTGTATGTTCGTTAATAATCGGTTTTTGACTGACTGTATCGGTACACCCATAGATCGCCATAAGGTAGGATGGATGGTCTGGTCAGCCAGGATGCGATCATCACTGTGAAGACCAATCATTGTCGACGAGGTATAATCAGAAACAGAGAGGCCAGGTCGCAGGAGCGGCCATCAGATATATTGCATCTTGACATGAATTAGGATAGGTTATGTAGCTGAGCCGGGCGGATGTTCTACCGGGAACTGTAATCGAAAACAAATAAAAAAATGACTTGTATGATTTTGACATGAGCCTTAGGTACTTGATCGACGGTCCCAGAGAGTGGAACCCCAGTCCCATACTATGGTACCAAGCTTGGAGGGCAGCGTGCGCACCCATGGCTACTGCAATTATTGAGTGCTCAAGGGGTCAAGTATTAGACCCAGGTCACCTGCATGAAATGCGGGGTATATATTCTGTACTCAATCGGAACTCCTATGGGGGACACTCTCTCCAGACGAGATGCAAGGTCTTCCACAAAGATGCTTGCTACCAACTGTGTTACAAGGTAATTTGTTTGCCATAGCACCGATGCCGCCGATAGCCTCAGTCTCAGTCACCACCCAAAAGGCCTCATGAGCATCATTTTGCGTGGCACATGATGCTGGGTGAGCCAAACTGTATGTCCTCCAAAAATTCATCACAGAGGTCGTGCCTGAAAGTCGTCGGCGCATGATCGAGATCTGACATCGAGTCAGTTCTACTCGATTACAAGCAATAGCTAATCGATCGCGCAACGGCTTGGATGCCCCAAAATGGTGTTTCCATAAATCTGTAGACCTGGCTTTTGCCAGCAACTATGACTGAACGGGGCACGGAAACAAACCTCTTGACTGTCTGTTCATCCCAGGTGCTTGCGCACACAACGGCAGTGATGCTCATGAAGATTGGTCCCCTGCAGGCCAAGCATAGAGATCAGAGCGGACCTACCGCGGCTACAACTTCGATCCAATTTGCAAGGTCAGCCGGGCGGGATGATTCCAACCGATAGAATAGGGAAAATATAAGCCCCGGAGTTGTGAGGGTTGCCCTCCACCAGAGAAAGATAAACCCCACCCGACGTGCCATGTGCATTGCTGGCCGCGCATGGTGACAATTGCAAGGACGGATAGAATGAGTCCACGGAAGAAACGGCAGTTGGTCCGGTGTCGCTCATCAGCAACACGGCCCAGTAGACCATCTTCCCCGGCTCGACCAAAAGCGGCCCAAAGGAGTGCGAGATTCACGTTGCTCGGAATGCACGGCCTACGCACGATTTTCTTATTTCATCAGCAGCGTCTCCATTGGGTATTTCTTATTTCATCGTCGAGGGAACCCTAAATGAGTAATATGGGAAGCATGGGCAAGGTATAAAGACGTCGGTATCCGTAGGCTTTCAGGCAGCAGAGCATCAGCCACCTTGCGGCGCGGCTCGGCGCGTCGCACCGGTCGCGATGAGCGTGGGGTGACAGCCAACTTCCAACCTGTCCTCCTCAACCCACCGGAGAGTTCCGGGGGTTGCTATTGTTCTCCAAACTCCCACTCTCAAATGTCTCCCGGATGGCCTCGAGGGCAGGTCCCGAAGAACAGTCCAGTCCGCTCCCGATGACTGCAGGCCTCGACCGCGTGATGACGACATGGAGGGGATGATCTCGTATTTATGCACTCTTGAGTCTTCCACTTGCTGTATTTTGCGGACGTCAATTCACATATCCCCAGCCCGCTACAAATTACATTATTTTCCAAATCGCCGCTGGACACAACATGCGCGTTGCGATCGCCGGGGGAACCAGCCCTACCTTGGGTGCTTCTATTGTGTCGGCGTTGCTTTCGACTGACGGGCGCTACACCCCAGTTGTTCTGTCTCGCGAGGGCAAGATCCATTCCTTCCCACCAGGATCTTTACTACATGACGTTGAGATTCGATATGTCAACTACCACTCACAGCCTTCTCTGGTGGAGACATTGCGCGACGTAGAAGTCGTCCTCAGCGTCTTACTGATCCCAGGCTCAGACTGGGTGACCGCTCAGGTTAATTTGCTTCACGCTGCCGAGGAGGCAGGGTGTCGGCGATTTGCACCCTCCGAGTATGCTCTCAGTTCTCAGGCCCAGGCAATGGTGGACTTGCTGGACGCGAAGAATACAGTTTGGCAGGCGGTCCAAGACTCCGTGGACCGGGGAAAGATCGATGCTGCCAGATTTCCGTGCGGTATGTTCATGAACTATCTGGGAATTGGCTGTCCCGATGAGGGAGCCCGAGCGGAGGCTCTCTCGGGCTTCCAGGAAGGGCCCGTCCTCGTCCACCTGGAGGATCCCTCATCGTCCTGGGTTGAAGTGCCTTTGCGCGCGGATGGTACGGTACCGAGCTTGACGATGACAGAGCTCCGGGATGTGGGTAAATTCATTGTTGCCGCCTTAGATCTCCAAGCCCCTTGGGCGGGCCGAGAATTGGGGATGGCGGGCGACACTCTGAGCTTTACGACCCTCATCGCTCTTTGCCAGCGCTTCACTGGACGGTCGGTGGAAGCCCGCACCGTCACCGAGCCGCAACTCCAAGCCCGATTGGAGACAATACCATCGAGCCAATTCATCGAGCGCATGGAGTGTCAGTTGACTATCGTTTGTTGTCGAGATGGATCAGTGGTAAACCCGGCGCTTAACCGCCTGTCGTCCGTGCGACCGACAACTGTCGAACAGTTTATGCAACGTTATTGGGGATCTCACAATCGGAAATAAGAGGCCCCCCTTGTGGCCCATCATCGAGGATAGCACAGATATGTTATGAATTATGTTATCGATCATGTTATCAATCACGCCTCTTAGCAAGATCTTTCAACATGGTACAACTCTCTGAGAATGGCATTCACACAGCCTGGCAGAAATCTCTCATGTTATCGGTTCCTCTACATCTGCAGCCTAGTGGAGACGGACAGACGGCAACCAAATCGTTACTAACTGCCTCAACCTGATCTTCCGGCCTGTCATTTATACTGATTCACAAAACGTAGCAGGGCTTGATTCACCTCCGCAGGGTGCGAACAGTTCAAGAAATGGGCTCCTCCATCGACCGTCACCAGATCTGCAGACGGTGCATGTGTGAAAAGCTGGATTTCTTCCATCGCGTTCGCCACGGAGTATACGGCATCTTTTGTGCCCTGTCGATCATCAGCATGCCCTTGAGAAGAAAATTGAATCAAGACTTACGTGCAACCACAATACCGGGCACTGGACATCAGGGAGACGAAGATGCAGCGCCCCGCGTTCTGCTAAATTGATAGCCGCCATGCGAATCCGTCGACGGCCTTCGTCTCCCTGGTAATTCGATTTGATCGTCTGACGCCAGAAATCGCGTACTTCAGGCGACACTTGGTTGAACCCAATATCGATGAGTGCGTCGCAGTATACATCATCCGGCTCAAAGTGTGGCGTGGCCAAACTGCTTGCCCACTGTTTGACAAATCCTGATATAATTGTCGGGCCATCCCAGCAGTGCAACTGGCGACTTCGCTCGGATTCAGCGTCCATGGAAGTTCCCATCGGAATAATACCCATAATCTGGAAAGAAACCAATTCAGCCGTCGCTCGAATTCACCTTGCAATCAAAGATATCTGGCTACCTTTTCAGGCCCCAGCAAGGCCATCAGCACAGTGACCCAACCACCCTGGCTAGTTCCCAGGACGAATGCACGGTCAACCTGGAGAGCATCCAAGACCTGCAGGTTCATTTTGGCCGTGTCCCAGTAAGTCCAATGTTCGTGCGCCGTTCGCGTCTGTCCGTGGCCCAGAAGCTCAATAGCGATCAGATTCATGTTTTTAGCCAATTCTGGGTCATCAAACTGGTCGCGATACAGCTCAGAGGATGTGGTAAAGGCATGTACCAACACCACCGTTGGCTTCGAAGGATTATATTCCTGGGGCATTTGGTACGCCGCATCGATTCCTCCCAGAAGGGGCACGCAAACAGTCTTTGTATTCGCCATAGCGCTATAGATCTCAATATCCCGTACACCCTATGACTTTGTTCCAGTGCCTTGGGTTTTCGTTCCTAGTCGTCCCCATTGAGTGCGAAGGCTCAGCTATTTATGAACCCCTCCAAGTTCCTTTGGGGCTCTCCCCTACACCAAGGTTGAGTGGGGAAACCGGGATTTGTGGAGCGGGGCAAACCCCAAGTATCGACGCAGCGGGCCGAGTTCAATAGGAAAGAGATCATCGGAGCATTCGGGGTCGATGTCCATTATGACTATAGCTTCGACTCTCTTTGGCAGTCAACCTGACGTGTCACTCTCAGATCCCTTCCGCCAGCCCCACTATGGGCCCCGTAACATCGTCCTTTTCCGCCTAGCAGATAAAAATATACCCCACCGACCAAATCCCAGCCGATCGTCACCGCGACATTCACCGTGACATGCCCACCATGGCCAAGGGCACATTTTGGCAAGGCTTGGGACACTGTTCGTCCAAGTGACAGGCCGCATTGTATCTATAACGTGATTCTCAAGAAAGGAAGAAGGGATAGACGGTGCTCAACAATCCCACCAGCCACGCAACTCTGCCATTACTCCAACCCACTAGTATTCGAGAACTGTGAGTACATAGGCAAGGGGGCGGGAAGAGAGCGTGAATTACCTCCAGCCGTCGGATAAATGGACGCAATTTCACTCAGCGATAGTACAATGAAGAGGTACGGATCAAGGCAATTTTGCTGGAATGCCGGGTCGGTCAATCTCGTCAAGCCAAGAATGAGTCGTAGCTCCACTACTCACTAGTTATAGAACAGACAGGGCGCGCCGCCATTGGTGAAGATCGTGGCCACGACCGAAGACAGGGCCTCCCAAGCGGCCATCAAGAAAATTTAGAACAAAGTGAGCACGCTCGACGTAGCTCTTGCACATGACCCAAGGCGGCCAGCTGCCCTTCATCGCTGATGGGTTTCTCAGGAGCCGCCCCGTTGCTCTCTGGCTCGGGTAAGGAAAGTCATTGGTACTCACAGCACAATTTATAGTTAGCGTGGGAAATACTTCTGGTTCCAACAAGAAAGAAAACGAGGCACCGATGCCTCGACCATCCAGCGACTCGAGGAGGGGCTTGCGCTTTGTTTTTTATAAGGACCCGATGACGAGTCTGGGGACGAGATAGGTATGCATGCCAGGGTCAACCAGTTCCGGCGACCTAAGTGTCGCGCTTCGAGATGCCGTTCTTACTGTCATCGGCAATCATTATGCCAATCATTATGCCTGATTGGCTTGCAACCCGAGGTTGACAGGAACACGGGCATGTTGTTTTCTCCACACTTTACCTTTCCCCGCATTTTCCCAGATATGTTCGCGGAATGTCCTCGCTATTTTTTCCAGGCCATTCTGCATTTCTATTGTGTCATTGGCCATGGTAGTTGGTTCATGAGGGTAAGATTTAGACCTAAGCATTGGGGCGAAGACCCCGCTAGTCCGTTGAGAGTTCATTCCTGGATATTAGGGAGCCATTCTGACGTGGGGAGGCTAGGGGAGTGCCTGCTGCTGGCCGCCAAGTACTCTGCTTAGGACCGCCCGCCGATGATGGATATGCTGCCTAGAAAATACAGCATCCCACTGGCCACATTGGATAGCGCTAGCAGAATAATCGCCGAGCCTTTCGGATTCTGAAACGCCATTCACGCCAAGTCTCGGTTTCACGGTCTCCGTGTGGGTCCGTCTTGCTGCTCCCAAGCTAACACTCGGAATGAGAACGGAACGTCCCGAGCAGAGGATCACGTCTCGCGGCAGAAAAGCAAGACCATCCGACATAGTACTTAAAGGCTCCCCTCACATCCCTTCACGTCTACTGGTAAGATTAGATATCACCATGATGCATCCGCTCACCATTCTTTCTGAGGCGGAGACCAACTTGGCCCGTGACATCGTTAAGGCGGCGCACCCTAGTTCCGTGATTGACTTCCGAGAGATCTTTTTGCAGGAGCCGCCCAAGGCCCAGCTGGTGGAGTTTCTAGCCCTTGAACATGCGGGCCGCTTGAGCCCAACTACTCCCCACCCACCTCGCCTAGCTCTCTGCCAATACGATGTTATTGGGGCCGACCGCATCCCCCAGTTTTATGAGTCGGTCGTCGACGTGGTGTCCCGGACCCGGGTAAAACACACCGTGGTGGGCAAAAGACACCATGCCAGTTTGACTTTGTAGGAAGATCAATGATGTTCATCGCTGAAATGGTCACGCTAATCCACGCGCAGGAGCGAATTCGATGTATTAGTTGATCGGTGCATGAACTCACCCTTGTTCCAGTCTGCGCTTGCCGAGTTCAAGTTGCCAGAGGGATTCGAAGTCGTGATTGAGCCATGGCCATATGGTGGTCTTGACGATACCGATGAGAACCGGCGGTATTTTCAAGGTCTTTGCTTTGCACAGGATAAACGATCGGGTAATCCGGACTCGAACTTTTACTCCTTCCCTCTCCCCGTCATTCCTGTGCTCGACGCACACACGCAAGAGATCATCCGGGTTGATAGACCTGCGACAGGAGGCAAGGGTGATGGTTTGCGGGAGCAAACCTTCCAGAAAGATATTATTGGACACTGCAGGCCCTCGGAGTACGTCCCCGAGCTTCTACCAGAAGGGACTCGCAAGGATCTGAAGCCATTGAATGTGGTGCAGCCCGAGGGACCATCGTTCCGCGTGACAAACGAATCTCTGGTAGAGTGGCAGAAGTGGCGGCTCCGTGTCGCGTTCAATCCTCGCGAAGGTGCCACGGTCCATGATGTCTGGTATGATGGTCGCAGTGTTATCCATCGACTGGCTATCAGTGAAATGGTATGTTCCGGGCCTGCTCTACAATCCATAGATTCCACCTGATAAACAAAACTAACGTCTTCATTTTTTTTCTACTTTCTAGACTGTCCCATATGCCGACCCGCGACCACCATTCCATCGCAAGCAGGCTTTTGATTTCGGCGACGGTGGTGGTGGGAACATGGCCAACAACCTCTCCTTAGGCTGTGACTGTCTGGGAGTCATCAAATACTTTGATGCAGTGATTACTCAAGCAGATGGTACAGCCCAAACCTTGCCTAATGCCATCTGCCTTCATGAGCAGGATAATGGCATTGGATGGAAGCACTCCAACTGGCGTACAGGCCGGGCTGTGGTCACTCGTCACCGAGAGCTTGTCATCCAGTTCATCATTACCCTGGCCAATTACGAGTACATCTTTGCCTACAAATTTGATCAGTCCGGCGGTATCACGGTGGAGGCACGGGCGACCGGTATCCTTAATGTTGTCAATATCGATGCTGGCAAGGTTAGCGACTACGGCAACGTTGTGAGTGGCGGTGTCCTAGCGCAAAATCACCAGCATATCTTTTGTGTGCGCATCGATCCGGCCGTTGATGGGCCTAATAATTCGGTTATTGTCGAAGAGTCTCACTCGGTCCCAATGAATGCCGTGACCAATCCGCATGGTAACTTTTACCAGGTCACCAAGCAGACCATCGAGCGGGCATCCTACCTTGACGCGGCTCCAGAGCATAACCGCACTATCAAGATGATCAATCCTCACAAGACCAACCCTGTCAGCGGTAACCCTGTTGGCTATAAGTTCACTCCCTTGGCAACGCAGTTGCTACTAGCCGATCCGGAGTCGGTGCAGGCCAGGCGCGCTCAGTTCGCTCAACATCATGTTTGGGTGACCAAGCACCGTGATGGGGAGCTCTACGCGGGTGGACGCTATACCCTTCAAAGTCAGTTTGAGGTCGATGGTGTGGCGGATGCCGTTCGTCGCGGCGATGCGGTCGCGGACACAGACGTGGTTGTTTGGAATTCCTTTGGCATCACACACAATCCTCGGGTGGAAGATTGGCCAGTTATGCCGGTGGAGATTTTCCAGCTCATGATTCGACCGGCAGACTTCTTCGTGGCCAATCCGTCGATCGATGTCCCGTCGAGCAAGAATGGATCGTCGCGGCTGGCTGATTCAGAGTGCTGCCGAAAATCACACATCTAGATTGGTTTCATCAGGGAAGGAGGACATCGCAAGGCAAGTGTATCATAAAACTGCACATTCAGTCGAACGCATAGTTGATCTCAACAATCTGCACACTATACAACTGCAGCAAGTCTACAAGTCCGTAGTCATGTACGCCACGAAAACCCCTACCCACCTCGATATTGTAACTGTATCCATCTCCACTCCACCTCCGGCCAAGGCCTGAATTTCTGGTGGTTAAATTTTGGCCCTTATGCAGACGCGTACTTGACATGTGGAGTAGGCACGGGGATGTCTCCACCAGAAAAGGACAATTAGCGGGTCCCCAAGGCTTTGGATGCGTTTCAGGCTGAAAATGAGGCGCTGACACGGGTGATGGCAGGTCTTCTGTAAAAATGGTCCGTTACGAAAGATGCACGAAAATGAGGGATAATCGAGACCGAACAATAGGATTCAACCATTCCAATCTCACGAACCACCCTCTTTGTCTAGCCACGTCATCCTAGCAGCCGAGTGAAGAAACTCCCCGCGCCACTCAAGCTATACGTAAACCTGTACACAACACCTACGTGGTGGGGCACCGGCCTGAAGCAAATCCCACCAGTCGGCGTAGTGCGCCTGCCCTGATTTACTTCACACGCTAGTCCTTCCGGCGCAGTTGATCTATTCCGTCCTTACAGGTTGTATCTCGCGTGCTAGTTCACCCCATTCGGCCACTCACGTCTATAGAATGCGCCAAGTTCGGTAAGGTGTTATAGCCGCTTGTTATGAGCCCCATTTCCACGAATGGGTCCCGGACTCCGTGTTTTACCATGATAGATTAATGTCCAGATCAAGATAGGGAATATATAAATATTTATGACCTTCAGTAGAGTTAATTTACTTATACCCACCGGACTCAACATTCGTCTTCATGTTTGCTGCAAAGGTCTTCCCGGGGGTTGTAGCACCAGTGGCCTTTTTCGCAGCTTTGGTTCAGGGATATGCAGACCCCGGTAGCTGCTCGGGTTCTTGCAATGTCCATGATCCGTCGTTAATACAAAGATCATCAGACAGTGTCTATTTCAGGTTCTCCACTGGCAACAAAATCTCCTATGCAAGTGCGTCGTCCATCAAGGGACCATGGACAACGATCGGATCCGTGCTTCCCGATGGCTCCTCTATTGATCTTGATGGGAATGATGACTTGTGGGTAAGACATTCGGCCAGCTGAATTATATTTTTGAGCTCGTTTTCCTGTTATACCTGATGGTTTCCAGGTTAACCAAATTTTCCAATTTCTTTCAAGCAGAGTTGAGCTGACAAGCCACTCGTTCACTTCGGACAGGCCCCAGACGCTCATACCGTGGATAATCTCTACTACGTCTACTATTCTGTTTCAACATTCGGGTCCCAATCCTCCGCGATCGGCCTCGCGACTTCGGAAACCATGGAAGCCGGCTCCGGCTCTTGGACCGATCAGGGTACTACCGGAATATCGTCATCCTCATCTAAGGCTTACAATGCCATTGATGGGAACCTTATCGACGTTGACGGCACTTACTATATGAATTTCGGGTCCTTCTGGCATGACCTATATCAAGCACCAATGAATTCTGCAGCAACCAAAGTCTCCTCGTCATCATACAACATAGCCTACAACTCATCCGGTTCTCATGCAGAGGAGGGCACCTACATGTATAAGTATGGTAACTACTATTATCTTTTCTTCTCGTCGGGCATTTGCTGTGGCTATGATACTTCGAGGCCCGCAACTGGAGAGGAATACAAAATCATGGTCTGTCGGTCCACCTCGCCGACAGGCGGCTTTGTCAGTAAATCTCCAAAATCGTCAGGGGAATCACTTGACTAACGATATAATCTTGCCAGGTTGACGCTGATGGTACGGCCTGCACGAGTGGTGGAGGCACAGTTGTGCTGGCGAGTCACGGGACAGTTTATGGTCCCGGTGGACAGTATGTTTTCAAGTCGTTAAGAGGCTCTATTGATTAACAGTCATCTGACTAGTTATATTTGCACAGGGGAGTCTTTACTGACCCCAGTCTCGGCCCTGTTCTTTATTACCATTATGTTGACACCACAGTTGGCTACGCAGATGGCCAGAAACTATTCGGATGGAATCAGATCGATTTCTCCACCAGATGGCCGGTAGTGTGAACGCCCCCTCCATGTACTGAATGCATGCCGAAAAGAAACTGAAGCCCAAATTCTGTCTATGGACTCTGGAGACGGCCCTCGTCAATCTCATGGCGCTTGACGAATGTATATCCCTCTCTAGACCTAAGTTTGAGGCTTAGTGAGCTTGATGTCCTCCAATAGGAATATATTTATTGCACGCACATCGCCAACATAACCACGGGATATCACACTTAGCGGGCGTTCTTTTCTGGGATACTGAGTAGTGTCAACGTATAGGTTTTGCTTGGTCTGTAGGTCCACTTCAAATGAAGCTCTTTCAATGGGCATGGTCATAGAGAACCAGAAGAAGAGAAAGGATTTTCTAGCCTGCCTCGGACTTCCTTGCCCGGAGTGTTGGAATCGTAGGCGTGTGGTGAATAGCAATGTATGTGGAAGCATGGCTCTGACATTTTGGACCCCATTGCAGGCTCCATGGCTTCTGTCCTGGGCATTTTCATCTGCCTGCTCATGTGGAGCTTCGGGTTGATATGGCTTGCTTTTGCCCTAGCAACGGTGCTGTACAGCTCTCCCTCTCATTTTAGCAATGAGTGGTGTGGATTCACTTTCCCACTGAGGGGTATACGCGGCCAGCACGATGGAGCTGGGGGTGGAACTGGACCTTACATTTTTCAAGGTCTTTGGCACGGTAAGTTCATTTATGCTTCCTCATATCTCCTGTAAACAACCATGTAGCGCGCCCCTAAAGGTTCTGCATACTGCTGTCGCGTGGCTGTGGGCCCAAGTGGCATCTTGCACAGCAGTGGGTGTCTGGCGCGGCAATCTCTCCTCCGCCCCATGTCTTCGAATTTTGGCATTAAAAGAAGAACTTAGCGGTGTGACGGCGCTCATCATCGGGCGTAAGAACAATTCACTCCCAGCTCGAACCCCGTCTCATAACTCAGCCTTTAATTTGCTATTGACCACCAATCCTGTAAACGGTATGCACGATCCCCGGTGCCCCCAGGGATCACCAATCAGTCCGGGTGATCGCAAACGCCTCAGCCGTAGTATCATGGCAATTCCTACCGATCCGCACAACTTCCGGTCATTGGCTACAGCCCAGGTAAACCTCACCCGTCGGAATGCCAAGCCCCCGTCAGACGGTTGGTCACATGTAGTGTCATCGTCGTATCTGGTGACTGCAAGCGAGACTCGGGTCTTGGTCTCGCCCGGGTCGAAAAATGGCAACTTCTCCTTTCCATCAATCTCGATAGAATATTTTGCTCTGCTAGATCTGCCGGTTGAGCATGGTATGTTGAGCTTCAAATGAATGTGCACCTCTTGAAATCTCATTGTAAATGCAGGATTCCACGGAGTACGAGTTTCCATTTTTGCAGGAGGTATATACTCCACGAGAGTCTCATAAAGTCGAGTACGGGCTAGCTCCTTGTCCCTCAACCTGAAGATATTTCAACTATTAATTCGGGCCCTGTTAGCTTTATCTTCGTTCACGGCCTTAATCCTCGAGGTCGAAATGACCACCCATTCGAGACCTGGACACATGCAAATGGGAAGTTCTGGCCAACAGACTTCCTAGCGGAGGATATTCCCTATGCGCGCGTATTTGTTTATGGGTATAATACCAACATCACCAACCCGCAAACCATGTCAACTGCAAGCATCAAGGACCATGCGAACACATTATTAAACTTGTTAGACCTGGAGCGCGGTCCACAATTTGTGAGTTCACACCGCCCCCGTTACCCCGGGATGGGAAGAAGACCTTCTGATTGAATACACTAGCACTCGTTGCCGCCCCGAATCATCTTCATTGGACATAGCTTAGGAGGACTGGTTATCAAACAGGTTTGTTTACATCTCTGCGTGTGCTCTGGAACTTGGCTCACCCGATCCTGCCTTTCCCTGGTAGGCTCTCCTCAATGCAAAGGAAGACCCCAAATACAAATCTATTGCCAACGCCACCTTCGGTCTTGTATTCTTTGGAACTCCTCACCGAGGGGCAAAAGCTGTCGAACTGGGTAAGATTGCTGCCCGTATCGCCCGGTTTGTTTCCAAGGGTAATGCCAGCAATGACCTACTCGATTGTCTGGAGCATAACTCGCTTTTCACCCGACAGATGACAGATCGCTTTCGCCATCAGCTAGAGGACTATCGCGTTGTCAGTTTTATCGAAGGGAAGGAGGTGCTATTGGGAGGTGCTGGTCCAGCCTCAATTAGCCATGTAGGTGACTCCCACGAGTCCCCTGAGGGTGCCAACAAAACAGCAATCAAGTTTTCAAACATCGACTAATCCTAATAGCTGGTGGTTGATGAAGAATCGGCCGTCCTCGGTTTGTCTGGTCTCCGCGAGACCCAGTTAAAGCTCGATGCAGATCACTCACAAATGTGCAAAGTGGGCACTCGAGGTCCGATGTATCGGCTCATCAAAGGCAATATCAAACAACTGGTCGACCAGGCCCTCCTGTCCGAACAGGGCTTCCTTCCACAGCCCTCGCCCCATCCCATAATGGGACGGACAGCGCCTCCGCTTCCTCCGCGTATGCACTCGAACAGTAGCACACCCTATCCGCCTCCAGGACAACCTCCTCCAACTACTCCGAGGGTGATCGGGGCTCTCTATACCGCGCTGAATGACGATCCGCGATCCATTCACGCCGCAGAGCTCAAAAATCGAGGGAAGTGGGATGACGCCCGAATTGCCGAATATGAGATTTTCCAGGATCATCTGCGGTCGCCTGGTCCCGACCATGTTAGCACCCTTTCTATGGGATATAATTTGGCCGAAATCGAGCTTGAGTCGAGTTATCTCCAGAAGGCGGGTGAGTGGTGCCAGTGGGTTATGGACAACTCCCGCCGTGTCTTTGGAAATAGCCATGCGCTTCCCTTGAGGTCGGAAAGCCTCATGGCGGAGATTCTGTACCGGAAAGGCAAATATCATGAGTCCGAATCTATCTGCGCCAACGTCCTGGCTCGCCAACAGATGAGTGTTGGTGAAGATCATTTGGACACGTTGGATACTCGACGCCGGTTGGGCCTCGCGTATAACGCACTCAACCGCCGGGAGAGTGCCATCATGACCGCAGAGAAGCTCACGGAGACCCTAAATCGCCTTGTGGGAGACAACCATATCCGTTTCTACTGGGCTCTTCTCGACGCGCTCGAATTTGTGATTTATAACCACGGAGAGGAAACTGCTGCTCTCGTGAGGGTGTTTGAACCCGACGTGCAACAGGCGTTTGAACTGCTGCCACAGGTATACGAGGATCTCCGGGTTGGTCTCGGTGATACTCATCCCGTCACTATTCGAGCTCTTTCATTGCACGGTCGAGGACTGACCCGTGCGCATCAAATCATGGAGGCCTCTGAGACTCTGCGCCGGGCTCTTGCAATCTCAGAGGATGCTCTTGGGCCGGACCATCCCTTGACCATTGACATTGTGGGAAGCATCGGCGTGATGTATACTCTACAAGGAGCTCTTGACTTCACCGGCACGAACCCACCGTCTGAAGCAATTCCATGGCTAGTTCGATATTTGAACTGGGTCGAGCGGCGAAAGGGTCTCGATAACCCGGAAACACAGACCACCCTGGTGATGCTCGGGAATCTACATTTTGCTGCCCAGGAATATGAACCTGCCCAGAAATATTTTGAACGCGCTCTGGCTGCAAGCCGCGGCCCGCAAGGAACAGCCATGCAACAACGCGTCAGCAATCAGCTTCAGCTCTGCCAGGCCAATAACATGTTCACCACCCGCCGCGGCATGGGATCGGGTCTAGGAGGGTTCCTATCGTCTTTACAACGATTTTAGGTGAGCCATTACTATCAAATAGCAACCTATATATCTTCTTTTCAACGGTAGTCGCACATCAACTGCGGGCGAGAAACATGGCGTTAAAGACTCTAGGCCATTGGTATACGACTACCTCTGTCCACGACCATCACGTCACTTTGATTCTTTTGAAAGCCAGAATAACATAAGCGAGAACATTACTTGCTGCTCAACTAGAATCCTCCATTTGTAAGCCCTGTTGGGGACATGCCTGTCGGTCATAGTAGGAGGTGCTTAAATGAAGGCATTTACTGTAGCGCTACTTTTCTGTTACAGTATCTGCTTGCGGGTTTGAGGGCCTGTCGATCAGGTAAGGAGGAATCAGTATAGTGTTTCCTGTGGATTGAGCGCATTTTAGTAGATAGTGGGTGTTTGCAGAAGATGTCAAAATATGGCATCCACCAGTATTATTCAGCTAGCTACTAACCTGTTTTGATTAGCTCCTTGGCAGATTTTTCCTATTTCTGCGCGCATAGCTTAGCTCTCTACAATACACACTCTCTTGATCGATTGACCAACACGTTACTAGGCGATACCCAGATTCCTAAGAGTACGCGTAGATACACGTTTTAGGCGGTGTGGCCGACTCGCTTCTGAATTACGTTAACAATTGTGGTAGCCTCAGGCACCCACAGCCCCGCGCGACGCCGCAAGGTGCCCCGCTGTCCCCTCTTTCGACTCTTTCGACAAGCCAATGACAAGACTGGCGGGAGGGCCGATCAGATCGATGTCGATGACCTCAGATCCCAACAAACTAGTGGCTGTGAGCGGTCCATACGAGGCTATCAGATGGAGAGGGTGGGTCCACCAGGGATGATTGAGTTCATCTGAGCGCCGAAATGACGATGCCAAGGCCAAATCAGCCCTCGGTGGGGGAGGGGGTGCTGCCGTGATGTCGCAGGCTGGAGATCGTCTTTATAAAGAGGATGTTCATTCCCCTCTCTCACCTCACACTGCATCAACAACTCCCTCGGTATCCCGCACGCATTGTGATATCACTACTCTCCGCAATCATGGATAAACTCTCTGGTCTCGCGTCCAAGCTCGGCGGTGGCAGCAAGAACTCTGGTTCAAACCAGACTGCGGGCAACGAGGATATGGTGGACAAGGGTAAGGCTCACTGTCCTTTGAAAGCGAACTTTTTACGCAAATTAACAACCTCCAGCCCTTGATAGCGTTGAGCGCAAGTTTGGCGGTGGCAAGATCGACCCTTCCAGTGATAAAATCCGCTCGACCAACGAGAAGATCACCGATGGCGCTCGTGCCCAGTTTGAGAAGGCCACTGGGTAAGATCCTTGGTCCGTTGTCCCGCCCCTGCATGCGGATAGCTAACTGTCTTCTGCTATCTCTAGCAAGAACGTTCCCGACAAGTTCTCCAACTAGGAGAGTCCTGATGATTAGCGGGCGGTGCTGTCGGATATGTTATGATGACGCCCACGTCACTCAGCCTGGCATGATACCCCTTGGATGTTTTATCTATCCACTTAGTGTCAAGAAATATCCAAGTCCTTGAATATTGTTCCACGAATGGTCCCCGTAGATTCAAAACATTGCGCCCGCCGTGCAGCCCCAGCAGTTTTGTATGGCCCCCTTACACTCCATTACTCTATTGTCAGGACTGAGATTCTTGGAGCGATGGAGACGGATGCCGAATTTTCCAACAATATCATAATAATTATCGAGCCCACAGCCCACAATTGACTCTCGGAAGCCAGCTGTGATTCGCATTGCCAACATCTTATCAGATTCTTAAGTTTACCAAGCCGATGGAAGAGTGATAGGACAGGAATGGTTGGCCGAGACAATGTGATGCGTACCTGATCTAGTTATTTGGTACGCTTGCTCTTGAAAATGTTCCCTGTAAAATTCCCAATATGCAAAGGCGTGTTGCCGAGTCTCGTCTACAAATTGAGCTCACCCATCCTTCACCTCATTCAGAAGGATGAACCGTTATATTAGCTTCCATCGCAACGCGAGTTTATCTTTTTCTGTTATTTTGGAAGAGTATTGAGTAAGCATTGGCGGTAGGTATGGTCAATGTAGTCTGCCGTAATCCCAGGTCATATTGGAGACCTAGTCAAGGAGAGGAATGTAAATTTTGAGGCGAAGCCCCATTTAAGGTCACAAGCTATGAAAAAGCATCAGCGAGGGGACTTTCATTGCTCGAGTGACCGGTCCTCACGATGTTGGCTAATGGCGATATTCGGAGGTCTTAGCCCAGACTCCAGCGGGTCAGAGAGACTTCGTCTCTAGATAAATCTGCTTTAGGTAACACGCTGCGCCTCGAAAGTATCCCGCCTAAAATTCCAATGTGGGCCAATCGTGGGCCGGGGTCTTACTGTTGGATCGGCAACAGGTAGGATCAGAGAGTTGCAGTGCCTGTACAGTAGTGCGGGGGTGTAAGGGAGCCAAAGTGCAATAGCCACAGCTTCCCATAAGCCCAGCAGCGCTGACGCAGGGGGTCGCCAGCCATATTTAATATTCTGATATCGCTTCTTCGATTTGAAACGCTTTGCATTGTATCTGAAAGCCCCTCCAAATTCTAGCGATGCGATTATTAGCATTGCTGCTCTGGCTCTGCGTAGCCTCTTCACTGGCCCGCATCCTATCGACGAAAGGTCTCTACGGCCTTGTCAGACGGCGGCTACCCAATCATGTGGACCACTTCCACTTCACCATCGATTATTCCAATATCACCGGTGCTGACGGCTATGACCAATTCATGGTACAGAGTGCGCCAAATGGCACAATTCTAGTCAAGGGTAATTCTGTCTCAGCGCTGTCATCGGGGTATGTAAGCCCTTTTTTTCTTGTGGTTCGTCGGTCGCTAATGGCGTCGATAGACTCCATCGATACTTAACGGAAGTCGCTCACGTCGATATCTATTGGTTTATCGGCAGTCGGCTGGATCAGATAGCCTCCCCACTCCCTCGTCTCACCAAGCCAATTGAGGGATCTAGCACCGTTCCCTGGAGATATCACTTCAATACCGGTAGTTTTCTCGCACTGTATGCACTCGCTCCTGGAAGTAATTGACAAGTCACTCTTAGTTACCTTCTCTTATACCACGGCATTTTGGACTTGGGAAGAGTGGGAAACCCAGTTAGACTGGCTTGCTCTCCAGGGCGTCAATCTGCCTCTCGCTTGGGTGGGCCAAGAGAAGATTCTCGTGGATGTCTTCCATGAAATCGGTCTCACTGACACTGAAATCGCGACCTTCCTCACCGGACCCGCATTTCAGGCATGGAACCGCTTCGGGAATATTCAAGGTTCCTGGGGAGGGAGTTCTCTACCTCGGGATTGGATTGACCGACAGTTCGACCTTCAAAAGAAGATTATACCTCGCATGGTGGAGCTGGGAATGACACCTGTCCTGCCTTCGTTTACAGGATTTGTTCCTATGAACACCACTCGCGTTCTCCCAGATGCGAAAATCGTGAGAGGATCACAATGGGGTGGCTTCCCACGTCGATACACCAACGATTCGTTTCTCGAACCCTTTGACGATCACTTTTCAAAGCTCCAGTACAGTTTTATCAATAAGCAACGAGCCGCGTATGGGAATGTCAGTCACATCTACACCCTAGATCAGTACAACGAGAATGTCCCTTACTCGGGAGATCTGGATTATCTCCGCAACATCACCCGTACTACCTGGCAAAGTCTCAAACAAGCTGATCCTGATGCCATCTGGATGATGCAAGGCTGGCTTTTCTATGCACAGTCCGATTTCTGGACTGGTGAGCGGGTAGAAGCTTACCTCGCCGGGGTGGCGGATCACAAGGACATGTTGATTCTGGATCTGTTCTCCGAGTCCGCTCCCCAGTGGCGCCGAACCCAATCCTACTATGGTAAGCCGTGGATTTGGTGTCAGCTGCACGACTATGGGGGCAACATGGGTCTCTATGGGCAAATCACAAATATCACCGTCAATGCAACCCAAGCACGGATCGAATCACCATCTTTAGTCGGCTACGGCTTAAGTCCAGAGGGACAAGAAGGCAATGAGATCATTTATCGACTGCTGCTGGATCAGGCGTGGTCTACGACACCCCTGGAAAGTAAACAATACTTCCATGATTGGGTGCGTAGCCGGTATTCCGGCTCCGGATCCACCCCTAACGAGCTGTATGAGGCGTGGGAACTGATGCGGACCCCGGTATACGACAATACCAATGCTTCGGTTTATGCTGTGATCAAGTCCGTGCTTGAGCTTCGGCCGGCCATCGACAATATCGCCGGGAGGGTCGGGTTCCAGGCCACCGCACTCACCTACGATCCAATGATCCTGGTGCAAGCATGGCACAAGCTCTACTATGCTGCAGACTCTGAGCCAGCACTGTGGACCAACCCTGCCTATCGATTGGATATGGTTGATGTGACGCGTCAAGTCATGGCCAATGCGTTTATTCCCCTGTATCGCAGTCTGGTGTCTACCTGGAATACCTCCAACGCCGGCCAAGACACCCTGTCTCGCAAAGGAGAGCAGATGATTCAGCTTCTGAGTGATCTCGATGCTGTTCTTCTCACCAGCTCCCATTTTCGGTTGTCTACGTGGATCAACTCCGCCCGGGCCTGGGCTCATGGTAACGACAGTCAAGCATCGTTCTTGGAATACAACGCGCGCAACCAAATCACACTCTGGGGCCCCACGGGGCAAATCGCCGACTATGCGTCCAAGCAGTGGAGTGGTGTGGTCTCATCCTTCTCTATTCCCCGCTGGCAGATCTTCATCAAGTATTTGAAGTCCATGCCGCCCGCGTCGTTCAACGCCACGGAATTGACGGCACAGCTGATGGACTTTGAACTTCATTGGCAGCATGAGAAGTGGGAGAAGCCAGATCCAAGTGGGGAGGCCGAGGATCTGGAGAAGGTGTTGGGTCGTGTGTACAGTCGGTGGCCATCTATCTTTGCAGAATCGTGATCCAGCCACCGCTTGGAATTTAGATGCGAGGCAGTAAATCGGATATTGTTAGTATACCAGATGAGAACCGACCACTCCTTATTTGAGACTTGGGTGGCTTTCCACCACGGTGTAGTCCACTGGAGCACATCGTCCTGGCTGCTCTGATGCCACAATTCCGGTGCTGCCGCCTTGGAGTGTTTATACTTCCCCGCCGCGCCAACCCCCCCACGGCTGCCACGGGCGGCTTATCTCCGGACCCACCCCTTGCTTGCGTTGCTTAGAAATACCAGCCAATGCGTCCCATTCATCCTCCATTCCGACCGATTCCCCTTCTCATCCAGATGATTTCAATTCCCAGAACCCTTCTGTCGACTCGAATCGCAACCGACATCCAACATTATCTGTCAAAATGACGGAGGATCTAGCGTCACCGTCACAATCGGAGCAGTCACCTTTGATTCCGTTATCTCGCCCTGATAATGAGACGACCCCCCAATTAAGCATTGCTCGGGGATTTGGGATTGCGGTCTTTATGGAACTCTTGATCTTGATCCAGAGTGAGTTCAACCTGACGATCGATGCGCGGGCAATTCATTGACACGGTGCGGGTTCTCGTTAGCAACCAACATTTCGATGATGACGACTGCCCAGTCCGACATTGCGGCCGACCTGGATGCCTTTGCCGAAGCGACGTGGTTCACCTCGGCATACCTGGTATGATCAATGGGGTGGTCCCCTGAAAGACGCAGATGGAGCCTAATGATTTGAAGATCGCTGCATCTAGCGTCACGCCCTTGACCGGGCGGCTTGCTGAGATCTTTACACCTCGGCTATATGTGATATTCTCGAGCACCATCTTGGCAATTGGCCTGTTTATTACGGCAGCGGCACCCAATCTCGCCGTCTTCCTCCTAGGACGCGCAGTTTCGGGTGTTGGAAGCGGCGGATTGATGAGCATTGCCATCATCCTGGCCGTGGATCTTTCCTCTCCGAAACGGCGCGGATTGTGCATTGGCTTGATCAGTGCAGGATACACAACGGGTCTTGCATCTGGTGCAGTTCTGGCAGGACTGATGACGTCCTCTATGGGCTGGGTATGTGAAAATGATGTTCCCTCTTCGCGCGCGCGCCGGGTCGACTAACGCCCAGCCTCCGCAACAGCGTCTCATATTCTGGATCCAAGCACCGGCCGCACTGGTCTTGGGCCCTTTGCTGTTCCTGGCCATTCCGGCCTCGTCAGGTGGTCGGAGTCCCTTGGACTATCGGTCGATGCTGCGTAGCCTTGCTCGAGTAGACTACGTGGGCGCTTTGGCATTGGTTCGATCAATCCGACCCCGTTCTTCGAGCTTGCGCTGATCAATAGCAGACTTTCTCGGTCGTTTTGCTACTATCGAGTCTTGCATCGCCCGAGATTCTCATCTGGCCCCTGCCGTTATCCGCGCTCTGCTTCGCTATATTCCTCTTTATCGAATGGCGGTGGACCAGAGAACCCATAATTCCAGTCCGGCTGCTCCAATCACGAAGTGTCTTAATGACCTGTCTCGCGGGCCTGGGCTTGATGATGGCCCGGTGGGCGGTCTTGTTCTACACGCCGGTCTATGCCATGGCTGTCCGAGGCTGGTCTCCTGCATCCGCTGGTCTCATTCTCGTGCCCACCAATGCCGGGTTTGCGACTGGTGGGCTGCTTGTTGGCTGGCTTCATATCCGCAAATCTACCAGCTACTACGTGTGAGTTCTCCCCCATCGATGTCCTGATAACCGTGATTCGGTGTCTCATTAGCATCGACAGCTCATGTCTGGTCATCTTCGCCTTGTTTGTGCTGGCCATATCGGGCCTCTCTTTTCTTTCCACACCCCACTCCCCCGCAATCTTGTATCTTGCGACCACCTTCCTGAATGGGCTATTTGCGGGGTCGCTGATGAATTATACTTTGTCGCATGTGTTGCATCTCACCAGTCCCCAGATGCATTATATAGTGAGCTCTTTGATTGCAACGTCACGAGGATTTGCGGGTAGTTTTGGATCGGCCGTCGGAGGCGGGTTTTTCACCCGGATTCTCAAAGCGTCCTTGGAAAAAGGCCTTGCACAGCATGGGTTGCCCCCACAGCCCGACCTGATTCGCACTCTGCTCGGTAGTCCTGCCACGGTATCGCGCTTGACGGGCCTTGAGCGGCTGGTTGCCATTCAAGGCTACGAACATGCAACTCGCATGCTGTTTCTGGCAGGCGGCTTGGTGGCACTGGCGGCTACTGCCTTTCAGGCAGGAACTGGCTGGACCTCGGAGGTTGATGATGGAAAGGGGAATTCAGAGCAGGAGGTTTAGTTTCAGAAGAGTCACTACCATAGAGCGAGCTCGGAGTCAATGGACGTTATTCAAAGGGATAGGAACCACACAGAACGTAGCAAGTAACTAGGAGGTCAATATCAGAACTCAGGTCAGTGGGGCCCTGCTGAGACCTTAGTAGGGTGTCTTCCAACCCACCATTTTATTTTTCTTCCTAGGCCACAACCATGCGATCTTTGGCGTGGAAATTAGTTGAAATCGTCACGCAGGGGGCGAACTATCTACTGACCAACGCGCTGCTATCATATATTGCTACCGATCTATAGATCTCCCGTAGGGTAGTCTTGCGGAAATATAGGGGCGCCCTACTGAGCATTGACCTACATGTTAAAAAAACGCGCTAAATTAGTGAAGTGTGCACAGACTTATGGCACAAATTGTAGTATCTAGATAGTAGATAGTCTTTACTTCTAATAGCTATTAGAAATATAGACTAGGAATATTAATAGTATTTAGAGAGCTAGCTAATATAGATAAAAGTAAAGTATATCTATATTCTAATATATAAGCTTATTTTTATATAGTTTATTAGTCAGTAATAAATCTAATTTATCATTAATAATCATATATATATACTAAATAGCATGTGAAACAGAAATAATGAAAACAAATTTGATGACATAATGAAAACAAGTTTGAAATAGAACACAGGTGTTAGAGCGCAATTTCTTGAAGGAATTCGATGATCGCATCAGCCATTTGTTGAAGTCCACGGTCCTCAAGAGGATAATGGCCTGCATTTTCAAGCACCACGGTCTTGACTGGCACCTTTTTGACACGCGGCAAAACCAGTTCACTGAGGTGCAGAGGTGTCCATTTGTCCTGATCAGGCTGTGTAAGGAGAATCGGACAGACCTCAAAGTCCTCAGGTTCAAGGGCTGGTCGGTATGTCATGTACGATGACAAGAAGTGCATTGAAGCCCAAGAACCCGCAGAAGATCGATCTGCCAGGAAAATCTTCAACGCATCCGAGTTATTGACCAAGGTGGACATCTTGCTCGCGAGCGACATTGGAAGGGATAAAGATCTCAACAGCGGAATATCACTAAGCGTGGCTAGAGGGATTCCAACCCTACTCATGAAAAGGTTCCTTGATGTCTCATCGCGGACCTGTTGGATGCGTTGGTCTAAAAATGTCATACCCACAATGCCCTTGACTTTCTTGTTCAGCGCGGCCACGTGGTACGTTAACATACCCCCGGCGCTGAGGCCGTAGAGTACGATCGGCCGAGGGTCGCTTTCGAGCTCGACATTGATGAAATCATTCGCAATTTGGACCCAGTCATCATACGACACCGGCTTGCCTGGCGCGACTTGAGTGCACCCATAGCCAGGCATATCGATAGCCACAAGGTCAAATCCTGCTGAGTGTAGAGGTACCCCAAGGATCATCGACATCTGGCGCCCGTTGGTGCCAACTCCGTGGTGAAGAATGACCCTCACCTTAGCAGTCGGGTTTCGCCACCGGTCGAGATGGATTTTGTGACCGCGATTTTCCCACCATTCTTCAACAGGAGAATGGTCTTTGGTGAATGCTAGGCGTTGTGGAAGGAATTTTTGGATCTCCTTCCAAGCCTTTTGGTTCTCGTATGTATGTAGAGATGCCATGATAACGGTAAAACGTGGGGATAAAGCCGCGCAAGTAGATCGTCGTGAGTGAGGGCAGTATCAACGGGAAATAAAAGTGAATGTGAAATTTATAGAACTGCTGGTTTGAGTGCAGTAGACAAGTCCTCTTGCCGATTGTAGATGTCTTTTAAATAAAGCTAGATAGTTGACGTGCTGTCTCGACCTCGCAAGCCGAAGTTCCGATCGTTGAGGTCGGAGCGAGTGTTCCTCCGCATTAGCCGTTCGAGCCGGCGCCACAGTGGATACTTGACATAGATCATCGGGTCGATATTCACCCGAAATGTGACTTGCAACGATAAGAATGTGAAGATGCCGTTTACCGAGCCGGAGATGTATATCTTCGGACCTTTGGGTTGTAGGTGAATATGTCGGAAATGTCGGCATTTCGAATTGATCACGTATTACCATGACTCTATAGTGACAGAAGTTTTAACAGCACCAGCCCCACACCTCTTTATTATATAATACTCTGCTGGTCGAAATGAAATCAAAAAAAAAAAGTACAGAGATGAGATTAGTTCACCGGCTGAAGAGGTTCAACAGACTTTGGTCAATATAACTAAGGAAACGGTGAAATTATTATGAAACTTCCAACGCACTTTGCTATTTAAAAATAGTATCGGGTAGGAGTAAAAGGATTGGCTAGCCAAGAGACCTTCTCCACATCAAGCGTAGGTCCGTGCATTTCAGATTACCTCGGGAGCCCCCAGGTCTCAACCAGAAATTATTTCGACCTACTTTACAGAACAATTTAAATCCCTTAACAAGGAACAATTGGAGGGCAAGTCTGGTGCCAGCAGCCGCGGTAATTCCAGCTCCAATAGCGTATATTAAAGTTATTACAGTTAAAAAGCTCGTAGTTGAACCTTGGGTCTGGCTGGCTAGTCCGCCCCACCGCAAGTACTAGTCCAGCTAGACCTTTCCTGCTGGGGAACCTCATAGCCTTCACTGGAACCAGGACTTTTACTGTGAAAATGTTAGAGTGTGTAAAGCAGGCCTTTGCTCGAATACGTTAGCATAGAATAATAGAATAGGACTTGCGGTTCTATTTTATTAGTTTCTACCTAGGACCGCCGCAATGATTAATAAGGATAGTCGGGGGTGTCAGTTTTCAGCTGTTAGAAGTGAAATTCCTGGATTTGCTAAAGAGTAACTACTGCGAAAGCATTCGACAAGGATGTTTTCATTAATCAGGGAACGAAAGTTAGGGGATCGTAGTCTTTGCCGACTAGGGATCGGACGGGATTCTATGATGACCCGTTCGGCACCTTCGAGAAGTTACGTCTACTCTATCCCTAGCGATCGGACTAGATCGGAGGACCAAATCTATATTCCTCATACCTATCCACAGTATATTCAGTATCTCTATATCGACGAAACAGATACAGTTGAACGTAATATCAACATAATCATTTGCTTCCTTTCCTCGACTTATCTTAGGTCCTAGGAGCGTTATTCACCCGATTCAATTGTAACCTTCGAGTTCAACTTAGCTATAGAACTTGTGGAACCCAGCATGCCAAAGAGCAAGGCTGATATGGTATGGGATGGTGGAATAAGATGGCATGGTGTACAGGAGCTAGCATATCTTACTCCTATAGCTACTAGATAGTATATCTTATCGTTAAGTCACATTCTTTGGCCGGCTCTGGATTGATGATGGACTCCGGATTAAAGACTAGCATACAACTACACAATATTATAAGCACCATAATAACACAATTAATCCAACCTGTGTAGTCTATTTTCTCATTCCCCTCTATGCCACAAGCCTTTCAACCAGGCCAAAATGTGATGGCCACCAAAGCAATACATTGCTTACACTATCTACCTTGAGAACAGTATCCAGAATTGTTCTATAGCTTATTCTATTAACTAATAGCTAAGCGGAACTTGGGATTTTCTAGGTCCCATTTATATCCGATACCTAAGAGGGACCCAGGATTAGTTACAATTCTTCCAGGTCCCGTTTAATGTTTTCTGGGTCCCGCTTAGCTAGAACCCGCGATTGTCGATGCCTAAAGTTACGACTAAGCACTTACTCAAACATGTGACGATATACATTCTTCTAGGGGACCTTCGAGACTATATCGTAGTATCATCCTTTGTATTAAGTAGAAGAACGTCGCCCTAGTTTCTCACTATGATTGACCCTAAAGCATACTATACATAGTTTATCTAGTACTACCCGAAAGCTGGATTGCCTCTAAATATAGCCAAAACCATTAGCGACGCAATCAAGCACCATATCCGCCGTTGAAAAGCACCTCCCAAGGTCAGCTCGAAGGCCAGCAGCCCTGCCAAGCTACGTAAAGGCTCCGGCTCAAGCGCTGCCTCCAAGCCCAGCGTCCCAGACAGCCCAAGCTCAAAGTCCGCGAAGAAGACACCCTTTCGCAAACTCACCCCGAAGGCGCCCGAACCAAAAGTCAGTGGATTGTTTGCCGAAGGCTGCGCAGCCTCCTGAGGTCTCAGGTAGGCCCCACTGATCTGCAATCAGTATGGTATAACGGGGCTCGTGCCTTGCTGCCTGATTTTTGGCTCGTCACCGCCCGTGCGGAAAGGCCATGAGCGCTCTTTTGGAGCTCGTTGATCTCTTGGATCTTGAATCTCTGCACCTCGCCCAGCACTTCCCCCTCCATCCACACGAACTCCGATCTACTTTTCCTGACGATGCCTCGTGCCGTCCGTGGTAAGCTCATTTATGTCCCTGGCTGAGACCGCGACACTTACCACATGTTACATCAGGTCTGCTCATCGAGTGCGATCCCTCAATCAAAGCAATGATTCTCAAATACGACGAAGAGCGCCACGACTACATTGTGGAGGATTTGGATGATGAGAACCACTTGGTCATCAAGGAGAGCCAGCTCCAGAGCTTGAAGGCCCGCCTCGATCAAGTATGTCCCTGCGACGATTGCCTTTCTGTCTCCGGCGTCCACAGACACTACATGCTCAGTGGACAGCTCTCTCTAACACAGAATTAGGACCTCGATGAGAAGATCATGCAGCTTGACGATTCTGAGTCAGAGTAGAACGATCGCACCTGCTGAAAACTCCCCCCGTTCCCCTTCAAAGGCCATGCTGTCGCAGGTCACCGGCCGCTACATGCCCCCATTCAATACTACGCCTCGGTGCATAATACGCTAGTGGTTTGTGATTGCCCATCAGTGCACGGAAAACAGCCCTCTCTTTTCAGGTCATGTGCGCGGGCATTGGCATACGAAACAAATAATCCCCTCGAGCGTATATGTGCATCTATACGTACTGGATTTTCCCTGCCAGGTAGGGCTTTCCTATTCTAGCTGTCGCAGCTTTTGTGAGGGCGCTTTCAGGCTCAGTGAGTAAACCTCATCACTGACTCAGACCCAATGATTATGCTCAGTCATGTCACGTGATCGCTCAGTGATAGCGCCAGAGGTTGCACGAATTGCATCAGCCATGTCCTGCGCTAAGGAGCTCTCTTTTGATGAGAAACTTTCTTTTTGTTCAAGTTTGCAAAACCAATGTGGTCGTGATTTTGACGTGGTCTACCTTCCGATTGAGAGTCCAGTTCAAGGGATTGATCGCAGGTCTACGTCCAGTCTATACTCGTATCTGCGATTGACAAGCCAGAGTAAAATAATCCCACATCCCATCTATCCAGGGCGTACACATAGGTTATAGACAGCAAGAGCGGTATATCCTCTCAGACCGTCGAGCGAAGAAGTGAAAGGGCGACATCCATGGGCCTCGGAGCCATGAATAGAACTTGGTAATAGAATGAAACGAAAAGTCTTGCCTATCTCGATGCTTTTGTGCTCAGAGCCGACTAGTAGATCTGTAAGGCTTTGGTCAGACGGTCCTTTAGGCTGTGGTTAACGCTCTCGAGTATATGCTGCTCTTCGTCGATGCCCAAGTGTGGTTGGAATCTTGATATTGGGAAGCACTGGATGATAACTAAAAGAAGGAATTCTCTATTGAGAGTGATATTGGTCGATGAACAAACTAGATCTAAGTGATAATCAAGGCTCGTCTTAGATTCCACTCGGACTAACTCGTCGCTAGGGTACACTAATATGGTATAAATACTACTACTCTGAAAATGACGTCTAAATACGGATAAAAGAAGGGTGCTATTAGTGTTACAAGCATAATACGCAAACACGCCCTTTTTGAGATTAATTATATTGATGACTTCATGCTAACGCAGAGGTTGGATTAGGGGACTAGAAAAGAGCTAGTTACGTGACCCATCTTGCGTGCCATTATATGTTTATGCTACTACTGTAGGTAAGAACTCATCAAGTGTATATTTAATTCACCGTTGCTAATAGAATCAGGGTATCCTGTCGCTATAGTCCCTATAGGACAACTTCGCTACAATGATCGGCCGTACGGTCTTTCTGGTGGCCAGGATGGACGAGGAGGAGACTCTATTGCGATTCATGGAAGTTTACGAAAAGGCTGCCAAGCCTCGTCCGGTTCCGAAATTTGAATGACTGTGTGGTAACCAAGTGTAGATAGTTGGCAAGATGAATGCGAGATCCTTATATACGGGAAGCCCTACCCACATGTATACATAACATCCGCCCGAACAGTATACTTCACACCCCGAAAAACATCACTACCACAAGGCATCAAGTTCCGCTGCTGAAAAAGCATGCAAGCGGCCAATTACCATTTAGTCACTGGACCTGCAGCCAATGAGAATATTTTTCCCCTTCCTGGGTCTACAGTCTTTCCAGTGAACAATTAAAACGAAGTGCCGGAGAAGAAATGTCCGTACGAAGGAAGCGTCGTCAGTTGCAAAAGCAGGTGAAGGAGCTCGAGACTGGAAGAAAAATTCTACTTTAACTTGTATACAGCCAGTTATTCAGAATATCCACTTACAAAGCAAAAGAAATTCAATAAAAATATAGAAAACCAGACAAAATAGGATAATTTGGATAATGGAAAATGCATCAATCAACTATTGTATTCGTAGCTAGTTCTTTTCCAGCTTCTTCAAGCATAACACGATGACCGTACAAACATCGTGTATATAGAGAATTTCCCAGTCCATGTTCAAGTCACTTTTTTCAGAAATTAAATTATCCTATATACAAGGCTGGGCTCAGTGAGTGGATTTCATGATGATGTAATACTCACTGAGCACATGTACATCATGGATCGCAGCGCAAACCACCGGCTCCTGGCTGGCCTGCCGCCATCGCACTCACCAAAATTGCCACCCCGTACGGCGCTGAAGACGATGTGATTAGCTACAATCGGATGAAGGAGGTTATGACGAGATGGGCCTTCCGGGTTTTGCAACTAAATGAGATTGGTCCTGGGCCGTTGCCACCTTGCTATGTACCATACCTAGCTGCATAGATACTCATCGATCATGCAATCATTCCTGCGACATCAGATATCAGATTGAGCCAGAAGGTTCGAAATGCGGACGGAATAGCATCACTGATCCTATGAGATTGCCCGATTCTATATCACGTGACTATATAGAACCGGGGAGAATCGTCCATCGCGCGCTGGAAGGTGCGACCGATCGCTTCAAGTGGCGCGCGCCAACTGCCAACAACCCGCATGCGGCCTCTCGCAAGCATGGGATGATTCGTACAGTTGTGGCAGCTGCAGGCAGCTGGCGATGGGTTATAAAAACCCCCTTGACCACCATCTTTCAATTCCCATTCTCAACTTTCATTCTCAACCGTCAGCTAGCTCAAGGCTTCAAACTTCTCTTGCAATTCCAAGCTCTCTTTGTCATCTCTTGAACACCTCTTCTCTCTAAACTCCATGTCTCTCTTCCGAACCACCTTCCCCGCCTCGGGCGACTTCGCCCCGCTGTTCCGTCTTCTCGACGACTACGATGTCCACCGTGCCAGCCGCCAGACGAGCACCCGCAGCTTCCAGCCTCGCTTCGATGTTCGTGAGAGCGAGGATGCCTACCACCTGGACGGCGAGCTTCCCGGTATTGCGCAGAAAGACATCCACATTGAGTTCACCGACTCGCAGACTCTGGTCGTGAAAGGCCGCACTGAGCGCGAATACCACACTGGCGAGCCCAAGGAGGAAAGCGAGGGTGATAAAAAGACTGAGACCGCCGAGAAGACCCCTGGCCACCGTTTCTGGGCTAGCGAACGCTCCATCGGCGAGTTCCAGCGCACCTTCACTTTCCCTAGCCGCGTCGACCAGGACAATGTCAAGGCCAGCCTGAAGAACGGCATTCTGTCCGTTGTGATTCCGAAGTCCACTGCTTCGGGAACCAAGAAGATCACCATCGAGTGAGCTTCTTGATTGGGCACCTGCTAGCTTTTGACACACCCTTTGACGCACGATGCGCACGAGTATACGATTTCAAGATTGATTTGTAATTTACACGCCTGGAGACCCCGCAATATGACGGGCTTGCTGCTCCCTTTCCATTCTTTGTATCACTTTTCCTTTCTCTCATGATGTACTATAGTGAAATAATGTAATTGAATCCAATCATTCACGCAACCTTCCCATGTAAGCCCTTTTAATGATGTCAACCGCAAGTGGAGCCGTCCTCGGTATCGCGGCTTATCTGAGCCGAGGCATGTGAGAGGAGCCTCTTCTTGACAGCGGGATTGGCGCCTCTCCTTCGAATGCATTGCTACAACTTTCTTCTGCTCTTAAAACGAGTGATCCGCCCGGTGCCATCGCCGGACTGTGTAGTCGCTCCGCTCAGCCCACCTTTTCCCCCTCGCGCCTACTCCTTCGCCCTGGCCTGCTCCGGCTCCTCTACCCCAGTGATTACCAATTACATATCTCCCCATGGCGCAAAATTACTCCTTTCAGTACTTCACCGTTCAGTTCCCACCCGAGAATCCATATGTCGCCCATGTGGAGATCAACCGGGCAGAGAAGATGAACGCCTTCTTTGAAGCGTAGGTCATCTATCCCCCGAGCTGGCAGCCCGGGCGCATCGCTAACAGTGATCTCCCTGTCGCCACCCAGTATGTGGCTGGAACTGCGCCAGGTTTTCGCTCAACTATCGGAGGACTCCGCCGTGCGGGCCATCGTGCTGAGTGGCGCCGGTGAGAAGGCATTCACCACTGGGTTAGACGTCAAGGCTGCCTCTCAGGGCCCCCTGGTTGGAAAGGCAGATCACGACCCCGCCCGCAAAGCGGTTCAGCTGCGCCGCCATGTCGCCGAGTTCCAGGACTGCATCAGTGCCATCGAGCGCTGCGAGAAGCCTGTCATCGTTGCCATGCACGGATTTTCACTCGGTCTGGCAATTGATCTGTCGACCGCCGCTGACATCCGGCTCTGCTCGACGGACGTGCGATTCGCTGTCAAGGAGGTCGACATTGGTCTCGCCGCGGATATTGGCACGTTGAGCCGGCTGCCCAAGGTGGTTGGAAACTTCGGCTGGGTGAAGGAGGTGTCGCTGAGCGCCCGCATCTTTGGGGCCGAGGAAGCACTGCGTGTGGGTTTCGTGAACGCTGTGTACGAGAACCGCGAGGCTCTGATCGCGGCGGCCCTCAAGCTGGCCACGCTGATCGCCATGAAGAGCCCTGTGGCTGTTCAGGGTACCAAGGAGATCTTGAACTGGTCGCGCGACCACTCCGTGCAAGACGGCCTGCGCTATACGGGCGTGTGGAACAGCGCAGCCCTACAGACCAGTGACGTGTCTGCAGCACTGTTGTCCGCGATGCAGAAGCGCACCCCTACGTTTGAAAAGCTGTAGTCGGCCATTTGAAATACGGCCTTCGGGCTACCGCGTCTACGTTGAATTGATTCTCCACCCGTCTCGCATGTTGGTGGAGACGTTGTATATATATTGAATAGGGAACCCCGGAGCCTTCCACGATATCAGACCACTCCCTCCACCGTAGCCTCCGTGGACATACATATAGTACCCTCGGTCCACCTCGGGGGTCTCTGGCTATCAGGAGCCTGGGCTAGAACGGAAAGGAACGCGACACCAAAAAGAAAAACCAACAACAACCGCCCGAAACGTGACGGGGGTTTCACTGGTTTCACCCATCCTGAGCCAAGCCTTGGACAGCGACGAGACGGGCTCGGCGCCTCCGCAACGGACAATGCCTACGAGCTGGAAATGGCTCCGGAACGCAAGTGGAAGAGACCGAACGTCTCGCAGAAATGCAGGTTCCATGAATCAGAAAACACCGGCGATCATCGCGCCCCCGCAAATATGGCAGCGCCCTGGTTTCGCCGTCTGCAGGCCGGTCCCTCACCTCCGCTGACCCGAGCGCCATGGACCTTGTCGGACATCGTCATCGCTCTGAGGAAGGGGCTTTTTCCACGTATAGCCTACTCCACCAGGGGCTGCTTTACAAGCTGTACACTATGCAGAGCGACAATAGGGACAAAATTGTTGTTCTATAAAAGAAACAGCAGCATCCCGTCCCCATTTCCTCCTACCTTCCTAATCATCAGCTTTTCAACTACACTTTCTATACCGATCTAATCATTTGAACACCATGAAGTCTGCTGTGTTTCTCTCTACGATGATTCCCAGTGTGCTGGGCACAACCATCTACCTGGCCGGCGATTCCACCATGGCCAAGGGGGGAACTGGATCCGGTACTGCAGGTATGTTGGCTCAGAGGGGAGAATACCAAAGTGGAGGCTTCCACTAAACAGATTGCCTCAGGATGGGGCGAGTATGTGTCCCCTTATACATCAGCCAGTGTATCCAACCAAGCCGTAGCCGGCCGCAGTGCACGATCATACACCCGCGAGGGCCGATTCGATACCATCGCCAGCGAAGTGCAATCCGGAGACTGGGTCATCATCGAATTCGGACACAACGACGGCGGCTCGCTCTCGACAACAGACAACGGTCGCACCGACTGCTCCGGCACGGGAGATGAGACCTGCACCACGACATATGGCGGCGTGACAGAAACCGTGTTGACCTTCCCTAAGTATTTGGAAAACGCAGCCAACATGTTCAAGGCCAAGGGTGCCAATGTGCTCATCTCGAGCCAAACCCCCAACAACCCATGGGAGACCGGCACCTTCACCTACTCCCCGTCGCGGTTCGTGGCATATGCCGAGCTGGCAGCCCAGACAGCAGGCGTATCATATGTGGACCATGGAGCATACGTGGCAGACATCTTCGAGTCTCTGGGCGCGGATGTGGTCGATGCATACTTCCCACTCGACCATACCCATACGAGTGCCGAAGGGGCCTCGGTGGTGGCCCAAGCGTTCTTCAAAGCCGTGGTCTGTGGAGGTGTCGGATTGGAGAGTCTCTTGAACACCAATGATTTCGAGGGTGAATGTCTTTGACGGCCCGGGCCGTATTGTTCAATGGGGTTGGTGCTCGGGGAGCCATATAGCAAATACCAGGTAGTAAAATGGAAGTGTCACTTTCTTGGTCTTGGCAAGCTGGGCTTTGCGCCATGGAATTCGTTAACGTTTCATTTCATCATATGTGCATAACTAGAGCAGGAAGGGGAGGGGGGACAGATTATGCCAGTGTGGGCTATCAGTCACCTGGCGTCATCAAACCGCTATATGCATAGATCAACCTCTGTAGTCTCAATGAAAGCGCTCTAGGATAGCCCTCACAATACCCCGTTTCTCGACACGATTATAGTACTGGTGGAGATTCACGAACCGAGCATCAAAGGGTCCCTGGGTCAGTACCATCTCCCGCAAGACTGGCCATAATGAGCAATCATCGATGCTGAACGCTGACCCTCCCAGGTAATGTTTCCCTTCCAATGCATGTTCGCAATCCTCGAGGTTGGTTTCGAAGGGATAACCAGGGTTGTTAGTATAATGTTCGCGCCAGCGCCCCAAAAACCCTTCAATCCATTGAAGCTCATTGCCACCTGGTAAAGCTTCCGCGCCCGGCCGTATCGCCTCGGGGGGTCGCTCAGCCAAATGTCTCAAAATGGCCACATCACCGGCAACAGCCCGTCCATCCGGGTCAACGTACAGTGGCCGTTGGTTGGAATTGCCCTCCTGAGTGTGTGTTCCAGAGCCGTCGACAATCTCGTAGCGGAGAGCATTTTCTCCCAGGCCTATCTGCACTCGCAGGTCCGCAACGAGATCTCCACTAAGCGTCAAGTGGGCGATGGACGCAGTGACAAAGTTGACCACATCAAATCCAACACCATAGAAAGCATTCCAGTCGAACTCGGAGGTCCGATTTTCTTGCCCGAATGCACGGATCAGCCGTTCAGTTTCTGCAGGCTCCCCGTGGACGACAGGTCGGGCCATATCCTGGGCTTTGCTGATGGCTCCTTGGCCCCAGATCGTATTTGTGGTCTGGTTGAGATAGGTCCCAATGTGTCGAAACGTAAGAGAGATGCGCTCGCCACCAAAAGCTTGCTCTTCGGGAGATTTGGTGGACTCCGCGCGTTTGTCGGGCCGGATACCATGAAGCCAGCGCATATTGGTCTTCTCGCCGAGGATGAAGAGAGAGCCATGGGGCAGCGGAACTTGTTGCTTGGAACGACCTGGTTCTGTCCCTTCATTCGACTCAGAGGTAGAGATTTTGGTGCGAAGAGTCATAACACGCTGAGCGCCCAAGCTGACGTTGCAAATGAAGGAGCCTCGAACAATGTCGAGGGTCTTGTCCGAATGCTCAGAAATAGAATCCTGTCCATTCCGATACAGCTGAATGAGTACATGGTTCAAAGGGTGGCCGAGAATGCGCTCGACCAGGATACGCGCTTCATCTACGGCGGGCGTGAATGGCTTCAACGGTGGGGACTCATCCGCGGGGTGTCGATAGATTGGAATAGAGCCATCTGGCTGGATATGACCTTGCACTGCGACCAGTCGAGGGACCTGGCCGGACAGATGGTACATCTTCTGCCAGGATACCTCGGCGCGAATACGCTCGAAGGCGTCTGCAGGCAGATCGATTTCTGGGATCATGCGGGAATCGCCTTCGCCCAGGGCGCCGTCCGGTGTCTCCTTGTTCGGTCGGTTCCCAGTCCCCACCTCGGGTGTGCGTTCACGACGCTTCGGGCGACGCACTCGTGCACGAACTTGCTTCTTTGCTTCCACAGGGGGCCGGGTGGCGGCCGCCGCAACCCTCTGTGCCCGCGTCTGCGAGGCCAGTTTTGTCAAATTGAAGCCATCTTCATCTGGGTTTTCCGGTTCCTCGGGTAGCACACCCAAACTGTCCATGAAATCCTCAATACCCACGGGAGCGCCTGGGGTGATGGAAGGCTTGGGTGGCTGCGCGTTGGTTTCTCGGGCGATCTCATCCGTCTCCTGCCACTCCAGTTCCTGGTTCAGCTCCTGCGCGGTGAGTCCCGTTGCTCCTAGGATATCCGCCATGCGGCGCATAGCTTCTTGGTGACGCTGAAAGTCGCGGTAGCCCAAGCAGTCCTCGATCAGTGTCACGGAGAAGCCGTTGCGCACGGCATCTAGCGCGGTGGCATACACAGAGATATTCGACAGAGAGCCACACAGATACAGCTCGGTCACAAACCGTGTGCGAAATGACAGAATCAGACCATCCGACTCCAAAGCTGAGTACCCCGTCTTGTCTAGCACGGTGTCACGGTCGAGGTCGATGGCAGCGAGGATAGGTGCGGGAAACTGAAACCCGGTTGACTGCACCGAGCAGCAAATTGCTGCTTTGCCGGAGAGAAAAGCTTCGGCATCCACAGGCTCTGGGGAATCACGATCTGACGATACTTCAATCACATCTGTCGTGGGCATAGGCAGTGGCTTTGGTGGCTCATTTTCCAAGACGATGCGGGACCCAAAGTTCCAGTCTTCCATAGGCTGCGGAGATTCATACTGCGAACGCACCCAGATTACATCACCGGAGCGACGAAATGCCGCTGCAAGTGGGGGTAAGATCTCAAGGATGTCCGATGTATTGGGAACGGGCAGAGCGCCAGACGGGCGGACAAAGTCATTTTGGAAATCCAGCAGCAGCAGGGCCTTGCGGGTCTTGATCGTGGGCAGATCACCGAATGCGAAGAAGCTCATCGTCGAATCGACATAGCACGGCGCAGGCACAGCGCAAGGGGAGAGTTCGTTGGGCGAGCGAAGCGGTGCTTTGTTTGCGGGGATGATGCGACACCTGAGACATCAGGCACCAAACTCTAAGTTAGTCGCTGCCGAAGTTGAAGACATTTTAGGCTCAAGGTGGAAAGCTACGCTTATCATGAGCTCTGGGCACGCCAATTAGGCGCTGGTCAGCTAACTATGCGAGTGATCAACGATCGGAGCCCCAGCTAGGATCAATTGAGTGCCATTGATCCCCGCATACCTCCTCCTCGTCGGAGCAAAGGACACAAGTCCGCACTTTCTCCCCCGGCCCATTGAGCTGTGAATTCTATCCTAACGATAGAAAGCCCCGTAAACGGGTCCAGATGAGTCAAAGTTGCTCCCATCTCCCCGAAACCCCCTAAATCGGAAACCCACACACCCCTCGGCCTCATTGGGACATCTCACGATCAGCGGTTGCTGGCTCGCCACTGGGCTTGCGCCGGTTCCGGCGGCCAATCACAAGGGCTGAAAACGGGTCCCGGTGTCGGCCGGGGAGCAGAGGCTTTTCTCCGGCAGGTCATGTGCTGATGACTCGACGGTACGGGAGCTCTCTCCACCCCAACTTTCTGTTACTTAAATCGTCCAATTCCTCCCCCAGCTTCATTTTTCATTCTTCACTCTCCACTCTATCTCCCTCTCCCTCCCCCAAATATTACACAATGGCTTCCCGTGGTCTCCCCCGTGCCCTCCGCCTCGCCCGCGTGGCCGCTCCTCGCTCGGTTGTCACCGCCGCCCTGCCCCGGCCTGCTCTGGCTTCCGTCGCCCGCCGTGCCATTGCCCCCGTGACCCCCGTCCGTGGTATCAAGACCATTGACTTCGCCGGCGTCAAGGAGGATGTCTACGAGCGTGCCGATTGGCCCCGTGAGAAGCTCCACGAGTACTTCAAGAACGACACCCTCGCTCTCATCGGCTACGGCTCCCAGGGCCACGGCCAGGGTCTGAACCTGCGTGACCAGGGCCTCAATGTCATCGTTGGTGTCCGCAAGGATGGTACTTCCTGGAAGGAGGCCATCCAGGATGGCTGGGTCCCCGGCAAGAACCTGTTCGATGTCAACACCGCCATTGAGAAGGGTACCATCGTCATGAACCTGCTCTCCGATGCTGCCCAGTCTGAGACCTGGCCCACCATCAAGCCCCTCATCACTAAGGGCAAGACCCTGTACTTCTCTCACGGTTTCTCCCCCGTCTTCAAGGACCTCACCAAGGTTGAGGTTCCCAAGGACGTCGACGTCATCCTCGTCGCCCCCAAGGGCTCCGGCCGCACCGTCCGCACCCTCTTCCGTGAGGGCCGTGGTATCAACTCTTCCATTGCCGTCTTCCAGGACGTCACCGGCCACGCCAAGGAGAAGGCCATCGCCATGGGTGTTGCCGTCGGCTCCGGCTACCTCTACGAGACCACCTTTGAGAAGGAGGTCTACTCCGACCTGTACGGTGAGCGTGGCTGCCTGATGGGCGGTATCCACGGTATGTTCCTCGCCCAGTACGAGGTCCTGCGTGAGCGTGGCCACTCCCCCTCCGAGGCCTTCAATGAGACCGTTGAGGAGGCCACTCAGTCCCTCTACCCCCTGATCGGTGGCAACGGCATGGACTGGATGTACGCTGCCTGCTCCACCACCGCCCGCCGAGGTGCCATCGACTGGTCCAGCCGCTTCAAGGACAACCTGAAGCCCCTGTTCAACGAGCTGTACGACAGCGTCCGTGACGGCACCGAGACCCAGCGCTCGCTCGACTACAACTCGCAGAAGGATTACCGCGAGAAGTACGAGAAGGAGATGGAGGAGATCCGTGAGCTCGAGATCTGGCGCGCCGGCAAGGCTGTCCGGTATGTAATCACCTTTCTTCCACCGCCACCACATCATGACCAGGTTGCTAACGTATTCTTCTTCTAGCTCGCTCCGTCCCGAGAACCAGAAATAAATAATATCGTGATACCCGTCAAGGGAGGGCTTGGACAAAAAGTTATGATGTAATATGAAACTGTTTTTGGGCTTCCGGTATACTACCAAATATCATTGACAGCTAAGCAAAGCTGGATTTTGCAATTCATTACTTCCATCTTGTAGCCTCCAGAGTAAAGAAACGTCCTCTGGGGCGACGTAAATCATTCAAGGTGGGCGTGGGTGGGCTTGAGCACGGCCGCCCTCGGAGCAACCCCGACGGAGGACAGTCCGGGGAAGAAACAGCCCGCCCATCCATTTCTCCAATCTTTTGACCCGTAACCCCTCTCAACTCCCCCTTTCCTTGATCCACCAACCACGAATGGCATCGCCCGCAGAGAAAGCACAGTTGCTGACTCCAGCGGCCGTCCAGGCCGCATATGGCCTGATCCAGCCATACGTGCACCGGACCCCACTGCTGACTTGCAAAACCCTCGACGCCATTGCGTCAACCCCGCAGACACCAGAGGCTCTCGTAGGGACCTCATTCGAGGGCCAGACACCTGCGCGCCCCAAGTTCCACTTTTTCTTCAAGTGTGAGAATCTGCAGCGAATTGGCGCCTTCAAGGCTCGAGGTGCATTCCATGCATTGCTGCGGTTGATCGAGGATCGCGGGGAGGAGGAGGTGAAACGGCGCGGGGTCATCACACACAGCTCTGGTATGGAAACCGGTCGCAAACCCAAAAAGCGCTACGAATTGGCTAATAATCTCCTCTTTCTTCTACTTGGCTAGGTAATCATGCACAAGCCCTCGCCCTCGCCGCCTCGACTCTGAATGTCCCGGCCTATATTGTGATGCCGCGCATCAGCACCCCGTCCAAGATCGCCGGTACACGCTCCCATGGCGCAGAAGTGATTTTCAGTGGCTCAACAAGTGTCGAGCGAGAGGCAGTAGTTGCCGAGATTCAGGCTCAGACGGATGCTATTCTAGTGCCTCCATACGATGACTTCAATATCATCTGCGGGCAGGGAACCACGGCACTGGAGCTGGAGGCACAGTACGCTGAGCAATTTGGCACCAAAACGCTGGATGCAGTCATCACTCCCGTTGGGGGAGGCGGGCTCAACGCTGGCGTGGCGACTTACTTCTCAGATAAGCCGCAGACCAAGGTGTTTGGTGCGGAGCCCAGTTTCGAGGGCGCGGATGACTGCCGTCGGGGGCTGCTAGCTGGGAAGCGTGTGGAAGCAGTTTCAACGCTGACCATTGGAGATGGGTTACGCACGCCCGTGGGATTGTTGAATTGGGAGATCATCTCGAACAAGAAGAAGGTCGAGGGGGTGTTCGCCGTCACCGAAGAGCAGATCAAGGCCGCAATGCGTCTAGTTCTGGAACGCATGAAGGTGTTTGTTGAGCCAAGCGCGGTTGTCGGTCTGGCCGTGTGTCTTTTCGATGAAGAGTTCCGGCGGCTTGTAGAACAAGAGGGTGGCGCGAAGGGCTGGGACGTGGCCGTGGTGTTCAGCGGAGGTAACACTACCGTGGAGGCAATTGGCAAGTTGTTCGGCTGATGTTCTGTGAGCCATCCGGCCCATGTTTATAAGGGGGCTGTACCATATAGAAGAAAAATCCCATGCCTTCAACTATCTAACGAGGGTATATCCACTCCGGTCGCTCGCACGTAGAAGGAAAAACACCCGCCGTTGTACCAGCTGACGCCATCAACCACGCGACGCGGCCACTCCTCACGGCCCCATGCATTGACCCAGGCCGAGAACTTGCCTTGACGAACCACGCTTTGTCGCATAGGCGCATCTTTCCTCGCATCATGAGCACTCATGGCGGGTGGGAACGGTCGGACTATGTCCCTACGAACAATCAAGCGGAGGGTGGGGAACGTTCCCCATGGCGCTGGCAGCGCTGGCCGCAGAGATGGTGTCTGAGATGGAGGTCGATCATATGGGCCCAGAGGACCAGATTGGCCGCTGATGTTCGAGACAGCCGGACGGCCACCAGAGACTGTCGTCGTGTAAACAACAGCACACCCGAAACGATGTTCCAGCCGCTTCAGCTCCTGTACCAGCTCGGCATACAAATCAGAGAGGTAAAAGTTTCTCTTAAGCGCGCGCTCTTGATCAGTTTCTGCTCGTGAACGCCCGATCTCCTCAGTGCGAGCCACCTCGTCTCTTAATTTGTCTTGCCAGAAAAATGCCGTGGCACTATCAATGGCAAGCATCTGCAGGGGCCGCAAGGCAGAGGCATGTCGAGACAAATCATAGAGATATGTGTCGAGGGTACATAGCGTAGCAAGAAGGGCGGAGGACGACTGCGGTCGAAAGACATGGACGTGCTGAAGCGAGGAAGTCAAAATCCCTTCCAGCTCATCATCTGAAATCAGTCCGATGTCTTTGCTCAACGTCTCATCATCCGCTGGCTCTTGTGCTTGTTGCAGGATTCCTCGAGCCACATCACGCAGTCTGTAGACATCGAAGCGATCATCAGTGTCCATCCAGACCACAGCTGCCTCTAGTCCTCCAATCGGGATGTTGCCGTACGCCCCTGGCAAGATAGCCCGCGCGGTCATGTAATATAGCAGTTGCGATTTACCAGCGCCTGATAGACTGCTTGAAATCTCCACGACTGAGCGGGGCCGCTTGCTCCTGGAAGCAGACCCAGAAAAGAAGACATGAAAAGATTCAGGATCTGCTGGGGCTAGTAGCTCCTCACGTGCGACAACCTCGTTGTCCTGACCATCGCAACGCAGGAGCATCTCTTCGTCTTCTGTAAGGATTTGCCCTTGTGGGGCGGAATTTTGCAACTGCCGTCGTTGGGTCTCACTTGCAGTGCCCGGTAATCTCTGTGTAAAGACGCCCAGCAACGCATCGAGAACAGGGACGCCTAGTAGCCGCGAGTGCTGGTCGGGGCTGGTAGGGTAGACATTGGCCAGGTCATGCAGAAGCTGAAAATGGAGGGGTCAGCAAAACAAGCAACTACCTTCTCAGCGTTCTCCGGTTTACCTGGTCCAGTCCCTCGTGCTGTACGTCAGCCAGCGACGTCGCGCCCAAGCTGGCAGCCATGGCGATCAGAAACCTGCAGTCTCATGGACTATGCATGACTGACGGGGTTGGTGGTATGCAGTTATCTGCAGGCACAGCTGCATCAAATCCTGGACTGCGTTGGTGTGCAGTGATGACAGCCCGAGTCGAAAGCCGAAGTAGTTCGGGGACGGAGGCTCCGCAGCCGGACCTCGGAAAGTGCGCCGCATCTCCAATCTGCCCGTCCGACTGCGACTCCACGACCACCCTCCACTCAACCACAGCTCGGATACAGGCAACGCCTGCGCATATAACCACTTACAATCAAGATGGCGCCCCTCGTACCCGTCTTCTCCGCAGAAACCCTCCCCGATCATGTCAACACTGTGCGTCGCAACTTTCAAGAGAAACGTCGCAAAGGTCCAGCCGTGGACCTAAAAGAGTGCCCGCTGCTCGAGATGGTGCAGTACTCCTGCAATCCGCCGCAAGAAGATATTCCACAGCCAGGTGTGATTACATGCACGCCTATTGTGCGGCTTTTTCGACGGTGAGTCCCAGAGACACCAACCCTCTGAGGCCGCGGGGACTGACCCATTCTTCAGGTGCGCGGGAGGATTGACGGTGGAGACCACATCATGGGAGCCGATCAGGCAAGCCGCGGAAGAAAGCCAGAAGAAGGCGACAAAAACAAAGGCATGAAAAACAAAGTCATGAGGGATCAAATTATACAGAACCCGGTACGGAGGTTTTGCATTGGGCGGAGTTTTGGGATTACGATAGAGAGAGCATCAAATCAGAACGGCTGCGACTGCCATGGGGTATCTATCTCCTCAAGAACGACTCCGAAACATACACAAAGCACCAGCCCAAAACCCAGAAGACCAAAGCAACAAACGAACGCCGATAATGTAATTGTGTCACACCTCCCAACACGCCATCTCATGTGCCCACAAAGCTATCCACGGGTTCGGCAGTCGTGGTAGGCCTCGGCGTCTTTTCCTCGGCGCCGCGCCCGCCTGTAGCCGTTGTACGCCGCCAGAAATCTCGCTCACAGTTGACGATGGGGCCCATCTCCAGGTTCCACGATCCCTTCGACCGCATCTTCGCGTCTCCCTCCATGACGGGCCCCGAATCGATCTCCATGGCCGAACCCAGAGTAGCGTTCATGCCCGGGGCGGCGAGCGGGTCCTTCTGTAATTTCCTCGCCAGCCCCTTCACCGTCTTCTCGAACATTGTTTCCATACTTTCCATCCGCTTGCCCCAAAGCTGCTTATCGCGCCCGCTCGAGCTGGTCGGGTTGTCGCGGAACGCGGCACTGGCCAGCTTTCGAAGTGCTTCTTCGCCGTGTCGTCCATCTTCTGCGGCACGCTCACGGATTTTGCGCGGGTCGTTGTCGCGTTCGGTGAACACCGCTGTTGAGGAGTAGGTGTGTTTGCTTGGGAAGTCGGGGAAGTGCTTTGGAACGTAGGACCGGTTGGTCTCGCTCTCCTGTACCCGAAGTGCGTTCAGAAATGGCAAATTTAGAGTGACCTCATCCTCTGGCGGTGGCGATGGAAGGAGGGTAGGAATTGGCGCGACTGTTTGCGGCGACTTGAGATAGGGACGGAGATCATCGGGGGAGATACGGTGGTGCTTTAACGCGTGCTCGAAGTCTTGCGGGATCGGTTGAAGGCGGCGAGAAGATAGCATAGACTGGCGAACAAACTTTGATATGTGCAGAAGGTCTGCATCAAACCGGTTCAAAATTAGTCCAAATCTCCGATAATAGGATGAACACCCTATTTTGGTCGGAACATACACTCTTCCGCGGCGCTGCGGAAGCTAGACAGGGCAGCCGGATCAGCCAGATCAAATCCAGCATCCCTGAGAAGTTGCCCTATCGACCGATTCATCAGGTGCTCGACATTGTTATCATCTTGGACGGCGGGCTCGCAGGCCTGCGGCAGGGTTATGGGCTGGGCGAGGCGGTGGTGGTGATGGTAGTGATGCTTTGCTCGCTTGATATCGGCCGCTTCAAGGTAAGATGAAGAGCGCTTGACTGGCCCCGACGACGCCATGGCCACTGGGGGGGGGCAGAGCTATTGTCAAGGACAACGGTGGTGGAGGCAGACAGCTTGTCTTGTCGCCAGTTGGAGGTATGGTCACGTGGCTTAATACCTGAGGCATCACATTTGGTCCAAGAGCTGCGAAGAACAGCAGTCAGGTTTCTAGTAACATAGATCAATGCGTAAAAGAACTGTTGGAAATGTAACGAGCAAAGGTAGACTATTTCAGAGAGCTAATTACACTGGAAAATAGCCACCCCCTCTAATGGCGTGAGGTGCTGTCCAAGGCCCGTCGACCAATCCGGAGGCTCGCTTAGTCCGCCCGAAAGCTTCAACTTCACTTCCCGTCCACTTCACTCCGTCACTCTCCTGTCCTCCACCTTTGCCCAACCCCGCCACCCTCCGAGGCAGGATCCCTTCTGTCCAACCCGTTGAACCCTCCCATCGAGAATCGACTGACACCGTCTATCTACTACAATGGGCGCCGCTATCCCCCCCATCACCGGCGTAGGTGCCCCTTCTCTAGAGACCCGGCTTGCCCCGAGCGGGCTGATCGGGTGCTCTGATGACTCTGGGCACTGGACTAACGTGCTGTGTGTGACTTGCAGATGCTTCGCCGGGGTCTCGTTCTGGACCTGAGCACCGCTTTCGGTGAGTGATCGAATTGTTCTTCGGAGCTGGGTCGCGAGTGGCATGATCGCATGGCTCGCCGACATTGAAATGTTGCAATTGCTCTCGGCGCAAGATGCCATTTGACACTAGAGACTCGGAAGATGACCAGGATACTGGTGTTTTTTCATGGAAATGACAAACGACTAACCGGCAACTTCACCATCCAGGTTTCGGCACCACCTTCGGCTACCTCTGGTGGTACGGTAAGTAGCATGAATCCTTTCCCTCCGTTCCGGCCAACTCCCATAAACCAGGCTCCTAACGAACCTATCCCTACACAGGCTACCACCTGCCCCGCGTCCGTGAGCGTGACACCTACTACACCCGTCTTGAGCAGGAGCGCGCCGCCCAGCGCGCCTAAATCGGTCGACCTTAGTCGCATCCCCTCGAACGTTTCCCTTTCGCCCGTCGGTGTCGCTGCATTCCCTTTGTGAATTGAAAGCTTCAAAATATCAATACACCTCGCTCCAGGAGGTTCATGTCTTGTAATCTCCCTGAGCGAGATACGTCGGCGGGTCATAGCCGAGTGTGGGTGATTTGTGTTGGAACCGATTGTACATAAAACGCCTGCGATCAATGTGTTTTTCCACTGTTTGGTCCTCTACATGGCTTATCTCCGCACTACTCGCTGAGGTTTACTGCCTGTGCTGCTTGCATGGATTGTGGTCCACTCTCTGCCCGTAGATCTATAAGAACCGCCCCTTCCCTGCCACAAGCCGACAATCTATACGACCTCGCCACGCGCACGCCACTACTCTCCATCCGAAACCGATCGGGTTGGATCTATTGAATTCAATCGCTAAATACGCCGGTTATATGTACTTGTAACTTCCGCCTTTTAAGGTGAAGTCCACCCTGTAAAGCCATAGATCATCATTTCGCGTCTCTCATATTCTGATCTCGAGCCTAGCCAGATTCCCTGCCATCCTGACTCATATGTAAATTGCAGGAACCCGTGCTAGACTCAAGACACCCATTTTGAGCACGAACCGATCGCGTTACCGGTTCTATCGGAGCACTCGCTCGAAACTGACGCCCCGGACGGACCCGCCGGCCATGGAGGAGCGCACATTCCGCTTGAAGCCGTCGCGGTTGGTGCGGAGGTCTTCTGCGGCTTCCTTATTTAAAGGATCAGAGGCATTCGGCTCGAGGAAGAGGAACTGCAAGGAACAGATTATGATTAGCCACCGCAGTCCACGGACTATAGACCAGGGGCATAAAGAGGAGAAACGGCGCACCTGCATGCCCACGATAACCGCATTCAGATTCAACACTGGCTTCCAGTCCTCGCGCAGAATGTTCAAGCACACGTTGCCGTCCAGGTCGATGTTGGGGTGATAGATCTTTTGGGTACACTTGACCTTGGGCGGGTCATGGGGGAAGTTCTGATTGACGGAAAAACTGAAGTTGAAGACGCCGCCCTTGTACATGCCCTCGTCCGGCTCGATAGTCAAGGTGAAGTTCAAGATGTCGTCTGGGTTCGGGAAGGACATCTTCATGGTATTGCCGAGAGTGAGTTCTTGGAGGTCTGTAGGAGGAACAGACAGATAGAGGGGGGGCCTCGTTAGACATGAAAGGGTCAAGTGTATTGGTAGGAAGGAGTTGAGGCGAGACGCACCTCGTTGCACGCGCAGCTGTGCGGCGGTGACCTTCTTCTTCTTCTTGCCAGCAGCACCTTCGGCATTTTCAGCCTGCTGCTGCTGCTGCTTCTGTGGGAAGAGTAGAGGTTAGTCTCTGCTCATATATGCCATCCACGATATCCACAGTGCAGCATACCATCGACCAGATCTTCAGCATCTTGGCTGGGAAGTCACCACCCCAACTGGTGGAACGACCGGAACCCCGAAGTAGTAGTGGGTCCACAGGAGTCAGGGAGAGATGGTTCAGACGCTCGGAATCGACCCAGAACGAATGCCGCAGGTCGAATGCACAGGACTCGCGTGTGTTGGGGCGGAAATGAGGAGGCTGAAAGGTGGAGGAGGGGAGGCAGACACGTCCTGCGGGTTGCGGGGGTCAGCCCGGCGGTCACTTTCTATCGCGGAAAAATCCGCTGGCCGCCTTCGCGTTGGGACATGACGTACATCGGCAAACGACCCTGTACGAACAGAGCACTGCGGTTTTTACAGATCCTACAGCCGACATCAAGGATATTTGTACTGAATCACATCTCACAAAAATTCATTGCGCCCCGAATGCATTCCCATCGCGTCGCTGGTCCGACCAAAAAAGACATCACAGTTTTCCGGTTGCTATTCAACCTTCCACGGCAGTACATACTGGCATCACAAAAAGGACAAGGGTCGAAAGAAACGGGCATCCTTAAGTAGAATACAAATCGCGAGATTGGAAGATAGAGAGAATGGAACGGAAAGGAAAGGGAGAAAAAAAATGAGGAAGGGGGTGAACAAAAAACATGTGCCAAGAAGAGGTGTTTCATGATAGAGAAAGAAGAGTACAGCCAGACAGCGTCTACCGGCGGGCGAAGCAGCACTTGATACCAGTGCGACCCAGGAACCAACAGGCACCGATGAAGCGGAACAGGGCCATGATGGCGTTGGACCACAGAAGGGCCTGGAAGAACCGAGCGGTCCGGGTGGTAGCCGTGTTCTACAGAGCAGGTCAGTAAAAGGATCCCGAATGGGTTGCATGGGAAGGGATGAAAGAAGCATACCGTGAAGCCGAACTTGTCCACCGCCTCGCTAGTAATACAGACGGCCAAGAAGGCATTACTGAAAATCCAGAAGGTGACGAGACGAGTACGGAAGCTCTTGTATGAGTCCTCGAGGGATTTCTCGTCGTGTTCAACGGGAGCAACGTAAGGAGTGAGCGCGCGCTTGACGGTGGCCTCAAACTGGCTATCGATATCCGCTTGAGGTTTATCAATTTCCTCTATGACCGCGTCCTTACTGCCTTCATCCTTGGTCGTCTTGGCAGAGGGCAGCGCATCAGCTTTGTCCGAACCTTTAGTACCCCAAGACACATCGTGCCAATTGCTGAAGGCATAGACGTTCAGGATGTTGATGTAGGAGGACTGCAGGACCATATAGGCGGGGAACGAGGTGAACATGTGCCATGGATCGGCGTACATGAACGAGGCGACGAAGTAAAGACCGAAAGTGGCGGCCAGGGCGATGATAATGATACCAGCACCCGAGGAACCAAAGAAAGAGCTGAGGAAAGCCCCAACACCTTTGTTGGTAACGAAATCCATCGGCGCGCCTCCACTAAAGGCGCGAATCACCAGATACAGCGAGTCGACCACAATATAGACCTGAATGAGGCCGAAGACCACAAAGGAAGCCAGGTACGAGAACTTGGAACCCTTCGGACGATTACCGAGGGCAAGAATGAACTGAAGCAGCAGGAAGCCCAGATACACATACTTGATGATCGTGTTGACGATAGGAGTCGCGTCGGCTCCGAAGGGGAAAGCCTTTTCACCGTTGCTCTCGCTCGGGGTACCAACCAAGTCGATAATAACAACGGTCGTGAGCCAGTAGGAGGCCAGTGAGAACCAGGTGAGAATGGTGTTGAAAATGTTGTAAAGCATCTGGATGTGCAGGAAGAACATGCGAATGATGTTGTGGCCCGACTTGTACATACGGCCGAAGTGCATCAGCGAATAAATACCAGCTGCGAAGGAGCCGTTCAACCAACGACGACGCTGTGAGATGAACTCGGCCGCACCTTCAGGCACATCCGTCTCGGCCTTGGAAGCCTTGACATACGACAGGTGCCACTTGGAGCCGGCCTTGGCGACCAATTCGAAACAGAGGATACGATCCTCGGCCAAGAACATGTTTTTCTTGAAAATGTTCATACCTTCAATACCCTTCTTACCGAGCTGCTTCGACAGAGTGTGGTCACCGTGGAAGTATTGCTCCAGCGGACGGCCCATGATCGCACGGAAGCGATAGGCAGAGAAGGCACCAGGCAACACGGACACATAACCAAATGAACTCTCCAGAGGCTTGTCCAAGATATTACTAATCTTGTACTCAAAGTTTTGCGCTGCCACCAGCGGATTGATCAGGTTACGCCAGCCCTTACCCAACATGGCGTGGATTTCACCACAGGCACCTCCCAGATCCTTGTCATTGTAGAAGGCCTCCCAAAGGGACAGGAGGGATTTCGGGCCGGGCTTAGTTCCTGCGTCGAGCAAGATACAGATCTCCGGGTTGAGAATCCGACCAAAAGCGTTGAAAAGCCAACGATGCGAGTTAATCTTCTTGCTGTTCTTCTGCTTCAGACAGAACATCATCTGCACAGGGGGCAGAGTGCTAGGGCTGTCATCGGTCGGACGGATGAGCTGCTGGCTTGGTGTCACCGACAGCTGGGTCGTGTATTCGAAGATGTGGGCCACCGTCTCCTTGCCGTCCACATCGCGCTTCATCACGCCATCCTGGTAGATACCGACGGTGGCCAGGACATCCAAGGTGTCCTTGTCGCAAGGATCGATACCGTCGAACACGAGGGCCACGACAATCTTCTGCCATGCGGGACCCCCCTTGTTCCAGAACTCCGACTTCTTGAGGTTGACAATATCACGAATGTTTTGCATCACACCGTGCAGGGTACGCGAGGTCAGGGTCTTGTCCTCGTTGTAGTAGGTAATGGCGATGAGCAGCTCGGTGTGGCGGTTGTACATGGCGGGACGCAAGTTGTAACCATTGTGGAGAGTGAACTCATTGGGATCGCACGTCGCAGCGGTATCTAGAACGATCGGATGAGAATTAGCGCCATCTTTCGCTGGGTGGGTTGTGGTCGATCGGAGCATGGGAAAACGAGCACTTACACCGCATGTGTGTGAACTCTTCGCTGCCACCCTCGAGGTCGTTACGGTATTTGGCCTGGATAGCATTTTGAATGGCACTGGGCACGGGGTAGTCGACACTCAGGACGGAACCCTGAACCAGCTTCACTTTCCGAGTGGCATATCGACGGAGGTTGCCGCCGCCCGAATTTCCACCGCCTGGGGCTTGTCGCTGGCGCCAGGCCTCAGTGGAGGAAGTCTCGCTCCGCGCGTACGGCGACGGGACCCGGCCCGGGACGCCAAACGCGGTTGCGGGGTTCTCGGTCTGGCCCGAGTAGACAGACCCGGTCGCATAGGGATCGTGGTAGCCAGGTGCTGCGTCGGAGGCATACGTCTCGGTCAGACTGTAACCCGAGGCCGGGCGTACGGGGGAGACCCCACGGGAGTGCGGGTCATCAAAGGGTGTCGCAAAGGGCCCCTGCTGGTGCGACAGCAGTCCATGCGAGGCATCTTCATCCTCCCGATACTGGACCTGGGGTTAGTCATGAGGCAGAAGGGAAAGGCCCGGGAATTGCTGGTGGGGCGCGTACTTGCGAGCTGGGAGCCTCTTGATGGCTCTCGTATTTGGGCGAGTGCGCGCCGGACCCCTGGTAGGCCATGATGGTCGCGCAAACGTTGGACAAGTAGGATTAGAGGCGGTTGTTGTCCAGATCCGCAGAGGGGGTATATCTCGAGAGAGGGGGTGGGTTGAAAGGAGGAGCCAGGGAGATTCAGCCACCAGGGCTGCAGGTCGTAAGGGTGGAGTGGCCGAGTGGTCGAGTATCAAGGATCCAGCAGTTCAAAAAGGAGTGTCAGCGGATGTGAATGGCGTTCCTAGTGAACCAAGGAGATAAGTTGTTGCTCCCAGCATAAAACACAGCACCGTTGGGGGGGGGGGGAAGAGCGGGGGGGGAGGGGACGAGATGTTTGGAGAAAGAAAAGAAGAGAGGAAAGGAGGAGAGGGCGGAGGGAAAAGGAGGAGAGTGTGCAGGGTGAGACTCGCCGCGCGATCGTACTGCTTGAGGAAAAAGGGAAGCGCAAAAATAGACCTCTCTAATCCCCAGTGGGCTTAGCCTCCACCACCAGCTCATCCAGAAACGAGCAAAAAATAACACCCTTTGCCCCCCGGCCACCGGACAACATGATTGCTCGAGGCGGCCGATTTCCCTCCTCTCGAGTCCTCCAATGACGGTGGTGCATGATGCAATGATGCACATACTCCATCCCTTGGGATCGGGCGCCGTGGGAGATTCTGCACTGCGGTATGGAGTCCCAGCGATGGAGCCTGTCAGGGACCAGACAGGGACCAGGACAGGGACCAAGGCAGGGGACCACCGACCCTGGAGAGTTTGCGCCTTGGAATCCACGGGTCCGCTATGCTGCCGACCGTGCAGTTGTGCGAGCTGGCCTCGACGCTCTCTATGTCTATGGTACTCGATACTCGGTATTCTTCTATGGGAGGACAACGGCCACGAACGGTCGCAAGGTCACAAGGATCCCGGATGCATGGCTCCCCTAACTACGGAGTAGTCGCTGGGTCTTTTTTCTCCTAGACTCTTCGCAGGCCCCTTTGGGTGCTAGTCTTTCTCCAGATCTCCACCCACGCTTACTCGGTTGGGCGGACCCGCTGAACCCAATCACCGGAGCTCCACTGGTGAAACAGTCGGTGAGAGCGACCCGACCGCAGAGGCGCTTCAGCCCTTCAACCTTTCCGGGCTCGACAAGGGACTGATGAAGCCCAGAGACGATGCCACGCCTCCTTCGCGTACGGAGTATATACGGCACGTATGTATGCAGTCGCCTCCATCTGCCCGCCTGGCACAGTCGGTACGGCCAAGCTTCATTCTGCATTCCTCGCGCCGTCTGGTATGCCGCGGGATCGACTCTGCACCTCCGCCCATACATCCAAGGAGGACGTGCAGCGTGCCGAATCTCCGGGGTTCTTGCCCATGAGAGGAGCTTAAGTGGACGAGGATCGCATACAAACGCCTTCGAAGCATTCATAAAGAGAGCGTATCCGTGCGGCCCTGACGAGCAATGAGAATCTTTGGCACCACCACCACCAAGTATGTATATACGGAGTAGTATATAATCCATTGATCCCGGGCAGGATGGATGAGATGCACTGTACCAGGTACACCGTCCGGCCAGCTATGACATCCCGCCAGCGCAACCATCCTTTCCGCTTCGCTGTCACTGTCCACTGTAGAAGGACACAGTCGGCGGACGCGGTCACTCTCTCAATCGGCGATCAGCTGGCTCCAGGAGGGAGTCCTTCACCCTTCGTCCCTGCAGCAGGGCTGGATAGCGGACGAGGAAGAGACCTGTCAGTCCCGTCGATAGCAAGGCGCAGCAGGGGCCGGGGAGGGCGGCACTGACTGCAATGGACTGCATGGACTGCACTTTGCCACAGCCACGGGGGCGTGGTGGCGTGGTGGCTACGTCCTCCCGTGTCTGGAGTGTCTCAGGTTGGGGGCCTCATCTCCCGGCCCAGCCTACGGACGGCGCAGGCTAGGGTGGTTGGATGGGTCAGCCGCGCAGATCCACCAGCACCGCCGAACGGTTGATTGATTGCAGACCATCAATCTGCCGAACCATCATGGATATCTCGCCCGATGACGCCTCATCTCCGTAGTCCTCCCACCTCCCTACAGATTCCTTCACGTGACTCTCTTGCTGAGCTCAGCCCCGTAATCTCCCGGGCCGACCATAGTCCGAGTCCAGACCACTGCTCGCCCGCTGGGCCACTCAGGCACGCCCGCCTCCCGTCGTATGCCGCTGGGTTGGCGCAAGGTGCAGCCACTTGAAACACTCCGGACCAGCCGTGATTCATGTAGCATCACTAGAACCACCACCAATTGATGCGTGATTTTCGTGATTTTCGCGATTTCTTGATTTCGTGATCTTGTGATTTCGTTCATCAAATATTAGTCTTCTATTCCGGTCCATCGTTCATCGTTTATCGTTCATCATACATCGTTCATCGCTCATCGCTCATCTTGCATCGGGTCCCTGATTAGTCTGAGTCTGGTCCAGGTGGAACCCCGAACCCCGTCCACGTCGTGCTCAGGCCGCCCCCCCCCCCCCCCCCCCGTGACTATCTGCTGCCCCCCCGTTCTCCTCATTTCCCAGGAGAATCTATCTCTCTCACCACTCCTCACCATCTTCTTCGCCCTTTCTTCCCATCCGGTCTCGAGTCGTGACGGGCTCGGTTTTCCCCCATTCCGCCCTTTCACCCTCGATCCTCTGGACGATGCCCGTCCATCGTCCCTGATCGGAGTCCACTTCCACCCACACTCGTTTTTCGCCGGCCTTGCGCCCGTGGACGTTTGATCGACCTCTTTTTTTCCCATGATCTCGCGATTCCGCTCACGACTGGACGCCGTTTGAGCCCAACACTCCTTTTTCCACTATCCACTCGATTTTCATCTGCACATTCCTTTGCCGCCGTTGACCGGTCGCCGTTGTTGATATCAATTTTGTTCCCCCTGTTCCAGCCGTCCTCGACTCTTCCTCGCCCACCATGCTTCTCAACCCTGTCGACCCTTCCTCCTTCTCGCCCATCGGTACGAGCTCTTTTCCTCACCTCATCTCCATCTCAGGAAAGGTACAAGGTCCCCTCCTACTGACACATGACCCCATTCTATAGATGGCTTCTCTCCCTCCCGCTCCCTCTTCAAGCGCTGCATAACATGCGACTCCGTCCCCACCTGCCCGGCCTGCCCCGATGGCCAGACCTGTACGATGACCGCCCAGACCTGTGACACCTGTTCCACCACCAAATGTGTGTCGAGCTCGACCAACTCCTCCCCGCCCTCGTCCAGTGGGCCCAACGTCGGTGCCATCGCCGGTGGTGTGGTGGGAGCGGTGCTGGCCCTGACCCTCATCCTCTTCCTCATCTGGTGGTTTGTCATTCGCAAGCGCCGCAATGATGCTGCTGAAGGGGAGGAGAAGGACCACAGCGCCTTCAATGCCGCGCGGGATGGCCGCAAATCCATCCAATCCATCGCCTCCACCGTCCTCACCCGTGCCTCCAACGTCATCCAAATCGCCTACATTCCCGGTGTCACCAATCGTTCCCCTCCGGAGACCCCGGCCACGCTGGTGCCCCCGGTTCCCCCCTTGCCGGGTGCCCACCCCGATCAGCACTTCTTCATGCCGGGTGACCTCCGGGACTCTTCCTGGACCACCATGACGGGCCACCAAAGTATGTCTCCCACCTTCCGGAGCAGTGTCGCGACCACTGTGTACCGCAGTGACGCCATCGTCAGCGCCATTCCCGCGCAGCAGATCCAGCGGTCACGGGCCAACATCGTCAGCGTGCACAATGCTCCTCCTGGCGGCGTGGGCTCCGGCTCCCCGACCCAACCGCTTCCTGTGATGATCACCCCCAGGGATGCCCCCGCCGTGCCGGCCATCACCACATCCCAACTTGCCAAGGCAGGGGCCATGCAGCACGGCGGCAGTTCCATTGTGGCGCGCCAAGTTGTGGCGAAGCCAGTCATGGTCCGTGGTGCCTCGGTCAAGAAGAAGGACGGTCAGGCAGACAAGAAGCCAATCACAACCGAGTCGAATGGAAGCAGTCATCAGTTCGACCACCAAATGTCCACGTTCGACGGTAACTCATCCGACGAAGACGAAAACGGCGACGAGACACGGCCAACCACCTCCTCCAACTCAACAGGAGCCAAGGCTACCGCGTCCGAGGAATCTGCTCAGAGCTCTGGTCCCTTCCAAGACCCCCTCAGCAGCGACGCAACCTCCTCTTCCGAAAGCCAGCAACGCAGCTCCCGTCACACCGACGGGGCGCCGCCGCGCGTACAGAGTCCCTTCTCCGACGCCAACGAGGTGAAATGAGCAAGATCGATCTGGCGCGCTGGTCTTCTGTGAAGTCACGTTTTGTTTTGTTTTATTTTGTTTTGTGTGGTTTGGTTTGGTTTGGTTGGGTCGTTGTTTGTGGGGGAACCCCCCACGTCCATTTCTCATTCCCATTTCCGTCTCGTCATACTATCCCTCTTCTAGCCTTTCTTGTACGTATGAACTCCCTTGGGGCTTGTTTTGTTTATTGGGCGTCGGTTCGAGATTTCCCGGGTGCTCTGTACAGCGAGAAAAGCACTCGCGGGACGCGTAGCAGGTCAATTTGAAATCAACTGTCCAGCTACCTGGTCAACCTATTATCTATCAATCTGGCAACCTACATTAAACCATGCCGCATGTACCTCTTGAGCGGATACCTATAGATTTGAGTAAATTCAAATCAAATCAGGTTGCACAAGTGCGTCGATCGGTAGGTAGATGATCGAAGCGATCTGCGGGAGTGGTGGGGTCAACTGGATTTACAAATATATACATCCGTTAATGTGACCTTTCCAGCACGCTCCATTACACCACGCTGTTAAAACACGAGCAGTTGGAACCAATCAATTAATACAGCCTCAACTCTGGGTTTACATCATTCCCCAAAAAACCAACTGCATGTCGATATTCTTCATATGCCACATAAATACAAAGAATGAGGGTATCTACAACATGTGGTCTGCCCGAAAGGTTCCCTAGCCGCGGGGGACCTCCCTCTTCCCCCCCCCCAAAACTACACGGCGGCCTCGTCCAACCCCATCCCACGCCCAATCTTGCGAATCAATGCGCGTTTGAGGAACGCCTCGCGCGCAAGACCGCGCGTATGTCGCGACCACGAATCGACGCCGATCACGCCCCGGACCAACGCAGACTGCAAGGCATACAGGGCATGCTGCAGGCCTTGTTCGTCGGCGACCAGATCGTAGAGTTGTTTCCCTACAACGGTTGGAGCAACGAGGACTTCGTCGATTGGGGGCAGGCCGGATGGCGAGTCAGCCGCGAGTGAGCTAGAAACTGATGCGGACCGGGCCTGCGCGTCTGCGATGGTCGCGTCCGCGCGGTGGATGGACTGCTGCAGGATCGCGGTGTTGGATTGGAGGGTTGCGTGTAGGGAAGTGAGCGCCGTGGCTTCACCCTGGAGCGTCGCCATGGCAGCCTCCAGGGACCGCGATTGCGAGACGAGAGATTGCGCTGCCGTGTCGGACTGCGCCGCGTGGCCATGAAGGGTCTCGGCGAGAGTTTGCGAGACAGCGAACAACAAGGCATCCTTTTCTGGATTGGGGGGGATGGGAGGTGCTGGTCCCGCGGAGGTGAATGATGGAAGCTCAAGTTCGAAAGGCGAGGTGAGGAGATCCGGGGCTTCTTTCTTCGGCGCAGGTACTGCCGGGGGTGGTCGTGGGTAGTTTTGTGGATAGGGAGAATGCTCTGGGTATGGGGGTCCTTGTGGTTGCCGTGGCTGTTGCTGGTGTTGGGGGGATGAGGGCTGATACCCCGGGTGTTGAGACGGAGGTGCTTGGGGTGTTGGTTGTACAAAAGTCCCTTGCCGTAGGGGCAGCGGAGACCCAGAAGGGGGCTCAGCCTGGTGTAAGAAGGCTGCTGGTGGATCAAAACTAGCAACCGGGCTAATCGGACCAGCAGGAGTTCTGCTATAAGCCGCCGGGTCTTGTTGCATGTGAGACTGTATAGGCGGTTGCGCCGCAACGAATTGCTGAGATGTTCGGCCCCCGGGACTCGTGATGCCCATATGACGCGAGATGGAGCTTCGGGAGGCTTCATGTCCCTTCGGAGGTAGTGGAGGAAGGGGCGCAGGAGATTGATATCGTTCTGTAGTTCGTGCCGGCGGGGGTTGAGGCTCGGTACCGGCGCCGATCTTTGGCGGCAGCTGTGGAGGTGTATTGGTTGCCAAATCGAGAGACTGTGTCCGAGCCGGGCTCTGAGATTGGGCTGTTGAAGGTCCCATACCAGGTGGTAAAGGTGGTACGGGTGGGGGTGGGGGTGGTGGTGTCTGTGTCTGCTGTGGCTGAGGCTGCGGTGGCATCGGTTGCCTGTATCTAACGGGGGGTTCTTTTGCGAACACTTCTCGGAGGATGGACAGCATATCGGAGATGGTTGACCTCTATAGGGACATAAAATATAAATCTAGTCAGCCTGCAGCGGGCACATCAGGAGGGTAATGCTACTCACGTCCCACGCCTCGGCCCAGTGGGCTAGATAGTGATGATATACCCGCCCTTCCAGCGTGACATGTTGTCCAACACGGACCGCCATATCTTGGGTAGGCGTTACATAGATCATTGGAGGCTCATGGGGGTAGGTATTTGGGATCCAGAGTGCGATCGGGAATCGGTATGTTGTGCCCCGGAAGGCGACAGGGAGCGTCCCCACCAGGTGCAGGAGGAGTGCTGAGAAGCCATTTTCGTACGCTGGAAGATGGTATATGTCAGAGTAATAGTCAGGAGCTGCATTGGGTAGCATAGCTCACTGTACACATCAGTACGAGGCGAGAGTGTAGGGTACTGGGCGAGCGCATTCGCAACATCGTGGTAGGCACGGTTGGGATCGTGGTAGGTCTGTTTGGGGTCGTAGTGGTCCTGAAGCGAAATTAGAGAGCTCCTCGCAATAGGCCTTAAGGGCACATACCTTGCTGAGAACCGAGTATAGCCAGTTCAGCGTCCGCTGGGGGACTGCCATGTTGATGGACGGAGGGGAGGAGGTGGGGGGAGGTGTAGGGGAAGAGTCGCAAGTTGCAGTGGTAGCCCTCCGCACCATGTTGGCTTCCCCGCAACCGTTCTTGGCGGCGTGGATTTCAACGGGTTCTCGCGATAAACACTTGCAGTTCGTCCCACAATTAATATGAAGCGAGTATATTTGGAATGAGCAGCGCTCTGCACTAATAAACTACTCGACTCCATAGGTGCTAGGTATGTCTCAGTATCCCTTTCTGCCTTACAGGAGTAAGTATGGTGAGTCTATTCGAATCGGGTTCCTTGAGATTCCTGGAATTCAACTTCTAAATCACCCATAACTAATGCCCGAATGGGTCACCATTTAAGAGATGGACAAGCAGATAAGTCTGGGCAATATTCTGGGTCTACTCATCTATCATTGCTCGTCTATTATGCTCTATATTTATACACTATTATGCAAACCGAAAACCAACTAATCAAAGATGGATGCCTTCATCGAGTTGGGCTGGATATACTCCGACGCGTTGCGGAAGCTGGTGAAGCCCCATCGAATCTGCGCCGCCATGGCAATCTCGACATCCAGGTCCTTGGCAAAGGCCCAGGCCAGACCGCTGTCACGTTGGAAGGCACGGCCAACCAGGATGACATCAATCCCCTCATCATTCATGACCTTCTCGGCAAGAACACCGCTGTTGATAGTGCCCACGGCGGAGACCAGGATCTTGTCGCCAACGGCCTTCTTGACGGCAGCGGAGAAGGGGACCTGGAAACCCACTCCAGAGGTGACCTTCTGGGCAGAGTGCACACCACCGGTGCTGATATCAATCAGATCAACCGCACCCTGCTCGGCAAGAGCACGGGAAAACTCGACCGTGTCCTCCAGCTTCCAGCCCTTCTCCTCGGGCAGGCTGTTCTCCAGCCAGTCGGTAGCAGATACACGGAGGAAAACGGGAATGTTGGGTCCAACCGTGTCACGGGTGAGCTGAGCGATCTCCAAAGAGAGACGGATGCGGTTCTCAAAGCTGCCACCATAGTCGTCGGTGCGCTTGTTGGCCGATGGGCTGAGGAAACAAGAGAGCAGGTATCCGTGGGCATTGTGAATTTCAATGAAGTCCACACCAGCTGCCAGAGCGCGCTTGGTGGCCGCAACCCACGCGTCCTTGACCTCCTGGATATCCTCCAGGGTCATTTCCTTGGGCACAATATCGCCCTCAGCGAAGGCAATGGCACTGGGGCTCTTGACATTTTCCACCCAGCCGCCAACAGCGTTGGTGGCCGTCATACCGCCGAGCCAGGGGGCCACCGTCGAGGCCTTACGACCCGCATGGGCCAATTGGATACCAATCTTCTGGCCCTGGCTGTGGGCGAACTCAACGACCTGCTTCAGCGGGGCGATTTGGGAGTCCTTCCAGAGACCCACACAGCCGGGGGTGATGCGGCCCTCGGGCACGACACTAGTGGCTTCGATGATGATCATTCCGGGACCGCGCTGGGCGATGCCGCCGTAGTGGGCGATGTGCCAGGGAGTCATGTGGCCATCATCGGCACTGTACTGGCACATGGGCGCCACCTATGGAGAGCAGAGGTGAGCATATGGGTTTCGGATAGTAGATGAGCATGAAACGCAGGGGAAGGGGGGAGGGGAAAGAAGAGACAACGGGACATACCCCTAGGCGGTTTTGGAAAGTCTTGCCTCGGATCGTCAGGGGCTGGAACAGCTTGGGAATGGGCTTGCCGCTGGCTTGTGGGTTGCGCGCAGTGCCTGCGGGCGGGCTCTGCGCGGGCGTGAAGTAGGAGATGCCCGCGGCAGCGGCAGTGGGGATGTCGGGCCAAGTCATGGTAACTGATGCGTGAATACAATTGAAAAACACACAATACAATCCAACGCTGCCAAATGACGGTCAACTAGAAAAGATTAAACGATTTGGGCCCGAATGGGTGTGACGCCGCACTTTATATACCTCGGTTCTGATTTCTAAGCCCTGAAGAGTTTGCAGCATCGCGGTATGGCGACCCGCCCAAACATCATGGATAGCACGGTTGATTTCAAAGAGTGACCAGAAGCAAAGCCCTTGCAAGTAAGCGGACCCTCCACACGGACCCACAGAGAGATGTCCTATTCGTAGAAAGGCACAATAACCTGCTGTTGCTCAGCACTCTAAATCGGCCCGAGCAGCAGCACAGTGCCTGAGAAATGTGAAAGTCTCCGAGGCGGGTGGGGCGGTCCAATGTGCGCCCGAAGGGAAGAGAATGGGACAGGCGGCATTGTCGAATATCGGGGACTATCAGACTGAAGTTGTGAGGTGATCAGACGGGTTGACTATGCGCTGGATGCGAGTATGCAAGTCTGCGAGTGTTGTGTGGGTTGTGTGTCCTCTTCGAAGCCGGTCAACGTTGACAACTATAAGTCGCACGTGATCTGCAGGGGTCGACATGGCACAAGCCCGAGGACGCAGTCGAGTCTACAAGTGGTCGAGGTGTCAAAGAGACAGTTTGGTTCTAACGCGAAGAAAGCTGTTTCAACCATCATTCCGTGCATGGTGCGCTTCTCATTGCCATCCGCCCTCGCCAAACTTGACCACTTTCAGCACTCCGCCCGGCAACAAAATGAAACCGCAGCCTTGAGACCCTCCTCTCCGCCTGGTCTGCAAAATCCGAGGAGGAACGAGGTTTCTGACCATAGCCGCGTGTCCGTCATGACAGACCTCAGACTTGCCAGGCGTCCACCGACTGGATGGCTTCTTGCCTGCCGGTAAGCCCGGCTTTGTGCCCGTCTTGATATTGTTCTCCCCGCCCCACTTTGCATTGTTCTCCCCACCGTGCCTGGCCGATTTGCACCATCCGGCATTGCCTCTCCGGATCCTTCCAAGAGTATATTCAACCTCCATTGTTTGTTTCGGCTCCATCATGCTACTGCTGAGTCAACTCCTCTCCCGCAGCCTGCGATACAGCTGCCCAAGATCTCGGCTGCTTCACTCTGAACCATGCTCGGCCTTTTTATACTGCAGAGCCAGAGCCCCCTGAGGAATTACCATATCATCTTGGATCTGCGCTCATCCCCAGCGACACGAATTACTTCAAGATTGAACGCCTCGTGGTTCCAATCACGTCACCATGGCGACCTTTGAACCCTACACGAAAACGCACCCGGAGAGACTGCCCGATTTTGACCCTTTCACGCAGTCCTTCAACTTGAGCTATCCCGATGGCACCCCCTTTACCATATCTGTGACCGATGTGGATACATTCATCCAGTACAACGTCCGAATCTGCATCAACTATGGGTCCCAATTCGGAGCGTCGATCGTACTGTTCGTGATCCTTCTGCTCCTAACCCGGCGGGAGAAGCGTGCGTCATCCGTGTTTCTTCTCAATTCCACGGCATTGCTATTCAACATCATCCGGCTACTCTTACAACTGATGCATTTCACTACCGGATTCGAGCATTTTTACCCATACTTCTCTCTGGACTACTTGCAGGTGAACCGTAGTGCATTTGCCATGTCCATCACGGGCAGTGTCTTCGAGTCACTGGTCGTTGCCTGTATTGAGGCCTCGCTAGTGGTCCAGGTACACGTGGTATGTGCAACCATACGCCGCCGCTATCGGTGGCCGCTCCTGGCCCTATCAATCGCAGTGGCCCTGGCGACTATTGCATTCCGCCTGGCATGGATGGTCGAGAATAGTATCGCCATCATGGAACTGTCCTACATGGACACAATCTGGTGGCTGGAGAGCGCCTGCAACATTGTGATTACCGTCAGTGTGTGCTTTTTCTGTGCCGTCTTCGTGACAAAGCTGGGGTTTGCTCTTCGTCAGCGACGTCGACTCGGGGTGCGAGATTTCGGGCCGATGAAGATCGTCTTTGTGGGTGGATGTCAGACATTGACCATCCCGGCTGTATTCTCCATCACCCAATACTTCGTCGTCTTCCCTGAGCTATCCTCGAACCTCTTGACCCTGGTCGCCATTTCCCTGCCGCTATCGTCCATCTGGGCTGGCGCCAATCTCGACCATGGGCAGCACAGCGATACTCAGCCCCTTCACCGCCGCAACCTCTGGCGTGCCCTTGCATTCGGAGTCAACAACACTACACTCAATAATGCCGCTTCGGAAAAGCAAACCTCGACAACCGGGATGACAGCCAGCACAGCTGCCAAAACTCTCTGCTATTCGAACCAGCCATTGAGCATGATGAGCAAGCAGTCGCATGATTCCATGGACCCCCTCGCAATTGCTGTGGAGCATGACATCTTCATTGACAGTATCCGACGGAAGCATTCCATCGTTTGAGAGGTTGACCTGAATCTGTCTTGTTCCAAGTCCATCCAGAACAATCGAAATGCAGAGCGGTCGGGTGATGGGGAAGTGCTCTCAGTAATCCGACGGTGTTCATTCTATCTCATTGGTTCCTTTCTCTTCCAAGATGATCTTCTTTCAGGGCGGGGAACATCTTTATGTAACTAATGTCATGTTTCACTTGCTTTCCTGTGTCGAAACTTCGTTTTATCTTTAACCAAACTGCCATGGGCATTCCATTCTCTTCTTTTCTCTCTTTATCGAATAAGATAGGATATGCATTCCTGAATGATAATTTTGACCCTTTTCAGCATGTCTCATCGCCGCCGACTTCTATTTGCGATTCTTCTGTGGTTCGTTTGGGATCGCAATATAACGAACATAGAGGAAGGATTACTTTTGCCTGTGGGCTTAGTCTGGGAGTTTCGCGAGTTAAAAACCATGCATATTCTCCCGAGCGGCTACCCCATGGACATTGTCTAGCGCTAAAATATGTGGCATGGTTCGCACTGTAGCGCCAAGTGGCTTGTTTGCCTCTTGAGTACATATTCATTTGGTCAAGTTTCTCGGTATGCTTATGTAGCGCTTTCGTCGAATACCTTCACCCCGAATTTCCACACCTGGTCTACAGCTAGATCCGAGGTTGACTGTCCCGGCACTGACTCCTCCCTTAAGACCACAAAGTCAGCATCAGCACCAGGTTGCAAAGTCCCTTTAATATGTGCCAAGCCAAGCACCGTAGCCGGTCTGGAAGTTACCGCCTGCAGCGCGACAGGAATAGAGACACCTGTCCACCGGCGGAAATTATTCAGACACTGGAGGAGCGTCACACAGCTAGAGCAATGTTGTTCAGCCTGTGGGGACAAAAGATCAAATGGGCAACGAAGCTATATTACCTTCCTGCGATGATATCCGTGCCTTCCAGCTTGACAGAAATACCCTTCTTCGTAAGCCGCCTTGTGAGCCAGTCAATGGTGCCATCCTCACCACCAAGAAGCAACAAGGCGTCAGTCACCAGCACGAGGCCTTCAGGGTGTGTCAGATAGGCCAGTCGGACACTCGCCGGATGAACATGATTCCCGTCTGCAATGATGCCAAAATAGGGACGATTGATCGCATCGCTGTTTCCGCTTTGCTTCAGGTTCTTAGCTTCATTCTGGGAATCCACATCGCTTGCGCCACCCAACATTCCTAATGGCCCAGGCTCACGGTGATGGTGGCCATTCATCTGATTATACAAATGGGTGATCATGGTCGCTCCTGCGTCAATTCCTGCCCTGGCCTGCTGGTAGTTGGCTGCCATATGACCGATACTCATGATGATTCCCTTTTGACTGAGTTGTCTGATGGTTTCTAAGCCACCTGGTCGCTCTGGTGCGATGGTGATCATGCGAACATGAGATGGGATTGAACCGGGCTCTTTCTCCACTGAGAGAAGATCTGAATCAACCAAATTGCTTGCTCCATAGGTTTCAAAAACACGCTTGGGTTCGCTGGTTGACCCGGAAGCGTGGATAGCATGAGGCAGATGGACCCCCATTCGATTATGGGCAAAGAAAGGTCCTTCGCAATGGGCGCCGAGGGACTCGGTTCCGTCATAAGGATCGCGGGAATTCGAAGGGCCTAGGAATGGTAGGTTCTAGATGTATCGTTAAATCATCAGTATGTCTACCCAACTCCCCAAAAGGACGCCCCAGCCCCCTTTGAAGCCAGGAAGCATTGCAATAGGAACAGTCCATTGACTAACCTGATGATATCGATCTGGCAACTGGCTCGTCATCGTAGGCAAGAAGCTGGTTGTACCGGTAGCGATGAGCTTCCGCCGGACATCACCGTACCGCTCAGTGTACGAGATGCCAGCATGCTCTCCGGCAGGGTCTTCCGAGAAATCAAAGCCATAGGCGCCATTGATCTGCAGATCCAAGAACCCCGGGGCCACAATGCGATTCTGGAGATCTATGGCTGACGCCGGCGATGCGGGGTTAGGCGGGGGGACGAAAACGCCAGCCTCAGGGTCACACCACAGGTCTCCCGAAACAAGTCGGTCGCCCGTAGCGAGGCGTGCATTGGTGAGATGAACGAGATGGGTCATGGTGGATTAATGTGGCCTACGAATAACATGTCAGTGTTAGGCAAAGACAAGATGGTGGTGTTTCCAAGCTTCGATATTACGGTAGGATCCAGGGGGGTGGACATACCCCCAACATGACCGGGTCCGAGGTAGCATCGGCTCGATACTCCCATTTCCATAGGGCTGAGCTAGCAAAAGATTAAGAAACGAAGGTTATTTACACACGGAACGCTCTATGTTATGAAACCATGATGCGCCAGAGGAGAACAAGACACAATCAGAAAAGCGGGTGCCAGAAGAACAACGACCACCAAAACCATCCCACATGCTATTGCAACTGAACATAGTTTGCTAAAGATGATTGTGAGCTGGAGCGCGGGAATGAGACATTAGGCCGACAATGCTTACCCGGAAATTGGCCTTCTCGGCCATCGACTCGCCCAGTCCACCACTCATTCTGGTTGTCCGTCCGTTGCACTATTTCGATCACATCACCCGCGGAAAATCCAAGATCGCCATGGGCCTGGGCCTCGTAGTCGTAAAGAGCGATCACCGTCTCCACAGGCTTGCTGAGATGCGATGGCTTAGCTCGTGGGGGTGGCGGAGCAGGTTTGCCCTTAGCGGCGGAGGAGAAGCTGCCCGTTGGGCTGGGGGTGGCGGCGGAGGAGTATGGTGGCGGAGGGTTTTCGTCAGCGGTAGAGGATGCGCGCCCGCGACCGGCCTTGGCCTCGGACGCCTTCAGGGAGCCCAGCTTTGAGTTAGTGCGACCGAGACCTTTCGTCTTGAAGTGGACGACGGTCAAGGCCTCCGCACGCTCCTGGACATCCCCCCGCTTCTGCTCGAAGGCCTCCTCGACGTCAAGAGCGAGGTTGAAATAGCTGATGCTCATGCCTTGCATCTTTTCGTGCAAAGTATAGAACACATTGAGTTGCATGTAGTAGAAGGACTGGAACAGCGGGCGAATGAACTCCGCCTCGAGGGCGAACAGCTTGGGCAGCTCCTCCTTCAGCAAATCGTTATAGTAGTTGTATTCTTGGGTGGCTTGCTCGACATCGTTCTCCGCCTTGTACAACGCCTTCTCGTCCTTGAGCGACTTATCCTTCTTATCCTGCAGCTTTTTCAGCGATGCGCGATGGCGATCGTAGTCCAGCTTCTTGTGGTCGCGTTTGACAGCAACCTTGCGGATCACCTTGATCACCTCCAGCAGCTGATCTGCAGGGCTGATTACCCGGCTCTCAATCATCTCCAGCTCGGGGGCCAAGGACTCCTGCAGTTCCCGTACGATGGTCTCATAATCTTCACAGGCCTGGATGCCCTCGGGGTTTCCTTCAAATTGGTAGGAATCCGGGTCGGAAGCGCGGCCGGAGATGGGTTTGTAGAGTTCGGCGATTGCTTTGGAGAATTCGATCTGGTGGTTCAACATGCCTGAGCTAGCAGTCAGCAATTTTCTTCCTCGCTCACACCCACTTCGATGCGCCCGCGGAACCGTCGGAACCCCTTGGGAGGTGTGTCCCTTACCGTTAATGGCCTCAAAATACTTCTTAGACTCGTCGTGCAGCTTCTTCGTCTCCTTCTCGAGCTCTTCGAAGCGACGCTCGGCGTCGGTATACACGACATCCTTGGTGTGTTCGCCGATGTTGAACTTGAGTTTGAACTGTTGCGGGGCCCGCACGAGGCTCTTCTGAAAGCCCTTGAAACTCATTGTGACGATGTTCGGGGGGGATTGGGGGAGCAGTATGGGAAGAGAAGAGGAGGAGGTGGCCAAGGCGGGGGGTTCGGCCTTTCCGTGGCCCAAGTTTCCCAGTCGCTTCACCTATGACATAAGACTCTCGGCGGACGCTACGCGGAGCTGACGGGTAATATTGTGGCTGTACCCGTGAATGATCGATCGGCTTCGCCCTACGACTCTTACGGCTAGGACGGTTTATGACGAAGTTCCGGTACCCGAACTCCTATAGTTTCGCCCCATTGTGGCGCATGGCGGTTGAACCTCGTGTTGTGGAGGAAGTGTTCCTCACAGGCACCAGAATTCCTGCAGGCCTGTTCCGGTGATGCCCAGCCCTACCCGAATGATGGAATAGGCAACCACCCGAACGGGCTACAGCCTGACCCAGATCATCTTCCATATTCGGGGAGGCACCATACTTCATAGTTTGTACTTGACCGTAGCTACTCGCTGACTGCGATGTCGGACTATTACTGGTAGTTTTTTTTCGCATACTCCGCGGGTACAATTGAGCGGCTCCTCAGGCGTATAGTTCCTACAAGCCCCCATCTGCAGTGAAATCCTCGACGCACTCCGTGTACCAGCTAACTCAGCCGGTATAGCTGACATTCCTATCACCATCACCATAACTAGTACTGTCACCACTCACCACCACTGTTGCAGTTACGCCGTGCCCAAATCCATGGATGATCATGGTCGTTGTTCCTGCCTCAGGCGTCTCCGGAGAAACCTGACCCCGGCGGCGCTCGAACGGGAAATCCCCGAGTTTATCGGGAAAATGTCACCGCCCGGCGATGTTTCTTCTAGTGGCGCGCTCTCCTCCCTCTCCCACATCTGCAGTATATTCCTCACATCATCGTCATAATGTCTACTGCTGCCCCTGCTGCTTGGAGACAGGCATCCCGCGCCTGTTCGAGGCGTCTGTCCTCGCACGGCGCCTGGACTGCCCCTCGCCGCGTCCTCGCCACTGCGGGCGTCCGAGGTGCCCGGTCCTATGTCACCGAGACCAAGGCCGGGCAAGCCCAGGTCAACGTGGAGACCGCGATCAAGGAGGAACAGAAGTCATTCATGAAGAAGGCTGGTGTCGCCCCCCAAAATGTCACCTTGCCCAGCTCCGCAACTTCGGGTGACGCCGCGATGAGCCCGTCTGCCGGCATCCTCAAGCAAGCCACCGTGATGGACCAGGGAACCCGTCCCATCTACCTTGATATGCAGGCGACCACCCCGCTCGATCCCCGTGTCCTCGATGCCATGCTACCCTACCTCACTGGAATCTACGGAAACCCGCACTCGCGCACCCACGCATACGGCTGGGAGTCTGAGAGGGCCGTCGAGCAGGCCCGTGAGAACATCGCCAAACTGATCGGTGCCGACCCTAAGGAAATCATCTTCACCAGCGGTGCGACCGAGAGTAACAACATGAGTTTGAAGGGTGTTGCGCGCTTCTTCGGCCGCTCGGGGAAGAAGAAGCACATCATTACGACCCAGACTGAACACAAATGTGTCTTGGATAGCTGCCGGCATCTACAGGATGAGGGCTTTGAGGTGACCTACTTACCCGTGCAGAGCAACGGTCTTATCCGCATGGAAGACCTGGAGGCTGCTATGCGCCCAGAGACTGCTATCGTCAGTATCATGGCTGTGAACAACGAGATTGGTGTGATTCAGCCCCTGGAGCAGATTGGCAAGCTGTGCCGGTCCAAGAAGGTCTTCTTCCACACCGATGGTGCTCAGGCCGTTGGAAAGATCCCTCTGGATGTGAACAAGCTGAACATCGACTTGATGTCGATTTCCAGCCACAAGATCTACGGTCCTAAGGGTATCGGTGCCTGCTACGTTCGCCGCCGCCCTCGTGTTCGCCTGGAACCCATCATCTCGGGCGGTGGCCAGGAGAGAGGTCTGCGCAGTGGAACTCTGGCCCCCCATTTGATTGTTGGATTTGGCGAGGCTTGCCGTCTCGCAGCTCAGGATATGGAGGTAAGAGCGATCTCCCCCCGCTTCTTTGAACCCTTTCATGATTATACTGCATCAAGAGATGTCAGATAGGCCTTGGGCGGTAGCTTCATTCCCATCAGGGAACTTTGTCCAAGGCCGATGACGTCGACGCAGGGGTAATGAGGCAATTGTGGATTTATTGTGCACGCGAACAGGCCGGCCACATTGTTTGGGATATTGGAACATGCAAATGCTAATTTCTACCCCGCTATCTAGTATGACACGAAGCACGTTCAGCGTCTTTCCCAGCGTCTCTCCGAGGGCCTGCTCTCGATGGAGCACACTACCCTGAATGGTGACCCCGAGCACCACTACCCCGGCTGTGTGAATGTCTCGTTCGCCTACGTCGAGGGTGAGTCGCTTCTGATGGCCCTCAAGGACATTGCCCTGTCTTCCGGTAGTGCATGCACATCGGCCTCTTTGGAGCCGAGCTACGTCCTGCGTGCCCTGGGAAGCAGCGACGAGAGCGCCCACAGCAGTATCCGCTTCGGCATTGGCCGATTCACCTCGGATGCTGAGATTGACTACGTTCTCACGGCCGTCCGGGACCGTGTGCATTTCCTGCGCGAGCTGAGCCCCCTCTGGGAGTTGGTGCAGGAGGGCATTGACCTGAACACGATCGAGTGGAGCCAACACTGATCTGGTCCCTTTCTTCCCTTCATCTTGCATGATTTCGTCTGGCATTAATATTCTCGCTGGATATGGCGTTGAAATTCTTTGGTGTAACAACAACCTTTTTGTACAGAATGCAAAATCCTCGTATCTTCATTACTCCTTCAGGCTCCCATGGTGTCTCTTGGGTCCATATTACATTCCATGTGGAAACCCGGCCATCACCGTTCAGCGGGGTGGGCTTGCACTCGTAGTCCCCTGGTCCGCCAGCTCGATTGATTCGTCCCGCACATCGAGCTGCACCGTCTTCAAGATCTGCAGGCCCCGCCCATCGACCGGGTCCACAATCGGGTCTTCCTCCCGCTCCCAACCCCGAGGTCGATCTGCACTCGCCGAACTTTGCGGGCCCAGCTTGTTCGATGCCGCGATATTGGCCGAACCATATTGTTTCGTTTTGGACCGGGACCCCGATGTCCCGTCGGTATAGGACAGGCCGTGTTTGTCCTCGTAGACCGCAATGAAGGATTTGAGGAATGCGGATATCAGGCTGACGACGCTGATCGCGATATATATCTCGGTTGTAATGGTGGCATAGGCCCCCAGCAGGATGGGATCGTCCGAATTGATTTGTTTGCTCACGTAGTAGAGATGAATGGCTGCGAGGGGGATGAGTCTGGGGGAGAGAGACAGGACGGGTTAGCTCGGGGGTTGGGAAGAACTTTGGGATGTTGCGCTCACAGCACACGACTCTCTAGCGTCACCCCAACCACCAGCTTCTTCTGTAACGAGATCCGGACTTTGTGAATTGCCAGTCCCGCATACACAAAGAGGAGAATCTCCGTCACGATATCAATGACGGTAATCGTGATCCAGCGGGGGAGCTATCGCATGGTCAGCTCGCTGATGCCCCCGTTGAGGCTCTCGTACGCTCTTACCAACCCGCTACATTCCGCCGCGCTAATGTCGTACCACGGTGTATCGCTACAACGAACCGCTAGGATGCTCACGGACAGGATGGTCCACGCAATGGTGACACCCAGAATCCCGCGGATCAGTTGCAGTCGCATCTGAGAGAAGAGCGTCTCATAGAACAGGCTCGACGTGATCTTCGAGCATCCTAAGACCAAGATCGAGAGAAGATCGGCCGCATATACGGTCTGCCCCATGGTTAATACCGGGAGAGCACGAGGGAGCCGGGCGCACGACTTGCCTTGAGCATCGGCTTGTTCGCAGGCGATATAAATTCGGTCCGCATGCCCCACCCCAGATGAACCTGCAAGAGCACCACTGCTATCTGCACCATTGCCAAAACCTATTTGGCGCAGGGTGAGTTAATTCTCTCGCGTGGGATCGATGGGCCATGAGGCCATGGGCCGACCTACCACAAGTATGGCAAATAAAAGGTCGTCTCGCTGCAACATCCGCCGCTGCAAGGAAGAATAGATACGAGCCGCGAGAGAAGACAGCACGAACACCAAGGACAACGACGTGATCACCACCACCAGCCCGCCATGATTATCGTCATTGTCCGTGGTGAGAGGAGGACTCACTCCCGAGGGCAGCGGTGTCGGTGTCGCCGAAGTGGCCGGCATGGCGGGCTCACGGGCAGCAGCAGCATGGGGACTCCTGGAGTCGGACTAAGCGTTAATACATATGGACGCCTAGGATGTGATCTTTAGAGGCGTGGGCGATCCTGCGTTTCGTTTTGTTCCTTTGTTCGGTCTCCTTGAGAAGGGGAGGGGGCCATCGAGGCGGGATGAGGTGCATTATGCAGGGTTCATGGGAAGGGGGTTTCGGCCAGCCAGTCCAGTCCAGTCCAGTCCAGTCAGGGTTGCAAGGCCAATCCTCGGAGCGCTTTGCAAGGGGCCCACGAGGCCCATTATCGCCACCGAGGATGTGGCCAGTCGAATCAACATCGGGAGCAGCCCGTGTGAGTGACACAGAAGTACATGCGTGTGCCCTTCTTTTCGGTCGGCCATGGCTTGGGGACACGGCCCCAGCCCCGATCGACGCGGTGTATGGCACTCTATCCATCCTGCTGGTTGGTGCATCGCCCCGTCGGAATTCTCGAGGTTTGAAATCGGGCCCAACCCGGATTGTGAGCCATGCCGATCAATGTTACAGTCCTGCAGCAGCAGCATGCGATGCCTCGCTGCGCCGTTGAGGTACGCCCTCCGATGGACTCCGTCCCAGGTACCAGCATCGCAGGAACCTCGATTACACCACAATGTTACCCAGGTAACTTTCTAGGTCCGGCAGGTAAGCACATTCGTGTATGTGGGCAAGGATCGGCACTTCTTTAGGCGCATCATATATGCAGGGAGGTAGCGCAGCAAATAAGCCAGTTACACCTTGAGCTTGCATGGCCGGAGGGTGGCGCAGCGTGGAAGGGGGAGGATTGGCGTGGGTTCATCTCGATCGCAACTCCCTCACGAGGAGTAGATGCGTCTAGAGAACTCTTTAGCACCCACGACCCAATATCTGGCCCCGCCAGGGCTGAGAGCGCGTTGCATGCAGTCCAGCCATTCCCCACATGGTCCACACGCGATAGAAGCAGCGACATGCGACTCGCTGTTAGCGTCCCTAAGCCCCTCTTCGCCCGTGACACGTACGCAGGCTTGGCGTAGTGCTTCCGACTGCGTTTGGTACCACTCATTGTCTTTTGGTCCCCGTTGGAGTGTTGGAGCCGATTGAACCACATGGCCGAGTTATGGTTCGCGGGTGGGCCAAGCGGGCCCGCGTGTGCCCGCCTCGGTCCCTGGGGGCTTCCCCGGTCCCTGGGGGGCATTCGTCGTGACGGAACTATGTATGGAGTACTTCATCCGGGTGCTTCAGTCGCCGCCCGGGCCCCCCAGGGATCGACCGGCCCACTCGCAGGGAAGAAACCAAGGCCTGCAAGCGGCCAGCCCCAGTGGAGAATGCAAGTGGTGTCGGGACCCTCTGCATTCTCCATCGGTACTGTGTACTCTCGAGCAGCAAGGTTAATACAGTTATCGTTGCCCCGCATGGATAATTCGGAAGAACTCACTCGCATCTGCCGTGGACGCTGTTCTGCGTTTACTCTCCGTTTTGCCCTCTCTCCTCCCCCGGCGCGCTCGCTCGGTAGTCGATACTCGATCGCCAACCATGCAGGCCCCGAACAAGGCAGCGAGACTGGAAGCGATGGACGTGGAGATTCTTCCCATGGACCCAGATGCACCGCCAGCCCAGAAATTAACCGTCTTGGATGACAATGACATGCAGCGCATGGGAAAGATCCAGGAACTCAAGGTATGTCAGATTGCTCGGCCGAGCCCCCCTTCGTGGCCCCCCGATCTCACATTCCCAACCAGCGAAATATGCGACCGGTGGCCGCCTTGAGTTTTGCCTCGGTTCTGCAGGCCACTTGGGAGTTTCTTTTGATGTGAGTGGATCCTTGGGCGCGACCAGCGGGGGGAAAGCGAGCGCAACTCTAACCGCGGGATGTATTGGGCAGCTCGAACGATCAGGGCTTGGAGAATGGCGGCCTCCCGGGCATGTTCTGGTCCTATATCTGGACCTTCATTGGCTTCGGATTCATTATCGTCTCCCTCTCGGAAATGGCGTCTATGGCGCCCACGTCGGGCGGACAATATCACTGGGTGTCCGAGTTTGCTTCCCCCCGACACCAGCAGTTCCTGAGCTATATCACCGGCTGGATGTCGGTATTGGCCTGGCAGGCTGGCGCGGCGTCGGGATCTTTCTTGACAGGAACCATCATTCAGGGCCTGATCAGTGTCCGGGATCCGAGCTATGAACCCCAAAACTGGCAGGGTACGCTGTTTGTGTTTGCGATGGTTCTGGTGATCTATATTGCCAACGTCTATGCGTCGGATTTGATGCCCATCCTGAATAACCTTCTCATGATTCTCCACGTTCTGTCCTGGGCCGTCATTTTGATCGTCCTGTGGGCCATGGCCCCTCATCAATCCGCCAAAGCCGTGTTTCTGTCGGGGTGGCAGAATCTGGGAGGTTGGTCCACGATGGGGTTGAGCGTGATGATCGGACAAATATCGGCTATCTACGGCTCACTGAGTAAGTCCCAGCCCACAGAAGCTGGCGTAGGTACCGGGGGAACTAACGCCCGCTCTAGGCTCTGATGCATGTGCGCATATGTCCGAAGAGGTCAAAGACGCTGGCCGAAACGTTCCGATTGCGATTGCCTGGGGATACTTCAGTAATGGTATCATGGCCACGATCTTACTCGTGACGTTGCTCTTCTCCATCCCGTCCGTGGAGGATGCGTTGAACGATGACACCGGGTTCCCGTTTATCTACGTCTTCAAAAACGCCACCTCTGTCGCCGGGGTGAATGGCCTCACGTCCATCATCCTCCTACCGGTGATTTTCAGCAACATTCTCTTTAATGCCTCGACCTCTCGCCAAACCTTTGCCTTTGCTCGCGACAAGGGCCTGCCATTCTCTCGATTTCTCAGCAAGGTGGATCCGAAGCGCCAAATCCCTGTGAATGCCATCGCCCTGTCCTGCGTGATCAGTTGCGCCTTGTCTCTCATCAATATCGGGTCGGAGACGGCATTCAATGCCATCATCTCGCTGAATGTGGCGGCCTTGATGTATACCTACATCATTTCCATCAGTTGCGTCATCTATCGGAAGATCTGGGATCCGAATAGTCTCCCCGCTCGCCAGTGGGATATGGGACGCTGGGGATTAGCGATCAACATCATTGCGCTCGTGTATTCCTGCTTTGCGCTGTTCTGGTCCCTCTGGCCGAGTGAGCGCAATATAACCGTGGACAACTTCAACTGGAGCGTGGTGATCTTCGGTGGAGTTTTCGTGATGAGCCTCTTCATGTATATGGTGAAGGGACGCAAGGAGTATGAGGGGCCGGCTGTTATCGTGCGGCCGTCTCATGGATAGTTCTCGATTGTATCAACAGCGGGTGGGCACATGTATAGAATGCGAGTCCTTGAACAGTTGTTGGTGGTATTGTAAAAACGGTTGTTTTACTTTGGTTCCAATCAAAGTTTTGGGTACATACATTTCAACCGGTCTCTTATATCATGATGGCTGGGCCAAATGAGGGCCCCCTTCGAAGAGTCAGTTTGACTCTCCTTGCACTTCGCTCGACTAGTACTAGTATTAGTACTAGTACGTACTGCAGCTTCTATTCCTTTACGTCTCCATCGTCACGTGAAGAGTAGTGACTTCGATCTCCCGACAATCACCTACTCACGTGATACCCCAGAACGGCACAATTAGCCCCTGCATGCACGCGCTATATTTCGTGCATTACTTGAAGGGAAGATTCTTCGGCACCAGCAGCAGTTACTAAACGGGCTTTGAACGTACCTCATCATCGGCTCAAATAATTAGTAGAAAAAACAAACCTCTTAATGATGTAGGTTCGTTCTGGGGGAGTTATGCAGTGCGCGGAACCGTTTTCCTGAGTCAGCTCCCACCCAAGGGGGAATCGAGAAAGAAGGAGGACTAGTTGGATAAGAAAAGCAACCACTGTAGGCATTCGACCACCAGTCCGAATGCATGCACTCGGCTGTTATGCGTCTGCTTCCCAAACAAGCTCATGGGTTGACGTTGGCACTGCCCTCCCCGGGATCGCCGCCCGGGACATTTCACCGTGAACATTTTGGGGTAGCGTAGGTGAAGGCGAACGAGCTAAAGTCTCGCTTAGCGACCGTCCATCGGAGAATACGCTCTGAAACCCACACAGCACGGCGTCCACAACGCCTCCGGTTCATTCTCTAGCACTCAGGCTAGTCACTGTGGCGGATGACCCCATCTCGCGCTCACCCAATCTAATTTGGTCGGTGGCGGAACGCAGGCCTAGCAGAGGGTCCGTTCCCTGGACAGGCCATGGGCCGATATAAACACCTTTAAAATGAACCTAAGCCCTTCATGAGCCCCTCTATTTTCTCCCCAGACGCTGGCGTCTCCGCCCCAAAATGCCCCCTCTAAAGCGTCTACCAAGCCGTCCTATATCGGAACCCCCGGACGGCCCAGAACCCTCCCACCCGCCCGCTGAGCATCCCGGATGACCCTCTGGGCTCTGACGCAATGAATAATAAACTCCAGTGTTTCTCCGGCCGATGCTTAGAAATGCCCCCACGGTGAACGGTTACGGGCACTTGCTCGGGCGGATATCCTGCCGGACCAGGAAGGAAAAACTCTGCTCAGACGATCAGACGATCAGACTCCCCCAGGGTTCCGTAGCAGACTCAGACTTATTCCCGCTATCGCTCCAAACATCCAGCAAGATCTGTTAGACAGAACCTCTGTTCCCTCAGACGGAAGCCCGCCACCTCCAGAAAGCCTAATTGTTCGCCTTCCCCCGTGCCACGTCTCTCCGTTCGCATCCGGTGGACAACCAGACCTTTAGCCTCTCCGGGAAAAAAAGGACGGGCACGCCACCCCTTCCTCCCTCACGCCCGGGGGAGTCCCTGTTCCTGGCAATTCTAGAAGGCCGTTACACTATCCCTCGTGCTTATATTCCTCCTTGAGCCCCCCCGCCTCAGGCCCGCGTGGGTAACTTATATGCTCTCCGCTTGATCTGGTCCGGTACCCGGCATCCGCGGAACTGCGATCCGGTTGCGCCTCCCATCTGCCGTGCCCGAACTCGAAGCACACGTGCCTCTTCAGGGCATCGATTGTTGCTTTTCTTCTCTCCTCTTCATATCTTGTCAAAATGTTGCCTCCGGTCCCGTCGCCGGCGGCGTATGGTATCTCGCCTGATCAGGGCTTTCTCCCGCCAGAGCCTCCTCTGGAGACTTTGCCGGACTTGTTTTACGCCAAGTGGGAGGAAATCGCCGCGAATCTGCAGCCGTTGCTGCTGAGCAGACGGATCCGGGCCGTCGTGGACCGAATGCCTCTTCTTTCCACCGTGCATTTGCATACAGATGCCGAGTGGCGGCGAGCTTATGTCGTCCTGGTGTTTATCCTCCATGGCTATGTTTGGGGAGGGGATCGGCCAGCCGAGGTATGAGAATTGCCGTCAGGGTGCTGACTATGTCCGACATATACTGACGGTTCCTGGTAAACAGAGAATCCCGCCGCAGTTGACGGTGCCATTGTTCGAAGTATGCGAGCGGCTCGAAGTACCGCCGGTAGCAACCTATGCCGGGGTCTGTCTCTGGAACTACAAGCCGATCTTCCCGGACGAACCCGCCGACGACCTGAATAACCTGGCGTGCTTACAGACCTTTACCGGCTCACTGGATGAGCAATGGTTTTACTTGGTCTCAGTGGCCATCGAAGCGCGGGGAGGCCCGTCGATTCCCCTTATGTTGGAGGCTATTGCCGCGGCTCGGGTAGGCAAGACCCGCGTGGTGACGGAATGCCTGCAGCAGTTGGCGGAAATCTTGGATGAGATTACTGCGCTATTACAGCGGATGTATGACAACTGCGACCCCTATGTCTTCTACAACCGCATTCGGCCCTACCTAGCCGGCAGCAAGAACATGGCCGACGCCGGGCTTCCTATGGGCCTTCTCTATGACGATGGCCGCAACCCGCCCGAATACCGCCAGTATGGCGGGGGCAGCAATGCCCAAAGCTCGCTGATCCAGTTTTTCGACATCGTCCTGGGTGTGGAGCATCGCCCTACCGGTGTAACCCGCAAAGATCAGAAGACAGCAGCCGCCTCGCGGGAGGACGGCCCTAAGTCCCGCCATGGCTTTATTCACGAGATGCGTGGCTACATGCCAGGTCCTCACCGACGCTTCCTGGAGGACGTGGATTCCATCGCCAACATCCGCCCCTTTGTCGACGCCCACCGCACCGACCCCGCTCTGAAGCTCGCCTACGACGCCTGCCTATCCATGCTGCGCACTATGCGCGACAAGCATATCCAGATCGTCTCGCGCTACATCATTGTTCAGTCCCGCGTGGCTCGCCGCGCATCACAGTCTGCCGGCTCCGACCAACAGCCACCGACGGTGAACCTTGCCACCGCCGTGCCGGCCGACAGTAAGAAGCTGCGGGGAACAGGCGGCACCGCGCTCATTCCATTCCTCAAGCAGGCGCGAGATGAGACCGGCGAGCCCGCCATCGACGCCTGGGCTAAGCGTCTGCTGAGCAACGGCCCTGCACGCGTGGGATTTGCCTCGCTCAGCAAGGTTGGCGAGCAGCCAGACGGCCACCTGGAAGTTGTCGGTCTTTGCGGGACATGGACCGCAGACGACAGCGAAGGCGGAATCTGCCACTGGTGATATGATGCGAAGACGACGATCCAATACGGGATATTGCATTTTTGGTTCCATCGACGAGCGTTGTGTTTAGCATGTTCTACGGAGTACGTTCCTTGCAGTTGCAGCGAACACTGGGTGTCTGGCGCCAGGGAAACTTAGCGTGATCTATTCTTGTCTTTTGTTTATTTTGTTTTGAGCATCTAGAATGCACATCACACCCCACTACACCCCACCACACCGTCACCTCCCTTCTAAAGCCCCCTCCAGTGACACGGCAGTAGTATCTACCCCGTATGCCACTTTCATCATACCCCCTCTACTCCATCCTATCAAGTCATAATCAAGGAGAGGTCTCCGTCAGATGTCATTCGCAGCTGGCCCCACCATAGCGCGTAGGAAAGTCATGACGCACTTGCAGGGGAAAGGCTTAGTCTTTGCTCATCACGTGCTATGACATCATCCACTGATGTCATTGAGCTTCCTGGGGCATCGTGCCTGGCCGTTTGCTTGCCTTGGGACTCAAGGAAATTGTGTGTATATAAGGAGCAAAGGTGCCAGGGTCAGGGGGAAAGCATAATCTAAACAATCACTCCAAACATAATTTCTCCGTTCATCACTCTGCAATCTCCAACTACCATCCACCTTCACCTACAAGCTTCATCGAACGATCAACAATGTCTGACAACAACTCCTCCACCCTTGGCTCTTATGTCAACCAGGCGACTGGCATGGCCCAGCGTGCCTTCGGGGCCGTGACTGGCGATTCATCTGCCCAGGTATGTATCGGTGGCCGGACACCCACGACACCCACCCAATTCAACAAGTCGAAGCAGCGAACTAACACTCTCTCCCCCCGTCAGAACAAGGGCGAGCTCTCCCAGGAGCAGGCCCAGGCTCAGCACGAGAATTCCCACACCACTGCCAAACTGGGCAACACCACTGCCGACCCCAACACTGGCGCCATCGCCAAGGATGATCCCAACCGCTCGACCGGCTCGTGGGACCAGACCCTCGGCTCCGCCAAGGAGGCCATCGGTAACGCAATCGGCAACGAGAACCTCCGACAGGCTGGTGTCCAGCAGAACGCAGCCGGCAAGGAGCAGGAGGCAAAGGGCCAGCTGAAGGACTGGGGTGAGGGCATTCAAAACCGGGCCCAGGGTCACTTGGGTGCCGTCGGGGCCGCGATCACCGGTGACCGTGAGGAGCAGAAGAAGTATGAGGATATTCACGACGAAGGCAAAGTGCGCCAGCGTGGTGCAGAGGCGGACATGGCCAAGCGCCAGGGCCAGGATCTTTAAGCCCATCCCGTTGAGATTCTTCTGGTCTTCTGGCCATGGATGGATCTGGATGATCGTCTGTAAGGCCGGGGTCTAGCCACTTTTGCTTTCGGATTTGTTTTACTATTATGATCTCTTGACGACTGGTTTATGATATCCAATTTGACTTGCCTTTCGAAACATTTGAATCCTGTCAGCGTTGTCCTTTTGTAGATGAAGGTGTCAGACCAATAAATTAAGGTATAGACTAAGAATGTTGCCTATAGTGCATTTTTGGTCTAGTAGTGATTTTGCCTAGCATTTAGCCTTCTTTGGTCTTGACAGAAGGCTTCCCCTATCGACAGATTGGTTTGCTGTGCTGCATTCAATGCCAGTGGTGGATTCCGCAGGAGATTAGCATCTTCATACGAAGCAAGTTCCTTGATCGACTGCAGATCACGGGGCTCCATCCGGCAACGGGCGTATCGATATCAGTCCAACTTCCGGCACAGCCATACACTGATACACTGATACACTGATCTCTCCTGCAAGACATTCGGTCCACCATAGAATTGCTTCAGTTCTGCGAAGCGGTTCACAGCCAGAGTGACATGCATATTGCTCCCCCGCTTTCGACAGTAGCGCGGCCGGGCATGCGCGCCTTCGATCCTCGGTCCGTCTCGAGTCCAGCCCCAACCAGCGCCAGACGCCGCTGAACAGGGTAAGACAAGCCATTGGATGCAGCCGGCCAGGGAAGTTTCCCTTCCCCGCCGCATAAGCCTGGTAACTGGCATACGCAGAGAAATCCGCGCAGGCTGCCGAGGAAGGCCGGATCGGCGGCCAAGAAGAGGGTTAAGCATTTGCTATAGTCCTACTCGTCCCAAGCGAAGCCTGTTGTACCTTCTGGCAGGCCCTCTCTCTCAACCATTCCTTTCCACTTTCACGATTTACGAGTTACGATGAAGTTCACGGCCATTGTTCTGGCTCTTGCGGGGACGGCTTGGGGCGCCGCACCGCAACGGCGTGATGATACTGCGGCTACGACGGCAATTGCCACGGCCACTGATGCGGGTGGCTTCAATATCGAGCAGATCTCGAGTGCACTGTGAGCCCAGCGATCCTCAGGACTCACCCTCTCCTCGTTGAAGTGCTTGGGTTGACACTCATACTACACAGCGCCCATCTCTCCATGGACACCACCGCGAGCGCCAACTTCGCTAATATCTCGCCGCCGCCTAAAAAGCTCATTCCTGAGTTGCTATCGGTGGTCCCGGTGACCGTTCTCTTGGAACTCGTCGACGCCCAGTCGCGCAGCTCGCTGGCGAGCGAATTCAGGGCTGGAAACACGCCAGCGTGGTACAACAGCCTTCCAGCGGATGTGAAGAGTTACATATCCGTGGTGAAGTCGCAGATCTTGGGGGGAGCGTTGACGGCGACTACTGGCCTGGCGTACGAGACTAGTAGTGCCAGCAGTGCCGGCGGCACGGGAGCGACAGCAACGGCAGCCTCTTCGACGGCGACCGGGGCGACCTCGAGCTCGACCTCGAAGGGCCTGGCGGCGTCGCAGCCGGCGGGGCTGACTGCATCGGTGATCGGGGCATTGAGTGTTCTTGGGTTAGCCCTGGCGCTGTAGGTGGGTTGATGGGAATGGGTGGGGGGACAGGCTTGTTGGGGCTTGTCTTACCCTGCTGGCCGGGGGAGGAGGAGGAGGAGGAGGAGGGGGGAGAATCCCGACAAGCAGACAATCCCAAAATCCTGGCCATTTGATCCGTTTCCGGGCACTGCTGCAGTCTGCCAGTCGCACGAAGTACGAATGGCGAGGCTGATGATGGCCATGAGTTCCAGTTCACGCGTACATAGTGCATAGACCGTGATGAGCGTGCATGACAGCCTGGTCGCTGTGCTGCAATCAGAAGCCAACCAATGGATTCCAATCACTCTAGGCTTGTTTCCGGTTATGCTCCAATTTGCGGTTCCTGCTTTTCTGCTTCTCTGCGGTGGCTTGCTGCAGGGCCGGAGGTTTGCTGAGCAAGTGGCTTTTCTCCCCCCAGCGAACCGTGGCCCGCCCGCGAACCAACCGCCGCAACCTTGTCGAGAGTGCGCCAGCCTCACATGCCTCTCCTCGGGGTTCCAATCCCAGTTCCAAGGCCGCCAGAATCGATGAACGACTTGTCTCGAGATTAACGATCCTCAGCGTGCGGATGACGCAGTCCCACTCGCGCACCGGAAGGGCGCTGCGATAGTTATACTCCGACGTCCGGAGTACAGAGGACAGAGTACGGAGTACAGAGTACAGAGGGCCACCTCGGCCGATGCCGATCGCTACCGAAGAGAACTCAAGCCCCGCCAGTGAGCTGCAAAGTGACAGGTCCAGCCCGTGGCCAGGCCAATCACTGGCTAGTTCCCACAACCACTCCACGACGGCGCGCACTACGAGGGGGCCGGCTCGAACCCACCGTGAACGACCCAGTTACTGAGACTTTGGGTTCCCTTTTAGCGTTCCTTTAGCGTGAAAAGGGGCTCTCGCCCGCCTGAGTCGGCCCTCCGAAGGGGTCCGATCGCCCGGGAGCCGATCAATTCCCGAGTTGGGCCGTCCGGGGTTGAGTCTATGCGGGGATCACAGCCTTTTCCAACCCTCTTCCAGCATGGCTCAGTCCGGCTCGTGTCAACTGCGCCATGTGTACGGAGTAGTCCGTCCTCCACCCCATTTCACGTCCTACTCACATGTTGGCGCTATTGTTCCCGTCCCGCAATCGACCTCGGCGTGACATACCCGATCCTCAATCGCGATCCATGCCCATCCGGTCTGAGCCTGTTTTGCTTGTGACGGGCTGCGCGATGGGCATTGGCTGCGGCACAGCCTCGGGGATTTTGCAGCTTCGCAGGTCACCAACATCGTACCTAGCAGGGAGAACTGAGACCCGCGAACCCAGAAAAGAGGAGAAGAGAGGAGACTGCCCGGACGGGACCACGGGCGTGGTCTAGATGGCGTGCAGCGAGGAGAGACCGTCGAGCACCCATGGGAGCCTCGCTTATAAAGATCCTGCCAGGCGTGGGAGCACGCTACACGCCTACCTGGGTCCTACTTAGTGCCATCCACCTCCATTGCCTTTCCGTATCGGCGATCATCCCTTTCCTTTCAGCTCCCTCCATCACTCCATAACCACCCTCTTCCCCCACCCCACCAAAAACAGAAAATTCACAATGCGTGTCTCCCGGCTGCTTCTCTCTCTCGCCGCGGCCCCGCTGGCCTGGGCCAATCCCCGGCCGAACCCTGTAGCAGCACCCGCGCCGGATAGTACTGGCTTGCTCGCCGAGTTACCGAGTATCCTCAGCGGTGTCCAGGAGCTTCTCAGCCAAGATACCATCACCAAACTCGAGACCATCATTGACGGGGCGGCCAAGCTGCTGACCTCGGACAATGTCGATGTCCTGCAGGATATCCTGGGTAACGCGCACACCCTGTTAACCAAGGACTTTGTGTCCAACACCACCACACTCATCGGGGATGCCACACCGGTATGTATTCTTCCCCGGAGACCGTCCAGCTTCAGGAGAGAAATCCACAAGACTCACACAATGGCGATGGGCACAGCTGGTGGAAGATGTCTCAAAGCTGCTGGGCAGCATACTGGGGACGCTATAGGGAACCGCAATAGGGAACCGCAATGCCAATTGGGGGACACGCCAATGAGGGCCATGACATGTTTGTTTTTGGCTGGGGAGTGGGAGGGGGGGAAGAGTTTCTTTTCACCGTTCTTGTTATACTTGACATGATTTGATGATAGCTTACGAAGATCAAATGGGGGATATCAATAGGCATCTATAAATATATCCATATCCATTATCCATATATATATCAGCCTCGACAATCCCAATTCACAATTCACTAGGTAATGGAAGGGGGCCGCCCTCGTCAAGCAGCGCAGCGAGCGTATCTCATAGAGAATGGGTATATACACATGAACCAAATTAATCATGACAAATCGAGAAAGAAAAAACCAACAAAGCAAAAAAAAAAAAAAAAAGACCGACCCCCGTTCCACCATCCTGCGGGTTGCTCATCTTCCCATTTTTCGCGTGCCCCGGCCCATCGCATTTAAACCACGTTCAACTTCTCGCGCAGGCGCTCCTGATAGTATTTCAGCGGGTACGAGCGCAGCTTATTCGGCATGGCCGGGTACACCGCGACCGAGAAGCCCATCCAGCTGCGGTACAGCAAGCGCGTGCGCGTGGAGGAGCGCAGCCCATAGGCCTCCCGTAGCGTAGGCGGGAGCATCTCGATGGTGACGGCGCGGAGGAAAGGCTTCAGATTCTGCACCCAGCGCGGCATCTCGGTGCTCTCGCGCAAATCCTTGGCGAACTGGGCGGCATCGGTCGACACCGCCAGCGTGCTGATCTGGTCGTCCCAGTAGGACCAGAAGGCCTGGCGGGTCTCGGGCCAGGTGCCGGGTGGTACGCCCAGATAGCTCATCAACAGGGTGAACTCCGAGTAGCCGCGTTGGGCGGTCTGGTAGTCGACGCGGCCGTAGACGCGCTGGTAGAAGTCGGTCGAGGTGGCGTAGAGGGTGGCCGCCATCCACAGCTGCAGCTTGGGGTGGTGCGCGAAGCGGTTGTTGCGCCCGCCGCCGAGGCCGGGGGTCTCACCGCGCTGCAGCAGGTCCAGCAGGGTTTTGCGCTCGGCGCGGGTGCCGAAGACGAGGGTGGAGATGTAGCTGATGTGCGCCTGGAGCGCGTCGATGAGCTCGGTGGCCAGGGCCTGGTGGCCGCCGTCTGGGTGTTCAGTCTCGCGGATGGCGGGGAGCGCGGCTTGCAGCAGGAGGGCGGCCCCTGAACCCGCGAAGAGGATGCCCTCTTGGAGAATTTGGGGGAGGATCTCGAGTTGCTCGAGGGCGTGAAGACGGCCGGAGTCGTTGGTGGAGGCGGTGGCTGTGGTGGCCTCGAGCTGCTTCTCGTCGACGGGCGACGGGGGGAGGACATGATGGCGGTGATGGGATGGATATCAGTGACGGATATTATCGAGAATTCAGGGGAGAGGGGAAGTTGTTTATCGTCGAAGTTCTCTCAAGATAGGGCCCGAGGGGGGGGGGGTTGTACATGCAGTGATGATTGATAGTATACGCGAACGGGGGACCAGAACTATGAGACTCCCGTGGCTCGCCATTAAATTCCTCCTATTTGCCAACCTCACCCTTTTCTTGGTTCACCTTCCCCCGCAGCCGAACCCCAGACGGAAAAGTCAAAGCATCAAGTCCGAGTCCCACCGAGTCCACTTGCTTCGGTCACACTACGCCAGTCCGTCGGCAGCCACCGCCAAGCGCCTCCGCCGATCGACCAGCTCGGCCCATGTGAACCTTCCCCTGGCCCTGTTCTGGATTGCTCCCCTCTTTGGGATGTGGACCAGCCGCGGTTCGCAGTCGATCGCCATTTGAGTGCGGCAATCCCTACTGCGTTCGTGCCCAGTGCCTCGTGGATCTTGTCCTAAAGAGGGAATAGTGCTCCGAGCAAGCCCTGATCCACTGGCCTTCGCATCCACTTTGCGCCTGGTCCCCCCCCGCCGGCTCAAGCTGGTCATTCCTAGCTTCTCGCGATGTGGACTCTCTCGTCTTATTTCGCTTCGCCTGGATAGGCACAGGATGCTCAGGTCCCAGGCGACCACGGGCGATGGCGTCCCCGGGGACCCGATACCCCGTATATCCCCATACTCCAAGACCCCAAAAGGCTAAACAACGGAGACAAAGACTAAAAACACTTAATCGTCCCGCGCTTTCTTTTCGTCTATTCTCCGGAGGTTGACTCTTCGCACCCTGTACACACAGACTCCACGCTCGGGCTCCAGCTGTGAAGCGTCCCATACATATACGCCCCCATCTCTTTTCCCCTTCCCCTTTCCCCTTCCCCTTCCCCTTCCCCTTCCCCGTCTCCGTCTGCGTCTCCGTCCTCGCCTGTCGCCTCTCCCCCCTCTGAGCCGTCATCATGGGCAAGCAGTCTGACGACCGGCCGGCCTACCTGAGCTCCGATGATGCGAAATACTCGCTCGGGGTGCATCGTGGCCCATTGGCCTCGGCTGGCTACGACGACACCTCCAAGCTCGAGCAGGTCGAGTCCGCGGGAGGCGTCTCACTGGCCACCACCCATCGCACGCGCAAGCAGAAGCTGGCGCGCCATTGGAAGCGTTTCTGGTGCTGCTACTTGATTGGCAATGTGATCTTCCTGGCCATTTTCCTTCCGGTATTGTAAGTCGCCTTTCACGGCCCATTCTCTCTTCTGGGCGACGTATACGTCGAAGTATACGGGCAATGGTGCTCATTCACAGTCCCACAGCTTCCTCGTCATCATCCCGGCCATCTCCCAGCTGGTCGTCAACAAGTCCAGCCTGGTTCTCGTCAACGCCGCAGTCATGCAGCCCCGTCCCGATTCGATCCAGCTGACACTGGAATCGGCATTGGATCTGAAGATCGCATTGGACGTGCGCATTGAACCCATCACGCTGAACCTGTTTAACCGCGACACAGGCCCCGAGCAGCCGTGGGCAAATATCACCATCGATGGCAAGACCATCAAGGGCAACACCACCCTCGGTGTCAGCGACCAGTATACCCCGCTGACCAACGAGACCATCTGGACCAACTACGTGCATGACGTTGTGTTCAACAAGGAATCAGCCTTGTCCCTCAAGGGCTCCACCAATTCCTACCTCGGAGTGCTCAAATCGCATGTGACCATGGACAAGGACGTGTTGTCGCCAAGTAAGTCAACTTCCCTTCGGTGGTTCGGACGAGTGCTCATGACCGGCCCGCAGCGCTGAACTCATTCGATGGGTTCACCATCTCCGACAGCACCCTGCTCTTCCCCGCCCGCGACGACGGCACTAACCTCATCGGCAATGCCACTCTGCCCAACCCGTCCGTGCTGACCATCGAGATCGGCACCATTATCCTGGACATCTACAGCGGCAGCCTTCTGGTCGGCAACGCCACCCTGACAGACTTCACCCTGAAGCCGGGGAACCACTCGGCTCCGCTTACCGGAGTTTTGGACCTGGCCAAGATCATCAAGAACCTGGGCGCAGTGCTCAAGTCGCAGGCGACGGCCCTCAAGTCGGGCAACCTGGCCCTCGACACGGTCACGCGGTCCGTGGTCTGGAACGGCACCGAGGTCCCCTACTACACCAAGGTCATGTCCGAGCTCACGCTCACTGCGAACGTGGGCGTGGTCTCGACCTTGAAGAACACCTTGCACAACCTGCTGCATGGCGACGGCAGCAGCGGTGGTAACCTGTCCTCCATCATCTCGAGCCTGAATCTCACGTCCGCCGTGGACTCGGTGAAGGAGAACCTGTCCTCGACTAACAGCAGCAGTAGCGAGCTATCCTCCGCGCTGAAGCGCAACGTCCATCTCATGGGCGCGTTCAAGGATGAGCACCCTGTCAAGCGGGAAGCGATGATCCACTCGCTGGCCGAGCTCTATGTGAACGCATGAGCGCTGTCCCTGACTTTGTTGTTACGTTTTGTGGATTTTGGGCGTATATCGTCTGCCATGCAACGCGGGCCGGGCAACCCCTGTACAGAAAAACCCCCCGCACCGGCCACGCTCTGCTTGATGCCGACACGATTGTGAACTGACCGTGACTTGTGATTCCCCCGGGCCTATCTACATTGAATGGGTGGCCTTTCTTGACGGGCCATGGAGTTAATGGGTTTCTCCGTGCTATGATTGACTGCATATTTGGTTTATATACCTGCACAACACCTGGTGCAGATACCGCGCCCCAGACCATGCCATTCAATTGGCCACGTTCCTGGGTAGGGGGCGGGTATCGCGACACTGGTAGATGCAGACGATAATACATAAAGCAACGACTGAACGAATCATTTGATCCCTCTATTCAATAACAACCTATTTCAAGCGGCTCAGGCATTGTAGCCATTGTAGCCATTGTAGCCTCCGTATGGACAATTCTATGCATGTGAATCGGGGCTGTGATGCACCTTGTAGATCAGCACGATCTAAGGTTAACGGTTTGGTTTTTGACTTTGGTGTGATGCTTAGTGCATGCAAGGTGATGAGGCTCTGTTCTGATGCCAAGTGCTGTTATAGCGGGACAGCTTCCCCCGGGGGTAGGCGACCCGTTCTGCGTGCAGTTCATCTTATGAAGGCTCATACTGTGAATGTCTCCTTTCTCCGCAAGCCTTGGTGGTGTGCATGTCTTCTGATCTCTTCGCCTTCCCCTCGGTCTGCTCTGTCGAGATACATAGCGGGCTCCATTCACCACGTTTCCCCGTATTTCTTTGGCTTGCTTTCCCGCTATCTGCGTTATTTACGCTAGCAGTGCGGGGTGCGGCTGCCAGAACGATATCATCCACTATAATCTAACCTGCGGAAAGGCGATTGCGTACCGGATTAGTTTGCGACTAGCATCGTGGTGATCTATTGGACATGCCACCTTACGGAGCAGCCGGGCTTCGGCCCAATTAGCTGGACTTTGCAGGCAGTCAGATAAGAGCGGCGTTAGCTGCAAGTGGCGGCAGGTGTGGTGCTTGGCGAGTGGCGAAGCAGCGTCGACATTCCAAGTGCTGACTGCGGCATACTTCAATCTCTGCATGTACTCGATCCCGGCGAGGATCCTATTGGACCAGCAGCCCCCTGGCGCCAACGCTGTATCTTGGCCACGAAGGCTTGCAGACACCGCAGCCAGCCGAGTCAACCAACCAGCAAGGCGAACGCAGCCGGCCTCACACCGTGAAGATTTCTGCGTTGAGCGAACAGGTGGCGGAGGCAATCAGTTGGGCCGTTTGAATTAAAATCACAAAGGGGGGGGGGGAAATACATGATTCCAAGCTGATCAGCAAGCAGCCCCCACCTCCCCCGAATAAAACATTTAGTCTAGTATCTCGAATAAATTTATCTAGATTGCCTATAGTTCTAATTAGACTGCGGCATATGCTATAATCACCAGGCCAGATGATCGTATTGTGATCCTCCCATTCCAGCTAGCTTGTGTCTAAGCGCACACCGCCGTGGAAGCCAGAGTCGCATGAAGCCGTGTTTTACCTCGCTGTTCAGGCGCCAGTTTCTCAGCCGTCGAAGGCCCGGTTACATTAGATCCAACAATACGAAAGCTGCCCGAGAAGGCACATACGGAGAGATGATTGAGCCCATTGGGTCAATCGGCAGCCCAAATAGATACTTCTGGAAGCAAGCTCCAAACAGGACCGCGGTTGTACAGCAATGGGACGCTCTCGCCTGTCGATGCGAACTGCATCTTATTAAAGTATCAATATGTCAAAGGTTATGAGATTCCTGGGAATGGACCTCCAGTTCAAACAGTCCAAGAATTCTCAGTGCGACGTAGCTTAGCTTCACATTATAACTTTTTCTCTCTCTCTCTCTCTCTCTCTCTGTTGGCTACGCAGCAGCAGTCAGCTGTGAGTTGGTATTACTACGCAGTATGTAGCACATCCAGCCTGGGACAGTAACAGTAGCTTATCCCATCATCGCAGCCAATATCCCCGTCGAATAGCTTGATAAAGCGGGACAGCCTCCTTGATGAGGCCTCCACGCGAAGTCGTCGGCTTGGGCAGCACCACCGGGAAGATACTCTGCGGGGTCGCAGATGTCTTGAGAGTCTGTACCGATGAAAGTGTAGGAAAGTGAAGCGCGGGATCAAAACTGATCAGGATGAGCGCTCGATGGCTGGGCGGGAGGCCCGCGGACGTGACGGAGTAGACAAGGGTGCGCTCGTCGGAAATGGCGTCTACTATCCCGGAGTGCGGGTCTGGGCAGAGGAGGTGGTGCAGTTCGGCAGGGGCGTCTTCTCGGGGCCACAGATGAACACCGCGAGAGTCGAAGCGCTCCTCGGCGCCTTCCACGGGACGGCCGTCGGCGTCGGTTTGGGTGGGACGGAAGAGGAGGCCTGGTTCGCCAGCGATGCCTTGTTCGTCAATGGGGCATTTGCGCTTGCGGGAGACGGTACGCAGGCGCAGACGATCGCGGACTCGGACGCCGTCTGCTTGGGGCGCGGGGTCATTGACGAGGTCGACGAACGTGGCGGCGGCGAGGTGGTAACTGCGGTGCTTGGTGCGCGCGGCGATGAATTCTTGTCGCTGTTGCGGGTCATCGCTGAGCTCGTATTCGGCGTGGTAATTCCGCCGGACACGCTTTTCGGGGCGGTGGTCATACGCCTGGTCGATCTCGGGGTCTTTGGTATTGCTATCTGCTTCGTCGTCGTCAAAGACGGAGGCGCTCCTCGCAGGCGACTTGACGTCTCCCTCAGGGTGTGCTGCGAGCATTTCTGCCGGGGTCGACAGGGGTTCAATATAGGTTGTTCGGTGGTTCTCACTTTTCCCATCGCGCCATTCACGGCGACATTCGATAATGACCGGGCGCCCGGTGGTCTCATCTGTTCGGATCGCAAGATCCGTCCACATCTCGTTGATGGGACCTTCACAATGCTCGCGGCGCCACAGGCGGCCGCTCCACTTCCGGCCCTTCTGGCGGGGCGCATAGCAGAACCAGTGATAGAAAGAGGAAAATCGCTCATCGTCGTCCGAGGTAACCTGCGTCGACACGGCGTAGAGGTGGTCCTGGTACGTTTCGAAGCAGAGGGTCTGGCCAATATCCTCGTCGACCACCCGATCTAAAAGAAACTCGATGGTTTCATCCGTGGCCAGGTCCATCCCGTAACATTGCCAGGCACCTTGTGACCCGAGTGCGGCCGTAAATATGCCGTACCAGATATACGAGCGACTATGCCGTACGAAGATCGCGGCCTCGGCGGGAATGGACTTCTGGAGGAGTAACCGCCTGCGGCGCGACTGCCGCAAGGCCATATCAATCGCAATCAGCAGGTCATCCTGGGCGCCGATGCCCTGAAGACGAAACACGAGGATTCCCTCGCTATAGTGGACGAGTTCCACGCGCTCCGCGGGGTCGGGGCTCGCAAGGTCGAAACTCCCCGCAGGCGGGCCCCCGTCCAGACGAGGGATGACCTCGTATAGATTCAAGACACGCTCCTGGCGCGCACCACGATGCACGTTCAGCACACGGATTTCGTGCCCAACGCGATAGCACAGGATGCCTTGGTGATAGAGAAAATCGGCCGCATATGCCAGGACGGCGACTGCATAGGGTGCTGCCGTGGCGACCGCTTCGTGGATATCGAAGCGACGCCCGACAGCCTTGCGGTAGCCGGACTGGGCCGCCAAGGCGGCGCGGCCCTCCTTGCTGTGGGCGAGGACACTCTGCAGAGGCGGTGGATGATCAGCAAACCATGCCTAGAGGTACTATCCTAACTTTGGTATGGAGTACCATTTGCAGGACAGAGAGTCTCATTTCGGGGAGTTGGTTTCAGGGTTGGCCTTGGCCCTTCAGGGAGGAAAGGAGGGGGCCGGACTCTGGAAAGTGGCTTTTTGGCTTTTTGGGGAGGGGAAAAAAACCCTATAGCAGGGCACAGGCATGCGGCTCTTACCTCGACCGTCTTGCGCGCGATGAGGTCACTGTCCATCAACGCATGGATAGCGCAGTTGGTGCGGCTCAGGTGGATGCAGTCGCGATCATCCAGCAAGGTGGCGATCTGGTAAAAGACATCGAAGGGGAGGGAATCAAGGTTGAGAGGAGGATAGGAGGTCGGCATGGCTGGAGACTGTTAGAAGCTCGGAGAGCCCAGACAGCCCAGAATAGGTGGGAATGGATAGTGGAAGAGGCAGCGGTGATGTTACCATGAAGGGGCCATCGTGAAATGACTGTAGTAATTAGGAATCTCCGATAAAATTGAGATAATGACTGGTGAATTGATAGAGAGAGAGAGAGAGAGAGAGAGTAGGACAGCAGGAAGGGATTGATGTCTGACGTGGGTCCAGTCACGAAGGGGGAATGTGTGGAGGGAGGAGAGTGAGGAGGTCAAGAGAGATCGTGGTCGAAGTGATTGGGAGTGGCCGGCCCGCAGATAAAGCTGGCGGGCGTTTAGAGCCTCACGATGGAGGAGAGATAATGGCAGATTGGGGCGATCGCGGACGCATTAGGATTCTACTGTAGGGAGCGCACCCCTGCGCACCATTCCTCATCACTCCTCACCACTCCTCCTCATTATTCTTAGAGCCTCAATTCCAGCTTTTCAGCATTCCTGCGCCACGAAGCCTGTCGCAGATGAGGTCGCCCAAGGGGCCGATGCAGCCAGAAGAGCCGCATCTCAAGCGATTTCACGGAGGACGGAGGACGACTAGCTCTCCGCTAGTGCGGTAGTGCCTGCTTTGCGCTCGTGTCGGCCGCCACGTCGGGCCCACCTGGTATTCGTATCTGTCCATTGACTGTTTTGGGTATGGCAGAGCCTCATTCTCACTGTCTCACTGTCTTGGAGGCTCAGAGTCTCCCTCCCAGCCTGTCTCGTACAGACCCTGCTCCGATCGGAGGTCACCAGCGCGGTCCCGCAAGGATCGCCCATGCGTGTGGACCCGGCCATGAGACTCTACCCTGATTCGGACGTTGATGCTTCATCTGATCCATCTGATCCATCTGATCCATCTGATCCATCTGATCCATCTGATTCATCTGATCCATCTGATTCATCTGATCCATCTGATTCATCTTAATGCATCTGGTCGTGAGCTATCGGATCCCTCAGGAGAGATGCGAGAGTTTCAGTGCCCTCTTACCCCCTTAGGCTCCACTCGGTGAGAGCCCCCGCATTTTCGCCACTCCAGTTGAATCGCTGGACGCGCGCTGCACGCGCTGACCCTGGGAGGGGTACGTGTGGCCCACCGCAGGAGCAACTCGCGCGGGATGGGCGGCCCAAAGGTTACGCTGCTGCTTACGTTTGATTCTATTCTTGGGTCGGTCTGGTCAGCCTGGTCACCTGACAGGAGACCGAACAAACCAAGCAAACCCGCCGAGGTCACCGCGAATGGTGTTGCCTGCAGCCCTACGAGGGTGGAGCTCGGGACACTCGGGCTGGTTCCATGGAAGGAAGCTTGACGGGAGGAACGAAAGCATGGAACAATGAACGAAAAGGACGGGATCGGTCGCTAGGAATCGTGCAATTGGTGCCCCTGGCCCTTTCCTTTCGCCTTCTTCGGTCTCTCCGGCCCCTCTCATCAGCGGTGGACTCGGACATGGTCATACCGCTCGCACAGATTCTCCTCTATCCGAGGATCTGTGCCACGACCCACCACCAGTCAGCCAGCCAGCCTGAAACTGGCCGGGCTTGGGGGGAAAAAAACCCCTCCCCGCCATCGCAATTAGCTTCGTCTTTTTCTGACTTCTCGTGACCCCTCCACCGGACTCGAATTTCTTCAAGTCGGCTTCTCCCATGTACTATCCGCCCCCAGGACCACCGCCGCCGGGGCCTCCTCCCCCGCGGACGGGCTATCAACAACCTCCTCCCCAATGGCAGCACTCCCCACACCCCCCCGCCTCAGCCCTATCAGCAGCAACCGCCGCCGCAGCCCTACTACCAACAACATCGCCAGCGTCCCTCCTACTCGGACCTGCCCCCAGGGGCCTATCCGGGGGCCGCACCGTACGGTCATGCGCCTTCACCGCACCCACCTTACGCACACGCACAGTCTCCACAGCCTCCCTATCGACCAAATGCCTCGCCTCGTCCACCTTATGGGCAGCACGCCCCATCGCCCCAACCGGGGCATCGCCAGAACTTGAGTGTACACAGTAACGGTACAGTGCAGTTGCATGTTTTTTGATCCACGCACAAATCGCTGATAACCGACCTAGGTCTACCTCGCTCGAATTCTCCAAATCTGCCTCCCGCCCCGCCGCAGAACCTCCAACAATTCGGCAATGGCGCGCCTTCCAACTACCAGTTTCAGTACTCGGCATGTACCGGGCGGCGGAAGGCCCTGCTCATTGGGATCAACTATTTCGGCCAGGCCAACGCCCTGAATGGATGCATCAACGACGTCACCAACATGTCTACTTTCCTGCATGAGCGCTTCGGCTATCGCCGCGAGGACATGGTCATCCTCACGGACGACCAGCGGAACCCGATGAGCGTCCCGACGAAAAACAACATCATTCGCGCCATGCATTGGCTGGTCAAGGACGCCCAGCCCGACGACTCCCTCTTCATCCACTTCTCGGGCCATGGCGGGCGGACGCCCGATCTCGATGGCGACGAGGACGACGGGTTCGACGACGTGATCTACCCGGTGGACTATCAAACGGCCGGACACATCGTTGACGACGACATGCACGCCATAATGGTGCGGCCCTTGCGACCCGGTGTGCGATTGACGGCCATCTTCGACTCGTGCCACTCCGGTACTGCATTGGATCTCCCGTACATCTACTCGACCCAGGGCGTCCTGAAGGAGCCCAATCTGGCGAAGGAAGCCGCCCAGGACCTGTTCACAGTGTTCACCGCCTACGGACAAAGAGATCTATCGAGCATGGCATCCACCGCCATTGGGTTCTTGAAGAAGGCGGCCAACGGAGGCCAAGCGCGGGAACGTACCCTCCAAACCAAAACCTCGCCAGCTGACGTGGTCATGTTCTCCGGATCCAAAGACACCCAGACATCGTAAGTACAAGCAAACATTGCGGAGAACAATCCCGGAACAGTATTATTATTATTATTATTATCTTTTCTAAGGGACCGGGGGGCGGGGGCGGGGGCGGGGGCGGGGGCGGCTGATTCAACTGGACTAACCGATAATCATTATAGAGCTGACACCTTCCAAGACGGTCAGGCGAGGGGCGCCTTGAGCTGGGCATTTATCAAATCGCTGAAACAGTGGCCCCACCAGAGTTACCTGCAGCTGCTGAACACCATCCGGGCGGAGCTCGACGGGAAATATACCCAGAAGCCGCAGCTGAGCTGCAGCCATCCCCTTGGTACGTTGATCCTGCAGTGCCACCGATTTGAACTCCCGGTCTGACTCGTGCGGCAGATACCAAGCTACGCTTTGTGATGTGATCACATCATCACTCCTCCGGTCGGTTACTTTTCTCTGTACATATTTTCGCATCCTTTGCGCCTTGTGTATCATTCGCATCATTTGTATTGGTGTTTAGCTAGCTTCCGAGAAATGAGCCGCGATGTTATGGTTGCTGATTCCATTGATTCGCCGCATCCGCCAGCTTCCTTTGGTACAAGGTTACATATCCACCATGTAATGAAAAATACTGGGCGGAAACCTCCTGCCCTTCGATCAGCGCCCCGCCACGGGTCTCGTGTGCTGCGATGCGTGGCTATGGTTTGTCAGCCCCCGGCCCCATCCACTTGGGCTATCCCCACTGCGCACTGCGCAGGGTCAGAATAGGTCAATGAACACCTCCTGTACCCGAGACACCCACTCCGAGCCCAGCACCAAGAAAGTTATAACAAAGCCCCAAGAGCGTCTTGTCACTACAGCACGCCCCGCAATTGATGTCACCACCTACACTCTTCGATTGTTTCCTGAACCCTCATGCCAAGACATACTAGTACATCCTGGGAATTTGTCCGGAGTATCCCTGCAGTAGGACCCTGTATTGTTTCATTTTACATAAATTACCTATCACTATAGTGAGGTATTCTTAGTTTGTAAATTTCTATCTACTCAGTATAGGGGTGTCACTAAATTTTTGACCTCTTTCTATTTTGCTGGCGTGCAAGACCTTTCTGCTAGTAATATTCAATTGCACTAATATAGAAAAGCCCCTAATATTTACTATACCACCCAATAATTGCCTGCACCCTGTTGTTACGCTAGGCAAGTCATCAAGTAGAAGATTCCATTCAACGAAGATATCGAACCTGAGGAAGGAAAGGAAGAGGAGGACAAAAGAGAGATGAGCTCTCTTTTGACTACTACATGCCGGAATCTTCCATGTCGTCTCCTTCCATATTATGTGACTGTCCCAGATTAAAGTCTCTTAGAAGCCTTCGAAGCGTCTCACAAATCCTCTTATAGTTAATAAGGCTAAGCAAAGTTTTTTCTAAATACTTAGTTCCCTTAAATAGTATTATATATAAGTTCTCGATCGAAGGGCGCTTAGGGTATATGGCTGACCGGAGCATTGAATTGTGCATTTTTCCGGGTCACGGATAGTCTCTTTCTAGGATATGTAGATTAGATGAATGTAGAGCGCGAAATAGAGGGAAATACGGTTATATAACCACTTAGTATCGTTTCGGAGACTGCAGATACGCGAGTGTGTTGCTAGCGAGAGCTCTTTACCTCTAGCTATATTACTTACTAGTGTTGTTATACTATAAGATGCATATTAAATGCAATAGGATATTACCCCTTTCCCCCATATTCCCCTACAGGCCTACGCTCTGTGTATTTTGATATGATTTATTTATTTAGATTGTTGGCTAGGTACAGGTAGGATTTAGCAGTTGGTAGCTATCGGCCGTGGAGGTAGGGTCAATTACATCTGAGGAAGGACTGTACAGTGTACTCTAGCAACAATCCATACCAAGCCTGGGAAAGGAGAACGATAATTCATCAAATTGTTGAAGGCCCTTGTAGCAGCCTCGATCAAGAAGACTGTCTTCGGAATTCCTTTCTCCGGATATACAATGGAAGAACAAGAATCGTCAGACAGTAGCCAATTCCAAAGACTCCAGCGACCACGCTGTATGCAATAACTGCCCCAGTAGGAGCGATTGAGAGGCCAATTCCAGTGAGGCGGAAGCCAAGCCCACCATTGATGATACCGAGAATGATCATAGAGCGGCCGAACCATTGGTGCAAATAACCAAACAATCCCCTCTTTCCGGTTCTGCCAAAATACCGGTGTTGAAGGAGGCCCATGGCAGGCTGAAAAAGGATAAGGGATGGGACAACGACCATGCCAATAATTGGATGATAAGTTTGTATTAAGTGAAGGTCCCTTGCCATTGAGATGCCAATACCAAGACCAGCAATTGCCAGGGCAAGGGTAAAGAGTTGCAAGAAGGCATGGACCCACACTGTTGTAGAAGATGGGAAAATGTGCAGTGCTAGTGCAAATGAAGGGAAGAGAATGACAAATACAGTTATCATGATAACCGCATGGGCAATTCTTTTCTTATGCACGGAAGGAGAGTTATCATAGAAGATCGACTGCCCTGAACTGGTGGTCGTACCAGAAGAGATTAAGAAAGGGTTTTCAGATGTACCGCCGGTTGCTTTCTGGAGGTTTAGAGATGCAATGCCCGAATTGTCATGCATTGTGATTGTTGCCGATAAGCTGTCGGTGTCGAGTGGCTGCCCATTCTTGAAAGCCCATACCCAAGGACTAGACGAGCTTGTTATATCTTCATGCCCACCAGGCCATGTAATGCAACTATCGCAGCGAATATTCGCCGTAATAATCCCATTACTAATCCCACTACCCTCTAAGATCGAAACACGAGCTTGTGGGTTATGCAGCGGTTCGACGTGCTCCACGCCCAACCGGGGGGAGACGGTAATATTATTGCCGTCGGCAGAGGCATAAATAACGAATATATTTGCTCCTTGCATCCGGGATCCCTGGCCCCATGCAAACCATTGAAGCTCGCGTGTAGATTTCAATTGGAAATAGATGGGGCCTTCGCCAGAGGCGGCCGTTTGTTGAGGGATGTTCACGGCGTAAGTTATCTCGTTTTGACCTGGCGGTGCAAAGGTCTGCAACTGGGCGATTGTGAGGGTAATCCATAACGAAAACCAAAAGAAAAGGTATGTGATTTGCATTATGACAGCCAGGTGAAAATTCTTTTTCTAATATCTCGTAAAGGAGGACCAGGCAGGAGCAAGAAAGTCCTGACATTCTTTAAAGACAGAATTTCGAACAACCTCGGGAGCGAAATTTGAAGCACTAGTCTATACATAGCTACCAGCGGGCATGGCAGAAATCATTCAGGATACCGAATAAGCACTGTGATCATTATCTGCAAACGGATGGAGGGGGAATACCTTTACCTGGCCAGCTTCCCCATAGGGTATGCTCTGGGGCGCCTTGAATGTCGCTCCATGGATAGCCTCGGCACTGACAATACAGTGGAGCCAGTAGTAATGCAAGCACACTGTTATAAGTGGTTGATATAGAGCAATACCAAGAAATTGCCAGTGACAATGGGGCTATGCTCCTCAAGAACTCTCAAAGTAATGACGTCATGTGATGTGAAAACTGCGGGGAGATGAGTACCACGGTCCACATTACCTATTCCCAAGGACCAATAGGCAATCAGACTACAATAGCTAAATGGGGACCATGTGCTATCCGGCAATCCATGTTTATGCTAAACTTTCCTCCAAGTTCGCTGCATTTGCTACTTCCGTGACTAGCCATCTAATTTCGTCGTGAGGTCAGCGGTCTGTGTCTATATTAAACCGACAATTATCTAGCAGGTTGTAATAAGATGGTTAGGGTCTCTTTGATTCTGCACTGTTTTTCTGTCTTGTTAATTGTCTATCAACCTCCGCAAAAATGACGAGAATGTTCCACGTCATCCTGGCCCTCTTCTGGCTTCCAGTACTCAATGCCCAGTATGGCGGAAGCGAAAGCAGCACAACGACTACAACCCCGTCATCGACTTCTCAATCATCTTCATCAAGTTCTTCATCCAGCTCAAAAACAGTCCAGTCCGTTGATGTGGGCGAAACTGGGTTCACTTTTAAGCCGGATACACTCACTGTATCACCAGGAAATAAAGTTGAATTCCACTTTTATCCGGGAAACCACTCGGTCGCTCAGGCGTCCTTTGCCAACCCTTGTCATCCTTCGAGCGACACGGGTATTTTCAGTGGGTTTGTAGCACCTACAAGTGGTGAATCAGTCAGTCTTGCAAACTCCATTCGATATAGAAGAGATATTGACGTTATAATTTTTTTTTCCAAAAATCTAGGATACGGTCTTCACTCTTACGGTGAATGATACAAATCCTATCTGGTTATACTGCGCTCAACTTGGGCACTGTCAGGCTGGCATGGTTGCGGTGATTAACCCGCCGTAAGGATAACCCCTCTCGTCAGAATCACGATCAACCATATTGATGCTATGTCTCTTTCTCAGTGCCGGTGGCCAAGATACTCTTGCTTTATTCAAAGCCGCAGCAGCAGGAGTCAGTGGAAGCTCTACCCCGGCTAGTGTTCAAGGAGGTACTTTAGGATCAGCGAACAGTGCCTCCTCATCAACAAGTAGCGCCTCTGCAACCAGCTCCAGTGCAAGCAGCTCGTCTTCAGCCTCTTCCAGCTCAACCACCTCTAATCCAAGCACCTCGACTTCAAGCACTTCTAGCCCAAGCAGCTCTAGCCCAAGCAGCACCTCTATGGGAAGTTCCAGTGTAAGTGAAGCAAAGGCTCTGCAAGCTAGTGCCGTGAGTGTTATTTTGCTTTTCTCTGTGATTGTAGCTATGTTCATGTATTAGGACTAAGTTTATGTTTAATGATCCGTAAGGCACGCGAAATTGGTCAAAAGCCAGAGGAGGGTAATGAGCTTGTGAAAAGTAACTTTAGTAATGAGATTTTCAAATGCATTGAAGTCCTTGATGATTTCATCTTCTGCGGTTTGTAAACTGCCGTATGCCACCATCTAGGACTGGAGGGATGATGCCTGCTTCAGGAACCACCCACCCTGAAACTGCAAGACGCAACTATCTCAAGCCCAATTCAGTACGAACACTCAGGTGTACACGTGGACATATGTCTTCTCAACCCGGAGGTGCATTGAGTGGCGGAATATAAATAGAGACAGTCAACCGACATCACAGTCCAAGGCTGAAAATTTGCGGGATTCAACAATTAGTATGCCGGCCTGGGCGGTTCTCTATACACGATATCGTGTCGCGACTGGATGAACTGGTTTCGAATAATAGACCGCAGGCCGTCCCGGTCCGGTACTCGTAGCTACAGCATCACGGCTTGCCCGACAGCGGCGAGACATGAGCCATGTTATGACGAGTATAAAATACGGTACATGTAACTTTACAGGAAAATCGATATTCCGAGGCTATTCTTCAAGCTCGGACGGTATATCTTGGCATTATGGGTTCGAGAAAGAATCGCAGTGTAGGTGGTGGGCCCCAGTTTCGGGACGTCCTGTAGCATCCGACACACTGTCGACCATTCATTCTCGCACGGTCGGTCGCCGCCCATCCCTACGCCTCACCCGCGTTGGCAATCGCTTCGGCGCTAAGCGGACCTCGTTCGCATCCCAAGGTCCCAACTCGCGCAAGAGGCCCCCCTGAGTGGGGATCGGACCAATAAAAGGCCCGTGTCCGACGATCCCAGTGGGAACCATGGGTGAATCCACAGCTTTCTCCCCTTTGCGAGTCTCGAGGCGAACTGTTGGGACGCGGTGAAAGCTCGGTTCCCCGGTTGCGCTGCGTCCACGTCGTCAACCGCGTAGAGCTGTTTCAGGTGTCAGAACCACCAGGAAGTGAACGACCAAGGCGGGAGGGGGAGGCAGTGCCGCGTCATCGAATGGGCGGGTGAACGCAGAGCAAAGTCCGCCATGATGTGTCAGATTCAAGACAATAATACTGTCTAGTTGAAAGTGAGATCTGATACAGAGCAACTCCGCTTGGACGGGAGAAGAGAAAGTGCCGGGAGGGCCACTCGGGACATCGCACATTGCAACAACAGCAGCTAACCAGCCAACCAGTGAATATCCCCCCTGTCGAACCATCTATGCCAAATGATGTGAAAGCATTCTCATTCTCCACAAGGATTTGCTGTCATTATCCGCTTTATTTCATGGGGGAGGGGCGCATATGAAACATGAAATTACAGTCATCAATGTGTTACGCGGACCCGCGCCTCGCAGCTTGGGAACTAAAGTGCTCCATGTCTTTGATCCACTTTTACTTATTGGTCTTTTTCGGAATGTGATGCTCAGCTTTGCAATGGCACCTTTTTTTATTTATTTTTTTTCCTTTGCTCTTTTGACCCGAACTCCTCCCCCCTCGATCTTTCCCCTGCCTGTGATTCCTCAACCACCGCCTGGACACAAAACATAGGGCTCCCTCCAACCTCCAGTCACCTATCACTTATCACTTACCACCACCTTCTCCGGGGGGACTAGTCAATCCTAGCCATGTTGACATCATCTTCCGCCACGAACAGCTCCTACTCCTCCTCTGCCTCCTCCTCGGAGCGTCACCTCCCCTACCAGCACCCGCAGCCACTGTCCACTCTGTCGCTGGGCTCCCAGCATCCACGCGGCATCCCAATGCCCATCAAATACCGCCGCTTCTACTCATCGCCGCTGGATGACAGTGCGGAGACCCCGCTACAGCTCTACGGCATTGAGCAGCGCGAGCCGTCGATCATCGAGAAGCCCAAGTTGCTGCGCCGCGTCTCCCACGCGCTCGACGATATCAAGGAGGACTTCTCCCTGCAGCTGGATCCCACCCGCTCCGCCGCCAGCAAGATCAAGCGCCGCTCGACTTTCCTAGGGGACGCCAACATTGGTGCTCCGCGCCCGGAGACTGCTGGGGGGCCCCTGCCCCCGCGCTCCCGCCCCATGTCCGCCATATCCGTGTCCAGCCCGCACCGAGGTCTGAGCCGGAGACTCGGCCGGCGACTGTCGATTTTCTCCGCGCGCAGCAAGACTGCGGGCGGATCGAAGGGGGCGAGCATCTCTTCGCCGAATCTGATCGGGTCGTCGATGCAGTGTGGCCACAGCCAGACGACCTTCATCTAAGTTGCGGAACCTCGCATAGTTGCCAAGATCCGAGGTGGCATCTGGAAGTGACCGGGTGCTCAAAGTTGGGGCCCGTGGATGAAATGAACGAAACATAAAAAGGAAGAGGACTAGAACAATCAGAGGAGGGGATGTCATCATTCAAAGGGGGATCGCCGGCAAGCTGCGACATACAGCGCCGATCACACCGTTGGCAGTCATACATATCCGCCACATGCCACCTGTCGAATGCCACATGCCCACGCCCTCACGCATCTGAAGAAGAGAAGGTGTTTCGGAGCCTTTGATATGGTTTTTTGGGGGGTTCTTTTTTTTGCCCTGGCGTTTAGCATTGTGCTATTATATTCTGGAGTGGATTGGTCTGTCTGCCTTTAACATATTATTTGTGCATTTGTGCTGCGCATGCGTCATCACTTCGGTTTACTTACCATCTAATCGGCGAGCTCGCAGCTTTTCTGTATTTACATCTGGCTGGGCTGGCTTGCATGGACATTGACATTGACTTGCGCATAGCTTGGCGTTGGGAATGAATTTAGTTTCTTGTTTGATCTGTGTCTATTAAGACCGCTATCGCTATCAGTCGGTCCTTTTTTTGCTTTAATCTCTGCGATTCAGACGATCACCGATCCAACGGTCGGCTAGATCGCCAAGGGACGCCACGGCCGCCTCAGCCAGTTTGCCGGGACCGAGGTGCGTCAGCTAATGCCGCGTCTAAAAATAGAGCCAATCCCTTTAGGAGCGAGTGTTATTATTTCGTACATTGAGTTGCTCCGTACATGCTTGGGTTCAGGATCGCTTACAGTGACTATTGTTGCCTCCTTTCTCGATCGAGACATGTGCAGGGGTGGAGATGGTTCGTGGGAAAAGGCGGAGGTTTCTGGTGAGACATGCTGGCCAAGCTTTGGGTCGCGTCGGTCGGCTGTGACGTATCCGAGCAGTACCGCGGTGTTGGTTCCAAAACATGTGCATACGACTCGGGCCAAAAGCCCAATTAGACCCGTGATGTATGCGACTTCAGTTCCAAGTCCTACTACCCAGCTGATTCTTATCTACTGAGAAACCCCTCGTAGTCAGGAGCTCTACAAGCAGACGCGCATTTTGTTCAGATCAATCTTTTCGTTTCTCCTCAATCAAAACGGTTTCCTCGACCCCGCCCAGCCCCGCCCTCTCTGAGTGAAGCCTTCTCGGGCTTTCCATGGGTCGATAGCTCCCATGGCAACGGGCTGTAGTGAGGCAGAAAACATCGGCGAATAAACGATCGTCCCGAGTCCTTTCAAGTCAATTCGATATCCTTCGGGCGAGGCATGTAGAGCCCCAATTTCATAACATCAACGGGGACTGCCATTGGTGTTCTTCCTGGCTCCATCCAAGTGGACTGGCTCCCCAAAGATCAACGTCTTCTTCCGCGTCATCCACTGCTCCACTCACCGCAGACTAGGGCCTAGGGACAAGCTTTTCACGCTTATTGGTACATGTGTGCTTGCGATTAGAGATTACCAGCGGTGAGGAGTTGAACAGCGGCTGACTGGGCCATGCGATCGGTCTCCTGGCCCGAGTTGAGGTTAATGCAATTATCATGACAAAATCGGACGTGTAACAAACCCACGATTAGCCCCGCAATATTCATTATCACTTCAAGAATTGCCAACTTTCCGCGTCATATGATATATTGGATGGGTATCGGCCTACATCGCTACTTTCACAATAGATATAAGGCGTGTGGGGAAAATCCAAAAAAAAAAATTGCGCGTGGTTGATGATTCGATCTTCTGTAACCCCAGATGATGTTCCTCTTTCTCATTCCTCCGTTTTACCCCACTGCTCTCGTCTCTGCATGCCCGCTCCAAATTCACCTCCTTGTCCCCTCTAGCTGGCTTCATGATCTACTTTCTGTGCCCTTCGACAACAACACCGGGGATACCAAATTTGCCCCTGAGTCCAAATGTCAAAAAGTCACCGTCTTTGATTTCCTTCTTTCTAGCCTCTAGCTCCTCTACGTTCCAATTCGCGGCGATATAACGACCAGACAAGAACGCTTTGTCGCCACTGGCCAGCCACACGGCAACACATCCAGACAACTCTGGAGTATCGTGCAAATATCCTGCAAGGTATGGCACACTGTGTCCCATATCCGTCGGCACAAGACCCGGATCAAGACTCACAGAGGTAATGTTGGGGTTTTCAGTGGCGAGATAGTCAGTGAACCTGCAAATCGCGATCTTGGCAGGAGAGTAGGAGCTCATGCCCGGCGGTAATCCCTGCGCGGCCATCGAAGTCAGATTGACGATTGTTGTGGGGGTCGACGGGGTGTTGCCTGTAGCTTTTAAGAAAGCATTGGTCATGAGGAAAGTTCCCTTGACATTGACTTCCTGTACCAGTCGATTACTGTTTGAGGCTGTCATCCTGAGAATATCGGTTGCGTGGGCGGACCAACCTGAGTCCTCCACCATAAATCCACATCGACATCGGCGATGGGGTCGAGCGGGTTAATGTAGCCGGCATTGTTGATAAGCACATGAGGCACTCCAAAGCGAGCAACAATGTCCTCGAATGCCTTGGTCACGCCAGCCGCGTTGGTGACATCGAGAGAGATCAAGAGGACCTTTGTTTCGGGGTTGATGCTGTTGACCAGTTTCTCCGTCTCGGCCAAATCACCAGCCGACCGTCCGATCAAGACGATGGCGGCAGCATTGGCTCGCGCGAATGAGGCTGCGAAGCCCTAAAAGGCTGTAAGTCTCACTTCTGGGGAAATGGAAAGCGCGAGGGGGAAGACAATTCCTATCTGCTACAGGAAGTCAATGGTCAAGCCTACCAATTTCCCAATCCCTCTGGAAGCGCCAGTGATGATGATCACCTTCCCAGCCTGAGAATGGCCAGCAAGACAAGGGTCGATGGCAGGATAGACATCGCGGTGGGCTTTGCTGGTAAAGGAGAAAGCTTTCAGCTCATCGTCGACATCCAGTGCGAGCGTAGACATTGTGTCCGGTGGTTGCAGTGAGTTGGTATATAAGGGGGGAAAGAAGAGACGCAAGAAAAATAGACTGTGAGGGAAACCTGGAGGGGAAGCGTGAGATTTATAAAGCCAGCCCTAATTTCTCCCCTTCGACAGGTCCGTGCGGGCGGGTCCACTCGAGACCGCGATGGGCCGCTGGGAGGTCACCGTGGAAGGCCACCGTGGAGGCCAAAACCTGTCAGATCAAGCATGGTCGACTGCGCTGAATGCGAAGATTTTGTGATACTGTGGTAAATGGGGGCACTATTTACATTATAGCTCTATGGTCTATCCATCCATTCAAGGAAAAAATATACGCATCTTCTATCTCTCAACCCGAATCGCGCACCTCCCCCAGTAAGCTAGCGCGCACCGGAAAATTCAGCCACACAGATAAGACCGTAGAACGCGGGCGGAGGGACAGCACCTAGTTTGTTGGCGTAGTCGGCGTACCAGAGTACGAAGGGACAGTTGGTACTTGACTGCATGGTGATTCCCTTCAGAGCTTTTCATATGAGCGACAAGCACGCGAAATGAATTGAAAGCATTATAACTACCAAGAACAGTCCATATGAAAAAGTCAGACTGCCACAGTGCAGCACCGAGGAAGTTAAGAGGAAACATTTCCCGGTGAGCAACCCACTTCGCCCAGCACGAGGGGTATATCGTATTGCTTGTGATCATTTACCGCGTTTTCTGTAAACGAGATTCGCAAAAACTTTTGTGAGGTCCTAATCGTATTTGGTTCATTGCGCATCCTTGCCTTCTCTGTTCCTAGGGCTCACCCCGTGCCCTCACACAATCAAGCTTCCAGGAACGAGGAGATTGGAGGTCTCGTATATTTCCTAATTTCCTAGCATCCGTATGACCCTCAATCGAAAACCACTTCATCCGTTCTTGACCTAGCTAGATTAAATCAAGTCTTCCTTTAGCTGTTCATGAGTAGGACTTTGATGTATTTTATACGAAACTACTAAAAATATGCTACCTGTGCCGTCTTCCCTCCTTTCCATCGCTAGTGACATGCTTATTTATATAGACAATACTCTTAGGTGTTACGTAGGCAGCTCTGAGAGAAGCGGGGTACATTCCATGAAGATATTGAGTCTGAAGAAGAGCGAAACAAGATGAGAGCTGAGGTATCACTACGAATATCCCTCAGCAAGTGACCACATCAGATAATTGGAGAATCCCATTCGTAACATTACGCATCACCTATATTTGGGCCTTGCATTATGAAGACTTCCCCTATCCGAAGCTCCATCTCGCCCTGACATGAACCGCGATACGGAGCCAGTCAATGGTCATTGCATAAAGCACCCTTAATCTGGACATTTTTCCACTCCGTAGCGAAAGCTTCCAACTCCGCGTTTTCATAAACTACGGAGTCGTCGTTGCAATTTTCAGACCTGTATATAATGATTTAGGATAAATCCAATATGTCCATATTGGAGACTCACGTGTAAAGTTCACAAAAGACACTATGCCGATTGTATAGTTCCTCAATATTTCCAAGCCTATTGAAATTATAATCAGGTCAGTATAAGCTATATTTATCAGAACCTTAAGGGAGATTTATACTCAATAGTCTGGCCCTCCAAGGTTTTCAAATCCTTAACCGCGTGACATTGAGTGTCGGGCAGAATATACACAGCCCTTCCAGTGTCGTCGATGAGACGGGGCTAAAAATAGAGACATCAGAATGTTGGAAAAGCTTGCTTAGATAGTAGACTGGTACTATGATAACTTACCCACTCATCACGCCAGTCGTCCAATCCAGACTGCGCAACGACCGAAGTGGAAGAGAGGAGGGCTAGGAATGCTACCTGGCTGAAATGCATGCTGTCTTCAAGAAGGATAAGGAAGGTTCTGATTTCCCGGAGGCAGCTGTGGTGGGGGTTATGTTATATTTATATTCTATTTCTCTATATAAATTGCTCATGTGCCAATGCGGTCGGCACCACATAATTTAGTGGCCATGCGACGAGATATCTGCAATAGAATGGAAAAGCCCAAGTAGGAATGCAGGATTTTCGCTAGGGGCAGGGGTAGGCTACTCTTTAATGGAAAAAAAGCAATTTTTGTTGAGTACTGTGAGAAACAGAGACGGTGCAGATTCTGTGTCGATCCTATACCAATCCAAATCGTTGTTCGGCAGTGGGTGGGGTTGATCATCCAGCTAACCTCAATCGACTCCACCGGATTGTCTCTATGCAGGAAGGTGAATCTAGAATGCTTTTCATGACGTATGAGAATTATGCTTTCAATGCTCGGGGCCAAGCAAATATACCGGCAAAAATGGTAACTGACAACGATGTTTAGCTATGAAAAAACAGAAACGTAGAACCTACCATTGGTATACAGCGATTAGTTTCCCTGTACTTCACGCTGGCGGGCAAATTATTATATTCAAATAGGATTTATTGAAGCTTATGCTGTGTAACGCCACCTGCCGTGTGGCTTTTACCTCACAACAAACAAGCCCATCAAATATGGCCGAATAGTTCGTTTGAAGCATTCCAAATCTATCCCTTGCGTGTTCTGTATTACACAAGTTTACATTTCTGAATGATATAGCCAAAGTCCGTGTTCTTTGTTAAGTAACGATTGACCTTGCTAGCCTTGTAGAATGAGATACGGCATCTCTCGGACTGAGATGGCTCAGGGTAAATAATGATGGTATTTCCACGCCACGCTGGGCTCAGTCCAAAGTAGAGAATGTGATATTGATATTTGAATAGCCAACGGGTACTAAGGATAATGCAATAATAATTTTCATCATATGACTGTCCCTCATCTGTTCCTGGGTAAGATAAACCAAAGTAATCTTTTACACAGACAAAAGCCTGCAGACGACTAATACTGTAGTCTACCCTATTACAGTCAGTTCACAAGTATTTGCACTGTAGTGCCTTAGTGTTCCAAGGGGCCCACTATTTTTTCCGCCGTCCGATTTTCCCGTAGGAAGTTCCTTATTAACAGGTGCCAGCTTTTGTATCCAATACCCGTTACTGGGTAGAGGATAGTAGAGAAAGGGGGGGAGCGTGGGTTCACCTCATCGATAAAATAGGTATGGATAATAAAAGAAGGCGGTGTATGCGGGAAGTACCACAGCAAATACTAGAACGGAAGAAGGTGCCCAAAGTTGCCGGACATTGTCCGGTATATATGCATATAACATCAGCATGACATCATGCCCAAGCTCTTGAACGGTGCCTGGAATGATAAAGAGTCAATCTTAACCAGACCTTCATTCAATTTAGCGACAAGTCAAGCAATTATCTATTTTGCTGTTCAAGAGATGGCAGGCAAGGATCGCACAGTACCTTCCAACAATCATTCGACCAGTGGAGATGGCAGGGCTAGTCCTATGGCCAGTTTTGATTCAACCGAGTCAATGGACCCCGCCGTGCTGGATGAGGAAGAGAATCCGCTAGAAGATGGACTTGCTGATAATATGGTCGCGCCATCAAAGCAGTCGTATGCTGCGGGCGGAGGATACAATGCGCTGAAGGCATATAAGGGCCAGCTATATTCCGGCATGGCAGTCGGAGGCTCCCATACTTGGAACTACGATCCAGGTACATGGAAGGAGACCAAAGAGGAGCCTGACCTATGGCGAATCGACTTCCAGACGAACAAGAGACGGGCACGCAATGCACCAAAAGGCAGCGGAGCACCCGTGGGGACCGAATATCACTGGCTCATCGTGGGGCATCAGGTGAGACGCACATATGATCACTAATGAATGCAAGGAGTCGGAGTGACTAAACGCTGTCATAGCACGTGCGGAAAGTCGATGCCAACACTTATGCGACACATTTGACCGGCGCCAAATACAAGTTGGCGCATAAGTCGGCCACTGCCGAGACCTGGTCCATCCCGACAGTGCGGGGTCAACGAGAACGGGAGGTCGAATTGCTAGAAGACGCACGAAACCGTGTGCAAGGACTCCCTCCAGTACTAGCAAGTGAGAAGGTCAAAGTCGATCGGCTTGAGAAGGGCCAACAAAAGCTAGATACTTTATTTAGTAAGGCCGCGCTGAAAACGGGGGAGGCCAGGGATGCTAAAAAGCGAAAACGAGCATAGGCTTTCCATATAAATTCGTTAGCAGTGGATTGAAATAGTAAAACAAGCACTACGTATGAGCCATTCAGAGGTAACCTTTACTAAGAAGCGAAAAGGATAGTTGAGTAACCTAATCTCTCAAGCCGAAATCAAGCGCCCGCCCCTTCCAAGCATTAGGCCAGCCACCCAGTATGATGTGTAAAGTCTGTAGGTTGGCGTATACCCTAGCGGCAGCGACCTCCATATGGACCCGAATAACCCTGTCCCACAATCTGGATCTCCTCTCAAAGCTGCCATTGGTTCATCCAAAGGTCCATCAGGTGTCCGTCTACTGGCCCAATTTTGCGCATGGAATCGCTAGCCTTTTGTCCTTTCTCTGTTCGGATGTCAAATTTGGGATATGTGGTTGTCGCAAACAGACGTCTATAGACATCGAGGATCTTTAACGCTGGCTTATCCTCAAAGTCAGCGTCTGACGGGTTTTCAACGGCATCGAGATGCGCGATCCAGGCATTATCATCAACCGCTTCCACGGGGAATCGCTTTTGAATTGTCGGGATGAGCGATTCCCAAGGTACTACTGTCGGGTTAACAAGGTTAAAGAGTGAAGTGCCTGTTTCTATTTCGCAGGCTCGACACGAATCGGCAATTTCAAGGACAATTGTTGTAAGCATATCCTGGCATATATGTGAGTTCTTATCACCAGCCTGTCGACCGCAGTGCCATACGTACCACTGGGATCCAATTGATTGGCACCTGGCCAAGGTTTTGCGGGATGTGTCCAATCGTCTTCGAAGTTGCAATCAGGGACGGCAGCCATTCTTGTTTATTCCAGATACCTTTTTCTGTGGTAGGACCTCCAAGCTGCCCGACTCTGTAAATGGTAACAGGGAGGCCAGAACGTGAGGACGCTGCCGCACAGACTCGCTCAGCAACGTGCTTTGCCTCCGCGTATCCTTGCAAGGGAACCATGGATGCTTCTTCAACAATGGCTTCCGGTACCCCACTCTTGTACTCATTCTTCGTGCCCCATCTTCCAACGGTCGAAATGGATGAGATGAAATGGAAATGGGCTTCATTTTCACATTCTATACCCAGGGCTAGTAGATGAGAAAGCCCCATGATCTCGATACCTTCGAAGTCAGCTAGGCTTTTGTTGAAGTTCACATTCCATGCACAGTGGAATATGGTATCGACGGATCGCTTGAGTTCGTTGTATTTTGGCGGATCCAGACCAAGTAATTCAGGCCCCAGCTTGAATTGAACAAATTCGACCTTGGAAAGAGCGGACGGCGTGATAGAAATACCTTTCTCTTCGAAACTCCGGCACTGTCGGGACAACACATCCTCGGACCGGTTTAAGCAGAAAATTCGGCGGACTTTTGGATCACTGATAAGTTTACTCAAAAGATAGGTGCCCAAAGTCCCTGTTGAACCTGTCAATAGCACCGTCTGCCCTGTGCCGTCTCTCTTTTTCGTGATTCGAATCGGATTCGTGGGAAATCTTGATGTGAATCTCTTGACGGAAGATTCAAATATCTTTGAACGTGACTGGTCAAGGACGGGACCTGACTCGATACCGCCAGTGCCACCAGTGGCCACAGAATGCATAAACTCGGCAATTTTGGCAATATTTGCACAGAAATACAAACGTTGACTGGTAATTGCTTCAACATGACTACTGGGGTAGTATGAATGAAGTGCACCCTGCAGAATCTTTACCAGACGCAGAGACTGTAAAGAGTCTAGTCCCTGCAAAGAGAGATCGACGGTCTCCGAAATGTCTTCGGTATGAAGGATAGATGAGACAGCCTGTCGAACATACTTGGAAAAGTCCAGCGTAGTAGCATCACTGGGTAGCGTTCCAACGAACTCCATGTCCGGACGGGCGTAAATCTCCTCTATTTCCTGAGCATAATCAAAGGCCACTTGTCGACGTGAGATTGAGCCCTTGGGAGATGTCTTGAATGGTTTGGCCTTGGAGGCCATGCCGAGTTTGGACCGGAACAGCTTCCCATGCCCCGGAGCAAGTCGGTTAGCCTCCTGTACAACCGGCCATATCTGATCAAGAAAGGAATTTTCTGAGGTTTCACCCATTTGGTCCCATTTGGGCTCGACAAACAACGAGGCCTGAAACCTTCCTTGGCCGATAATAACTGCTCTTGAAACCAATGCGTGGCCCTCAATCGTTTTCTCCATTGAGGTTGGATTGAACTTCTCGCCGTTACTGAGCACGATAACGTCGTCAAGCCGTCCCTCAAACCGCCAGAGGTTAGGCTTGGTAGGATGAGGGCTGAAGAGATCATTGGTGGGATACGTGTAACGATCAGGGAAGACGTGAAAGATACCGTGGAGATCACGATTGCTGTTTCCGGGCCGACAGATAATGAGCTCGTACAATTCTTTCGCAACGGGTAGCATCTGAACACCATACGACGGGTTCCATTCAAAATACTGCCAGTCCTGCTTGTTCTCTGCTGCTAGAACCGGAATAACACCAGCCTCACTAGAGCCAAGAAAAGAACAGGGCTGGGTTTTGCCCACCAATTTATGGCCAGCTGCCGGCGAGAGCGGTGCCCCACTAAAGATAACTGCCTGGAGGCTTTGCAATGATTTGAGCCCTTCTTCTGATGAGCTTAACTCCTCTATTATTGACGGAGGAAGCATTGCACTAGCTGGTCGAGTAGCCTTGACAATTTGGCTGAATAAATCGACAGTCATTGGTCTGTTCGGGAACTGAATAAACGGAGTCGCGTGAAAAATTGATTCTGTAAACATGTAGAGACCCATCATGTGGTAGAACGGACTCATGGAGAGAATTGGACCTCCGCCTCCCACTGAGCTAGGCATCACGCTAGTTCTCCCCAGGGGTGTGGCTAATTTCGCAATGTTGTTGAGAGCCGAGATATAGCCATTGGTCAAATATACGCGATTTGGGTTGCCTATCTCGAATGAGCCGGTGTTTCTAAATTTCAAGGGTTGAATGAGCTGACCTGTGGACCCAGAGCTGTGGATAATGATTGCTGGCTCATTCTCGGCATCCTCAAAAGTCTTGCTCAATAGAAATGGCTCGGCATTGCTATGCAGGAGCTCCCAGAGCGGCGGAATTTCCCACATCTTTAGATCAGCCTTCCCTTCCTTAATACTGGTGGCATCCCTTTGGCGTTCGGGGCTGAAAATCAGCTTGGAGCAAGCTGTTTCATCAAGCATGCCTAACGTAGCCTCCACCTGGTTCCTTGGAGATGGGAAGAATGCCTGTCCAGTATATGAGCACTTCAGATCTGTTGAAACTTACTCATACGATTACATCCACTCACCACATGTCCAGTCTTCAAGCAAGCCAGAATAAAAATAGCGTAGCGGATATCATTTGCACCGATATAAGTCAGAGGTTCAAGGCTCTTGCTTTGCCCAATCTTATTGTCAATCCACCAAGCCAGATAATCAGCAGCCCTGGCAAGACTTTTGAAAGTAACACATTGCCATCCCTCGGAGATATCCGAAGAATTTGGGTGCACGCAGAAGAGAGCACAGGGACTAGTCGCTGCCAAGTTATCAACAGCGTGTGGTAGCAATACTCCGCAGGTCTTGGGGAAAGTAATCATGTTTTATTCTTGTCTGTTTGATCTTGAAGTAGAGATGGGAGATGGTAGTAGAAGTTATTATCATCAATGCACATTCAGAAGATTTAGCTTCTTATATAGAGGTCCAAGAAGATCAACCGCCCCGGAGTGGAAAAGACCTACAGTTGGGAAGGCATTAACTAATTCTGACCGCTATTTCTTCTCGATTATGATGAAAAAGAAAGGAAAGAACATAGGATTTCTGTAAGACATGGAAGGTTTGTTAGCCTCGCTGACTTACTATTCCATGGCACCCCAACCCCTTCAATGACTACGTATTGACGGAGGCTTTCACGGAAATAGTGGCTATCCCTTACCTCCACTGATACACGGTGAGGGTTTCCGCTCCCTCCCAGCCTACTTAGATCTGTAAGAGTTATTTACCCTCGAATTTCCCAAAAACCCCTAGATGCCAATTCAACGTGTATGTTCTGCGAGCAATCTGGAGCGTTCGGGATGCCTGCGTAAAGACCAAATCCTGTCCTCATCACCATTGCCATTATTAACACCAAAATTAGCTCACATAACTGTCGTAGCCTTGGATTAGAATTGTGAGATCTAGCATATGGTATAGAGTTTCTGTGGCGGTGTACAATTAGAGCTGAAAATTCACGATAGAGTTTACACTATTGTATCCAGATCTTCGCCCGTGCCACCACCGGCTTAGATCTAACTATCTGTCAAAGCAGAGAGCGGTAACTTACCGCTAGCAAGTGTTAGGCCACACTGGAGACCATATTTCTTATGTTCCTTTTTATTTTTATTTTTTTTTCATTTTATTTTTTTATTGTTTTATTATTTATTATTTATTATTTATTATTTTTTTCTCTTTGCCTTTTGGGTAACATTGGACCATTCGTGAATGCGAGCGTTTGAAATCGCCTAGTATCGGTCGTACGGGCATGGCCGCTGGTAGGGTCCACGGGATAGCTCTCAGCCCCGGATCTTCTTCCTTCAATCAATCAATCAAGATTTTCATCCTAGTTTTAATCTGGATTAACCTTTTTCGTCATGCATGCATACTAGGCCCTACAATCCTGGCTTGCTTCGACACTATCCAATCCAGGCAGAAATCGATGCGCACTATCAAATCATCTGAGGATGGGTGGTGTAGTACATACCAACGAACTAGTGAACTATAAGCCACGGATGAGCAAGGCTTCGTTCCGATCCAGTTGGACTGCCTTTGAATGCAAAAGCAGCATTACTAGTAGGGATAGAACTGCAAAGCGGATCTTCGTACATAGTTGTAGGATGGTCTATTCCGTCTATTCTCGATTCATGCGGGCTGTTTTCCAGAGTGCACTTTGCTGGAGCTGGCTCTATTCTTCTTAACTACATTTGCTGTCATCTGCTCTGGTCTATTCCCAAGCTCCGATTTCTCAATGCATGTCGGTATCGTCGGCGGAGGGATCTCCGGTCTCTATTCAGCCTTGATGCTCCGCAGACAAGGTATTACGGTGACTCTTTTCGAGGCAACCGACCGTCTAGGTGGCCGAATCTATACTTACCATTTTTCACCTCTTTCGCTTGGTGAGGATCCATATTTTGAGGCTGGCGCTATGCGCATCCCGTGTACCTCGACCCATCGTTCGGTCTTCGGCCTTATAGAAGATTTGAATCGACACAGTCATGATGATATGAAACTCCAGCTGATCCCTTACATAATGGAACATGAGAACAATATGGCATTTGTGAGCGGAAAGAAGAGAAGAGCCAACGACGTGAGTCTGGCGGCGGAACTCGGCTTGCCGGAGAAATACTGTGGTCGAAGTGCGCAGGATCTTTTGAGGATTGTCATTGAGCCGTGGGTGACACTTTTAAGGGACAACTTCGAGGCTGGGTTCGAGAATGTGCTCCAATACGACGAGTGGTCTTTTCGCCAGTATTTACACCTCGTAGCCCAGTGGCCACACGAAGTGATCGATTTCGTGGAGATGATGACGAGCCAGACAAATCAGTACAATCTGAGCTTTATTGAGGTCATACTGCAATACCTAGACTTTAATACTAAAGGTGAAAAAGCTTCGTCAATGTCGGGATATAGGAACTAATTCATTTGAGGATTAGAATGGGTCACAATCAAAGGTGGCATGTCTCGGCTGATTGATGCTGTCGCCAGCCTCGTTGGAGTTCATAATATCCACACAAATGCGCCAGTCAAAGGAATTCATACTAGTCCCCACGGAAAAGTCAAGCTTTTCATTGGGGGAATCTCTCCTAAAGCCATGATTTTCGACAGTGTCATCTTGGCAATCCCTCTATCCTCGCTGAACAATATGCTGGAGCGACCGCGCTGGAGTTTTAGCAAGGAACAAGCGATCAGTCGCACGTACTACGAACCTCTTTATAAAATGGGTCTCCACTTTCGATCCCGTTTCTGGGAACACTCTGCTCAGCCCTGTTTCGGGGGCCAGAGCACGACCGATCTTCGGGTGCGATGGGTGATCTATCCATCAAATGACCTGGGATCTAATGGGTCCGGCGTTCTACTCATATACTCTTGGATGACGGACGCGGCTCGGTGGAGTGCTATGCAATTTGAAGATCGCGTCGAACTCGCACTCCATGAGCTTGGTATTCTATTTGCTGGGGAGGATGAAGCATTGGATGTTACTCAAGAGTTCATTGAAGCATTCGATATCAGCTGGTCTTCTCATTCGTCAACAGGAGGCTGTATGTACCTCCCTGGTCAGCTTTCTCGATTTTCAGTGGAAGCAGGCAGGCCTGAAGGCAACATTTATTTTGCTGGAGAGCATCTAAGCCGACATCATGCCTGGATTGCTGGGGCGATCGATTCGGCGTCCAAAACCGTGAAGGAAATGCTTCTCAAGAGCATTTCCTCCAAACTCTGAGACTTCCAAGGCATACAGAAACGATAAATGCGGTTTGGCTCGATCTTCTTGCAGTGGAACACTAATTTAAGATAACTTTGTTTGTTTTATCTTTGGAATGAACGGAATCGCACTTAGCGCCCTTTAATCTAGATGCCTGGAAGTCGTAATACCCATATTTAGTGGTAAACTGTGGATAATTTCCCGTTTGGTTTGACTATGGTACTTATCTGGCCTTGGCATTCACTCTTCAGCAAAAGGAGGAACTCTGTGATCGAAATGACTGTATATTGGTCTCTCTGAAAAGTCAATGTAGGACGTAAATGGTATTTTAGCGCCCGAAATAGGAGAATTTACCGGGATGAAAGGCCTACTCTCTATGTTGGAAGCTACCTGCGAGAGTTCCCGAGCTCTTGAGGCCTTTACTGAACCCACACGTTACAGGCTCTGCAAATGCAGAAATGAATTTCAGGGTAAATGTCCATGTCTTGTGAATATATCGTGGTATAAGGTCTGCTAGCTAAAAGTATCCGAGCCAAGTAAACGCCCTCGGTCATGAAACGCCAAAAACCAGAATCAGAACGAACTGCACCATGGAATAATCGAGCGAAGGACTATCCTGTTATTGCTGCAGTCGCGGAGCCTTGTGAATTCAACCCAAGAGAGAAGCCATCGAAGGATGGACGCCAACGGAAATTCAAACCGCATGTCAAAAGCACGGAGCCAGTCCGTGTTCGTAGAGAGGAGTACACAGGCTATCTGCACCGCTTGTGTATGCCTCTTCCAGGGACCTGCCCGTCACCGTCGGCGACTATGTCTAAACTTATAGGTGTCGAAATTATAGCGTCACGCTTTCGAGATCGCGCATGACGATTGACATTTGGGCCCGCTTGGCTGCTTCAGCGACAAGATTGAAGTCCTGGAGGAAGGGCGCTGTGGCGGTGGGTCCCCCGAGACCAGTCACTTGATGGGGGTAGTCGGCGGCAGGCTGGTTTGCGGGTGGTACCTCCGATCGTGGTACGGACTCATGCGCGCCCTGAGGAGCGACTATTAACCCAGACATGTGAGCTGGATCGCTCAGACTTTGTGCCAGGGGTTGTGTCTGGGGCATGGTGGACTGCGCAGTATAGGCTGAGGCTGGTTGTAGGGGTGTCGCAAAGGCTTGGTTGACTGGCTTTTTGGAGAGGTTGAAAGGATTTAGCGGTTGATCTAGCGTGCCAGTGAGGTTGGTGGAAGTGCCCAGATTCGAGGTGGAGGAAGAGAAGGTGGAGGGCTGAGCGGGGGTCTGGGGAGGATGGGCTGATCGCAAGGTAGTATCCATGTTGCTCTCGATGAAAAGCCTTTCACAATGCCGGAAGGTAGCGCGTTTGGGCTGGATGCAACGGGGAGGTGTAAGATTAGTGCATTCGTGAAGCTCGGGTGGAAGCCACTATGAATGAAGGGATCGTAGCGTCACAACTCCACGGATGACGGCGATGGTATCGGCAAAGGACTTGGCGCAAGAAGATCGGAGGCCAAGTATTGTCGCGGGAGCGGTCCCCAGGACGCTTAGAGAGTGACGGGCTGGGTGGAAGGTTGAGCAGGGTAGATGTTGGGGATGGGGTGGGCGAGAAAGAGATGAGGGAAAGGAGGAAATGAAGTGAGGAGTCTCAAAGAAAAGAAAGAGCCGGCTCAACTATCTGGCGTGATTGTGATTGCAAGGCGGTTCATCCATTCCACTCCCGCGCATCTTGACAATTACCCGACGTATTGTGACCGTATCCCCACTTAATCCCCACAAAGTTACTGTATTTTCTGACGCAACCTCGGTGCAAGTCACATGACAGACACATGTATGGGTCGGCGCCAGAGACTCTATCCTCACGGCGGTTGACGATAAACTGGCCGAGAGGCGAAAATTGTGGTTGGCGGAACACGCGGATCATGGATGCAGGTTCCACGGTGTCTGCAATTGTGATTCCATACCCTGATTGGTGGTTGGGCCGGAACTATACTCTAGATCACTCACCAACCCGAGAAAACTCCGTGACTTCTTGACTACGAGGAGTATTATTGACAGGTATATGAGTGCCCTAAACCTCTTACTCTGAGACATAATATGTATAACAGAAGGCGACATACTACAGGTAAGTGCAACTACTATCCATTCATCCCTACATCGGAGAACAAAAAGCAAATAGATTTCGGCGACTGATCAGCTTTTGCCTCAGGCACCAATGCGCCCCGCTGATAAGCCCGATAAACGATATTTTCCTGGTTTTCTTCTGACGGGCAAGCACGCCAGAGCTCGCCATGGAGGACGACTTTGAGACAGGGGACATGTTCCAGGACCCCGAGGGGTTCTACCCTGAGGAGAAGCCTCCCACATTTGCCGAGCATCAGATGCTTTCGGGGAAGACGGTGCGCGTGCGTCTCGTGGGCAGCCACCCGCTTTATGTACGACCCCGCCTGAGGAGAACGAATCGGATAATATGCCCCTCAATTGCGAGGGAAAGCTACTGACAGAATGGTCAATCATAATAGGGCAACCTCCTATGGAACGCGGGTCGAACAAGCTCTCACTATATCGAAGAACACACCGACGAGCTTATCCGCGATAAAGATGTTCTTGAGATTGGCGCCGCCGCGGGTGTGCCCAGCATTGTGAGCGCCATTCAAGGCGCTCGCACCGTCGTTATGACCGATTACTATGACCCAGAGCTCGTTGTAAATATGCAGTATAATGCCGACCTGGCCGTTGATATGATCCCCAAGCGCACCGATTCTCAGAAGCGGCTGCATGTGGAGGGATACAAATGGGGTAGCCCAGTTGAACCGCTGCTGGCATATATCCCTCCCCCCACCGCCGGGGAGCCCTCTGGATTCGATGTGTTAATCATGGCGGATGTGATTTACAACTACCCTGAGCATGCGAATCTGGTCAAGACCATGCAGCAGACTTTGAAGAAAACCCCCGAGGCCGTTGCCTTAGTGATATTCACTCCCTATGAGCCATGGCTGCTACCCCAGACCGAGAGGTTCTTTCCGCGGGCGGAAGAGGGAGGTTTCACTGTGACCAAGATCTTTCAAAAGCTTATGGACGAGGTGCTATTTGAGAATGACCCTGGCGTACGTGCGTAGACCCCCTGCTCTGGGACATTGTGCTAATTCTCTGCAGGATGAGACTCTTCGGAAGACGGTCTTTGGATATGAGCTTCGCTGGAAGCCGGATCAACTGGGTGATAGTCTACTCAAGACCATTTAAAGTGCCCTTGATACCCTAGCACCTTCATGTCAAAAGTATGTAGAGAAAGTATATACAGAAAGAGAATTGATATCGTGCCATGTGGTTGCTCTTTTTTCCCCCCAGGCCCTCGGACCTTTGTTTGAAACATACAAAACATCTTTACATTCCGGTAGAAAAAGTGCATTGGGACCATCTAGAAAATTCAAGTACCGAAGGTGTGTTTACGACTATGCAGGAACAGCATAACATACATGCTGGAGGAAGCCTTGGATGGCCCCGCCGCTACACAGCGGAGTCACATGTCCCAACCCCGCGGGAAAAAAGTTCACCCGCTTCACAGCACCGCAACAGCCCACGATGCCAGTGAGTATGGCTTCCTACAACCTCGCCGAAGGCCTGAAATTGACCCTGAATCCAGCTCGTCATTCTTACCGGGTACCCCTGCTCCGGTCTCACCTACCGCGCCAACCAGCTTGCGTCGCTGATCGAGAAGGCCCAGGATGAGCTGTTCGCATCCGCCGAGACAGCGTCGCCGGTCGTGCTAAAGTCCCGATACAAAGTCCACGTTGTGTCCTCTCATGATAAATCACACCCAAGAAATGTGTACGACCATGCTAGGACAGAGAAGGAGGCACGCGGTGTGGCGTATGCGCGGGCGAAACGCGTGCTCACGCGGGACAGCATTGTCATTTTAGACGGGATGAATTACATCAAGGGGTGGAGGTATCAGTTGTGGTGTGAAGCCAAGGCTGCGAACACAACGTGCTGTGTGGTATGTTTTTGATTTGGTCAGTGAGGGCCGGGTACAGTGGCTAATTGGAATACCCAGGTCCATGTTGGAACCCCGGTCGATCAGTGCATCGCAAACAATGACGCTCGGTTGCGCTGGCAAGAGGAGAAGAAGAAGAATCAGAAGGAAGGCGAATCATCTGCATCGCAAGCTGTGTCAACTGAGGACACTGCGACCAAGTCAAAATTGTTGCCTGACGACGAAGAGGCCTACCCCCCGAGCTCCTCAACAACCTTATCTTCCGCTACGAGGAACCCAGTACCCATAGCCGCTGGGACAAACCCCTATTCACAGTCCCCTGGTCTGACGCCGAGCCACCAGTGGCAGATATTTTTGAAGCCCTATCAGGCGTAATTCTTCCTTCGGCAGAGGCACCCGCCGAATCTCCAGTATCCAACCTCACCGAATCGCTTGCATCCTCCACTCTCTCCGATATCGCTAGCACCACGACAACTGGCAGAGCGTTCAACCGCAGCCAGTCCACCCGACCAAAGATCATTCCGCACCAAGCCACCGTTCAAGCCGCGGCAACCGACTCCGGGGCACTATACGCTATGGAAAAGCGTACCACGGCCATCGTGACTGCAATCCGTACCTTCACACAAGCCAACCCCTCGGCTGAGACAGCTCTGGCACAGAGTGCCAACAGAAAGGGCATCGCAATAGATGTCCCCGACGCCTCCATCCCGGTCATAATCCCAACCCACGTCGCCACCACGGGCACGACAGACGAGCTAGCCGGCGCAGGTGGCATCCTGGCTTTGCCAAAGCTGCAGCGCATGCGGAGGCAGTGGATTAGTTTGAACCGCAAGTACATTGGCCACGGCCATGGAGCGGGACAGGGGACTTTGACGATCGATCGTATTGGAGATGCGTTCGTGCGGTTCTTGAATCATGAATTTGGGGGGTGTAGAGGAGGCTTAAGTGTAGTGTGGTGCTAGTTTCAAGGTTGTCATAGATATAAAATTAAGACCAGGACAAGCAGGAAGAGTTTCTTGTACTGATAGAGCTTCATAGCGCTAGTCATGATTTAATGAACTTATGATTTGGACAAATCTTACTTTAGCTGGGCTTAGTTGAATGATGAATTTCGGTTTATCTCTTCGAGCAGGTATCATTTCGCATCTTAGCTAAACAAACAGATTGAAACAGAAACAATCCAAAACAATAACACACAACCAACCGGGGAATCTATGGAACAAAACAAAAGCATTTCAATCTTGAGCATCCGCTCTACCGTCCTTCTCAAAAGTCCGTTTTCACCAGCCATGACATCTAACGCCATGTCTCCGCGGCTGTTCCTCCTTAGGGCTACCATGTCCCTGATTTAGCCAGAATTCTCAGCAGTCAAGGCCTGAGGTTATCCAGGAATCCTGTGCTCGGAGCACCCGGCCGTCGAAGCACGGAATCTCCTCCGAGATCCTTTTGAGAATGGCCATGGTCCCTTGTTGGCGTTGACCTGATCTAATGCAGGGCTGAGCCGGGTGTTCTATCTCCTGAGAACAGAGGTGCAAGACAAAGGCACTTGGTCCGTGGATAATGGTCAAATACAACCTCTCGGCGTTGAAAGGTAGCGCAGCAGGAAACGCAGCTTCAGCCGTGGGTGGGGTTCACAGTGGCAGCAAACGATACGAATCCTCCACATGTAATCAGATAGTAACTCATCCTGTATCACGTTCCAGGCTTGGAGGGCGGGTACAGGTCCTCGTAAGGAATGCTTCACGCGGGAAGTCCGTTGGGCATCTGGGAAACGGCATGGCCGGCCTCAAGGTGGCGGTACTGCAGGCCCAGGGTGTACAGTTCCTGAAGGCTGGCATTGACCTTCTCATGCATGGAGGTGTCCTGTGGGGTGATCTTGGCAAGTTCATCAACCAGACGGGCGCGGCACTTGTAGTAGTTGCGCTCGGCGTTCTGGAGACGCTGGCCGTTATGGGCAGTGGCTTGGGAAGCCTTGGCGAGACCGGTCTGGGAGTGGACCGAGCGGGTGCGCTTCATGGTTGGAGCCGGGGTGGCGCCCGTGACTCCTCTCCTCTTGCGGTTGGACGATGGATCCTTCTTCTTGGCTGGGATGCCGGGCGGCGAGGCCTCAGGCGAGCTGTGACGGTCGGAAGAGGTGTAGTCGTGCACACGCTTCATGTGGTCGTGCAGGTTCCATCTACGGGGGAATCCAAATCCAGGCACGGATCGTTCACATCCCTCGAAAAGGCACAGGTGGGGGCATTCTCCGTGGCCGTGCATTCCATGGGCTTCACGCTCGTGGCGGAAGAGGCATGCGTTCGAGGAGAAACGCAGCTGGTTGTCCACGCAGGAGACATGCTTGCATCGATAAGGTTTCAAGTGAGAGTCCAGGTATTTGCTGTAGGTTAATCGGTTAGCTTTTGGATCCTTGATTGATATAAGGCGCCACAGCCGGCGAGATGGGGAACTTGCTGGTAAGCGCATTTTTGCGTGGTGGGCGGGTGGCTGCACGGCTTCTCTCCGACGGAAAACGGGCAATGGTACTTTCCATCATTCTGGGGGGCCAGATGGTAGTAGTGGTGGTCTCGCGGGTTGCGGGCCTCAACACTGTCCTTAGATCTCTGGCGGGTTGGCTCCCTCACCGGTAGGGAAGGGAAAAATTCCGCTTCGGTCTTTACCTGAGGGAAGAATTCGGATTCGGCCTTGACCTGGGACTGGGCACCGGACAAAGTTGTGCGACGGGACTGCTTGGAGGGCCTAATGGTCCTGAAGGGAGGGGATTGGTCAGACATTGGCAGATTCACTGGCGTTGAAATAATTGTTGGTACCTACCTGTTTGGGTCCTTTTCGCTGAGAGGGGCGGTGTTGGGGAACAGCGGCTCCGCTGGGTTGATCACTGGGTTGCCGATTGGCGACGTGGTGAAGTCTCCGAGGAAAGTATCATCAGCGGCCAAGAAAGAAGGGAATCCAGAGTGGGAGCAAGCAGAGGTAATGGGAATGTCATTGCTCGCTTCTGTGAGGGGGGAGAGACCGGCATGGTCTGGAAGAGACTTGACGAGAGTTGATCCAGAGTGGTTCCAGGGTATTGACCATCAGACATCATGGCATTCCATGTCTCAGGAGCTGTAATCAATTGGCCATCCTCAGTGTGGGAACTGTGTGCGACAGAGAGGGCATCATCTGGAGTGCCCGTCTGCACACAAACATCATTATCCATGGAAGACAGATCCACGAAGGAGTAAAAGTCCCGCGGCATTTCATTGTGATCATGCAGGTCTGAGACTGCTGGGAAGTCCACGCCTGCATACATCACATCATTTGGTCCGACCGTGGGGGTCATCAGCTGCTGAGACAGCGAGAAAGAAAGCAATTGCACGTGGGGAGATTCCTTGGAAGACATGGCCTGATCGAGAGACTCTGACGTGTTTAAAGTCCAGTCTTTCATATCCTGGGGATTTCCATGGCTTGTGTGGAGGGAGCATAAAGACGAGTTGCCTGGGCTCGACAAGTTATCATCCTGGAAAGATCTTGAGGCCATATTTGACATTCCTGAGACCATGGGAGTCTGTCTGGGCTGAGAGTGAGAGACCCGCTCGGGGTCATTGCTGGTCCTGGGAGACATTGTGTGTTTGTGTTGTGTAAGTGGCCTGTAGGAAACAAGAGCTCATCAAGTCAGTCATCTACACCCCAACTATATAAAATAGCAAAATCAAAAAATAAGTCAAAAATCAAAAATCAAAATAATTGGAAAGGCAGCAGTGAAAAAAGAAAGCAAGCTCCGAGGTCCAGAAGATAGTTGACAGGCCTTGGAGCTGTTAGCGGGGTCATCATTTATCAGGCTTGGTGATCGGTGAGGCACCGAAGTCTGTGTCGGAGGCAGACTAGTCGCGAGGGTCCAAGGGGTACGTGGGTGCAGGCGGGAGAGATTCCAGGAAGAATTTGGGTGCAAGCCTATTGCGAGTAACGCAGTGTCGTCTGTAGAGCCAGGTCGGGTAGATTTCATGGCCGGGAATACATGTTGAATCTTCAGCATCATCCATGGATATCCGAGGAAGAACCCCCTTTTTTCTTGTCGACGACCAGCAGAGGCTTGCATGGTCAGGTCCATTCAGTTAGTGGCCAGTGTAATTTCCAGAAGCGGATGCTTCGAAATCCATAGGGGATATGAGCAAAGCATAACAGCTCAAGTGTGTCCAGGGAAGATCCATAGTGGCTGTAACTGATCAGAGGCCATGGTTTCAATGTCCTGGGAATAATCATTGTTTTCAATAAGTCCATAAGAGTATCAATCCAGAGTATTTAGAGGCCAGTAGTAAATCCAGGGAAAATCCATCCGCTTCAGTCCAGGCTTGGAAGAAGGGAAACCAGGTCAAAGGAGAGAAGAGATCCAGGGCAAAGTAATCCAGTGGTGGGAGGCAGTATCGATCGAGTGTGCAACATTAACAGCACTCGAAAGTCCTATTATTCAGCGGATGCTGAAAACATATCATCCATGGCAAAAGAAGCATCATCTTTCGTACTACCAAGATTGGTAGGAGCTGAGGCAAGGCACCAGCAAGGGTAAAAGTCAAGGTCTAAGGTCCATGGAATCCAGGGGAGATTTGGTCGACAAGTTGAGATCCGGTCGGAGACAGTTGACGAGACAGGTCCAGTTGACGCATGCAACAAAACAACGCATAGGAAAAGGAAACAGCGACGGGCAAGGAAAATGTGACGGGCACTACCTGAAGTGTGTCGGCAAATAGATGTGCAGACTAAAGAGAAGCCTGGGCAAGAACAACAAAACAAAAACAAGCAAATCCTGTCCGGGGAGTATGTGGCAGTGAATCCTTGGGCAAGAAAAAGAAAACCACGGAGTTTGGTTCGTGTGAATGTTGTCACGTTCCAGAATCTTTGTGAGTGTGTGGAGTTGGATGCGTTTTTGGGGGGGGTGGTTGAGGGCGGATAGATTTCGGGGTATATAGTGACAAATGCAAGAATTTGGTCAATCACTTATGATAGGGTTGAAGAGAAGAGGAAGCATGGAAAGTTAGGAAAGGAAGAGGAACACCGAGGGGAAAAGGGGGGATCAGCGGCTTTTTAGTAGGCCCAAAAAACAACCGTGCTTTTTCAGGAGGTTCGGGGAGTCGGTGTGACGGACCACGACTATCCACGACTATCCAGCATGGCGCGTGCAGAGTCGCAGCGTGCAGTGCTCGGCCAACCTCGTTGGCACCATTGAGAGCCAGTGCTGTGGACTCGCGGTGATGGCATCTGCAGACCCGGTTTGTGCAATGGATGCGGTGGATGCGCCCGAGTGGAGGAGAGCCCAGAGAGTTCTAGCGGTGAGACCAACTCAGCGTTTCGCGTGCTTGGCACGGTACGTACAGCGGCATGATTGGATACCACACGGGGCTGACGTTGCAGGATGATGTCCAGTTTGGACGATCGGCAGGTGGTCCGTCGTGTTTTGACGGGGATTGTGTGGTGGAGAGCGGTCCACGTTGGAGGGTTGCGGAACAGGGTGAGGCACTGTGTGCACCGGCTGGCGACGAGGTGAAGCCGGTGCTGACGGGTTGCAGCTGGACAGAGGGAATCGTTGGATGAGAAACGATGAGAGGGCAGACGGGGGGTGATGTGACGGAGAACCGCGCAGAATGCAGCAGTTGCAGGATTGCAAAGGAAACAGCCGTTCGAAACAAGGCAGATTGGATTATCGCTATCTATCTGGCAGAACTCGATCTATAGGCTAGAAACTACGGAGCTACATCCTACCCACAGCTTGGCCCATCTCCGAGAGATACTCGATAGGACGTAGGGAGTCGTCCTCGCTGGATCCAGCATTGCGGGCCGGGGCGAGCCATCCGACCCACATTGGGCAGCAATGCAGCAATTTCGGGCCAGCGATTAACCCTGACTGACCCCTCCTAACCCTAACAGAAGCTCACTGGCTCTTGACGCTCAGGCTCAGAGGCCAGTACGGCCACCCTAGTCATTTCGAAAGACACACTGTGGACACTCGAGTTAGCCACTATTGAACTCTTCAAGAGACACAACATTTTCAAAAGGTAATGACACAATGGAGATCAGACAAGGTTGAAAGATGGATCAAGGTTTTCGTTCAGCAATCCGAAGATTTCAGTTGAACTATGCTTTTGGTAGATTTGTTCATCATCCAAAGAGGGGAAGGGAAGGACGAGGGGGTCCGCGCACAAATGAGTCGGCGCACAAGAAGGCTGCTTACCTGCAACTGGTGGACCCAATGTGATGGGCGACCAAGCCTCCCAAGAGAGGGTAGAGAGGAACTGAGGGAGCATCACGAATGATATCCAAAGCTCGTTGAGCCTGGCATCACATCTCCACTGGCCTGCCGAGTGGCAGTCAGTCAATGGGAGGAAAGAGGAAGTCAAAACGGGAAGCCAGCCATTTTGTGCGTGTGGTCACGTGATAAGTTTGCATGGTTTGTGCAGATACCTCCACTGTGGACACCGTCAAAGCATACTCCTTCATCCTATACCGCGGACGAAACGGCACGCTACAATGAACTGGACCGGGGGACAGTTGCGACGACATTCTGGCCGTCATAACATCTTATCCAAGAGCCAGAGGCAGAACTCTGCCAAGTCCGGGCAGCTAGCCAGCAACAGAGTGTTTCGCCAACCTTCGCCCGTTCGCGGGGTTCCAGACCGTGCCAGCTGGGATGATGACGCGATCTGCAGGGCGGGACAGGGAACAGTGCGGGAGGAGGCACAGGACCAGTCAGTTGAAGCCTGTCCACCATTGCATTCCGCACCCTGATCACCCACCTGACTTACCCGAGGCGTTGCACTGACCTTCCACCCTTCACCAGCCTCAAGACCATGCGACCGAGTCTTCCTCTTTTGGCCGGGATTGCTTCCGCGGATGGCACTAACGGACTGGATACCCTGAAACGCCGACTGCTTCAAGACCCTGACTGGGCAGCTGTGTCTGCAGCCCGGCCTCTCCAGGTCGCACTCACCCCGGCTGACGAAATCGAGCGGTTTGGAAAGCGACGCAAGCTGAACCAAGCAGACCGGAAACGCTTGTCGGCTGCACATGGGAGTCGAACGACAAATGCATTTTCAAGGACCCATTGGAGAGACAAGCACGCTTCCTCCGAGAGAGACACCCCGGCCCAAATCAAAATATGGATTACTGGGCAGGCCGTCGGCCAACGCTTGGGTACCAGCCCAGAAGTAGCCAGCAATCGGCTCTCCTCCCAGTCCATGCTTCTCGATCATGAAGAAACAATGTCACTTCGTTCGCCGCTGGGCAGACAAGTTGATCACGACTTTACCCAGAGTTGAGGTCTGCCCAGACTCTCCACTAATCCTCGGCACGGTGGCCGAACGAGGCTGGATCTCACAGTCTCTCAGGCTCCCACTTCGACCGGGCCACCAACGCCTCGAAGGTGGCATAGCACAATCGATGACCGATTACTTACAGGGCAAATGGACCACGGCATGGACCTGGCATTATCACAATGCCTTGATCGTGGGCCTTCTCGTAGTCCCAGGGAAATACCACCAACATCACCCACCCTCGTCGCTACTGACTCGCTATCTAACTACCAACCAGACCCCAATCTGGCTTCCTCAACCCTGCGGCTTGTGTGCCCAAGTAGTCCCCTTGCTCATCGCGTAGATGCCACTAACCTTCGCGAATCGGATCCTCATGCACCCTACCCCAGCCGAAACCCATCCAATCCAGTTACTCGCCGTACCATAGCGGACCTCTTACCGGTGAAACTATTCGGGCAGCTTGTCCAGATCCGTAACACTCATGATTCGGAGTTCTGATATGTCCAATGGTCATCCATTTTTCAAGCTATTTGACAGCCGTTGCATCAAGACGCCCCAGGGATTTGAGGCGGTTTAAGTGTGGTCGATATGGATGGTACTGCTTTGTCCTCAGACTCCTGCTGGTTGAGTTTCTCTTACAACAGTCTATCTGTTAAATATGGGGCCGTCCAGGCTTGTCCTCAGCGCAAATACGAGAAAGGTCGTTCAAATCCCACCCATTATGGAACCTTTCGTGTTCGAAAGAACTAGTGACCCATGCATCTGCACATTTACAGCTCGAATAATGCTCTATCATTGCTGGGGAAAGACTGGAATGAAGCAAATGTTGAGTGTCTGACTTCCTGGAATCGACTCGCCATGACGCTCTGGTCATCGTAAGGGGATGAAGTCTTGCACCTTGAATTCCTCGACCTGAGCTTAGGCAAGCCAGTATTTCGATTTGAGTCCAAAAGCGGTCCACAAAACGCCGGGCTACCTGAAGCTTGACATTGTTTCCCTTGGTTTCTAGCTTGTCGTTTGGATGGATCTCACTATCTCCCCGGGCGAGTGACGGTAGAGTCGAGCTTGGACCGCCTACTTCACGAGGGGTCGCTCCTTCAGCAAACAAAAGTAATAACTAGTAACTTTAACTACTAGGAATTACCTTAAACCCCCCCGAGATGAGGACAAGCCACCGATGGGTTCACCCCCCGAGGGCCCTAATCAGCACGCGTCTAGTTGGACCTCCCTCACTATACCAAATATTACTATAATCTGCTAGTAGTTACCATGCAATTCCCCAACTGACCTCGGAGGTTAAGGAGGTGAAGTCTCTCCTTCTCACTCCCTGGGCTGAACACGAAAATCAGGTGAAGTTTTCCGCGTGTGCGCGACCTCGGTGGGCGCTTACTCGTAAGACACTGGGGAGCCAAATTTCGGATAGACTTAGTATGGTATGAAATCAAGCAATTCTTTACTTTTCGCCAAGGGAACGCTGCTGTGTCCAGCAAATTCGATGGGTCTCTGAAGCAGATCCCTCGATTCATCCAACTTCTCCCAACGTTTTTCCAGCAACTCAACTGCCCGCAGTATATTTCTAATGTGAAGTCGGGAGTAAAGCTCTAGAAGAAGGGTTTTGGCTAGTTTCCGATCTTGACCGACAGCTTCACACCTGAAAACAATCCAATTTTCAGCATCAAGATAAAGACTTAAACTTCATTAAGGGACAACTCACCCTGCAGTATAGATTGGCGTGGTGAGCAGAATCCATGGGGACAGTTTTGTGACCGGAAGGATAGCAGACACCGCATCCAAGATTTCTCTAACGCATCCCTGGACTTGATTACAAAACGTTGGCAAGTCCTGGACTCGCCTGTAAAGGTGTATCAAGCTTGCATTCTGGTATGCAACGTTGCAAGCACCGAATTGTCGAATCGTCTCCACGCTAAGCGACAGATGGTCAGGGAATTTGAGCCCTGTTGCTCTGTCGCGGCGCATCATGTCTCGAATAGTCTGTTCAAGCCGATAGGCTTCGTCTTTCTGCTCTCCTTGGGTGTAACCTCCATTTCTGGGATCGCGATCGGCTTCGGTCATCCCTTGATTCTGCGCCAATAATCCGATTTGCATTAAGACAAGGTTGAGATCAGACGAATATCCCGTATAGGTGTCAAAAAAGTGACCTTCATCTATGGCTTGTTTTGGCGCTGTTCCAGATGCCACGTCCGACAGCCCCCCAACGTCCGTAACTGCCGTTAGAGCTTGTATGGACAAGAACCATCTGGACCAAAGCCAGAAACTGTACTCAGAATGATCTGAATATCGCCTTGAGGCTATTTCCGCAAACATGGCTCCTGCACCCTTAACGTGAACGCGCCAAGATGGGCTAGCCTGTCCTGAATAGATCTCACAATGACACAGCGTTCTGATAGTGTGGAGAAGGGGTGGGGTTGGATACTTGAGTACCTCAAGATCACGGCGAAGGGAATGCATACTGGCAGAAATCAAATTGGAGATGACACCTTCAGGCAGGAATTGATCGGGAAGCGTGTTTGAGAGGGTCAATCGATGAAGAGCCGAGAATGCCATTGTAGCATAGAGTAATGCGTCAGACTGATGGACCATCGGTAGAATATCGCGGCATATCTGGTCTCGAATATAGGCATGGCTGGAGATCAAGGACGCCTCTGTGATAAAGTGGTGAAGAAGAAGTCTGGCCGTAGAAGATAGGGAGGAGAATGGGGGCTGTAGGTAGGAAGATAAGGTCACCAGGCGAGATTTATTGGATTCATGGTGGCACGGCCATGTAGGGTTGGTGCTGGTAAGCCCCGAATCACTGCTCTCGTTGGCCGATCTTGAACACTGATTTTCGTCATGGTTTGGTTTCTTTTCTCGGGGAACGCGGCCGTTCCACTTTAGAACAACCTTGTACTCGCATGTAGTTCCAGCTTCTAAGCAACGGCTGCAGCTCGGTTTTCGCTCATCACACTTCTGCCGGCGTCTTTTGCACCGTGCGCAGCCATGGCAAGAACGCTTGACAACTGAATTCATTTGTTGTATATGTAGACTTCAGTGCGCCGCATTATCCCGGTTCCCCGCCTTGTTTGTGATCTGTTCCCGCTGTCTCTTGATCTCGGGAGATGGTGGGCAAGGTGGTGGGAAAAAAGTGCGAATGACAACGATCCGGCAGGACTCTTGATCCGATACAACGATCCGATCGCGCTAGCTTATCTAAACCAGCCAGATTGAAAGCCCCAGTGCTAAGCGTGGAGACAGTGATAAGTGGCCGTTCTTGCATCTCCTCGACTTCCCATATTCGGAATAGCGTTATCGGCGGATCCCTCCGCATGTCAGGCCCTGAATCATACCACGCTTAATGAGCGTCATTGCGCATTACATGTCCAGTAGGAGGCTGAATGACAGCAGTAGCCCGTGCTCTCTGTCTTCTGAGTTGTGATTAGCCGATTCTTTCCGTTCTCACAATGTACTAAGCACTATTTACCTTACCTCGACGTGTCACCACTCCATGATGACGTGCATCACGTGCTGATAAGCATTCCCCGGATCCGCTCGACGACAATCGCCCAGCCTCTTCAATCCGCTTTCCAACACTCAGGTCCAACATTACCACGATGCATGTTTTCACGGTATGGGCTGCCTTGGCTGCAGTAGCTCATTCAGTAGCTGTCATCCGTCCCTCACCCCTCGATGATGACAGCACAATCCAGCTCCCACTTGTCATCTGGCACGGCCTAGGCGACGACTTCGAGCGCGATGGGATGCAAGAGTTAGCCTCACTGGCTGAATCAGTCAACCCAGACACCTATGTGCACATAATCAGACTGGCAGACACCGGTAGTGGAGATCGACAGGCCACCTTCTTCGGTAACGTCACCGAGCAGATTGAAACTGTATGCGAGCAGCTTGCAGCCGAACCCATCCTCAGCTCCGCACCCGCCATCAACGCCCTCGGATTCTCGCAAGGTGGACAGTTTCTTCGCGGCTATATTGAACGTTGCAATAATCCGCCAGTCCACAACCTCGTCACGTTTGGCAGCCAGCACAACGGGATCTCCGAGTTCCAGTCGTGCGCTTTGGGCGACTGGTTATGCCACGGGGCCGAGGCGCTGCTGCGGTCCGGCCGCTGGACGACTTTTGCGCAGTCGCATGTCGTGCCTGCACAGTACTTCCGTGACCCAACCGAGCTAGATGCGTACCTCGAGAACAGCAACTTTCTGGCAGATATCAACAACGAACGCGAGGTAAAGAATAAAACGTACAAGAAACATTTGGAGTCTCTGAATCTGTTCGCTATGTTCATGTTTGACGAGGATACTGTTGCCATCCCGAAGGAGAGCGCACTTTTTGCCGAGGTCAATGCTACAGATGGAACAGTTACACCCCTACAAGAGCGAAAGATCTACAAGGAGGACTGGCTCGGCCTGAAGAAGCTGGATAATCAGGGCAAACTACAATTCAAGTCTGCTCCAGGACAACACATGCACTTGTCGGAGGGGCTGCTGAAGAAGACTCTCAAGGAATATTTCGGCCCCATCGAGAATCCAGAGTCTCAGCCTCAGCTTCCAAGGCTTGTGGCTCAACCGGGTCTCTGAATTTGCAAATGATTGTCGTGGCGTTCCAATGATTTCATACGATATCCTGCTGCATTTCTGAGCCGGATGGCTTTCTTTTGATGGGCAGAGCCACAGCCCTCTACCCTCTGTTTCGGGGCTCTTAATTCCCATGACATGCACTTATACCACTTGTTATCCCAGGACCTATCTATTATACCATTGCAGCAAAACTATTCTCTTCAAATAGTTTGGCTAGACCTTTTGGCCTGTGGGAACTATCACGTGAGCAATGGCACTTAGAAGCTCACACTACTTGATCTGTCCCAACCTTAGAATGGCGAGAAAGACGCTCGGACGCTCGGCTACAAGTATAGTGAATTCTCCACTCTACGGAGTCAAACTAAAGTAAAATTCACTGCGGGCACATACTGTAGAAGATGTTGGACTCTATTGTCGTCTATTTCATGTCCACGGACGATAAAGCTAGATACAGCACCCTAGAATAGAGAGGAAGCAAGCGGGTGGCCAGTTTGAAAGCAAGATAAGCATATGCCAGAAAAGTAAAGAGAAAAGAAATAGATAGAAAGGATAGAAGATCAGGCGGAGAGAGAAAACTGACAGGCGGAACAGAAAATATGAGGAGAGCAGAAAGGGACATGTACCAGGCCCTAACTAAATGACAAGTCAGGGAGAATAAGACAGGGTCCAGAAAGAGACCCCGTAAGGTACCAAAAGTCCAAATATCAAAAACAGCTGAAATAAATTATAAACATGTACAAGGCAAGCAAAGGGAAACGGTTGGAGACGAGGTATCTGGGAGAAAACGTGCTCACCAGAACCGACTGTACAAGGGTGAGTAGGGTAAGAGAAAGTAAAATTAGTATGGGGGCCGGCCAAGACCACCGCCGCTAACTTGCCGCCTGCTCGAGTAACTCTCATTTAGGGAGTTCTTTGAAGCCGGTACTGCGGTGGCAGGGCGATCTCCGTTGGTCAGGGTACCATTTGTAGGCGACAAGAATCCATCGAGGAGCTTCCTTAGCTGATCCCGTTGGGTAGTATCCAGAGGGGAATCAGATCCATTGGGATCAGCGCTGCCGAACACATTGGAGAAGCCCGAAGCCAGATTATGGCTGGAACGACTCTTATTGCGATTCAAAGACTTTCCATTTCGGGCAGCTTGTTGGTGCTCCGACTTCGTGGCGCTCCTCACCGACTGTCGAGAATTATCGGGTGCAGTGGATGGGCGATCAATTGAGACCAAGGACCGCTGTGAGTCGTTGGGGAAGCCGCCAGGAATGGCCAATCCGACAGGAATAGGAGGAACTGGAGGGATTTCTCGGGAGTGGGTCCGGAACAGGGTCGGTGCTTGGGCTTGGTCTGTCAAGGACTTGTCCTCCCCTGAAGGAGCGATAACGGATGCAGATGCGCGGGGTGTCTCCGTTCCATTTTCTTCGGGCATCTGTTGGTATTCCTCTTCCCTAGATGGCACGGCCTCTGGCTCCATCTCCGAGACAGAGAAGGCACCGCTGACCATGCTTTCGCTTCCAGAAGAAATGACGCTGATATTCGATGCATCAACATGACCGCGAAGCGGGCTGCGTCGTCGAGGATTAGATTCAGTGTTCACCGACAGCACACGGCGCAACTCGGTGACGCGGACTGGAGACCCTCTGCCTGAACTGTGATCTGGAGTATGTGAGATTTCGGGAATGCTCATGCGGCGGTTTTTATCGTTCGCTGAGCCAGCAGGCGAGCCATTTGCCATGGCATTGATATGGCTGTTGCGAGTCATGGTGCCTCCACGAGAACCGCTGATGGAGGAAGTTTTGATACTATCTTTCTCAACCGCGGCGAGACACGTCTCTCGTGACCAGGAAGACAGCATTTGCTCCTTGACGGAGGACGGGAGACCGCTCTCTACCTGCAAGTGCGGTTCTGCCTGGGCATGGCTAAGAACCGGGAAGCTGAATCCCCGAGCCAGTGAAGTTGGGGGGCTCTGTAGAGGGGATGAGATTGTCTGGCGGTAAGACTCATCGATGCCACCGACCAAGCCATCGACGTTTCGGAAGGGTGTCAGCGTAATTGACTGGGTTGGATCGTCGTCCATGGCTTTTTCGTCCACAGCAATGCCATCAAGGCCAGTTGGGGGTAACTTGATTTTAGAGAGCCACTGGCCCTTGCTCTGTCGCCTTTCGATCTCATTGCGGATCTCGACTCCAGCATGTGTGGATTCGAGGTTGAACTTCTCTGAAAGAGCCAAAAGATAACCATGAACCAAGCTGCCGACATTCACACGGGCTATAAAGGATCCTAAGTCGACGGAGGTGAACAAGTCCTCTTGCAACTTCATGACCATGGGGAGCCCAAATTGGGCAGCATTGACACCGAGATTTTCGACGAGGCTTACCAAGAGAAGGTGAAGCACAAGCACCTCAGATTCTACTGCAGCATTTTCAAACGCTGCATCGTAGATGGCCAGGTGCAGCAGACGAAGGAAGTTGGACTGCGCGACCAAGGCCACTTGTTCTCTGTGATTTCCTGGAGCCGATGTACTCCGCCGACTCGACTTCTCCGCTTGTTCAGAGTCACGTTTGGATGCCGGCTTGATGTACTTGGGGGTGTCAATTCGAACCTTGAGGTCTTGCTTGTTCGTTTCAAGGTACAGCCATGACAAAAAAGCATCAGCATAGGCGTGGCGAACCTCCTGGTCGGAGTCGTGAAGTAGACGTTGCGTCCCTTCCCAGACATGAATTCCAACCTGGTTCCTTGTCTCAGAACCCTTGGTTATTGCAGGCACTCTAAGATTGGCCACGACGAGAATAGCCTTAACAGCTCTGAGAGCAGTTAACTTAGCGGCAGCGTGAGAAAAGGTCTCGCCTTGCGCTTTCTCCACATTAGTCTGCTCTGTTGCAGAGTTGGTTGGAGCCTTTGAGGTCATTCCGGTTTCATGGACGGTAGCCAAGGAGGATTGAGCCGCACTATCGTGGTTGAGGCTGGACTTGAAATGCTGAAGAATGGCACGCATCATGTCTGCAACCTGATCGCCGTAGTAATTATGAGTCGCTAAATGTCCGATACACTGCTCTAAAAGTGAAAGAAGAGCCCATCTCCGAGGCGAGATGAAAATTGCACTGTCGGCGTTTGGGCCCGCTTGCTTTTCAGTGTCACCTTCGGCAAGGTCAGTCGGTGATAAAATATCCGAGATGTAACGCACAAGACCAATCAGAATATCCATAACACTCAGGCCGATCATGTTGACTGACGATTTCAACAGCCAATCCACCACAGAGAGGATATTGAATGATGAATCCAACGCGTCTTCTTTGGGGGTTGTATCGTGCAAAATGTCCATAGCTGTCATCAAAATAACGAACCGAACTTGAACCGGACACCAAGTGGCAATGAGCTCAATCAGAGAAGTCGACCAGTTGCCACTTTGTTGGCTGATCCCATTGGACTGCTCACTGGTTGCAACGCGTGGGAAACGCTTGTTGGCGATAAACCGCAAGGTGACGGATGCCGCAATGCGGATCTGGCCGCGGTTACTCCCCGAGACAATGATCTGCTCCAGGCAACGGAGAGCCAGAAGTCGCGCGTCCATCTCTGCCTGTCGGTCGGCGTCGGCTGTTGACTGCGCGGCCAATGCAGGGTCACCATCGACCGTGTCAACCGTGGTTATCGTGGCGACGCTTATTCGTCGAGGTTGGGGCCCAGCACGTTCACCGTTTTCGGTCTCACGAAGTTTCGCTCTCAAGGGTACGAGAACATCCTCATTGGGTGAATACAAATTCTCTAGAATGACCGGCAGGATGATGTTCAGGGAGGTCCCTCCATCCGCGGCCAGACTCTCCGAACTGACAACACCCTTTATCGCACGAAGCCCCGCGTTTCTCCATCGGATGGCGACCGGAGGACTGATTTTGGCCGACGAATAGGGTGGGGAGGACGGGTCAGCGAAGCCGGCGTATATCCGAATGACCTCTCGGTATTTTTGAGCAAGGCCTTGTTCTGCAGAGATCATAGCAATGTCCTGGTGCAGGCAGAATGTCTCAAAGGTTGCGATCGAATCCTCCACCATGGAAATGTCATTTGATTGCAAAATTGTCTCGATGATGGATAAGACGTAGCGTGCGTATATGGGCAACTCGCGTGGAACCTTTTCGATCAGCGCGGTCAGTATATGAAGCGCGACCTGGACATTTCTGTGGAACGGACGATTAGCCTTTGCTCGCTACTCATTTCCTCATGTAATGGTGTCCCGAGAGTCTGCCATTCTGCTCTCGCTTCACTTACCCCCACCGGCGCCTCCAGACATCCTTGGCCACCCTCTTCTCCAGAAAGGCGCCGACCTTGGTCAGCTTGCTGCGACGCGTGCTGGCATAGTATAACAGGTACGAGAGTTCGCTGGGGTTGGGCTTGACCTCCGGCACGCCCTTCTGATAGCGGGGAAAGCACTTGAGCGTCAAGACCTGGTGTCGCGGGCGACACGACTGGCGTACCGACTCCATGAAGAACAAATTTGAGCACCCCCGAGGGTGGTCTGCGAAGGAACGCGGCGAGACGAGAAATGAAGACCGAAGGAATTTCAGTGGAATGCGATAGTGGTGTTCAGAACGGTGGGATGGGCCATGGGGAGGGGAGGCTTCAATGGTGGACGTTCGGGGCCAGCGTGGTCGGGAAACGGGGCAGTCTGATGAGGTAGTTGGAGGCCGATCACCAGGGGGGTGGGGCTCATCCGCTGGGCTGGCGCGGACGAGTACTTGGTCGCGAGAGGAGGGAACAGTGAATGAACACCGCTGAAGGAAAGGGAAGCAATCCCCTGGTGGTACTCAGAGTCTCAGGAGGGAAGAGAGAAGAATACCCTTTTGTGTGGAGGTTGAAGAAAAGAAAGAAAACCTGATTGGGATGGAAGTTCCGAGCCCCCGGACGAAGATGATGACAGCGCCCGCTACGTTTCTTTTTCTTACTGCCTTCTACCCTACGTTGGGAAAAGCTCCCATTTGACTAGAAAATCAGACAAGGGAAACGAGTGTCATTGGTGATTTTATTTTTCGTCAATTGCCTCGGGGTCGGCCACATGGATTGGACGCATGCGGCACCATCGCATGCGTTTGCTATGGAGCTTTTGTAACATTTCCCAACAAGACGCTTGGTCCTTCGCAACCCCGCAAATGCCGTCGCAGGAACGTGTGCATGGGTGTCGAGTGCGTCTTATCTGCTTGGGGCCTGGGGGTTTCCCTGGACCCAGCCTCGTACCTGTTCCATTGCGATTTGATCGACAAAGCCCTCCCCGACCGATCGGCCCAGTGCCTCGGTCGCACATGAAGGCATGCCTCCCCGCCATGAACTCTTGTAGCCGTTTGTGAATAACCGAACTGGGCGACGGCATTTTACTCGTCGTTCGGTGTAGAAAGGTGTAGATCCCTGCAGCAAAGCCTCCGGAGACGCTGCCCAGACGAGAGGGAAAAGAGGGGGAATATCCGCTCGGGAAAGCACATATTCAGTCCAACACGAGCAATCAGGTATTCGATCCGTTCGGCTCTTCCTGCTTCTCTTCGGGTTCGGCACCACTGGCTTCAGCATCGACTGGCATGTTGACTCCAGCCAGTCCTTCAATGACCTGAGGAAGGATGATATCGCGGCGGAACGTGTCTTCCTGGAGCAGTCGCAGGGCGCGCAAGGTCGGGCCGGGGTGGGTGAGGAACTGAGAGTATTCGGGCGTCTTCCAGTAGGAATACAGGTAGGCTAAATATGCAGCGAAGGCCTCGGCATCGGGAGCAGAGGCACCCTCCGTGTCGGTATCATCGGAGCGAGAGACACCCAAAAGGTTTGGATAGGTAACGGCGAGGTGAGACAGATAGTAAGGGTTGGCAAGGGAGGAGACGAACTCAAGCTCGAGGGTAAAGCGAGGGTTCGTCAACGTGGGAAGAGGTTGCGACGCGGGCTCCATTGTGCGGGTTCCATTGACGAAGGAAGCTGTTCCTGAGCTGTCGAAGTGGTGGAAGAAAGCTACCGGGGAAGCTTCCAACAAAGGCGGACCGCCAATTCCTCCGCCCTGGCAATTCCCCAGTGACTGTAATGAAGATCTTCGCCTATACTCAGGCACAACACGTCTTTCCTAAATTGATGCGTGTCAATCAATACGTGAAGATGGGAATTAACATCTTAAGATCATGTATGTAGTCCTAATTATTGATCTATCTCGAAACCCACGTGGACCTTGCTTGGCGGAAAGCCCTCCCAGAACTGCTGGCGACAATCGTACTCTGCCCAGAAATATATATTCCGAGCAACCTAGCCCTAGCAGCGGGACCCATCTCAATCACCGTTACCAGACCTATCTATTCAGCGAAGAGGGATTTACTGGGATATACTTACTCTCAGTAGGTTGAGCTCTGAATTTTTCGAGCTTCAGACCAGGAGTGATTCTCTGGAAGTCACCAGGAAGGGGCAAAAAGAAGTTGACAGCGCTGATGCCACTAACAAGAATTGAGATACCCATAGTCAGTTCCGCGAGGGGTATTATCTAATAACCTCCATCTAGTGTAGTGTAGCGAATACCGTACTCATACACAGCGCCGCCATCAACAAGCCTACGGATACGCATACGAAGTCGATAGATGGTAAGGATTGGTCTGGATGTGCAATTATCCAGGTCCCCACTTGGAAGACGGCTGGTCAAGTCAGGTTCGTTTTAGTTCTACGTGGGCTGTCGCGAGTTCCAAGATGTTCCATCCACTGGTAGAGATGACGGTGTACGCGAACCATACATATGGATCTTGATTGTCAATTCCGCAAGTAAACAATAGTAGAATGATTGCAGGCAGCCTATAGAAAGGATTGACTTCGTGTTCACCTGTCTTTTGGAATTGGGAAATTTTTTTTTCTCTTGACGGTGGTCCTGAATGAAGCACAAGCGAAACTGGATATAGTTCTCGCTAGTGGCGTCTCCGTTCACAATAATCCGCTCAACGGCGAGTCTAGAGCCCAAACCTGGGTGAAAGGATGTGACAGACCCAATAAATCAACTTGGTATCTAAGAAGCCTGACTGGAGACGGCAATAATTGCCCATGTTGACAGGGTTCATGATGATCTCCGCGTTGCGTCGCGAAGAGGTCAAGCTAAGGGAAAAGCGATTAACAGCGCCAATGATCAGCGCCTGCCGGACCCGTTCACCTCGACACCCCACGATTTAACGACCCTGGGGTCTCCCCAATCGGTCAACTCGGGCTAACTGATTTGGCAGTTTCCCCCGCAAATGCTTGTTCCGACCATGTTATCCCCGGTATTCGGGCCAAATATCAGTACCGACACAGTTAGCTTGAGCCACCGACGGTTTCGAGCTCATCTTCGGGACCTCACCCCTCACCCCTCCCCACTCCACATCTAGGAGCGATGTCCCCACGACGATTGTGGATGTCCGGTCGTCCGTGGGACAGAACCCTCCAGCCAATTTGTTTAATTTCCGGGAAATCTTAGGGGTATCCGGGGTCCCCGCACGCATGGCTTGATGCATGCGAAGCATACGCGGCTTTGATTGCGCCGAAGCGGGGATTAGGGCCATTGTCTCCAAGCGAGGAGGATTTTTTTGGATATAAATACTCTCGAATATCGGCACAATTGACTAGGCAGACGGCGACAACACAACCCAGAACCCTCCACAGCTCATTAATTGGCCATGCGGGCCCCCTCAAACTCTCGAGCCTTCGCCTTCGCCGCGTTCGCATACATAACCACCGCGGCGGGCGCTTCCCTCAAGGATGTCTGCACGGTTGAGTTTGCCAAATCCAAGCTCCCGGCATCGGATTTTATTCAAGGCATCACCCTTGATCCTTCGTCCGTCACTACGAACGTCGTTTACAATGCATCCAGCGCCGACGGAACCTTCTTTCCAGCAACGACCTTCTCGTACTGCAATTTGACCTTCGCATACTCACACAACGGCCGTCAGGGTGATCAAGTTCTTGTCCAGTACTGGCTCCCCGACCCGGCCAAGTTCGAAAACCGGTACCTCTCGACCGGTGGCGGGGGCTATGCTATTAACTCCGGGGTCCGATCTCTCCCTGGTGGAGTCATATACGGTGCCGTGGCGGGAGCTACTGACGGCGGGTTTGGGAGCTTCTCAACTCAAGCTGACGCAGCAATGCTCCTTGCCAATGGTACTCTCGACTACGAAACACTGTACATGTTTGGATACCAGGCGCATTGGGAGCTGAGCAAGATTGGAAAGCAGTTCACCCGGAATTTTTTCAACATGGGCGAGAAGACTAAGCTCTATTCCTATTACCAGGGCTGCTCTGAGGGTGGGCGTGAAGGTTGGAGTCAGATTCAGCGATATGGTGACGAATGGGACGGTGCAGCCATTGGGGCCCCGGCTTTCCGCTGGTCCTTCCAACAGACGCAGCATCTGTATTCAAATATCGTCACGAAGACATTGGGATACTACCCGCCCCCTTGCGAGATGCAGAAGATCGTCAATGAGACCATCTCTGCTTGTGATGCCCTGGATGGTCTGAAGGATGGAGTGATCTCTCGCTCGGATCTTTGTGAATTGCACTTTGATCTTTCCAGTGTAATTGGAAAGCCGTACTCTTGTGCCGCTACAGCCGCAAGTGGAGGCTCTGGTAAGCGCAAGAGACAGATGAGCTCCGCCGCGACGCCTGCCCAAAAGGGGACTGTGACCAAGGAGGCGGTCGAGGTTGCCAAGGAAGTTATCCGCGGCCTGCGCGACTCTCAAGGGCGACAGGTGTATTTCTCCTACCAGACGGGTTCGACCTTCTCGGATGTCACAACCCAGTACAACTCCACCACCGGGAAATGGGAACTCGAGGTGGACGGACTCGGAGCTGAACACATCGCCCTGCTGGTCGACAAGAATGGTACCGATCTCTCCAACCTCGACGGTGTGACTTATGACACGCTGAAGAATTGGATGATCAGTGGCATGCAGGAATTCGGATCGACTCTGCAGACTAACTGGCCCGACCTGACTCCTTTCCACCAAGCCGGCGGCAAGGTCATCCATTTCCATGGCGAGGCAGACTACAGTATCCCAACAGCTTCATCGGTGCGATACTGGGAGTCTGTCCGGAGTATCATGTACCCCAGCCTCTCCTACAAGGACGGCGCCGACGCTCTCAAGGACTGGTACCAGCTGTACCTCGTCCCCGGTGCCGGCCACTGCTCGACCAACACTCTGATGCCCAATGGACCTTTCCCTCAGACCAACCTGCAAGTCTTGATCAACTGGGTGGAGAAGGGCGTCAAGCCAGTGACCCTCAATGCCACTGTCCTCCAAGGTGAATATGAGGGTGAGAATCGGCAGATTTGCGCATGGCCCCTGCGTCCTGTTTGGAAGAAGAATAAGATGGAGTGCGAGTATGATCAGACCTCGATTGATACATGGCACTATAACTTGAATGGCGTGCCGCTGCCTGTCTATTAACAAGCCCCTCGCCTCGCTGTGGTCATATGTTGGGTAGATAATTATATCCGTATTGGAACCGTCACCTCATCTCTGTACATGTCTTGTCAATCTACTTTTATTTCCGCATAAATCGCGACTGGATAATCTAAGCGCGCGCCACGTGAGGATGATAATTCAGTGTATTCTGCTAGCTAGTCTAACTAAGATTTAAATAAGACAAACATTTTTGCTGAAGAGGGCCGGTATCATGACACTCCTAGGCGAAACAAAGAACCGTATTTTCCGTGCAGGTTCTCCGCCTGTGGTTGAGGTTCTGGTTGAGGTGAAGAACGGAGACGCAAACGTCCCCTTCTAGGTCCTGAGCTGCGAACCATTAATGGAGGAGAGATGGCTAGGCATCCCGTAGAACCTAGGTAATATGGTAAAAGGGGGGTTGCAGGTAATTTGTAGCTATCATTTCGGCATCCGATCCTATGCTAGTGGGCACACGAACGGTCGATGTGGTAACGGCAGTCGGCAGTCGGCAGTTCAACCATGGGTCGCGTCGCGGGCGCAGTGGGTCTGTTCTAAATATTGCCATGCGTTCTGCGGAAGAAGCAGGAAGAGGCCTACACACAGTCGGTGACAACTAGATTGCATCTGCAATTTTGCAGGAATCCTCCAGTCAGTCTAGTCGGACCGATCACCAGCTCCAACGACCATGGTCCAGGCATCAGAAATGTTCGGCATCACATTTAGCACTGACCGCGTGCAGTGGCTATTGAAGCCAAGCATCTGGATCGGTGACGTGCCTGGCAGTCGACATCAAGGATCCCCTACCAAGGGGGGAAGTGACGACGAACGGCCAATGGCGGATGGCGGATAGCACCCCGGGTCATGGCGCGATCGCCCTGCCCCGACCTGCATCGAGGTGCAAAGTGTATGCACTGACAGTGCATCTGAGAGCCGAGCGAGATCGCGCGGTCATGACAAGCACGTAACTCGCGTGTGCATCTGGCCAGCCACGACGAACCCACATTCCGACAGCCCAAATGACATCAATTGGGGGATAAGAGGACCGCCAGGGAATGCGAACGTCATTCCGAACGCCTGGAGCTGGCTTTGGAGGGGGCGGGAAAGAATCTGGCTGTGCCAGTGGTTCAGTTGTCGACTGTCTGGTACTCTGCACCCTGCTCTTTGAAATGTGCCCCTGCCCCTGATCTCCGTGACAGGATCCAGGGGAAAGGACCGGAAGTCAAGTCCACTCGCGTCCAGTGGAGTGGAGCCTGTCGATCGCGAGGGTTAAGCCGCCAGCCAGTCAAGTCGACCCGCGTGCCCCTGGATTTCTGGCCTAAATGGAGGGGGAGAGACGTCGCTAGGCCGGTGAAGTCTGGGGGAGTTTCTGCAGGGGCGGTCGGCGTAGGGGGAGGAAGGTAGGTAAGCTAGACCTGGATAGTCGTTAGATTAGTACCAAAAGGGTGTAGTCAAAATAAAGAGAAGGGAGAACGGAGAAAGGAGAAATTCCCGGGGACCTGAATTGGTAGCCATCATCTCCCTGACTCTCTGGTCAGACTGGCGCTGGCCGATCGCCTCTTTACGTACGCTTTCCCCCCCCCCGGTTGATCCCGTGTCAGTGGACTGCCCTTTCGCCCCCGAGCTTCTTCCTTCCTCATCTCCCCTCTCTCCCTTTACATCCAACCACCGTCTTGTCCTTGTTTCACCTTCAACCACCTACTCTTCCACAAACCCACCCGCTGCTCCTGCTGCGCATTCGTGCGACACCGCGACACTTGGTCAAAGACGCAAGATCCTATTAACGCACGCCGTTTGCCTCTCCACTCCGTCCCCGTTTCATCTCTCAACCATTATGAATGCCCCTCCAGCGCTCGGGTACCCGCCCGGCGTGTCGCTGGCGTCTCCAGGTGCGTAATACTGTTGGCCGATAATGGCCACCCCCTCCCCTGGATTGATCGCCTCGTGTGCTTCACCCGCTCGTTATCTTTGTTCTTCCTGAGACTTAAAGATGACGTTGCCCCCGAGCCATCAGCCTACCTGTCCAGGAATAGAAATCTAAGTGACCGACTAACTGACTCGATCTTCCCGGCGAACAGACCAGGTGTCGCCGACGGCAGGCAACTTTGGCTCCAACAATCCCTTTCGCAACCGTACCTTGTCTCCCACGGTCGGCTCGACCACCGCCAGCACTCGCCCAGAACGGCCGCGTTCCACGAATCCATTCCTGGACGACGCAGAAGCGCTGTCCCCGCAGTCTGCTCCTGGTTTGTCAACCGGCGCCACCATGTTCTCCCCGACCGAGAAACAGGACATGACCAGTAACACGCGCGATCTCTTTGTACGTTGACTACATGATTTCCTTGGTCGCAGAATACAAATGAGGACTAATCGGTCGCAGGAAAATCTCTCGCTCAAACCCGCGCCAGCTGCCCCCTCCCACTCGAATGGTACCCGCCCGAACCCTGAGGATACTTCCCGAGGTCCTCCCAGCCGCCCCCGACCCCCAAGAGAGCGACCGGACAAACGACCTGCGGACTCTCGATCGAAGGATCCGTTTGACATTTTTGCCGACCCCCCGACCCGGCCCAAAGCTGGTGCTAGTGGCCTCCGGGATAAAACGTCCCGTCGGCCCCGCCGTAATTCGGAGTCTTCTGTGATGGAGCGGTCTTCCAAACTGTTGGAGGATGATGACGAGCGACGCCGACGGGAACGGCGGCATCGCGACCGCGAGGGCCGTCACCGTGACGGCAAATCTCGCTCTTCTCGCAAAGACCGCCGATTGGATATCATTGACAAGCTCGATGTGACTAGCATCTATGGAACTGGAAGTGAGTGTTCTTGGGCTCTTTTTTCATGGTTAATTCTAGACCGCATATGCTGATAGACTCTCTTAGTGTTCCACCACGACGGTCCCTTTGATGCCTGCAACCCCCACCGGAACCGAAAGGGTGCGCGCACTGCGCCAATGCAGGCCTTCCCCAAGGGTTCCTCCAACATGGCATTGGGCGGCGCAGGCCCGAACAACTCGAACATTGACCTGAACCTCTTCCATGGTAGAATGGAAGAAGCCCACAACGATTTCTCACACACGGCGGTCCAACGCAGCGGGACTGAAACCGTCAGCTTCGATCCTGGTGCGCGTATCGACCCTATCCATGGCGTCGAGAGCATGGGCCTTGGAACAAGCACCTTCTTGGATGGTGCGCCTGCCAGTCGCTCCGCCATTGCACGCCGCCAGAGCGAGAACGATGATTCAGGTGCGGGCGGCCTACAGCGCAAGAAGAGTTTGGCCCAGCGATTGCGCGGAAAGAGCGGCACTGGCCGCCCTACACTGGCATCTCCCGTCCAACCCACCTTCGCATCTCCATCCCGTGCACCCATGGGCTCCAGCCACTCCGCCTCATCTCGGAACAACGAAAGAAATCCGTTCTTCCAGGACTACGATGAGGAGTATGACAGAAAGGCCGCGCGCATCCAAGAGACGCGGCTGGAAGGTTCGGGCGGCCGGACTCGATCGTCCAGCAGCCCGAAACAGTCGATGAGCCTGGAGCGCAAGTCCCCCAATGACCGAGGTTACGATGAGACGAAGCTCAACGCAGGCGGTGGTGGCTTTCTGAACCGGATGAAGAGCTTGCGCAAGCCGCGGCCCGAGCGTCGGACCAGCGACTAAAGCAAATGTCTGAGCTAGGAGTGGAGAAAAGAAGAGTTATACTTATGTACCTGGTAGAAAGGGAAGTGAAGCATTGGGAGGATGTGCGAACGGGTTATCGACTTTGCATCCATGGCGCAGGCACCAAGACGGAGCCGTCTCCGTTGATAGGCCCAGTTCTTGATGATTTTTCTATGTGTAATACCCAACATTGTGCGCCGCCAGCATTGGCGCCCGAAATGGCGTTGATAGGACTCTGGTCAGTTGATTAATTGACACGATTTTATTTTTTTCTCTCTCTTCTTTTTTATCTTCCAGTTCTTCTTTTCCCGGGACAAGCATGAAACACGAAGTCCTGGTATGCGCTTATGTTTGCATTTGAGCGTCTCATTTTCTTGTCTATGGGCCTCTTTTGCTTTAATGGGAAATTATCTCTAAATTTACATCTAGAATCTGGGGACCTGTGAAATCAACGCCGAAATGACGGCCTCTAGCGCTAGAAACGGCTACCTTTCTACCCGTAACTTTAGACGGCGAGCTGCTACCTAGCCGCCCACCGCCCTTTACCGCCCCCTATCCTACACCCAACTAGCACCGTTAGTTATCATCCTCTAGTCCTGATCTACGCTCGACTTCAACGACTGTTCCCCCTATTTCTACTCGCGACCAAAACAACGCCAAAAATAGCTCCCCTCTATATCTAAATCTAGCCTTCCCCCTTTCTCGCCCGGCCCGTTCGAGCGCCTATAAGATATATTATCCCCCTCTACTCCGGGTATCTCTCTACACTCCTTCTCTCTTTATCCTAATACTACTATCCTAGTCGATCTTAATATCCTTATTTTCTAAGTCTCTTACTACTAAATCTAAAAACTAGCCTTTATAGCCGACTTTTATCTATAGTATCTACGTCCCTACCTCTATCTTAGGCTAATAAATACTAGTATTAGACTAATCCTATCTTTTATAAGGAAACTCAAGCTAGACTAGAATATTTTTATAGTCTTAGATAGCTCTCTCTAAACTTTAAGCTAAAAATACTACTTAGTATTATAGTTATTAAATATTACTAGTAGAAGTAAATATATATTTACCTCGGAAAGCTATAGGGCTAGGAAATAATAAGTAAGAATAGATATTATATTTAATTAAATAAAGACTATATAGACTATCTTCTTTTAGAGGATTAAATAATCTATATAAATTTTTTTGACTAGATATTTAAAATATTATAAAATAAATTACTTTAGTTATATAATAAATACTAGGGTCTCTGGCCCCGAATACGACTAGACTCAATATACTAACGTAAAGCTATATAGGACTAATACTGTACCGCCCGTAGATAGTCGTGAGAAATCCTATAGTCTAGAGTAAGTCAAGTCAAGTGGAGCAACCCCGCTAAGGTCCAGGAGTGTTACGCCTACAACTTCAGGCTTTAAACATACAAAGGGGTTAGCGTCTCTCTTAATGTTGCTCAGCTTGACGCCAATCCTAATTTGGGAATTCACTCTTTGGGAGTCCAAGGGACATAGGTACTTGAGCATTCCCAGAGCGGTAGTGGAAGACTCAGGTTGTCGATGGCACCCAGGGAGATATCTGTCTCCCTCGAGTTGAAGTGACTTGGACAGGCTTTCGAACACAACACGTCCCATGTCACCGAGTTCGCGCATAGTGTCGCGGAACACTTGGCACTTTTCCTTGATAGCCGGAGGAGCTGGCATCGGCTCATCCACTGGCAACTTGTTCAGAGCGTGCTCGAAGACCTTTCGACTTCTTGTCAGGACTGCACTCATTGCAAATAGAAAAGCTTGGACAATAACTCACCAGAGTACCTTCGAATCCATCTCGCTTGCCCTCTACAGGGCCAGTGTGGACACCAGCCGGCTTGTATCTTGGAAGGAAAAATTAGCCGGGCCTTCTCTTTTTGAAATTGAGACCATGGCAAGTTGAGACTTACCCACAAACGATTTCCTCGCCCTTGATGTGGTCATGGTCAGCGGCCCACTTGTCCTTCGCCGACTGAGGTTCATCGTACCATTCCATCGCGGCATCGTGAATTTGTCGAATTCGCTGCAGGAAGTCCCCCGACGGATGATCTCGACAATCCAGATAAAAGAAGCCTGAGTCCACACCCGCAGCGAGGAGATCTTCATGCACCTTTGGATTGCCGTCCATCAGCGCCTTGATACTGACGGTCTTCAAGCCCACATCTTCAGCTTCGAGAATAGGCTTCTTGACAAGCGCGGGCGACATGATTGACTGACAAGGTGGAAAAATTTATGTGAGATAAAGATTATGATGAGGACGTCTGGAAGAACCTCTTATATCGAGTGAGAGTCCTCTCTGGTCGGTATCTCAGCAGTCCGGGATTTGATTGAAAACGCCTGCGAACATAAGCTGGTCGGTTGTTTTCTCCTTTCGACCCTCCGAGCCATTTTCATGCTACATTGTCTCCACATACCCCTTTTGGAGGATCTGCCATGGCTTTCTGTGATGGTTAGTCCCCTTCCTTCATTGGCTGTTTCAGAAGTATAACGTCGATCTTGCCTGATACGGCTCGGGCCGAACCCATTTCGTCCAAGGCGCCCTTCACCTCCCCCAATTAATCTTGACAGGCCGTTTTGATTTCCGTGCTCATTTGTCCTGTCTTACTATTTTTTCATGTGAGAAAGGGAGGGTAGATGTTTGAGAAGGCCGCTCGCCCTGTGCTGCCCATCATCGCTGGGGTTCCATCATGTCAGTGGAGCACTCGAACAAGTCCGAGCAGTCTCTTGACGACAAGTCCGCTCCAAACTAGAAGCCTTCAAAGTCAAAGAATGTTACAGCCTAACAGCCTTGGCCGCTGATGACGTGGAAAGTAACGATGATTCAAAGTATCCATCCGGCGCTCGGCGCATCGCTGTCTGCTTGACGTTAGCCCTCGCGCTGTTTCTGCCTATGCTTGTGAGAGCCTCATGGACAGGATATTGAATTGTACCTAACGGCATTGAAAGGACGAAACGATCGTAGCAACAGCCGTTCCAACAATCACAAACCACTTCCACTCCTTGTCAGATGTCGGCTGGTATGGATCTGCCTAGTAAGTCCACAGAATACGCAAGGGTGTCAGCAAGACGGCGGGAGGAAATTGGGTGACCAGTACTGAAACGGTGCAGTCTCATCGCGAACGCGACTTTACAACTTCCCTGGGGGCAGGTCTTTACAATTTTCTCAGTTCGAGGGAGTTTTCTCGTCTCAATTGCGGTATTTGAAATTGGATCTCTCATTTGCGCTCTTGCTCCGTCCTCGCTAGCGCTCATCCTGGGGAGAGCCGTGGCAGGCATAGGTTGCGGCGGGATTGTAGTGGGCGTGTACACGTAAGTGGGAAGTCTTCTACCGACGCAAGGACAATGCGAGTTGACTTCTCATAGAATACTCTCAGATACCCTTCCTTTGAAACTCCGCCCAGCTATGATCGGGGCACTTGGAATTACATCAGGCATCGCGTCAGGATGCGGCCCAGTCATGGGGGGTTTTTTAAAACCCGCTTGACGTGGCGCTATTGTTTCTGGATTAATCTTCCATTTGGATTTGTTGCTGCTGTGTCAACATTGGGCTTCATACCGGCGTCAAAGGACCGCGATACGCGACCGACAATTCTTCAGCGCATCAAGTCTTTTGACTCGATGGGCATGGCACTGTTGATATCAGGGCTAACATCTTTCTTGCTCGCACTTGAGCTTGCAGGAACGGAGTATCACTGAGCCAATGCGAGAATTACCATTCTCTTTTGTCTGGCAGCTTTACTTCTGGCGGGATTTGTGCTGGTGGAAAGCAGGCTCCAAGAATGCGGCTTGCTTCCTCTACGTATCGTCAAACAGCGCAGTATAGGCTTTGGCTGTCTTTACATTTTTGCTCTCTCAGCGGCAGTTGAAACATTGAGCTACTACGTAAGTTCGATCTCATTCCACAACACTGTACTTTGTCTTACCGTGATGCGCAGGTCCCCATTTGGTTTCAAGGGGAAAAAGGGAGCCAGCGCTCTGGATTCGGGTCTCATGTCTCTCGCGTTGAGTCTATCTTGCGTGATATCTGCCATGCTCACAGGAACCGTTGTCTCAATCTACGGACAGTATGTTGCGTTCATGATTGGTGGCAGTGTGCTTTTGAGCATTGGATCCGGCCTCCTTACTACTTTGGATGTCTCCTCGAATCGCAGTCATTGGGCACCTTATCTCTTCCTCTCCGGCATTGGATTTGGGGCTGGTTTGATAGGGCCCCAGACTGCGGTTCCAGTCGTTCTGGAACCTAAGGATGTCGCCTTGGGCATATCGGGCGTTACTTGTGCGCAAATACTGGGATCTAGTATCTTCATCTCAGTCGGCAGTAACTTGCTAAATGCTCGACTTAGATCTGGCATCTCTACTGGCCTTCCCGAACTTGACGTGGACGCAATCCTGCAAGCAGGTGCAACTGGTCTTCGAGCAATAGTTCCTCCAGCCGACCTTAACCCCATTCTTCGTATTTACAACGATGCACTCCGTTCGGTATTCTATGTCTGTTTGGCGATGGCTGGTGCGTCGTTTTTCATGGCACTCGGAATGGAGTGGCGATCTTCCCAGCGGGGGAAAGACGGGGGAAATTCAGAAGAGAGTTCTAAATCGTGAATCAAATGAGATGACATGGACAGCAAAATCATTCAACAGCACGAACTTGGCGCGTTTGAATGATGTAGCCCTCGGCCAAAGTCGTGGCTCCGTTGGAACCAATTTTGTGTAAAACAGAAAAGTTCATTATTGTAAGCGACGCAGTGTAGTTCATACAAGACGCGGTTTAGAAAATTTATGACTAGAGTGAGTAATAGGTCAATCGCATTCGCAGGGTTTACGTAGCGTATACACTTTGGTGGGGGAGGCACCTAAGTTCTCTGCGATAGCCTTAACGAGGCCAAGGTCCGGGCAACCTTGCAAGCCTATTCAGGTAATTAGACCTCGGCAGGGACCGCAAGGGACCAGACCGGACCGGGACCAGACCGGTGGTAACACCTACGGCGGCCGACAGCGCCGTGGTTAGGACCGGACTATGGTCCCCCGTGGTCCCGTCCGCCTGTGCGGTTCCCCGGAATTTCATAATTCTACCAAAACGAAGCTTCCTATTTAGGCTATATGAACTGATAACTAGCCAAAAATGCTATTTTTCTATATTAATTATACATAATTTTCTATGTTTATCTTGTTTACAGGACCGCACGGGGACCGGGACCGTAGTGGTCCGGTCCTAACAAAGTTGGGATGGCCTAGCGGTCCTAAAAGTTAGGACCGGGATCGGTGTTTACGGACGCCGATATCCGTGTTGTCGCACACCCACAGCGCGAAATGCGTTACCGCAACCGCCACCGTTACCATAACCGCTAGTTTTATTTTAGGTACCTTTTATATAGCGATACTATATAAAAGGTATATACTCCCCTCTCGCTTAGAGATAAATAACTCTAAGGAGCAATAGACAGAACTTTCGTTTTCTTGCAACTACTGAACTCTGAGACATCTTCACCTATACTGGCATGCATGTCTTGTGGCTAGTACCCTTTACCACGGCGTGCGCATTGGCGACCGTGGTAGATCTTGGATACACGTTACACAATTCTACAGTAGTGGTGAGCAGCGCAGAGGCATTTCATTTTGTCTTTCATTTGGCAGACTTCCTGACTGACGATCTCAGAACGCCATTGATGGATTTGCATACTTAAATTTCTCCAACATTCGCTACGCCGCGGCACCCACAGGCGCGCATCGCTTTCAGCTCCCGCAGCCGCCCAAAGTCGACCGCTCGGTTCAAAATGGGCTGCCGGATGTGATATGCCCTCAGGCTCAGCCAGCCTGGATGAATACAGCCTTCGAGGTGTTGAGCGGAGGGACACCCACTGGTGCCGACTGGGGAAACTTTACTGCGTCTGACATTCCCCCGGCTGATCCTCGTACCTCCGAAGACTGCTTGTTTCTTGATCTTCTGGTACCGGAGACGACTTTTAGCAACAAGGATACCGGAAAGAAATCTCCGGTCCTCTTGTTCATTCACGGCGGCGGGTTTGTGGAAGGTTCAAAGGCAGCATATGGGTATGGAGACGGCCTGCTGGAAAGCGATTTCTTGAAGAACCACGGCGACATCATCTATATTTCCATCAATTATCGACTTGGATTATTTGTACGTGGAGAAATATCATGACCTGGGGATTTTGGTTTGTGACCATGCTTACATGCAATGCGCACGGTTGGCTTGCAGGCTCAGAAGAAGTTCGTCCAAATCTCGGGCTCTTCGACCAGCGTTTTGCGCTGCAGTGGGTACAACAGTATGTCCATCTGTTCGGAGGTGACCCAGACAATGTCACTATCATGGGTGAATCCGCTGGAGGTGGTTCTATCATGAACCATATAACTGCCTACGATGGCAAGGATTCCGAGAAGCTCTTCAGCAAAGCCATTGTCCAGAGTCCCTGGTCGCTCTACACGCCCAAAATTACCCAGGAAGAAGTCTTAAAGTCGGTTCTCAGCACTGCAAATGTGACTACTGTCGAGGATCTACGCAAAATATCATCAGATTCACTTCAGACGGCGAACGCTCTGGTGGTCGGCAACGCTCGACCTTATGCGACTTTTGCCTTCGGTATGTGTGGTTTCAGCATTGTGCGACTCTCTAGCTAATGCGAATGTCCAGGTCCTGTGGTCGACGGCTCATTTGTTACCGACTTACCGTCTAGATTGTTGGCAGATGGAAAATTCCGCTCCTCTGTGAAACTGATGACCGGCCACAACTCTGACGAGGGGATTTTCTTCGCATCCCCCTACATCAAGACAAATGACGACTATAAAAGCTATCTCGCAGCTCTCTTTCGAACATTGTCTCCCTCGCAAATTGGCACAGTCAGTGAGCAGCTCTATCCGGCCAAATTTGATGGCTCATTCGGATATACGGACGAATTGGGTCGTGTAAGCCTCACTCTAGCAGACGCGACAATTGTTTGTAATGCGCGATACCTGGATGAGGCAATCCATGAGAGCTATGCGTACGAGTTCTCTGTTCCTCCGGGCATCCATTCTGCCGACCTTCCCTACACATTCCACGACTCGATGTCTGGAGTCGGGGTCAACGTTTCGCTAGCAGAGCTTATGCAAGCATACTTTACCGAATTTTCTACGACGGGTTCGCCTGATGGGCCAGGCCTGCCTCCTTTTCCCAAGGATGCCGACTGGATGGTACAAAATTTCAACTCGACGAACTTCGGTCCCATGAAAGATCCGGCGTCGGCGAAAAGATGCGCGTGGTGGCAGATGGCGTTAGGTGATGAGAGAGAGAGAGAGAGAGAGAGTTGCAAGCCCGGAAATAGCTTCCGCCCACGGGGCTCTTCCTGGCGGCCGTAAGGCCGGGTCTGAGTAGTGTACAAAATTCGCTAGTTCCGAACCCGTCTTTATATTATATTTCCTATAGACTTCTCCCTCGCCGTATCTGTGCTAAACTGCCGCCGAACTATTGCTGAACTGCCGCCGCGTCGCGGTTCCTCGTGCGGCTATTGCTAAACTGTAGTTCTCTCCTCTATGCAGCTATATGTCTTCGTTTTGTTTGGGTTTGCTTTGCCTAGGTTCGCGTGTGTGTTTCTAGCGCTTGTGTCCGTCCGCCGCCTATCGGTTTCCTTCGGTTATTTCGTCCGTCTCGGCTTAGTCTGAGTATGCCCCCTATTCTCTCCTACTTAGTCCCGCCCTCGTAGCGCGTATTAGCATTTCGTTGTCTATAAAGTGTAATAAATAGTTTTGATGGGAAATACTACTAATCGGTAGGTATACTCTAGCGTACGAACAGCCCCTCGTATAGTACCGGCTATATGGTTTATTCGTTTACCGTTGTGTGGGGATCACTTGTTGTCCTTGTAGGGTAACGGGGCGGGTAGTAGATACTAAAGGCGGCTAATATCTAGTAAAAACCTTGTAGCTTTCCGCGTGTACTCTGCCTCCGTCAGCGCCTGCTCGACGTTTCGCGGGACGGACCAGGGGTATCCCTAGATCCTTCGCCTGAGTTCGAAGTAGTTGGGGTAGTCGATCAAGATGTGTCGCATCGTTTCCGGGGCCTCGCTGCACTTGGGGTATCTCGCTGTGTCTGCCCGATTCACGCTATATAGGCAGGCGTTAAGGCCTATCTTTCCCGTTCGAGCCTGAATTAGTGCACCGCGCTCCGTCGGTGTGAGGTCCCGGTATAGCGCGAGCGTCTTGCGAGTGATTTTTGGTTGGAGTTGCGGACGATAATTATGGTAGAGAATGAGAGATTATCTGGCCTTACATGCACTGCACTCAATTGACGTTATCTTCTGGTAATTTGCAGCTGTTTCACATTCCCTTATCTATAAGCATGCCGTAGACCCTTCAACCACTCTGAGGGAATAGATGTTCATCCTGCAACAGCTTTTCCATCACGCTCGATCGCAAATGCACCGAAATATCAACCCCATTCTTATACCAAGGCTGAAACTTGCCTGATGCAAGATCTGTCACAATATTCACAGCAGGTCTCGGTCCTTGTTTAACTTGTATATTGCCGTCCATATCGGGAAATCTTCATAGGCAGCAGAGTGAAGGTGGGCTTTGAGTCCGTCCGGGTAGATATGCGCCAGAGTCGACCGGATAGCTGAGGCCAACGGTGCTATATCCGGTCGCTGAGCACTTGTGGCGTCCATTACCACGTCAAGCATAACGATTGGCGAGCCGAGAAAATCAGCGCCCAGAGAGAGCCGCTCCCGTAATCCATACACCAGATCACAGTGCACATGCTTAATAAAACCGATGTATAGCTTAATATGGAGTAGGATAAGGATGCTTCTAGAGGAAGACCAATCTAGCGTAGTATCTATAATCTACTATGATACGCTTCGTGGGCTTGCCTACCTACTGAACATAAGTCCTGGGAATATAGGTAGGTAGCGAAAGATTAATCAGCTTTATCCCCGAGAGTATGGAGGTATATCTGATTTCAAATATTACTATACGTTGATCTCATTTTATCGAATCACCATTAGGGAGACGAAAAATTCAATCGGCAGCGGAGCGACTTATCTTCCATTCGCAAGGAGATTCTGGCTCTCAGATAGCTCAGGTAACTAAGATGGTTCTGATGCACTTTGTAGCCTCCGGATCTGCGCGTGGCCCAACACATTCCATGTGGTATGAATGGACAGTATTTCTAGGTAATTATCTTGTTTATTTCACGGCCTAGCTCAAGAGGCACGATGGGTAGCTAAGTATCCTGGGCTAACCCAAAGGTCATCGCATTCCAATCCATAAAGATCGACAAGATGCTTATACGAAAGTTAATCGTGAAACCCGTACGGTTCTGCTTACCCCATTTAGTTTTATGATTGAGACTTCTTGACGATGAACAATGGAATAGTTTTGACTTTCTCCATATAATCAAGTCCAAGGCAAAATACGTACGGTTGATAATAGATCATATGCATTCATTAAATCATGGCCTAACCAGCCAGGCCTCCACAACAAAAAAATAAGTTGATAAAGACGCCGTACACACCATATGCAAACAAAAATGGTATTTTACTAGAAAGAAACCCAAAGTACCACCTCCTGCGAGATGCTCACTGAGGCGCGGGCGCAGTACGCGGCAGATGCGGGTTCGGCACCGGAATACCGGCGCGGCGCTTGGACTGCGGCTTGGGCCGGGACAGTGTGTACCTAAGAGAATATGTTAGTTTCATGATAATTTCTAGAAGGGTAAGGGAGATAAGCGTAACATACTTGGCAAATGCGCGCGACAGGGCTTTCTTGCAGCTGACCTTCTGGCTGCTGATGAAGGAGTCGACTGTGACAGCAATGGCACGGTCGATATCCTGTGAAGAGCAGTACTCGGACAGGCGCATCTTGCAGAAAGATTCGGCGATACGCATGATGGCTTCCAGATGACGGACCTAGACAGAGGGGATGAGTATAATGAACGGATTGTGTGGGAAGAGGTAGAACTTACAGTAATCGGGTAGGCACCAGTAGCCAGCGACTCGCGACGCATGTCCGCGAAGAGACGAGCAATCTTGTCCTGGTCGATCTGGTATAGCTTGGGGTGACAGCGCTCACGAGCATAGAGAATGTATTTCCGCAACAGCTCCTGCGGGATCTCGCCCTCCTTCTCCTCTTCGGCCTTTTTCTGCTCGGCAGCACGGCGCGCAATCTCCTCCTGGGTGGGGGGCAGACGGCGACCTTCCTTGTCGATGCGATAGCCCTCCATATCGATACGGTGGCCATCAGCGTCAACAAGGTTGCCCTGGTCATTCCGCAGAGGTCGGGCTGGGTTGGCACGATGGTGCGACTCAATCACAAAGTTGGCCAGGCGCTCATCCTCGGCGGGCTCGACCAGATCACGGACAACACAAAGGATATCGAAACGAGACAAGATAGGCTCGGTCAGCTCGACGTTCTCTGAGAAGGCCTTGGTGCTGTTGTAACGGCCGCCCGTGGGATTGGCAGCAGCAACAACTGCACAGCGAGCCTGCAGAGTGGTGACGATACCGGCCTTGGAGATAGAGATGGTCTGTTGTTCCATAGCTTCATGGATGGAGGTTCGGTCCTGATCGTTCATTTTATCGAACTCGTCAATCAGACAAGTACCACGATCAGCCAAGACCAGGGCACCACCCTCCAAAGTCCACTCGCTGGTCAGGGGGTCACGGCGAACGCTAGCCGTCAAACCGACAGCACTAGCACCCTGGCCAGTGGCGAAGACGGCACGGTGAGCAGTCTTCTCGACGTACTTGAGCACCTGAGACTTGGCAGTACCGGGGTCACCAAGCAGCAGGACGTTGATGTCACCACGAATGGACATCTTGCCCTGGGCCTGCTTGCTAACACCGCCGAAGAGAGAAAGTGCCACGGCAGTTTTGACATCAAGGTGGCCGTAGATGCTGGGGGCCATAGAACGAACGATCTTGTCCACAATCTCGGGGTCGCGAGACAGAGCACGAATCTCGCGCTCGTCCTCTTCAGTCAGATTGAATCCAGCAAGCTGATCGTGGGCTTTAACCACATGATTAGCCTCAATGATGGTAGCGAAGACAGGGAATCCGTTCTTGTTGTTCAATTGAGCATCAAAGCTGTTGCGATAGATACCAGTGATCTCAATCTCATCACCAGGCTTGGCAGAGTCGATCAGGTCAGCCAAAAGGACGACCTCACGCTGGCGAGGCAGACGACCAGCAGGAACAGAGCCGGGAGACTCCTGCAGGGTCAGCTTCTGATAGTTGCGATAGACGGTCTTCTCCGAGTTGACAGTGAAAGGCCCACGGGACTGGCAGTTCTGGCAGTACGAGATCTTCACCTCGGCGCTGGCTTCCTGCTGGAAGGGTCCGAGAGTGATACCACACTTCTGGCAAAGGAACATCACGTATTTCAGCTGTGGGAAGACTCCGGTGCGGCGCGTGACTACACCGCCGACACGGACCAGACAGTTGAGATGCGACTGGCGCAGCTGGCGCAGAGTATAGATGATTGGCACATCAGTGATGCGCACGTGGATCTCGTTGTGAATGTCGTGATATTGGGGATAGTGGAAGAGAGTGACGTCGAGGGCGACCTGATCAAAGACCTTCAGGATTTCCGTGGGCTCGTTGGCGAGGAAATAGGACAGAGCAGCCTTGGTCTCGCTCAAGTGAGCATAGGACACCTCCAGCGAGGCAGAGTTAACCTCACCAAGGGTCTTGATACGGTTTCCATACACCGACTGGCCTGAGGGGTCGATGAACTCTGTCAGGAAAGCCTTGAACTCGCGGTAGATGGAGCGGAGGACTTGAGGCTGGGTGACCCAGTCTGTGATGTTGGCGGCCTTGACGTCGGCCAATTCTTCTAATGACAGCTCCTCCATGCCTTCATCTGCCATATCGATATCCTCACGGTCCTCATCATAGTGGTGGCGACGACGGCGCGGCTGACGCGACAGATCCAACTCCATGTCATCATCATCCTGTAGGAAAGCAGCAGGCATGCGGCGTCGACGCTGAAGTTCCCGATCTCTCTTGTTCAGGCGAGCATCCAATTGCCGACGGGTCGCAGCATCGAGTTCATCGTGATCTCCATCGTCGTCAATGTACCCCTCGTTTGCGTACTGGTCATCGGCCGCATCGCGGTAATCCCGCTCGAAGTTGTCGCCGAACAGATCAATACCGTCTTCGTCCTCGGCTAACTCATCCACATCATCAATATCGGGCACCAGCTCGGCTTCTTCGTCATCATCATCTTCGCCTTCCTCAAAGGGAGGCATCGGAGGGGGTGACGAGCCCAGTGCGGCGGCTGCTCGAATTTGTCAGTTGGACCCACGCTGGCAGACTTTTCTATCCGTGACAAATCTGCACATACGACTAGAGGGAGGCAATTGCCCCGGCGAAGACATGTCATCTGGTTCTCTTGAGCGCTTGCGGGTGTTCGATCTCGGGCCGCGGTTTGCGGCCGAGTCGCTGGGTTGGAGAGGACTGCAGGTGCGTTAGTTTGTGGGCGCTTGAAGAAAACAATATAAATAAATCAGAAGGCACTTACTCCATATTTTGTGTGTAGCTCAATCGTCCAAATAAGGGTGGATTGAGACCGAAATGGAGAGGGAGGAAATGGTAGGATGGGGGGAAGCTTGTAAATTTCTCGAAGGCGTCGAAGCGTGGTGATCAAAATGAAGAAGGGGCGGGAAGGGGGATGCGACGCGTCGTCCCAAAATGGCAAGATTGGCAAACGCGACGCGTTTCAATTAAACCCCCAATCGGGTCGTCACGTGTGAGTTAACCCATCTACACGGTGTATAGAGTCCACTGGTAGGTCATCTATTAGTACATCCAGGGGGAACTAGTAAAAATATATCCAGCAGATGCTTAGTTATCAGTATCACTAATAGAGGGATATCAATAGCTGGCCTTAATATTGAAAATTAGTCCAGAACAAAAAAGTAGGATCAAACTCCAATAAGACGCTCCGAATGCTGAGCGCTCCGAAGGGTATTTGAGCAATACCACGTAACTCTGTGAACATGATGTCCCAACCAGTATCCACATGTCAAGGCCAGTGACACTTCTCTCTGCGCCGCGCCTGGGTTTCTCTGGCATCCTCATTTTACATCTATCTGCTCGGAGAGTAGCGGCGCCACTGGATCACGCGAGGGTCGCCGCAAACCCAGCCACACACCGCCCGCGCATCGCGTTTGCCCCAGACTGCGCAACTTTTTGGGACGCCGCATCGCAACGCCCCACAGACTTGACGCCTGGATGTTTGCTCGAGGCATAAGCTTTGTTCAAACAGCACGACATTCAATCTCTCATGATGAACTCCACGCCAACTGGCCCGCTTGAGGCCCATGCCGGCCACCGCGAAAGCTTCGGATCTCAGAACTCCCAGACCGCAAAAGAGTACGCGCTGATGTCCCTGCCTTCCCCCAAAGTGATGTGAAGATGATCGCTGATTCGCTCCAGATTTATTGAGTCTCAAATTCGACTTGAGGCTGATGCACGCGAAGTCTTACCATATGTAAGCGATTACAGCCAAATGCAGCCGTCCAACCCCGAGCGAGACTGACCATGCCCAATACTTAGTCCTTCGACTCGTGCACCCATGACCTCGGCCCTCTGCGCCAGAATCTGTTTGCCTGTTTGACCTGCAATCCGCCTCCGGCGAGCCCCGACGATGAATATACCCCTGCGGCCGTGTGCTACTCCTGCTCCATCGCATGCCACGGCGAGCACACTCTAGTTGAGCTCTTCAACAAGCGCAACTTCGTCTGCGACTGCGGCACAACCCGTATGCCCCCGACCTCTCTGTGCACTCTGCGCGAAGACCACAAGACGGGCCGAAAGGGCGTTCACTCCCAGGAGGCTGCGCCGGGAAACAATTACAACCACAACTTCCGCAACCAGTTCTGCGGCTGTGATGAGAAATATGATCCACACCAAGAGAAGGGGACTATGTTCCAATGCCTGGGTCTTGGCACGGTTGAAACTGGGGGTTGCGGCGAGGACTGGTGGCACCCGGAGTGCCTCATCGGACTGCCACGCGACTGGTACAAGAACAGTCCGGACAAGAAGCAATTGGCTCTTGGTGGCGGAGACGGCGCCGACGCTGGCGTTGGCGATGTGGGAGAAGATGAAGAAACCCCTCTGCCCCCTGGATTCCCGGCTGAGCAGGATTTCGAGCAACTGATCTGCTTCAAGTGCATTGAATCCAATCCCTGGCTCAAGAAATATGCCGGAACCCCAGGATTTCTTCCACCGGTATATCAGGATGGAGGCTTGAAGAAGAAGGAGGAGGAGGAGGAGGAGGAGGGGGAGAAGCAGGTGAAAATGGAGCAGACCCCTGCAGCGGCAAAGGAACAGCTGGACGCTTCAAAGAAGCGCAAGGCCGATGACGAGGAGCCCTCTCTGGATGAGCCCTCTACAAAGCGAACCAAAGAGGACGACACCCCTACAAAGGATGCCCAGCCGTCTGAACTTGCCACTATCGACGAAGAACCCTCTACAATCCACACTACCACCGCCACCACCGCCACCACCACAACAACGGAGCCCTCAAAGCCCAAGCACGCATCCCTCCCCAAATCCTCCCCTGCTGCATCCTTCTCTCTTTTCCTCCTCGAAAACTTCCATGACCGCCTTTGCCGGTGCGCAGAATGTTTCCCCAAACTCGCCCCCTTCCCGCAGCTGCGGGAAGAAGAAGATACCTACGAGCCCCCACTCTCAGATGATGGCGAGGGCAACGGTGTCGCAAGCACCGGGACAGGGAGTCTCCTCGAGCGCGGCGAAGCAGCCCTGAGCAATGTCGACCGCGTGCGTGCTATTGAGGGTGCTATGGTGTACAACCACCTCCGCGACAAGGTAAAGGACTTCCTCAAACCATTTGCCGAGAGCGGGCAGATGGTTAGTGCGGAGGATGTCAAGGAGTATTTTGAGAAGCTGCGAGGTGATGAACAGGGTATCAAGGATGCGGCAGGTCAGGCTTCTACTATGGGAGATGGTGGCGGTGGTGGTGACGCTGAGGGGAACAGTCGCCGTGAGCAGAATGGTGAGTGTGGTATATCTCCTTCCATGACTGCTGATAACTAACACCTTCTTTGCAGGATATTGATTGTGCGAGATCCTATGATTCTTGGAGTTAGGAGCTTGCAACTGTACTTCCTTTGCTGAGATTCGGATTGAATTATACCAACTTGGTCTGGATCGCGGAGCTTAGTTCGGGATCGGATGGGATCGGATGGATAAGGACTGGGACATGGAAATGGGACTGTACTCAAAATTACTCAAGGCGTAATATGATATCATGAAATTTTTGTTCACGAGATTCATTTGAAGTAATGTACATGTAAAAAGGTATCTGTAAACTAAACCAGAAAGGGGGAGCTCGCTAACGCCACCCGAAACAACAGAAACCTGCCCATGAAGGTAGGGAGCCTCCGTAACCCCCGCCGTGTGTGCTTGGAAAAGAGAAAAGAAATAGTAACAGGCACCTCTGCAACGATCAGATATTATTCCTTCAGACGCTTCGTGGCTCTCATCAACGAGTCGTCCGGCAGGCCGCTGCGCTTGGTGCCGGGCAGGCTGCCGGTCCGAATATCATTGTCATCCTGAGTGACCCGACGATGCGGGTACTTGTGCTCGATGCCTTCGAAGCAGTCGCCGCTAATAGGGCCTCCGTTAGCGAAATACGGGTGCACCAGGGCTTCTTGGGCTGTGATCCGCTTTGTTGGATCATATTCGAGCATGCGTGACAGAAGATCGAACCCGTCTGCACCCGGAGTACCCGCACTCGAGGTGGCAGAGTATCCGCCATTCTTCAAGCAGCTTTGATACCAGCCCTCGAGATTATGCCCGCGGTGGAAATGTGCTGGCTGCCGGTGCAGTACCAAAGACTGCAGCTGTGTATATTCTGGCATCGAGACGAGGCCTGGCCATGTTTCCTTGCGGGGAAGGCCGAGAATCTCAACTATCTTCATCATCTGATTGCGCTGGAAAGGGACTGTCTTCTTGCTGTCCATCTTGGCTTCTTCACCTTTGAAGATAGGGCGTAATGACAGGAGTTCGGCGAAGATGCAACCCACTGCCCACATGTCGACCGCAGGCGTATAATGTCGACTGCCCAGGAGAAGCTCTGGAGCTCGGTACCATATTGTGACAACCACCTTGTCTCCGGAGAATAGGGAATTAAGTGGTTTGTAAAATAGACGTGCCAGACCCAGATCACCGATGCGGATGGCTCCGCTGGATGTGACAAGAATATTGGCTGGTTTGAGGTCGCGGTGCAGGACCCAGTTGGTATGCAGATAGAGCAAGCCATTGAGTAACTGGAAGAGAATGGACCGAACCATGGTGGCCGGAATCGCGTGTCGTTGCGGTTGTGTGTGATGATGAATAATCTGAAGCAAGTCATGCTCTGTGTACTCAAATACCATGAAGATACATTTGTCCTCTAAAATGATCTCCTCCAGCTGGACCACATTGGCATGTGAGAGCTCCGTACAGAGAGCCATTTCACGGATGGCGGATTGAGACAGACCGGTGTACTGGATCGATTCGCCTTCCTTGTCCGGCTTGAACCTAAGAGTGCAGATTAGCTACTCGAACCAACATGGCCATAGTACCAATCCCAAGGGCAATGCATACTTTTTGATCGCAAACTCTCCCTTCTGGCCATTTTTGCCGATAGCCTTGTATACGCGCCCATAGGTTCCGCTGCTGATGAATCCCACAATATGATATCGATCTCGCACTCGGACTTTGCTGGTATAGCCGCCGGGTCGGCGGGAGTCGACCGTCTCTGTAGGAGAAGGGAATTTATTAGCGTATGCATGGGGTCTCGCAACGGTATTGCGGGGAAAGGAACAGCGGAGACAAATCAAAGGATCCGAGCGTCTTTCGATGAAACCGACATGGTGTATGAAGATCGCAAAACGAAAGATATAGGCTACCCTCCTCTTTGCGTGTTTTCCCCAGGACAATCATCCGAAACGACACACCAGTCTTTGCGAAAGGAAAGAAAATTACCCCGAGGATAGAAGCCCCCGACAGGATTCAGAAACGGGAAGCCTTTCCCAAACATCGTGAAGAGGGGAACGACCACGACAAAGCACAGATGGCGCACAGGTGACGTTAGGCAAATGCAGAAGGAGCAATGACAGCCGGAGGATATGCAACAAGGCAAGAATCCAAGAATATATAATAATTACCATCGACAGTGGCCTGCAGACTCCGTTTGAGATTCTGGCCGACAGTCCTGGCTCGGGCAGAGATCGAACCGGAGGAGGGCGGGTTCGTCAAACTCATTGGATTGTTACTCATCCATCGGAATTTCGGAGAGGGGGCAAGGGGCCACGCGAAAGGCGGGTTCCGTCGCGATGTGCAATTGGAAGGTGGACGGACTGTGGAGGCGGCGGCGATTCGGGGAAGTCGGCCGGATATGGGGGCAGGTGCGACCTTAGTCAGCGAGGATAGAGGGGGCGAATCTCCACCTTGTCCGGTGGAGGAAGGAGGTGGAGGTGGAGGTGGAGGAGGGAGCCTCGCAAGGAAAAGGGGAGGGGATGAGTTGGGTTGGAACTGAATCAGTGTTAGGATTGGCGTTGGGGTCGGTGAAGAGGCGGAGTCCCGTCGCTGATGTTCCTCCGTCCGCCCTGCCCAGCGAGTGAACTAAAGAAGTCGAGGTAACCAAGGAGAGTAACTACAACTGGTTACCTCCCGCCTTATCGCTCCGCCGACCTGACCTGCTCCGCGAACGTCATCTTGAGCCGTGCTACTCCTCTGCTCCCCAGCTACTTCTTCTCTTCTCCGCTCTGCTCTCATGAAATTGGCGGTCTCGCGACTCTCACCATGGCTACGGGTGACTCGACTCGGTCGCGAGTCACACCATACTTGATTTACCTCGTGTTTATCGTCACATTAGGCCCGCTCCAGTTTGGCTATCACTTGGTACGCATGGCCAGCGATTCCCGTGGAATTCTGGCTCGCAATGCACGCCAGCGAACGGTAACTAACAGCTATCAAAACACAATTAGGCCGAGCTCAATGCCCCGCAAGCAGTCGTGACCTGCGAGAGGAAAAGCATCCATGCCTCCAGCGCCGCGACGACGGGCCTGCCGCAATGCATTCCTATGAGCCCCTCCCAGTTCGGCCTGGTCTCCTCGGTCTACACCCTCGGTGGTCTGGCAGGCGCCCTGCTAGCAGGGCCCGTGTCGACCAAATACGGCCGCCGCATTGCGCTGTTCGCGACCACCATTTTCTTTGTCCTGGGACCCGTGGCGGAGACTCTCGCACCTGCAATCCCCGTCCTCACGCTGGGCCGGTTCCTGTCCGGGATCGGGTCCGGGGCTGCGATCGTGGTTGGGCCTATTTACGTGTCCGAGATCGCTCCGCCGGCGTCGCGGGGCTTCTTTGGCGCATTTACCCAGGTCATGACCAACGTGGGCATTCTGCTGACTCAGGGTCTGGGATACTTCTGGAGCCATGATAGCTTCTGGCGACTGATTCTCGCCGTGGCTGGGATGATCGGGTTCTTGCAGTTCCTAGGCCTGTTGATGGTCCCTGAGAGTCCGACCTGGCTGGCGGAGCACCATCAAGTGAATTATGCCCGGCGGGTGTTGCAGCGCATCCGCGGCCACGATGCCAATATCGAACTTGAGACGCAGGGGTGGAGGACATCTGGCGTTCCCGCCGAGGAGGAGTCGCTGCTGGGTCCATCACCGGCCAATCCCTCTACGCAGACGCCTGCACCTGTTACCATCCTACAGGCCGTGCGGGACCCGTACTACCGGCCAGCCATTATCGCGGTGGTGGGCGTGATGATCGCTCAGCAATTCACCGGGATCAACAGCATCATCATGTACAGCGTCTCCCTGTTGCAGAGCATCCTGCCCACGACGGCCGCCCTCCTGACGGTGCTGATCTCGGCCATTAATCTCGTGATGACGTTGGCCTGCTCGCCATTGCCGGACCGGATTGGCCGGAAAACCTGTCTGCTGCTCAGCATCGCCGGCATGGGCGGCAGCTCGATCTTATTGGCGCTGGGGATCTACTTCAACCAGCAGATCCCGTCCGCCATCGCCGCGCTGCTCTTTGTGGCCTGTTTCGCGGTGGGCCTGGGGCCGGTGCCCTTCATCCTGGCGTCGGAGCTCGTGGGGCCCGAGGCAGTCGGTGCGGCGCAGAGTTGGGCACTGGCGGCTAATTGGATCGCGACATTTGTGGTCGCGCAGTTTTTCCCGGTGCTGAACGACGCCCTCGGGGGCCGCGGGAAGGTGTACTGGGTGTTTGCGGCGATGGCGGGACTGTTGGGAGGTTTCATCTACTACTGGGTCCCGGAGACCAAAGGCAAGGCCAACGCGGACGAGGTCTGGGGCCGGATGGATCGTCGGCAGGACTAAGAGGTCGATCTAGTTTCTGGCTCTGTTTGTATCAGGTCATCGCTATGTCTTTTAACGATGTTTCTCAGCTCCGAATGTTGCTGGTTCTGGTTCTCCTTTGGGCGGCCGTCCCGCAGCAAACGGTGGCCCACGCGAAAAAACGAATTGCGCTGCTGGCTTCATGAGCCGTTTCTCGCTCTCAATTGGGCGATTATCGAGGGTCTCGGTCGGCCTAAAGTCTTCCCACACATCCGTCCGTCATCAACCGAGGATGCCAGAATTCCCTCCCATGGCAGCTTTGTTTCTATACTTTCGGCAGTTGCCAGAGTGGATTTTGTTTCCGTAGGCCAGCAGGGCTGGGCAACGCGGTCGTGCCAGAGTACTTCCCATGATAGTCGCCTAGCCTCACACGATTGATCAGATCTACATACCTCTCCGTCTACCCTTTGATCCGTGGTGTTTGGCCTTGCATGCGCGAGCCAGGCGATGCGGGGTAGTTGGTTGTGTGTGCAGTCGTGGCGAGTGGACCCTTGCATGTCGAGCCATTCGCATGACGTTTGACCGGCGGAGAGGCGATGAACGAATGAACCACCCCATGCACAAGTCGTGACCGAATCCAACGGACTATATAGTTATGATCCGCGACCTGTAGATCCTTGTCGTCCGCCCTAGGGCTGTTGCTCGCACACATTCTTCTCGGGTCGAACAACAGGGCCCCTCCCAAGGCATCCATATTTCCTCATTTTCGACCTCCTTCCCCCCCCCCCCCCAATTTCCCGTTTCCAGTCTGTTTTGGCGGGAGGGTCCCCCAGTGGAGCCAGCCTGACGTCGCGAAGCAGCTTCAAGTGAATGGTCTCGCCAGCCCAAGGAAAAGGCCCCACGGTCTGACCGGAACTAACTCAACTAAGTGAACTATCGTCTGCCAGAAAGCCTGAATCCGTATTTCTCCGTCCCTAGCTAAGGCGTTTATTGCCATTACCTACTGCTATTACTCCTGCGTTTCCTCCCGTTACTACGCTGCCATTGCCATTCCTACGCACTCTCCTTCCGGCTCGCGCGATCGGACCCTCTTGACTGTCTTTCTCTGCCTTTCGCCAACCATCGAAGACCAAGCCCAATCCCACTACTCAACGGGGCTAAACCCCAAATCCTCGGATATTCCCGAAGTGGTCAGAATCCAATTGCCTCCCCAGCCGCTGCGGTGGCCGTGTTTGGTTCGAGTGGGCGGCACCACTGTCTTGGCTCCGTCGTTGTGGGATCGACCCGAGCAGCAACCGGGCAGATCGCAGATTCGCAGATCGCAAGCTGGGGTCTTCCGAAACCCAAGCCACCACCTCGCCGGAGACTGGCCAAACACCACCAGGGGCCAAGAGCCACCGGACTCTTATTTCTGTTGCCCTCAGTCTGCAATTTCCCTTTCTCCCTTCTGCTTCTCCTGACCCTCCTCATCTCGCCGCTTCTCTTCCGCCATGGTCCGTTTACCGCTGCCACAGCGGCTGAGCTCGCATCTGTCCGTCAGGAGCGCGAGCTCAACCCCGGGCCAGAGCAGGAGTACCAGTCCAATACGCTCGGTGGACCCCAAGCCTCTGCTCCTCAAGGTGACGGTGATCAAGGTAAATCGAAAACAGCCATCCCTGTGCCCCGCTCCGCGGCCCGCGCCACCTGGCCTGAACCTCGCCCGCTGACACGGACATCATGGGGTATCTTCTAGGGTCGAAATCTTGCCGCGAAAGATCGAGGTGGCACAAGTGATCCGGTAAGCACGCAAGCACCAAGGACTTTCCGGGCTCGGCCAGAACGAGGTTGCTGATGCACCAAACACCAAACAGTACTTAGTAGTGACATTGGGCGACGCGAGGCAGTCGACGCCGACGATAACGAAGTCCCTGAACCCAGAATGGAACGTCTCATTCGAAATGCCCGTGATGGGCGTGCCCTTGTTGGAATGCATCTGTTGGGATCATGATCGGTTCGGCAAGGACTACATGGGCGAGTTTGATATTCCGCTGGAGGATATCTTCGCGGACGGTCAGATCAACCAGCAGGTGAGTCAAGATGAAACCTAAATTGGCACGGAGGATGCGATTGGTTCGAAATGGGTCCAAACCAGATGGCTCACAATCGGTTCCAGCCCACATGGTATACACTCAAGTCAAAACGGCTGCCCACCCGGTCGACCCTCAAAAAGAAGAAGAAGAAGGACGACAATGTGTCTGGCGAAATTCTGCTGCAGTTCTCCCTGTCGGATTCGGCGAATCCGAACGCCTCGCCCACCGACACTTACCGAAAATTCAAGAGTCTGGTCTCGGCTGGGGAGGAGGAGGATCAGCTGCCAGACGACCAGCTGGCGCAGGTCGATCTCGACGACCTCGAGCTGGAGACGTCCGATGAGACGGATGATCCGACGAAGCCCGAGGTCGTCGAGAAGCGCCGGCGACGTCTTCGGTTGGCTCGCCTGAGGCGCAAATCTCTGGCTGCCCGGGCATATCAATTCTCGGGCTCGGGCTCGGGTGTCCAGGGTATTGTGTTCATGGAAATCGTACGAGTAACAGATCTCCCGCCCGAGCGGAATGGTAAGAGCTTCTCCGGTTTTATCTTTCTCTCTCTCTCTCTCTCTCTCTCCCCCACCCTCTTTCCGGCCTCTTAGAAACAGGTGATTGATGCTTTTGCCTTCAGTGACGCGCACATCGTTCGACATGGACCCCTTTGTTGTAACATCTCTCGGGCGAAAGACTCTGAGAACGCCCGTTGTCCGACACAACCTGAACCCGGTGTATCATGAGAAGATGGTCTTCCAGGTGATGAAACATGAGCGGCTCTACACGATAGGCTTCACGGTGATGGACCGCGACAAGTTCTCGGGCAATGACTTCGTTGCATCCGCGGGCTTCCCACTGCAAAAGCTCATCCAGGCAGCGCCGAAGGCTGACCCAGAGTCGGGGTTATATCAATTTGTAGAAACAGAGCCCCCGAGCCCGACCAAGTCCAGTTCCCGCTTTGCCCTCAGCCCATCACCATCGTCTCCAAATCTCTCCAAGATGGGCAGGCCCCCGCTGAAGTCGCGCAACTCAGCCAACTCAGTGTCCTCTCAATCTGTTCTCGATCTGGTCAGCCGGCCCCCGCCGACCTCTGTTCCAGCAGAGGATGGCCTCGGATTGGATAGTAGCAGTTCTACTCTACAGCTGCCCGAGAGCAACGACCCAATCCCCCCAGCTGACGAGGATGGACTGCGGGAGTACATTATCCCCTTAACCCTTAAGAATCGAGATCGTTGGGAAGACAAGCACTCGCCCGAGCTGCTTGTCAAAGCCAAATATCTTCCGTATAGCGCGTTGCGCCAGCAATTCTGGAGATTGATGCTGAAGCAATATGACGCGGATGACAGTGGCCGCATCGACAAGGTTGAGATAACCACGATGCTCGACACCCTTGGATCCACCCTGAAGGAATCAACCATCGATAGTTTTTTCAAACGATTCGGCAACGAAAACGAGCCCAGTGAAACGGCCGACTTGACGTTTGACCAATGTGTGATTTGTTTGGAAGACACGCTACGGACCCTACAACTGCGGAACTCGGTGCCCGGTGTGCCATCGTCCAACCCCGTCCCACGGAGACCTGGTCTCGCACCATCATCAGTCGGAAGCCAAGAAAGTGAGGAGCCATCCAGCGACGAGGAGCTCGTTATCGAAAGCAGCACCAGCATGCCGTCCAATGCTAATCCCCAGGAAACAGCGGTCCCAACTCTATCCAGTGAGGAGCAGCCCAGCTCGAACGACGAGGATCTCCAGCCGGGCGATCTTGGTGACGAGCGTGGCGAAGAACACGTCGTGGAGATCCGCGAGTGTCCGCTCTGCCACCAGCCTCGCCTTGCGAAACGATCGGACGCGGACATCATCACCCACATTGCAACATGCGCGAGTCGCGACTGGCGACAGGTCGATAACTTGGTCATGGGCGGCTTCGTGACCTCCAGTCAGGCGCAGCGCAAATGGTATTCCAAGGTCATCACCAAGCTCTCGTATGGTGGGTACCGGCTTGGAGCCAACTCGGCCAATATCCTTGTCCAAGACCGGATTACGGGTCAAATCAACGAGGAGCGTATGAGTGTCTATGTCCGTCTTGGGATTCGGTTGTTGTACAAGGGTCTCAAGAGCAAGGAAATGGAGAAGAAGAGAAGTAAGTTTTGTCCTTGGATCCTCACAAAAAGAAAGCTCATCCTAATGTGTCTGTACTCCAGTTCGTCGCGTTCTGCGCTCTCTTAGTATCAAGCAGGGCCGAAAGTATGACGACCCGGCATCGGCTAGCCAGATCCAGGACTTTATCAATTTCCACCAGTTGGACATGTCCGAGGTCTTGTTGCCTATTGAGAAATTCCGTAACTTTAATGAGTTCTTCTATCGCGCTTTGAAGCCTGAGGCTCGTCCGTGCTCGGCCCCTGATGAGCCGAAAGTCGTGGTCTCCCCGGCCGATTGCCGCTGTGTGGTCTTCGATCGCATGGACGAGGCCACCAGCATCTGGGTGAAGGGCCGTGAGTTCTCGGTAGAGAGACTGCTGGGCAACGCTTATCCTGACGACGCGGCGCGGTACAAGAACGGTGCGTTGGGCGTGTTTCGCCTGGCGCCCCAGGATTACCACCGCTTCCACGTTCCCGTGGATGGAGTGATGGGCGAGCCCAAGACCATCGAGGGCGAGTATTATACTGTCAACCCGATGGCTGTTCGCTCAGCACTGGATGTGTACGGCGAGAACGTGCGCGTTATTGTTCCGATTGATTCTGTTGCCCATGGGCGTGTCATGGTCATCTGTGTCGGAGCCATGATGGTCGGCAGCACGGTCATCACCCGCAAAGCCGGTGAGAAAGTTGCTCGAGCCGAAGAGCTGGGATACTTCAAGTTCGGCGGTAGCACGCTTCTGGTCTTGTTTGAGGAAGGAATGGTGAACTTTGATTCTGATCTTGTGGACAATTCCAGGGGTCCCTTGGAGACACTGGTACGCATGGCTTCCACACCTTCTGCTGCTTTGACTTCGTGATACTAACCGCCTTTCAGATCCGCGTGGGTATGTCAGTCGGCCACAGTCCCGACATCCCCCAGCACGAACCCGACATGCCGAAGAAGGCCGAGAACATCACGGACGAAGATATGCAGGAGGCGAAGCGCCGCATCGAAGGCAGCCTGGCACCCCCCGTTGATCCGGTCTCGCTGGCTGCCGTCTCATGATTGATGCATGAATCTATTGATGTCAAAAAATGGACTGGACTCGACCCCGGTCTGCCTTTTTCGTTAATCATATTGATCGAGTGTGATTTCCTGTTTCCTTGTGTAATATTAGCGCTCAAGATTCTTTCCGGGCACATAGCGTTCACTTCACCTAGCAGCATCTGCCCATTTATGGGGAGGCACCCGCGCGGAAGGGGGAAATTCCAAATTTGGATCTGACAAGACATTATACAATGCCTTCAGCTCTTTCTCATTTCTTTACACATTCAACCATTTTTTCTTCTGTCAATGCCCATCCCAAAATAAACTTAGTAGGCAGGAGAGCAATAAACAGTCTAATCAGTTGCGAAGTGTATAGAGAGGAGTTGCCTAAAGAGGACTAGCGCCCCACGCGCCCCGACCAAAACAACCGCGTGCCCGAATCCCTCCAACCAACCCACCTTTGCGCATCCTTGCCGCCCGCAGCTTTATTCGCATTGCGGGCGTGATACTTGAATTGCAACCTAGAATACTGTCCGCACATGCGATCACTACCTGAAAACTGCAAATACGCCCTGACTCGCCAACCCCGACCGAGGAGGCCTGGAATCTGGCGGATCCGACCTTTAGCGCAGGGTCAACGCGAAAACCAACCCAACGGTGCAGCAACCGGCCCCTCTCAACAAAGTTCTGTCCACAAACCGCTGGTCGGACGTCGCGCCATTTTTCCAATCGGTGATTTGCTCGCCGAGGGTGCCCGTCAACACCCCTCATCGCCCTCGTCCCAACGATCCCGCGTCACTCACTCCTGACATGACCATCGCGGTCCTGGCGGCCCCAACGACCAAAACAAAGCGCCGCGAACCGCTGGGGACGATTGGAATGGCGGCCTTTCAAGCGCAATCGCGTCCCGGGCCCGCGTCTAGCGAAGCCGGAAGAAGTGGAGGGCAACGGAAAAGCAAGCGACTGAGCGCAACCAACCACGGATTCGAGGAGATTATGGACCATGAAGGGAAGCGGAAAGCAGGTGAGTGCGGTCAAAGTGGCGGGTGGTGATTTGAGAAGGAGTGTGAGGGCAGCGCTAACAGGATCCCTTCCTACGGCGACAGGTTACGATGAAGATGCAGATGGATTTCAGTTCTCGCGGCTGCCTTCGAAGAAATCGAAGCCTTCGGTGGAACCTGTTCCTGAACTCGCCCATTCAGATGTGGAAAATGCGCCTCCAAAACCCTCGCCGCGGAGGGGGCGACCACCGAAGAAGCGAGTGGGGGAGGATATTAAAGGAAACGGGGTGCCAGCAAAGGGGAACGCCGCCGAGCTTCCGACGAGGAGGCCGACCAGGGGAGCCGCGAAAACAACAGATGCCGAGCCAGAACCACAGCTCGAGTCTGTGGCGCGCTCGCCACGGAATGGTGATGGTCTCGAAGATCAGCCCTTGGAGAGGAAGAAGAAGAGGGGGCGGCCGGCGCGACCTAAGACGAACGAAACGAACGGATTTCAGTCGCCAGACCAACCACCCGCCGGCATAAAGGTGGCTCTACCAATGGCGGACACACCAGTCATCCAGCGCAACAAAGAGTTTAGAGGGGCGAAATCGAATAAGGGGGGGCCGCCGAAGCAGTCTGCAGATGCGGGGACGAAGAGCCAGCGACTTGATTGACTCGGGGACCTCGAATGGTAGGCAAACCAATAAGCGAAACTTCGGGGAAGAATGGGAAAGAGAGCTAACTGTACCGCTTTAGCGTTACCCCACCGAGAAGTGAGCACGTCGGACTTTTATAAACACATTGCCGATGAAGGGCTTCCTGAGCCGCGTCGGATGCGGCAGCTTCTTATCTGGTGTGCGACGCGTGCATTGGGTGACAAACCGTCGGGTTCTCACTCGGAGGATCAGAGTGCGCGCCTAGCAGGTGAGTTCCTTTTGGGTCCACTATGAGAGAAACACGACTCTGATATTGGACTCTAGCTCGTGTCATTCAAGATGAACTTTTGAAAGATTTCTCTTCCAACTCAGATCTATCCAACTGGTTCAGTCGCGAGGAGGTGGGCCCGCCAACGGTGATCGTGAAGAAACCGAATCCACGGAATATTCAGAACACAGACAAGATCAAGGAGTTGGAGGCTCACATACAAAAGTAGGGCCCCAACATGGGATACGAGGAGAGAGGCGCCTGGCTAACTTGCTTGTGGCAGACTTCAAAGAGAGAGGCATGCTCTGAATGCACTCCTCAAACAACCCGCAATCACACGCATCGACGCAGGGCCGCCAAAGAAATCCCCTAAGAAATCCCCCAGGTCCAAACGACAACCCGAAAAATCGCCCTGCGATGAAATCGACCCCTCCCTCCTCGATCCCTCACAACAAGCCATCTACGCCTTCCTCAATCCGTTCCCATCAGCATCTCCGTCAACGCCAAAAAACACTGCTCCCTCAACCCAACCACCCATGACACCCTCTACTGTTTCAACCCGGCTCTCCAGAATCACAACCGGCCTCGCACCAACACTCGACGCCTTCGCCGCCGGAATCCATGATATCGAACTATACCGATCATCAGCAGACGCCGTCTCTTCCCGAATATTGCGCATCTGCGCACAGCGCCTAGAAGAGCGCGATGCAGAGAACACGCAGCACTGGCTCGCCCTGGAAGGCGAAGACGGCGAGCTGCGACCGCCGAGGGCATCGAGTTCGCGGGCCTCCCGCGAGGATCTGGGCCTCATACTGGGGGCCCTCAGCCGAGTCGAGAGGCGGTAATGGTAGTCATCAGCAAGCAAGCTCGTATTTCCAAGCACTGTACAAAACTTTTTTCAGCGTCCTTATTCGTTATTCGCCTGTCTCTTCTCTTGTGTGACCACTGGGGGAGAGCTGGACCGTACTGGATTGATTGATGATCATTTTGACGAACCCGCCGGGGGCGGGCTGGGTATGGCGCAAACGGCTAAGTGTTAAGTTAACGAGAGTCGGTCTGTCTTCGGAGTGTTGATGGGATGGGATGGAATAGGATGGGATGTATTGCACTTCCTTCTGTAAGCATGGAGTTTCCGGTGTTGTGTTGTTTCTCATATACCGCGCGTCGGGTTGAATCTGCCTTTTTTTTCTTTTCTATTACTCTCTTTCTCCTCCGGGACACGAGGTTTTGATGGGCTGAGGTTAGGTTAGCATGGTGGAAGTTACAATGCTATTGACAGCCTACGCAGTCGCTGTTCGTCTTGGAGTGTCCTTATAAGTTGCTACCTGTAAGGCGGAGTGTGTCGTTAGGTTCATTCATAGCATTCATAAGGTCCTACCTTAGTGGATCAATCCTCATCCAGAGCTGTTAATCTATCGCACAAGCTTAGGTATACAGGTCTTCTTACTTTACATATCCCAGTGCCGATGATTGTTCTTGCCAGTGGCTACTATCACTCACGAGGTAAGAATAAGGAACAGCACCACCTGCAGATACACCCGCACCTGCGTTTTCCATACTTTGTCTCTGATGTTCACGACAACCTCAAAATACATACCTAGGTACCGCCCCCTAGATAAGGGAATAATTCCATCTCTCAGTAGACTGCTCTCATGAACGCAAGCTTCTCTACGAACAGCGGCCCCAACCACCATCGCCCGAGTATATATCAAGCACCAACCACGCCAATTCCAGGACAACCACCGTCCTACATACACCCACGTGGAGAGAAACCCATTCGAGACCCGCAGGCGCAGATTTAAATACCCTTACCCTGCACGGATTGAGTGGCAAGTACGCCTGCAATAGCCCTGGAGTTGAGCGGCGGGGGCCTCGCCTAAAGGGGTAGAGGTTAGACATGAGGTCAGTCGGTCGGACGGCAATGCAGTCTGCAAGATTGCTGGGTTGATGGCAAGATTTAGTTGGCAGGGCTATAAGCTGGGGCCTGTGCTGAAGAGCCGATGTAGGAGGCCAATGTTCTACTCTACTACCTGTTCCTTGCTGGGGGTTGTGGTTAGCGGGTAGTGGGCATGGAGTGCGGATTTCTTATGACTTTGGCAGGGTTAGGGGTGACGGGCGCGGTTGTGGTTGTGGTTGGAACCCTTCGGTTTGAGGGTAAACACAAGATGCAAAAGGGGTTTAGGATATGGTATTTTTGAAAGACAGCGAGAGATCAAACTATTTGAGGATCTGTGATGTCGATCTGGATGACGTCCCCCCAACGACATCAGGCGGCACAAAGGAGTTCCTCGCTATCGACCACGAGGGCAAGTCAAGTCTACAACCTCATCCATACATCTGTACACCCTCTCCTACCCAGGAATGCACGACCAGGGGGTCATGTTCCGCGACAAAATTCCTCCCAAGCTTTTGTGATGCACAACGGCTGCCTCGCTGGTCTCCACACGAGGCTTTATTTGGTGTCATTTTTCGGGTCAGCCCACATGACAGCCAGGAAGAAAGTCTAGACAGGCCGGCCCGGTTATTAAAAGCTCTAGCGGGGAAAATAGTGGATCATGGACTTTTGTCGACGGCGTTGCGCAAGTAAACTCTCCGGGCGGAATGTGGGCAGCACTCATGTGGATGCCGAATGTTGACGTTGGTTGAGGCAGGTGAGAGGCTCGTTGGGCGTGAGGATGGTCATTCCTCGAGACGACCGATTCAGATAAATATGGAGGCTCGAGATACGGAGCAAAGGGAATGGCGATCACTTGCTACGCTAGAGTGACTGTACAGTGTGATAGCACAGGCGCCAAAGATATCCATAGCACATCACAGAGATCCACCGCGGAGAGGTTGGAGATGCTGCATACAGACTGGGGGCATTCTCGATAGTCATGTTGTCAGTTCCATGGCTTTCTGCTTTGCCGAAATAGGCGCGGTATCATATTTGCGTCTTTGGGAATTACTCTCAGGTAGGTTCGCAGATTGAAGGAACCAGGTGTCCGCAGCGTCCATGGTCCATTCGCATGCTCACAGGACGACCGCAGACTTTAAGCCGATCTATGGAAAGCCGTCAGTGACATCATCGCCTGTGTCCAGTACAAGGACCAGGAGCCCAAATAGATGAATCGGGACTCAATCAGAAGAAGATCCCAGTGGCTAAGCGTCGATCCCGCCATACCCATCGCGCCCCTTCCTCCACGGTGCCTGTTTCTGGCGCCGACGCGAGGCGTAGGACATGCGTGTCACTATGACGGGCAAGATGCGCCGGCTCGGCGAGAAAATATTAGGTAATGGTCCCTGCATCCTTCTAGGTTAGACGGCCATCCTCGGCAGGCCTGGGATGAGGAGGGGCTGTGCGACGCTGAGGAGGGGGAAGAGGGTGGCACGGCGAGGTGGTGCGGTCGCATCGCTGCAGTGGGGACGGAAGACAGATGGAGAGCTGCATGCTAAGCTGGGTCTTTTGATTTTCCTTTTCACTTTGCGCCAGTTCGGAAAAGTCACAATGGTCAATCGAGGCATCGAGATGTATGGAGACCGCCTAGACCCAGGCGACGAAGAGGCCCATGCGGGTGCAGGGAGTTCGGCATCCCGAAGATAAGTCGACTCGGGGCACTTTCATCCACGCCTTGCGACGTGCTTGCGCGTCGGTCGCCGATAGGCACTTGATAGGGATGTAGTGGGGAGCGCGAGACCGATCTGCAGCTCGCAGCAAGTTGTTCTGGGTGCGTTGAGACCGTTGGGCAGGTCCGGAGGGATCCAGCGCCCCGGAAGCTTAATTGTGCCTGTCTTTTGCCAGCGACGCAGTGTGCAGGGTCGTGGCTCTCGTCCTGCGACTGGTCAGTGGCTGTTCTGTTTCCCCTTGCTGAGGGCGATGGACCGGTGGGTAACACATTGACGCGCAAGGAGCCCGTCGCCCCTCTTTGCGACACCGGCTGACATCATGAAGGATGGGAAGGGGATCTGGTGGACCTCGGGTTTGTGCAATCTGCAGCTGTCTTGTTTTCGCCCTTTTTCCGGTGAGGGAGGTATCGGCGGATCGGTCGTGGCATACCAAAGGCCTCGATATCGTGGGGACGACGCGAAAAGGAGAAAAGCAAACAATCTTTCCCCAGGAAATGGTGCGACCTCAGCATCGTCTGGATCTTCTGTACGCGCAACCTGCGAGAGATATCACGGGCAGCCCTCATTAGGGCCCTAGGCGCCTCGGGTCGGGTGTAGATGAACGGTTCAGAGTACGCGATCGAGGAAGGGTGAGATTCCTTCCGATGGGGTGCTTCGCCCCACGTCCCAAGATATCTCGGGCCACGGGAATGGATGGGATAATTTGGATAATTTGGGTCCGTTGGGTAGCTTGGACCGGTTATCGTCGATCAGGAACGAGGCATCTTGCATGTATGCACTTCCCCTGTCGGGCGATTTCCTTGGAGCCTGGGCGGATTGGCAATGCGATAGGTCCGGTAGCCATGCCGCGTAGACGATCTATCATGCCTTTCCTGTCTCTGTTATGCCGGCCTCGATGATCAGCGATAAGCCAGTGCCGAGTAATGCTTAGACCCAAACACCACATATTTCCCTGATGGCGATTGCGCCTGAATCGACCAATTACTGGAGGCACTGCAGGGTGTCGAGGACGCCTCCTTCGCGCCGGCCCACCGTACCCTTCCAGAACCTCCGATCACGGGAAACCTTTTCTCAACCACGACACCCTTTCACGAACCACCCTCCGCTCCGTGAACTCCTCCACCGAAGGGGGCCTCGCAGTGGGCTCTTGTTACTTGTGGTACCTCCCCCGTGGAACCCGGAAGTCGCTTCTGGTTCCTTTGCCAATGGAGCTCGGACACGGGCCCGCCTTCTGACCTGTGAAATGATGCTTTGATGTGATTGGGATGATTCTTTCCTCATTGGTGTCATGTCCCCCTCTCGGCGCTATGCTGATCCGGAAAGTTTCGATGAGCTCCGTCGATCATCTGTGGCAATCTCCAGCCCTGGGGCCTCATTGCCCTCGGCGCATACACCCTGGCCTCGCTATTGTGCCCAAGCTGGCGGTTCCCACAACGTAGGTCCCAAAGGAGGCTTGAGATGGTCTCTCAATGGGCATTGAGCCCCCCTATCGCCCAGCCACCGATCCAAGCCCGGTGATTTACCATCGTGGCGAACAAAAAGGAACCTACGGGAACTGACACCGGCGTTGGAACTGGAAGACCAGTGGAAGACCAGCGCGTCAGAGGGTCCCCCCTCTTCCACCACTGGGCTACACATTCAACCCATTGCCCTATCACTGCCCAAGGTACCTCTGATCCTCGGGTTCGCTGGTCTTCGGCTCTTCCTGCCTTGGTGTGGCCCGTGGCCCAGCTCAATCGCACCGTTCCTGGGGCATGTCTCTAGCCGCGTAAATAGCAGAAAACACCCGCAGGGCCCGGGTTGTTCACGATCCTTTTATACCAGTCCCTTCGAGGCTGCCTTGAACCGTAAAATATACTACAGCTCCCACCCCCCGCTCCCTTCCCTTCTGTCCCTGTCGATTCTCAAGCACCAGATGTGATTATTGTCCGATTCCACACTGTGCACCCGCACTGATTATGCATCCGTGACATAATTTCTCATCCCTGGCTGCACGCCTCCTTCCGATCTGCTCTCTGTGTCAAGAAAGCTCCTGTTGGCGTGTGGGATCGGGCCAGCCCTTGGTGACCAGCACGTCTGATTTGCTCCTGGCTCTTGAAAACCGAGGTCAGTCATTTGGCGAGGAAGATCTATCTGTCAACGGTCTGGTGGATTATCTCATGAGACGAATAGCAAAGCAGCTTCCTGTTGAGTCTCCCTGCTGGCGATGTGATTTCACATAGTTGACTGTTGCTAGGTGAACATCCGACCACGAATGACCACCTCACTTCAACGCTGCTCTTCTTAGATTGGCGACTGGTCCCTGAAGGTGGAGAAGGTGCTGTTTCGGATTGTAAAACAAGAAATAAGATCGAAGAAAAAGAGGATCCGTGAAGGAGTTTCAAGCCAGGAGATTCCGGCGCGGAAGAATGGCGGGGGGATACTTCGACCTCCCCATCGCCCGCCGTTTCAGTACTTCTAATGCCATGGCAGCATCCGCCAAAGCATCGGGCTTACGCACATCACCATCGCCCGGGTCCAATGATGGCCCTGGCCCATGCGGCCTGCAGTCCTCGACCGAGCGAAGACCGAATGACGCGGCCGCTCAGGGCAAGCATCGGAATGCCGGCATTCTGCGCAGCACCAATCGTGTCAAGTTCACCATGGGCGAGCCCGAGCTGAAGGAGCCGAAGGAGATAAGGGAGCCCCCGGGTGGAGCTACGGCCGAACCCCGACTGGACCGCAGGGGCAGCTCACAGCTCCCCCAAAGACCCGCGCCCACCGCCAACATTCCATACATCCAAGAAAAGAGAAGCGTGGACCTTCAGCGGGGACCCTCAGTGGAAGATGGCCCAGCAGGCGCGTCAGTGGATGTCACCGGCCTGACGATCAACTGCCGGACCAGCGCGCTGGCCACCAGCGAGGATGATGAGATCAGTCCTGGCGCCACAGCCGGCGCGAATGACAAGGGGCGAGCAATACACTGTGCCCATGAAAGGGCCCAGCGGCTTGCATCCCTTCTGAGCCGGCCCCAAAAATCTCCGAAGCCAAGTCCTCGGTCCAGCTTGGTGTCATCGATTGCTTCCACTCCTACTGAGGTAGTATTTCCTTCGGAAGATGGCGATGAGATTCCTATGATCAGCTTCCCCGAGAAACAACAACTCTTCGACGACCTCTCTGCAGCAGCGCTTGCCCTAACCGATGAAGAGGAAGCGGGTGACTTAGACGGGCGATCTACACCACGCACTGCTGAAACCCAATACATCGTGCGCCAAATGGCCCGACGAGACTTCTCCTCCTTGATCACCCGCGTTCGAGCTCCCTCTCCCGGTCCCCTCTCTGGCCAAGCCACCCCATCCGAGGACCGGGACTCGGAGACCTCGATCGAGCGGCCGAAGCTATACCGCAACGGTATCTTATCTTCGATCCTGAAGCTCTACGACCAACAGGGTAGCGAGCACCATCACCACCACCAAAACCACTCCCCATACGGCCGGGGTCGGTATGGCCACTCCCGACATGGGAGTGTCTCCGAATACAGTGGACGCGGGTTCTCCCCCGACCCTGTTTGGAAACCGCACCGGCCCAGGAAGTGGTACGAAAAGTCACCCAGCCAATCCAATACCTCCCTCACCAGTGCCAGCAAGAACAGCTCCCCAATTCACCTGCTGAAGCGGTCCCACAGCAGTGGCACTGTCGGGGCAGGCACCGGGACTCGTCGATGGGCGAAACCCTCCCGGCTGGAAGATGAGATCCGTATCACTGTACATATAGCCGAGCTTCTCTCACGCCAACGGTATCTGATCAGGCTCTGTCGGGCCTTGATGAAATACGGTGCCCCCACACATCGCCTGGAGGAGTACATGCGGATGACAGCGCGTGTGTTGGAAATTGAAGGTCAGTTCTTGTACATCCCAGGATGTATGATCATCTCGTTTGACGACGCCGCCACGCACACGACGGAGGTCAAGGTTGTTCGTTCAAATCAAGGCATTGACCTGGGGAAACTGGCCGACGTACACGAGATATACAAGGAGGTGATCCACGACGTGATTGGTGTGGAAGAAGCCATCCAGCGGCTCGACGAGACGATGAAGAAGCGCAGCAAGTTCCACATCCTGTTCCTCATCTTCGCGCACGGGTGTGCAAGTGCATCAGTTGGACCCTTTGCCTTCAATGCCCGACCAATCGACATGCCCATCGCCTTCCTACTCGGCTGTCTCCTCGGCATGCTACAGCTCATCCTCTCCCCGAGATCGAGTCTGTATTCCAACGTCTTCGAGATCTCGGCAGCAGTGCTCACTTCCTTCCTGGCTCGGGCCTTCGGCAGTATACGATACCAGGGCGAGCCGCTCTTCTGCTTCTCCGCACTCGCGCAGGCGGCCATTGCCCTCATCCTCCCAGGCTACACCGTCCTCTGCGCCAGTCTCGAGCTACAATCCCGCAGTATCGTGGCCGGTTCTGTCCGGATGGTCTATGCCATCATATATTCCCTCTTTCTCGGGTTCGGCATCACCATCGGCACCGCCGTCTACGGTTTACTCGACTCTCAGGCATCCACTGCGTACACGTGCCCTGCCAGCCCGATCAACAACGAGTATCTCCAACGCTTCCCCTTCGTATTACTCTTCACAGCCTGTCTGGCCATCGTCAATCATGCCAAGTGGAAACAGATCCCCATGATGATGGTCATCTCTCTGGCCGGGTACGCGGTCAGCTACTTCAGCTCTAAGCGCTTCTCTTCGAACACGCAGATCTCAAACGCCCTGGGCGCGTTCGTCATTGGCGTCATGGGAAATGTATACAGTCGACTCCGTCACGGGCTCGCAGCGGCTGCCATGCTGCCCGCCATTTTTGTCCTAGTGCCCTCCGGCCTCGCGGCCAGTGGATCCTTGATCTCCGGGATTACTTCGGCGGAGGAGATGACTCGGTCTCCGTACGCAGTTGTGACCAACGGCACGCAGGGGTTCGTCGATGCAGCGAAGAATCTATCCGCGACTGACGCACGGAACCAAAGCTACGGTGTTGTCTTCGACATCGGATACGGCATGGTCCAGGTGGCTATCGGCACGACTGTCGGCCTGTTTCTCGCTGCGCTGGTGGTTTACCCGCTGGGTAAGAAACGCAGTGGGCTGTTCAGTTTCTAGCAGAGGCCCACGCCTCATCTTCACATCTGCCTTCATCCCATTCCGTCTCACGTCCGTGCTTGACTTCATTCGCATTCCCTCAGCGTCCCTTGACCGCGTCAGGACCCTTGGACATTTCCCATCCCAAGTCTCCTGATAGTGGCCTGCACTATGATGCCATGCTACCGGCGGGAGTCAATGGTTGTCATCCCTCGCACAGCAATCGAGGCGGGGGGCGGAAGCGGGGGCGTGTTTGCTGTTTGCTATTGACCGAGATATTTCATTACCTGGAGTTCATATTTTGTTAGGGAGTTGGACAGTGCTCGCTACTTGCCTTTATTTCCTTTCCTTTCCTTTCCTTTCCTTCCCTTCCCCTTACCTTCTTATTTGACTTTTACCACCCTCATTTCCTACTCCCTTCGTACCTCATCGACAAAGTCTATACCGACTCACCCACCGGCCGAGTAACTTGTTCATTTTTTGCTTGTCCGGCCATACATAGAAGCTACGATTCTCACGAGTCATGACCAAAATCATCGAGGCCCCCGTTGCGTGTTTTTGCTTTCTTACTGTCTTTCATCTTTCATTTACCAAACTTTTATATTTCTGACCCTTGATTGTGTTTCCGGATATCGATATCTATTGTCTAGTGTCTACCAACTGCGAGAATGTCTATCTGCGCCGCAGCGTGTTGTCTCTTGTGTTTCCTCGTTCTAATTAGGTTCTGTTTGCTGCATGACAATTGGGGTCTCTATCTGTTTCTGAGCGAAGTCGCTTCCATTTACTGCATATGAGGGCAACAAGTGTGTGTTTGTGTATGGTTTCTACCTTCCATTTGCTTAGCCTGGTCTTTGCTGGTATCGTTCTTTTGTCTTTTTTTGGTTGTTGTTTTTGATGTGGGCACTCTGTCCTCTTGTGAGAATACTTAGTTTATGCCAGCTTGGATTCGGATTCTGTCAGCTCTCTTCATGGACGCGTTGTGCCTTGTATCTCAAGATAAGCTGAGTCGTCAAGGGAGGGTTCAAAAGCCGTATTGAAGAGTTTCATTGTCGTAATTTCGAAGACATCACACACTACGTTTACTTGAGTAAAGAGAATCTTGGCTGCAGAGCTATGTATTGATTGATTGCACTGAAAAGGCCCTTGAATCAGGTACCTGGGGGTAGACTGTCTGTACATGACCGGATGTACGTCAGAGACCCGAAAATATCAAATGAGAGACGACAGGTCAAATCAACACTGTCAATCAAACCACGGAGCTCGCGATCCGTGAATCGGGAGATAAAAACGGATGTGGTTGGTTCGCCTCCCACTCGAAAGGGAGTTGGAAGCTGAACAGCGGGAAGAAAAAATAATGGAAGGAAACTGATAACAGTTGGTAGGGATCAAGAAAAGAAAACAGGTCATTGTAGACTGATCCAGGTCTTTCATCACACACACATGAAGTCTGACACGAGTAGCCAGGGTAGAGGAAGAAGGAAGGAGTGGGAAAGGTTCGGGCAAAACAAAGCAGGAAAAGACACTTAAAAAGCCCGTCCAATGAAATAGAACTGAAAAAGAACGCAAGAAAAGGTCATACGTCGCTGTCACATGATGGAGTCGGCATTACATCAGAGGGGTCTTGCGCTTTTCGGCGCTGGACAGCACAAGCATCGGCGTCTTACGGCGTTCAGGTGCTTGCACAGCCTGCCCCTGGCCCGCAACGACGGCCGCCACGGAGGGAGAGGTAGTGCCAGAGGTCGGCGACGAGACACTGTCCGAGAACTTCGACACGAAGTAGCCGTCCTCGCTGGTCGGGGTGGCGCTGCTGAAGGGACTGTCGGGGGACTTGCGCTCCCGGCCAGTCTTCTCTTTACGCTCAGATCCAATAGCGCCATTGGCAGCAGCCCGCAGACTGCCCAGGCTGGGCTTACTGGAGAGGCTGCCACTGCGCACCGTGGCATCGTCGCCATCAGAGAAAGTAAATTCCTTCTCACTGGCGGGGGTGTTGGTGCCGCCACTGCTGTGGTATCCGACACTACGAGTATCACCCCGACGCTCAATTCCAGCACGAACCAGGTTGTGAACGGCACGGCGTCGCTGGCGGGTGGCAAAGTTTTTGCTTCCTTCGTGCTTGGAAGTTGGCTTTGCCACGAGATCCTCGAGGGAAGGCGGGCCACGGGGCTGACGGATAGGATGCTCACCAGCACGAGCCTGGCCAGGACCAAAAGTTCCAGTGGCTGGGGTTGGGGGCAGAACAGCAGACCTGGGGCCAGCTCCAATGTTGGCCTTGGTGGTGTCAATGTTGGTCTTCAACGTCGGATTGAACGATGCGTTCTTGCGGTGGTTGCGTCGGAAAGCAGACGACTCAATTGGGGGGGGAGGGGGTGCCACCGCAAGGAGAGACCGGCTGCGAGAACTGCATGGGAGAGGGAACAGAGTCGGGCGGGGAGATCTCAGCACGGAACTGAGGAACCTGCTGACCAGAAGAATAGTTCTCGGCATAGCCCTGGGGCGATCCGGCGTCCTGGAAGCTGTTGTCCATGATATAGCTCTGCTGACCAGTGAGGGGGTTGTAGACACAGAACCAGCCAGGCTGCCCAGGAACTGGCTGCACAATCGGCTGCACGCCCTGCTGAAGCTGCTGCTGATAGAAACCCATGCCAGCAGCCATCGAGAGCGAGGGCATTGTCTGCTGAGGCATTCCTCCCAGGTTGAGACCCTGGAATTGCTGGGCTGCAGCGGTGACGCTGATAAGCTGTTGCTGCAGGCGCTGCTGCTGCGCAGCCAGGAAGAGATTGGTCGACATCAATTCAGCATACAGATTCTCATCGATGCCATTATCGCCGCCCATGTCAAGAGTCGGAGGTGCGAGCACCTGCTCCGGCATCGTGTACATAGGATGATTCTGCTGCGCATTCATCCCGTGGTTCTGAGCGTACGCGTGCTGCGGGAATCCAGCTCCCGTGGCAGTTTGGGGGACACGGTCATTCCCTCGGCTAGTATAATTAGCATATCGAGAGTTATCAAAGCCATTGCGCTGCTGGTGTTGCGAGGGGATCGTGGCAGACCGGGGGGCAGTTCGGAGCCCGGCCAAGAGATGCGATCGGCTGGTTCGAGGAGTTGCCATGGGCGCAGAGGCCTGAGACTCATCAATGGTGGCGACCTGGGGAGGCATGCTCAAGCGCTTGATGTGCGAGCCCTTCCCCCGCGAAGCGAAGCCGGAGCCCGGCACGCCGAGGGAAGTGCCATTATTGAAGTTGTTGTTGTAGGTCATATGAGCAAGACCGCCAGCGTCCATACTCATGGTCGTCGAGAATGTCGGAGGAAGTTTGGCGGATGAAAGGGGTGGGTGCAAGGCGCTGCAGGTCAAAACGTCAAGTCGCGTTCAGTTTTCCGTCACGGGGCTAGGCGAGCGTTTGGGATCAACCACAAAGCTTCAAGCTTTTTTTTCCCGGTGTGATTAGGTGATTATTGGATGTCTATGACAGGAAGTAAACCAAGAATCGAGATCGAGTCGATCGGATTTCGGTGAGAAATGAAGGAATTTCAGAAACGACAAGTCGCGATGTCTGAGCCGGGAATGTGAAGTCAGCGAGATGCCTAAAGAACAGGCTGGGAGAGCAAAGAGTGGGTTGCGTACCAGAAGCGAAGGTATGCAGCAGAGAGCCAACGACAGGCAGGCTCAATGATGAAGACAGCGGAGGCAGGATTCCAATATTATCGAGCTGTACAGAAGTGTGCGAGTGATTCTTTTTCCGACAGTTGGGCGGTCCAGAAGCCGAGGAACGGTGAACAGATGAAAGCCAAGAAAAAGGCAAGGCGATGCAGCAACACCAGAAAGGAATTATGAGAATATCGAGGTCTCTCACGAGAGGCCGAGAAGCAAAAAGAAGGCCAGGAGATGCTCTGCAAATCCCAGTTGGTGAAAAGAAGTCCGACGCGCTCACTGGGGGCACGAAGACTCGGGAGGCTGAGAAAACACAACCAAGTGCGAGTCACGACCGAGCAGGCAAGTTCAAGAACCAGCTGGAGGCAACTGCGAAATGAAAAGAAGAGAAGCCCCTGGGCACGATGGTCGATATGTATGGAAGACCGTGGGGAGAGGAGCAGGTCGAAGGCGACTCGAAGGACGAATCGGGCTTCGGGTCTCGGCCAGACGCGAGCAACCTTTTCTCTTCCAATCTCTCAGGGGCGGAATGAATCGGAAAGACTATTTGCAGGAAGTTCTGTGGGAGGATGACTTATTTTGGGGGTTTCCCGATCAACGCGAGCTGCTAATGAAAGAATGCAGGGAAAGAAAAAGAAAGAAGCGAAGATTAAGATCGGGTGGAGGATGGGGTTGGGTGAAAGAATGAGGAAGTGCGAGGGCGAGTGCGGGTGTGGGGAGAAGCGATGGTGCCTTGTGGCCTAAGGCAGAGACAGGTCACGGCCTTCAGGAACAATAAAAACACTAAGCTATATTGGGTCTAGCGCGCGTCCATTGGGGAGGACCATAGGCGGGTGCATTTATTTGGTTGTCTCTTTGAACATCCCTTAGCACAATCCGATTCTCCGATGAACCCGCACGCGAGCAACCATTGCTTGCCATCCGGTGTGAATGGCAGAGACAAAAAGTAACCGGGTCCGCACCCAACACGCCAATGGGGGCGGTCCCTGTGCCCGACAGGTGCGGAGGGTTCTGGGCTCGTCACATCTCAGATCCATCCATTGGCTGGGGGACACCCACTAGCGGCAGCCCCCAGGTGGCCAGCCTCTGGCCACTCGACGTCCGCTCGGCGTCTCACAATGCCCCTAGAGCCGCCCGGCGCTGCTGCCAAGCACCCAGCTGCAGCCAATCGCTCCGAGTCGTCCGCTTGCTGAGGCGCTCTGGTCCTCCCTCCCTTCACTGTCTGTGGCAAGGTACTCCGTACACATAAGCCTTTCTCCACGGCTGAATGATCGAGTGAATCGCATGGGCCACGGGACCGGAAGATACGGCAGTTCGTGGCTGAGGGCGATGGGGCAGGCGCGGCGGACATTGAGGCACTAGTGTGATTATGATCTACGATGGCCCACGCCGATCCAGTGTCAGTCTAATGAGCATGGGCACTTTGCACGGATGTCCTCTCGGGCCCATGGACCTGACTAGGAAGCTATGACGATTCTCAGCTCCGATTTGTCTGTCTGGATTGTAAGAAAGTATGTCTTGCATGAGACGTGCAGCAGGAAATTCGTACCTCGCACATGGCCAAGGTGCGCGGGACGCCTTTCTTTACAGTATGGATGCCTGGAATAAGGAGAATAGGGCCAGAGCTATGGAACCCAGCTCTATGCCTGTGGATTACTACCAAAGCTTCGACAACGTCAGGTAGAAACGAAAAAAAGCCATTTCTCGCGTAGAAAAATTTGAATTGTTTCCCTACCCAGGCGCTACTCCGCGATCATCCACAGAGAGAACCCACTAAGTAAGCGTATCACCATCTAACGTAATTCCCGGCCGACCGAGCAACCCCACCCCCTATAGAAATTTTAAACCAAAATATATCAACCAAAACGCATCAATTTAGCTATATCTGACGATTTTTACATTGATTGATCTTATAGCCAATTCCCCTACACCCACTACACCTTGGTGGTGCCCTGGTTGCTAGCTGGGCTAGTTGAATAGCCTCATCGGCCTGCTCATGCGAAACGACCCGATTAGCTTCAACTGGCTGATTTAGCTACGTAACTAGCTATTAACCCTCTTCGACCGATAGGCCTCCTTCGTGAGCTATCTGCCGATTTGATCGTGTGCGTTTTTAGCGTATTTTCTTATTCCCCATACGTAGATCAGCGTTTTCTTGCGTATATATCGTAAGGTTATAAAGCGATATATAGTAGCCTTTGATGATTTGATCTAGAACGGTTTTTAATGGGCTCGGAGGGCTATTTAACCGTTATTTTAATAGATCTTTGAGTAACGAAGCTGATTTTTTAAGTTAAACGACGGTTCTAGGTATTTTTGGGCTAAAATAGCTATCGCTGGTAGCTAGCCGGCTATTCGGTAGTAACGGTGTTTTGAGTAAGATATTAAGCTTCGAAAGCACCCGTTCTAGGTCAATTAGAATAAGACCAGTAGCTGCGAAGGCGTTTTAAATAATATTTAGTTAAAAGGCCTCTGCGCATACCCGAGGGTAATTAGCGAGGAAATCAAATTTGTCGATATAGTTATATAATACGCGAGCTAGATCGCTTATAAAGCGGCCGTATATATATTTTAATATAGTAAAATAGCTAACGTTAAGCGGTTATAAGAGATGCGAACTATACGGAGGTATATAAAGTAGTATTATATTATTTTTAGCGTAGATTCGGTCGAATTAAGGTATAAGATAGCTACCGTAGCTATTAAGAATTAATAGCCGATATTTCCTTTTCGTACGTATCGTCGTCGCTAGGATAAAAAGCTTTTATAGCTAACGAAGGCTAATTTCATCGGTTATCTAGCCGTTTAGCGATACCTCGATACGTTAGTCTTTTAGAAGATAAAGCTATTCGTCGAACTAAAAAGCGATAAAGTTTTTGCCTTTAAATATTACGTAGGGCGGTAGCGAATAGCCGTTAGCGCTTACTACTTCGACTGCAGTAACCTATTTACGATTATCTAGTTATAAAAGCAATCGCCGACCGTAATATTTAGCTCTCGTAACCACTTTTTATATAGCTATAAGACCTATAGCGAAGCCTGTCTTATTAAAGTTATAGATATCCCCCGGTTAGATACCTTTCTTATTAATAATATATCGAACGGTCGTAAACTAGGCTTGTAGTGAGTTTAGATCTTTATTTTAGGCGCGTTAGTAATCGTAGCGTCGTAAGAAGGCTAAACGAAGCTCGTCTTATCGGTTAACGAAGCTTAATAGCTAATTCTTGCCTATTGTAGCCGGAGGGTTCTTACTACGCGTAGCTAATAGAATATTAGCTATTTCTCGTATAGTAGACGGCCTAGGCGCTACTCTACGTGTATCTATAGAGATAACCTACTTAGTAAGCGAATCCTCTTCTAATTAGGTTAATTTATAGCTAGATAGGCGTTTATCAACGTATAGGGCTCGGCCGTCGACGCGGTGTTGTAGTGTTAAACGCAGTATTCTATATAGCTTCGCTACTGCGTTAATAGACTTGATGCGGCCATTTTTGATATCATCAATAGCTAATAAGAACTTGCCCTCTTGGTCAACCAATTTTGACGCGTTTTTGACGCGTTGTGGTGGCATAGTAGGTAGTTGAATTAGGTAGGTGGGTAAAGAAGCATGATTTTGGATGGGGTTGCTCGGTCGGCCGGGTTGCTCGGTCGGCCGGGAATTACGTTAATGGGACATTTTGAAGCATTTAGTACGCATAATCGGACGAAAAGTTATAACCATTGACGCGGTCGCGTAGCTTGAAACGCGGTACCTTAACGTGCATGCAGCGGCTGCAATAGAAGAGATAGACTTATTTTGAATAGCCTGAATTACAAGCTCGATCCTACCCCCTTGATAGGTAGAATCCTGCTTGGTTTTACTTCAAATTGGTGGTATGATATGTGTTTGAGACCGTGGTAGCGGTAAGGGTGTGGAATACGTTAGGACTTTGTGGCTAGGACATTGTGGTCCTTACAACAGCGACAGGGAAACCAGTAAATTGACAGGTTGGGGTTTGAGCCTGACACAGCTCCCTTTCACACCTCCTCAAGAGCCGCATCATACACAATGCCGGCCATCTCTCTAGCACGGTCCATCCATCCAATCACTCTTCCACTCTCCTCCTCGCCAATAACCTCGCCCATGCCCTGAGAACCCCCTTTTCTCCTCGCCACTCTCTCCGCGATAACATCAGCCTGATACCAGATGCCCCAACCCCTCTCTACGGGCCTTTCGACCACCTCCTCCGTCTCCATGCCATTTTCATCCAGATGCTCCTCGTCATACCACTGAACATGTAGTTCCTGAGGTCTGATGGGAGGGAAGGGAATAGATACTGACGCTTTGGTGGCTTCGATACGTACAGCCGGTGCTGCTTTTGTGGCCTGTAGCCGTTGATAGAAAGCTGGTTTGCTGGAGCCAGGAAGAGTCATGCTCGTCGTGACTATAGCGACCGCCTCCGGTCGCTTGCTGCCGCTTTCATCATTCTTTGCTTTGGCTACTATGACGGTGTTGATATCGTCCACCTCCCCTTGCACACCCGGGACCGGCATGGAATGCGCATGCACAACTTCGGTCTGCGTCCTGCCTTGGCTGGATGGGAGGCCATTGAGCGCGAGATCAGCCCACGTCAATGCATATACGCCCTGATCCAACAAACTTCCCGCTCCGGCCGCCTTATCGAGAAACCGGCTTTCCTGGCTCAAATCCGGTGACACGATCGGAAAACTGAACTCGGCGTAAACGCGTTTCACGTCGCCGATGCGCGGAAGTAGCTCATGCTGGAAGTAGAGCGTAGCAGGGAGATAGCGCGTCCACATCGCTTCCATGAGCACGACATCTCGCTCTTTTGCTAGCTGGCACAGTTGACTGAATTGTGCGCGGTTCATCGTTGCTGGTTTCTCAACGAGCACATTGCGTTTGCACCGTAGGGCTTTTTGCACGTGGGCGTAGTGCAAGGGGTGTGGCGTGGAGATGTAGACGATGTCGAAGTCTCCTTTTTCCAGCATTTCTTCCCAGGAGTGGTAGACAGTGACGGATTCGGCATTGGGTATTTTGTTTTGTGTCAACCACTCGGCTGCACGAGAGGCGCCGCCGGTCGTACTGACTGAGACGAGCTCATGTTTGATGGACGCGGAAGATTCCCGGGGAAGGAGCAAGTCTGGTAGGAAGACGGAGGCGATGTTAGAGAGGGAGAGCGCTGCCCAACGGCAGGTGAATTGGTCCTGCGCCATCATGGGCTATGTGTATATCGTATTGCTGTGCTGGAAGTCTTCCTGACAGTGGCTTAGGTTTGGGAATGATTGGTCCTCCCTCCAATCGATCAAATTGTGGCTGTCTCCGAAGACGTGCGTTTTCAGAGATGTGGTCAGAGGCTGGAAATCGTCGCAAATGAGGAGGAATTTAAGCTTCGAGGTTTCTCCATGTTCTTGTTCTATCACTTTATCAGTAGGCGAGCCTTCCCCGGACCCCAGCCACGGGCGCGTCCCTTCAACCATTTAGGCGTTCTTGCCACCATTTAACCGCCCTTTCAACCGCTTAAGCGTCGTTTAAACTTGAAGATTGTCAAAGCGCCCCAGAAACTGCCGGTTTAGAGCAGGTAATGGCCTCTTACAAGGTACCATAAACCAGCTATATGGACGGCGATAGTGGCGACGCGGGGATATCGTGCCCCATCATATTTTTTTGCGGAGATTCTGCCCCTCACGTTGTATAGCGGCCCTAAAATTCTTCAAGCCGCCTGACTTTTTCTTATAAAAGCAAACGTCGTCGGTACAACACAAAAGCCTCTTCTCCAGACTCACTCTGTGTAATCTTTTGTTCCCCCCACCAGCACTTTCACACGCCAAGCCTTCGCTATGGCAACCAACTTTGTGAGTGCCGTTAACGCAATGTACTGCGTACCTAGCTTCTGCTAATAATCTACAGTTCACGCTCAATGGCAAGACTGCTGTCATCACCGGCGCAGCACGCGGCCTAGGCCTCACATTTGCCACCGCACTGGCGAGCGCAAACTGTAACCTCGCCGTGCTGGACATCCTCCATGAGCCCTCACCCAGTCTTCTCGCGTTGCGAGACCACCATGGCATCAAAGTGGAGTATTACCGCACGGACATAACCTCGCGTTCCGAGGTCACTGCCGCTATTGAGAAGATCGAAGCGGAGTTTGGGAGAATTGATATCAATATCAATGCCGCGGGCGTGGTGTCGGACGAGTCCTTCCTCAAGACCACTGATGAGAATATCGAGCGCACTTTTGCCGTCAACTTTACAGGTTCCTTCCTTGTGGCACAGGCTTGTGCAAACAGCATGGCTGCGCGGTACAAATCCATCCACGGCAGCGAGCCAGCATCGCAGCCTACCACGGGCACAATCATCTTTATTGCCAGCATCGCAACGTACATTGCCTCCAGCGCGCAGCAGATCAGCTGCTACACGGCATCCAAAGCAGCTGTGAAGGGGCTGGTGAAACCCATGGCCATGGAACTTGCCCCGTATGGGATCCGAGTCAATTCCTTAAGTCCAGGGTATATGATGACGGATATGATGCGAGGATTGCAAAAAAAGCAACCTCAACTGGTGGACCAGTTTGAGAAGGAAACTTTATTTGGCCGTATTGGGATGCCTGCGGAATTGAAGGGCGCTATCTTGTATTTATGCTGTGATAGCGCCAGTGGGTGGTATACAGGGCAGGATCTGTTGGTCGATGGCGGGGCGAGTACCTGGAAGCATCCAGCTATTTTAGCATCAGACTAAGAAGAGTAGCAGAAACATAACCTGCAAATCTGTATTAACGTTGGCTATTAACATATTGCAATGCACTGGGGTTGCCCATTACTTAACACGATTAATTCTTTCATCGGTCGCGAAGAGAGAGACACTGGGGCTCGGACAGTACAGTGGGTCTCCGTTGAAAGGGTTTGTCCTGGTAAGTGTCAAACAGGCCAGCTAGGTACCAATAGAAAATTTGCCTCTTAACCACCAAATCGGATACATAAGACTTCACATCTCTCAGATACGTATTTTATTCAGTCCGAAAATGTACAAAAAAATCCCATTCTCATATATAACACAATGTATACAAGCACGACTTCAATCGAACCAGTTCTTGAAGGCCCACGAAGACAATATCCTTCTCAATTCGGACTGTTAATCCACAGTCAGCCCAGAAAATCTTCCCTAGACTTTGTTCACCGACTCTTCTACATGACGAGTTCCGTCCTTCTCGCCCTCCGCCGCAAGCACCCTTCTTGGATCGAGATCTGTAAGGCCATCGACCTCGTCCAACAGCCTTCGCGCAGCTACCGCAATGTTACCACCGGCCTCATTGATGCGCCGGTGATAATCTTCCATGTTCTTGCTCACAAGCAGACTCTCACTTGTGAACAGCAGGTTGACCTCTTCGAGTGATCTACCGGCGACCTCGGGATAGAAGAACCATACGAGTGGCATGGCGAGGACATTCATGCAGCCAAAGAAGACAAAGGTGGCCCATCCCAAGTGGTCTAGCATGATGGGGATCACGAAGGTGTTCATTCCGCACCCAATCGCCCAGCCCAGAACAGTGAACGAGTAACCTTTTGCGCGCACTTCCTGCGGCCAGATTTCCGTGCCATAGATCCAGCACGGGACGATGTTGAACATGGTGAAGAACCAGAGGTAGACGAAGACGAAGGCTGCTGCGGCGGTACCTAGGCGGGATGCCATTGCGGGATCAGTGGCTTGGTGATTTTGACTCTGCTTGATAAGCGCAGCGACAAGGAACAAGGCGATACCCTGCGTGACGAAAGACATCATGAGAGATTTAATCCGGCCTATGCGGTCGATCACCAATGATGCAGCGGCGGTGCCCAGGATACCGAAGGTGTTGACCAGACCAGCCAGCCAGGCTGACTTGTAGGCATCGAACCCGGCAAGCTTGAAGAGCGTATCAGCCCAGGTGGCAATAGCGAGGATACCTGTCCATTGCTGGATCTGCTGGAGTGCCAGACCCATGACAACGCGTCGACCAAGATGCAGTTTCCCCGAGAAGCGACCGCCGAGGACGAGATTGAGAAAGTTATTTCGTTTGTGGTATGATGCTTCGACAATTGCTTCAAGCTGCTCAACTTCGAGAACAAGCTTAGGGTCATCGGGATCCAAGTCGCCACGGATCTTGCGCAGGATTTCGACCGCTTCCTCTCGGCGATTATTGGCCATCAGCCATCTCGGCGACTCGGGAAGGAAGAAGACCGTAAGAATAACAATCAACACGGGAACCGCCATAAATGCCAGGGGGAAACGCCATTGGAACTCCACCGAGGACGACCGGACACCGAAATTGAGCCAGTACGCAATCACAATGCCGGCGTAGTTCGCAACGAAGACGAGCGAGAAGTTGGAGCCGCGGTCGTGCGCTTGTGAGAGCTCGCTCACCCACGGCGGAACGATGGCGTTGATGAACCCGATGCCGATTCCTGCGATGACACGCGCGCAGATAAACATGTTACTGTTGTGACTAGCGGCCATGAGCGCCCCACCGAGCAGGCAGAAGAGTGAGCCGATCCAGACGCCTTTTTTGCGGCCGAGCTTGTCGCCGACCCAACCTTTTCCCATCCATCAGTATCTATACGTGCACTGCTAATCAAACAAGGGATGAAGTGATTTGACCGTACCTCCAATGAAACATGCCCACATGGCACCGAAATAGTAGGCTGCCAGCAGACCACCCTGCTTGGTGCTGTCGGTCACAACACCATTGGACCCGATGTTGGCCATGGCAATGAAGCCTGGCGTCGTGCTGACGGTGCCCAGAACTCCCTGGTTATAGCCTTCGAAGATGAGGGCAATAGCGGTGAAGAGGTTGAGAAGAAACATGAGTGCCTTTCCAGGCAGATGTTTCCAGAGTTGGACGGCCATGGTGACGGTACGCAGTTGGACACGCACACGTCGGGCTGTCACTGCGTGTGAGGTGGAATGAGGTCAAAGGAAGCGAAGGTAGAGGGACTATAGAGTATTGTGAAATCAGGAGGATTGACGATCATTTATTTATGTACAGTCTGATGACGAGCACACGCCACCCCGTCGGCTCCAAGCCCCAGACCCCAGGCCCCAGACCCCAGATCCATTCATCTGACGGGGAAAGACGGGGAAAGCTGATCAAGATACTCCGGGAATCCTGCCCTCGCCCCAGGTTTTGAGGCCTTTTAGCAGTTTAGCCTGCCCTTCCCCGCATTATTTCCATGGCTTTGACTCCACCGTTTAGCCGCTTGGCCGTTTGGCCGTTTAGCCGTGTCCTTTCCGAGTGGGACAAGTACTCTCTGTACCCCGGCGGTATAGTCCTATAGTCCTATAGTCCTATAGCGCTATAGCCCCCGGGAGACGAAAAGAAACCCAACCATCACTGATAGCGGTCGTTCCCATGCACGACCAGTTCACCCACATTGTCGTCGGCGCCGGCTCAGCGGGCTGCCTTGTGGCCAGTCGGGTGGCCGAGAACCGGGCCTTCGACGTCCTGCTGATCGAAGCCGGGCCCGACATTGACACCCCCACCAACACTTCCTCCATACCCCATGGGGTGCATGATGCCCGCCGGGTGCCCATGGCAGGCCAATCCGCGATCTTTGACCCCAGGATCGACTGGAATCTTGAAGTGGACGTACCTTGCGGCGGGCAGATGATTGTCCCGCAGGCGAAGGTGATGGGCGGAGGGAGCAGAATCAACGGAGGCACCTTTTTACGACATACAGAGGCTGATGCAAGGGAGTGGGTTGCGTTAGGGAATGATGGCTGGGATTTCGAGAGTTCCGTCGCGGTATACGAAGGACTCGAAGGGGACCCCCTTCGAGGCACACGCGGTCCGCATCCCATTGCCAGAGCGAGTATGGACGAAGCAGGCAAGATTCAGGCTGCCTTTGTCGACGGCGCTACGTCTCGCGGTCTCCAATATATCCCGGATCCGCAGGCCACGGGAGCGGAGGGTGTCGGTCCAGCACCCGTCTGTCGTCGCGGCTCCACGCGGGTCAGCGCAGCGGACACTTTTATCGGCCCGGCCCGGCTCTTCCCTAATCTTACCATCTTGGCCGATTCGTTAGTCGATCGAGTGCTCTTCCAGGACGGCAAGGCTGTGACAGTTGTGCTGGCCAATGGCCGCCAGATACACGCAACCCACGAAATCATCCTCTGTGCGGGCGCAATATTTTCGCCGGCTATCTTGCAACGCTCGGGTATCGGTCCAACGGAGCTACTTCGACAACATGGGATTGCGCCTTTGGTCGAGCTGCCGGTGGGACTGAATCTTAGCGACCATCCATGTATTCCACTCGTCGCGCGGCCACGACCCGGTGCTTACACGGACACGGATTATTCCTTGCAGATGCAAGCGCGATGGTCGTCGTCGCTGAACCCCGGGGCTATCGACTTGCAAATGGTGTGTTTCTCATATCTCTTCGCCCAGTCGACGGACCCTTCCATACAACGAGGAGGCCAGCCGCAACGAAGCTTGGGGGGCAGCGAGACCGGTCATGTTGCGGGAATAGGATGTAACATAAATAAGCCCACTTCACTCGGCATGGTGGCGATCCGTTCCAGGGACCCGAATCAGATGCCGATAGTACGTCCTAATTATCTGAGCACTCCACACGACCGAACTCTGGCCCGAGAGGTTGTGCGCACTGCGTATGCCGTGCTCACGTCGCCCGCCATGCAAGCCGTACTCACAGCTCCGCTGGGCATAACTTCACAAGTTGTAGCCGACGACGTGATGCTGGATGGTTACATACAAGCTCAATATTCGACAACTTACCATTTCTGCGGTTCGTGCCGAATGGCTACCCGTGAGAAAGGCGGCGTTGTGGATCAGAGCGGGCGGGTGTATGGTGTGAAAGGGCTGAGGGTGGCGGATGCGAGTGTGCTGCCGACGGTGCCAGCATCGAATACGATGGCGAGTACTATGCTGGTCGGGGAGAGGGTGGGAAGGAGCGTTTGTGATGGTCGAAGTATTCAGAATGCCGCCAGGTCTCACATATAGATAGGTACCTAGGAGCGAGTTCCCTGGGAGCCTTTGCGGCAGACACTTGTATCGTCGCTGTGCTCCGACTGGACCTTTTAAGAATCGCAAGATCTAGATTAGTCATATTACCAATTGTCACATCACAATCATATCTATCACATCGATCGCGAGCACGTCGCGTTGCGTGAGACGTACCCTGCTCTCCTCCTCGTTGGTACCCAGGAATTTCTTTAGTGTATTCAAAGTTGAATTCGGTCCTGGGGCAGACTGAACCCAATCGGATTAGCGTGGTAGAACCTTGGAATCGGCAGATTTCGCCCGAATCATTGCGGTCTGAGGGCATGGAGGTAATCCGCGGCTTGGTGGTGGATTACGTTATTGGAGCTATACCTCGGTAAGTTAACTAAACCTGAGGCTTGGCCCCAGGAAGCGGGGATGATATTTGTCCTTATCTGTGTTGGGCTTGGAGCTGGCTTTTACCATGGCCGAGAACAAGCTCATCTGTGTCATAGGAGCTACGGGAAACCAAGGCGGATCAGTCGCCCGTCGGTTTCGTGAGGCGGGTTTCCGTGTCCGTGGCTTGACCCGCGATACATTGTCCCCCGCAGCACAGAAGCTTGCGGCTGATGGCATTGAAGTGATGAAATCAGATCTGGATGACTTGGAGAGCCTCAAGCCCGCTCTAAAGAATGCCAATGTCATATTCAGTGTTACAAACTACTGGGAGCCATTCTTTCGCCCGGACTGCCGTCAGAACGCCAGTGGGTTGGGCATCTCACCTGCTCGGTTTGCCTACGATGTTGAATATCAACAAGGCAAGAATATTGCCGACGCCGCAGCTGCGACCTGTGATTCTCTCGACTCAAACGGTTTCCTAGTGTCCACGCTCAGCCATGCTGCTAAGTCCAGCCAGGGGAAATTCATCGAGTTGTACCATTTCGACTCTAAAGCGGATATCTTCCCCTTCTACGTTAGAGAAAAGTACCCTGACCTTGCGGCCAAGATGTCCTGCATCCAGACCGGCTACTTCTATACAAGTTTCAACATCTTACCTGACTCGTATTTTGGCAAGGCAAGTAAATGCTCCCACAATTGAAGAATTGGACTGATGATCGTCAAGGTACCGGATGGGAGCATTGAAATGAGGTTCACCACGGCCCCAGACAGGATTGTGCCACACTTAGACCCGGTCGGGGATATGGGCACTTTTACCTTCGCCGTCTACCAAATGCCTCCCGGGAAAGAGTACATGGCGGAAGGGACAAGTTGTAGTTGGGCGGATTGGATCAAGACGTGGAGCGACATAACTGGCGTGCCTGCATCTTATCGACAGATCACTCCCGACGAAATGATTGAAATGACTCCCGATCGAGACTGTGGCATCGAGGTAGCATACATGTTCTCTTATAGTACGGACCCAGGATACGATGGAGGTAGAGCTCTTCTCACTGCCGAGGACATTCGCAAGGCAAGTTAATATGTACCACCAAAACCAGCATCACTCACTCTAACATCAGAAGACAGACTGGTATCGACTGCCCGATGACGAGTTGGAAAGAGTGGGCAAGCCGCCAAGACTGGTCCGTCGTGTTAAACAAGGGTAGCTAGGTAACCTTAGCGAATGCTCCAGGAAGTTGTAGAGAAGCTCACAAATACTGATATTCTCTAGTTCAATACTAGTACAAATGATTTATCAACAATAGCAGAAAAAGGTGCCTCTCGGGCCACAAAACTTCCTGCTAGTATTAAGGAAAATTCGTCTTCGACCAATGGCCAGATCAGCATTTTGATCTGACTTTGCCTCACAAGCAACGACAAACAAAGGCCATGGACTTGTGCAGATTGGCAGGCGGTCCAGTATCTCAAAGCCTTGCTTCAGGTGAACTTCTCTCTCTTGGCGCCTGGGCAGATAATATGCATGCAGTCGGTAATGATAACAGGCTAAGAGGCTACCTGAGAACTGGCCTCGCATAGGCCCACAACCATAGAGGATTGGCAGTTTTGCGAGTGATTCGTGGAGAATGTGGGTCATTTCAGAGCCAAGCTTGTCCGCAAAAGGTTAAAAATTGCGGAGTGGAAACAACTTGCGATCACAATGATTTTCTTCTTATCTTCCAAGGCAGGAGAATGCGATCGCGATAACTACCGAATGGAGGAGATACCAAAAATGATAAGGCTGGCCATATATAATATGATGAGAAGAAGCGCGTGTGTCAGTCGTGAATTTGAATGATTTTCCAGCACTGCAATATCACTGCCCTTGCTCACACATTTGAAGAGAACGTCATTTCCGGATATGGCTTCATCCAACACAGTTCGGGTAGGAGCCGTTCAGGCAGAGCCAGTCTGGCTCGACCTTGACGGCAGTGTCAACAAAACCGTTGGCCTCATTGAGAAGGCCGCATCGGACGGTGTCCAGGTTCTTGGATTCCCCGAGGTGTGGATTCCAGGCTATCCATGGTGAGCGCCGAAATATTGTTTTTGGTTCTCTGAAGAATTACCCTCCCAACTCCCAACATCGGAATCGCATTTTCTGGGCCTAAATCTATAGTCTCTATCATCATCAAATTGAGCTTGTCAACAATTTTAACTAACAGCCAATGTTGTGGGCGGTCTAGGAGCATGTGGACTTCAGCAGTCATCAACAACACACACATCATCCACGAATACATGGCAAACTCGATGTCGCGGGACTCCGAGCAAATGCGGCGCATTCAAGTCGCTGTTCAAAAAGCCAAAATGTTCGTCGTTCTCGGATTCAGTGAGCGAGAGGGTGCCAGCTTATACATGGCGCAATCTTTCATCTCCCCGCCAGGGGAAATCGTGCACCACCGCCGCAAGATAAAACCAACACACGTTGAACGCACTATCTGGGGAGAAGGCCAAGCAGAGTCGCTCAAATGCGTTGTCGACTCTCCGTTTGGCAAGATCGGGGGCCTCAACTGCTGGGAACATCTCCAGCCACTGCTGAGGTACTATGAGTACTCACAGGGTGTCCAAATCCATGTGGCTAGCTGGCCAGCCGAATTCGAGATGCCCGACCCGGCAAAGATCAGCTGGCTCTACCATGAAACAGGAGAGGCAAGCTATCGAGCGAGCCAGTTCATGGCTATTGAAGGCCAATGCTTCGTGCTCGTAGCAACTCAGATCCTGACTGAGGAGAATCTCGATAAAAACAACTTGACTGGGAATCCGGTCACTAAGACGCCCGGAGGTGGCTTTTCCATGATTTTCGGGCCCGACGGAAAACCCTTGTGTGAGCCGATCGATGCTGGGGCTGAGGGTATTCTGACGGCAAATGTAAACCTCCGAGACATTGACTACCCCAAGGCATTTATCGATGTTGTTGGCCACTATGCTCGGCCAGATCTGCTTAGTCTCTTGGTGAACCCAAGTGTGGACAAGCATGTAACCATGATGGAAAAGTAGTTAGTATTCTGCCCCTATTGAGGCCGCTGGGTGACTGCATTTGTCAGAGACTCAGCACAATGGACTCTTAGCTTCTCATTGTGTCCGACTGGTAATGACTGAGACCTAGAGGTATATTGCGAGTGAGAAATGAAATAAACCACTTGGAAATATTTGGAGGAGTGATTGGATCAAAGCCACGCCAATAATAATTCGCAGACCACGCACAGGTGGCACAAGAGGTTTTGATAGCCTGCGAGCTCTGCAGTATCTCGTCTCATTGCATTTTTATCCACCATCTAAGTGCCTAAGCCAATTTCAATCTGTTTTCCACTTACAGTACTTGTGATTAGCTATCATTAACTAAGGAGTGGGTAACAAAATCAGGAGTTTATTGGTTTTTAAGCTCCCCTTAGAAGCCATTCCATGCGGTATACCAGCCTTGTATTGACCGTATATTTACGAGATGCAGGTTCTGGAGGCGTAGTCGCCCATAGTTGGATCGGAAGTATTAATTGTAACAGTCCATCCCTGAGACACGCTATGTACTTACATGCGCGACGCACTGCATCTAATCGCCTGGGAGCGGACCGAATAAGACTATCTATAACCCTCCGATCTAATGTATCCCACACAGTGGCTAAACAACGCCTGAAATAGGCCCATATTGACCAAATTTGGACATAGCTCAAAGACCTTGAGTTTTAGAAGCCTCCAGACCGGCTTAATTGGGTTAAGATCAGGAGAATATGGCGGCTAATCTAACATATAGATCCCGTGTAGTTCAAACCAATCCAGCGTAATTTTTTGCGCGATAAATCTTCGCGTTATCTTGTTGAAGAATTTAGCTAGGTTGATAGTGTTGTATAGGGCCTTTTTTGAGCGTATCTAGATAGGAATCTACCGAATATCCTTCTCGAAGCGCGGTAGGATCTCATTCTATAATAATCAGTTTCGTGCGCCCACTAATCCATATTGTAGCGCGAACTATCTACGAAATATCCTTGACATAAGGTTTGAGATTTACAAGATCATATCGATAGGCTTTAGAGTAGAACCACTAGACCTAACGCTTAGTATTCGTATATCTCCGCATAATAGAACACTCTTCCGAAAAGATTATATCTTCAAGACCATTTCCCTCAGCTAAAGTAGACTAATCCCTTATAAATTTATACTACTTCTATATAGTCGGTCTCGATAGTTATCCTCGCTTTCTTGAACTTCGTTTATAAAGTTAGTAGGTATTCAAAATTCTCTAAATTATATCACGATTAGGATTCCTATCGATATCCGCGTGTAGGACCTTATAACTCTACTAAGGGTTCTAGCGAGCTATCCAAAAGATCTAACGATAGGCTACGGGTAAACTTTTGTGGGCGACCGCTTCGAGAATAAGATTTGATATCTACGCGTTATATAAAGCGTTAAGCTATACGCGTGATAGTACTACGCGAGTAGCTAAATTAGTTAGCCAGTTTACTAACCGATATACGAATTTCTCTACTATATATTATAGTAGAACGCTACTTAGGGGATAATTTAGCGTTTTGTTTATGGTTTCCGCTTATTTTAGTGCCAAACGAACTTGTAGCCATAATATAGTGATGAAATTAAACATAATGGTTAGGGAAGACACGGTATAAAACGCGCTAAAATCACTGGCGTGTTCCCAGACTCTTGCGCTATTAGTGTAGATAGGCTGCGTGGCTAGGGAGCCAACTTAATGCGCGAGGAACGCCGAAAGGAGGAATTTCGGGGAAATGCTAATCGGGGAGGTACTCTCCAGCCACCGCGGTCCCGTCCCGGACCCCGGGCAGCTCCACAAGCTCGATACCGATAGGATTTTGATAATTCGTAACGAAAACTTAGAAGCGTGGCTGACTAGGTGACAATAATCGGCCACGTGGATATGCGCCGTTGCATTCTCCAAAAGTCTGTCCAGGACCACACCCGTCCCGTAAACGACAGGGACTCACGCATCAGGCGGCACGAGTCGGATGTAGTCTTACCAGAATAAGAACTTAGATGTCCGTTTATTTACGGCATGATATAACCCTCGAGGACGTGAGAGGCACGGTAATAACCCGTATTCTAGAGAAGAGGCAGGGCACGTGTAGGAGATAAGCCTTTGGTTGTGACAAGCTTCGTGGTAACCGATAGTGGCCCACACTAGACCGTCGGGAAACAATTGTGGAGAGGCTGGAGTGGAGGGTGAGACATCCGAACCAGTAATTTGACCACCACCAAATGTGGGAATTAATGCACGTGTAAGTAGTGGGCGCTTCACAGTAATACTCTGCACGATGAGTCGCAGGTGGTGAAAAGGTTTGATTTGTCTTACCAGAAAGCGGCCCACTTAGGACAGGCACCACATTTCTTCCCAGCGAATCACTTCGTCGCTAACTCGGCGGCGAATTCAGCATCCAAAGTTCTTGGTAAGAAAGAATCGTTGAAAAGACTTCTGTAAGTCTATCGAAGCAAAAAGCCACAAATCCCTACAGTATCCCGCTCCACCAGTCGCGCTAACGTAGTTCATGGTGATGAAGCGCCCCTTCTGCTTTGGGGCAAGATCAATCTCAGGGGCATTGACCATCTTTCATAAGCCACTTGAGTTGTATTTAAACAATGACCTGGCTCCGGCGGGCCGTCTTCACCCTGACCTGGCTAAGTGTGCTTCGATCCGGGCTCAATAGGTGACATGATTACTGTTGATGCCGAAAAGACCGAGAAGGTCGCTAACACGACCCTCGAGGAGGAGCTGCAAGTTGCGCCCAAGAGTCGCTGGGCACGAAGCTGGCCAATCATTGCTTGCGGTGCTGGTCTCTTTTCCGATGGTTACCTGAACGGCGTATGTTGCACTGAAACGTCTTGAAATCCGTTGTCGGGAGAAACACATCTAACTGCCCAGTATAACAGGTTATTGGATCTGTCGATACCATCTTGTCTCGGATTTACCCCGACAGCTACAAGAATTCGGCCGCCCTCCGCAATGTCTCCTCTCTCGTCTTCGTTGGCGAGGTGGTCGGCATGTTGATCTTCGGTGTTACCAGTGACTACTGGTCGCGCAAATGGTCTCTGATGGCATCTACTGTGCTGGTCATCCTCTTTGCTGCACTCAGCGCCGGCTCGTACGGGGCCAACGGCAGCCCAACCGGTCTCTTCGCTGCTTTGACGGCCTATCGTTTCTTGATGGGTATTGGTATCGGTGGTGAATATCCCGCAGGCTCCGTTGCTGCGGCAGAAAGCACGAATGAACTGAAGGAGGGCCATCGCAACCGTTGGTTCATCTTCTTCACCGACTTCATAATCGATTTTGGCTTTGTTGTAGCTGCATTCGTTCCCATGGTTCTTGTTCTGATCTTCGGAGAGGACCATCTCGAGGCCCAGTGGCGCATCGCCCTTGGTCTTGGTGTTCTTCCGCCACTCAGTCTGGTCTACCTCCGTCTAAAGCTCCAAGAACCTGAAGAATTCAACCAGGAGCGCATGCACCGTTTCCCATACGGTCTGATCATCAAGTAAGTTGACCGTTCACCTTCTGATAAGTAAACAAATCGTTAACCATACGCCACTATAGGTATCATTGGAAAAATCTGGTAGGCAATCATCGTCCCCAATATAGACCTCCGCTCCCCTTGACTTAACATATTGCAGCTCGTTGTGTCTCTCGTCTGGTTCATCTACGACTTCTCAGTATTTGCCTTTGGAACCTATTCCTCCGTCTGGCTGGCAACTATCCTCGGGAAAGAAGCTCCACTGTGGCATACTTTTGGCTGGAACGTGGTGGTTAACCTCTTCTATTTGCCTGGCTCGTTGATGGGCGCATTCGTCAGTGATTGGATTGGCCCGCGCATGTGTTTGATTCTCGGAATGACTGCTCAGGCCGTGGTTGGTTTCATCATGTCGGGCTGCTACGAATTTTTGTCGCTTCCTAAGAATGTCGCTGGATTCGTTGTTGTCTATGGGTAAGCTCATGATCAGCGCCCACTGTTTGCCTCTATCTACTGAGCGATAAGACTGACAAGTGTAGTATCTTCCTTTCCCTGGGTGAACTTGGTCCCGGTGATAACATTGGCCTCCTGGCTTCAAAGACTAGTGCGACTGCTGTCAGAGGCCAGTATTACGCTATTGCTGCTGCCATCGGTAAAATTGGCGCCTTTGTCGGCACCTATGTGTTCCCTATTCTCCAGAACAACCCCAATCCTATCGCCGCTGGCCAAAATCCATTCTTTGTTGCCAGCTCCCTTTGCATTTTTGCCTCAGTGATTGTCTATATAGGCTTGCCCCACATTGGACAGGTGAATTTACAGTTGACTCTTATTTGTCAATAGATTTGTATACGTGACTAACCCTTTCGCTAGGATACCATGACCAAGCACGATCGCGAATTCCGGGAGTATCTGGAAGCCCATGGATACGATACTTCTACTCTTGGACAACGCACCGAGTAAATATCTGAGCAAGCCAGAAGGTTATGGGATGATGAGGAAGAGTGATATAACCGTATTACCTCAATTTAATGGTGAGGCTAATATTTGCGCAAGAAAGAAGCTCAGTAGTATACAAAGATGAGATAAAACTGAAGAGAAGTTGAGGCGATTGAGAGAGAAGAGAGAATTGTATTAGATTGATAATAATCAAGACTGATAATAATTTGTACTGGGATTTGCAGGGTATTTTGTAGATATATTGTATCACGTGCAGATCTTTTCCGAATTGCATGTGCTTGGGATATGATAGATCTAGATGCATATCATGATATAGACCACTCTAGTCTATATAGTCATATAACCTTTATATTAACGTCTTGTATCAATCTATGTTACGACATTGTCCATGGACCTGCGCAAGGGGTTCATCTGCAAACCCGCATCCTCATGTACAGGTGCATGTGATAATGTTACGAAATGTGTCTCCCCATGAAGCTATTCCCACCATAGGAGATCACGTCGCTTGGCATTCAACACATAGATTCCCTAGCCAAGCCCCATCGATCCCCCTCCTCTTCCACTTAGGTATCCTTGGGCTACCCCGCTCCAGGAAGGTGGTGTACCTCGGCATAACATTTGTCGCTTACATGGCGAGACACCACCGATATCCCTCCACTAGTATAAGAAGTCTCCCATCTTCTCATCTCTTTGATTCCTTAAGAATCAGTCTTTGTTCTATATTGACATACTGGTCCCTCCTTACCTGATTGACAGGCCCTCTACCCTGCAAGTAGATAGCCGTAACAGATAGATCGTCTCAGTTAGATCGCACAATCCTTATATATAGCCACGCGGGTTCCTTGGTGGAGTAGCGATTAGTTTGGAATACACAGACACATTACGTGGTTCAAGGCATCGCCTTGTGTTCTTCACTCGTGATCCAAGTCATCGTATAGGGCTCCTAACAGGAGGTCCTAACAAGATCTGTCCGATTTTGATAGAATTTTTGCTTTGGCAACTTCCAGAGGTTCTCGATTGGATTGAGATCTAGGGAATAAGATAACTAGATCATAATCTCACGTCCTAGGTCCGCAATATACTCACGTATGATATAAGTAGTGTGTGATAGAGCTTGTCTTGCTGAAAATTCGAGTTTAGATCAATAAGTTGGTAGGATTCGACGGTATAAATTAAATATAATAAATCGATCGACCGTGAATTGGGATCTCCGGAGAATGCGAGAAGTGCAGTTCGTCGATGTGTACCAGAAAATAAGGCCCAAAATATCTGTTTATGTCGGGATATATCCTTCTATTAGCGGAGGGATGACATCCCTTGCTTGGTGTACGTATTCTTGCGCGAAGCTGCGGCTCTGGTGTTGTAGTGACTACCTAGTGTCGACGCATGGGATTAAGGGGTATCTTGGAACCTAACCTAAGAAAAAACATCTATCTACATGAATCAATTGACTTTTGCTTTACGAGCATATACACTGTCCACTTACCTGTGTACACGGTATCTAGCTGGTGATACCAATAGTTTAACTTGAAACACTTGGTATGGAGTTGGTTGAACTTTGCCTTGAACTGCTTGATCTGAGGGACGAATAAAGGACCATTAGGATCGTGGTCCGATTCCACGTTTAACTGTACATTCATCAGACCAGAAAACACAATCGAAATCCTCTCTTGTGTAGTGTTGATACTGTAGAGCCTATTCAAGTCGTTTTTCGGCCTGGATTTGGTTTAGGTAAGGCCGTTTCATGACTCACCACTTCCGGATATTCTCTGTATAAAGAAGACGGGTAATTGAGTCCTTTTTTGCATTTAGAACTGACTTTAGATAGAAGATCTTTGTACGTAATACGTGGTGCTTCATGGATCTTTTGGAGGAACTTTTGGCGGTGTTCTTCGTCAAGAACTTTTGGACGTCTAGATCACTGTAAAGCTTGCTCTTTATGATGAACTCTTGATATTAGGTATGTCGTCTTGATTGTTGATAGTGGTATATCTAGAAATTTTCTATGAATCCCTTTATAAGACTAACTAGCAACCTCTTTTAACGTTATGATTTGTGTAAGTCGATTTGGGTCTACTTCTTGCCTATAGCGACGTGGTTGATCAATAGCTGGTGTTGTAGGAGGCCTATGGGGTGTAGGCAGATGGCCCTTGGGCACTAGGCGCGGTGGTAAGGTCCTGTTAGCACATGAAGGGATAACTTACCGCTAGCAACTGATTGGTTGCTGATGGGCCTATATTCGTTTAGTATTTCATATATAACAAGGCTGCTGGGCAGCAATGCAGGCTTTCTAACAGCTGAGTAACAGAGACATAGCGAGTAGCGGTGTGTCTTATGGTGTGTTTTTAACAGCGTTTCGCCCCCATCTTTCTACTGAATCAATTAATATCATTCAATTGTATTGGTTCCGCTTGATATCATTCGTCGTCTTTGCATACTAGGCTATATAGTATTAGCTTGCTATGATAATGCCCTACCTATCCAAAAAGATCAAATGCGACTATGACCGATATTCAGAGGAAAGCGCTGCGTATAGTTGCCTCTAATACACGTCCAAAGCTACCTAGAGAGCTTGTGCGGCGTGGTTTCAAGAGCAATTTGGTCGAAAAATTGATCGGACGACGGTTTATCGAACCTTTCAGCTCAATACGACTACCTGGATAACGGCTAAGCTGGGACTAAATCGAGGAAGTCTACCGCACATTGGCCACTTTTAGATGAGGCTTTATTCTAGTGGAAACGACGTCATACAGAAAAGGGGTTTCCTATGACTGGGTTCCTGGTTCGTTTGAAAGCTGCAAAATATTGGAAGAAAATACCTATGTACACATACCTTTCAATGCCAATACAGACAGAAGAGAAACCCCTCTGTGGGGGAAAAATTGACGGCCACTTGGAAAATGCGCGTCGAGTAGTGTGCAGCCATCCTGAAATTGTAAGAGAGCTTTCTCCCTCCCACGGAAAGAAGTGGTTCAACGGACTCGGAGAATAGAGACGAAATGGACAAGACACGAAACAGCAACAATGGGGTATCTGCTGGTCAGTAATCCCTGCCTCAGGCAGAGGAACACTGATATGCCAGAAGGAGAAGAGAACAATGAGAGTCGTTACGGATACAAGAAGGGGAGGGGGAGGACAAGAAGAACAAGAACCGCGGTCAATTAGGCATCCACCACTGAAACGCCATCCCCAGCGGGAAGTGTAGCTGAGTTGTTCTGGGACGGCAGCTGCCGCAGCTCCGGCTCGGGCGACGCGCCTTTGCCGTTCATGCGGTCGAATTCCAGGGTCTCAGCCAGCTCGGCTGCCATCGGGTCAAGCTCTTCTTCCTTGAGACCGGTGGCCAGGGCCACAAGTTTACGGTGGACGTCAAACTTGGTGCTCACGCCCGCATCGGCGGTCTGCTGTGCAAGGTCTTTGACCGCATCACGACGCGTCTTTTGGGCTGTGATCAGGGCGCGAGCAAGGGTGAACCGCTCTATCAGCTCCTGCTGACTGAGAGAAGATGGATCGGGCTTCGGGGTCTCGGCAGGGGCGCCGTTGCTCAGCTGCGACGAAAGACGGGCATGTTGCATCTGCTCGAGGAGAGACTCATAGTGAGCCCGCAGCTTCTCGTATCGTTCAAGCTGGATGTCGCTGGGCTCAAGCTCTGCCTCCTTTGCAGCCAGTGCGGCCACTTGTTTCTGAATCTTTTGGCGATCTGATTCCAGTTGTTCGTACAGGGCCTCCGGGTTGGCGATGTCGTTGGAGTCTTGGTGGGTTATCTTGGAATTGCCGTAGGTTACGGCGAGTCTCTTGTTTGCCTCAGACATGATGGTGCCAATCTTTGAGAGCAGCTCGGAGGTGACCGCGGAATCGACCGGCGGCGCAACCGAATGGCGATCCGAAGGCATAAGATCGCCTCCAAGGCCATCAATCTGATCATTGGCCATGGTGACAGAGGACGGGGCTGGTGGGATATCGTGGTCTGCGTGGTGAAAACGTTGAGTGATGCTGGTGGCCGTCTCCCCCTTCTTGTTCATGAGGTCGCCGGCGCGAGGACAATGGGTAAGGAGCATATTGACTAGTCGAAATGCGCCGTTGCGTGCAGCCACCAACACAGCGGTGTCGCCGTTGTCGTCCTGACATGACAACAATAAATCAATCTCGTCTTGCGAACAAGATTTGCATAATTTGTCAAGAGTAACCTCGCAGTAGTACCTCGAACTCTTCCACTTGCCCTTGCTTCTGGTAGTTTCGGAAATATGATGAAACAGCGTCGCACCAAACCAGTCTCTAAATGAGATGGTATCCAAGAGCATATCTAACAAAGCCGGGAATGTGCGCTTCTCATAGTTATTAGTGAACAGAACAGCTCGCACGAGCGGGGTTTCTTCGTGAATAGACAAAACTTTCATATTAGCCCCTCTACGCAGGAGATCCTGCACAATTACCAGGTCACCCATCGCACAAGCCCAGTGCAAGGCCGTATTTCCCGAATCATCAATGGCACGATCAACTTGGAATTGTGCGGGTGGCTCTGGAGGCTGAATGCGCGTGGCCTGAGGAGCATCGCCCACGGTCATAAAATAGTCCAAGAGCTGGTCACCATAGATGATATGCTCCTGCTCGCTAATGGACATGACAGATGCCTCATTCACTCCTCGCTTGCGCTTGCGACCTCCATGCTGGGACATTTGAAGCATGTCTTCATCTGCGACCATGGAGGATGATTCAATGGTTGCTTGTTCAATTGACTCGTTGTCATCGAACCCAGCGCTCATCTCATATTGTTCGTGAGGGAGGGTCGGGGGGCCCATGCTCCGCTGTGGCTGTACAACATTAAAAATCTCTGCTGCAGCAGTGCGGTTGGTAGATTTCCGTGGTGCCCTCGGCTTCGAGGGAGCCGAGGAGTGTTTTGGTGCTGGCGGTGGACTCTGGTCTCCAGCGACATATTCAAAGATAGGAGCTAGTTTGGTGAATATATTGTTTCGTTCTGCAAGCATGCGGGCTTCCGGTAGTGGGATCCATGTTCCTGTAACAGGTGGTCTTGTTAGCTAAAGGCATCCTTCTCGTCCAAATACTCAAAGCCATACCCTGGTATTTGCCGTAACCGCCTTGTACTTTTTCATGCACACCCTTCTGCACCTCTCGCTCGAGGATTCGAGTTCTCGCGGGCTTATCAAAGCCAGCAGCCTTCAAAATATGTGTTGCATTAACCCAGTCATCAGCCCTCCGTCGCATCACACTGTCGCCATCGATTTTGAACTCGTACACCGGGACCTATATGGAATGACCAGGTTAGAAGTGACCGAGGTAAACAGCAATGACCAAGGTCCTTTTGCAGCAGAAAGGGATATATCGGATAAGGTACATACACTGCTATAAGTAGCAGAGTAGATAGTCTCCATTGCCGCCATGATGAGTTGTCGCTGAGCGCTCCCGACGAACCAGCACGTTTCCAAACAGCGATCGTGGCACGCACGTAGGCGCCCCAAAACACCTCAAGGATCCACAAGTCAATTGAATCACGATTACTTCAATGTTCGACACATTGCATGCACTTAGGGTCGGACCGGGGGCGTCAGGACACGGTTTGCTGTGTGGAGCTAGGGTGGCATCGCAGAGACGCGCAGAGACGCGATTAAAACCACGTAAAGTGGATTTTAGGAGCTAAACCTCTTTCGGGTGTACTGTCACGTGCTTTCGGTCACCATGTCTGTGGTCATGTGACCAATATCGGGAAGCAAAGGCAACATGGAGAAACGGTGCAAACCGCCAACTCTCGCCGTCCTCGCCCTGTCTCTCCTCTCGCCCCCGCCATCTCCACCCCGAATCCTACCAAAATGACTGTCGTCGAGTCGGTCAAGAACGCCGTGGGTCTTGGGGAGACCTCGGGTACGATTGCCCGGTTCAATTGAGCCAATCATCCGAGCCTGGATCTTGATGACCTGAAGCTAACGTGATGCTGTCCAGCCACCCGCAAAGAGATGTCGGAGGCCCGTCTCCCCATGCAATATCGCGACTCCTGTGCACACCTCCTTATTCCGCTGAACCGCTGCCGGCAAGCCGAGTACTACCTTCCCTGGAAGTGCGAGGTACGCATATCCCCGATGGCCGCGTTTATGCTCGACATCAAATTCCTCAACACCTCTCTCTGACGAACCACTTGCTAACCAATGTGTTTTTGCTGCTTCAGGACGAACGACACTCTTATGAGAAGTGTCAGTACGAGGAATTCAAGAAGCGCGTGGCCAAGATGGACGAGCTCCGCGCCTTAAAGGAGGGTGCTCGCAGCAACTAAGCTTGTCAATTTTGTGATATGTTTTCGCGCGGTCAGGACTGCTGAAAAAGCAGCAGGTTATGTACATAGATGATATACCGAGACTGCTCATGGACTGCCTTTTGGCGTTGGGAACTCCCAGGGCATTGGCTTGCCCCTCTCTCGGCTCTTGACAGAGCACTTCGAATTTCCACCGCGGCCTATACTATTCAATACCGGACGTGACTCCTATCTGCTGCGGACAAATCAAAGCTGAAAGCACACTTGATCGCTTATGGTCTTCAAGTGCCCCGCGAGAGACCCTAGGTGTATCACATGCGATTGGTCAGTCATTCGTACCTTGGCTAATTTTAGCATGACAATATTGTGATACGAGTATTTGTCGCTCTGTAAGCTACAGCATATGCTGTTGTGGGTCTGTGCTAGGTCGCTAATCACCCTAGTCGCGAGAAGATATATTTTGTAAATGTCAATTACTGATCGTCTTCCTATTTGTCAGCAGAATGTCCATTCTACTGACTCTCTTACCTAACCCCATAGCTTGTCCTCGTATTGACAGGGTCCGTGGCTTGCAGACCCAACTGAGCCCTGCAGGTGGTAGTTGCGCGATTGTTGGACAGTTTGGCTGTGCCACATATTGTCGTCGGTGCTATGACTGGGATATGGCGTGGCGCGATATGCGCCCGTTAGTATGCAGGGCGCTCGGACTTTGACATTTGACCTCAAGATTCCATAGAAGCAGAGTCTGCCATGAGTGCATCTTGAGTCAAAGACAAATAGAATCGAGGACAAGGCCCTCGAGAAATTAGGAAGCATCATATACTCCCCTAGGAAACGCGGAGCCATCACCTGATTGCTTAGAAATCCGCCCGCCGTTATCGCCTGTGCCCCGCCGGAAACTGTTGCGGCGTCTGAAAATTCCCCCTCATGCGAGAATTCCAAAGAACCGGGCGGAACGCGGGGACTATGCGCCGCTGGTCGTCTTCTCCTTAAATCTCTCCTTGAGCCCGCTTACGATTGTCATCTTTTCACCTTGCCCGCGGGGTGCACCTCTTCACCTCGGTCTATGATCGAGAATCCCGCTTATTGACTCGCTCTTCCATTACCGGGGACTGTTGGAGCGCATTACAAAGAATTGGCGGTCCCATACGAACACAATGGGTCTTCTGTATGTGCACTATTGTGTAAATATCGAAAAGCCAAACCGTGACTAACTTTCCTTTTTCAAGAGCGTTGGGTACCGCACTCGAATGGTCAGAGGCCAAAAAGAAAGCTGGCCAGGTGCGCCAGTGGGGAATTGAGGTATGCGAGAAGAGGGGTATCCTTGGCGAACCACCCTGACTACTTCATCGGCGGGGTATAGGGCTGACGGGTTACGCAGCAACTTCTAGCGAACTGGCGGCGGGCAAAGGGCAAAGAGCGCGATGCTCTCCTTTGGGGCGACGAGGTAGGTTGACTCGATTTCCACCTCAGCCGATTACCTGATGCTTCAAAAGCTTACTTCTTCACTTTGCATACGATAGGTCGAGTACCTCGTTGTAGCCCTCGACGACGCAGCCAAGAAGGCCCGGTTGTCTCTCGCCCAGGCCGAGATTCTCAAATCCCTCGCACAAGATGAGGCACTATGGAAGGCAGGCTCCTGCAGTAACGGTGGGAATGGAGACCAGTATGTCTAGCCTGGCTACCAACCCAAAAGTGAGACCTATTTCTTACAAATCACCAGCGACGGCGAGGAACCCCCGCACTTCCATCCCGAGTTCGGCCGTTTCATGCTCGAAGCCACACCAGGACAGCCCTGGGGTATTGGGTTTAAAGATCTGCTGAAGGTGGAATCCAACATGAAGTGGAGACGAGAAGTTGCAAAGGCACACATGGCACCGAACGAGTCCCCTATCACTTTAACCACCTTCCCTCGACTGGGAACAAAGGACGACTATATCCAGCCATATTACCCCCCGTCTGGGCCCGCACTGCGCTCACAATTTGTGCCCGACGAAATTGCCAATCCACATATCCGTTTCCCGACATTGGCGGCCAACATTCGCTCTCGAAGAGGGCGCAAGGTTGAACTGAATGTGCCGGTCTTTAAGGATCGAAATACCCCTTCTCCATTCAAAGATCCCACTGTCAACTACGACCTTCATCAGTGGCCCGAGGATGCCGATGTTCGCAACGGTGCCGCCAAAGACGACCACGTCTATATGGACGCCATGGCCTTTGGCATGGGCAGCTGTTGCTTGCAAATTACCTTCCAGGCCAAGAATATGACTGAAGGCCGGAAGCTTTATGATCAATTAAGCCCCCTTGGACCAATTCTACTCGCTCTTACTGCTGCAACACCTATCTATAAGGGATTTCTTGTCGATACGGATGTGCGCTGGAATCAGATTAGTGGAGCAGTGGACGACAGAACTCCTGAAGAACTTGGTGAAGCTGTGAGTGTTTTTTTTTTACTTCCGCAATTCGGTTTCACTATGGGCCTCGCGCGCTAAATCTTACCTAGCCCCTCAAAAACGATCGGTGGAGGATTCCCAAGTCTCGATACGCTTCAAACTCTACTTATATTTCCCAAGATCCTCGATTGCGCAAGGAATATCTGGACCCTGATCTAGTGATTGACGAAAACATTAAGAAACGGCTAATTGAGGGAGGCATGGATGATTTGCTTGCTACCCACTTCGCACACCTCTTCATCCGTGACCCGCTAGTCATCTTCTCTGAGGACCTGGAAGAACTCGACTTGAACAAGGGAGATCATTTCGAGAACCTCCAGTCCACGAATTGGCAACACATGCGATTCAAGCCCCCGCCATCAGACAAGGACGATATTGGCTGGCGTGTTGAGTTCCGGTCTATGGAGATCCAAATGACCGACTTTGAGAATGCTGCTTTCTGTATCTTCATCGTTCTCGTCACGCGCGCTATTCTTAGCTTCGATCTCAATTTCTATATACCCATCCAGCGCACTACCGAGAACATGGAAACGGCTCATGCCCGCAACGCCGTGCTGGATCAGAAGTTCTACTTCCGCAAGGATCCCTTTGTGCGCCGAGCACCCAGGCATGCCGCGCAGCATTCGTCCAACAACAGCGCCTTTTCTTCTACTACCTCATCTGCAGTCAATACTCCCCCACCATCTCCACCCCTTGGCCCCGTTGAAACAGAGTACGAGCTGATGACCATCGCTGAGATTATCAACGGTTGCTCTGACGGATTTCCCGGTCTGATCCCCCTCGTGGAGTCGTATCTCAACAGCGTCAACGTGGACGTCGAGACACGATGCTTTCTTGCCAGCTACCTCGATCTGATCCGGAAACGCGCCGACGGCACGCTGTGGACTGGTGCAAAGTGGATCCGCGAGTTTGTCGCCAAGCATCCGAGCTACCAGCATGACAGCGTCGTTTCTGAAGAGATCACTTATGACCTCATCAAGGCGGTCGAGGAGGTGACTGCCCAGGAAGGGAAGAATGGCAGCGTTGGCTGGGAGTTCCTCCGGGGCAAAAAGAATTAGAAAGACCGCTTTTGCACAAGCATACGCTGATAGATATTCTTGGGATGTTCGTGAAGGCAGCATTACAGAGATGATGATGTGATGATGATGATCCTCTATTAAACTGATGCCGCCCAACTAGTGGCATTAGAGAGATCATGACTCCATTTTGCATGTATTCTGTGTCAAGCAATCAAAGAGGGAACCCTCTAAGACTACAGATTTAGTTATAATTGGACAGCTCAATTGCCCTCCCCTAAAGCTTGTCTATCTATAAGCACTTAGTGCAAAAGCTAGATTTCAGTGGATCGACCCATCTCCTTCTGCTAATACCTGCGCCCCTTTGTACTGCGCAAACTAAGAGTAGGCACAACATGATCACACAACGTGGATCGATGCAAAGAATGCTGCAATGGCAATAGCATTTCGTTCCAAGAAAAGATATAGATATGACGGGGGGAAACGACGAAGCCAGAGTATAATGACCGAGAGGATGTCAGAGAGTAAAAGCTCTAGACCTTTGAACTGGTCTTATGACTGCGCAAGGGCTACACTGTGCTCCGCCAGTGCGTTGTAACTTACCTCTGCCATTAGCTTGTCAAGTTTTGAAGGTCAACGAAGAAAATTGGAATTATTGCTTGTCGCTTGGGTATAACGAGATAAATACTAAATAGTCAAGTAATACATAATTTTCCTCTCACACAAGAATCATCTCGCACGTCCATAGCTCCATTCCATATCCTTCCCGGCACAAATCCAACAAACATCAATTCGGACCCTTGACGGTGACAGGGCTTTCCAGCTCTGTCACAACATGAGTATTGCTCAGCTCAGCAGCCGTAGTATCACCCTGGAGCTCGACCAACCGGACGGGACCTGTTGCGGATCCCGGTGCAGAACGGGTCGGTGCCGCCTTTTGTGCCGTTACGGCAGTCAATCCAGAGCCCAATGATGCGGGCGTAGTATACGATGATGGAGACCCATAGGAAGGGTCCGTGTATGCCATGCTTGGGCCCGCAACAGGTGGCGCCCTTTGGCGCTTTCTTCGACCCATGAAGAATAACAGCCCCCCAATTATAGCAACGCCCGCAACCACGCCGATGACAATACCCGCGATTGCACCACTGGATAGCCCCGAACTAGACGAGGAGGCAGAAGCAGAAGCAGCAGCGGTGTTATTTGTGGGTGTTTGAGTAGCTGCCGAGGCACTGGACGCAGAGGTAGACGTGGTCCTCGTTGAGGAAGTGGATGTAGTGGTTGTGGCTGTGGAATCGACCTTGAATGAAAGGATCGGCTTGCTAGCATTCTTGTTGAAGATGTGCGTCGCATAGCCCCCCGGAGGGCCGGAGCAATCTGTATTTGAATACAGCGAGATAGCAAAGGGACCTTCCTCAGAGTCCCACTCGAACAGCTCACCCTGTGCATTATTTATCTGTGTACAAGATTTGGGTTGCTGGTCATGTTCGACGAAGGAGTCATTCGATGCATTGCGCCAGACAAACGTCCATCCATACGCCGGCTGTAGAACGGATAGGACGTGCAGCGCTAACAGATATAACGTTAATTCCATCTGATAAGTGATAAGAATAGCAGGTGCAAGATAAAACGTTCGCATTCAGCCTCAGCGAAGGTTAGTTATGTGGGAGTCCACAGGGCGGGATTTATGTCGCTGCAGACAATGTGCAAGGGGGCGATGGGGGGGAAAGGGGGAATAGACTCAGAGACACCTCGTATTCACTGTACATGTCTATCATCATAGCTGAGCATCGTCGCGTTCCAGTGGATGGAGGGGATCCTTCTGATCTCCGATCCCTACCATCTAGGGCAAGCGATCTGCGACCTTGTCATGCACGATTCGCGAGACGTCCCCTCACTGGGGACAGGTTGGTGAATCTTAATATTCTTAGCAGCGGCGAAGGCCCTTTACGGTTGATCAGATAGCGATCGCGAGGACATTCTAATGATTGGAGACTCAGAGATGTGTTTCGGTCTCCAGTCCCGGATTGGAATTTAGGAAACATTTTGCAAATCCAATTCTGGTCCGTCTCAACATTGAGCCCCTCTGCAGATCACCTCGGAATGATTGCAGATGCCTGCAGCTGAAAACCTTTTCGTACCGCGGGTGTTGGGATTGGCCCTGGTGCTCAGAAAAAGTGGGCGGTCTCATGAAGTTTTTTTGGACGGGGAAGTTCAGGGCCACTCGATACATTCACTCCTCGCGAGCAAAATCAGCATAGGTCCAATGCAAAAGAGAAAAAAAAAAAAAAGACTAAAAGGAAAGCTCCTTGCAGAGGAGCGACTGAACTGTTTATCTGGCTCCCCGCAGAATGTGGTGCGACGGAATACGAACGTAACCGTCAGCTTCGTGTTTATGAATATCGGGCGAGACATCTGACTTGGGAAGTGACTGTCACCTTCTGATATTGTAAAATCCTAAATTGGACTGACTCACATTCTTGGAGTCTCAGTTCTTGATCATGATTTGACTGCAGCACCTTGTCCATTTGTCCCGGGTGGGAGATCGGGGCTGGGAGAGTCATACGGAGGGCCAACCTTTAGCGAGGAGAAGCGCGTTTAGCCTTTGATCTGCTCCAAGCGTACAGAAAGGCACTCTTGACTGAGACTGGTCCCGCGAATATGTATGTGGGTAGCATATAAGACATCAAAGTCCCATAATGTCGCCTCCCGGAGCATCCACACTCTGACACAAGTATATAGATACTGCAAAGATCCAACACGATCATTATGCTCTAGAGAATTGCTTAAGGCACAGAATTCATCCCTGTGTATTCGAACATAAACCTGCGAGATTTTGCAGGATTCCCTTGTCCCGGAAACCAAGGCATCATTATTATTACCTGCAAGAGTCTGAAAAGTCCCCTGCCAGCTAATTCCCCGAACAGTCAATCACCCCCTGATCCCCAGAATCCCTAAGATTCGCCTCGAACCAAGACAACATCCGCGAATCAGAAACTGCTGTCAACACTATCAACTCGGCCCTACCATTCAAGACTAAGGCTTGTCTTCTCTAACTTCCGCCAGGGCAAATGATATACATTGGGGAGGGCCACGAAGCCAGAAACTCCTCTCCGGATAAACCTCGGTCTTCACTGACCTCACAACGGCCCAGATCATCACCCTATCCCCAATCCGGGCATTCATCCGCCAAACTTCAACGCTTTCGATATTGATTCTCCGCATCAACATCCTGCAAGCAGGCAATGCTGCACCGCTATGAGAGGCCCCCATTCCACCAGTCTCACCAGAACGGTTGTCCCGACTTCCCCGCACTTCGGGGCTTGACGGCTGCCGACGGCCCTGCGAGCTAATGCTTAGCAGGCCACACGAAAGCCAACGGCAATCCATCACGGCAGATCGTGACCGTTCTCAAGGCACAATCTGGCTGACTTGCATCGTCTTCCCGTGAAGCGAGCGCTGATCGTGCACAATTTGGGTGTGGGGCCTAGTGGTACCTTCCCCGCAGGATGTCCATTACCCCGGAGATTTCTGGCAAGATGTCTATATGAGCACTGCTAGCCTCGGGCAGAATGTCCGATGTCCAATGCGCAGGATAAGGTAATCTCAAGGCAAGCTTTTTACTATGTTCGCAGTGGCGATCGGTTTTCTTGTTGGGTGGACGACCGTCCATGCAGCTCCTAGCGGAAAATCCGCTCCCAATGTCGCCGTTCGCAATGGAACGTATACTGGGGTACACAGTACGACATATGGTCAGGACTTCTTCCTGGGTATGCCCTATGCGCAGCAGCCTGTGGGCAACCTGCGCTTCACCGTGCCACAGCCATTGAACGAGAGTTGGGATGAGTCGCGCGATGCGAAAGAGTACTCTGATATTTGCGTTGGATACGGGGTAAGTCTTCTCCTCTGCCCCTATGATGGAATCCCTCTGACAATGCAGCAGACGGACTCGATTTGGTATCCCCAATCCGAAGCCTGCTTGACTCTGAACGTCATCCGAGACTCTTCTGTCCAGGAAAACTCCAAGCTCCCCGTGGGAGTCTGGATCCACGGCGGCGGATTCGTGATGGGATCAGGGAGAGACGAGCGGTACAACATGTCTGCTATTGTTGAAAACTCTTACAAGATTGGTATTGCCCCACGCAAACAAGCCTATCTTCGTCTCCTGTGAGATAGAGGATTCACGCTGACTCATGAATGACCGTCAGGCAAACCATTTATCGCCGTCACCCTCAATTACAGGCTCTCTGCTTGGGGTTTCATCAGTTCGAGCGAAGTGTCCGGCAGCGGTAACACGAATCTCGGTCTGCGAGACCAGAGACTGGCACTCCAGTGGATCCAGGAGAATATCGCCGCCTTCGGTGGTGATCCGACCAAAGTTACAATATGGGGCGAGTCCGCTGGTGGCATGTCCGTGGGCTACCAGTTGACGGCCTATGGAGGCCGAGATGATCAGCTGTTCAGAGCCGGCATCATGGAATCGGGGGGTTCTATTTCGGCTGGTGCCAATAATTACACGACATACCAGTCTTCCTATGACACTCTGGCTGCCAGCCTCAACTGCTCAAATGCAGTGGACTCGCTGCAATGCTTGCGCGAAGTTCCTTTTGAGATCCTGAATTCAGTTCTGAATGGGACTGATGGCTCCTCTGTCTACAACTTCTCTCCTGTGTTAGATGGGGACTTCATAAGGAACTGGGGCAGTGTTCAGTTGAGTAACCACGAGTTCGTCAGGGTTCCTATCATCTCTGGGACGAATATGGATGAGGGGACTGCCTTTGGACCCACGGGAATTAATACCACCGAGCAGTGGTATGAGTATCTCACTGGTGTGTCTGCAGTATCCATAATTTGCTTCCATTACTGACTCTCGCCTAGACGGTTCATTGGGCAGGCAATTGCCTACGTCCATCGCCCAGCGCATCTTGGAACTATACCCCGACGACCCGTCACAAGGTATTCCAGCATTCCTAGGCGACCAGCGCGTGCCCTCAATGGGCTACGAATGGCGACGAACCAGCGCCTTTGCGGGTGACTTTATCATGCACGCCAACCGACGTCGACAATGCGAAGCATGGGCCGAAGTCGGAGCACCAGCCTACTGCTACCGATTCGATGTGCACTCTGCCGACGTCCCCCTGATCGTGGGAGCGACGCATTTCGAGGAAGTCTCATTTGTCTTCCACAACATCGCGGGGCTGGGCTATCATTACGGGAAACCTTTTGCGGGAGTACCGCAGTCCTATATCGATCTTAGTACCATGATGACGAGCATGTGGGCGTCGTTCATTCACGATATGGATCCGAATTCGGGCGTGGTGAACAGGTCCGTTCATTGGCAAGCCTATGGAAAGAGTCAACCGGTTGATCTGTTGTTCAATGCGAATACAACCAGCCACATGGAGGCGGACAACTGGCGCAAAGAAGGAATTGATTATATCAATTCTATCGCGACGGCTGTCTGGCGGTAGATGGAGTTTACCCGATGCCTCTCCTATTTAGGCTCGGCTCCGCGGTTTATGGTTGGTAGGTGTACTCCGTTAGGCAGTAGAGCGAGATCCACATAGTGATCGCAGTACAGTTTCCCTGGTTCGTACTCCTTGGGGGAATATCAGTGATAATTCGCGTCTTGTCAATGCCGCCAATGCCGCCAAGGGTGGTCCGTAGGTCCAGAGTTGGAGTACCGGCCCATTATTCGCAACACTCAAATAGGACTAAACATTCCACGTGCTCCCCAGATCGGTGTTCCACGGCCGGATCGATCTGATCTGGAACCGAGGCCCGTCGATGATTATTGGTTTATTCATCGATGGAATCTGGCCCCCGGATCCGATCGCGTCCGATTGGGCCGAACGAACGCCGTTTGCTTTGCCAGGAACCAGACTAGCGGGATTCCAAATCCCGAAGGGAAGCCCAGAAACGAATCTGCCCCGTGATCACCAACATGGCCCAACATCGAAGTTCCACCGAGCCGACCCTGACGAGCAGGACGATCTTACCGAGCTGGAGCCTTGCCGAACCCGCCGATCGGACACCCGACGATTGAGAACTTGTGTGGGGGTCGCGCACGACTTGCCTTTTCCGCCCACATTGAGTGGTTCCCATGGAGCTCGGGACTCAATAATGTCTCTCGCGTCGACCCCATCCACCATTGAATTTCGACAGGTTTGGACGACGGAACACGCTTGAAGTATACTAATAGTACTAAGTGTGGAGCGCCTTCTCCGAAAAGGGACTAGAGAACTGTAAGGACCACCAATGCATGCATACCATGGCCCTTGGACCCCAACCACGAGCCGCACCGAGACCGGCGCGAACCAGACCACACTAAACCCGCAATACCACAGTGGAGATAACATACCGGATGTCACATCCAGCGCGTCAAAAGCACAGGCGCTTAGCAAGTGGAGCCTCCGGGGCCTCCTCTCCAACAGACACGGTAGTATTTTGAGAATGCTGGGCAGGACGAACTATTTTCTGGTGCAGTTCGTCTCCATCGTGAATGGAACCCTATCTGCGGCCCCATCCGATCCAGGCTGCAGCCACTTTTGCCGGAAGAGAAGTCCGTCCAGTGGTTGTACATCCTGGACATTGGATACACGATTGACTAGTGACGCGGCCCTCCGTCCCACGCCACGATCGAGCTCTCCGGCAGCCTTGACGCGAACGAGAGAGGGTGGGGCCGGGGCAACGAAAGAAAACAAAGCAAAGCCCGAGGCAACAAAGAAACGCCAAATCAGGCAAAGGCCCATACAGAGGATATTCGTACCGCACAAAGAAACACACCGCCATGCGAGATGCTGCATCCCGCGCGTGGGATTGTCTGCGAAGTCGATCCGAGATCCCCCGTCAGCCAGCGGAGCCCTCGATGGAGTACACGATCACCGCTGCAAGTCGAGGTCGAGGCATTGTGTAGCAGACCAGACCCCGTCGTGATGTTCATCAGCCACCGCCGATAGTTCTTCCTGCCGTGCCACAGCGTGCCACTTTGGACGCGCCGGACTACGAGGTTCGATCGCAAGGCCGTTTCGTCCTGGGTCTCATGCATGACGCATGCCATGGGTAAGGGGAGATCTCAGGTTTGATCGATCTGGGGGGCCGTGTTGCGTCGAGCAGATTGCAGGAGGCGATCTCGGATGCCTCCCATCCTCCTCTCTCTCTTTCTCGCTCGCTCTTCCTGCGTGTCCCTAGCATGACCCGTGAAACTATTGCGCCTCATACAGTAGTGTCAAAAAAGGTATGGCGCGGCATAGGACTGTTGTCTCCTCTCGCGGAGCTGACCGAAGTAGTGTACATCCTACGGCGGGACCGATCAACGGGAATCCCGTATGGTATCAGGCCCGCCTACCCATGTCCACAGGACGTCGAGAACACGAAACGTGGATGGCTCCAACGCTCTGATCCCTGTTCGCTCCCGTACTTCGTCCGCTGAAGTGCGTCCCCAAAAGCCCCTCAAATCAATAGTTCCGTCCCGGCCGCCTGGGCCATCGGTGCATCTCCACCGCGGCGCCACTAGTGACCTCGATGCCCAACCCAATTTCCCACGCCAGATAGACTTTCGACCATCGAACAGCGCGTCCGTCCGCGGGTTGCGACCCACGGTCCTCAGCCGCCGCTAGTGACCCGCGCGCCCGGAAACACAGAGTGGATTTCACCGTGCTCGGGGAATGAGAGTCGACGATAAGCGAAGTGAGCTGGGAATAGTGCGGGTACCGTGGACTATCGGGTCGACTTGATATCGAGAGATACAAGATACAACCGCAGTCGGACCTCGACGCTCACAACAGCGGCCGGGGATCAGAAGAAAAGCCGTTGGCTTCGGCAGTCGGGCAACCGAGCGCACTGTTTCTGCCTCGGTAGATTGTTTTCTTCCGGATAGATCCGATGTGGAACGCGATCTAAAATGAGATGACGCCATGTCTTTGCAGAAGCCGAGGACGGCGCACTGTGGAGGGAAAGTATGCGGCGGACAGAGTACGGGGTACTCCGTACTTCGTACACGGTACCTGAATAAGGACTACGTCGCCGGTCTCAGTTCAATAGTGCGCCCAAAAAAAAAAAAAAAAAAAAAAAAGGAAGAAAAAAAGAAAGAGAAAAGCACCGGCCCCACGCCGCGAATGACGCAAACGCAGAATCCGCAGAGAAGCGCAGAAGAACAAAAGCAAAAGCTAGGGATCCACCGCACCCATCAAAATCATTAAAACAGCCCCCAGAGCGGGAAAGGGGGAGGCCCGGGAGCCCGGTAACAATGAATTTGCCGATTGACGCCCATATACTCCGTACTCCGTAATCTCCACGATGATGATGGGACCCTCCGTGCGACTAGCACGACTGGAGCGGCAGGAAGTCAAATAGGGCAACGACCAGAGACCGCCTTTATTTTTAGTTTTATTTTTAGTTTTATCTTTAGTTTCATTTTATTTTTATTTTTATGTTTATTTATTTGTTGTACCCGCGTCCTGCCAGGATCGCATTCGTGGCTCAAAAATAAGGTCCGAAGAAAACAAACAATTACCGTGGCTCATGCTCGAGGAGCTTTTGACCGACATTTCGGGACGCCTTTCAATCCGATCGACTGGGGCCCAGGGATTATCCATGTCGCATGAACGACTCGGCCCCCGTGTGGGACTCCACCAAGGAATCGCAACAAAGAAAGTCCCTCCATCCCTGCTGAGACCACGTAACAGGGTCCCCGGGATAGGAGCGATGAACCCGAGGGGGAACCCTAGTCAATCAATAGTGGGAGCGCAAATCTCGGGACGATCGCAGAGCAGAAGTGGGTTGGTTGGGAAGGGCGTGGGAACCGAAAAGGCTTGTTCTTCAGGGCACAGGCTCAGGGGTCGATCGGGACCAGCATCAAGTCCATCTCACCATCCTAGGATCTCCCACCCTCTTCTGAGGGTCAAATCTAGTACTCCGTAATGGGGTCGCACTTCCCACCGACCGTGCGGTCATAGGTGGAGAATGGATCTCCTGTGCCGGCCTGCTGCCCGAACTCGGCGCCCTCGGGCACTTCTGTAGTGGTACGAGAAGGGTTGAGGCCCCGTCCCTCGATTTGGCCGTGCTGGTCTCTGCAGCCGTTGATGTGCGCGGCTAGCACAATTCCTAGCCACGACATCGACGGAGTATGTAGGAGGTACTCCGGACCGAGCCCCTTCCCACGGGGCCTCCTCCACTCGAGGGAGTACACGAGGGCACAGGCTGACTGGCCATCACAGGGCTATGGTCTTGGATGCCCTAAATCTAAAATCTCCAATCTTCAATCGCTCGGAAGCGGATGGCTGCGCAGTCGTGTCATGCGCGGCGTTTGGATCGCGATCTCGGCGGGGGCCCGATCTCGGGACGGCGATGCCATGCGCTCAGAAGGAGCAAACACCACCTGGCCGGGCAGTTTGGTTTTGGGAGGGGGAGAAGTGGATATTCGGTTCGACCGGATATGTGAATCTACTCTTTTCTTCTCTTTCTCTTCTCGGTTTTGGTCGGTCATTTGCCTCTATGGGCAGGCTAGTGGTGTCTAGTTGCTCGTCTATCGGAGTTTATTTTGAGTCCCACGTTGTATCGCCATGAGGTAAGCGCCCGGGAATTAGGAAACTTCACGATTCCCACAGTTTGGCTCGCACTAGGGGGTGCGATGGGCGGATTAAGCTGTGTTGGCTGAATTTCGAGGCGATCCTAGCCCAAAATAAATAATAATCAATAAAAAAAAACTAAAAAAATAGGAGCTGATCTAAATGACGGATGGGGGTGGAAATAAGTTGGAACGCTCAAAGCACACTCAGTCCAAAACGAACGAAAATAAGGCAAGACCCCTGGAATTTCAAATTCAGCAGTAATAATTCTCCGTGGCTTTCTTGGGGGAGACCCTTTGGCGTTTCTGATTTCGTTCGTACGATGTACCGTCACGAGATGACAGACGATCTCCACAGGGACCCCATCAGCCAGTCCCCAAAGAGGGGCCCGTCTTGATTGGGTGCCTCCTGGTTTCCTAACTGGGATGGTGCGATCAAATGTAGTAAGTCCTCACTCCCCGAGCTCGCATGGCGTTCACGGATCTATACCCTATTTGACCTTATCGGTACCGCGCCCGTCACTGGATGAGTATGTGTATCACGATGGACTCGACGCCGTAACCACAATCCTCTCTGTCTCTGAGAAGGAAAAATAGGAGAAGAAAAATGGCACAACAGCCACGACCACACATGGCCTCTCTCACCACTTACACCCCGAAGGAACCTTGCCCCATTTGGACCGCCATTTGGCCGACGGGATCTCAGAATTTCAAATACTCTCAGCGATCTGAGGATCTCGATCGATACCGACCATCCCTGCTAGTGTCAGCCTTAGCCCCGAGCGTTTGGAACCCTCTCGATCCTGCTGCCATTGGCCCCCAAATTACTGCACCGTCCACACCGTTATTTTGCCCATTTCCTCAACTCGCCAGATTCCAGAATGCCAGCCAGCGCGCGGATTCTGTGACTCCGAAGTACGGTGTATACACACACCGAGTTTCCCGCCCTCAGCGACTCAGCTACTCCGCTCCTCAGCCAGCCTGTCGTCCCTCGATCAGTGGCCCCCTCCTCCTCCCCCCTTCCCGGTCGATCCCCCGGCCAACCCCTCCTGCCAATGCGACTACAACAGAGGCTCGGGTGGATGACTCGAACCGCACGAAGCCTCGACCCCGGCTGAATGTTTGACTCGGACGATATTCCCATTGCAGACGACCGGTTCCACTGATCCCCGAACAAGGGGTCCCTATCCAGGTGCCCGCGAACCAGCCTGTCAATCTCCAGTCTATAGTCCCAAGTCCATACTCTCCCAAGCCTGACCCAGCCAAGCCCCATCATCAGCCCCAGCCCCAGCCCCAGCCCAGCCCTCGCCTAAGCCCAAGCCCATCACCACCACTCGCCTTCCCAAAACCACTAACGACTCCGTCTCCAAACCTACTGACCCTCCTAACTCCTCCGGGCACCACGGACCCATGACAAATCCTGACACGCGGGATGTGCCCACACCCCGCGGGCCTGCAGACTGATTCGCGGTGGCTTTTTTTTTCCCCGACGGTGTCGGTCTCCTGGTATGAGGGAGGGGCACTGGGCACCGGGAAGTATTTGAGATTTGAGATTGAAGGTTTAGAATCTGACATACCCCGTACTCATAGACGAAATAGGAAATACGAAATAGGAAATAAGATTCAAGATTTGAAATTTCAGATTTGAGATTTGAGATTTGAGATTCGAGAGTTTACATGGCGGATGCGATGCGACAGTGCGCAACGACAGCGCATCCCCATCCCCCATCCCCCATACCCCATCCACATCCCCCATCCACATCCCCCAATAATCGGTCCGGTCCATAGACCAATACGTCGCCAGACCGATCCCCAGAAAGGAAGCCGCTGCACGAGGATAGGCGCACTTGCAGCCCGGTACTATCTAGCTAGCCTAGCTGACTACCTAACCAGTTACGGAGTGCCTCCGTAGGTCACGAAGGAGGTCCAGGTCCAGGTTCAGGTCCAGAGTCGAACTCACCCCATCCGTCGCCCCGCGCTCCGCGCTCAGCGCACAATTAGGGTTTCCGCTCAGATGATCGTGCAAGTCTAATCGCGGCGATCGGGAACAAAAGGGGGGGAGCGCATTGCCGATGAGATGCATGGGCGAATTTGCGTACGATCTTTCGCCTTTTTTCCTTTTTTTTTTTTTTTTTTTTTTTGCTCTCGCGTTTTTGTTTTGCAGATCGCCCCATTCCGCATTCCAGATCCATGAAGATTGACATGGGCATTGAGTGTCAATAGTTCAACAGTAGTTCGCACTTCTTACTCCCTTGGGTTATTCCTGATGCCCATGGAACGCGGTGCTGGGCATGATTGCCCGCCACGGGGCGCACCGTGGCTGGGAGAAGTGAAAAAGAAAAATCGACATGGAAATCGAATTCAAAAATAAGAAATTTAAGGCTGTTCGTCGCCTCCATGCGGTCATGGCTTGGCATAAGTTACTCCGCTAGTACAGTATATCCCTATCCCTAGCGATACGCCCATACTTCTTTGGATCGGTCGAAAATGGTAGATAATCGGAGACGCATACTTGTAAGTATTAAGTAGTACTCCGCAGATCCGACGGCTCTCCACGGCCGGTTCCGCTCCGGTGTCTGTCTTGGTCGACCCAGACAATGGCCCTCGGCCTTTGCCGCAACTCTGACCTCATCGTTCCGGCCGATAGCACGGCCGAGCTAGATCCTATCTCCAGTGGCAACAACCATGCCACCCATCTACACGGGGATCTACCGTAGCGAAGCACCAAACCAACGGTTGTCTAACCACTTGCAGAGATGTTCCACTAGGGTAAATTGAATTCCGATCCCGATCGCGATCTTGCAGAATTACACGATAGGAAAAAGCACAATCATGCCATACAACTCCCAATGGCCCACCCGCAAGTCAATTCCAGCGCAATCAGCGCGCAGTGTGCCAAGGGAATATTGGGGGGCCAAGCGACCACCGAACATTCATCATCGATCAGGAAAAAAGCATATTTCATCCAATATAGTCCGTGGAGATGCTAAGGAGACAAGATCGTACACACATCACAGATGGGGGTGGGGTAACATACTCGGACACGTGCGATGACAGGGCGGAGACCAAAAAAAAAGTGAGAAAAAAGCAAAATAAGGCTCGTTGGACAGACAGGTCAATGCAGGGTATAAACCAGAACCAGAACCAGAACCAGAACCAGAAAGGGACGGGGGCGGAGAGAAACAGTCTTGACAAAAAGCCCCAGGAATCCGATATCAAAAGAAGGTCTATGAAGCCGGGCTCCCAACGCTGCGAGGGTATTATATAAGGGCCACCAATTAGGAAGGTCAAGATTCCCATCCCAAAAGGAAACCAAAAGAGTCAAACAAGAGGATATGCCGTCACGGGGAGCGAGAGGAGCAAAGCCCAAACTCATCAAGTCCCCGAAGGAGAAAAAAGAAAAGACAAAATAAGAACAGAAAAGGGTGGACAGCACAAAAGGAAACAAGGATTGGGCGCGAAAAGAAAATGAAATGACAAAAAAATAAATAAAGAATAATGGGCCACACTGAACTCCTTTTTTGCCCCCCGTTTCTATTTCCCGCCTTTTTCCAACGCCACATGAGAAAAAGCAAGCTTAATGACTGGCTGGCGATGCGGAGTCGAGGACCGTCTTCGGCTTCAGGTTCGATCCCAGGGTCGCCGCTTTGTTAGCGCCCATCTTGCGGGTCAGCTTGGCATAATGCAGGCCGCAGGCGTTACACAGCGTTCGGGCACCATCTGGACCCCGACGCCATTCTGGCGTTTCGGCTCGGTTACAGCTGTGGCAACGACCAGGAGGGGCCGCCTTCTGCAAGAACGTGGTGGTTAGCCATCCGGATTCCAGCACGGTCGGAGGGGTGGGGGGACTGGAGCAACTGAGTCACGGTGGTTGGCAGGTGCCAACCATGGTGCCAGGGGGGGGAGAAAGGGGGATAAACGGGTAAAACAAGGGAGAAGAGAGACGGAAGAATGAGGGAACACGGGAAACTTACTCCACGCCGTTTCTTCGAGTCCGCCCCGGCGAATCCACCGGAGCCCTTGAACTCTTCCTGGTACATGGCCATATGCTCGTCTTCCCCGGGTTGCTTGAACGCCTTTCGCTGCGCCATTTGCTCCGCCAGGGCCTGTTCCTGGTTCACCACGGCCGTCCGTATCCGGATCAGGGCATCTTGGTTCCGGCGCTGCAGATGGAGCATGTCCTCCACTTCGGTGAGCGTGGGTAGGGACCCCAGAACGGGTCCAGACCGTTGCGTCTGGTGTGCTCGTGCAGCGTAGTGTCTTGAAAAGTCCAATGTCCGCGTGCTGAGCTCGGAGATCTGTTCCCAAACGGCAAAAGGAAAAACATGTTAGCCCACAAATTCCTGGTCTCAAACTCTGGCACCGCCAGTCACAATGCCGCGAATCGACAGGTCATAATCTCCCACGCGATTATTAAGTCCCCCACCAGCGCACACAAAAGGAGCACTGCCGCTCGCGAAGCCACACGAATAGACACAAAGATACAAGGCCAAGGGTACGAAAGAAAAAGAAAAAGAAAAAAGAGGAGATCCATACCTCATTCAGAGATGTCTCCACATCGTAAACGTCGAGATGTCGTTTCACCGTGTCAGCATGAGGTTGGCCCGGCATCGGACGGCCCACGAATCCACCTTTGACCTCTTCCCGCGGCGCACCCATGTATGCTCGGTTGTCGTAAGGCGCGGGATGGTATGACGGGCCCGTCGGCGGCGGCTGTTGCTGCTGTTGCTGCTGTTGCTGCGGAGGAAAGGAGTAGTTGGGAGCGAAATGGCTATAGCCATTGGGCGACGCGACGCTGCCCGCCGATGGTGGCGCGCTGTAATCATAGGCGGAGGAGTTTTGCGATCCGGAAACCGAGGTGATGCCCGTTTTGGCGCTCTGCGTTGGCGACTTGCCCGTGCTGAGCGAGTGCAGCGACGCGTTTCGAGACTCTTGCGTGTTGATTGAGACGAGGCTGGTGCGTGACGCATCGGCCTGTAGCTGGGTTTGGTGTGCAGGGTAGCCTGGTTCCCGCATCATCGACCCCGTAGCCGGGCCATTGGAGAAAGGGTTGGGAGGCCCGGGCGGTCCTTCGGTGCTAGACCGCCCGATGAGATGTGAGGGAGGAGGTGCGGTGTGTCCCGATTGTGGTGGAGGTGCGGAGGTAGGCGCGGGATATGGGAGAGGATTGTCGTTGCCCAGGGCCTCGTGGATTGAGGGTAGGGACTGGCGGCCGCCAGTCTTGTCTTTGTCGTCCTCGAGGACCCGGCGCGATGCTGGCGGTGAGATATACCCCGATTGCGACGGTGCGCTGGTGGCCGGCGCGTAGGAGTAAGGGAGGGGTTGTCCGGCGTACATGTTGTTCGGGCTGAGGAGAGGGGTCGGAGAAGCGGCGACAGCGTGTTTGGGAGGATACCCCGAACCGTCCTTGCCTAGGAAACCGATGGCGGGCAAAGGGTCTCTGCAGTGTGGACCATGGTCAGCATTGAGGTCCGGACTGATTGCGCGCGCGACAAGGGAAGACCCAAAAATCAAGAACAGAAAAAGGAAGCACCGAGTCGGCCAACTCACCTGTGCCTAGGAGCGGCTTCCAAAGACCCCATCACGTTTCGGGGGAAGAAGAGAGGTGATGTGATGTGGGAAGGATGGAAGATGGTTGGAGGATGGGGGGGGGGGGCAGAGGGATTCAATCCGTCACGCCTGGGTTCCTGACCTCATCAACGAAGTTCGTTACGCGTTCACCGATCCGATCGCGTATCCAAGATCCACGATGAGAAGAATCAAGAGTATCCACGGAGGACAGGAAAGGGAAGATCTGGGCAACAAATATGATGCAGCAAGATCCGGCCGAATGAAACCGATCTTTCTATGCGACCGATCTCACCAGAAAGACCGTTCCACTCGAGGAAAATTGGATGAAAAGGGTCTCCGGATGGCGGCAAGATCGGAGATGCGATGCCGTCACAGACAGGCGAGGGCGACCCAAGATCTTTGGAGGGGCGGTGTTGGTGGCGTTTGAGGGTTTGGACGGGGTTTGGGAGCGGGGGTCCGCCAGCAGCCGGTTGCGAATTAAGTCCGATGCGATCGGGGCAGACGAGCGAAGGTTTCGGGGTTGAAGGGTCGAAGTATATCGTTCGGTTAGAGGGGATATTATTGTCTGGAACCCGGGGACATTCCCTCCGTCGCAGAGCTTGGAGGGGGAGGAAAGAGGAAAGGATCCAGCAACGAGCAGAACCCGGTCAAGTCAATCGTTAAGAATAGATAGAACAGAATATGACGTGAAAAAAAAAAGGCGGAAAAAAATTTGAGAATGAAGTCGAGATCGATCGCGGAGAGTCGCAACGCAAGGGATGATGGATGGGTCAAGTTGGGCCTCGCGTGGGAACGGATGGGGGGAGCCACCAACGAGTATTCGGCGTGACGGGGGAATGTCGAATGTCAATCCAAGTATCCCGGAGGCCACAGGGAGGAGAGAGGTCAAATAGGTAAAAGGCTGGGAGGAGAGGAATGGAGGAGCACAGAGTTAAATAAAGTAAGATTTCGATCCCGCGATCGATATTGGAGTCCCAGGCCCAGTTAGGAGTAGGAGGAGGGGAAACCTCAAATAATAAGGGAGAGGGGGGGGGGAAGATAATAAGATAATAATAATACTAAAATAGGACCCAACCCAATAAGGAATAATACAGTAATAATCACTGAAAATAAAAAAAGGATAAAAAGACAATAATCAAGGGGATCGAGGCTACTTCATTTCGGGCCTTAGATTGGAATGAACGGGGGGGAGGGAAAAGAATGGCAAGGCCGGTACGCCAACAGGAACTTTAAAAAAGAAAATTCAAAAATAAAAAAGAGCGTTGCGCATCGGAGGAATCAAGTGGATCGAGATGGGCAGCAGATCGGTATACTTGACGATTGATTTTAGCAGGTGGATACCAGGAAAGCTACTGGAGGAAGGTGCTAAACGCCTAGGGAGGGACTAGTCGTAGTCGGAAGTCCAAGTAGGTGAGAGGGGGAGATTGAGAAAAAATACTGGGAAATTAGTAGATCGGTCATGACGCTGTTTTACTGAGAGGCAAATTACGGTACAGGCGAACTGCGGATCTTCGCATGTGGAGTTGACTTTTGGGATCATACCTATCACTGCTAGTCTGGCTTTAGTTGCGATGGGCGGATATCTTGGGGCGTACAGTGGGGACCAGGGGGCGTGTAGAGTGGAGGAAGGGGAGACGATAGTGTGGGTTTAGTGAGCGTGGGAAGGGGAAAATAATAATCATCAAATCATCAGAGGCCGGCCATGAAGGATGGATTCCCGCCTGCACTCCTGGACATGGACCGTATACAGCGAGGACGGAGGAGCAGATACCAACCATTCCAAGACCGAAAAAGAACCCCAATAATCATCCTCCGTGTTACTCTATACCAATCACATGGATCTCGTCTCCAAAAAAAAAAAAAAAAAGAAAAAAGAAGAAAAAGGGAAAAAAGAGACAAAAATAAATAGAAGAAGCAACATCTTGGCCGAGGCGATGCTCTCCATCTGCTGTGCTTCTAGAAATGCCCCCTGCCCTACCCCATCTCCCTGCGAGGCGGGTGACTAACCAACCAGTCTGGATGGAGGTACACCCGGGCCTGTCCTGGGGTTTACTTCGTAGTCGCATGGCGACTGAATTTTGCGGCCTCCAGGCGGATTGAGTGTACCGGTACAGTTTTTCTCGCTATTTCCCCATAACTCTGATCTATGGGCACACAAAGTACCTACCGACTAGACCCAGGGGAGATCGAGGTTATCACATCCCCAGCAACGGACCCTTCTCGTGGAAGGGTTCAAGAGATTACGGAATCCTGCGCCGGGGCTAGCGACGCAACTATACTATATCGCTCACGACTACTCCGACTGTTGGCAGGACCCCCAAAACGCTCCCAAGTGAAAGGTCCCATCATCGTGGGTGTCACATGAGGCCAGCGATCTCCGAGCATTCGCAGTTGCTTCTCGACTCGTCAGCCTCGGCCATGCATGAGATCAGACCCCCCAGGCTTATTAATGCCAGACGTTGAGGGCATGATGTCAAACCCGAGGACGCCCGAGCCTGTAGGCCAAGCAGATCGGACTTGGATGTGGGCAGATTCGCTAGTTGCATGGAACTAAAATCCATTCCGATTGTCGCTAACGACCGGTCGCAGTAGTAGCAATAGTAGCAATAGTAGCAATAGCAGGAGCCGGAGCGCGGGTGGTAATTTTCTTTTTCTCCGGTCCGCATGGTCGGGGTGGGAGAAAGGGAACAGCAGGTATGCCTTTTCCGATCTGAGGAATGGGCGTGTGGAGAAAGCCCGCTAGTGTCACTGCGCGGGCCCGGGAAGAAAGAGTGCCGGGCCTCCGATCTGAGGAGGTGGAGGGCGTTGGGGTTCGAGTTGAACGATCGTACCACGAGATCATGCGAGCTCCGCAGTATAGTATAGTATAGTATAGTATAGTATAGTTGATACGATGGCGTCCCTGGTATACTGTAGGATCGGCCCTCCGTACGGTGTCCTGCCGTCAATACTCAATACGCCATGCCGCGAGCGTGACTTGCGAAAGTCAAATACGAAACTTCCCTCGACGTCACCGCAGCGCCAAATCAGAGCAACCAGAACTCAATCATGCCAACCCCAGTCGCAAAATACGGAGAAGGAAGCCAACCACTCCTTTACGGAGTATCAACAGCCATTCAGCCATTCAGCCGTTTCTGGTTCCCCCCACTCCCTCCCATCCAGTCAAGTTTCGGAGTCTCCCCCAATTTCCCCTCTTCCCCAGTGATGTTCCGTCGGCGTCCACTTCCCTCTTCAGCACCTTCCCCGACCATTTAAACGGGCCCGGGCCGTCGTCACCTTGCGCTGTCGCGCATGGCCTAAGCTTTGGATCGAGATCGGATCACACGGGAGGTCACTGGGCAGATCGTGGGTGCGCGTGTCCGCTGCATCACGGCAGAGACCCTACATACACACCTCGGAGACACCCCGGTAAACCCATCTCGTCACGGTACTCGAGGCTAAACGCTCTGCAACACGATACTCGGACCCTCATCCCCCAATCTGAACATTCCATGCCACTCGATCAGGAGATGCGACCGGAGGAGGATCCCATTCTCGGCGTCTTGCCCCTCTCCCTGGTGACGTAAGGGTCCAGATCGCATCTCAATTGAAAGGCCATTCGGGCCTCATGCCCGGGATGGCGCTGGCGCCCTTCCCGGCCGCGTGTCCAGTCCATGTGTGGGGACGGATAGGCGATAATCGATAATCTGATTCATGGCTAGATAGGCCTTGCGTCCGTCTCGGAGCCCGGTAGATGATTTCTACGTATATTATATATTAATGTGGCGATTGTCCTCAGCTGATCGGGAATGTTCTCGAGAATCATCAGAATCCGGCAGAAAGAACAAAGAGCCCTGCCGACCACGCGGTTGCGAACGCGAACTTAAGTTTTTGCCTCGAGCTCATCTGCTCGGAGTATACTGCCAGAGCTTGTTCCCTCTCTCCCCTCCACCCCCTCCCCTTCCTGCTAGCTCCAGGCTGGTGGCTTTGGCGGCAACCCCCCCCCCCCCCCCCCCCAGTGGAACCCGGCCGTTAGCTAGCACATCATGCCCGTTGGGTTTGTTTTTCTCCGCCCCCTGCCCAGGCACAGACGACCAGAGACCATCCTGGATACTGACCGCTCTTGGCTAGGCCCCTGCACCTACGTGGACGAGTTCTCCTCTTCGTCTGGGGGTTCCAAGTACATGGTACCTTATCCTTCGTTTGGTAACACTCAACTTATCTACCTTATTCACCTCCAGCCCCCCTTTTCCTCTCTCGCGGCCTGGCGCACAGACGCCGGGATCCATAGCGGGAGCATGGCCTAACGGCCCTGGGGCCCAAACGTCGGTCTTCAGACTGGTCCAGCGCGGGAAGGTAATCGAGGCGAGATCTTCGGAACATCTAACGCACTTGGTTGATCTGGGCTCAGCGGTGCTCTTGGCATGCAGTGCTCTGTCCTCGGTTTACTCTCCCTCGTCCTCTCACGCCCCCTGCAGCTGTGGCTGGCTTGATCATTCCCACTTGGGCCTGCGCCGACAGCAGCACCGCATCCCAGGCCTATACATCTATACCTCTCTATACATGATGCTGTATCTGTGAATGCCGGCCACGATGCAATCGGCACGTAAAATACCCTGGAAGCCAGTACATGCAGATGTGACCCCCGACATGCTCAGACAAAACCTTCGTCCCCAGCAATAGGCAGCAGTAGCAGCAGACATGCAGCGATCTCCAGAGCTGGTCCACCCGACCAATGGCCCCCCTCCTCGCGGGGGATCCGACCTGCTGTCCCGGGTCCGCAATGCCATCCTCGGAGACAAAGGATTTGTAACTGGGTCTCCCCCGAGATCGAGCGCTGCAATGCGAAGGACTCGATCCACATGGTAATCGCTGCATCGCGCAGAGCCGACCCCAATCCTAGCCCAGCACCACCCGGATCGCACCATTTCAGCCACCCTACGATGCGTTCCGTGCACACCTGTGAGTTAGTGGCATGCACGGTAGGTCACCTCGCCTCAGTGCCGAACTCAGATACACCCCAAACATCTCCACCCCCCTTCCCACCCCCCTCGTCTGGGACGAAGGACTCCACAACGTGCGTGCTCTGGCGTCTATTGCAGGGGGATGAGGGTGGTGGTGTGAGAGCATGTGGTTGAAGCTAGCAACGAGCCCTTTGAGCAACTCTCCCGGCCTGTCGTCTCCAACGAATGCCAACAGAGGCATGAGGGGGCGTGTGCTACGTCTGTCCTGACGTATCTAGACCATCGGGGCCAAGGTTCCAGAGGCAGGGATGCTCAGCAAGTCCGGCTTTCCCCGCGACATTAGCTTTCGATCCGGACCATCGGAATCGTGACCGGCAGCCCGGTCGCAGTACTGGGTGCTGAGGTTGTACGAGATCAGATTACACCCGCCGCGATCGGGGGCATTCGTGTCGAGCCCGGATGCAAAGAAGACCGGAGTTCCCCTCCCCTTCTTCCCTCGAGAACCGCTCGTGCAGCAGGGGACGGAGGACGAACCGAGGTTGATGTCGGTTGCCTAGTTCCGGCAACTGTACATCCCAATTGCGCGTCTGACGAAGGACGCTGGGCTGTTTGGATGGGATGGAAGGGGGGGGAGTGTGGTCCCCTGCCAACACACAGCACACCATGTCGGCATCGGGCGGGAACTGTTCGCAGGAGCGGAGCCATTGGGGTAGAAGGGACTGCTGTACGAAGACGGAATCGGGAGAACAGACCACCACGGACCTACCACGGGCTACGACGGGCCACCACCCGCTACTGTAAGAGGGCGCGGATGATTTTCCTGCGGAGCTATGCACTGGAGTCTTCTCACTCGTGGGATAGTATTTTGCTATGGAGTAGCCAACGAGAACACCACTTGTCATCGCGGGACTTGGTGGTGGGGGTTGGGAAACCAACGGGGAAGTGAATATCGATGTCGAATGTGGAGGATGATGCTCGGCGATATTATACCGATGACCAGTGGTATGGAGTCGTCCAGGCACTCTAGTCCGCCAGCAGGTTTCCCCCCGAAAAGAAAGCCCAGATCGCTTCCACTACCGACCAATGGGGCCTGCGACCAGATTGTTCATTTAATCTCAGTGTCATTATAGTGTCAGTCGGAGGCACAATTCGAGCTAGTAAGACGCGAGGGAGTCCTGAGGGACGGGAAACAGAAGGCCTGGATCTTGCAGGGAGGTCTCGGTACCCCGTACAGAGTATTATGATACTGTGCACTATCCTCGCACGGGGACGAGACTACGACAAGACTACTACGAGACTACCGACAACTGGGTATAGATGGATGGAGCTGACGGACATGATCGACAACGCGCTGGAGAGGCGAGTCGAGGGGGCAAACCGTTGGGACCGTTTTGGGTCCCGCCCTGAACGGCTCTTAGTGCTAGCATGCTAGAGGCTTAGCGGGCTAGGCTAACGGGTTGACTGCTCTTTTAGCATGCGCAGAGCAACTGCGGCCTTTCGAGGGCCATGCTGATCGTTGGCGACTCGACCCTGACACAGCGACCCGCCAACCTCTGGAGGCTTTCCCAGCCGCCCGGCGTGTGGAGCCCCCGTTACAATTGCTACGAGGACGATCAGATAATCCTATCCGCAAGAGAATACGAGCGGCGCCTTTACTCAAGTTGGCAAGAGATTAAGATCCGATCCCAATTTCAGTCGCTCTGCGCACGTCCATTCTATTGTTACCGCGGCTTCTTTGCCGCTTGCGTTTTCCTCCCCGGTCAATGTCGACTCGATCGAACAACACACCAGGAATTGAGTGGGTAGGAAAATCAGACCTCCAGAACAAAACGCTCGGAGATCCCCCGAAAGGTTAAACCAAAGAAAAGCAAAGCCGGAATCAAAAGAAGACTGTGAACAAGAGGCGGCCGATCCCAGTGGAATCCGTCCACATTCCAACCTACCAGTGCGTTCGGAGTATGCTGCTGCCGTGGCCTCGCAGCAATGCTCCTGAAATCCTACAAGCTACGAGGACATCAATCGGCCTCCAGACCTCTGGTCACAAAAAAGGGGAAGGGGTCTCCCAACCTCCCAACCTGCTATCTCACCGTCCGCAGTGACGACGGCGAGGGCGAGTACATCCCCTTCAGGAAACGCTCGGGGCAACAAACTTCCGCAACGAGGGGGGACCTCGGGAGGCGCCTTGCTTTTTCTTTGCTTTTTTTTTTTTTCTTTTTTTTTTCTTTTTTTGGCATCAATGGCCCAGGGCAATGTATCACAATGGCACTACTCTACCCGTCTGCTTGGGATAGGCATTTCAGCCGCGTTGATGGACTATTGAGCCTAAAGCTTGGGGCCGAAAGCCGTTTAGCCACTGCCCAATTGGCGAACGTCCCAGCGCTCGATGCAATTTCCTTAGGAGCGGGTCGAAATACACGAAGAGAAATGGCTAAGGAAAATCCAATTAAAGACCAGATGGGGACTCCACTCTGCCTGAAGGGCGAAAGAGACGAGCGACAGCACGGTTCCTGCCCGCTGCTCGACACAGTCAAACCTCCGGTAGCAGGACGGTTCCATGACGCCACAGATGTCAGGGCTCGGGGCCAAGCAAAGCTCCCTCTCGTCTTCTGGCCGTCCAAAATTAGGACCGCACGCGCCCCAACCTTTGACGGCGTGGGTGGATGAGGTGGGGAAAGGGGGGGGGGGGGGGGGGAGGAGGGACGGGCTTGGTGGGTTTGACTTTGACTGGGCGTTTGTCTGCTTGGGGCTTGAACTCTCCGAGAGGTGGGGACTCTTTCCGGACATCAATCCGATCTCTGGGCCAGAGTAAGTTGACAGCTGGGCTGTCACAACAGCATGCTGAAGAGGCATCACAACCGAGTCGCTCTACAGAGAGCGGAGTATGTAGTATCTATCTCGCACGGGCTGCAGATGCATCATGCCCGTCCCCAAAGGGCGCAGAGCAGGATCCTGCAGGTTCTACTCGATCGGGTCCGTGAACTGCCTGACAGGCTGGGATCAGGCGCGACTAAACTCACTCGAGCCTCGGGCCAGGCTGATGGACCAGGGCATGTCTGCATCGCGACCGAACGGGGTGACACCACATCAACCGGGCGGGCCATGAATCATGTCTCCTCCAACGGATGGGGCTACGCCATAGCGATCTCATTCGGGTATGTTTTCTTTTTACTTTTTTGCTATTGCATGATTTCCTTGTTTCCTTTCTTCTTTTTTCTTTCTTTCTGAAACGCTAAATTAAAATCTCCGTTTTATTCCCGACCAGGGTCAGATGGACCCCCGAACTCCTCATCGGGACCAACTAGGTGTCAGATCTGGCATCGTGCTAGAGGTGATTAGCTTGACGCTGTGTACGCTGAATCTCTGACTAGGTATGTATTGGTATGCCCGTACCTCGTCCGTTGGTACTAGCTCGAACGGACGGGACTATTGAAAACGGTTTGGCTCTAGCCACATTCCCTGGGCCTGATGCTCCATGATGCTCCATGATGCTCCATGATGCTCCATGATGCTCCATGATATAATTACCGAGAGCCACCCGTGGGCCGCACGTGAAGACCGGGGGCAGCGCTCTCGTCTTCAGTTGCCATAGTGTCCGGCCCTGTACGATCCCACGAACGTCATCACGGTGGCGATGTCACGGAGCATATCGACAGTACTCCGAATATACAGTCCGGAGAGTACTAGGGGTGTAAATCTGGATGCTGGGATGAGAAGAGGGGGGACACCCGCACTAACTGTGATTCCACTGGCAGCTTCTGCATGCTCCGATCTGGAGTCCTGGCACACGGGAAGAGACTCTGCTCGATTGCTGCCCTGGTAATTGTGACTGTAGGTCTGCTGCTTCCTCTGGAAGGAGTAAGCTCAGCCCCAGTCCCAGTCACAGTCCCATCAGCCTGGCAGACCCGATCTATCGACCAAATAGAGCAGAAGCCCCGAGTCACTGGACCGTCCCCTGCTGTCGAGGCCTTGAGTCATGCGACGGTGCTAACTCGTCCCTTGTCTGAAGCCTAGTGACCCGACAGAATGGAACTCGTGCGATGGAGGAAAATCCCCATGGCGACAAGGGGGTCCGTCGCGCAAAAGAAAAAGAAAGGAAAGCAAAAAAAGGAAAAAACGGGGCACGATAGCAAGCCGGGCCGTTTCCAGACCCACACCCGATAGACCGCTTCGATCGGCGGGGAGGGGAAGAGAGGAAAAGAAGGTCAGTGTCCCCTAGTGTTGAGGCTTAGGGGCCACTCTCGGTTAGGTCGGGTTTGAGGAAGGGGGCGACTCGGCAAGCGCTATCATGGTACGCAAGTGCGATACGACCCAGGAGTCACGCCAATGCTGGTGGCAGCGCGGATGGACTGAACAGCCTCTTTGCGACGGCCTGCGATCCTCTGACAGGCGGGCAAGATTGGCGTCTCCTCTCGCTTGCCGAGATTCCCAGGCCGGACGAGTGGGCTGGCCGTTATTTCCCCTGCTCCACGCCATCTTGGGCAATGGATCCGACGGAAAGTCTCCGCCGACCCACTTGCTGCAGGACGCTGGCGCCGTTTTAGGTTTTCGTGCAAATCCCGAGGAAAGAGTGGACGAGCATTCGCCATGGCCATGCTATAGACAAAGACCATCAACAAAGGATAGAAAGCCGAGAGGCCTGGTCAATGCCTCGAGGATCAGGACAGACGGAGGAGGATATTGATTACAGTAATTAGACTTATGGTATGATCTGGTGTTCTGTTCACAACCCCTGAATCTTTCGAATACGTCAAGCTTAATCCAAGCTAATACTCCGTACTCATCAATTCAAAGGGAAAGAAAAACGTCTCCAAAACGCAGCGGATCCACCATCTGACCGTTGAGCTTAACGGCAAACAACCCCCATCATTTCTGTTGCCGGACAATCAGAACCAGCCGAAAGAACCCCCAACTCTTCGCACATCGCGATCGACGGGCAAAGGGGGAAGTCCCGGATATAGCGACCGGAAGCCGAGGAGATTTGGTGATGGGCTAGCGACCAGCGAGGCGGGCCCAAATTAACTGCTGATTGAGATCCGCCGCCAGTGGGGACCAGGTGGATGCGACTATCGCTCCAGATGTTCCTGAGCTCGTTGTCCAGAATATCAACGTCGGTTCGCCCAGAAAATAGATTGAACTGCAGATGAAGCGGATGAAGTGGATGGTCGGAACGGCAACTATTGAATTGGCTTGCTTCTTTCTGTCGGTTGATCCGGTACCAGCAGGCGGTATTTGGACCATCGGCACTAGTATCGTTCGTTTCACGATTTACTTCTGCACCCCCATGTCTAGGAATAGAAATGGGACCGGTGGGTTCGACATGGCAAAGGGGCGATGGAATGATCACCCTCGTTCTCGCTCTCGCCTTTGTCTCGTGATGAGTCGGGGTTGACTTGCTTCTCCCGACATAATTCAAGCCTCCCTGCACTCCTGCTTGGTGCTCCTACTAACTTTGAAAGGGGCAGGCTCAGCAGGGGATCTGTCAAAGCAACCTAGGCAAGTTTTCGCAACGTGCCTCGGTCCGACAGAAGCAGACAAGCCACGGCAAATCAAAGTGGCGAAGCACTGGTGGCGACTGCAAATCAGTATCGCACGAGCCCTGGCATGAGTGGCGGGCAATGGGCGAAGCAAACCTTCGCTTCGAAACAGAGTGACCATTGATCTGCCTTCATCCATGGAGAAGTGGTGGGTTCCCCCGCAGGGCAGTTACCAGTCGATTGCTTAGTGCGCTTTTCTTTGCAGCTTTGGTCTGCATATGACAGGCGGCTTTGATCCCCGCGATGTCGGAGGGGCTGGGTCTTGGGCTTTGTCTACACATCGTGCGCCAGTCCCGGCCGGCACTAAACCGAATAAGATGTAAACACAGCGGGAGCTTCGGTCTTGATCCACTACGTCTTATGGACCGGGGGCCTTCCGGTGGCGGGCGAGCTGGTTGCTTTCTCCGGCATCCCATGCAGCTTTGCGCCGTGTTCATGCATTATGAATCATGAGCCTGTGCCAGGAGAGGCCTGAAAGTTCGGCTCAGTTGTTGGCTCGGCATAAATTGGATGGTCGGCAAGCACAGAATCCCAGCTCGAAGCTGGTCTTTACTTTTGTCCTCTGATACGAGTGCGAGGCCGGAGTAGACTGGACCATCCCCGGCAGATCTCTTGAACTAAATGTCCAGATTGGGCGAGTTTTCCAGCTTGCGGGACATGTTGAAACACGCCACTACAGTCGAACGCAGATGTATCACGAAAGCCACACTATCTTGTGCTCGAAAATCCTTTGCTGTTACCTGACTCTTTTAGAACAGGACAGGGATGTATTCCAAATCCGCGGCAGCGGGTATATACACCCGACCACACAATCCTCCGCAATCTGTGTCATTCCAGGCGCATCTAAATACATTAGTATATAGCCAGGATCCAAGCGTAGTTAAAAAGAAGCATTAATTACCATCCATCTCGCCCTGCCGTATATTCTATGTTGAGAGATGCTATTATGCAAGCTGCAGGTGCAAGTTCCCATTTTGCGTTTCTGACAGCTGCTTGTGCATGGGTCTCTGCATTAGCAACCAGTCTAGACCGCTTGCAAGTTCCGCCAGCCAACGCCAACTACGACTTAATGCAAATACTAATGCTGGGGCCGGGAAGAGGGGAAGAGGGCATATTGGGCCCAAAAAAAGGGCAGAGAGAGCAAAGAGGACCAGCAACGAGCCCCAGAAAATTAGGTTTTTGTGACAGCTGAGCTACCTGCGAATAGGATCGGGACCGGGATTTGAATTCACAATCCGGGATTTGGCACCATATGAGCGAAATATTTGTAGGGGTAAAAATGGACTCGAATGCAGAGAAAGATAAGTAAACACGCCGTCTGTATCTATGTATGTACTTGGAGTTAGCATGGCCTTTATAATTATTTTTCCCGCCTATACTTTCGGTTCCGTCTGTCGCGAAACATGGCGGCGTCCAACCAATAGCACAACCCCGAAATTCGTATCCACCCAAGGTTCCGCATCTTCAACCCAGGGTCAAGGTTTGACTCCACGAGGAACCAAAGGAGGAACCCCCGTCAGATCCAAAAGTAAAGCATCCAAAAGGAACGACAATGCAAGCAAAAGTACAGGTCCGCTCCAACTATAGAGTAGAGCCAGCCCGATCCCAGAACGGCCCTCTCTTCCCGGCGCCACGAGAGGCCCCCGGGGAAAGTCTCCCAGCCCTCCTAGCAGCAAGCCCCAGCCCCAGCCCCAGCCTCGAGCTTGACTTTCCTGGGAACGCATCGTGACCAATGACTGCCTCCGCACCCACGATGCCTCGCTCCAAGAGGAAGGAGACCGGGCGAACTAGTATCCATCCGCGAAATGAGACCGATCCGTGCGATCGACGGCAGCAGCACAACAGCCGAAGGATCGGCAATCTTCAATCAAATCAACCACCGCGCCGATCGACCGGACGCAAAGGCTGGGCCCTGCTGATCCGCGGTCCTCGGAGCGTGGGGTCTGCCATGACAGCCAAACTGCTACCGCTTTTTGGTCCTGGCGGGTTCCGCTTAGTTCCCCACTGTGACCACTGCGGTCAACAAAAACCTGTTTCAGTAGAGCATGAGAGGGCGACGAGGCAAAGAAGAGGAAGTGGAGGAATGGAAGCGCGGGCTCCACCCCGTTAACCAGACGGGAAAGGAGCCCTGGGTACGAATTGGTGTTTGTGTTCCCCGTAATTAGACCCCCGATGCCGTCTGCTTCGTTGCTCTTTTTGCGGTTTCTTCTTGCTTGTCCGGAAAAGAAGTTGTTTCCGGAATGGTTACATTGCTCTCAATGGGAGCCAAAGTAGGGACCAGCCAGCGTCTCGTCAAGAAAAGGGAGGCCCGGCCAAGAGATGAGGACCTGCTGGCTCTGTCCGGTCACAAACTCAGTTCGTGCTCCGGTGGCTGGGCAATGTAAATGCTGATTGGAAAGGCCTAGTGCGAACAGCGAAATAGAAGTACCTCACTACTGTACACTATCGCACGTCTGGAACAGCAGAAGGAAATCCCCGGGCGGCAATCAAGCCGCTTCCGCCTCGCTGTCGGCCTCGCATCCGGCAACCTTGGTACTTTCGTGCGTGCGATGTGTCCACGACGATGAGTGCACTTTTGTTGCTGCCTTCTCCAAGAATAACGTGGCAATGCATATGTGCTTAATTGCCCTGTGGGGAGAGAAGACTCGAGGACTGTACTCTGTGCTCCATGCAGGATTCATGTGGCACCGAGGTCTCGTCGTGGCTCGGCCAGTATTGCTGCCTCCTCGCCGAGCTGCTCGACCCGCCGCTACCCATTGCCAACCGAGGGTCTAGCAGGCATGTCTCTGAATGTCTCCGTAGTAAGCTTTGGGTACGGACCAGGGTCACCAAACCCCGACCCTAGCTGACAGCCCGGGCTGTCCCGCGTTGAGTACTTTTGCCGTTAAACCCAGTCGCCTCATTGGCTTCCATTGAACCGGTGCGCAGGGATTGGATCGGGGGGTTGGTCGGTTTGGGCTGGCAGGACCTAGTGGAGAGGACGGAAGGCAATCAAGAACCGGCGGGTGCGATCCGAAGGAGGCGTCCCTTTAGGTCGCGTGCAGACTGCATATGCAATGCAGATTTCCGTTTGGAATGCCGGAGCGATCGAGTCCATCCACACTATATGAGACTTCGCTCTGGGTCCTGGTTCGCGGGGGAAATGGCCCGCCGACGCTTTCTGTCCGGGGTGTGGGCCGCTAGGCGGCACGAATCGTATGATTCCGCCTCTTTAAGCTTTGCATGCACACATCTGGTGTGTCTTTTTGGGAGGTGTTTTGGGATGTGCAGTAGTGTGGGTAGTGCGATACATGGCTGTCATGACAACGGGTAGCTGCTCGATCTGAAGTAGTTTGGGTTGGAGGCGTAGACCTATGGTCTAGATGCATTGCTCGTGCAGGGCCCGTATTAGACTCCCGGAGGACTCCAATCAAGCTCTGTGTCCGTGGCTGTTTCATACTTGACATCGAGGTATGTGATGATGGGATGGTTGTGGTACATGCAGCGTTGCGCTGTGCCTGGATGTGTACAGGCGCTTGGTACTCGAACCACCCCGCACTGACCATTATTGTCCAGGGCATATTTAGAAAGCCATAGCAAGGCAAATATGGTATTCCCCTTCGAGGCTTGATGCTCCATGCTCTTAACTTGCTCATCGTCGAATTTCTCGAGGTAAATCAAAATGAAAGCTGTCCGTCCTGTCGACTACTGTACTATCAAGCACGTGACGAATGCGCGTTTGTACGTCACCTCGAGTTCTTCCTGCTGCCAAAACCTTCCCAACCAAAAGTTGTTCATCCTGACCCATTTTCCTTTCAGGTTCATCTCGAAATTCATTTCTCGACATGCCCCGACCCATTCTCACACTATCGGAGATTCCCACTGTGTCATCCTTGTACTCGCTCGCCAGACTCGGGAAGACGAGTTCCGAGCGGACTCCGGTGCGGGCTCTCAACAACATCATCTCCATCATCCGTTACGATATTACCAGACTCGAGGTAGACTGTATCGTGAATGCGGCTAACCGTTCGCTGCTGGGTGGCGGCGGCGTAGACGGTGCTATTCATCGTGCTGCTGGCCGCCAGCTTGTCGAGGAGTGTGCCGACCTGGAAGGGTGTGATGTCGGTGATGCCAAAGTTACATCTGCATATGACTTGCCTTGTGAAAAGGTTGTGCACACCGTGGGCCCAGTCTACGATACGGAGTTCCACAAGGACCCAAGGCGCCCTGAGGCCCTGCTTCGCTCCTGCTACCGCCGCAGTCTGGAGGTCGCCGTTGAGAATGACATGACGTCTATTGCATTTGCGGCCATCAGCACCGGCATCTATGGCTATCCCAGCATTAAGGCTGCTACTGCTGCCGTTGATGAGGTACGGAATTTCCTGGAGCTGCCCCAGAACAAGGGCAAGCTCGAGCGAGTGATCTTCTGTAACTTCGAGCAGAAGGATGTGCTCGCTTACGAGAGGGTAATACCGTGAGTACTTCATACACTCTGACTTGACTTGGAATGCGTGCTAAATAACCATAGTCAAAGCTTCCCTCCAACAGAGGAAGAGCTACCTAGAGGCTCCCAAGACACGGATGCGTAAGTTGGAGCGCTTATCGAGGGATGTATTTTCTCTAGTCCCTCGCACTATTTTGCACAATGTTTCCATCAATCTGTTATTCTTTTTTGCCCGATATTCTGTCTTGTCATTTAAATACAAGATGTTCACGATCATGCCCGGATGGATAACGATTCATGATTTGTCGGCGTTTGCGGGGATTACTACTACAGCCTGAGGCCATCACAATCAGATAAACATGAACAAACGATGCAAACAGCCGTGTTCTTGATCAATTTATCAGTACCGTAGTCACTCCAGCCTCAGCAGTCATTAACGCAAACCCTGTAAGACAGGTTCTTTACTTTCAACATGAATGTCTAGTTATGGTTCTGCCGACCTGTGTCGCCGTTGACGCCACATACACCCACCTCTCCTACTCCCTCACCCGCAAACATGCCACACCACGACCGGAAAGCGCCGGGCTCAAATCTACGCGCCCTCAATCCTACCGAAGCTAAAACCCTCTCTCGCAGCGGGAAACTCCCTCCAAAGAAAGCACCAGCCCCCCCACTCGAGCCAGTGCCAGCGCCAGCGCCAGTGCCAGAAACCCCGGGCCCCAGTCTAGCCCGCAAGGGGCCCTTCCAATCCTTCTTCTCCAACTTCCGCCAGCGCTATGCAGCCCTCCCACGACCAGTTCGGCTCATGTGTCGCGGAGCTCGTGTCCTCGTTCCGTTGATCCCTATTAGTCTCTTCTTTTCGGAGCATGTCATGCAAATAATGTGGGTCAAGGGCCCGTCGATGACGCCGTATCTCAACGAGGACTATGACCAGATGCACACGAAGAGCGATATGGTACTGGTTAACATGTGGTCTTTGCACCGGATTCTGCCCTGGAAAAGGCAGACGAGGCTGGAGAGGGGGATGGTGGTGACTTTCCGGTAGGATTAGGATTCTCTCTGTCTCGAGATATTTCCATGATCTATAGGGTGCGACACCCAAACTGGACAGGACACCCAGACTAATACGTTCATTTCTGATCAGATCGCCTGCCAATTCCTCACACATCGCGATCAAACGAGTCGTCGGTCTCCCTGGTGACCGCATCACCACTCGCGAACCATGCTTGAAATCTACTCAGATCGTTCCTTTCAACCACGTCTGGCTGGAAGGCGATGCCGCAGACCCCCGCAGGTCGCTTGACAGCAATACCTACGGCCCCGTCAGTATCAGCCTGATCACAGGGCGCGTGGTCGGTGTCCTGGGACCGCGAATGCGCTGGTTGGATTGGACACAATGGGAGTCAGGGAAAGTGGAGGATGCTGGGCTGGATAGTCGGCTTGGGGAGAATTATCGACAGAGTGTGCGCGACCGCGTCCTGAAGGAAGCCGTAAAGCTGGAGCGACCAGCTGACTTTTGAAACGACCTTGGGGATGGCGGTGAACGAGTGTTGGTTGGACATCTCCATCTATGATAGCGTCAGGACGCTGTCTACATTGTACATAAAATAGACTTCCTTTGGGATGTCATTGTATCATTACTATCCATGTATGGCGTGTACGTGTGTATAGAGTCAACTGACAATGTCCAAAAGCATAAGAATCCCCGAAAAGCTAGATGCGTTTTTTGGGCCCGGGGGAAAACACATGTTGTGAGAGATAAGCAAGAAAGGAAATGAGGGTATTTATTATAAAGAGACAATCCGAATATCTTCCTGCCTCTCTTCTTGCAGACGGTCGATCTCCGAAGAAATGCTTAGAACCCAGCGGTCTTTCTCGACACGGCTACGAGCTTTGAAAACGATCGTTCGACCGTGTTTTCCAAGTGTTGACACATGTCGCAAGCTTCTTTTGATTTGACCCGTTGCGGCTCTTTCCTCGGCACGGAAGTAACTCTTCTTCAGAGGTTGCCAAATCACAAACGTGATAGCTGTATCCTGGTCACGGCTGGTAAATGTATTAGACGCAAGATAGATTCGCGGGAGGGCGTGGAGACCTGGGTTGTTGCTGTCAAATGTCTGATTGGCATAGAGCAGATCGGCCTCGGTGGCAAGTCCGGAGTAGATGTAGCAGTCGCTTAGGTCAATTGTTGTATCGTGGTCTTGATGGATGTGGGGGATCTCGGCGCCATTGCGCTGGCGTAGCGTGCTCCGGAAGATGAGCAGTTTGCCTGCAGTGAGAATTACGTGGCATCGAGCGAAGGTGGAATGGCGACGGGGTTTGCGATAAAGTTGCCCAGACATCTGGATACCTTCAGTATGCGATGTTCATCGAGGGTACATGATATCAATAACACAGACCTTGATCGGCCGACAGCCAGCCAGCGCGCACATATTGTGCAAATGTGGAGATGTCTCGGCCTTTTTTACCTCCCACTTCTTTGCAAACTGGCCCACAATCGATTCCATTTCTTCGTCGATTTCTAGAAGCTTCAAATTCTGCTGCCGCATCGCCTGAAGTTCGGCAGCATCATCTAAGCTGCGTGCCCTCCAGTACTTCACCAGGGCACCTAACCGCTTCACCCATTCAGCTCGCGTGCCAGCATCGTATGCCTGTAGGCGAATCACCAGGCCATTCTCGAGTGTCATCTCGAATGTCCGGTCGCCCTCGAACTGCTTAGTGGTACCATCATCCTGTCGAGTGTCCGCGGGCTCGGGCTGGAAATCCACAGCTGGGCCTTCTTGGATGTTTTGGTCCGCAGGGCTGCTCCCACGCTGGATGTTCCGCACTTCCCGTACCATGCAAAGGTCGATGTACCCCTCGGCCTGGCTCATGTTGTGCACATTTCTCTGTAGCTGAGCATAAGCCTCCTCGTCGTGCCGTTGAACGAAGTTGGCATTCCCGCTCTTCAGCCACGCAATCTCGCCCTCTTCAACGGGGTATGGGTCGATATCCCAAGACAATGGCATCTCTTCCATGATCTGGCGGGAAGTCGGTATACTCGACCCTTCCATTGGAGCTAATTTCGGCGGTGTCGGGGGATAGGCCTTGGCCGGTCGACAGAACAATAAGAAATGATCCTGCGTGTAGAAGTACAGATGTTTGAAGAACATCTTGTTCATCCGTTGGTGCAAACCCTTTTGTGATGTGAGTCGAATCAGGAACCCCTCGACGGGTGGAGGTTCCATTTCCTTGACGTCTGCATTCTTGATTGCCGTAGGGTAATGATATCGCGGTCGAAGCTCAAGCTCATGTGATGACTGCATCGCAATAGTTCCGTACATGTTCTCCTCGTTGGCACCGAATAGCCATTCAAGACGATCGTATCGTTTCCAGGCAAGGCCCATTTTTTCTGTTTTTGACCAAGCTCTTAAAACTTCGGACCACTCGGGACGGCCCTCAAGCATCTCCATACAGCCCTTGATAATAGTCGCTGCTGCAGATTTCTCATTAGCTGCAGCCCTGCTAAATATCGTAGTGTGCCTCTCATCATCATTCTTCACCCCAAGCTGTGCCTCTGATTGATCAAACGGGTGTTTGAAAATTAACGAGACTCCTAGATCCGGAACATTGATGGGTAGCTGGCTGGGACGGCGCCAGCCAAGCACCTGCCGAATAAATGTGTACCACTCGGTGGCATGAGCTGTCGACTTGGGGCGGATAATGTATATTTTGGTGCCGCGTCTGCAAGGATGCCAGATCACAATAGTCTTGTCGAGAGCCGAATAGAGATTGACCTGGGTGTTTTTGGGGTTCAGCATCACTTCATAGTAGGGAGCCGTTTTGTTTTTGTTATTCGGGCTCTGCGCATCGGGGATCACTCGAGTTCGGTACATTTGCAAGGCAAAAGGTGCGTGATCAGCAGAACCTTTTCGACATACGACCAGAAACTCTCTCCACTTGTCTACAGTTCGAGTTTCTGTCCGCAAACTGTCATTTTCCGTATAATCGGCAGGCAATTTGTCTTGTACGGTCTCTTCGACAGAAACCAGCATCTTTTCTGCTTTGACAATTTCACCGTCCTGCATCTTGCGCCCGCGTGGGCGGTTCGCAGAGATTGCACCCTGGGTCTTGGCAATGCGAGAGCGCAGTTTCTGTTGCTTGTGCATGACATTGTCATCCAGGTTGTATTTTGCCATCTTTCGATTGATCCGTCGGTGTATTTGTCCATTGCGTCTGGGACCTTCTTGCTCAGTAAAATCTTCATTCTGAGGTTCCTGCTGGTCAAGCGTAGGCCGCGATATGCTAGAGGCTTTGCTCTTGGGCTTCTTCTGATCTTTCAGGCTGGGTCGTAGCAAATGCGTGGAGGAGTCAGCCTCACTTAGGTCTGCAGAAGCACTTGAGGTGAGAGGGCTTGCAGCATCATCCCTGGCTATGCTCAGCTGCTGCAATTCCTGCGAAGTAGGCCGTTGAGTAGGTGTCAATCCATTGGGCTTTATGGTAGATATGGTAGACGTCCGGTCTGTGTCCACGGTGCTTGCAAGATCTTCCCTGGCGGTCACAAACGACGAGGAGGCATTTCCATTGTCATCTCTCCGTCTTGAGCCTCTTTCCGTCATTGGGCGTGGTGTTGCATCGGAATCAGCTTCAGTCGATGGCTCATACTCGGACAGCGACTCGATCTCTTCCGTCTCCTCCGTCGGATGAGTGAGAGTACGAAGCTCCCCCGGTGGCTCCTCGGCATCCTCCTGTGTGCTCTCCGCGGGCCCTTCCTCCGGTGTAAAGCCCTCGCTTGTGTTGGTCAGTGTAAGGGTGGCTTCTTCGCTTGGAGCAGGCGCCGCGCCCTCCGCGGCGTGGGGTTCTTGGTTTTCTTGCTGGTTGTAATGAGAGGCCACAGGGTCGACTGAAAACGAGAGCGTCTGCGATGTGTAGTTCCTAAACCGAAGCCTCGACTGGTACCATGACTTGCGGTGGCCATGAATCCAGCCCTCTGGGATCGGTCCAATAAAGAAGCGCCGACTGGTCATATGTAGATGATGAGCGGAGGCATGACGCTGTGGACAGAAATACCCAATTAGTATGACGCGGACACCGTGTTTAGTGAAGCTTGAAGATTCAACACCCAACTTACCAGCTTCTGTTCCGTATGGGACCCCAGCGGCAGGCCCTGGTACTGCCTATCCTGCAAGACATGGGGAGCTTCCAAGCGCGCCGACCCGTTGTGAGGGTCCGGGGTGGTCATCGCATTTGGTGTATTACCCACCAGGGGTAGCAGCAAGGATCGATGGGCTACACATTAAGAGTGAGGATCACTGCAGCGAGGAGGGAGGAATTATCGCCCAGGTACGATGGGACTGAATAGTGCGAGTGATCTTGGATCGCGTTGTAACGTGACGACGATGACGTAATGTGAGACCAGGACCAAGTGTAGGAGCTTCCTCTGTTTGCACTAATTGTTTCCAGGTACCCCACTCCTTAGCTTGCGTGGCGGGCGGCGGTGAGGGACGGGACAGCTGTTGATATCCCGCCTTAGTGGCCGTCTCCCCCCTCCGTTGCTTCTCCCTTTCTGCACCTCGATTGTTCCAATTGTTCCAATTCTACTCGTCCATAATGGCTCGCACTAACGAAGTCCACGCCCCCGGCACCTGGTTCAGCAACATTGAGAGATCCTTCGAGGAGGTACCAATCGATGCCGCGAATGGCAACGCTATCTCTACCGCTGAGTTTCTCGAGGCCGCGGGGGCCTTGGTCACTTTGTTTGGTTTGTGTCCCTAGATCCCTGCATGTAGGCCTGAATCTAATACCAGACAAACTCCAGACGTGATTGGCGGCGTGGGCTTGGCTGCAGTCAAGAAGGATTTATCTGGAAACATTGAGGTTTGTTGGTCATTTTTGTCCAGCAAAGGGCTAGATGCTTATTTATACTACAGAAAGTCCGAGAGAGGTATAACAAAGCCCCTGCTGAGTCCCAGACTCTGCAGGACCTCGTGCGAAATGAGCTCAAGTCTAAAGAGCACAAGGCTACTGAAGGTCTGCTGTGGCTGGTTCGGTAAGAGATGATCATCTTTTTCTCTTCTATTGATTCATACCTACAACCTTAATTGTCTGTTTGGACCTGTGCTGATTTAATGTTGTGTGAACAGTGGCCTGCAATTCACTGCTGCGTCGCTCCGCCTGAGCATCAACAACCCGTCAGAAGAACTCAATGCGTCCTTTTTGGGAGCCTACAAAACGGACGGTGGTCTCAGCACTCACCACGGCTATCTGATCCGGAAGGGCACCGAGCTCGCCATTAAACAAGGTGTGCCTTATCGGAAGGACTTCTACGCGAAGCTGGGCAATGACCAGTCCGAGGTCACCGCTGCCCTGGACAGGGAAGTCAAGGCTTTAGAGAACGTGGTGGACATCCTGCTGAAGTTCCAGGCCACGCCCGAGGCCCAGTGGAAGTAAGCTAGTGGTGGGTGGTCTGTTTTTGGTGACTCGCAGGTTATGCGTGTGACCCGGCCTGTACATACTGAATATATGTCTCTGTGAGAACGTGAGTTCAAGCGTTTGTCGTTATGGCAATGTCCAATTGCCCAGGTGGCTTTAGTTGTGAAGCATAACTCAATTTATCATCCTTTTATACCTATAAATAGAGTTGGATAGTAGACCACTTAGTGAAACCAATTCTATTGGAACTAACTGTTTACCGCCATTTGTAGTATAGTGGTGCTGGTTATATTCCTCCGCATGTGGCTTTCAAACCGGAGTTCCCATCGCCGTATGAGCGTATTGTGCAGAAGAGGGGATTTACTTGACCGATTTTTCTTCTTCTATGTAAATAAATATTTGTATGGAGGAAATAAGGAATGCAAAAAAATGATCTCAGGTTTTTCTGTAGGAATAGCCGAACGCGGGGGTCGAACCCGCAACCTTGAGATTAAGAGTCTCACGCTCTACCGATTGAGCTAGCCCGGCAGGGCTGGTTGAAGGGCAATGCGAATTTTGACATCATAAATAAAAGTAATATAAGCATCTGCTTTAGCATGGCTTCTCAACTTAGCTTACCCACGTGATGTAAGAATAAATAATGGGATTCCGAGGATCACTTGGCTTTGCTAGTTAATTCCTACTAGTTATGTCTTGGCTTAGATTTTGATTAAGCATTTACATAAAATGGGCCCATTGCTTATTTTCCTATATTACCTACTTACTACACTGGTGATTGGTGATTTCAGCTTGGCCCGTGTTTATATATCCCGAAACCCACCTTGGATCCTCACCAGTCAGTGTCCCGGGGCCTACCTGGTTTATGATTGACTTAAAAAGAACAAAGCTAATATATTTATCGGGTAATTCCACAGAAATATGGAATTGAAGTATTTGTTCTTTCAAATAACTATATAACGTTAGGATGAAGCTATTCGTCGCTCTCAGAGACGAAGAAAGTCTTCTGCACATTCACACCGCGAAAGAATGTACCCTGTTTCGGATTAAGATCTTCCTGACTGCTTGAGCGACTACCTTGATTTGAGGTATGGACGGTCGTAATAACCGCATGGGAATCTTCCGGATCCAGATCCGGCCGCCAATACTGAGGCGCAGAGGGATCCGAGCGGACAGCGTTCACACTGGAGAGCGGCATGCTGCCGCCAGTACGCTTGCTCCGAGTTCCCCCGTAGCTGGGATCACGAAACCAGCGGAAAAGTGGTCGGAGTGTAACGAGACTGCCCGCGGAGATGCCCAGGCCGGCTTCGACGTTGGACCAGATTGAGATGTTGGTGGTGGCGTCTGTCGAAACCAAAGGCCGTTAGTCTATTTTCCCATAGTGTCTCTGTCCCCTATCACGACAGTACTGAGTAACGGGCGCTGATAGAGAAACTCACATAAGAAATCAGGGTTCTTGTAATCATGAAGATAAGGAATACGGACGATGACCGCAGCGCTAGCAATGCAACCCAGTCCCAAAACAGCAGCCAGCGCGCCCTTGGTCCTCATGTTCATCTGGAGATTCCACACAAGGAACCCAGGAAGAATTCCTAGAATGAAATCACACAACGTGGCGGTGACACTGTAGACGTAGGCGACGATGATGATGCTGTCGACGCTCATGCAGTGGCCATGGACGTTCGCGGTCGGATCTGGCAAAAGTCGAGCTTGCTGCCAGAAGAAGGATACTGGCTGGCATTGAAGAGTCAACATGAACCAGAAGGCGAGACCGACAATCGTGGTCACCCCGATGACTGCCCATAAAATGATCGCATGAATTCGAGCAATAGTTAGGCGGAGGAGAGCGACAGCGATCGATACCTTTGCGATAGCGCATACCCAGACATAACTAGTTTGGCCAAGCCACCACCACTTTCGACACTTATTAGTATTGGTTCCGAATCTTCCTCCCCTATACATCTACAAGTGCATCAAAAGTTGGGGAGAATGGTACTTACAAACAAGGCGGTCTCCATCGTCTTGCGCTCCAAGAGTTCCTCCAACTTCTGGCCGATTCCATAATATGCGCCAGTGATCCCGCATAGCGCAAATAAAATGTTCAAGAACTAGTTCATAGGCTGTTAGCATGCTGGGAGACCGTAGATGGGGTAGGAATCTATTTACCATCGCAAAAACCATCAAAGCATCATCCCAGCCAAAGGCCTTGACAAGCTTGAGTCGGACAAAACATCGCAGGCAGACCGTAATGAAGGAAATCCCCAAGAAAATGGTGGTGACGATGACAATGGTCTTGCTGCGACCCTCCAATGGTAGCATTGTGATAGCAAACTGAGATCGGTTGGCTATTCGCAACGCATGGTTCACCCACCAAATCAATTGTAGATGGTAAACTTCCAGTACACCCTCCCCAGGGATGTTAAACGAGTGCAATCTGGGGGAAAAGAGAGGAACGACAAGGAGATGAACAGAAACCCGCTGCCGAGAGCCAAGCATTACCATCGGGGTCGTCAGTGGCGAGAACAGGGCTGGTCCAGTTCGAGCGGGTCCCCGCGGTGCCGTTCTCCGTGATTTCGGTCAACACGATCCGCCTGGAATGTCACTGCGGCTCCAGGACGGGTAATTTGTATACTCTGACCACGCTAGTGCCGTCAACGAGCCGCCTGCAATAATAGCACGGGTTATATTGCCCGTGTGGGAGGCCTTAGGGCAGCTGGGTTTGAACCATGTGCCGAGGGGCCTGTGGGGACAACCTACGGTGTACGTATACCAATTTCGCTCTCGTTGTCGCCCGGAGATGAAAATGACAGAAGAATATGTCACATTATTTTCTCTCGCAGTTGTTGTAGGCGTCTCCAGGCTTTTTTAGTCGAGTTCCAAGGGACTGCGCATGAAGAAGATGGGGCGGTGGGTTTCGGAAACGGATACAATCCTGTAGGGAGGAGAAAGTTGAACCAGGAAAACCCTGTCAGACTTTCCAGAAGGGAGGCGAATCTAGCGGACGCTATTTGCTCCTCGCATGGAGCTACCCATTGTAACCCTGACGGTGTCATGGAACCTTGTCAACTCTCGTGTGGCTAGAATCGCATCGATCCCAGCTGCTCAGGCCCCTCGTTGCTCGCTAAACACTGGCTGGTTTCACGGCCAAGACTCCGGCAACATGACTCGAACGAGTTTCTAGTGCCAAAATTCTGTTGGGTCGTTTAACTAACGAGATGTGCGCAGTGCAGCGCTAAGTGGGGACTATTTGTTAGCGTCCACATGCAAAACACTAGCCCTGTTCCCATCTGCAAAGGAAAGGGGTCCGACCATTTTTACTGTCATTCGAGCGAACAATGCATTAATACGGTAATTTGACTGGCTGCGCGACCTCCGAGGAGCGTTTGAGCCTAGGTAGCGTAGGCATTCGTGGTCCCCTATTCAGCCGCGAAGAGGGGGGATCTGGTGTTTTGCATCTACCGTGGACTCCTGAGCCGAGGCGATCGTCGCTTGAACTACAATATACTTTGTAGTGAGTGGCTGCCTGGCGAAATTTGGTCAGCCAGGAAAGTGACTACGAGCTCGTAATGAAGATTATGCGCATACCCCATGCAGGGCATTAGCGAGATAGATTAATCGATCTGTGAAATATCCCGATATCGACATTGTGATTTAGATCTCTCATGACTTGCAGCTCGCCGGCAACCTTGGCGAGATCCATCTCCGGGGAGCAGTAAACAGAGCGGGTGCTTAAATGACGATCGATCCGCTGGAGAAGACTCCTGCTATAAACGAGGTGCGATCTGCAGACTCCAGACACAAGTCGGAGATTACTTGACATTTTTATCTCCTCCGCTCTCTGGAGAGAGGTGGACCGTAATGGGTGCCAGAGATCGTTTGACACCCTGTCGCAGCCGTGCCAGAAAACAGATAGCCAAGGCGCAGTGCTTCATGGAACAGCTGCGTTGCAGGGAATAGTAATACAACCGGAAGGAGTAATTGGAGAGGGACGCTGTACCGCTCCTTGTCCTGCAAAGAATATGTATACAATTACAGCGTCTAGAGGCCGCGCGGAAGAATTTAACTATAGGAGCTCGAGTCAAGCTGGATACTCATCCAAAGCTGTCAAAAAAGGCATAAATTACAGGTTCGAACTCCAGCAAAAACCATCCCAGTCTAATAGAAATTCATACCATTGCCGGGGTAGCTGCCGACCGATTCTTCAGGAACCCCGACCGTGGAACGTTAATTGAACTATGTGGCCCCATCAACCCATAGGGAAGTGGTCGGGTCTATCACCACGACCATGGTGCCCGCGCTCGTATTCGGGGACGGCCGTTGGAACTACCCCGTGCGAGTTAATAATACAGTAGGAGACCCTGGGCTAGTAAAAGAGATCTGATTGCCTAGGCTGCAGCTACATTTCTTTATCACATGGATGTCATGGAAAGGAGCTTACTTAATTGATAACCTTGAGTTATTCCTTATATATCCCCTGAAAGCCCGCTCAACGCCTGATGCTATGCACATATCACGTAAAGTGCTCGAAAACACGATCCATCCACGAAAACCCGGGCAAACAAGGAAGAGAGAGCACAATGTTTAAGACGCAATGACGTCTGTGTACGGCGTAGATGAACGAAAGTAGAGATTAAACGTTGACCTGTAAATTGCCGGTGTAGACGCCTTCGAAATCGAGACCGGCGAGCATTCCGCTGACGCGGTCGATCTCACGGCTAAGATCTTCAATGTTGACAGCTAAACTGCTCACCTCGTCGAATTTGCGCCGTCGATTAGCGTCGGAGATCATTTCAGACACAAAGAATTTCTGTTCCTCCAGGACAATCAGCCGTTCTCGGAGAGACTTTTCCTCTGCCTCAAGTGCTGATACGGCGCTGCTAGTATCACTGGTTAGGCTGCTGGTGCTTCCACCAGCACCAAGCCGATTGTTATATTTGATGGAAGCAAGTGCAGTTTCTTGTGGTCGGACGGCGGCTGGAGATCCGTTGACCGGTGTACTTGGGGAGGAGGTGCGACTGGAGATGAGATCTCCTGGAGACGCATGCTTGAGAACTTTGGGGAGAGATTTCAAAGGTAGCATATGTAGATGCAGGAAATTGCTGGCTTGCTGGTAGATGGCTTTCTGTAATCGTTGTTGAGAAGGAGAGTTGGTAGGCATGTCACGGATTCGCCGAGCCGCAACATCGTACTTTGCAAATGAATCAATGAGCCGCTTGCGGACTCTCGAAGCGTCGGCAATCTGTGCGGAAGACGGTGGCCGCCTTGGATCTCTGCTCTGATATTAGCTACTGCATGAGAATTACAAGAGATGTCTAGACATACTGTAATGCAGTAAGGAGCTTCTGGAATTTGGGTAAGTGAAGGCGGATGCCCCTTTCAAACTGGACCAGATTCTCATACGCCCTGACCTCGGGGGGTTTCCTCGAGACATCTGCTTCAAAATCTTGGCGATCGAATATGGTAGTCTTGCATTCCTTGCAAAGCCTCACATCGACATTAATACGATTCTTCGCCGGGGACTTTTCAGATGCTTTTGAAACTGTAGAGAAATCAGTCATACTAATCTCAGACTAGAGTTACATTGAAAAACTCACCAGGGGCTATACTCAGCCCAACTTCACTGGAACAGCCTGTGTTGGGATCGCCGCAGATGACACGCCCGCAAGTTCTGCAGTGGTGCCTCCGAAAGGAATATCCAGAGAAATCTTGCTGACAGAAGGGGCATCGTGAAACGCTGGCGTCGTCCTGCCAACTAACAACTGTCTGCTCCAGAGCTTTCCGCTGATCACTCTGCCAGGCGATGGAGAACAGTTTAGTTGAACTGTTCTGGATTTGATCAGGTGGTAGACTGGCCAAGAGCTGCGTGAGACGTGTCAACCGTTTTTCAAGCCTAGAGACTTCGAGGAAATCTTTGTCCACAGTCTGCTTTCTGATAGCTTTGAACATGACTGTGTGGTCTCTTGTCGTCCCTATTAACTGTAAGCTTGATCCATTTGGACGTGACATGTAGGCACACCCACCACTATGATCGTTATACCCTTCTCTCGACTTGTAGCAAGTTTCGCAGACTCGGGCCCAAATCCCTCTCATGGGCTCATGCTGTGCCGACCTCGATAACTTCATCTGGTACATTGTATGTTCCTCGCAGAAAAGCTTCCCGCATTTCCGGCAGTTCACGCATCCATTGGTCGCATTGAGTCGTTTCCCGCACGAAGGTTCCAGGCAGTTATCATAAAGGCAAGCAGCTTGCCAGTGTTCCTTCGTGATGAGGTCCTCGGGATCCAGTAGTTTTGGGGCAATCGGAGGTTCGGAAGCTGCTGCGTGAGGTGCTAAAGGGCGACTTGCGACCGACGTGGTCTGATTCTCGTTTGACTCGAACACATCCAGACCTTTAAGCTTCTGATTCAGCACAGCAAGGGGCTGAAAGCGCCTCGCTTTCTCCATCTGCACCTTGAACCAGTCCTTGACCTCATCTTGTGTGTCATCTTCTAGGTTCTGGTGGATGTCGTCGAGATGCCTGTCAAGAGGTTAATCGTCATGCGCAAGGATCCGGTAATGAGGCTAGAACGCGGGGGATACCTATTAAGCTGTAGCAATGTCACCTTTGGACGTGTCAGCCAATTGTTTCCTTTCTCTCAACAGTAGTGCCGGTGGCTCGGGAAGCATCCACCTACCATCTCCTCATTGCAGATCGGACAAGAGAGCTGAGCTCCGGGCGCGGCCGGCGCCGCCGATATCGAGGTATCGCCATTCTCCAAGGATATGCGCGAAGTAAGGTCTTGGGTTTCCGATGAGAACTGAGATGCGGATGCCTGGGAGCTAAGTGAAACACTGCTGGTGGTCGGCGACAGCACCCTTGGCCTCGGCTGCGGGGACGGGGCTGATGAGAGCGCGTTCGGAGTGCCTAGAACACGACCTCCGCCCAGCGTCCTCCGGGACATGATTACGGGGACATGAGAAGCTGGGTAAGTATTAGCTGTTTCAGCCCAACATAAGGCGCTGGCTGCACAGGTCGAGGCGCCCGGGGGGGACAGTTGGGAGCGTAAGTTGGGGTGACGATGCGGCGGAGCCTTGCGCTTGCTAGTAGTGCCTCAGGCACTAACAGTTTTCAGCCTCGAGTTACTTCTAGGATAATAAACCGGAGAAGTCTTCCTAGAGGTGTGATTTAGAATTGGAACAGATCCTTTTCATATATCTTATAGAATCCTGGAATTTATACATATTACCTGAGACTTCCTAAAGAAATCCATGCTGGAGCAACTAAGGCAGATACATAGGGCAACCGGGTACGGTATGCCAATTTTCCGAGGCCAGTTTAGTCTTCTATGCGTAACGCTTGAATTTTTCTATCAATAATTTATCCGACTCATCATATGGTCTTGAAATGGAATACGCATGTCAAACAAGACCCGCTGAGTTTCCAGTAATCTTCTTAGCCCAAGGCTCTAGGCCCTTGCCCAGAAACAGTGATGTACCCACTCTGACGGTTCTCATTGTCTATGAAAGTCCCATAGGTGAAAAGAGTGTATATAACGAATGTAATCTTTTTGGTCAATCAAGTCAAGCCTATTAAAACATATTTTTTGATATAATTTTGTGATTTTGCCCTTTTTTTTCTCTTTTTCTTCCTTTTCTCTCTCTCTTTGGTTTTCTAGACCAATTTGTAATTCCCCTTTTTGGGGTTCCTTTTCTTATTTTATAAAAGTCGTCAATCGTGGCCGATACCCAAGCTTGGATCTTCTTTCAATGCGGATTCCTCCGATCATGGCCGGTACCCATTTTAACGCTCATAATCCCGATGATAGCTGGTGCCGGTGTTTGGGTTGTCGTATTCCCTATGGACATGGGTGGTGCCGTCATCGTGCCGATCCACGTCTCGATGTCGGTAAACGCCGCTGGGATCGAGTCGCTCACGATGATGCCGTCGGGTACCATCGGAGCGGTAGTCTAGATGTTGGTCGTAGGCGCCACTACTGGGATCGTAGGCCGTTGTGCCATATCCCGTGTCATAGGTAGTGCCGTAATTCGTGTCGGTGACATCCGAGCCGTAGCCTGTTGCACTATATCCTGCAGTGCCGTAGCCCGTTGGATCATATGTTGTTCCAGTTGTGTCATAATCGTAATTGTTGTAGCGACTGGCCATCTTCGATATCTGATCAACTTCCTCGGAAGTTCGAAACTTTCTCGTTTTTATGGATGTAGAATGATAGAAAATGTGAGACTGTGGTTCAGATTACTCGCAACAAAGCATAATTCATACCTGATATTTATATTCAGTCTCGGGGCATTGGATACCCCGGCATGACCTTGTACTGACATCACTCGACTTGACATGAAAGAGGTTGCCAACACTGAGGCAAAGCAAACTATTGGAAGAAAATTTCATGGCAAATCGTTGTGATTTTGAGATAGAATGTGATTGGATGATTTTCGGGAGAAGTTGGTTCCAGGCTGTCGCCTCGAGAGGCGAATGATGTTGAGCCCAGAGGCTGTGGATCCATAAAGCCCATAGCGCCATCCTAGAAGAGGCAAATACTCGCTATTTCGAGATTTTAAGAATATAGATTCGACGAGAATAATGTCAGTATTTCGATCCTATTCTAAACGCCTCATGTCAATGTCCCAGCTTCCCGATTTAGAGAGCTATGGAATTGTGATCACTACAATCAAGGCCCTGGGGCACTCGGTGTGTTCAGACTTACGAGTCATTTGTTCAACCGCTGATATCATCGACATAGGTTATCGACTGGAATACGCCCAGCTATTCAGAAGCTCCTTCATGATATGTAAATAATACCTTTGAAATCGTTACCGTAATTCCATGATTCTCGAAATAGAAAGAGACGGTGACTATAGATGGAGGCAAAGCCTTCTATGAAGCCATCAAGCTATCCGGAGAGCTAGAGTTGACAACGGGCCACTTGGTTCTGCAACCCATGCCCGCCACAGTGTTCGGTCACTCGCCACAGAGTGAGGCACATGCTAATGAAATCAACAACATAAACACTGCTCTCCGCAACTACAGCAAATCCTACCTGAAGTACTGGGATCAGACTGCCAAGTTATCCGAAATCGGGAGACTCGCGGATGCTATACTTATGCCCGTATCCCCGACACCTGCTCCTGCACCAGAGAAAGTGCAATATTTTGGTGAGAAGAAAGATTTTGGGTACGTTCTTTGTTTGGGAGGAAATCGCTAATATTTGGCAGCGTACACCACCGTTGCCAAAGTACTTGACTTCATTGTTAGTGCTGTGCCCATTACAGGTATACATACCGCTGAATGAGCTTGACAAACTAGGCCACGACGAATGCGAGTACAACCACTAGAACGAACTAGACTATTTTATGTATAATTTAAGACAACCAGGACCTATCAGACTGAGTCGCAGTAGGCACCCAAGTGGTCGGACGAATACTGCGAGAAGAGAAAATTCTCGCAATGACCAAAGTGATTGGGAGCGTAACCAAGGATGCCTCACGGGGTCAATATCAAATTGTGAACGTCGTGATGGTTTATAACCCTGAATCGAGTCTCTAGACACGCATAAAGTGCTTGTGCTTGCATTATAAGTATGTTTTACAACCGTCAAATCCACCTCCTGAGACCAACAAATGCATCCACCCCAAAAAGCAAAACTAGGGTATTCAACTCTCCCGACCCAAAGGTGCCAGCGAATCTGTCAGGAACTCAGTCGCATTCATCAAGTCCGTGCTGCCGTAGACGACCCGGCGGCGGCCAATAGTGCGGTTAGCGGGCGGCGCGCCATCAGCGCCAAGCTGGCCACTGGTCCGGTGCACCCAGTCCTGCAGGTTACCGTACTCATCCATGCTTCCACCGCCGACAGTAAAGACGATGGCCTCGTTGAAGGCCTGACGACGCTGGCCGAAGGTAGCATTTATGCCGGGACCCGCGCCGGCCATTCCACCGGGCATCTGCGTGGTTCGCGATGCGGAGGCAGGGGGCATGGCACCACGTGCGTTGGCACTGCGCGGGTCGAAGTAGAGGTAGTTCTCTGTCTTGGCGATGGCGGAGCTGGATGCTGCAGCCGGGTCCATTATAGACTCAGTGATCTTGGTCACGGTCAGATCCTTATTCGCGGGTAGGAAGTTCTTCACGCCAGAGATGAGCGAATCGAAGTTGGCACCCAGGGCACCCGAGGTAATGCGATCGGTGAGACGGTTAGAAAGCGAGGAGAAACCGCGGAAAAGGTCCGAGGACTGTTGCTCTGGGGCGGCGGTTGTCATCATGGTCATCCGGGTAATTTCACGGACCTGTCGGACATAGGCAAGCGGGGTGACGTCCGTCACACCCGCCTTGGTCAGGGCCTCCTCGAACTGGCTCATTTCTGAGCGGTTCAGCTCGGTTTCCGTGCTGAGGAACCAGATGATGAAAATGCGCATTTTATCCTGCGGGTTGCTACCCTTGGCCGGATCATTGATCAGCTCCAAAAGCTGCGTCTTTGACTGCTTGGTTATGTTTTCTTCCAGCTCGAAGAAGTTGTCCAGCTGGCGGTCCTTGATACCCTTCAGCAGGGCAGTTGCGATGTTCATGTGCATGTCAAGAACAGCTTTACGCTCCCGCAATTCGGGGAGAAGTGTGATGGCTGCCTTAAGGTGCTGCGCAGAGGCGCTAGTATCGTTCTGGAGATCTTCAATAGAAGAAGCACCAGTCTTCTTCGTAATGTCGTTCGCATCCTCTTTGTACCGTGTCAACTCAGCATCAATATCTTCGGCGACCTGTGGGAAGGGTGCCCCAGCGTTCCGCTGCCAGAAGAAGTCGTTGCTGTTCAGGTCGTACGACTTCTTCGCAACATTGCCCGAGCCCTGCTCGTCCGCATCCAAGGTGATTCGATTCAGGCGCATCTGAAGTACGTCCTGCACGAGCGACTGGTACGTCCAAGAGTGAGAAAGCATGGGGACCAAGTCCACATTACGGTCCATAATGATCAACACAGGGCGAGATGAGGGTACGCCAGGTAAGGCTCTTTGATTGCCCGAGAAGAGGTTGTCTTTGGAGTTGAGAATGTGGTCACGGAGTTTCCGGTCTAGTTTGGTAGCGATTAATTCGGCCGCTCCACCCTTGGGGCATCGGATGATGGGAATAGTGCCTGGGCTCATCAGTCAGAGACAGAGTCCGCAATCTAGAAACAACTACGCTTACCCATTGTTACGCTCACGCTGAACAGGCCACTAACGACCTTATCGACGATAGCATCCAAGTCCTCGTCACTGGTCTTCCCACTGTTGATCTTGTAGTATGCATCATTTCCGAGTCCCAAGCTGAAGAGATCCGGTTCCGCCACAATGAAGTTGAGATATTGATCAAAGACTTGGGCGATGTGCTCTGACGCACCGGAAGTGGCTATCTGCGAAGCGAAGTCCTCGAGGAGGGGCCGGGGGACGGAGGAGAGGAAGTTTACATAGGCTGGGGAGTAGAGGCCTTGGGAGAGGTCGCGTGTGATGGCTTGAATGTTGGCTTCGTTTGGCTCGACAAGGTAGACGACTGGAACATCGGGAATGGGATATCGTTGAGAATGGATGTTTCTTTGAAAATCGCTCTTTGTTAGCGGTTAGGGTTCTCAAAGCCGGAAGGGTTGGGACGTTGCCGTACAGATGAATGGTGATCCCCCACGCACGGAGGTCATTGACGCGCAGCACACTGCTGATGACATCCCGGCCCATGCCATCGAATACCAGGACCTTCCAGATCGGATCGCCATCCTCGTTTAAGATCGGGGTGGACTGGGAGATAAGGCCGCCGTGGGCGGACGACTCATGAGCACCCTCGCCTGTGGAATGCGGATCATGGTTCAAATTCAGCAGCTTTTGAATTGACGCTATATAATTAATATTTGGTTAGCCTTGAGCAGTTGGCAATTGGTCGCGGGGGAGTATGCGGTCACCTACCGACCTGTCGGTCGCGGAGGGACATCGGATGCGCCATGGCAGAGGCGGACACCACGGACACAGTCGGAAAGACAGTCAGAGTCGAAGCAGCTTCACGACATGAAAACCGTGTAAGAAAAGGCCCTGAGATGGACGGCGTGGATGCTCGACTGTTGACACCGTCTCCCACCGGCCGCTCCACCTGGCCGCAACATCGGCTGACATAAGACAAAAACGGCAAACAGTGCAAATGCGGAGATCACATGGGACGCGTGTCTTCAGGGGTAAGCGACATACGGTAATTACAGGCTTTATGCCCAGCTCGGCAGTTTCCATCACCCGGTCCAGGGAAAGTCGCTGTTCTGCCCGTTACCGCTCTGTGTCCCTGCAGCTTTTCATCCTCCCCTTCCACCTCAACTCCTTCCATCATCCACCAACCCACATCTTGCCCTCCCCGTTCCCCCATCCCCTTTTTCTTTCTACGTAAAGCGAATGGCTATGATGCTAGAGAGGCTCTTTGTATAAGGGGCCCGGCTATTTTCTCACTCAAAGGAGGTTTCTGAGACCCGTCTTAGAGAGCAGGGAACAGAGGAGCAGAAAGCTCTGCAGAGACCCTGGGTCGCGGACTGGAACAAGTACAAAAGTGACGGGGAGGAGACATCCCAGGCATAACTCTCGGGATCCTGGAAGCTCTCGCGCATTCTATTTCTTCAGTGTATTCGCAGCTGCAGAGGCGTCATAAGACGAGCAAAGGCCCATCATCGTCACGGAGGGAAACAGGAGAAGCAGCCGAATCAGAGTTGGGTGCCTGAGGCGGCCACGTCACTTTGCGTCACTTTAAAACAACCGCCGAGACACGCTGGCAAAGGATACTGGAATACTGGAATTACCCCATTCTGGAGCAGGTCTAAGGGATTAAAAAGGTACGAAAGTACTCAAATGGACCTGCATCTCGTCATATCGCATACTAGCCGTATCGCCTCAATTCTTGTCGCTGTCACTTGACTTTTACCACTTTTGGCTGGACTCGCTTCTCATGGTGTTTTTTCCAGTCTTTCATCTTCCGCTCTCAATCGCCAGTCCCCAGTCAGACAGACTCTCCCAAGGTTGTGCGGTGGTGTCGATCCACCCACTCACAAGCCTCATCATCCTCACCACCCCCGTCGTCCCCCGCAAAACCCCCCTCGGCCAAACGATCCTCCGCCCCCGCTGCACTCATCCCCAAATCAGCAGGCGGTGACGACCCGAATTGTTTGATGCACGTGATACTGGCACAGTAGCAATAAACGTCTCTTGCGAGTTTTGAAGTCTTGAAGATTGACTTGACTCGTGGAGGCCACCATTATGGAGCAGTCGTCGGCACAAAATCCAATGCCGGGTCTGCCCCATGCGGGGGCCCCGCAGGGAGGCCTGCCTGCGGAGTATTGGAATTCCCTGGACTCCATGTACCCAGATCCCCAGCTGCAACCTCAGGCGCCGCCACAGCAGGATCCGTCTGTGCAGCAAGCGCCGATGGGAATTACTTGGGATCACGTATTTCAGCAGCAGCAACAACGAGCCCAGCAGCAACGGAACCCCCTCGCACCTCAGTCGGACCCCAACCACGGCATCTACTCTTCAATCTCTCCTCCTTCTTGGCAGTCGAACCCGCTCCAGACCCCTGGTCGGTATGCCGTTTCTTCTCAATATCAATCACATCAGCAGGCCCCGCAGTTCCAGCAAGGCCAGATGACATTCGACTCCCGCTCCCTCACTCCATCCGAGAGCTCGGCGTTCCCCTCTTACTCGTATCAGCCGAACTACTTCCACCCGCAACAACTTCATTTGCACGATTCCTTCCCGTCTCGTACCGCTCAACCGCCACAGCAACATCAGCCAGTGGAGTTTGCTGCTGCATCGCAATCCTCAATCCCTCAATTCTCGATGCCCTCGGGCTATCCTTCCGATCTCTTGTCTAATTCAAATACCATCGATCTCACCACGGACTTTCCCAATCCTGAATCGGGGGTCTCCCATCAAACGATCGATCCTTCCTTCCTCAATGAGTATGCACGATCCTCAAATCAACCTCCACCCCTCACCAGCCACTTTCCATATGGCGGCCCGGTGGAATTTGAACGACCGGAGGGTCTATTCAATTACTTTCAGAACGAGCTTTCTGTTCAGCCCCAACTCGGTGCAGCTCCCAATGCTGGAGTCCCCCCAACCAGTATGTATTTATATATCCATCAACTCCTTTTAACGCTTTGTCTAATGTAACTAGGTGGGCTTGCTCCGAGACCTGCCGGATTCCCTCAACACCCGATCCTTGCCCCCGCCCCCAAGAAGGCTTCCGCCAAAAAGCCAACAGCAACCAGAAAGGTGGGAACCAAGGGACAGAGGAAGGTCAAGGCACAGTCGGACAGCGGGAGTTCCGATGAGTCTGAACTAGAAGTTGAACCGGAACCGTCTCCGCTCCCTCCTGTCCGCTCAAGCGAACCTCTTGAAGCGGCTCACTACGACACCATTCAAGCGGTGTGGTCTCCACGTAACCTACGCGTCCCCGCCGAGAAAGTTAAGAGCTCTTTGGTCGCCTTCAAAGATGTCGTCAAAGGGCTTCGCGATGCCTGGAAGGACCAGGTCCAAGCAATGAAAACCGCAGAGAACCAAGGAGACAACGAGCAAGCAACCAATCTCAAGCAGTCAGTGGCCTTCCAGCGTCGCCTCATGGAGAAGATTGTCACGACCACTTTAGAAACGGGCCACCCCGTTATTGTCGAGAAGTATGAACCCCCAATTTTTACCTTCCCTTTTCTCCTTTCTCCACCCCTTTCCCGTGGTTGTCATGGCTATAGAAGTCTGAAACGAATTGAGAGCATCGCCAACGTAACGCATCTTTTGTGGACCTGGATCAAGTTCCCATTGATTACCATTAATATGGGTAGAAATAAAGGCTTTCTTTCCGTGTCTGAGGCTCTTTACATTGAATTGTGTGCGGCCCCAAGACGGCTAAGAGAGATCAAACCTGAAAATGCCCGAGTGCTACACACTTCAAGGGTTTTCACAAAGATGAGCTAGTACACGCCTTTTGTGAGACCCAAGATCCGTGTTCCTGCTCCAAAAAGGCCTATCAATGCCCCCTTCATTAAAGACCCTGTGCTATGGCAACATGCCCCCCTTCTTGGCCTCGCATTTTTCCGTCCCAACTCGTTTCAATCAACTCACACTAACCGTCGCAACCAGGCTTGGTGAGCATCCCGTTACGCTGTCGGTGTTCTACTCGTTCTTGGCCGATCGCTTCCAAGCGGCCGATTTGGAAGGATCGCTGACGTCGAACTTGCTGAAGGTGAGCTTCCTCTGACATCTGCCTTCTCCTTTAACCTGCCTCGATATAGTCTCTCTAACATTCACCCACCCCATTCCAGCTCCTCGTACGATTTGTGACGGTAGATGAGGAGTTAGTGCAGAAAACAAACATGTCCAAGCTGCTTCCGCGGTTCATCAAGAAAGGAACTCCTGCCGTTCAGGGTCTTGCGCAGACCATCCTAGAAAATGCCGCTGCCTCTACCAAACGGAAGCAGAGCAATGCAAAGTCGGGCAAAGAGGAGTCGCCTGCCAAGGGAGACTCGCCGTCGGCGGAGATCGCTGGATCTAAACGTCCGCGCGACGGTGAAGGCAATAACCATCCTGCAACGAAGCGGATGGTTGTCACGTCAAACCCCAAGGACTCGACGAAGGCAACATCTGCCACCAACGGTCCCATCAAGCGTGTTGCCGAGAGTGTCCAGAACGGCAAAGCTACCACTGCACCAGCCCCTCGCCCCAAGGCAAATATAATCGCTCCAAAACCAACCAGTCTCTTTGGTGCCCTGAGTTCAGCATCGAAAAGACCTGGCACCACAAACGCCGAGAGAAAGGCTGCCGCAGCGGCCGCAAAGCCAATGTCTGTACATCTTTATTTAGAGTGGGACGAACGGATGCACTGACTTTCACTACAGACCCGAAATCAAGGAGAAACCGGCTGCACCCCCTTCCAAGCCTGCCTTTTCGTTTGATGCCATCATGGCCGACCTCAGCAAACCAAAGGAGGCCGTCGTCGCCAAGCCTGCTGAGGACGCGCCACCCGAGACGGACGAGGAGCGCCAGAAGCGACTGCGCAAGGAGGCACGGCGCAAGCTGCGTGTCACCTGGAAGCCGGACGATTCTTTGACTGAGGTCCGGCTGTTCACACATGATCCTGATGAAGAGCTTGGCCCCGGAGATGGATCCATGCGTGGCGCGGGCGACGTCAAGGGAGAAGGCAGTGTGCTCAAACTCCACAAGGACCTCGAAGAGCTGGAGGAAGATGACCTCGGTGGCATTCGGGAGACTACTCTCAATGACTATACGGGTTTATCTGAAATCCTTATTGACTCTGGAGAGATGAAGAACGCCAATTTCATCAAACGTGGCGGTAGCCAGCAACCCGTTAGCACGGAAAAGCTAGCTCAGGATCATCGGGAGTCGACTACGCTCATGGTGTTCTACACTTCTCCTGCTGACGTCCCACCGACTCCCAAGGAGCCCCTTGCTGTTGACTCTGATGAGACCGTTCCTGAAGTAGTTCCCTTCGGAGATATCCCCGATCATGTCAAGGTATGTGTGGACTTGCTGTCATATGCAAGACGAGATTGATTGATTACTGACTGTCACCACAGGCTCGACAGGAGCGTTACTTTGATTACATCAATCCTAAGCCCGCTCCCGCTCCGGCGCAAGCGAGCGCTGCGAGCGCCGGTGGGTTTGATATCTCCAACTTGCTCAAACTTATCAAGACCGGGACCCAGCAGCAGCAGTCTACGCCCCCTCCTCAGCCCCCTCAGCCAGCTCCCCAGCAGGCTCCCATGTTAGACCTTGAGCGGACCATCGGCATGTTCCGCCAGCAAAATGCTCAGCCGCAAGTTCCTCCGGTTTCACAGATACCTGCGACACAGCCGCCTGTCGCGCAGAGTGCTGTTGATTTCCAGAAAATCTTAAGCGTTATGCAACAGATGCAGCAAGGGACTGGCTTCCCCCAACCACAGCAGACGCAGCCGCAGCCCATTTTGCCGCCGAATTTCGGCGCCATGTTCTCGCAATATTCCGGCCAACCCCAGCAAAGTGGCCCACCTACCCAGAGTTCCGAGGATCCCGAACGCAAGCGAACGCGCGAGGGTGGTCAATTCGACGACCAATACGATAGCCAGTGGAGCCGCGGGAAGCGGACCAAGGCTAGTGACCCCAAGCCTGTAAGTTGAACCGCCCTGGCAGCTACTTCATACGATAAGACGCTGACTTCAAAACAGTACAAGGTTGGGCTGGTTGCCTGCAGGTTCTGGAAAGAAGGCAAGTGCAGAAAAGGTGACAACTGCACATTCCGGCACGACGACTAGACCCTCCGCCCCGTCTCTGCGCAACCAGATCATCATTCTGGTTTCTTCCGACAGATACCCTACCTATACCACCTCTTCCGCGCCACAATGCTTTTCTCTTCCTTGTTAATTGTATTTCATACTCTACATCCTATCACGACGATGCATAGCACCTCCCTAGAGATTCTTTCCAGGCGGATATTACAAGGCGTTGATCGACCTAGGGTTCCGGCCTCGGTGGAAATGGTTCTGGCAGATTCGAGTTCCTTCGGTGTTTTTTGTTTATCTCCTCGCAACACTTTGCATGGCCCCCTCCTTCATAAGGGGGTGCACTGGGCGTTATTTGTTCCACTTCGTTCACATCTCTCCAGTTCTCTGTTGTTTAGTGGTGTCATATTCCTTGCTTATCGCCGGTCGTGGGTGCACAGCATGTGCGGCTTGCAGTCGTGGAGGTCATCTTATGGCGCGTCTTTTTGTTCGTGGGAACTGGGAAGGGAATTGAATTGTACATTAAGATAATATCTTCCTTACAATGGACATTCGATTCGATGTCTCCTGGAAAGAGCAGAATGTCGCAAGTCTCTAGTGTATCATGTCCACAGTGTCGTAGGTCACGTTTCTTTGTATCAGCATAATAACCCATTCTAGCGTGGCCTTGTTGATCTACGCAGGAAACAGATCAGCCCGCACCCCCGCCAACCGACACGTCCCCTGGTACATTCTCTCCAGGGTGGCCCGCATGATCTCCAAATCGATCGACTCGCCCGCCCAATACCGCAACGTCTTAATCGAAATGCGGATCAGCGCCTGCCATTTCCGTGGCGGAACAAGCACCCACGCACCGGGCTTTTGCGCAAGCAGACTGCTCAGCACGGCGGCGATGATCTGCACGGCGGCACCAAATGTACTCCGCATGATGTTCCATATCCACTCATGCCGAAAGTGGTACCAAAAGTGCGGGATGAGCTCGGCGCAGTTGTCGATGGCCTGTTGCGCTTGACTGAAAACTTTGTGGGAGAGCTGGGCGTTGCTCTGGAGGTCGCCGGGGAGTGAGTGGTAGTGTGATGCTAGGTAGAGGACTGGCCGGTATATTTTCTCGAGGGCGAGTCCCCGGCGGCCCCAGAGGAAGAATTCTAGGTCTTGGTTGTCGGGGTTTGCCTTGGGGAGGCCGGCTAGTGTAATTTGGTCGCAGCTCAGATGGTACCTGCGGGGTGCGGTGAGTGAGTATCCCATGGATGGATGTACTGTGTATATCGGAGAGCATCAGGGAGGTAAACAGATTGCGGCGACATACCACGAATCTACAACCTTGACAGCCTCGGCTGTTCTATCGACTATGCCGCTGGCGTTGGTGAGCCATTCCTTCTCTCCGCACCGCCACATGTCGATGAGCATATCGTTAACTGTTCGGCGGTTGCATATAGATCCGATGTAGAACTTCCAGCCTTTCTCTTCGTCTGACTCGCTCAAATCAGCCTGTAGCTTTATTAAACCTTCGTCATCATCTTTCATCTTGTCTTCCGGTGAGGTCGAGTCGGTTTTGGATGGGAAGGGATGGGAATAGCCAAGGCTTTCCAGTCCACTACTCCATAGAGGAAGTTCACTTTGCATCTCGCTGTTGAGACTTGGTTAGTCGATACTCAGGTTGGAACGGTGACGTCCAAAACTCACTGCTCCGCCTGGATACACGACCAATATAAACGTGATTCCAAATTATGATAGCTCACGTCTGCGGTCCATTGCTCCCTGCACAAGGACCGTAAACGAACTTCCAATCTGCAAGATGCTTGCTGGAAGCAGAACCAAGCTTGTAATGGACGCATTGCATGCCTATGATAGAAACCAGCAAGTAGAAAACACGAAATATCAGTGGGGGACGTATGCAAGAAGCCGAAACGCTGTTTCGCCGCATCAAAATAAGCCTCTGCGAGCCCGATGTTGGCGTCGGTTGGGGGTGGTCCAGGGACTCGATCTAGATCCTCGGGGATCTCGTTCAATGGCACGAAAGTCGAGGTGCAACAGCCTAGTGCGCATGCAAGAAGCTAGAAAAGGTGATTAGACTTCGGACCGTTGACTAATTCAGTCGGTATTAAGCAGCGCACCACTTGGCACGATTGACCGTCCCATCCCAGCCCTTGCACAGTGACCTCCCTCGCATAGCGCTCGAGCTTCTCCCTATCCACAACAGGGTTCCGGCGGTGGATTAGTCGGAGGTATTTCCGACATAAGTGCTGGATGTCATCGACCAGCAGGCCAATGCCCACTTGCCGGGGTGGTGGCATGTTCGACTGTAGCTGATTGTCTAGTGAATCGAGGAGAAAGGAGCGGGTATGCTTTTCTGCCTCGGTGATAACCTTCTTGAAAATGGGCCACCGGAGCATGTACTCGGCGGAATTGGCCGCGTACAGCGTCAGGGGGTCGTGCTCGTCCGCGCGGTCCTCGACGCCCGAACAACTGCCACGGATGTTGCTCCCCGAAAGAGGGTCGTCTAAGGGGCTGGTATTGCTCTGCATGCTCATCTCAAATAAAGAACCCCTGAGTGAGCGGCCCGATGAGACTATGGATCCGCCATCTTGTTTGATGTCCTCCAGTAGCGTGGTAATTTGGCCCAGTCGTGATAGGATCTCATGGTTGCTTGAATCAAAGCCAGCCCTTGAAGGTACGTGTGAGTTCAGCTTGCTGTTTAGTCACCGCAGTCAAACAATCCAAAAGTCAAACGCAGCCACGCACGACACTTACTGGACAGGATGCGGCGAGGCCTCCGGATAGATGCACTCAACCCCCTGAATGGCACAGTAGCTACAAATAGGCCTGGTATTGTCGCACCGGGTCTTGCGCAGGCGGCAGGTCTGACAAGCCGTGGGGGCTCGTGTCCGACTCTCGCGCTTCATAGCGAGCTTGGGGTCTGCAAACTCCATGACGGCCCTTCACGAGCTGAACCAAATCCCCGATGAGAAAGTGCAACGTGATGATGTGCAGTAGGAATCCCGGGGAGCTTCGGGGAGCGTCGCGAGGAGGGATCTGAGGAATGTTCGACAGAAGCAAGACCCATGGACGGTGCGGCTTACTTAGAGGGGTTCAGTCCCCGTCGCAAAAACCGACCCTAGCCCCGGACTGGAAACAAAGGATTGACCAGGAGATCCTCCGCAAGGCGCGGGTTGGTCGGGGGTTGCCAACTGTGGCGTGGCCAGATGAGGCGAGGAGGGCGGCTCGAACAAAGAAACCACAGCCTGTGATGCTGACAGGCCTCACCTTGGGCCTGCCAGCCTGCGAGCGCCATAAGGGTCGAGCAGGGATCCCGTCCTGTGTGATTGGCGAACTGGGTACTTTTCATCGCTGCTGGACCGATCCGCGTCCGGCGTGGCGCCTACAGACCCCAGGGACTTGCTGTGCAGACCCAGGATTAGGTGGCCAATTCGTAGAGTGACAGGCCGCTTTTTGAGCCGGCGCTGGCATCCCACTTTGAGAGCGGGCATCAAGAATAGGAGTGGCAAACCGACTGTATTCCTGAAATCTGATCGCTCGATCTTCTTCAGAAGAGCTCGGGTTCTGGGGTCTCCGGGACAGGAAGTGTCTAATCGAGGGGCGGGGGTTGGAGGAAGTACGTGCGCATTGTACATCGTCATGAGTGGACGCCGCCTGGAAAGAGTGCAGACTGGTGACTTGCATCCTGAACAGAACTACATGGAGAAGCCCTAAAGAGCACAAGAGCACTAGTTGCGGAACCCAAGAAACCCAATTCTGCCTAGTTCGATTCAGCCTGAAATTTGCGAGAGAGAAATCGTCTTTGCCATATCGTCACTATCGCTAACGTTGCAGAGTACAGTCGCCGATAGGCTAGTGGGAGTACATGTAGAAAACATTCGGTCTCAAACAGACAGAGAACCGGGTAGAAAGAAATGAGTCAGTTGAACGCCAAAAGATATGCTGATGGACCATGCAAAAACCAGAGAAGCGTGGCGGATGGCGGAGCCATTACTATCACTACTACCGGGCTCTCTTCTTGCCTCGAGTCGGCAAGGGTGCTTCACACAGTTCGGACCAGGCGTCTTCGAAAACAGTCTTCCGCGGGCCGATCTGGCCTTCATAGAAGTTCAGCTTGCGCACGACCTCCATAGCGCCGGTGCCCAGGCCCATGGTCTTGCCCATAATAATACATTCCGAAACGCCCTCAATCAGATCAGTGCGGCCAGCACCACCGGCATCGAAGAGGTGGTCGGCGGTCTTTTCGAACGAAGCCAGCTGTAGCACCGAGTCACGCATCTTGGCCAGACCGAAACGAGTGATGCCTAGCACCTCGCCCTTGTACGTCATTACGTCGGCCAGGAGCTGCATGTGGCGAGGATCGATGTCCATGTCCTTCATGACCTCGCTGATTTCAGTAATGATGGTGCTTCGTGCGGCTTCGATGCCAAGCACCTCGCGCGCCTCCATGACGTTGTTAGTCCGGGTGTGCAGACCATCCACTCCAGCAGTCGTCATACAATCCTTCAGACCGTAGCCTTCCACTAGGAGAGTATTGGTGGTGCCTTTCTCATCGGTTCGGATAATGGCACGGGCGGCCTGGGGATGACCCATAATCTGGATGTTGGGCATCATGCGCTTCAGGTGCTTGAGACGCAGGAAGGGATCGGCACTGGTTGAGGCGATCTCGGTCTTCGACAAACCATTCTTGCTGGCCGGGTCGAGATCGATGACAAGGGTAATAGAATTGCGCGTAGTTCGGAACTTGAGGTCATCAGCCTTGAAGCGCTTGTGATTTTTAATCGCGGCGACGATTTGCGGCATCGTGATCTCAAGCTGCAGGTCATCAATCGTCTTTTGATTGATCTTGGCGGTGACACAAGCCTCGTTTCCAGACCATTTCTCATTGATTGAGTGAATCACATCGCGCAGGTAGGTCTTCTCAATGCGTCCCTTCACAATACGAGCGGAAGCAATTTTGTCTTTGGTGACAAGCTCGCATGCAATGACCGGCGTACTGATCTCCTTGGAGGCGTTGATAATTTCCTTGATACGGGGCACACCCTGCGTGATACTCATACCAGCAACACCAGCGAAATGGAACGTTTTCAAGGTCATCTGGGTACCGGGCTCACCGATGGACTGGGCACCGACAGCACCAACGGCGTGGCCTGGTTCGACTTGGGCTTTCTTGTACTTCAACAGACAAGCAGTAATGAAAGCCCGGAGGGTGGTCTCGGTCAACTTGCCAGTGTGATTCAAGCCCTGTCGGCTTCTCTCGTCCGAAGGATCAAAGTCACCCCCATGAGAGATCAGCCTTTCGGCCTTGGTCTGCACGTACTGCTCAATAGAGTCAAGGAAGTCACGGGCACTCTCGAATTGGTCGACACCATGATCGCTGCGGTCCATGTATCCTAGTTCATTGCCCATCAGGTCCTTGCGTGTGAGCTTGGCGCGCTCCTTCTCAAGCATCTCTGCACAAACTTCCATGATTTCTTGCGGCAGCAAACTTCGCTCGTCATTGTTGTAGGTAGTAGACTCGGAGTGAATGAAGGTTCGATCGAAATGCACCGGCTTGGCTTTGCCTTCCATATCCACGGGATCCAGTTTGTCGTCACCGTACTGGAACTGGACGATGGCAGCTGACGAGTTCCGCACTGTATCGTCGTATCTCGTAGAGAGATCCTCAAGTGACTTCATCAGCCGACGAGACATGTAACCAGTTTCGGCAGTCTTGACGGCAGTATCGACCAGACCTTCACGACCAGACATGGCGTGGAAAATGAACTCTGTAGGCTCGAGCCCGGAGAAGAAACTGTTCCTAACGAATCCCTTCGACGGAGGCTGGCGCGCATTCTTCGGGAAATGAGGAAGCGTGCGATCCTGGAAACCATCTTGAACACGTTGACCACCGATAATTTGTTGACCCACAAGTGCAACCATTTGGGACACGTTGATACTAGAACCCTTGGATCCAGACGTAGCCATGATGAGGGGCGAGTTGTACTTGCTGAGTTGGGCAATACATTCATCTCCAGCTTGCTGACGGACCTTACTGAGAATACCAGACAGCTGGTTTTCCATTGTCTGCAACTCGTCGCAACCGGGATACTTTTCCAAAGTACCGGCTTTGTATTGGGCAATAACGGCGTCGCAAGCAGCGTAAGCCGTTTCGACCAGATCATTCTTTGACTGGACAAGTCTGTCGCTGGGGTAGACATCCGTGATACCAATAGAAAAGCCGATATTGGTGAACCAGCGGGCCGACAGCTTCGACAGGCGGTTCATGCCTTCAGCAGCAGCAGGTGGGCCAAAATCACGAAGCATAATGTAGAACACATTGTCCTTCTTTCCAGAACCGATGGTAGACTTGTCCATGACACCGCACATGACTTCAGAATTACGAATCACCAGCCAGCCATCGTTCGGGTCCAGATCCTTCGGCCGACCATCCTTCGGTTGCTTGAATTCACGGCAAGCGGCGTCAAGGTTTACAAGAACAGGGTCATCATTGTTGGGGTGCATCAGAATATTGAACACCTGTTTACCCGTCCAGAGCATCTGAGGCTTGAGAACAGAGGGGGGTGGGAGATCGAAACGCGTTTCGTGGCCCAGCATGTAGAGACAAATCTGGGTGAACGAGCGACGGTCAAAGAAATTGTCTTTACTGCTCAGCAAATAAGCAGCACTGATGAAATCCTGAATGGCGGAAATGATAGGCTCGCCGTTCTTTGGTGTGGCCAAGTTGTTCTTCACACCCATCAGCTCCATCGCTTCAGCCCTAGCCTCTTCTGTCTGGGGAACGTGCAGATTCATCTCATCTCCGTCGAAATCAGCGTTGTAAGGGTTGCAAACACACTCGTTTAATCGAAATGTTCGATGCGGCCGAACCTTGGCGAAATGGGAAAGGATACTAAGCTTGTGCAGAGAGGGCTGTCGGTTGAAGAGAACGATATCACCGTCTTCGATATGACGCTCAACTGTGTCACCCTCCTGTAGCTCGTTGGCAACATGCTTCAGGTTGCCGTACTTCAGCATCATTTTGAAGGTCGAGTCCTTCTTAACAAGATAGTTTGCTCCGGGCCATTTCTTGCTTCCGTTCAACACGCGCGCCTGAAGCTTTTCCTTATTGTAACGAGTTACAACCTCTGGGTATGTCATGTTCTTGGCCACAAGTTCGGGGACGGCGACTTCGTCGACTCGCAGGTTAGGATCGGGCGAAATGACTGTACGACCAGAGAAATCCACACGTTTTCCTGACAGATTGCCACGGAATCGACCTTGTTTTCCCTTCAGTCGTTGAACGAAACCGCGAATGGGCTTTCCCAGGTCAGCTTTGTTCAGGCCTGGAACATCGCTGTTGATGTAGACTGCAATTTGCAGCTGCATGTAGTCCCAGCATTCCATGATTGTCTGCACTGGAGCACCCTTCAGCAGAGCGTTCTTGAGGTTGATGTTGCTCTGGACGATATCGCCCAGCTTTGCCGTCAGATCGTCTTCTGTCGATGCACCTTCTTGGCCTACGGACGGCCGAATGCAAACCGGAGGAGCCGGGATGAACTGCCAGAGGAACATCTCCGGTCGTGCTTCCTTTGGATCTAAGCCCAAGAGTTCACAATCAGTATTGGAGATTCTCTTGAAAAGCTTCAACACGCGCAGGGCATTCATGTCATCCTGTGCCTTCTTGAAGTGCTTTTCAATCTCTGTGTTGGCATTTCGTGCTTCGGCAAAGGAGTCATCGAACACCGTTTTGCTGATTGGAGGCTGCTTCTTGACGGAGGTCGACGAGTTGAATGCGCGGAACTTGTCGTGAGTAATTTTCAAGGCACTGGAGCCGGCCTTTTTCACGACACCGTTGATCGCCTGACAATACTCGCATTGTCGAGTTTTCCGGCAGCGCTCGTTGATTCGCTTCGCAATTTGCATTCGTCGCAGGTTATCTAGTCCCGGGCGGCGCATCTCGCGCAGGAAAGCACGGCGCTCCGTCTCAGGGAGAAGGATGCGCGAACACTCCTTGCAAATTTCCTGGAGAATACCGATAACGCGCTTGAAGTAACCGACATGGAAAGCTGGCAAGACCAGTCGAACGTGGCCAAAATGACCATTGCATTCCTTCAGGTGATGTCCACACGTCTTGCACTGTGCGGTCTTATTGGAGATACCCATGCGCGCATCGAGAGGGCCATGAGAAACCACGGCGCGATCATGGTCGAGGTCGAAGAACTTGCGGTCGGAGACTTCCACTACAGCTTGACTGACAATGTCATCGTTTGTCCTGCGAAAAAGAGCAGTGCCTGCGTTAGCGACAGGTTCCGCGCCAAAGCACCGTAGCTCGGCTTTCAGCCAAAAAAAAGTGGGCCCACATACAAAACGCCGAATTTGAGTTCCTTGATCACTTTGGGAACACGATCAATGACCTGGGCCTTGCCCAGGTCGATCTGGGCACCCTCTGGAGGCTGCATTGCGCCGTCGTCAAGGGTAGGACATGGCAGGGTGACTCAAAGCTGACTCGATCGCTGCGGGCGGGTGTCAGCCGCAATCGACGGGACTTGAGAGCCGACAGACAATCGAAACTGGTTAAACGGGTGCTGGAAGGAGGCGAGGATTTAAGAAACCAGCAAGGTCCCGGCAAGAAGCGATGGGGGAGAAGGATGGCGATGGCCGGAAAGGAATGAAGAAGAGCAGCGGCGGGGTCTTGCCATGAACTTTTTTTCTGCCGCAGAAGCTCACACCGCCCACGGAGCGTTGACCGGCCGTATACATCGGCCAACGATCAAATCACTGGAGATCTCATGAAATACCGAAAGACTCTGGGAAATCTAGTGAGACTAGACCTATTAGCCTCACAGATGACTCGCCAAAATACGGTGCATTAGTATTTATGAGCACGGGGGAACTTAGTACTCTATATCACCCTAACGATGAGCTCGTGCCTTCCTTTTTGGGATGTCTCAGGCCTCGCGTTTGATTGCCTTCACCGCCTGTGGGGTGTTCCTTCCTTTCCACACTGGGATCAGTTCCTTTACCTCTCTTCCTATACTTCTATCGAAGCTAGACTCTGATTAGCTTAATCCACTTCATTCATTTCGCTTGCCGCTGATGTCCCTGCCCATAGATTTTCACGCTTAGATACGATAGGGATCATCGAGTTCATCATGATGAGGGTCTCTGCCCAAGGTATTACCTGATTATCGATCTCTTTATCCCGTAGGCTTCTTGCCACTTCATCAGCAGCCCAAAACATCCCTTGCCCGAGACGGGCCTGCCAGGCAATCCGAAGTCCACCACTTCAACCCTCCAATTTCTGCAACTTGGGCTCTGCCATTAATCCCCAATCGAGTTTCTCCCCGTAATTGAGGGATAATTCTGATGCTTGCTACCATATGAGATCGTGGGAATGTAAGGCTATGAAATTGCTGAAGAACAATCGGATACTAAATTGTGTACCTATACTCTGCAGAACTTAGGATATGCTGGAGTCTGAGGGCGGAACCCCAGAAACAACCAGTATACGCGGGGAAATCTGATACTCTTGACTTGAAGATGTATCCATGAGGTTAACCAGAACTAATAGATGGTCTTGCTCAGAACTAGCAAAGTGCCAGATACCATGCTTTGAAGTAAATTGGTCATTTCTATCTCATTCGTCAACTTCCTTGTTACCCAGCATCTGCTTCGGGACTTCTTTCCCATTCACCGGAAAGTTCCATCGTAATCGACACCGCAACCTTGTAGGCAGTTCGGCGGTGATCACCGAATTTATGTATACTGAAGAGATCAGGTTTTACCGGGGTCTCGTAGGACATAATGGTATTGTCTATAAGAAGGAGGAGATTGGAAGGTCTGCGATCGAACCCCAACTCCAATGAGATGGAAGTCGATAGAAATCACTGATATAACCTCGAAAATCCAGCCTCAGGAGGCTGTAACCAATTCCTCTTGTCATACTCCCACTCATCCGCACCCTCGATGACATGGAACGTATATGCATACCGACTCCGCGGGCTCGTATTCTTCTCGCTTTTGTGAAGCACATTTCCGTGAATCAGAACCAGAGACCCAGCCTTGACATTCAAGATCTCTAGATCTTTATCGGTAGGCTCGCTAGCCTTTTCCTCCTCCATGCCCTTTGGCAACGAGGCGCTGTCGTTCTCAATGAACTCCGTTCCCTTGTTGTCGGCCTTCCTTACAAACCGGCGGGCGATGTGTCCACCCTTTCGGCCCTTGTGGGACCCCTTCCACATGCCCAGAGTCCCGTTGCCGGGCCCCGCATCTTGCAGGGCATACCACCATCCAACCGCCGACGGCGGGTTCGTATATAAGAACTCGGAATCGCGGTGTGTCGGGACCGCGCCACCGATGGAGGGCTGTTTGCAGATAACCATGCTCTGGAGGACGCGCGGGTCTTTGAAGCCCAGCGATCTCGCAACAGCCGCGTTCTGCTTATTCAGAGACACTGATTTAAAAGGTGGCGACAATGTGTGCAGCGAGTGTCCGATCTTGTTAACCGCTAAATGCTTTGGCTTGATCAGCGCGGCGCGTCCCGTGAGCGGGTCAGGTTCGGAAGTAAACGCGTCCGGCTCGAAGAAGAACCGGATTTTGTCGCCAGAGTTCAGGAAGTAGTCGTCACCCACATGGTCGGCCTGGTCATCGTCGCCGGTGGTGAATTGCGTGAGTGGGTGCGAGTCCAGCGAGAAGTCGTTGAGGAGCGTGTTGGTCTCGGCCAAGAGGGCTTCGATCTCAGCTTGGGTGAGATAATCAGGGATGACCAGGTAGCCGTTCTCGCGGAACGAGGCTACTTGCGATTCGGTGAGGCCACTCATTGTGGTGATACGGAGGAGGGGAGATGAAGAAGTCTCGAAGTTGGAAAGGCGGGGAAAGGTGATAAGCGATATCTAGCTGCCGCCGGATCTGCTATCGGAGTATGCCGTACGTGTATCATGATGCCCGATAAACAGAAATCACTGGGCATACATTGGATTACTTGTTTTCAGTAGAAATTTCAAGGGTTTAAAAGACTTTTAGGAAACAATTGAGCATCCCAAGAAAATATATGATCGTAATTCGACATAGGTATCATTCGTCTTTGTTGTACAGAGAAGATACCAAAAAAAAAGGCAAAGATTCATTCAAAAGCGCCGCCAGTGCCGGATATTCGAGGAAAGGAAAAAGGACGAATACACAACCTAAAATCATGACCATAAGTCGCGAGATATAATAACAAAGCCTCCCATCCAAGATAAAAGATAACGGTACATCAAATCATCACATGCGAATCAAATCCTTGTTTTAGCTAGCATAGCCCATCGTGACTGATGGCCGGGGCGCGTATTTGCGCACGGCTCGGCTCGGGCTGCACCCCACGGACCCGATGTCGATAGTCTTGAGCTCCCGGCTCAAAGCATCCATTCCGGGGTTGCCAGTACTCACATTGCTGGCTGCAACAGGGTACCCAGGGGATCCGTGAGAGACTGGCACCTTCGATGGGATGGGAGGACCGGAGTTATAGTCGTACAATGGGGAGCGAGAGCCGGGAGAAGGAGACACGGAGCCCCGCGAGGAGCGCGGCCGTTCCACTGAGGTTGGGGTGCTGTAGACCCGGCCGTTCGTGAAGCTACTGTAGCTCTCATGTCCACGATCAGCGCGAGGCGGAGTGTGAACGTGTTGTGGAGTGTACTTCTTGCTGGGTCGATCAGTGTCAGCCGTAGGCCGGAACCCCACACGAGGCGGGCCAGTAGTGCGAGAAGTATCATTGCCGCGAGAAGTAGGCCTGGGGGAGTGCTTGAACCGAATGATAACTTCAGGTTTGCGACTCTTCCTCTCTGGCTCAGGTGCCCAGGTGTCAGCGGGCAAGTGGTCAGAAGGATCAATTTCGCGGCCATCGTCACCGATGATAGGCTGATCTGGGTCTCGAAAAGGTTCAATCTCCGCGCGCACTGCCGCGTCTCTGGCTTGCGAAGGTGTCTCGTACGCCGGCGATGGCTCCCTGCTGGTGGATGGCCGGGACGCATGCGGGTTCAAAGAATTGTACGAGTCGGGGGAGAATGGAATCGAGGAGCCTCCCCGGTCACTAGAAATTGAGGGTCGTGGGCTAACAGACTTCCGTGTCACCACCATCCGTGTGTCCGGGCTTACCGATCCGCCCCTACTCCTGATGGAGCTCCGATCATCTACAGGCTGTGGAGATGTCCGGAGAGGATAGATGGGGGCCTCGTATGGTATGGGAATTGGCGCAGGTGCATACGCGGACATGGATACTGGAGCCGGAGCCGAGACAGGCGCTGATAGTGGTTGAGGGATCATCATCTCATCCTCCATGTGACTCGTGCTGCCCTTGCGGCTATTCCGTCCCTCAAATAACCGATCCTGTTCCTCACTTTCGTAGCCAGCCACCAAACTTGCTGGCATGGGAGACGGGTTGCTGGAGTAGACAGGGCTGTATGGGGTATAAGGCGAGGGTGATTGACTAGACGTCGGCTTCACTGGCGATGGCGGCTGAGCCATTCGAGACCGATGAATGGGGGGCGGGGGAGGGGGAGCATCCTCTTCCTCATCTTCCACGCGCGGCTGCATCGTGGCGTACTCGGGATGATAAGGATCATTTCGGGGTGCAGGTAGAGCCTTCATTGTGCGTGGTTGATACCGTAGTTCATCTCCTGGGCCAGACGAGGAACTTGGTCGAGAATAATCCAAAGGTGCTGGTTCATCGACATGACCAGACGACCGCGGGGAGAATGTCGAAACATGTCCAAATGTCATGGGATTCGCACTATATTGAGGAGAGATCACTGAGCTGTAGGCGTCGTGAGACTGCGAAGGAGACCTGTCATACAGTGTCCTCCCATGCAGATCAGTCTCAAATGGCGGTTCCGAGGTTGATCGGTAGTCACTAGGAGGCTGATCATAGTCGGAATGACTGCACATTTGGGCGGAGCGAGGGTCGTATTGAGGGTCGGGGTCTTCGTTGGGGTGTTGAGTTTCATGTGTATTGCGTCTCATCATGCCGGCAGGTGGAAGAGCGGGAGTGGGAGCCGGGTTGTCCCATTCGCGTTGATAATTATCAGGGGCATCATATGCTCCTCGGGCCTTTACGCTGGGGGCTGGCGCATTATATGATGGAGCATCATGAGTATGCTCTGAACGTCTTGGCGGGTAAGGGAGGGCATCTGGGTTCGTAGCCGGTGCGGGTGCAGGCATGGTATGTGCATGATCACGCATGGCAGGCCGTGATGGCTGGGGATGCTGCAGCGGAGGAGCAGGAGTAGAGTGAGTTTGTTCCAGAACAGAGGGCCTTGGTGGAGGGGCTCCAAATGGATCTGTAGGCAGAGGCCGTCTCTTGACTTTCTCCAATTGTCGAGGGCCAGAAAGACCAGAGCTTGATGGGCCACCACCACCACCACCACCAGTGGTCTTGCCTTGAACCCTCTCAGCAGCTTCTTTCCGTCGCTCAATAATCGCCTCGTCTTGTTGCCGGGTGTCGTAGTAGGTCATTTCGATTCGAACATCACCAGCATATTTGCCACGGCACTGTAGCGGGTGCCAGTGGTCGTTCTGGCTGCCCCCTGGGATGATCAGGTTCTGCAGGTCGACCCAGGTCTCCCCGATCAAGTCCGTCTTTTTGTCATCGTTGAAAATTGAGACCTTCAACTTGAAGTAGTCTGGTGATTCGTGTACTGTGAATCGGAGTTCATGATCCCTGTGAAAAGCTTTCGATTAGCCCTAGGATTGGAACAGTTCTGCGTGTTGTGATAACCTACCATCGAGGAGTTTGTCCACCACGCAGGTCGGTAGGAGTCTTTTTTGCCTCTTTGCCTAGCCTTGCTGCACAGTATGGATTCTGCTTGCCCATAGTCTTGCGATTAGGCAAATTCTTCGCACGGTCAATGATGGCAACCAGCGTGCCAATCGCAGGCCCATCGACCGACATGTCGGCGAAGATGCCCGCAGCATGGTTGATCTTGGAGAGCTTTGACATGACAGTTGAATACGGATTTCAGCACTCTCTTTTAACCAGATCTGGATCAAGCTCAGTAGCTGGAGTATAAAGGAGTGCCGTCCAGCATTGATGTTCAGAGAAGAAGAGGGAAGAGGAGGGGGAGAAAAAGAAAGATAAAGCGCCCACCTTTTGGAATGTCAGATGCGGTATTGGGGGTGGCTGGGGGCTGGGAATCTACAGGTGCTGATTGGCTGAGTCCCCTGATTGAAGCGTCTCGACCGCGGTAGATCGGGGCCATGTGACCATACATGACAATACCACAATACAAGTTATCGATAAACAAGCTCAGCAACTCATACGTCAGTTTGTTGTTCTGTACTTCTACTGCTAATATTTCGCTCTTTCCAGCCTCGCTTGACGCCAGATGGAGAGGAATAGGTTATGCAGTATCCATCTCATTCCATCTCATATCTCATTTCACCCAACCCCAGCCAGACATTGAGAATGAGGTGGATCGGCGGCGTCAGCTTTGATCAGGTCCCCAGCCACCGCGATCCACCACCAAAACATTCTTGACGTGGACAGGGGGCATCCCCCACTAGGAGGTGCAACGATCGGGCGACTGGTCTAGAGTCGCGATCGTCATCTTTCAATAGCGCGGTCTGTGAGCCGAGTTTTACTCGATACGCTGCGCAGCTGTCAGGCGCGGCTCCCCACCTGTAGGGTTGACAGGATGCATGAGACCCTCACCTCCCCCGCCGAATTGCCATAGCGACGACCAAAACACACGAACCGGATTGACCGCTTCTCGCCACTATCGAGTCTGGTGGAACACTAAATCAGGTCCAAGGAGCTCATCGACAGTCTCCTTCATGGTGAGACAGATCTCGATAATCAATGATGTACCGCCCTCCCTGCTTCCAATGTCAAACAAATTGATTGTTGCCTGCGTCACTGCCCCGGTGGACAAAGCGAAGCCGAGAGTTCCGATCATTACGGCGCTGGGGCCAATTCTATTAAAAGAGATACCGGGCGAAGAACCCGGCAGCCTGTACGGAGTAGCAGTAGCCGTAGCCATACGTTGACCAAGGTCGGGCAATATCTTGGCCGGTTATGAAGATGTCGTCAGGTAACTTGACTAGTTTCTTTATCACATCATTCTCGCAGATAACCCGAGAACATAAGCTTACCTACTCAGTATGGGCTAAATGGAATCCCGCGAAAAAGTGTAAGAACATATAGAATCAGACCTGATAGCAGCCAATCTAACAATCCTGTACGTTTTGCAGCAGTGTTTACAGCGTGCTGCGACCATGCAAGGCACTACACTCTCAGGGGAAGATGCGGGAGGGACCTGGTGCCTCAATGGCCTTATGGCCTTGATGCCTTGATCTTCCAGTTCCTGTTTGCCTCAGGCCAAAAGACCTTTCGCCGCCATTCCCGATTAGGCAGGGTGAACTTTTTTGATCGGCAGAAAAAAGATCCTCAACTTTCACGAACAGACACCTCTGCGAGCCACGAGGTTCTGTTAAGGCTTTCTTCCCTTTCGCATATTACGCCTTCGCCTGTCATCTGATACAACGCACAGCTCACCATGGCGGCGCCCGTCCTGCCTCTGCAGCAGGTGAAACTCGCCTCGCTGCCCTCAACCCGCCTTACTCCAGAGCAGCAATACTGGCGCACCTTCAAGAACCCTCTTTTGATCCCTTCGCCGGCCAATGGCCCTGTCAATCTCATCACCCAGCCTTCCGCCCCGTCCTCTTCTGCCGTATTTCCTTCTCTGACACAACCTCCGGATGTTTTCACCGTAACCACCGGCGCGCGGGTTCAGATCTACTCGATTCGCACACGAAAGCTCCTGCGGACAATCACTCGGTTCGATGACACAGTTCGCAGCACAGATGTTCGCCCCGATGGCCGTATCTTTGTGGCAGGTGACGATACGGGTAAAGTGCAGGTCTTCGACGTGAGCTCCCGTGCGATTCTGAAGACCTGGACCGACCACAAGCAGCCCGTGTGGGTGAGCAGGTTTTCGCCCAGTGACCCAACATCGCTTTTGACGGCCAGCGATGACCGGACCGTTCGGTTGTGGGACTTGCCTGGGGAGACAAGCGCGCGGACATTCGCCGGCCACACCGACTACGTGCGAAGCGGTTCATTTATGCCGGGCTCGATGGCTTCGTCCGGGTTACTGGTGTCTGGTTCTTACGATCGCACGGTCCGTATTTGGGATCCGCGTGTGGAAGGCCGTGCGGCTATGACCTTCAAGATGGCTGCTCCGATTGAAGCCGTGCTACCCATGCCGGCGGGCACCACAGTTCTAGCTGCCGCCGACAACAAGATCGCTGTGCTAGATATCGTAGCTGGAAAGCCGCTACACATTATTCAAAGCCACCAGAAGACTGTTACATCACTCGCATTGGCATCAAACGGAGAGCGCCTGCTCAGTGGTGCGCTGGATGGACACATGAAGGTCTTCGAAACTACTGGATGGAATACCGTCTCTGGATCCAAATACCCCTCTCCCATCCTATCGCTCAAGGTCATCACCTCCGGGATGGCATATGAGGACAAGCACATCGCCGTGGGTATGCAGTCGGGTCTTCTCTCGATCAAGACCCGTCTGTCTGGCCAACAAAAGGTCAAAGAGCGCGAGCGCCAGAAGGAGATGCAAGCCCTTCTGGAGGGCAAGCTCGAAGAACACGACCGGCAAGTTGCGAAGAAGCAGAAGCTCCGCGGCTCCGGGTGGGAAAAGCGTCTTCGTGGACGCGACTTTATCGGCGAGGGAGTGGACATCGTGATCGAAGGCCAGGATCGTAAGCGACGGAAGAAGGAGCAGCCCTGGGAGAACGATCTCCGCAAGGGACGCTACTCGGTCGCTCTGGACCAGGTCCTCGCGTCCACCGACAAGACCGCCCAACTCACCCTCTTCACAGCCCTTCGTCACCGCTCGGCCCTGCGCGCCTCACTCAAGGACCGCGACGAAGTCACACTCCAGCCCGTTCTGCACTGGATCTACAAGCACATTCGCGAACCCCGCCTGGTGGACCTCAGCGTTGAGGTTGCCATGAACCTCCTCGACATCTACTCAGGCAATCTGGGCCAGTCCGCCCAGATTGACAAGCAGGTGGAGCGGTTGCACAAGCGGGTGCGCGACGAGGTAGAGATGGCCCAGCATGCATGCCAGACGAAAGGCATGCTGGATATGTTGAAAGTCATTTGATTGGGATCATTGCTCATGTGAACTGGCTTGGAGTTTTTTTTGGCAGGGTACCCTTGGGATTCTGACATCTTTCTCGGTGTATATGGCGGGCCATTGATCATTCTGTATATTGCATAGAAATTAAAAGTCGACCTATTTTAACATTCCACCACCGTCTAAGAACCCCATTTTGAATCTTCACTGCCTAGGTAATACCGATTGGAAGTTCAATGCAGGTAGCAAGGTTCGATGGTGTAGTCTAGCAGAGCCAAGCCCCATATATATACTCGGTGTACTTGCGCTTGAAATGGCGGTCTACACCTGGAGAACCTGTTCTACTGTTGCTTCTGATTTTATGATTGGGATCCAGAATCAAATAGAAGCAGCCTTAACATTTGGACGTGGGAGGAATCCCGGTGAGTAAGGGCAATGTATTAAAGTATCGTGAACCGCCCCAGTGACCCAACCAGCCACAGCGTCAGTCAGGTCCAAGCGCGATCGGCCACTTTGTAGCCCTTTCTCTCTTCCCCCTCCCCACCGCCAGGATTATTCCACCGGACTTCCCGACTCCTCCCTGCGAGATACCCAAGATAAACTTGGTTTCGGCAATTTCGCAAGATCCAAAAATCGCAGCATTCCTCCACTGCGCACCCCTCCTCGGCTAACCCTTGGCAACGTGCTCTGCCCCCTCCACCCCATTTATCCGCCCCGCCCCTCAACCATCTTGAGCAGCAAAAACAGTTGTCCTGCTCCACCCTCGGTTCTATTGTGGGGAGAGTCGAGACCGACTGATTGGCAATGCTCTGAGACCAGGAAAAAAAATAGAACCACGGCACAGTCAGCACGCCCGTTCCGCCGGGACGACCTAGGAAATCAATCACGTCACGCTGTCCTCTCATCATGGCCGCCGCCTTCGACGAGGAAGATCTTTCGATCCCACTCCCTCCTTCCGACCGTGACCGTCCGCGTGAACGTGCGAGCAAGCCGGTCAGCTCGAACCCCTCCGCTATGGCAATGCCCCCGCCCTCGCGCCCGACCGGTCGGGGCGACGCCGCGACACAGTCACCGGCTACCATGCGGGACATGCAGCGCCTCGATCAGTACCAGACCGTCAAGATCTTGGGCGAGGGATCGTTCGGAAAGGTGAAGCTTGCCATCCACCAGCCGAGTGGACGGCAAGTAGCCCTCAAGATCATCTCACGGCGCAAGCTACTATCCCGGGACATGGTTGGGCGCGTGGAGCGAGAGATTCAGTATCTCCAACTGCTACGACATCCCCATATCATTAAATTGTAGGAATAGCTGCTCCCTCCCCGCCGTCCCTCGGGACAATTCACCCCCTATGCATGATACTGGAGTCCTGGATGGCTGACCGAGTACCCCGCCTTCCGCTAGATACACCGTGATTGCCACCAAAACCGACATTGTGATGGTCCTCGAGTACGCCGAACGCGAGTTGTTCGATTATCTGGTTAGGAAGGGCAAATGCGGTGACGACGAGGCCCGCAAGTTCTTCCAGCAGATCATCTGTGCCGTCGAGTACTGCCACCGACACAAGATCGTCCACCGTGACCTCAAGCCGGAGAACCTGCTCATTGACAGCAACAAGAACGTCAAGATTGCCGATTTCGGATTGAGCAACATTATGACAGATGGCAACTTCTTGAAAACCAGCTGTGGAAGCCCGAACTATGCCGCCCCAGAGGTCATTTCTGGGAAGCTCTACGCGGGTCCAGAGGTGGATGTTTGGAGCTGCGGTGTCATCCTATACGTGCTTCTGGTGGGCCGCCTGCCATTCGACGACGATTACATCCCCGCCCTTTTCAAGAAGATCGCAGCCGGCAACTTTCACGTTCCAGGATACATATCTCCCGGGGCTGCCCGGCTCATCCGAGCCATGCTCCAGGTACACCCGGTCCACAGAATCACCATCCCCGAGATTCGACAGGACCCTTGGTTCACCAAAGACCTCCCCAAGTACCTGGAGCCACCGCCAGAGGAGTTTATCGCCACGGATGTGGATCTGAGCAAGATCGATCCTCGTAAAGTTGCCCCAGGAAAGTCACTCCCTGCGCATAATAAGATCCATCAAATTGCCGTGTCCAAGTTGGAACGAAGCATGGGATATGGCCGGGAAGATATCGAAGATGCATTGCGGCATTCGGAGCCTAGCGCGATCAAGGATGCTTTCTCGATTGTCGTTGAGAATGAAATGATGCAGACCAATTGTGAGTTGCGATATCATTCTTGGTTCTATCTGAGCTGCTGTTAACCATGGTTTACCAGCCCCGATCGAAGATAATCTATTGGCCCCGAGTGTGACAGCCCAGCCCAGGGCACCGGCACTTGCACTAGCCCAACGCAACCCCGCAGCTCCAAGAACTCAAGAGCCATCTGCGCATGCTGCTACTCGAGCCCTAAGTGTCTCCCGCCGTCCACGAGAGGAAGCCCAGCAAGCAGACGCGGATGATTTCGAGCTACCACGTCTCAGTCATGTCCGCATATTGCCCACAAGCTTGCCCTATGTGCATGATCAGCTCATGGAGCAGCGTGACCGAGAGCAGAAAGCTCGTCTTGAAGAGCGCCGACGAGAAGTGGCCGGTACTGAGGAGGAACGTTCCGGGTCTGAGCGCAGAGAATTGTCTCCCGAAGAGCAGGCGGCCACTGTACGGGCATTGAAGCCCCACGCTCGCAGTGTGGTTGATTTGGATAAGCTCAAGTTCGAGCCACCTATTGGCCATCCCATCACGCAACAGCCCAAGAGATCTCGCAAGTGGCAGTTCGGCATCCGTTCCCGGAACCAGCCTTATGAAGCGATGCTGTATTTATACCGAGCAATCGCTGCTCAGGGTGGGGTGTGGGATATCCAGCCTGTTGAATCAGGCACAAATATCGGGCCTGACGCGACACCTTCCTTGGAAACACCCAAACCTCTCCAAAGCAAATATCCTGACCTCCCGTCGGACTACTACATTCCGAAAGACCCCTGGTTCATCCGCGCTCGCCTTCTGAAGGAAGGCGTCCAGGCCCCGGGAGCATCGACAAGTGTTTTCAATAGTCGCAGCGACCTTGAAGAGCTGCGCCGCCGCTTCCACATCTCTGGCATCTCTGCTCCGGGTGAGGACAGGGAAAGAGATGTCAAATCCTCCACGCCTGACAACAGCGTCCCATCCGCACCTTCATCGGCCACCCAAAACAACGGGTTACCGGGTATCTCCCATGGTGTTTGGGTCTTCGTCGATATTCAGCTCTACCAACTGGAGGAGAACAACTATATGGTCGACTTCAAGTGCGACGGCTACCAGAACGTCATCCGCGCTCATGGCGACTCCGAATGGCACCCGATCAGCAAGCGCTTCATGAACAAAGAGAAGGAGGTCACCAGCCCATACCCGTTCCTTGATGTGGCATCGGACCTTGTGGCTCAGCTGGCTGTAGCTAGCTAGATGCCTTACGATCATGACACTTTCCATCATAGTCACCTTTTTCTAATATCTTGTTAATGTCTCCCGCTGGGGATGCGGAGTATGATTGTACATGAATTTTTTCATTCTGCATCTGGTAAGCGTGTTTAACTGGTTATCTCTTCACATTTCCTGGAGTTACTTTGCCTCTATTTTACTCTCTGCCATATAAAACACCTTTGGATTGTCAATCATCGCACGGTCAGTTCCCCTCGTGGACATTTTAGTTATATCGTACATCTTTCGTTGTCCATTCTGGTCAGCGCTTACGGTGGGCCCACAGGCTGAGTGTGAAGTATTTGAGGTTTCCCGACACACAGCCTCTGATGATAGCGTGCATGGTAACAATGCACACCTCCAATCACATATTCTTATTGAAGGGTCGCGTATGGGTTACATTTGTTCTTGTTATGCCTCGCTGGCATTGCTACTCTCCTATATCGAAGATCCAGGATTATTCCGTCACCAGTTGGACTGGAATTCCCGAACGCCGCTGCTTACCCTTTGGTGATCTATTGGCTGCAAAGTTTCTTCCATTATTTGCCATCATTCAGGCGGGTAGAAGCCCGATCCGGCTGCGTAGAGCTCCGCTGATCGGCCAGGCAAAGTCTATCAGTACGAGTAGCTGGAGATTGCTGAATCCTGTCCTGAGTAAGTGATACTTTGAGGGACCTATCTTTAGTGTATTGAGATAGTAAGAAAGAATTCGTCTTATCTCCGGCGTGGAAGACTTATGTATGCAGCAATATCGATGAAACGAAGACGTGGGAACGGAGACGTCGGACATAGAGAATGAGGGCGAGGAATCATAATGGCTTTCGTATCAATGGTGCCCGAAGCTCGCCAACCAAAAATGCCTTCCGACCCAACGAGTAGAATGAGGAAGGATTCGTATTCTGTTACACGAAAAATACGAAAACAAATTACCCCTTAGTCACTCATAGTTTGTGTCCTTGCTATCAGCCAGGGGGTGGGCTTCGTGCGCCAGGATCAGGACTCTTGTGCATCTGCTTCCCTCACTTCCCCGTCTAGAATTACCCCACGGGCGGACTATACGCTAATTTCTAAATGGAGGTATATTGCTGCAGTCATTGGAAGGTTGTTTCATTAATCTGCGGCTGGGCTGGGAGCTTCTGGGATCTCTATTCGGCATGTCATTCTGCCTGACTCCGAGACGCGGTTGTGAAATTCTCCGTCTAGGATATCAAAAGAGTTCGATAGTCCACACGTCCCCCAATCGGTCATTTGATTCCCCTAGCCCACCGTGAACCACAATAGCATTTGTACCGACAACATCAGCATCAAACCAGCCCCGTGCGAGAGGACGTTGATCTCCTTGAACAACAACTTCCTCCCATTTCTTGCTGCTAATGTCGAATGCCCACACGTCACTCAACATCTTTCCCGCTCCTTGGTGACCCAATGAACTAGGGTCATGCTCACCGAACAAGGTGATTAAGAATGACCGGCCTTCCAGACGAACCGGCAGCAGACAACTCACACTTCGCGGTGCCGGGCCTGCCTTGCCATCGGGTGAATAAACGTGCGAGGTCCAAGCATTCGTCTGAGGGGAGTAAATGTCCACACTTCCTCCCTGTTCGGTATTCCCATCGAACCCATTCATCCGATACAACTTGCCATCTATAAAGGCGATCGAAGTGCCTCCCCGTGGAGGATCGAATGCTGGGGTCAGTTCTGTCCAGCCTCGCCGGGAGAGGCTGAAAGCCCACAGGTCCGATAACCTTCCCTTTTCGGGGCAGCCCGCATGGAGGTACAGTGTATCTTCCCCGTCACTAGCCATGCAGTGATAGCTGCGAGCGACCGGGAACACCTTTGCGCTCGCATCCGGCAAAATAGATGACCAACTTGCTGTCGCAGGGTCGAATTCCCAGACCGTGCCTTGCTCCTCAATAGGTGCCATCGCGACACCGCCTCGGCCAGAGAACATATAGATCTTCCCGTTCAGTGTACAAGCGGCAGTCCCAACCCGCGGCGAAGGAGACTGGGATGTTGCAGGCACGGAAGTAATTGTGGCATTCCCTAGATGACGATGACGGGTTTCAGTGTCATCGTTAAATTTTTGAATTCTCTCATTCATCAACCTTGACATGGTGCAACTTACCGCTGCCCAATGAAACAGCGTGGATATCATTGTCTCGAGGCTCGCGCGGTCGCAGCTCCCCACCAAAAATGTACGCTCGATCACCAACAACCGAAACAATCTGTGAGGAGCGACGAAGGATTTCACCCTCCAGAATCTTGTGGCATCTAGCAACAATTTTCGCCATTGGGAAGATAAGCGCTCGGATTTCCGTGATTGTTCCGTGATCGGAGTGAGTACCAGGAACCAGAGGTGTCAGGGAAGACTCCTTTTTATAAGCACGATGGATTGGCCCGACTCGGATCGACAACGGTAAGATCCAAGTAATCCTGCGGAGGTCCCAGAGGCTCCACAGCAGCTGCAATAGTGGGCCGCTGTCAACGCGGCCTCCGAAATCTCCGAAACCTCCGCAACCTCCGAAAACCAAATGCTACTACTCTTGTTCACCCTTCGCGGCCATGCCTCCCAAAAAGGCATTCGCTCTAAAGAGAGCGTGCGATGTCTGTTATGTACGCGCAAGGGTAGTAACATCGTTGGGGGGAAGAGCACTGTAAACACCCATTATTATCAAAAATCTCCCATTCCACCCCACCTGGATTGGACGTAGTTGCTCCAAAGGCGGCTATTGACTAAACTGGGCCTTACGATGCGGTGTCCATTAAAAACAACTGGTTTCGGAGACATAGCTCTTAAAGGATACAGAGCTCAAAGGCTACAGAGCGTGGATTACATTGAGTGTAGAGGACAAGAAACTCAAAGTTAATTGTCGGCAAGCGTACGACGCCATGCTGTCGCAGATATCCCATGTCCTACCAAGAAGAGCTATAATTCAGTACAGGATTGATCGGTATCAGTCATAGCAGACTGCAATGAGCTAGGGATTAAAAGTCAAAAGCCGAGAAGATCCTGTCCTGACCCGTTCGCTCGAGCGCTGCAGGCGCTCCACTTCGGCAGGTGCACTAAGTGTCCCCGTTGAATCCGTACGAAGATCGCGTACAGCAAACCAGCGAATCCAACAGCAATCACACTGATGAGGGCCGGCCACTTGAACTGATCCGGACGTGAGAAAACGATCGTGGAGATATAAGAGCAAATCTCGAACAGGTTCTGCCAAGCAGCTTCGGTCGACGAAAAAGAGCCTCGCGCCTCAGCTTCCACACCCTGTAAGGTTCCATCAAAGTCAGGGTCTGGCGCTCTACTGAAAGAAGGCATTGGCAAGGCCGGGAACAACTCACCTCCTGAATAATAATCTGTGCACATAAATCATACCCTCGCAAGCCTACCCGGCTGAGAATTGTACCCCCCACGAGACCCGAGGCGGAGAGCAGAGGTTGGTTAGCGTAACTCCAGAATATAGCCATGCCACCTGCTAGGCATATAATCTGCCAACTTGCCAGCCAGATACCAGCACGGATCGGCCCGATTTTCCCCATCAGCCCAGGAGCAACCCAGGTGGCCAGCACCTCAAACATGACAGACAAGGTTCGTGCAACGGCGATCTGCGTCGAACCATAGCCTGCGGCCAGAAGCCAAGTGACCATTTGTCCCGCAAATGACAGAACCGTCAAGTAAAGCAATGCTCCGGCAAAGGACGGGAGGAACACTCGATGCCGAAAATAAAAACCGAAGTCTCCCAAAGCCTGCCGTACACCTTGACAGCAAGCTCTCCAGACGCGTGCAGAGAAATTTTGCTGTGCTGGTTCTATCCTTCGGAATTTAGGCGATGAATGTTTCGTTTCCTGTAATTCTGGTACTTCATAATACACCTGAGGTAAAGTGTTAAGAAACAGTGCTCTATGAGGCTAAAGGCTTCGCGCTAGAGATCATACCTTGGCGATCGAGAAGTACTCCACCACGACCGAACAGACATTCATCCCGAGATTGACGAGAATAGCGGCCTCTGTGGATATGCCAGCGATAAGAGCGATGAAAAGAGGCCCAATTAGTTTGCAGACCAAGTCAATTCGTCTCATTTGGGCGTTCATTGCTGTGTTGAATGAAAAATTAGCATGGAATGGCCAATCTACTTCACATCTGTATAACGCACTCCTGAGGCCTCCATTATTTTCTCCAGCAACGACCACAACCTGCCAGATTCATGTCAGTAGTGATCAGCATTGATTGATTGGCTTGTATAACCCTACCCAATCTTTCTCCACAGCGACCAAGTTCAAGACAGAGCATAACTTCTCAAAACAAGCCAACAGCGTGAGAATCGCCAGCAAACAAGTGTTGACCACTCGTTTCATTGGAAGGCCGATCGCTAGCAGATAGAAGATCACACACGATGCAGCCACAACAAGCCGTTGGAAAACTAACGTGGTCAGTTGTTCTGATTGACGGATGCGCTTGTCTCGGTCTGGTCGAGAAAGACTTACCGATTGAAAGCCGAACAACCTGCAAACGGTTGCCGACATCGATGTAGTGTCCCACCGCCGGGGCGAAGATGATTGCCGCTAGTCCACGAGAGAGCGCATACGCAGACATAGGCAGCAGCGTTCCTGGATAGACTGAGGCCAAATACAGAACGGCCCCGAATTCGAAGACGCGGGAATTCCAGGTTGACAGGAAATGTGATGTGTATAGGCGATAAGCTATCCTGGTCGGAACCTGACCTTGTGCATCATCCTTATTCACCGAGGAAGTAGAACTCGAAGCTCCAGCATTTTCAGGATCAGTGATCAGGAGCGTGCGCTCATCAGGAGCTGGTTGCTCTCTTCGGCAGGCGGGCATTCTTCACACGGCTTCCGGGAATCATTGCCTGGAGAGTCTTTTTGCTGGGCCAGAGATTTATTGAGGTTGAGTGTTTAAAAAAGAATGACAGGTACCCTAGGGCAGGGTACCCTAAACTAAAGTCCGGCGAGATCATCGAAGGTCTGATGCGGTTCCTCCTGATACGTCTTCCTCACTGATCGGACAATGGAAGTGAAGTGGAGAATCCAAGGCAGCCAGTCGGTAAATAGTGGCTATGAAAGTACTTGAGACAACCAATGATATGCGTGTGGATCGGGACCCGCATCACATGATCCCCACTTCCGCCCGTCGATTGCTTCAACACGGCCTCCGAAAACTCCGAAGATTCTCTACCGTGCACTCCGAAAATCTATAGCGGTTTGATGACTGCTCGCCACTATGCCTCCGAGAAGGTCTTTACCTCAGAAAAGAGCATGCGACGCCTGCTATCGACGAAAGGCACGTAATTACCCATATGTCCGAATGGAGGGGCCTCCTACCCTGCCAGCTGTTCTGACACTGGTCACTTGCATTTAGATTCAATGCTCTCATCCTAACCCAAATGAGCCTTGTGAGTGGTGTAGTCATCGGGACCTTGAATGCACTTTTAAGAGGGAAAAGCCCCAGAAGAAGAGGCGTAACAGGTCTGAACCCTTCCCAGTCCGGCACACTGTGAGATTGCGGGCTTGTTTTAACAGCGTCATCTTTTGGCTTCCAGTGATGTACAGAACTTGCTCCAACGCATTCAGCAGCTGGAGGGTGTCCTGTCGCGAGTTGAGCCCACACCATATTCGGCGTCACGAGATGTGACCAATCCTGAGCAGTCGACGATATCGGACCCTTCAAGCACCAGATCCCCCAATGTTTCTACCATAACAAGCGACAGAGAGCAAACTGCCAGTTCTGGGAACTCCCTTTGCCCTACTAACTTGACACAAACACCCGCTAACCCCTGTGACTACCTCGCCGAGGAGTATCCAGCTGAGGGTAATAGGCCCGCCACTCAATGGGGACCCAACTGGTACTTTAATGGAATACCAATGTCCTCTGAAGCAGGCCGCCGATGGATCTCAACAAGAACCGCCCAGGCAGTCACATGGGCCGATTTCAGTATTCCCATCATGGAATCTTCCATGCCTTCGGCCCTTCAGCCATCTTTCTCCCTAGAGCTATGCGAATTGCCTGACCAGGTCGCTACCCGAGAAATTATAAGGGCGTTCTTCAGATCTCGATTCAGACTCTGCTTCCCTGTACTGGACGAAGTCCTGTTTGAGACAACGATGGAGACCGCCTACGGACCTGCGGATGGGCCTCTGTCCTCGCCTATACAAATCTCAGCCAGGGCATGTGTTTTGAGCGCTCTATCCATTGCGCCTCGCGTAAACACGTCGCGTCAAACATCCCGCCCCATAGATGTAGACTTGTGCACAGCCAAGGCACATTGTCTTTTATTACACATCGCTAAGGATATTAGCCTGTCGACTCTCCAGACAGCACTAATGTTGGTTAGTCCGGGTTTCAGCGTGGCTTGCTTCTAAGGCTTCAGAGGATTCAGACTGATATTCTGCATTAGCAAATCCAGCGTACATTCCATGCCGACTGGCAAGGCGCTGCCTTCTTTCAATCGATTGCGTGTCGGATAGTCTGCGCTCTAAGAGGACACCTCTACCATCCATCAAATTCCTTTGGGCTTGACAGTTCCCGTTTAGAGCGCGAAAATTACCACACTCGATTGCTGTTCTGGCTGTGCTACATGCTCGACAAAGATATTTCCCTTTGCACTGGCAATCCTCCTCTTCTCACCGATGTCTATTGTGACCTCGATCTGCCTGATAACTATTTTGACCATTATACCTACTTACCAGGCTTGGATACATCCTTTGCAGGTGACGATGGAACCCACAAATATCTCACCCCCCATCTTCCTGGAGACCCTCGCCTTAGCCATCTGAAGGAGAAAGTCTGTCGACAGCTCTTGTCTGCCCGGGCCTCGAAGGATAATGATAACCAACTCCTTCTGAATATCCGGCAACTGGATGACGAGATAGAACACTGGCGGCTATCCATCCCTGTCAATTTCCGCCCTGCACTTTCCGTCTCGAACAATACTTCACCAAACGTATCCGACGAAGGGATTCCGTATATAATCCATCGGATGTCTCTGCAATTGGACTACCACTACCTAATGACCGTCGTTCATACGACAGTGAGAAAATGCACTGTTGAGGCCAGTGACGAGATCCCGGATCTGCATAGCGTAGTTCATTCGAGCTTCGATCTCTCTTTGATGGCTAGTCGCTCAACGCTATGGTGCTTAAGAACTCTCATCAACGCGGTTGGGAAAGATGCGTTTCGGTAAATAGATTCCTGGGCAAGCCCTGTGCAACGGATGCTAACTGAGGCCGGAGGTTCGTAACATTCTATTCAACGACTGCCGCCCTATCACTCTTCCTCAATATAGTTATTCATCCGCTCCCAACACAATCGCGGCTTGATCTGGAGCTTCTTATATCGGCTGCCAACATAATACGAAACATGCCTGTGCGAGGTTTGACGCAAGGCGAGATCGCTTGTGTCCAAGAAACTGGCAATTTCGTGATGAGGCTGGTGTGGCTTGGGACATGTGCAGTGACCAAGGCGGAAAAGGAGGAATGTGAACTTAGCTAGAGGCTCGTCAGTGGTCAAGTCACGCCGATCAAGGCTTCCACTTTTCCTCTCTATCATCATCAGTTACTGTACAGTTTTTGTTGGCAGATTACCCTTTCGCACTTGGTAGCCACGCCTTGAAAATCGTTAGCATCGGCTATAGCCTCTAGCAAGTCTCGGGATAGTCGTGCTGCAGGAGAACGGATGCCAGGTTTGGGAGGTCGATGAGGCATGTAGTGGCACAGGCGCAGAGGCAGAGGACGTGAAGAAGTTTTGTGTAAGATACATCATCTTGTGTAACGTAATTGCGCTGGAAAGAAAAGAAAAGACACCTATCTACAGTATACCCAAGATAGGGTTATCACACTTGGTCAAATATAGATCAGCGCTGTTTCGGATACCGACCGAGAGACAATTTGTATCTTACGGGGAATCTGTTTTCGAATTCTACTGTAGCCTTTGAAGAAAGAATGACTTTACGTTGAACCTGCGTCTCTCTTATCTCCCTCCATTCAAAAGTAACGATTCATTGTATACAGACAGAGATCCCTTGGATATTGTAACCGAAAGACTTAGCAATGTAACCAAAACTTGATGATTCTCGGCGTGGAAAGGGTTGACCGGCAACTGCAAAAGCAAATGGGTCGTGTGACAAATATCGGAACACAGCGAATCGATTCATGAAAGAAGAAAAAGAAAAAAAAAAGAAAAAACACAAGGTCTGCGAGTTACAGGTGGTTGCTCTCCACTATTCCGGAATGACTACTCGCAAAGCAAGCAATGGTAACACTGAATTAATTGGCACGCAGGTCGAGAATTAGAAAACACAGCGCCTCGGGTCCGCCTCAATCGGTCCAATCTCGAATTACCTTGTCCGTGGACTAACAAGGCCATAGAATTCCAACGGCTTCACGCTGAAAGCCCCGTTGGAGGTCAGTTGGTAGTTTGGGTTCTCCAGCTCGAACGAAACCTCTTTCAGAATACTGGCTAGAGTGAAAATGGACCAGCGCCATGCCCACATCTTGCCGTAACACTCGCGTTTGCCATTGCCAAAGTTTTTCTTTGCTGCTGTAGGGAGATCGTTCCATTTGTCACCGAGGACCCGCTCTGGACTGAAGGTTTCAGGGTCGTCAAAGACTTCAGGATCACGGTTGACCGCGTGCAAGATGGTAACCATAATTTGGTCATGTGGAATTTCGTATTGGCCACCAGCGAGAAGGATCGGGCTTTTGTCCTCTGTAGGAATCGGCTCAATGTTGAACCCAGGCGCCGTGGCGGAAAGACGAAGTGACTCGCGTATGATGGCTTCGCAGTACGTCAGTTGTTTGAGGGTTTCAAGCTGCACCTTCCCCTCTGAGCCAACCACTGAGTCAATCTCCGCGATCACTTTGGCGTGCTTGTCGGGATTCTTGATTAAGTAGTATAGGGCGTAGGAGACAAGGTTGGCTGATGTGGCAGCGCCGATGAACATGGTGACCACTTCATCCACAACCTGTGTGTCGCTGAGCTTCTTGCCGGTTTCTGGGTCCTTTGCATGTAGAAGTGCGTCCAGTAGATCGCTGCGAGAGGCCTGGGGCTCCTGCGTTCGTGCATTGATAATTTGGGTGGCATAGTCACGCATGGTCTGGATATCGTTCTGGAAGCGACGTTGGTACACAAGCCAAGTCAGGATTTTCGGGCGAGTCGGCCGCTTCATTGCTTCCATGGTAATGTTTTCCAAGGCATCGAGGATAGGAGGCTGGGGACCTTCGAGGACTTCCACACGCTGGTTGAAGAAGCATTGCATACAAGAGGCTATCAGGAGGCGATCCAGGTCATTGGTGAAGAGAACTCGCTTCTTGATCGCTGATGTCCACTTCCGTGTCAAGTCCGGAATCACCTTTGCCATATCCTCGAAACACTTATCGGTTCCCGACTCATTGACGTATGGCATCATGATCCGGTGGGCGATTCCCCAGCTTTCCTCGTTATCGTACGCGGTGAACAGACAGTCGTGTGCACAATGGCGCATCTCCACGATGGGGCCTGTTACGCATTTGCGAAACCTCCGCTGATCACAGATCTCCCCCAGCAGTGCGACATTGCTAATAAAAACCAGTTGTTTACCTAACACCGTGATCTTGAAGATTGGACCTGTTGAACCGTGAGCCATTCATCATTCTACACGCGCCTGGGCCAAGGGGTTGCATTCTACCATATTGCTCCGCGAGTTTGATCAGGGACGTCCACGTCTCATTTGGGTTGACATCGAACACATTTCCCAGGAGCGGAATGCCCGGTGGCTGAGGGATCTTGGAGGACATGGCGCAGTTGATTAAAGATGAGTAGTAATATACGTCTCTGGACGTCAGATACTGTACAATCGAGCATCGCAGAACGGGGAGGAGGAGCCTGGTCTTTTAAAAGCCTCTTGCCCAGCTTTGCGACCGGCATCAGCTGGTCTATTGAGTGCCCAGAGTGCCCGGGGACCTGAATCGCAAGCGTAACGCCCACAATTGTAGCACGACCAGGCTTGCTGAAGAGACGCATAAGATTGAAAGTCGGGCACGCTGATTGGCTCCGGTGGTTCAGTCACTGTAGGCGATAGGCTGATCCGAGCCCCGTCTTGGGAGACCGGCACATACCCGCTTCACGGGGCGGCCTTAGTGGCCCGGAGCGAACCCCATAAGGCGGGTGAACCCGGTGCTTGTGCATTTAAAGCCGCTGTTAATAATCGAGACACGTCACACAATGTTAAATACTGCTAAGCTGACTCCCTCATGGGTTTCGAGCTCCACAGAAGCAATCTGTTCATCAGCTGCTGTCCCAAAGCGAAGATCCTACTGAAACGAGATTAGTGTCTTCATCAACCCAAAAGAGCTACATACCGACCTTTTAGATCACAAGCCCGCCGCTTCGCTAGCTGGCACAAAGTCCCGAGGCGCCCCAGCGGGCTGGAGCGAAGATCCAGCCAGGCTCACGGGAATGATCGACGCCCGAGCTCCTGCAGAACCCACATTCATCCAGTCAGGTGATTTGAAGGCAATCGTGAAATTATACATAGTTTGGTGGAAGGTACGGCTCATTGATCATGTGTTCTCGCGGACTGTAACTTAAGACTTGATAAGAGCACAAAGTGGTAACTACGAAAGCCCACAGTAAACAGGAGGGCTCTAGAAACTCTCTACTTTTCAACTCACTCTTCAACTCATCACCCAAGAAATAGTACCGCATGATGGTCAATTATGTGATCATTGGGCAGGAAATAGAAACACCAGTGTGTTTTGATTGGACCAAGGAAGGCTAACTAAAGTATATCAGAAGCGTGCGTTGGGCATTAGAAGTGTCGGTTGAACAGTAGTTCATGCGCGAGCATCGTCTATCCATGTTACGACCATCTACATATGGTATTCGTTGCTATTGAATGTATCGAGGATAAGAACTATGGAATTTGAAAAAGGCTATGATACATGTGCTTATTTTTCCTGGTGCGTAGTGTCTTATTTCCTCGTCTTCTTCAGAAACTAAATGGCATGTTCCAGAGGCTGGCTCAGTGCATCCCACAGTAAGCCGATGCCAGCGTTTACTGTTCCTTGTCGCTAAGCTTCTTGACTGAGCCACGGGAGGACACACGAGTGACCATTCTCAGGTAAAGACGCTCACTGCGGCGGCGCTGGCCGTCGGAAGATCCATTGTTGAACCCTGCGCGACCAAATCCCGCGGCGGGAGAAGCGGACTCATCGTGCGCATCAAAATCCTCCTTCTCGTCCTCCTCCTCATCGGTGATCCTGCCACTTTGCTTCTTCTGAGATGCACGCGGTCGAAAGACATCTTCGATTACCCATTGCTTGAAGGTTGGGAGGATCTCGATGTCAGGGAACCGAACAAGGCTGCCTTGCTGTCGGGAGGGGGTCTTAGGTTGCTTCCGGGACTTGGAGCGGGCAGAGCTGCCGCTCAGCTTCGCCTGCTGTGCCTGGTGGATCTTTTCATTCTGACGAAGGCTAGCCATGTGCTCGCGGATTCGCTCGATGAGGTGCCGAATGGCATCAAAGGACTTGCCACGACCAACTTCCTGACGAAGCCATCTTGGGACCGGGGCAACAATGGCAGTGGGGTGTTTGCGGCCGTTTTGAAGAGGTCCAGATGATGCGGTGCTAGCGGACTTGTCGTTCGTCCCGTCCGCCCTCAGGACCTCTCGCCGGCGAAGAATGAGTTCAAAGCTAGCAACTCCACCCCAGACCTCCATGCGCCGCAGCGACTCCAGCAAGAGATCACATTGAGTGAAGGGCCACTGGTTAGCTCGATAACGTGCTCTCTGGTAGTGTTTCCGACAGTAGTGAACCCAGACGCGTGGCGGAAACAACTTGGTGGAAGCCTTGTTCCGGCCAAAGACATGTGAGACTACCTTTCGAAAATGCATTCCATCTGGCGAGGGAGTCATGCAGCAAGGGAAGGAAAACTCGCACATGAGTGTGTATTCTTCGGCTTCCGAGTCCGGTGGCGGCGACGGCTCTCCGTCGCTGAGTTGCTGTGGTTCTGGGCTGTGACTTGCCCCGCCATGGACAGTGAAGGTATGCGGTTCCTGTCCCTGGGGGATGGGAGACTCAGGTAGAGCCAAGGCCTGCGTGGGGGACAGCATAAAAGGCCGCATGGGAGGGAGGACTGGGCTGAGCTGTGGTTGTGGAAGGAGAGGAGGAAGGAGAGGAGGAAGTCGAAGGCCATCTGGTATCTGCTCCAGGGGGACGATGTGGCATTCAACATAACGAAGGGAGCCAGCGGCCGGGGGAGGCTGTTGGTGGGAGGAGAAGACCTCAGCTTCAGGAGCAGACCCGGTCATAGGAGATAGACCGTGAGTGATTGCACCTATCTCCCCTGAACTTGGGGAACCGAATACCCTGTGAAATTGGGTGCCAGCGTCTTGAGTCTGAATTTGGTTCCAAGGGTAGTCCCTGTTCTCCATGCCAGAGATACCCACGTGTGGATCAGACATGCCTGGCAGTTGCGATCCCGAGTAAGGTTGCGACATGGTTGAGGGAGGAAGGCGAAGCAGATGATGTGACTTGAGGCAAAGTGGGAAGGGGAGATAATGATGGTGAGAGAAAGTTGGGAACGATGATGATGAGATATGTGGCAGTGAGCGAGAGGGGATATCTGAGAGACTGGATGGCTTGCTGTTTAAATGCGATGGTTTCCGGAACTTTCCTTAGATTCACTGAACTCGAGGATTGACTTGAGTACCAAAGAGGGAAACGGGCAGCCAACCAGCCCACGGCCTCAGACAGCCATCTCCATCGTCTTTTCCTGCTTATGCACCAAAGAGAGGATGATACTCGCTACAAAGGTCAACGCGAATACAAGTCTAGCATCCTGAATGCTCCGCAACGTGGCATTCATATTATGCATATTGGAATGAGAAAAACGTTCACGATGTACCAAAAACACGTGGGAAAAGCTCTGTGCCACAATACCTACAAGAATCAGAAGAACCACGAGCTACTCAACCGACCGATGCTTCCATTGTACTTTAAAAAGGTTCAACTCCGAGGTGCCCGAGAACTAGATAGCCCTACACAGCCGACCTTATAAAATCTAATCAATCGGAAGGAGACTTCAGTTCTTCACATAATGTCACTAAGAGCAGTCTCCACCTTTGGTGGAGGATCGGCTAAGCGTTTTAGTATTGACGGGAGATCTGGTATACTATGTAGGAAATGACAAGCAAGTATTGAGGCGCTAGGCAGGAACGGCTCTGCTGGTTGCTTGATACTTGGGGAAAGAGCCGACTAAGTCAATAAACCCTCTTAACTAGTGATCTTTCGTGTTGTAACAAGATTTAGTTCTTGAGGGGCTGAGACGAGGCTGACCATTGGCTATGAACTAACCCGGAAAGAGTTGTGCATATTTACACTAGGATTAAATCCTGATATATACAGTGTCAATCATGGGCTTACGTTCCATTAGGCGTGCGAGCATTGTGCAAGTATCACAGAAATGGCAACATCGGGTGTTAGTGTTTAAGTGTGAGTGCATTGAGACACTTTATTCAACACGACTCGCATTCATCCAGAAGCATAATAGTTGTTAATTTCATATGATGTCAAATGAAAACTTCTAATATCTCAAATAAACTAGCTTCTCTGGCTAGATAACTACTTCTACGTCCTGGCTTATTAGAAATCGGCATTGTGCCTTGCGAAGTGGTATTCACAAGTCGAACATTCAAGGCTGTTAGATTCACTCCAGTAAAGCGAAAGGTCCTGAATCTACTATCAGCGGGTGCATAAGTCCTAGATCACTGTTAACCTGCGCTGTCTTTTCCAATCCAAGCCAGTGCCAGAGTCCATACGCCAGCGCCTCTGCACAAAGACCAAGTAGGATGCCCTCTGCCTGAGTGCGGTCAAGCCGAGCTGCACTACATTGACTGGACACCTGGTCTTTAGCTGGCTAAATCCACGCAAATGTGGATAACTACCCTTCAAGGTAGTTCGCGTTTTCTAGGTTGAAAAGCCAAGTGAATAGCCTCGCACGGGAATGATCAATGCATTCCATTGCCCCTCTGATGACAGCAGTGGACTTATTGATCTCGCCGAGAAGACCTGATTTCGGTCCTTCCGGGATTGGACTCTCGGTATTCTGGCTGACGGACGTATCTTTTCTTCACGGTGTTCTCGCTAGGACAACAATGTTGATGATCTCCCGGAGCTTAGCAACAGCTTTCATTGAGTTCATGGACGAGATTCGGAAGCTCCCACTGACCGCACCACTGGACAAAGCTTGTTCAATACGTTCATTTGGCCGAGGAGGGTGAGGCGGTTAATAATTACAGGGACAGCTTGGCTGATTGGTGGAACTAACCAGGAACGGTGATCGGACTCCGCGACGCAATGGTGTAACGGGGAGCAGCCATAGTGTTTCAGAAGCCACCACGTGTTTCGTTCCTCAAGACCCTCGGATTTGTATTTCAATGACTGCATACTTGAAAAACTTGCAAGTTTCCTTACTGACGAGCGAGTTAGGCATCCTCTTGAATTCGTAAACCTTGATCTCTCGCTGCAATTAAAACCATCCTTTCGCTCGGTCCGTCGGCTCTAGCCGATAGCTGCAGAAGGGAGGAAATGGTTTCCCGATCTTGCTTATGTTCAAGATGCACCTCAGTGGCTTCACCGGGATTCGGTTGGAGAGCTGGTTATGTAGGAGATGACTTCTTGCATGATGTAGAATTGCCTCGGAGGGGCAAGTGCAGTGAATACGAGAACGAATATCTCCATTGACCATTTTCCGTATGGGGAGACATCGATCACTCTTCAGCACTTCCTATATTGACCGGGCGCAACCGAAGGCAACTGAAGTCCGTGGGCAATATAGCAGATCTTGAACCCTGGCGGTCGCTACCCCCGTCCACGGTAGCATTGCTAGGTTGCGCGTTGGCTTGAGGGAAATTGCGGGGTGGTGGAGCAGGATCGAAGAGGGTCAAGGAGTGGTGCGACGCCATCCCCTGCCAGGTAATGAGCCCCGCTCCAGGAGCAATTGAATTGAAATCAAGCATCCGTAGCCACAATTAGCACCGGATTGTGGCAATGGGTCATGGTAGTGTTCTTTGGTAAACTTTGCGACCAGCTGCATTGCGATGCGCCGCCGGTGGGCGCAATGCTCTGATTGGGAGGTGCCGACCTTCAGGCCCAACCTGTGTCAGCTTGCTTGTTCGGCAAGGCCGCCTAGCTGAAGGTAAATTACCAGGGTACACGGATGCGCCGGTGAGTCTGCGCATCAAGAGTATAAATCTGACGAACCCAGCTGTCTAGAACGGTGAGAATAGCACGGCTCTTCAGAAAATCTGCTATTCACATCGAGCTATTTTCTGGGAATCTTTCAAGATGCTACATGCTACCTGGTCACTTCTCAGTTTCGCTGCTCTCAGCTATGCTGCGCAGAAGAGGGCGGGGTCTGCATCGGCATATAGTTCCAATTCCGCTGGGAATTATAAGCTTTCTTCCATCGCAGCCCCCGTTCAAGGCAGCGGCACCCCAGGCTCAGAGTCAACTTGGAAACTGAGCGTCGATGATACAAGCACCGGCCACAAACAGACCATCGTTGGCTTTGGCGCAGCTGTCACGGATGCGACCGTCACTTCCTTCAATACTCTGTCCAGCTCGCAACTTCAGGCCCTTCTTAATGACCTGATGACCGGCTCTGGCGCTAATTTCAACTTGATGCGTCACACCATCGGAGCCTCGGATTTATCTGGAGACCCGGCATACACCTACGACGACAATGGAGGCTCTGCGGATCCATCCTTGTCGGGCTTCAATCTTGGGGACCGCGGAACTGCTATGGCGAAAATGCTGGCTACCATGAAGTCTCTGCAATCGAACTTGAAGATATTTGGTTCGCCGTGGAGCGCCCCTGGTTGGATGAAGTTGAATGGGGTTATTGACGGGAACACCCAGAACAACAATTTGAACGATGGGTATTTGAGCGGAGGCACGGGAAGCTCTGGATACGCCAGCGCATTCGCCCAGTATTTCGTGAAGTATATACAGGCCTATAAGAACCTCGGCGCTCACATCGATGCAATTACTGTTCAAAACGAGCCTTTGAACAGTCAGTCTGGCTATCCGACTATGTACGTTTATGCCGACGAGTCCGCACAGCTCATCCAAAACTACATCGGCCCCGCCCTTGCAAATGCGGGCCTAGACACAGACATCTGGGCATATGATCACAATACCGGTGAGCCAACGCCAACGCATATGGAAATGTATTTGAAGCTAATTGTCAACCCTCAGATGTCCCTTCCTACCCTCAGACGGTCATCAACAACGCAGGGAAATACGTGGACTCCGTTGCTTGGCATTGCTATGCTTCCAATGTCGATTGGACTGTCCTCACCCAGTTCCACAACACCAACCCTTCTATTAAGCAATACATGACTGAGTGCTGGACTCCAGCTGGAACCTGGAACCAGGCCGCTGACTTCACTATGGGGCCTCTTCAAAACTGGGCCTCTGGTGTCACTGCGTGGACACTCGGCACGAACTCGGCCGATGGTCCCCATCTCTCCAGCGGCGGCTGCGCCACCTGTCAAGGCCTGGTCACTATCAATGGTGGCAGCTATACCTTCAACCCAGCCTACTATATGATTGCGCAGTTCAGCAAGTTCATGCCCCCCGGTGCGATCGTGTTGAATGGATCTGGCAGCTATACCTACTCTAACGGCGGTGGCGTGCAATCTGTGGCGTCGCTCAATCCAGATGGAACTCGCACAGTGGTTATTGAGAATACTTTCAGCAATGACGTTTATGTCACAGTGTCAACGCAGAGTGGACAGCAGTGGAGTGGAAACGTCCCGAGCGAGTCGGTGACTACCTGGGTGCTTCCGGCGGCGTCCTAGGGGAGGGAGGCACATAAATCGTGTGATTCATAAAGCAATTTGCTCGTTTCTATTGAAGTAAATTGGAAGAAACAGACGTATATATTGAGAGATACAAGGAGGAAAGAAATCCATATAATCTTCGACGATCTGGCCATTTTCATTGAATTATCTTGACAGTGCATATACACTCTTTCTCTTTCAGTTGAGGTCCTTTCCTTGAACCCGCTTGCCAGCACCAATGCTTTGCAGAGAAAGATCAAACATGACCCTCGGTTCTCCATTCGAATATAATCCGGACCTTCCCATGCAAAAGCCTTTTGCGTTTTTCCTCGCGACGACACCACCAGCTGATGAAAATAAGATCACGGATAGAGAGAACCAATTAACCCCGGGATAGTGATCTCAGCGGGGACGGGGGTGTGGCGCGTGCCTATTTTGTAGTCATCGCGGGAGAGCGCCGTGGGTCGTGACCGGATCACCATCATGATGAACGTTAGGGCTGCACGTGACCGGCCTTCCGGCGACGTCCGACTGCACAGCAGGACGAATCGGGACAACTCAGGGTCTAAGCAATACATCAAAATACATCCAAACTGCACTAGTCAAGATAGAAGTGGGAGGAAAGTATATTGAAATAAAAATTTGCAACATTTTGTTTCTTGTTCTATGATGCAAAGGTCATTATCGTGTTTCGGCAGACCCACGAGGGGTTCAACCGAGAGCGAGGTCCAACTCCCTATGTACAAAAATCACACAGAAATAGCAGGTGATGGGGAGTTGACATCCAGGCCCGACAGCAGACAAAGTAATTCTTACTGTCAGTTTTTATATGGAGGGGACAAAGCCCCAAGGGAAACAATCATCAAGGTAGGGGAAGTGTCGCTGAAGTAACATCATAAGTCGGGAAGGTATCATGCACAAGACGCCAGGGGGTATGCAATGGAGGGGAAAAGAGAGGCAAGAAAAGAAGACGGGATCACTGGGCGGCAGTGGTCAGAGATGACTGCAGTGCCTGTGTCAGGGCCTCCTCTTGGCGTTTGCGTTCCATCTCCATCAGATACTGGGCATACTTGGAGCGGGGATTGTGGATGCCGCACTCGGTCTTTTGCTGGCCCTTCCAGCGACCGGAGCGCTCGTCCTCGTTGTCAGCAACAGGCTGGGTCGAGTGCCAGTCACCGACGCTCTTGTAGCCACGGTCGAGGAGCTCGTTGTAGGGGACGTTGTGCTCCTTGACGTACTGCTTGACCTGGTCGAAGGACCAGTTGGCCATAGGGTTGATCTTGATGAGGCCAGCTTCGTCAACCTCGATGACGTCGAGGTCACCACGCTTGCCACCCTGGCTGCGGCGACGGCCAGTGAGCACGGCGTGGACGTTCATTTCACGGTAGGCACGCTGGGCGGGCTCGACCTTGGCAACCCAGTCGTAGAGTTGGTCGTCCATCTCCCAGAGACGGGGGCCATACTTGGATTCAAATTCAGCGGCAGAGTCAGCACCGAGGGGCTTGTACACGTGCACATTGTTGTGCGGGTAGCGCTTCCGGACCCGGTCCACCAGGGCCAGGGTCTCAGGGAAGTGGTGCAAAGTGTCGAGGAAGATGAGGTCGACCATCTGAGGCCGGGGCACCTCAAGCTTAGACAGCATGTCCAAGGTGACAAGACCAGTCAAGCCAAAGGCAGTGGTCTGGAAGAGGTGAGGGAGAGATGTGATGCACCATCTCAAGATGTCTGTTGGAAAATCGAGTCAGACCTTGATCGTCCAGCAAAGGCGGGGTCGACGGAAGGATATGGGACAGAGAGAAGACTCTTAACATACCTTGGGGCTCGAGGAATTGGAGTTGACGGTTGAGGAACTGGAGATGAGGCTTGGTGAAAACAATCTCCGGGGTATAGTCCTCACTTGAGCCACTGCTCACATAGCCAGACTCGGTGTTGGTATCCCTGGAGTCGATGCCATTCTCGACGTCCGTGGGGTAGTGGGAAGGCATCTTGGCCGGCATTTTGGCAGCAATGGGAGGGCAATGTGCAGGCAAGCAAGTATAGATCAGAGCACAAGGGGAGCTAATTCACACCACACCGTGGGTTGGGAGGGTACCGAAAAGAGCTTGCGGAGGGAGTTCAAGATGACAATGGCAGGACTATAAGAAGAACAGGGGAAATCACGACATCATTTCGGATGTTCGTCCCTGGCATCTCATCCGACGGCCTGCCATTGCCGTCCATTCTGCCGTGAATGCAATCACGACATTGCCAGTCACCGCCTGCCGTATTGGGGGTCCATGCTGAAAAATTCAATTGCTTCAGGCTCTGGGGGAATCACGCAATACCTGCACTCTTGGTCTGTCTGGGTCGCCGGACGAGCTAATTTCACCATGTCCGCCATGGCAAGCAGGCATTCCGGCACTCCCACGGCACCACTTGCCAGTTCGGACTAGCTGTGAACAGTATAGCTCTGATTTTTGAACTTGCTTCACGGGCTGATAAATCCATCCGGGCGGAGTGGGGAGGATGCAAGGCATGTTATCCCCGGCCTATCCAAACTCCGCGGCTGACCAATGCACCTTCCGGCGCTGGGTCGCCTATTGCTCTCTAATCAATGATGTTAGCGGTCTTCCAGAAGACCAACGGAGATCTTGGAGGGTACCTGATCCATCAAGCTATCTGTAGAATGATGACCTGTGTATGTCATAGCAGGTGAGGTGGCGGCGGGGTGCTTCTGCCCTGCTATCCCCTGCTTTGCTGGCCCCCGCAGTCCGGATAGTACTCGGCTATTCTGCCCGGCGGTGAATACCGCCTTAGTTACCATGAATGTCAGGTGATTTCTGTGGGCCCTGAGCCACGTGCCGATCGGCGGCGGCGCTTTTTCGAGATGGAGGGGTTCTTTCCGCAGGTCGCTGGCGCTGCATACTAATTGTACCGTCTTGAGAGGTTGACCCTGCTTTCTTCTCCCTCTCCCTGTAACTCCATGGCCGACTCTACCTCCTCCCGCCAGCGGCCCTCGCTTGGCCAGATGCGAAACAATTCGTTCCTGCAGGACCACCAGCAGTATAAGGCCCCGGTGCCTCTCTCCATCAACCAGAACATCGGCGAGGTCCTTGGAGCGCAGCTGGACGACAGTCTGTCAACATTGACCAACCCGATCAAGCCGGATACGGAGCGCGTCACCGACAGCGGTGTCATCCACAGCCTCTTCAATCACCAGGCCAACCAGCTCCCACAGGGCACCGCGCGCATCGTAGCGACCATCTTCTACAAGTCGGCCCACCCCGTCCACCCCCACTTCCACCCTGATGTCTCGCCTGCCCTGCAACCGGGCGATAAGCTGCCTTCTCCGCGCGTCCCAGAAGGATCGGCTCCCACAGATGACATGGAGAAGATCCCCCGGGAGCCGCCTGCGCCTGAGCCGGAGCCGTTGGACCACCTGTACGGGCCCTACGTCTCGCAGCTCTGCTTAACCAATTTCCTCCAGACCCTCGAATCCCTTCCAACTCCGTACCAGCGCACAAATTCCTCGCACCGCTGTCTGGATCGCGAGGCCCATCCCCGCGTCGTGGAGGTCATATTCTCCCCGCCGCCCGACCCCGAGTACCTCTCGTTCAGCGATTTGCGTAAGCACGAGAGTATCTGGCGGTTCGAGCGCGAGTGGAACGTCGAGGTCGTCTTGCAGCAGGAGAGTGTCTTCCGCCGGCATAAGAGGCTAGCAGTTTTTGATATGGATAGCACCCTGATCGAGAACGAGGTCATCGATGAGATCGCCAAGTTTATCGGGGTAGAAAAGGAGGTTTCGGTAGGGTTTCTTGACAACAAGTTCTTCGCGAACGTGCTAGAAGCTGACAAGAAACCCTAGGATATCACCGAGCGTGCCATGAACGGCGAACTAGACTTCTCCGCGTCCCTGAGGGAGCGCGTCAGTCTGCTCAAGGGCGTCCCCGCTGATGTATTCGACAAACTCAAGTCTGTCATAACCATCGCTAAGGGTGCCCGTGAGCTCTGCCGCGCTCTTAAGGCTTTGGGATTCAAGATGGCTGTGTTGAGCGGTGGCTTCCAACCTCTTGCTGAGTGGCTTGCTGACCAGCTCGGCCTGGACTACGCAGTTGCGAACCATGTACGTGATAGGAAGGACTGCCAGTCATTTAGCTTTTCTAACTTTACTTTTCAGCTCGAAATCGACCCCGCAACCCAGACCCTCACCGGCAAGCTGGTCCCCTCGAAGCCCATCATCGACGCCTCCCAGAAACGTGCCCTCCTCAAGTCCATCGCCGCCGAGAACAACATTCCCATCTCTCAGACCATGTCTGTCGGCGACGGAGCCAATGATCTTCTGATGCTCCACGCTGCAGGCCTTGGTGTCGCCTGGCGCGCCAAGTCCAAGGTCCAGCTTGAAGCCCCGACCCGCATCAACGGCGAGAGCCTCACCGATATTCTCTATCTGCTTGGCCTGGATAACGAGGATATTTGCGAGCTGAGCAAAGAGTCGAAATGATTGATTTGGTAGAGACGGTTACAGACGATTACACGGGAAAGAGTATCCTCCTGTGTCATTTGGCACGAGCACAATACCCATCCTATTACGCATGCTATTGGGCAATTGATATCCACTTGGTCGAAGCTTAAGGCTGCATGAACACGCGCTAGCCTGACGGCATTCTGACCTACATTTTCTTTTTACATGAGCAGCCTGGAGTTATATTTGCTTTTTTGATCGGGGAGCAAATGCGGAGTAGATGGGAGTGTGTATGGTGCCACGCTGCATTGATGCGCTTTTGTCTGCTTCTAGTGTGGGTATCACATAATCGCGTAGGTGTATAAATACCCAGCAGCGCATATAGGTTACGACCGAGACATAGTCAATCCAATTGGCATGCAATAACAAAGTCCTTCGTCTTCTGAGCAGGGTAAATGAGATGATATCATATTCGATTCTCTGGTCCTTATCACATGGTCCATGAAGACGATGCCGTGGATGTACAGGATAGAAAACCGTCGATGGTGATACAAAGACAAAAATGGCGAGCGTTGAAATGTTGAATCAGACGACAGAACAGAACCCCAGGACCCAACCAAACCGAACCAAACCGATGCAAAATTGACGCCGAACGAGACGAAATGGTACATAAACCATCCACACAGAGGTGATGTCAAGGTTGAAGTAGTTTATGTGCTATGTATATTATCCTTCTTTTGTGATAGAAGATAGAACCAAGGAGAGAATGATCACCGGGTGACACCATCAGCAGTAGCCAGAGTCTGATCGACGGTGCGCTCAGCGGCTCCAGAGCCGGCACGGCGCTTCTTCAGCACGTTCTCGATGAAAGCCTCACCGGCCTTGTAACTGCTGCGGACCAGGGGACCAGAGGCACAGTACAGGAAGCCCAAGTCAAGCGCACGCTGACGCCAGAACTCGAAGCGATCCGGGGTCACGTATTCGTGAACAGCCATGTGGCGCTTACTAGGACGCATGTACTGGCCGAAGGTAACAACGTCAACATCAACAGCACGGAGTTGTCGGAGGGCGTCTTCAAGCTGCTCATCCGTCTCACCGAAGCCGAGCATAAGCGAGGTCTTAGTGATAAGATCCGGACGGGCTTTCTTCGCCGCGTCCAAAACGCGCAGCGACTGCTGGAAAGTGGCGCGGCGATCACGGACGTGCGGTGTAAGAGCCTCGACGGTCTCTACGTTGTGAGCATACACATCCAGACCAGATCGTGCCACGACGCCGACCATTTCCAGATTACCCCAGTAGTCGCCAGTCAAACACTCAACCAGAATGTTCGGTGCCTTCTGTTTGATTTTGATAACCGTCTCGGCGAAATGGCGAGCTCCACCGTCCGCAAGGTCGTCTCGGTCCACACTCGTCAAGACCACATATCCAAGTCCCCAGCGCGAGATAGCCTCCGCGGTATTCTCGGGCTCATGCGGATCTAGCGGCGGAGGGGCGCGGTTGGTCTTGACACTGCAGAAGCGGCAGCCGCGTGTGCAGGTGTCACCCATGAGCATGATAGTCGCAGTGGCGGCGGATTTATCACTGCCACCCCAGCAGTCGGAGATATTGGGGCAACGAGCCTCCTCACAGACAGTGTGTAGATTCAATCCACGCAGATCCTTCTTCAGTCGTTGGTAGTTTTTCGAGTCCGGGATAGGCGTCTTCAGCCACGAAGGCAGACGAGTCATTTCCTTCTTGCGACCGGCGGGTCCAACCATGGCCGTCTTGAGGGCATAGGCCTCGGAGGGGTCAAGGGGTTCTTCCTTACCCCCTGACACAAAATCTGCGAAGGAAGGTCCTGCATTCAACTTATCCTTGAATGTCGTTGCCGGTCGTCGGGTGGTTCCCGCAGGTGTGTTGGTGGCAGATGAGGCATCGGTTGTTGCGTAGGTGCGGTGGCCGATGGGGAGGATAGAGGATGAGGACGGACAGAAAGTCGCTCTCACGGAGGACAAATGCCGTAGGCTCCGTGTCGGTACTGCCATTGTGAACGTGTGGATGTGTCTGCTTGAGAAACAAGCCCGTCGCAAAAGAAAGATGGCAATCCGATCCAATCCCGCGGGAAACCGTTCTGACTAAGCTGCACCGGTCGGGGTATCGTTGTTCCCGCCGATCTTGTTGAGGGTGGGACCCGCGCGTCCGAGCTTATTGTTCAACTAATTACAGCTTATAACCTAGATGTGGAGATTTATAGCTGAAAGGCATTATGATTATGCTTTACTATGCTGCTAGCAGACTAATTGTACAGGCTTCGCGCACAACCAACAAAGCACACTTCTGAGGGAGCGAATCGCAATGCAAGGGTATGAATGTGAAACAAAAGAACACACACAACAACAAAAGATATGAAACATTCGATTAAATCGAAAAGTGGGAGCCGTTGCTTGGAACGGAATGGGAGATGGTCGAACGAAGATCCGAGTCGGAAGGAAATGATCAAAGAGAGAGGATGGCATCAAAGGAGAGGATTCGGCGAAGAGGATCAAGGAAATAGAGAGTAAGGAAGGATTAGCGCGGGAAATTAGTTTCGAGGACTTGAGCGAGGACCTCGATCGCGGATTTGAGGGTATTGTCAGATTTGCCGCAGATAGCAAACAGCAGGTTGTCGACTATTCGTTCGATATCCTGGCGGAGCTCTGTGCTACGCGGACCTAATACGCGGCCTTTGATGCGACCGGGTGATCCAGATGGGAGCTGAATGCCGAGAGTACTGTATGCCTTGGCTGGGACGGCATCAACCGCGTATGGGACATTTCGTGATGAATGAGACGGCTTTCGGTGATGGAATTTTGCGAGTGAAAGGAGATAGTTGCGGGCGATGAGTGCGGCGCATAGACAGTCGAGGAGATTCTCTGCGACAGTCGGAAAAATGGTCCGAAAGGGCCGTAGCAGGGCCTTTTCGTCATTCTTCCGTAGAAAGACAATAACGGGAGAGGTGAGTCGCAGCATGTTGCGTGGAAAGTCTCTAACTGAATAGTCAAGCTCGCGAAGAGTCCATTCATGGTCGTCAAGAGTCCATTCATGATCCCATGATGCCTGCTTCTCGCGCTTCTCCTCTTCCGAAGTGTGTGCCGCGCGGCCTGGGGAATGCCTGCTTGTGAAGGGTAGTGCTTTAGGGCTAACGCTGCCCGATCGAATCTCTGGTTGTGGTGATGGCTCGCGCGGCCCCAGGGCTGAATCAGGCCTGTCACACACAACAGTAGATGTGACACTATCAGAGGTCAATGAGCCTGGGTCTGAGTAGATGTCGTCATCTTTGCTGTCCTGATAGCTGTCCATAGAATAGCCCGATTCGCGTGTTCCGTAACCACTATCAGACATGTCCATTGGTGGCTCTAGTGGTGTATCTGGGCTGAAAGCGGATACTTCCTCCTGGCGCTGGTCTGGTGTCATTGGGACAGACACAGTTTGACGTACTACAGACGGCGGAGGGGCCACCGCTGGCGACGTTTGCCGTGCGATATCCACGAGCCTTGGCTTGCTGGCGACGGCAAATCGCTAGGGGGAAAACCAAGTTAGTATGCGGCGTCCAAAAGCTATTGTGTCAAGATGCAAGACTCACCACTGGCTCATCCAAGGCCCTCGGCCCAGGAATGATGTCTAACTTCGGCATTGGTGGATCTTTTTCGATAATCTGGAACTTCCGACGATTAAATTCTTTGGGGTTGTCGTCCTTATCTAGCGGGTCTAGCGGCACACCTTGCAACCATGTCTCACAATACGAGAAGTTGCTCGGAATCCAACTGGCTTCGCTAGAGACAGTCGTTGGTCTCGGCCGTTGAGGTCTCGGAGAGGTAGCAGGCATGGATGCCTTGACACTGTGTAGAGAGGCGGATGATATCACCGGCGTTGGCACTTTATCAGGCTTTTTCGTCGTTGAGATTGTATCATTTGATTCTTCACATTGCCGAATGAGATTGGAATGTGCTTCATGGACATTTGTTACATCCGTTCGTCTTTTTTCAGGTAGCTTTTCTTTCCGGTCTAGAGAACGATAGGCCTGGTAGGGGAGCTGGTCTTCGGTGATCGTTTCCTCAGTGAGGTCTTGCCCCAAGTCCACATCACCCCCGTCGTCGTCTGTGGTGTCGGTATCGGTGTCGGTGTCGGTATCGGTAACTGCAAAAGTGCTCTGAATGCTCTTTCTCTCGGACTTGGAGTCACTTTTACATTCAAAATAAGAAGCTTCGAGGTCAGCGCTTGCGGGCCTGAATTCGGAAATTGGAGGACTAGGAAGGAGACCAAAAGCAGACATGCTGGCTGACGTTAGATTCTGGTCTGATCGCCATGTTCGCAGTGAATGGCCGGCCGGCGGCTTCGATGACTGTGTTGGCTTTGTAGGAAATGAGGGCGCCCCATCGTACGCCGTAAATACTGGTGACGAAGCCGATGCTGGTGACTTGGGCAACCTCAATGGAAAGGGTTCCTTCATTCTGCGTACTGATCGGAAGGGTGAGATGCAGAAGGTGCCTCGCTCTGCGGGTCGACGTGGAAATGACATCGATTGTTCATGGAGCTCTGTGGTCGGCAACGTGGGAGCCGGGACGAATGACAAAGATGTCGGATAATGCCTGCTCGTTCTGCGTCGAGGTTGATATGTGGGCGACCATCGGCGCGGAGACGGGATGGGCTCTGCAATAGGTTCTCCAATGGCCCTGGCATCGTGGCTTAACGACGACGAATGGGATGCTTGGTTTCTCATATGAGTTTGGATCCGGGCTGGATAACATGCACTAGTAGGCATTTTGGAGGTACCGCAGTCCATGGTGGCCATGGTGCGGTCCTTTCCGACGAGCAAACCCTAGTCCCAGGTTGAATGGAAGCAAAAAAAGCAAGACGGCGTCGCACGAGAGTTACCCAGATGAGATCGTGATGCAGCAAGCAACGAGCAGCAAAGCGGCAAGAATTTGGGTCAAGACAAGCCAAACACGAAATCACGGCCTCCGCAGGGGCTCGATATGTCCTTATACAGCCAGAGTGGCGCTAGGCAGGTCGTTCCAGGTGGATAGAAGGGTCACCAGGGCATCGGTTGCGCATCCCCCTTGACAGGACCAGGACACTCCTGCCATAGAGAAGACCGAGCATGTAGAGCGAGCGTTGCCCCTTCTTCAAAGGCCGTTGCCCTCCGGCACGAAATGATCTCAGCTCGCACCAGGCACGGACCATCATAATAATGAGAATGGGTGTCGCGTCGTCCTTGCATTCCCGCGAAAGATGAGATCCAAGGCAGCTGAGGTCCTGGTTGGTCCTGGATCGGGCATCACTGGAAGCCGAGGCCTGCGAGGCCCCGTCAACATGGAAAAGACCCTCGCCTGTCGCCTAATCTCGTCATAGTTCGGCGGCCGGGTGGAGCTCAGGAATGAGACAACTGGGATGGGGAGAGGGGGAGAGGGCGATCGCGGCGAATCAGCGCCCTTGAGAAGGGCCCTAGGATCGACCACAGGGTGCCCCGGGCGGGTCCTCATTGGATGCATTGCATGTATTGCATGTTGTGTCTCGTCACAACAGCAGAAGGGGCCTGCCCCTTGCATCGCAGCTGCTCATGCCTGGGCGCAATCTGAAACTAGAATATAAAATGCTTCGCCATGGCTAGAATTCTCAGTACTTGGGTTTTCCCCCGCGGCTTGTCATAGTTCCATAAATCCAGTCGACACTCGACGATGCAGGTCCGCGGTCCATATCCTCAGTCTTTGTAATTGCCGTAGCCACATCGAGTCTGCTTCAAAGGTCGTGGATTTCATTGTTTCACTGCGACCAACCCTAAATTCCCTTATCGCGTGGCCGCCCTAACGAGTGACAGGTCGAGCTCCAGCCCCGCCCCGGCTCCAGCACGGCACATTTTAGAACGATAGATGCTATTCTCATCCTCGCTCTGTAATATTAAAGTGTCTGCAGGACCACGGTGTCAGATCGCGTTCCGGGTAGAGTTTAGGACCGATCACATCGCCCGTCGAGTATGGCGCGCATTCCCGATACACGCCCATAAAGTATGCAAACAAGGCAAACACCGCGTTATCAGTCGGACTTATCGCAAAGGGAAAAAAAATTGGGCGCGGCTGGGGAGAATGGAAGCTCTTGTCTTTCCCCCATATTTCATGCACCGTGCCCCATTCCCCATGCTGTCCGAATCCTTCGTCGCGTCGACGCTGTCATCCGCTAAAACTCCGGCCGCCACGCTGCGTGATGTCGGGATTTGCCTGCAGGAATTCCAGCCATCGCCGCAACTGCGATCAACCTTCAAGAAGAGCTCCACCAATACCAATTGCCTGGCTGTGAGCCCGTCGCATATCTTCTCCGCCCAGGCAGAGAAGGCTGTGGTTCATGTCTATAGCCGCGAAAAGGGGAACCAGGAGGCCCTAGTACCATTCCCGGAGCGTATCCGCAGCATTGCAGTTGCTGGCGCGAAGTACGGCGATGTGCTGGTGCTGGGAACGGAGGGCGGCCGATTGATCCTGTGGGAGGTATGGCTTGGTCCCTATCTGCCGGTCGATTGAATGATCTATCACAGCGCAGCTAACACGAATGCCTCTAGACATGTACGGGGCGTCAAGTGGCTACCACAGCCTCCCATCTGCAGCCCGTCACCTCCATCGTCGTCGACCCCACCTCCAATTTCATTCTCTCTGGCTCTGACGATGCCAGCATACACGTCTGGTCCATTCCCAACATCCTTTCCTTCTCCAGGCCCGCCCAAGGTCGGGACCGCCAGCCTCAGAATGCACCCATCCGCACCTTCTCCAACCACCGCGCTGCCATCACCTCTCTTGCCGTTGGCCACAGTAGTGGCCGCCACAATATCGCTGTGTCGACTGCGAAGGACAACACAGCAATTGCATGGGACTATCAGACTGGACTAGTTCTCCGAACATATCTCCTTCCCTTCTCCGCGACCTGTGTGAGTCTGGACCCAGTCGACCGGGCCTTCTACGTGGGTTATGAAGATGGAAGCGCACAATCTGTAGACTTCTACCGCAGCAACTCGGTACAGCACCCCCTCCATGATTCGTCTGCACAGTCTACACCGGCCCAGGTGTCTGCCGAAGATCGATGGCTCCCACCTGCCGCCGACTCGGGTGCCACCAAGGCCCTCGCCCTGTCGTACGACGGTAGCACGTTATTGTCTGCCCATGACAGTGGTAAAGTCCTGTCGTGGAATATTGCCCGTCGGAAGTTTGCTGCCTCGATCGCCGATTACACACATCCAGTCACCAACCTAGTGATGCTGCCGCCGAGCGGCCTGCCACACTCCTCGCATACCCTGAATAGGACGATACACGCAATCGTGAAGCCGCGTCTTGACAATGCCTTCGCCGATCCGTCGCATGCCCCTGGCGCCATCCCAGCCGATTATGCATTCCAAGCGCACATTGTCGCACCCTCACAACCTAAATCGCGCGCACCCTCCCAATTCTCCCAAGCGCTCACTCATGCATTCTTCCCCGATTCCATCATCGAAGATGGCCTTGCTGAACTAGCTGCATTCCGCCAGCCAGGTGGGAGCGATCTCATCCGTGTGGCGCCCGCCGCCGCCCTGGCAGACACTGCACAGGCGACCGCGCAAGACACCCACGTTGCAGACCTTGAAGCCGAAGTCGCCATGCTGAAGAAAAAGGCAGCGGCGAATGATACTGCTAGACATGCAACTGCTGACGAGGTCGCGCAATTGCGCTCGAACCTTACTCAGCTGCAGGACTACATCAATGAGCTGCATGGGAAGCAGGAGGCAGCTCAGCAGGACAAGGTGCAGCGGCAAGCAAAGAAGGAGGATCGTGATGCTAAGAGACGTGAAGCTTGGTTTGCTGCAGAGAAGAAGGGTCGTAATGGCGATGCTGCGATGAAAAAGACGGAGATTGATGATGGCATGCTGACCAGCGAGTCGGATGACCAGAGTGATGAGTAAGGGTTTCGCAAAAGCTTAAGCATTGGTTTCGGGGTTTCTGTGACCTCGAATGGGATATTGGCGTTGTGGTGAATCCTTGTTTCTACTCACTCGAGGTTCATCATTGGGATAATAGTGATGAACACCAACTTCAACCAGAATATATCGTTCACAAATCGACTCGATTTTGAGGCTAGGGTTTGGCCCCGTTGCTTCTGTCCAGTACTTCTATTTTCTAGCTACCCATCATGCGAGAAATGTCTCCATCACTGCTCATTCAGGCAGCTTCAAGGTTGATCCTCTCCGATCAACACCAGCCGCCTGTAAGTGGGTCCAACCAAGCACCATACGGAATCTCTCCCTCATGCCCAGCTTCCATTCCATTACATGATCAGCACATCTTGTTGATCGTGCTGTTCTACTACGTCTACGACCTTTAGTCCCTCCTTCTTACCATAGTCTATTCAATCAACGGTTCCAATTACTTCACCAGTTTGCTAGGTTCTTCCAGGATTACTGAGTGTTCCTGAAGAAACTTTCTACAGGAATCCTCAGGTAACTCCTGATGATCTGTCACCGCCAGCCATCGTGGACGTAAACACCGCCTTTTCCACGAAGAAAATGCTCTTTCTTTTCTTCCCGCGATCTCAACAAAGGAGCTTTCGTACCAACACCTATTAGCCATCTTCCATCTTCCGCATTCTACCTCCCATCTCTGTTTTCTCTTCCTCTTTCGTAGCGTTCTGACCGGCGAGCACCACAGTATGACAGCACTTACATATTGGCGACACCTAAACGCAGTCAGACCACCACGAGAGAGGAAGTAATCAAAAAGATGGAAGCTGGAAGATTGAAAATTGATTATAGGTTTTAGTACGCAGCACTATGATATGGTCGATACCGATCAAAACCGGAAATCTGGGCATTCTATATATCTAGCGGAGCTCTGCTCTCGACCATCCAATCGTTGGTTAGGCTGTGGCGTCTTCGTCAAAGCAACTTTTTAGTGGGCTAAACTGCCGGAATACTTGCATTTACGGAGAAGCTACAGTACTATATTCTCAGCATGTAGTTATGAATATTAGTGCTCTTCTATATTGTACCAATTTTCAGCTGAGTAGTGGGTAGCTCTTTACTTCTCTAGAAAGTCGGGAATCCACCCCCTCTGTCACCATACAAGACTTGAATGAAGCCGCCAACAAGAAGATGGGCTGTTTCCCATAGCCCAACTCCGCGCACCCGAAACCGGTTTGCGCCCAAGCCGCGCCAGCGCCAGCCTGTCAGGCGCAGCCACTGCGGGGCAGATCGGGGGCGGCCGATGTTGATCAGCTCAAGCGCTGCCCTGCTTCACCTTTCTTTCTACACGCTTGACTTTCAACGTCCATCTCAGCGCCCCTTGCGAACCAGACGATCGGAGCGAGGACTCAAAATGACCGCCCAGACGCTGCGGGAGATCTCCGCGCACAATTTGCGCACCTTCAGGCACCACTATGTCTCGGAAATCTCGGGGTCGCTGGGCGATCTTGGTACCTTCCTGCCTATCGCGATCGCGCTAGCTGTGAATGGAACGGTGTCGCTGGCCAGCACTTTGATCTTTTCCGGCATTTACAATATCCTCACAGGGTTGTTCTTCGGTATCCCGTTGCCCGTGCAGCCGATGAAAGCTATTGCGGCAGTCGCGATCGCCCGCAGCTTCTCCAGTGGTTCGATCGCGGCGGCCGGGATCTTTGTTGGTGCCTGCATTCTGGTATTCAGCATCACCGGACTTCTACACTGGTTCGCCAACATGATTCCCATCCCGGTCATTAAGGGGATTCAGGTCGGCGCGGGCTTATCGCTGATCATCTCTGCCTGCGGTAGCATGCTGCGCCCACTGGACTGGATCAGTCCATCTTGGGCGGACAACCGTATCTGGGCGATTGTGGCATTCCTCGCCTTGATCATTACTAGTGTGTACCGCAGGGTTCCATACGCATTGACCCTATTTGTCATTGGTCTAGGCTTCGCCATCATTTGCACCGCGCTGGCGGGCCATCTTCCTGCTTTCACTCTTTGGCACCCGTGGCTCGTGCTGCCGACTCCCCACCAGTGGCGTCTTGGTGCTTTGGATGCTGGTATTGGACAGATTCCTCTCACGACGCTCAACTCCATCGTGGCGGTCACCCACTTGGCCAGCGATCTGCTGCCAAATGTGCGCACTCCCTCGATCACCCACATCGGCCTCAGCGTGGCCGGCATGAACCTGCTCGGTTGCTGGTTCGGTGCCATGCCGGTCTGCCATGGATCCGGCGGTCTTGCAGCGCAGTACCGCTTCGGTGCCCGCTCAGGCGCAAGCGTGATATTCCTGGGCGTGCTTAAACTTCTCATTGGCTTCCTGTTTGGCGAGACCCTGGTCGACTTGCTCAAGCGCTTCCCCGCCGCGTTCTTGGGCGTCATGGTCATAGCGGCAGGCCTGGAGTTGGTGAGTGTCGGTGAGAGCCTCAACACCTCGGGTGCTCGGGATCTAGCCCAGGGTGGAAGGGGCATGCTGGGAGCAATGGATCAGCACATTGGCCCCGTTTGCACCGACGAGGAGCGCAAGCGTCGCTGGACTGTTATGATGGTTACCGTTGGTCTGCTAGTTGGATTTAAGAATGATGCAATTGGTTTTATTGCCGGTATGCTGTGCCACTGGGCCTACGAGATTCCGAACTGGTGGGAGAAAGGGCGCAGCCGCTGGGCAGAGGGCCGCCTTCGCTTGCGGTAGAGTATATCATCCCAATGAGTCAAAGTCAAGGATGAGCTCGTGCACAGTTCGACCTACCTTACCATCTACCTTCATGGGATGTTTCATACAGCCTCCTGTATATGTCGGTCACAAACTATATATGTATATAACGATATAATGACGTTCCGGTAACCTACCACATACTATCTACATTTTTTAAATGACCTCTGACACATCGACATCAGCATCCGCCTGCAACTGAGTCCCAGTCTCTGGATTGTCATACTGCCGATGCTCATGCGCCACCGACGACAACCCCGAGGAATCCACTTCCACATCCCGGTGGAACTTGCGCCCAGCCGCATCCCGCACCTCCCGGTGATGCCGCGTCGTCGGGCCAGTATCATAATCTGTATGCTCATCATAAGCACCGGTGTCTACATCCACCACCCTCGTCCCGAATGGCACTGCCATATCCTCCAAATGAGGCGAGGCTACGCTGCCATACACACTTCCGGCCTCGAGAGTGGATGATCCGGACGTCTCGTCATCGAGATCTGTGATTCGCCGCACTCCACCTGCAGACGAACCGCCCGGTCCTGGGAGCGCTAGCTGTTCCTCCCCTGTACTGTCGTAGCGATGCTCTTCAACGACGGTGGGTTGGCCCAGATCTTGGCGGGCTGTGCGCACGACGGTCGTGCCGTCGGGCTTGGTGACCGAGGTCGTTAAATACCGGTGGCCAGTGGTGGTCGTGCCATCGCCTCCGTTGCTCGTTGAGCTGTAGTAGTACGAAGAACTGCTGTAAGAATCGGACATCTTGGGGGACGGGGAGGCTGGATGACAGGTGCGAAACGGAGCTATTGGGTCGTGCCACGGTTGTTCTGGCTATATAGATCGAAGATAGATCGAAGGTGTAGGTGATGGATCATCGATGCTAGACCATCGTTGTTCTCCATATATATTTGCTTGGTGTGGCGAGACATGATCTCGCCTGACATCATGTTGTGCGGCGAGCTTCTTGAGTGGCGGGGGCGGGCGACGCCAGTCCCCGGGAAAGAACTGGGGCACTGAGCCAGTAAGAGAAAGTCATCTCACAGGGGGGCTCTTTCAGTACCATGGAATGTAATTTAGCAGCATGCCGCTTTTGTATGGGTCAACAAATAGCGAACCGTTGAAGCTAAGGTACTTTGGCCCTGATAGGTCGCAGGCCCACGGTAGTGCTAACTATGGACAGCATCGAACTGATCCGAATGCGCTTGTTCTCCTAGCTCGGGTTCGGGAACATGCTCGGTCTCGTTGATCGAATAAGATAGATAATACACACCTCAGCGCGGATGGAACTACTGCAACTACTCTACGAGAATGAGATACAAAGCTCCCAACCCAAAAGTGAAACACCAACATGACGGAAACGTCAGAAAGACAGCTAGGCTCATGGCATAGTGGATGCTCATATCGAGCATCTGTTTGAGGGATTGCGGGACCAGCGATAAGATCCGGACAAGGCAATGACCCGCATGACGATATCAAGAGTATCTATTGCTTCAATATCCTCTTCGCCATTCTTACACTGGCCTGGAGACGATCGATTCATGATGTCCATATGCACGCAGCATATTTTGGGTGTGCGTGGCCCGTAACTACCTGGGTGACCAACCCAAGAGGGAAGCAGGCTCGCAAGCTACAATGGGGTCTTGCTTTTATCTCAAACAAGGAAGGCTCATCTGTATTAAAGAGAACTGACGTTGAAAAGTACTACCGAATAGTGAAGCCGCCATCGACTCGTATATCTGCACCGTTGATCATGCCGCTCGAATCCTATGTAGCATCTTAGTTTCGTGACGAAGTCCATTTCCAGAAAACTACTTACTTGGCACAGGAATACGACCGCATCTGCAACTTCATCAGGAAGGGCGAATTTGCCGGTCGGGATGTTCTTTAAGAAGGTCTCTCGCACCGAATCTTCTCCCCACGCCTTCTGGCCCAGAGCCGTCCAGGCAACCGTGGGGCTGACGGTATTCGCGGTGATTCCACGACTTCCCTATTCAGATGCCATGCTGCGAGTCAATCCCATCAACCCGGCTTTGGAGGCGCAATACGCACCGTGCCGGTGTAGCGCCACGTGTGCCGCCTGGGAAGAAATGCTGACGATCCTGCCCGGCAGCGGAGGGCTAGTCGAAGACCCCGCGACTTTCGACGCGGCAAAGTAACAGGTTCGCGAATGCCTGCGAGCAGAGCATTGGGCCGAACACATTCGTGGTCAGATGCTTCATCGTCTCCTCGGGAGGTGTGCTTTCCATGTCGCTCAGAGACACATAACCTGCCGTGTTAATCAGGATACTGGGGAACGCGCTCTCCGTCCAGGTCGACGAATCCGGCGCAATCATGTCTTTTTGCAGCGAGAGAAATGCAGATTGAACAGAATCAGGGGACGTGATATCACATTCATATGTGTCGATGTCATTCACGCTAGAGCCGCCATAGCCCTCTTCAAGTAGCTGGTCCCGACGAGCCGCCTCGAATGGAGCATATAGAATGGCGAGACGGACGCCTTGCTGCCGCAGTTTCTTGCCTATGCTTGACCCAAGTCCGCCTAACGCAAGCCTAGAGTTAACTCTTCTTTCGTGGTACTTGGCTATGAGCGCCCTCGGTCCCTACCTAAGCCTCCTGGGAGGATCGCTAACCTGCGCGCGAACGCCATTTACCGCTCTGCAGTGTAAGGATAAGTGGGAAAAGTATAGAGGAATATGATTGATTAAAGAAGCCTTGTTAGCCAAAGTGCATTGAGGACAGTTATGGGAGAGTGACGTTGGGCCAAGAACCCCTCGCAACAGCTTGCAACATGCCGGACGTTTCGGGCAATGATCAGTGGTCCCTCCGACATCGTGCGGGATCAGGTACCTTCTACGGGAAGCGACCTGACGGCAAACATGCCTACATCACGTTCGGTCGATCGACTCGCTGGACTGGACTTTGTTGTTCGCTTGGCCAAAATCTCACATTGTTGTAGGGTGAATCATTACACCACAATGCCTGGACATTGGCGCACGATCGCATAGGCATGGGATCATCAGTCAGAAGAACGCAGTCGAAAACTACATCTACGAGGAGAATTACGGAACTAAAGCGGCTTGCTGCTCGGTCCTATCCCATGTCGTCTTGGCCTTGGAAGAACATCGACTGGCACCAGTCTGAACACAGAAGGGCAGGGCGTTCTCTGCATCAGGTACTCCGGATGAAGAGATCGCACCACGATCTTGCGATGTCCAACTGGCCACAGACTTCTCGCCTGGCAAGTAGAATCGGGCGGCGTGTGTACCAGACAAGCACGAGGTAAAGGAGTCGGGGGGAAGAATCTCTTCCCCCCGACCAGCAGCAAACCGCAATCTACAAGCCATCAGTAGCATCTGCCCAGGTCGCGCCTGTAAGGCAAGACACGGACGGTGACAGAAGGGAAGAAGGGAAAAATAAAGCAGGCATGTCCTTTCGCTGGTATTGTCCAGATCAAGTTCTAACGGTATATCTCAGAACGAGGTTTACTTTGCAGCAAAGCCTCGAACACCCGTCATGCGTGCTCATCAGGAATACTTACCCAGGCTGCCGGGGAAGCCGGTAGCCGAGTAGATCCACCTCGTTTTGTCTCTTACCTCATCGGTGAGGAGACACCACTGCCCAAATTTCAAATGGGCATTCCACGTCTCTTAGACAGCGCTCTCCTTGCCCGATATGCCGGCAACCACATCTCGCTCCACGGAGGCATCGCTTTCAGATGCCGAGTCGCTGACCTTCAGATGCTGGAACCATTCCTGCTTCGATTTGCGGTACCACTCGCCCAGTGCGAGGATAGTGACTCCACCCATAATGACTATCGCATAGTTGAACAGGCTGGAGTCCTCATCAATCGCAGCATCCGAATACTGCGGTGCGCACAGGACTGCGAATGCGAACCCATTCCAGACAAATGTGACGATGGCGGCCACCGCACCGAACCGGCCCAGATCCCAAACCCCCGGGCAGAAGGACTTTCGGGTGATGAAGGCGCGACCAATACCAACAAGACCATACGCGGCAATTGACCCAGCTGCCGATGTCGAGACCAAGCTATAGAAAGCAACCTGGGATGCCAGCTGGGTGCAAAGAAGGAGCGCCGCAATGGCGGCAATGAAGATGACCGCGTTGCGGGGCTGTTTCGCCTTGGAAACTCGGGAAAGCACCTCGCTGAAAGGGAAGACGCCGTCACGCGCAACGGCGAAAACGAGGCGCGACACCGCTACCAAGGAGATCGAAGTGTTGAGGATGGCGCCGATCATAGACACGATGGTCATCACAACGTGGGCATGAGGTCCCAGCGCCAACGCGTACATGTTGATGAACGGTTGGGGCGCGGCGGTGTCGTAGAACGTCTCGATCGAGGGCATACAGAAGAGAAAAAGAATGATGATTGGGAATCCACACAGCGCAGAGGCAACTGTAGACCAGAAGACCCCCTTCGCAGCAGCCTTCTTGGCCGAGATAGTCTCCTCGGCGACGTGGCCGGACGCATCTTCGCCAACGAGACAACTAGAAACCAGGTACCAAGACAGCACCCAATTAAGGCTGGGAGCTGTCTCACCCCCGTTATACACGGATGTGAAAACGAAGTCGGCAGACTGAAAGCCATAGGTATTCGACACGCCAATCGGGAGCCAAATGAAGTTGAGCAGCATGTCGATGACGATGACGGCGAAACCGGTGCGGAAAACCCACGCGTACATGCGCGGTGGCAGGAAATTCAGCGACGTGGCGATCGCCAGGAACAACAACGAAATAGCCCAAGTAACCGCGCGCGCACGGCCAGTCGAAGTGTCGTGAGGGAAGCTCGTCTCCGGGTTGAAGACGATAATTTCCGACACCAGGTAGTTGGCCACCCCGAACGAATCGCTCGCCAAGAAGGCCGTCCACGCGACGAGTGTCCACGCGGCAACCATGAACGAGACGAAACGTCCTAGGCGTCCACCTCCCCAGGATCGGAAGGCCCAGTAGTAAATGGATCCGGCGGCAGGATAGGCAGAACACGCTTCGGCGAGACAGGCAGCCGTGATGATCGACAGGATACTACCGGAAACCCAGGAACTCCATCTGTACGGAGCATTAGCACTTTGTCAGAGCAGCCGTCATGAAACGGAAATCGGTCGACTTACAGCGCCGCAGGTCCACCTGCGCTCAATGCGATGTAGAACAGCACCCGGATGCCTCCGATGCAGTACAGCGCAGAGAATGAGCAGGCAAAGTTATCAAACGTGCCCCATCCACGCGCCAAGACAGCGCGGTAGCCAAGCTTCAGCAACTCACGATCGTCCTCGTTGGTCACAGACCCGCGGTGGTCTGTGTTCTGGACGTCTTCATTGGTCTTGGCTCCGTCCAAAGAAGCCACAGCATCGGCAGCAACCATCACAACGATGTCTTAAAGAAACAGGGTGAGTAGCACGGCTATCGGATCGTGCCTCTAGAAGAATCCAACGACAGCGCTTTGGATTTTAGAAAGAATCAGGAGTCTGCCCAGTAGAGTTTTTTCCCGGTGCGCCATCACGTGGTTGATCCATGCTTTACCGAGTGGGTTCAGCCACGGTTGAAAGTGGGGGCGCGGAAGCTTGTTGGGGTTGGGATTGGCATCATTCTAGAATTGTAGAATTGGTAGAATTCGGCAAGCGGAATGGACATGGGAATGCACCAATTTTGACTGTAGTCACTTCATGCTATACTCGGGTCCTTGTGTGTGATGGATCAAAAATAGATGCGAGTAGCCAGCAGCAGGGTTTGATGCGAGAGACAGTCCAAAGATTATGATCCATTTCCCATTTCCAAAACATGCAGCTGCTCTTTCAAGAACTGTATCGTGACACTCAACTCTGCCCCTGGTTCGAGCAAATACTGCGACTGCCGCGTGGAATATTCCACCACGCCCGCCTCGGGGCACATCGCAATACGCCAGGCGAGCAAATACCCGGTCACATTCCAGGCCACTTCTTCTTCTGCCGTACGAAAGATGCTGCCCCAGTAGTCTCCAGTCTGGTCGTGGTTTTCCTGCCAGTTCTCGCTCCATGTTTCCATCCATATAAGGTAATTTTCTAACACACGAGGCGGAAAAGATGAAAGGATATCGACTGAATCGAGGCCGCCCTCACCATGGTCCAGAGCACAGTCCTTGATTTCGGAAATAAAGCCAGAGCCAACTCCAGCATCTATTCGGTAATATCGGAGACGCTCCTCGGGCCATTTGCTGCTGGTAGAGGGCGGGTATTCGCAAGTAGTCATGGCTACCGTTGTGGGTTCGTCGCAGCCGTGCATAATTTGCAAGGTCATGTCAAATGTAGTTTCGATCACCGTCAAGCTATGAGCGGATGAAGTCACATCAATCCCGTAAGACGAGAACCCTGATTCGGACATGTTGCGTACTGAGCTAAAATGTCTTGCTGATTGGGGATTGCTGCAAAAAACAGCCAGCGGCTTGAGGATGTTGGAAGTCATTATTCTCACGAAATGTGCAGTTCACAGAGAATGGGGACCCGAGCAAGATATTTGAAGAGGCTAAATTCAGATGACTCGCAAAGTCAGTCCGTGGGATTTAAAATGCACGTTCCTCCATTCTGGCTTCAGCTTTGGACAGGGATACGCTGACCCGGGGAGGGGTGGGAGTCTGCAAATCATCCGCCCGTTTTTGCATCGCCCCGCGAATATCGTTGGTACCGTCTTGTGGCTGCACCACACCTTCTCTGGCAGCGGCGACCGGGTCTAACTGGTGAGACTCTTCGATTCTCTGCCACTGTTCGCATTTAAGTCGATGCTATCGTAGTAGATGGCGGGAGAAGTTTTGTCGTGTGTAGCAACAACCATGTGTGGTACAAAGGAGAACATGGAAATCCGGTAGCACTCGGAGGTACGATGGAAGCGTATCGCCTTCTAGGTCCACCGCCGAAGTTGTTACGCTGTGACTACGCTCGGATATACTTGATTGGCTAAGCTATCGACTCGCCCTCGCTCGGATCCTGAGTTTTTTAGTCTAGGTAAGGTAAAAAGGTAAGGGTAGTATATTATGTAGTGTGTTATAGGTAGGTAGAATGGGTGGATTGTGAATAAGATAGCCCTAAAATCTAACCCTACCCCCTAGATTGTAGGGAACGCTATTCTAGGTCGGCCCTCGGGTCTTAAGCTTAGATCGCCCGCCTGACCCGCTAGCTAGTGGGTGATTAGGAACGGGCGAGGCGTATCAATACGCTATGCTAGTGTATCGAGTTAAGAGTCTATGCGCAACTCAATATGGGGACGAGAATAAAATAGGTGGAGGGTGAACGAAAGGAGAAAAAAAACCTAACTCTATTACTCGAATAATCAAGCGTACGCTACAATCCAGTCGACATAGAATGTACCTATTCCTTAAGAAAGGGATCCATATCGTTGTTAGGGCCATCCCAACTTTCCTAGGACCGGACTAGACTGCGCCAAAAACCGCAAAACCGCAAAACCGCAAAAAACCAAACCGCAATTGGGGGGGTTTTTGGGGCTAATTCTAGAAACCGCAATGGTTTTTGGTTTCTAGGTTAGAAACCGCAATGGTTCTTGGGGCCCCAATGGTTTTTAAAGCGGGGCTAAAATATCACGTGGATAATATTCTATCGATATTTATTGGCTACATCTTAATTACTAAGCTATTTTAACTAGTTTATAACTAGTTATTATGCAATTTTATGTAATTTTATGTAAGAATGGTTTTTGATGGTTCCCCAATGGGGAACCGCAATGGTTTATGGTTTGGTTTGGTTTTTGGTTTTAAAAACCGCAACCATTGCGGTTTGGTTTTTGGGGGCAAGGTTTGCCCCCAATTGCGGTTTTTGGCGCAGTCTAGACCGGACCACTACGGTCCCAGCCCCCCAAGCGGTCCTACGAACAAGACAAACATAGAAAATTATATGATTTATACATTATTTATGTAGGAAATATAGTATTTCTGCCAACTAATCAATTCATATAGCCTAAATAGGAAGGTCTTGGCAGAATTGTGAAATTCCGGGGGAACGCACGGGGACCGCGTAGGGCTATAGGGACCGGTGGTCCGGTCCTAACTACTTTAAGAAACACTGAAGACCGGACCCGGTCCCGGTCCTAAGATTTGGGACCGGACCCGGTCTTTGCCGAGGTCTAAGCATGCGTGCGTTGTCGTAGTCGAGGAGCATTCTGTACCCCTGACAGATGGTTTGACAGACCTGAGCCCCAATAGCTTAGTACTTCGTTATCTTGTAGTCAGACATCGTCATGATTGGGTTGGCCTCGCCACGAGTCATTCGAGATAGGGTTATTCCTCCTAGGGTGGGTCGGCTGTATACCTCCTCTTGATACTCGATCATAAATGCTTCCAAAGTAGCGCGGTCATATTTGTTGAGGTCAAGAATACTCCGGTTTCCCTGCTGGCCTCGCTCAAAGAGTAGACCTTTATACAACAACTACACCGAAGTTTGGTAGGCAACCGACAAAACATCGGGGTATTTTCAAGATTGTGCAATTTGTGGTATAGATCCATGTAAGTCTGACCTCGAGGCTGAGTCGTGGGAGAGGATGCCCCCGAGGTTCGGTTGGCGGTGGTGGTCTTGTTGAAGGTAGGACTGTGCGGCTTTTCCTCCTTTTCTGTGGTTCCTGGATTCCCTTGTTTGGGTATGGCCAAAATGTACCAAAGGCATAACACAAGGCCAAAATGACGAGAACTGCCACCATGGAGCGCTATAGTCGGAAATTTTCGCGATGGTGTGATTGAAATTTTCAGTAATTCCTAGGCATGCGATGCCTCTCTATTGTCAACTATTCTAATTTATATACCCTGTTACATTATATTATCAATTCTGCACAGTAAGATTATTACTGGTTTTGTTGTCGTGTATAATATGTTTCTCTACACAATGTGGTAGGCTTGAGACTGTGGGCCTTACCAACCATGTTGAGACATCAACATAGTAAGACACCCTCTCATTGGCGCTAGAAAGGCTGAGTGGCGTCAGTCATAGAACAAGGGGGCTCCCTCCGGGCTGACCGAAATAGAAGCCGATTCCCACCTTTGAGAATACGCACCAGAATCATGTGCCTGAGGGGGCCAAAACATTAAAGAGGGGGAAAAAAGCATTCTGCCCGACTTTAAATTGCATCCTATTGTATCATGCTCAACCTCAGATTCTGAGAATACCTACAACATCAAGTTCATCCATGCCATCTATAAAAACTCCTCGCGCTTCCGATGATGGTGTCGACGCTGAAGCTAGAAGCACAACGCGGGAAACAGGCGAGACCGTCATCTACCCTAGTTTATCGAGAATACAAAGTGTGCTCTTGATTGGTACTGTGGCCAGCGCAGGCTTTTTTTACTGTTTGTTAACATTCATCTTCCGCTATGATTAATTTGCTAATGTACATTCAAAGGTCCTTTGCGTCCAATCCGTGGTTATTATCCTCCCCTCAATAGGTGAGGCTTTGAATATCCCATCCAGCCGTCAGGAAATCATCGTTTCCATGTACAAAATTTCCCTCGCCTGTCTGATGCTATTCTGGGGCCGAGTCGCAGATGTTTACGGCCATCGCCCGGTATATCTTTTTGGCTAAAATTTGCGTAGCTTCTCGCAAGCAGGGATAGTCCTCTATTTTGTCATTATTCTATTAGAAGACATAGTTCATCACATAATTGCTTCTTGTCAAGCAACCATAACTTTTGGCGTTTATAATCGACTTACCCGGTGTTCAAATGTATTTATTATTTTCTACGATGCAAATATATTTTCGCCGAGCATGTGCAAGCTATAGCTCATCTGAATGTAAGTTGTCCCAGGTGCAGCTCATCCTGCGCAGAGCAAAGCCCAATCATAGATAGTGCTCGGCTTTGCCTTCCTCAACTGAAGCATCGGAATTCGAGCATTCAATGTAGAGTGCCAAGATGATTGGACGCCTCACAAAGGGTGTAAACAAACGAGGAATGTTCATGTGCTGGGTGGAACTTGATTGAGTTATATCCAAAACGGAGTTCCCCTCTTGTATTATCATTTTCCAAACAGTATTCGCAGCAAGAGTTGATGCCCCTATCGCGGTGAGATATCAGAATGAGGCTATTATCTAGCTCTTGGTGCATTGCACTAGGGTTTGCTTGTGCAACTATATTTTCCACTGCGATGGGAAAGATCCCCCTCCAGGAGAAGCCCCCAAATTCAACTTTTACATTCGACCAGCTATGGACGCTTGAGAAAAACTTCTGGGATTCCTTTCTTTACCCAGCAAATTTGAACCAAACCCAGGGCAATCAATCAACCGTATTCGCGGCTGACGTAAATATTCCGCAACCCCCCATATCGGTGATGAGGTGTACTGAATTTCTTTGGTGGTAGGTTCAAGGTCGCGTTGACATTACTCGTACATTCGATGGCGACGAGCTCAACCGCGAGTACATCTTCGGCCTGTTCGCAGATCCAGTACACGTCAGCCTTGTCGGTGTCCCGATTTCTTATAGCATCACTCAATTTGCTGCCAATGACAACATCGCCGCTGCGACCACCGTTGTGACATTCAACGCCACCACCTTCGGTGTCCTGATCCCTGTGACCATTGATACATGGATTGAATTCAACTCGGACGGGAAGATTGCCCAGTACGATGCCGTGTTTCGCTGGTTCGAATACTTGCTGGATTTCCTGATCGAAGGGGTTGCGACCAAGATCAATGCAACCTCCTCTGACCAAGCGGTCGCGTACGTGTCCGACTTGCTGGCCAAGACTATATGCGCCACCCACGATCAGTATTGCACGGGATCAGACCAGCAATATAGTGATAACGACGCGTGCTATAATTTCCTGACCCAGTCCATTCGGTTTGGCAAGAGTTATGAGCTTGGTCGGAATACGTTGCTCTGTCGTGAGGTTCATGAGCATATGGTCCAGTACCGGCCCGATGTGCATTGTGCGCATATTGGGCCTAGTGGCGGGGGCTACTGTGTGGATGATTTAAGCTATGAGCAGACCGTTTTGCAACAGTATTTCAATAACTCGTGGATTCCTTACGGTTACGGGACAGGCCAGGATGTGTGGCTCAACGGTTGAGCGTATTCGAGTGGCACGCGCATGGATTAGCACTGCCCCCAACCATATACAGCCCCAACTTCAACTTCGCACCACCAGTCTCTGAAGACTGGCAGGTATTCATTGACCAAGTTACTCGTCAACTACTCAAGGCCCTGGCTTCCGTTCTACGAGATTCTAGTCTAAGCGTAAGCAACATTGAAAATAATTTCCTCAGCCTGGATACTTTCGTTGAAATGCACAAGTTGATTGATCTGCTTCCTGGCACATTACAATGACTATCTTTCTATGGATGAATTCCAGATGCTTGAAATAGCCTCTAGCGTTAGCAAAGTCCTTACGTCCAAGGGCTAGTCCAGAACGTCCGTTGAACAGAAAGCTAAAGAGCAGAACGCTGAGTTACGAGACTTATGTCTTGACAACCTCTCAGTCTTCAAGTCCTACCACCTTATTTACCTCGATGGATCTGGACGTGATAGCGGGTTGGATTCCGATGGGCAGGCTGGTCTAGACCTCAGCAAGGACCAGACCAGACCAGGGACCGGACCGCACCACTACTCCGGTCCGGTCTTGCGGTCCTAACTACTTCGAAAAAAGACCAAAGACGGTCCTAAGATTTGGGACTGAAGCCGGCGGCTGGTCACCACTAGTATATCCTGCGTCCGGGTACCCACCTATCCTGCTGCGTTCCGACAAATATGAGGCAAGCTTGCCCGATCGGGCAGAAAGGAGGTATCCACAAGAGAACTCCAGACAGATACTGTCTTCTCTTATTCTCTCTCTGGCCTCGATACCTTCGTTGGATGCCACTACGTTGGTTGATCCTCTGTCTCTTCGTACTTGGACGTGACAGACTTATACCAGCTTCAAGGGTCTCTAATAACACTAATAATAAGGTAGAGAGATACAAGGCCACCAAGGAATGTCCACATATAGTTTGGCTAATATCCGTCTGGTGGTAATAGCTCACATTCATTTCTACACCAAGACCAGTCAGTCACATGGAAACCGTCTCAGGGAACGGGATACCTTACCCCGTTCGCACGCTCATAGAGATCCTTGTTGTTGTCAAGATTCTTTAGGGTCTATTGACACATATTCTTCTTAAGCAACAGCCACTGAGACCATCTACTCATAACTTGGTCGACTCTTACCGGGTTCGCAGCATCATATTGGGCCGATTGGTTGACGCGAGGCTTACCGTCCGGGTACTTGGCCCCCTCCCTCGCTGCTGCAACCTTGGCCTTGTTCCACTAACCCATCCGCCCTAGTCAGCTGGAGTATATACACATCCCTTGGAGAGGACGATATGGGAATACCTGGTGGGTAGCGTAGGCGCCCTCGATCTTCACGCCGGCATTAATAATGCCGTGGGCGTGGCTCGCAGCGTCGGACCAGTCGGGCATTTTCGGGGGTGTATATAGATAGAGTAGATCTTGGCGAGTGGGCTTATTGTTTGGCAGGGTTAGAGAATTGTTGGTCTCTTCAACTTGAACTAGGAAAGTTGGTCCAACTGCTCCCAACATCAAGCGACCATATGGCTCTATTTATACTGAGGGGCTGTGTCCATGAACGAGTGAGCTATGCAATTCTGGTACATGTAAAACACCTATACCACATGCCCGAACATGTATCGGCTCTGGGAAGATGAATAGGGATGAGTATGCGCTATCGCGCAGCCATGGCTGCAATCTGCCAAAACAGGCAGTACCGGGGCAAGGCTGGGCAAATTACCCGGGTAAAGATCCAGCGTGTTTGAGGGTCATTGGAAGGGTGAGATCAGCTGAGCCTGAGGAGAGAGATAGAAAATGATAGTATTCCTTGAGGCGCTCCTATTTGCCAGGCTATTCCGGACGTTACATTTGCACTGCCTCCTAATCGACCCAATGCCAATACAATCTGCATTAGAACGGTTGGGGCGCCAAATGGCACTGTGACTAAAGAGTGGTACTTTTGGGCGAGTGTTATGGGCAACCACGCTTGGTAACCATGCCCATGGCACGCGCTTTTCCCGCTGGCGGTGCGGATACTGCTGATGACACCTCGAGCGTGTGCATGCACGGATACCCAACCAAATCCCAGACCGCAGGCCACCCGTGGAGGAATAGTTATAGATATAGAGACTTCCCATTGTGGCGGGTGGTGGTAGGAATTTTTCATTGGAAAAATTTTTGCATCTCGCTCACTTGTATTTTTCATTCGCTTGGGGGATTATGTTTAAGTGATGCACTGGCATCGCTGGCAGATGAGCAGGTGCTGATAGGGTTTCCTGATTAGGCCGTACGCGTCTAATATACGATAAGGGTTCCTTGCGTCCATTGCCAAGAAGCTTTCGAGTAAACACCCTTACGCGAGACCAATGAGTAGATACAGAACGATCGGCCGGATGACAATATCCACCGAACTGAAGATAGTAGGGAGTATAGTCGGTTAATACACGCATTGACAAACTAGCCTCAAAATACCCAATAGTAGCGAACGTGTCACATGTATGGCGGAGAGACTCAAGCTCTAAAAAGAAAACAGGAACGCACGTTACGCACAGTGTAGGATTGATGTTGAGGAATTTCAGCGGCTGAAAAATAGTGGGTCTCTCAGGAGGCCAAGTTACACAGTAAATAAAAATACTAATGAACTCTGACTGTGCATTCTGCAAGAAATCAGGAACTATAGTAAGAAGGGGAATGATAGCGCGTAAAAAAGTCTCAGCGGTATAAGATTCGAGACTACACCTGACCGGGGAGAGATGGGTTCTCTTCATCCAGACCCTAGGGGAGTCTGGAAGCCCAAGCCTCTCTCGGCCCCCCGTCGTCCTTCACGTCTCCAATCCGCCAGCCCCACGGAGACATCAATCCTGTTTGTTCGCTCATCCAGAGGCAGTGCGAGTGGTATTGAAACCAACTGCCAACTGCACCCCGATACTGGCTCGTCTGCGTTCCCCTCCTGAGATACATTTCAAGGCTCCCCGACAAGCACAGTTTTGGACGTCATTAAGCTTCGACGATATGATGCTATTAAGATCTTTAAAACTGGCGTTGAATGGAAGACCTGGGACTGGTGGAATTGCCCAAAAAAAGAAGATCGTGTTGATACTACGTAAAGTGCTGATTTTCATGTTCATGCTTTTGTTGATACAACTTGATATGTGACATGTCTACCATAATCAAATAGTGTATCTCAACCTCGAACTTGATTTCCTGCGCCCTATTATCCCAGACCAGTCTGGACACACCCAGAGATGGGCATGGGACACGAGAATAAACAGATAAATAGCCTTTAAAATACTACCAGCTGATTAGCTGAGAACATCAAGGCCGATTTCCTGATGTTGCATTCCCTGTCAAAGGTCACGATAAGCAGCAAGTTTTATGTAGTGTCTGTCTCAAAAGGAAAGCTAGTCCAGCAAGAACGCCAGTCGCATGGCTCGGGCACCTGTGGCCAGATATCATGGAGAAGTAGTGTGAGTCTCTCAGGGAGAGACAACTCATCGATTTCATCAGAATAAACGCTCGACTCTGTTCTCTCTCGTGCTATCTCCCGCGCTCTCGTCCCAATTTCCTCCACACTTGGGGATGCAGGATTTTGGAAGTTGTATCGTGTGACTAGGAATGACCGCGCAAAGCAATAGAGTAGATAACTCTCTTCTCCGGGGAACCGTTCATTTCCAAATGGCACCACACGAAGATATTGCAGGCGGGAAGCCTTGTTGAGTTTTATCATGGCCCAAATACCAAGAGCAAGTTTCTCGTCTCTGGCCGCATTCATGAATGTTGTTCGGAGGGCAGTCGGGTCTTCCATGTCAAGGTGGCGCCGTGCTGGCTCTATTCGCGCGTCGAATTGAAGATCCAATACAAGGCTGTCAAGGTTGAAGAATCCCCCAAGAGCTTTGTACAATTCACACTCTGCTTGACTGCCCACTGACCTTTGAACCTGAAGACGTAGCTCTTCCAAGTTCGGACAGCAAGTCGCCAGCTGGACGATGTCAGAAACTTCGAGTCTGGGGTATTGTGAATGAGCCGGACCAGAGGGTTCGATAATGAGCCCCTTCAATGACGGGCCATGCTGTTCGACGATTCGATGAAAGTTTTCGACTTTGCGAAGACTGTGGAGACAAAGATATTTCAATGGTCGAAATGCTCGTATGGCGGCGATTGAATCGTCGTGATCAGCTTTGAGGTGGATCCAGCGCCGACGTCTGGGATTCGGTTCGATGAAGAGTCGCTCAAGGTTGGGGAATAGTTTAGCGACTTTCGCCAAATTCTCCGGTTCATAGACCTTCGCAAGAACGGCTGTTCGAAGGTTGGAAAGATTGCCAGCAGCAGCCAATTTGAATAGAATATCTTCACGTGGTCCGGACCCGGAGATTATAATTGATTCTAGTTGAGATATTTGCGAGGGTGGGCGAGCATCGATCAGGCCTTGCCATTTTCCCCTTAGCCGAGCGAGGGGGAACCCGAGGTGGTCAATCTGGCCTTGTAAGTCAAGATGCTTCAGTCCTGGAGCGGTAACGAGAAAAGGTAGCATTTCGTCGAGGTCTTCGCGTCCAGCTGATAGGCGTTTGCTATCGATAAGGGTCACAGCGAGACTATGTAGACCGGGTAGTTGAAGAACATTGATATCGAATTCGTAGTCGCTCCAAGTTTCGCGGTGGTTGAGCTGTTTTCTAGTTTCTGTACCAAGAACACTGTAGCCCACCGCCTGTCGCCACGTAATATTCACCCTACAATTTGGATGATAATAGGATATAGCTTGCTGTAAGTCACTTGTGAACTCATTGGTTGTGATAAAGTCAAGCTGCTCCAGGTAATCAAGGTAAGCAATAAGAGACTTGAGTGGTGCCCAGCTTCTGTCCCGATGAAGTCTACCGGGGTTATTTATGAGGACATTTATACCCGCACACGGATTAACACTGGTCAACTAATACTCCAAAAAGCTAGTTCTCGTGGCTGGCGCTCTGTCGGTTCTCAGATGGGTTGCCCAAGGCTCCAATTTCCACCGGAAGGCTTCTTCCTCCCCCTTGCTGCTCCTTATTGAGACACATAACATAAAGTCTCCGGGCGTATTTCATAAAATGGCGTCCTTGAGGATCCTCTGTTACCTCCGAGACGGCGGCCTACAGGCTTTCCATATCCCAGAATTTGAGAGTAAGCTTTCGATAGAGAATCGGGGCCGCCGCATTGTAGCAGATCCACTTGACCCAGCTCAGGGAGGATAGATCTCTGCATGGACCATGTTCAGGGCCTTGGAGCTAATGGTCATGAGCGTCACGGATAAAACAAAAGGTATGCAATTTGGGCGAGTAGCGACGTACATAGAGGCATATCTGCCCCAAGATTTCATTTGGCACGCGATCCATTGCTCTTTCGATGTCGTTATTCGTCGCTCAAAAGAAGAGAAACAGAGAGGAATCGAGATGACGTGTGTTGGATAATAGGGATGGGATTTTACTAGCGAATATGATTTAAGTTTAGCAACCACACTTTGCCTAGATTGTCAGGTATACTAGCTGTTAGGCTCACAGATGAGTTCTGTCTGTAGTTACAAAGTAATAATTACTAAACACATGTGGTCTCCTGTGAGACCTACTCCTTGCTAGCGGTAAGTTACCGCTCCATGTTTCGACACCCCAAGATGAGATGAGAGCCGCCGGTGTCGGCCTTCGTAGTGACGTATCCGGTAAAGCGGCGTTTTGCCTGTGCCCAAGTGCGCTTGGACAACCTTGCGGCATTCTCTTCTGCTCTGGGATATTAAAGTCTATTCGTGAATGTACCTGGGACTGCCAACCATCACGAATGCTCCCTACAGACAGGATTTATGATTGATATTAGCACTGAAATAATAATCCCGACATCGTTCTATCCCCGGAATTCTTTGCGACTGTACATTTTTACCGAGGTCAAGCGGTACCGGCCGCACCCCACAGTAGGACTTGTGGGGAATGACGGCGGATGCGAGAGAAAACAATGGGGACGCTCCCCTGAATGATCGCTTGCAGTGAGCACGGATGATCTTCAAGCATTAGCCATCGTAGGTGAAATGTAGACCCCCAGATTTGTGATCCAATTCACTAATCAAACCCCAAACTCTGGGGTTTGCATGTCAAGTAGCCGCATGGCTTGCTGGGCTGGGCATCGGATGTGGGGTAAAGCGATGCGTCCTACGAGGCTCAGGTGGGTTCCAAAGCCACGCCAATTTCTGTTGATCAACGGGGAGCGGCGAGCACCGAAAGACGAAGGGCGTACTTAGGGTTGGCTCAGCACAGCAATGGCCAACCACTGTTATATCACGTTATCCATTCTCTTTGAAAAATCAAACGGTCGCCTATCAAGCTGCTATCCGTCTTCAACTTTGGTTGACTTTAAACCCGGCAGTTTTCCATACTCCATTATTTGTGGGAGGTTTGGTGTTTGTATCGCTACTATGGGGTGGAAACCATATCTTGGCCTGCAGGGTAATTCCCTCCTGCGGGCAGTCGTCATGCTGGTTGTATGCCCGACATTTACTTGTTATGGATACAATATGAGTGTAGCTGGTGGTCTTTTGACCCTGGATACGTTCAATAGCCAGTTCCCGCGAATGGACACCTTCCACACCAGCGGGGCACTACAACAACAAAACTCACAGATACAAGGTCAGCCAATTATCGATTATCACGTATATATCTCTAAGACTCGCCTTTCTAACCCATGAGGATCTCCATAGGCACTGTGATTGCACTATATACAGTCGGCGGTATTTTCGGCGCCCTCTCTTGCATCTACCTAGGCGATCTTCTTGGACGACGGAAGGTTATTTTCTTTACAAACCTAGTTTCCATCATCGGCGCTATTCTTATGGCCACATCTGTCGATTTCGCTCAGTTAATCATCGCCCGTCTCATTCTTGGTTTAGGAACCGGTGGCTACGTTGCGACTGTACCGGTCTGGCAGTCAGAGATTTCCCCGGCACACAAACGAGGATCTAATGTCGTCACCGACGGTATTTTCGTCGGGGTTGGTGTCACCGCTGCGCTATGGATCGACCTAGGATTTTACTTTGTGCAGGATAACTCGGTATCATGGAGGTTCCCACTCGTCTTCCAAGCCATTCTCTCTGCAACTGCGATGGTTTTCATTTGCCTTCTCCCCGAATCGCCTCGCTGGCTTATCAAGACTGGCCAAGTCGATCAGGCGCGTGAAGTGTTGGGGGCATTGCTCGAGGCCGACCCTAACTCTAGCACTGTTTCCGAGAGTATCGACAATATTGAGGCATCTCTCGCCTATTGTGGATCCGGAAAATGGACGGATATGTTTACAAACGGAAAACAGCGACTCTTCCACCGCACCTACCTCGCTGCTACCGGACAGATGTTCCAACAGATGTGTGGTGTGAACTTGATCACCTACTACGCTACAACTATCTTCCAGCAGTATCTCGGCATGGACCCCGTCAAGGCCCGAATTCTCGCTGCTGCTATTGGTTTGATGCAGCCTTTTGGTGGCTTCCTGGCATTTTTCACGATCGATCGCCTCGGTCGCCGACCACTTATGCTATGGAGTGCAGGAGCTATGTCTATCTGTATGGCAGTTCTGGCCGGCACGACCTCTACCAAAGGAAACTCTGGCGCACTTGTAGTCGCTGTGATCTTCCTCTACGCCTTTCAGTTTATATTTACCGTCGGCTACTCGGGCCTGACTTTCCTTTATGCTACTGAGATGGCGCCACTACAAATTCGCGCCGCTGTTAGCGCTGTCTCTACCGCTACCGTATGGGCTTTCAACTTCCTGCTGGCTCAGGTAACTCCCGTTGGCTTCGCCACCATTGAGAATCGATATTATATTGTTTTCGCTGTGCTCAATGCCGCTATCGTCCCAGCTGTCTACTTTTTCTTCCCTGAGACAAAGGGTCGCTCCCTGGAGGAAATTGATGAAATTTTCGCACAGTCGAAGAGCATCTTCGACCCGCCTCGTATTGCTCGTGCCATGCAGACGATTCAGGTTGGTGAGCCTCATTCTGAGAGCGGGGATAATTCTGGGTCGAACGATGATGTCCGTAAGGAGAGGATCAAGGCCTGAATAATGGTTACGATGTTGTTTATGTCGGTCTGGCATTGACCAAATATGGAGGTGTACTCCTTTACTCTCACAATCCTCTTTGGTCTTCATTTCTGGCAGCAGGTCTCCCAGAGTACAAGGCGCTCGGAAATGATTGAAGGTATTGAGAACAGCTTGCGAATATAAAAGTCTTGAGCTGTGGATACGAAACAAAAATTAAGTCTAGTGAGCATATCGCCTATCATGATCCTTTTACGGTAGTCTCCGTCTCATGCATCCCTACAGCATATAGATGGTCCGTTCTAGATAGCTTCGTTCCCATTCTTCACCGGCAACTAATCAATCAGGCGTCCTCTATGTAGCTTGTCCATTTACTATTCACAGATATAGTCGAATATCGGGGCCCACCGGAGAATCCGTTCATTCCTTTGGTGTGATTTTGCCGTAGAAACTCCAAATCCTTTGATACCAACTCTCAAATTTCCCTGGAATCACATAGCTGATTGCCATCATCCCTTGGAAAAAATGATTTTAAACAGAAGTCATCCTGCTCTGTCAATACCTGTGTGTTGGCAGTCCATGGGTTGTTCACGATCGTTGCGTAGGTTCTTTCCGGCAAAGAAAGAAGCTCTCTGATATAGCGGCACATAAGCGGAAACAGAATATCAAGTAATTCATTATTTCGTACAAGTTGAAGCTTTTCGTAAAGGTCAACCGCTAGAAAGCCGAAGTTGTACCGAGGCCGATAGGATCGAAAACATAATCGGGTAGATTTAATTAATGATAGCGTTCTGTCATTTCTTCGATTGTTATTACTATTTACTATTGCGGATCCAAATCTAAGATGCATCGGCTGCTGAATCCGTCGGTAGCTTTGTGACGGCCGCGCCCGCCTAGGGACATGCGGCCCGGTATATTTTGATCATCAACAAGGGTTGGTATTTCCAGACTCCCTATCAACAATAATAAGTATGTGCAATACTAAAATACACAATAAGCACTCAAAGATCTAAGAGACAGAACGTCTTCTGGATATTCAGTTTCGCATGTGCTCTTATATGTGCCCTTGCAGCTGCGTTGTCTGAAGAAATCGCCCGAACAATCCGTGGATTTCCCGAAGTCTCTGCCAGATCCTGAGGGGTATGTCCATTGCAATCCCTCCAATCCAAAACAGCATCAAATCTCTCTGAGTCAAGTAGGAATTCGATTCCATTTCCATATATAACAGCCGTGTGCAAAGCTGTTCGACCATCCTGATCAGTATGGCTAGCATCAACATCAGACAACTGTAGCAGCAGGTCCAATGTCTCAGATTTTGGCTTGCATGCGATGGCTCGCTGCAGTACGTTCTGGCCGTGATCGTTCGTCCAATTGAGATCAACATTAGCACCTATTTGCCACATTTCCCCGGAATTGAAAAGGAGCCGCATTATGGGTGTCGAGAGTCGTAAGGCACTGTACTCGAGTGGCATTTTGCCGTAATAGTCTTCAATATTCGGATTGACTCTCGGTGAGTTCACCAAGATTCTAGCAACAGCGTGCTGATTATGTTTGAAGGCAAGATGAAGTGGAGTAATCCCTTTTTTGTTTGTGTGATTCGGATCAACGCCCTCGAGTTCAAGCATGCGTTTGACAACCTTGATAAGGCCCTTCGCAGCGGCCATATGCAGAGCTGTGCTCCCGCTTGAGCTTTCAATATTGGCATTAACTCTCCCAGTCTCCAAGAGACGAAGGGCAATCGTTTCAGATCCATGCCCGACAGCCCTGTGCAATGGGGTCTGGCTGTCGAGTCCTTTCACATTGACATCAGTATCCTCACAATCAATCAGAATCATGGCCACTTCTTCAGCATCATGATCAATTGCCTCTTGTAAAGGTGTTATAAGATCAATGGCCTTTTTGTTCGGGCTAATTTCCTGGAAGCCTAGCAAGAGTCTGGTGACAGTTGCATCTCCAAGCCTTGCCGCATCGTGAAGGGCGTTTCTCGCATTTCCCCATCCTGTCGGTGAAGGAGGCACCCTTCGAGACTCCAGCATCGCCTTAACCACGCCCATGTTGCGATTTTCAAATGCTTTGTATAGCGACGAACGTCCTTCTGGATCAAATTTACTGGGGTCGGTCGATTTCCGTTCAAGTAGCATCTCGACGATCTTTTCGGTCCCGGTATGCCCAGCAGCAACATGCAATGGCGTCTGGCCGGAACTATCTTTTTTATTGGTGTCGACCTTTTCACACTCAATCAATGCTTTGCACACTGCCTCGGGTGCAAATCGAATTGCTGTGTTCAGCGGTGTCCAGCCGTTCTCATCACACATATTTGCGTCCAAGGCCTCATGCGAGAGCAAGTGCCTGACTGCGACTTCATTGCCGAACAGAGCTGCCCGGTGCAGTGGCGTACGCCCGTCAGGGCCGGCTGTATTCAAATTAGCCCAATTTGCGTGCTGACGTAGAAGCTGGAAAATTTCTTCTTGGCCATGTTCAGCTGCCCAAAGCAGAATAGGCTGCCTCGTATCCTCGGCTTCGAGATCCAGAATGTTGCGATGCAGCAATCGGAGTAGCAAATGTTTCTCTTGTGGTTCTTTCGCGGTCAGGCTGACGTGAAACAGACAGTGGGTCCTTGCATAAGAGAGAAAACTGAACTGGTTCTCGGGTTCGTTCTGTGGAAGAACATTCATTTCCGCTAGGACTTTGCCCATGTCAAAGCCAGGCTTTTTCCGGGATTTAAGTAACTTGACCGCAATATCCTTAGCCGTACTTGAAAATCCAAGAGTCGATTGAATGATGGCTGTTGGTGTTGATTCCACTCTTAAATTGGGTGTGGCTGGCCGTTTCGAGAGCTGTGTCTCAAAGACACCATAGTTCAGATAGGTGATAATTATATCGGCCATGCGCCTGTGTGCTGTAGCGATCGTAAATCTCCAGTCCGCTGGGCTTTGGGAGTCGATCAAGAACTGCTTGACACAGCTGTGTACGAGTCTCACGGTCAATCCCTCCTCGTCGAGTGTCAGAAGGCTTCCACAGCAGGTCAATGCATCAAAAATATTGTTAAGAAGTCGCGATGGGTTCCAGGTTGTATCGCCCGGGATCACACTCAGGGCTTCCCGCAATTCTTCGAGAGTTAAGGGATGATGAGCGGATGCAATAACCTCGAAAATGCTTCTTCGGTAGGAAGCCTTTGAGCTTGGGCGATTGGTATTATCTGATTCCCGTAGAATGCGAGCAAATGTGGCAGACAGGTCCGGGAGGAAGATCAGCCAATGCGCGGCGGATGGCCTCATCGGTGTCCATAGCGCATAGACTGTCAATTTGCAGAGCTACCCAAAGAAACATTCCCTGTGACCCCTGCAGTAACCTGTCTTCTATTTCGAGAATTATAGCCGGGTCTCCGATAGTTAGCCTTCCAGATTCCATGCGGGCTTCTAGCTCCTCCTCGATGAAAGATTCGATATCGGTCGAATTATCAGGCACCGCTGCAATCACGATCGAGGCTAAAAATTTCCACTCCTGGTCGACAGTAAGCGGGTTTCTAGGCTTTTGTCGCAGAGAAACACAAATTAATATCGAGAAGCTGTCTTGCAAATGCCGGAGATCTTCAATCACACTTGTCCGTACCGTGGCAGAGCACTCGTCTAGGCCATCGATGATCAAGCAGGCTTTGAAAGTGGACGGAAGCGCCATTTTCAGCAGGCGATGCATTAATTCCCATTCACCATTCTCGGGTAACTCCCAATCGCCCAACTTTTCTGGCAGTCCAGAGGCTTGTTCTAGCAGTTGTCGCGTCAGCGAGCCCACTATTACTCGTCGTTGTAAACTTTCCGGGAGGTCATGTCGGCAAAAGAAGAATATCACAGAACTGTCCTTCCCCTGGAAACTCAGGTTGAGGTAATCAACCATGTTGGCCAACAGGACAGATTTTCCTGATCCGAGAGGCCCGGTCAGGATCAGAGTTCCTGAAGATTTTCGGTTCTTCCACTGCATAAATTCGGGGCATTGGCAAAACAAGGATGTACGCCCTGCCTTTCGTGTTTGCTTCCATGGCGTGAGGTGGTCATACGTTGAGCAAAACTTGAGGGCACGAAGATATTCCTTCATCCGACGCTGATGGGAACTTGACTTCCGGAACTTTGCTGACAAGATTTTTGTATGGGCATCAGCTTGTTCCTCAATTCTTTGCGCCAGGAGGTAGTTAACCTCGTCCTTGATCTCCTTGGCCCATGACTCAAGCTGTGACTGATAGTCCTGCAACTTCGGGTCGTTCAGCGTTGTGCCGAGCTTCCCAAACGCAGACTTTTTGGTGAAATTCACGATGTGGTGACACAAGTGAACAGCCACGATGAAGTATTCATATAAGCATGACCGCAGACTATCAGATCGAGGATACAAAAGGGCCAGTTTCTCATAACGCGGTGCGGAGCGGCCGATTGCCATAAAAATATTAGACAATTTTTCAAAGTAGTATGAAAAGCTGAGAATCATCTATTTTGTGAACCCTGTTAGTCTTGATCTAGAAAGAAACAATCGAGCAACTAACGAGCAGCGACATCCGAACCAACGTCCAAACACCACAGGCAATCATATTCTGTGAGCCTCCCACAATGATATCTCCAAGACCTGCAAACTGCTGGACAGATTGCAGAAAGCTCGTAGTTCGCGTCCCAAGGCATCGACGGTGCTTCCTAGAGAGCTGTTGGTCGATTTCTGCAGTCAAGTGCATGACATCATTGGTACTGGGAGGAGCATTGCACGCGCGGCTTGTATGTTTATCAAATTCGATCTTTTGATCGATGGGCAGATCCGCTTGGAACTCGGCAATGGCTTGCGAGAGTCGAATCTGAGGTTTGAGGCGCGATGCAGATGCCAGCGCCCTTGACATGGTGGTGCGACACAATCCTGGCTCCGGCCAGGATCAATCTTGCAGTTGAGGAGAAATGAAGAGACATCGCCCAGGGCGGCGCGTAACCTGGGTGGTGCGGCTGAGCTGGGCGCATTTGAGTGGGGTTCTGCGCCACGACGGGGTTATGCTGTCTGTGCTATGCGTTGGCCTATAAGAAGATCCTCCGCAAATCTCGCAACTCCTCGCAGGAACAGGCCAATCAGGCGCCGGTAGAGTGATCGTAGGCCTGTCAGAATTCACGGCGAAAAGTGTCAACCACCTGCCGAAGCCTCGGCCTGCCCCGTCCCTGCAAGTGCATTCAGTATCAATGAACCAAGCTCTTGGCATAAAACAATATCTTTGTATGAGCGAAAGCAAATCAATTATATATAGCAGGTAGTTTGTATACCCAAATCCTTTGATTAACAACGCAGTCTATCACCCTATTCTGATTAAGCTATAAATAGTTCTTCGCTGCGACCAAGATTTGTAGAATCGAAACTCTGCAGAGGAGAGACCTGGCTTCAGGAAATGGAGCCGGCGTTGTCATCCTGCTTCACCTCATTTAGCTTATTATTCCTTGGTCGCGGTCGATTCCCGGGCTTGCACGGTTTCATCTGCACTCCTTCATGTGCATCTTTCTCCTTGGCCATTTCCTCTTCTTCCTTCTTTTTCTTCAGCCTCTCCTCTCGTGCTTTCTCAGCCTTTTGCCGTAGCACTTCCACGCGTTGTTCTTCTTGTACTCGAGTCTTCTCCGCCCAGATTTTGAGCCGTTCGGGATCCTGAAGACACCAAATGACGATACCCCGCGTGGCGAGTGCATCCTCCAAAGCGCTATGTCCGAGTTTGCTGTTTTGGATTCCATAGCCGAGCAGCTCCTGGGTCAGGGTCTTTAATGCCCACGTGCGCCCGTTCGCCTGGTCGGGGAACACGGCCTCACTGGTAAGGATTGAGGAGTCGACAATCCTTTGGTGATAAATCCCCAAAACGTTCAGATCATTCTGGAGAGAATGGCCAATCAGCACCGTTTCACTGTCTGCAAAGGTCCATAAGTGCCGCCGTGCTTGTTCCCAGCCAAATAGAACTTGTCTCTTGCTGCGAGCGTCTCTCATTGTTTGAGGCGTAACACCACTGATTCGGGTGTTCCAACGGGTCACCTTCGCGGTCGGCTGCACATGGTGGTCGATGAGAACTTCGCCCGTGAGGAAATCGACGGCGCTCAATAGAGCAACTTCCATGTGGTCACCACATTCCACCATCTCACAGTCGAGAGCGATGGCCTTTCTCTTGCTGCATTCCGGGTTTGAAGCCAGCGTTGCTTGAAAGCGTGCCCGTGGCAGCGAGCATTGAAGCTTTGGGGGTTTCTTGTCTTGGTTTCGTCTTTTAATGGGAGGAGTGCACTCCAGCGCAAAGCCCCGTGCCCGAAGACGGTCATTTGAATGGCAGTGTTTGAGCAGAGACGAAAGGATTAGTTCTTGCTCCTCCAGTGCAAGGATCATCGGATAGGCATTCTCCTTAATAGAAGATGAGCTGACACTGATACCTACGGATCGCCTGGTTAGTACTCTCTCGGTTTCACCAACCACTCATCAAGGTCATACCTGGTCCTCTGGGGTGAACAGGATGACGTGAACTTTGAGAAGACTGAGAAGCAGTAATCCGCGGGCCCGTTGGTACAGGAGTCGGTCCTTGAGCTGAGTTCGGAGTACGCTTAATGGCTGGCTCTGGCAGGGCGGCAGGTGCCTGGAAAGATGGGTTGGTAGAGGGACGCGGTCCGCGATATGGAATCTGCCCTGGGTTTGGAGTCGATATTGTCGACGAGATTGGCTCGGCAGGTGCCTTCTGCAACAATAAAGGCTTGCCTGGCACGTCGTGCTTCTGGTGGTGGTGGATCAATGAATCCGCGCTCTGGAATACTCGGCTGCACTTCACGCACACCGTCGAGACGTGTCCCTGGGATGAAAAATGGCTCCGAACCGCTGCTATGCTCTTGAAGGCACGTTGGGGGCATTCTGGACACGCGAATGTCTTCGAAACACTTGGCTTTCCGCTGGGGATTTCGGGATGCAATGGGCTGACCCCTGGAAGGGCACCGTATTCCTGGCCATTTTGGTGGAGACCTCCCATAGAGTTTGCAACTGACATGTTTTGAGGCAATTGCATTAAGATGATTCCTCGCGCTGGAAGTCTGGCGTGAATTTACTCAGCTTCTGGCGCGGCGTTGCATGGAGCGATTGGCACCCTCCAAGGCAGGGGTTGCACCTCGTGCCCGTGTCTTGGCGCCCGCTGTGGCCTCGGGTCCGGAGTCACGATAGGTCACCATACACTCTAGATGGTGCGGCTGCCATGAACCTTTCGAGAAAAGCCCATCGACAGTGCAGTCTTAGATATAACTAGTCTTATGGCGGTCTGAGCCCTCGGGCAAGTTAATCGGCCCTTTCAAGAGATAGGCATCTTGTTCGTTTACAGTGCTAAGTGAATTCAGATCCGAAAGATCCTGCCCACAAGATAGCGTCCGTGTTCCTTGCATCTGAACATTCAACGGTATGAACAGGAAACTATCTCACGGACCCAAGTCTACTCTCGCCTGGCGATGTCTGTGAGCATGCACGATCTACTCTTTTAAGTTAGCGGGCGCAATTAAATTGTCCATGCTACGTGACAGAGGCCCCATAATTCAAGTCTCTTGAAATTCACAAGGCCAGTAAGATGGAATACAATACATGAAGTTGGTTAAAAAAAATACAGTCACAAGGGTAAGCTCATGGGATGGGCGAGCGGCGTCAAGGATCTCACTGTCCACATGGGCCGTTCACAATCCGTTCCTCCTCCACTTGAACCCCCTGGAAGTAAGCTCCGCTCCTATGCGTCACGAAACGAAGACGTCATGTCGTAGAGCGTCCGGGACCTTTTCCGCGCGGGATCGGCCAGAGCGAGCGCGAGGAATGAGGCAATCACATACGATCACTCTGCACACACCGTGGGACAAGGCCTGAAAACATAAAGAGGCAAGTACCGACCATTTGGGCGTCCAAGCTTACCAGAAAAGACTGGACCCCATGCCATCTTCGTGGTCCCTCTCGAGAATGTACATGCGCAGTAACACTCCAGCTCCGGCGCAAGTGGCAATGTGTTCCTTCAGCTCCTCCCAGGTGTGGGCGATATCACGACGGCCCAGGATAATACGATCCAGGCGGGCTTTAGGGAGCCGCGAATCAATACCCGAGTACTCGAGGAGGTTGGGGCCGATGTAACACTGCTTCGAGAGCCAGTCACATCCGCGGCACATGTAGCGGTGCTCGCAGTCATCTTTGTCGCGCGGGACCCACGGGAACGGAACAGTGACCAGGCTAGACATGCGCGGGTGCATGTAAATCACCGGCCCGTCAAGCTGGCTGGGGTCATCCGCGGTCTTGAGCTGCATGTTGCGCAGAAACCGGAAGGACGCGCCAACCAAAACCTCGTCGAGAGTCGAATCGGCATATACGTCTGGGTCGCCGGGCTTGGAATATCGCATCATGTTTTCGCGGCTACCCCAGATCTTCAGGGCGGCGAGGAAGGCGGCTTTGGCTGGCACGAGAACACTCTCATCATCGGCGATGACCTCTGGGAAGTTGGCGGTTGAGAAGACTGTCATCCGGGATTTCACAAGAGGCAGGCTCTCGACCTGCGACTGACACATGCAAAAGGCATTCATGGCATCAGAAACGGACAGGCACCAGAAAGCCGGGTTCTGAGTGCTACAGTTGTAGCAGACACGCTCTCCGAGGGGCAGGAACAGGCTTGTGCCTTGTCGGCCACAGGTTCGGCAGTAGGGGTAGTGCAACTCCTCCGCAAGGCCATAAAGAGTGTTCCATCCCTTCAACCCGCAGAGGGCATAAATTGCTCTCAATCGAGGGACAAACCGTGCAATAACACTGTAGAACACATGATGTTCCAGCAGGTAGCGGGACATGCGGCAGGTCTGGCTAAAGTACTCCGCAGACGCAAGATCCATGAAGCTAATGACATGGTACACGAGTTCGAGCGGAAGGGAAGACAAGACTCCAGGACCGGAGACCACACTGTCCGGCGGAAGGTAGGTGCGCGGGCGGTCAATTCGGGCCGTGAGGCCTTCTGGATTATCGATACCCTTGAGGGCAATCACCTTGCGGAGCTCGTTATGATTCTGCCAGTTGGCAGGGTCAATGGCCTCTTTCCAGCACGGAAGTAGAATCATCTTCTCTTCGTAGGTAAGGTGAAAGGCCATGCTGAAAAACAGAGATAGGGAAGTTGATCATGTGTGAAGAGAGTTACAAAACGCTCAAGGTTGAGAAAGGGCAAGTTGACCCGTTCTAGCGTAGGTGAAAGGAAGAAGATGTGGTGATAGCATCGGGAAGGGGAAGAAAAGGGAAGAGAGAGGGGACGGAAGTGGTAAAATGTCGTCGCGGCGATGACGACCAAGCGCCATGGAACTTCATGACGCGCCCCAACTATTCATAGGAGTCAACAACAACGGCATGCAGCCTCATGAGGAACGAGATAGATGTTTGCATAAGTGGATCAACAACATAAAAGGCCAGCCGAAGTATGAGTTGAACAATTGCAGTTTATTTGATGTGTATCACACTGCGATGCTAGTATAAGGGCTCATTGCCAGGCGTCATTACGATACTCCCTACTCAACCTCTTCCATCGGGTTGGCAAGGTGTTCGGTGCGAACGACATAATCGTCATCCTCTTCGTCTTCGATGCGGCCATCGGCCATCTCTTGATCATCTCCATCGAGGGATGCATCAGAATCCCCTCCGGCCCGTGAGCCTTTGTCCTTCTTCCCAGCAACACCCTTCCCCTTGCCTTTGCTGCTGGTAACAGATTGGCCGCTGGCACTACGAACAATACCACCAGGCCACTGCTTCAGGCCCTTGAGGCGGCCATGAAGACTGCCAGCAAAGGAGCCGTCCCCGTCGTTCATCGGAGTCTCCACAGGCGCCGATGAGGCATCCAGACTGAAACCTTCCATGGCGTCAGCAATCGTTTGGGGGCCAGTATTTCCAGGATCCTGCTTTTGCTTGTCCACGGACTCGAAACTCTGGCGAATGCGTTCGAAATGTTCCAATTCCTTGGCACTGGAAGTCGTCAGTCCCGCCATCATACAAGGTGCCATGACACTCGGTTATTAACTTACCTCACACTAGGAACAAGCTCCTCTTGCGCGGAGAGGAAGTCCTCCTCTGTCACCGTCACCGAAACATCCTCCGGTGTCGCCAAGTGATCAAAGAAGTAGGCTGTCGTCACAGGACCACCCGGAAGCTGTTTGATTTTCTCATCTACAGCCGTGGACTTCCGGGTAATGGCCTTGAGCATGGCATCGGAGCAAAGGGCATACAAATCAGCACCAGTATACGTCAGCGGAAGCTGTTCTGCGACGCGGTCGAGAGACACGTCAGGGTTGAGGGCGAATTTCCTCGTGAGTGCCTCCAGAATCGTTGCTTGCTTCCTATGCGTATCTGACACGCCGAGGTAGAGCATCTTATCGAAACGACCAGGGCGCAGAAGTGCTGTATCCAGCAAATCCGGGCGGTTGGTCGCGCCAATCACGAAAACGCCTCCGCTGTTCTCCTCTCCGCCGTTCATGCCATCCAGCTCGGCAAGCAACTGGCTGACAATGCGGTCCATCACACCGCCACTGTCTCCCTGGTTGCCACGCTTGGGCGCCACTGAATCCAGTTCGTCGAAGAACACAACACACGGCCGAGCGTCACGGGCACGTTGGAAAACCCGCCGCACGTTGGCTTCAGATTCACCAATATACATGTTGAGCAATTCGGGGCCCTTGACAGAGAAGAAGTTGAGGGAGAATTCAGTAGCAATGGCTTTGGCAAGCAGCGTCTTGCCGGTTCCAGGTGGTCCATAGAACAGAATACCGCTGCGCTTCTTCATACCCTTGGCAAACAGCTCCGGGCGTTCAAGGGGCAATTGAATTGTCTCGATCAAAGCGTCCTTGACGTTCGTTAATCCGCCCACATCATTCCAGCCAACGTTGGGGATCTTAGGGGCGCCAATAGAGTCGGCGAAGTTCTTGCGGGCTGCCTCAACTGCAAAATCAAAGTCGGCTTTGTTCACTCCACGGGCCCCATCTCCGCCAGCGATTAAGACGTCTCTCACGTAAACTTCGGACCCAGAGAGTTGCTTGCTTGCAGTCTCTGCCAGCTTCTCTAGACGGGCAGTTCTAGCGCCTGCAGCACGCTCCACAACGTCGACCAGGTCTCCTGCGACCAATGCGGCAGTCTTCAGCGCCACGGTTCCCAGCTCAACATCGGACGCCAGCTTGATGCCACGCTCCGCGACTGCGTTCCGCAGAATACCCTCACGCTCCTTCTCCTCGGGTGCCCCCATCTCAAACTCATGGCTGAATATGCTGCGGATGCCCTCCGAAATCTGTTCAACATCGGTTGTCGTCGCAATCACGACCCGAGCCTCGCTGAGGATATCATTCATTGCAGTCACAATACGGTCAGCCGTTAATACCTCAATATGCTTAATCAGCAGGGCAGTGCAGTTCGGACCACAGTGGAATGCCCTCTCAGCACGGGCTTTGAGATAAGCTTCGGTCTTGACGTCGCCGCCATTTGCACCTCCCTCGGTCAGGATGTCATAGGCATCGATGGGGAAGGTATGGAGGCCGATATCGGCGCATGCGCGCGTGGCGACAGTCGCTTTGCCGATATGTCGCTGCTGCGACTTCAATAGGATAACAACGGGCTTCATGCCCAGCTGAATAGCACGCGGGCTTGTTGCGGCGGCCATCAAATCTCGGATACGTTGTTGCAAGGGCGCAATGAATGACTGAGGAGGCTCTGCTATGATTCCATGGGGCGCTGGCGCATCACCAACGGCCTTGGGGATCGTCTTAACGCCGAGCCAGTACTCCCAGCCGTTACCCAGAATACCGGGCACTCGACTGACATCGCTGCCAGCCTGAACCATGCGAGTGCTGCTGGGATCAATGACCGCGACTCCACCCCATGGATCCTCGCCCGTCTCCTCCAGTTCGTCAATGCTAGTCGGGACTACTTGCCCGACACGGAACCAGGCAGCGCCAACCTTGCGAGCCTCCGAGCTCTCCGGGTTAGGCCCTTGCCCTAGCCTAGAGATGATGTCGTCTTCTTGGTTTGCATTTTCGCCACCGGCTGTGCCAGAGAATACCGATCGGCCCAATCCCACGTCAACACTGATACCGACCAGATCGCCACTCTTCAATATCCGTCGGCGGGACTCAAAGTACTGCTTGAGTCCAGCAAAAAGCGCGGGCTGGAGGATCCGATCCATTGAGAGAGGCGTAGAGATCTTGAGAAGTGTGACCTCCTTCGCCAGGGGAGGGTTCTTGGCAGCGCTGTTCTTCATGTGGTGCAGAAGGCCGGGCTTTGACACGCCATTGGCAGGCGCAAATGTCATCCGGGATATACGAAGGTATTTGGGGTTCTCGATGTTGCTGAGAAGCAATGGAGGCACAAATACAGAAGGCGTCAAACGCGTCGGCGCAAGCTGTGAGAGGCTCGATCGGCGAGCACCAGAGTGGTTGATTGCATACCGGGGTTTCGCTGATGGGAGCCCTGGTAGGCCAAAGACCTTGACGGGCCGCCAATCCACAGCGTCTTCGGGCGAATCATTGAAACTGCCGAACTTCAGCGAGGCGAACATGTTCATCTGGGGCTCCTCGGCCGCTTCGATTCGCACCCAGTCACCCGAGAAGCAACCGATCTTAGCGAGGGTGCTGATATCGACAAAGATGAAGGAATCAACATCTTCATCGTCGCGTGGGCGAGGGTGGAGGACCTCATTCGGGACTTCTTGCAAGAGTCCTTCAACCCTGAAAACTTTCCCGCCTCCCCGACCGGGCCTCATGGTTGCTGATGTAAAATTGGACGCAACTGAGCCTGGGGTATGGGTCCCATCCACCCGTCGACCACCTGCTCGGGGTGTAGCGGAAGTGATGGAGGACATGACGCCGGATGGGGGTTGGGGAAGTTCGGGGGCTGAGAGCGAGATCATGTCCTCCAGTGAATCATCAGAGTCGTCGCTCATAGAGCCTACCGAGCCCTCGGTCTCTGATTCCTCGGCCGCAGAGGTGGCTTCGACTTCAGTGCCGCTCTCTCCGGCCTTGTCTTCGGCAGCGGAGTAGAACTGCTCGTTGGAAGTATCGTCGGCCTCATCCTCGGCGACCTGTCTCAGGAGCGTCGGCCGCGGGGGGAGAGCTTGCGGTGCGCGGTTGCCCTGCGAGCGAGCTTGAACAAGGACTACCTTGGTTGTTGGCATCAAAAGGCCTTGTGATACCGGCTCGCAGAAGGAGATGCGAGCAGGCGGCGCGGGCGCATAGGTGATTGGATGCGGCGGAAGAGGAAGTGGAAGGACGTCCCCTATATGAACGAGTCGCTGCGCAGCCAATGCCTCGCGCACAGCCGCAGTCAACCGCTGTTCCGCGTCCACCGCTGCCTTTTTCGAAGGTTTTCTTGTATCCGCGGTCTTGCCAGTCTTAGACCACACTCCGTTGAGTCCGTGAGCACTGGACGGAAACCCACCGCCAAACTTGTTCTGTACATCGTCATGGTGACGAAGGAGGTGCCGCTCGACAGTCACAAAAACTGTTTCAAGATGCAGCGGAGCTACATCCAGCAGCCGGATCTCCACCGCCCGGTGAGTCTGCAAGGAGTTCCGGGATGCGTCGAGCTTTCCAAGCGCCTGTAGGAAAGGCTGCAGGGTGTCGGCGGAGTCAGGGAAGAGAACAGTTGACTGCGATATGGGCGTCTGAGAGCGTTCTGAGCTGTGAATCCGCACGGGAAGTATCGTCCAAGCTTGGTCCTCCACCGAGGAAGAGGTCGGGGAATGTGGGGAAACGGCTACATAGTGAACTCCGTCATGCGTCGCAACATCTGTTCCAAAGCGAAAGCAATCGAGTCAGCCGCCATGCCATGGTTAATCGCAATCGCAATTTCATTCGCTGAGCTGAGGTCTCTGAGCTGAGGTCTCGTTACTCACCCTGAAGCGACTGCTGCGGAAAGAGATCCTTAGCCAAGTCCTCTGATAAGAGGCCGACATTCCCGCGAAGCTGATGGTCTAGCGCCAGCCGAGCAGCAATCGGAGGTTTGTTATGCAGTCTCCTTTTGACTACACGTTTCCGCCGTTGTCGAGGCTGCTGGGAGCTCTGTCCGTAATGGTCAAAGTCCATTGGCGCGGTGACTCCAATTGCCGGCGGGAAAGACCGTGGGGAAGGCTGGATTGGGGCAGGGCGGAAAGAGATGATGCAGGAGTAAGGTATCCAGACCTGAGTAGGTCACCGGCTCACCATTCGACAGTAGCCGGGAACTCGTGTCTGCAACGTGGAGGCGCGGGGAGAAGACAAATGCGCCGGATCCAGAATCCGGGGGAAGACAACACGCGGGCAACTCGGCACCGCCCGCCATTCTGCCACTGGCTGTACCGAAGCCGAGGTCCACGATGCGCTTGGTTGGACTACGGGGTTCGGCGTTCGGCTTCGTTTAGGATCGGTCGCATTCTCTCTAGTTTGCCATGTCTAACATGATGCTGCTGGTCAGGAAATTCCAGTGCAGGGTGATTTCAGCGCTATATTGCTTGCGCGGGCTATAGATCTCCTCACAGACTTCTCCTTTGACTCCACTGGTGGTTCGGCTTGTGATCCGATCAAACAGCAGCGGGCACGTAGCACTACTGGATGAGATCATTATATCTTGGGGTGTAAATCACCCCAAATTGAGGGAATTTACGCTGCCTGTAGATTTGAGCCCTTGTACCAGTTCAACTACCGGGATCGTGCAAACATATTGCGCTAGTACCTAGACCTCGCCAAAGACCGGGTCTGGTCCTAAATCTTAGGACTGGGACCGGGCCCTCCGGTCCTTAGTCTTTTTTCGAAGTAGTTAGGACTATACTACGGCTCCCTATAGTCCTTTGCGGTCCCCCGTATGGTCCCCTATATATTTATAATTCTACTAAGACCTTCCTCGGCTATATAAACTAATAATTTAGCTAACGTAATCCACGCCCGGTCGGGTCACACGGCCGGTCGGGTCACCCTCAAACACCATACAAAATGCGATTTTTCAGGTTATAATATATCAACAACAAGAAGACAATTCTGCTTAATTTTTAGTATAGAATAATTTCCTAGTATTAGAAATAGTATAGTATAGCTAATATATTCAGAAAATGATTAATTACTACTATTACCAAGAATACGCTCCGATCGAGTGATGAAGATATATATATCTACTTTATAATACCCTAAAATATTTCTCGACCTAATAAAAATACCTAGTATGATATATTAAACACTAAGATACCTTAAGTCTATATAATTAGCCTTGAGCGTTGAAGTATGATATTGGAAAAAATTGCAGTTTATATAGTGTTTTAGGGTGACCCGACCGGCCGTGTGACCCGACCGGGCGTGGACTACGTTATATTTTGTGACGCATGACAGAACGATGGACGGAGATCACCTGATGGATGCGGAGTAATGGAAACACCCGACCGAGCTAACCTGATAGGGCCTGTTTATATACGCCCTCTATAAGATAGTTGCTAGAGCCTCTGTAGTTTCTTCCTTTTTTACCTTCGTTGTTTCGTTAAATATACCTAGTTACCTTTCTCGTTAGCTCTTTCCTATTATCGTAATATATAACGAAGGTTATTTTTACCCTTGCCTATCACTATCGAAGCTATATAGATACAAGTAGTACGCTACCGCCGTCTTGCCTTACTATAACCTACCCCGAACCAAAACTAATAAATCCTAACTAATTCCGACCGATCCGAAACGTTCCTTCCCCTACTAAGATAAACTAACGCTATAGTTCCCCGGACCTAAAACCGCTAGAATACTAACTCTAATAAGCCCTATTGATTGCTAGAACTTGCCGAACGCCCACCACTCTCGCGCGCAGGTCACGCACATCCACGGGCTTACAGAGAACAGTGGGTTGTAAAAGGGCAACGCTAGCGCAGAAGAGACGACTCCTCCGTGCGGGGGACGTCTTACAACCCGGCATCCCGATTCCCACGGGTGAAAACTCGATGTGTCCCCGATTCCACCCTTCATGGCGTCTGAGTTTCGGAGTGGACTCCGAAGCCCTGCGAAGCCCTGCGAAGAGATGCCCGCCCACATGCGCAGCCGCAGCCTGTGATCCGACTGCGACGGACCAGAATCGAACTGTCTACAAGCGCCCAATTGATGTCGACAGGACGGCTGTGTGTCTGTAGAACAGCAATAGATCAGATGCGATCGATAAATGGCGAAAATCCTCTCGGTTACAGCCGAGTCATGTGTCTCGGCCCTCGTTTGAGTTTAGTAGTCAATAAGGGCTAAGATTTTTGCCGCCCCAACTAATCAGCCCGACCATTCATGCCCACTGCTACATTCCAGCGCACAGGATGACTGAACAGGAATCAACATGCCGATGGGGACCTCCATGGTCAATCAAAATTTTGAACTTTTTTCCCCCCTGAACTCGCTTCCCTTGTCTGGCGACTTGGGACGGCGCCACTTTGTTGGAGCTAATCTCCGCGGGAGGCCCGGCGAGATTGCGTGTTAATCTAGTTGTATCCAACTCCAACGAGCACATTTTCAGAGTGGGATCAAAAGGTTAATATATCGAGGTATAACCAGGATGGTTTGAAATTAAACACCTTATTAGGGCCCTAATAGGGAACTATAGTAGTTTATAGTTTAGTTATAGTTTGGGTAGTTTAAAACTATAACTATTATATAGTTGAGTCTTTAGGGGCAAGGTTTACCCCTAATTATGGTTTTTAGCATCATCTCATAGGTACTATATTAGGCTAATTTTTAATTGTATTTATTTAGTAAAATGCCATTTCCCTTTGTATTTATTATCTACTATATTTTGGTGGGTGTTTACTTAGCTCTTGCTTCCGCCAGAGGAAGCGCCTACATAGCCATTGCGCACTATCTGGGCTGCATTAGGTTAATAGAGTTATCATCATCATCATCTGAGCTTAGCATATTGTGTTTGGTGGGGCACTGACCCCACAAGTGCATACTTCTCAGGCCTAGACCTTGGTGTCCTACGCGATCCGAATGGATGGTGACTTTTCCCGCGCTATACAAGTCGCGAGACCATGGTCAATCTGGCCTGTACAAGATCAACTTTGAGTTTATGTTTTATCACTCACTCATATTTTTATTTCTTTCAGCGGGGAGCAGAATAATGATTCAATGAAGCCGGTACATGATTACACCAGATATGGCGTTGTTCCCAAGAGCATTTCCCACAACCAGAACTGGTTCATTGGCAAGCACAATATATATATTCATCAGTGAATGGGATGATAGTGACTAAATCTCCCCTCAGGATCCCACACCATTTTAAGATCTCTCAGTTTCTTCAACCGATCCTCATCATAGCCATATTTTTCCTCGATGGGCTCAGTACCCGTGGCATAGTTGACATATCTAGATGACGCAAGGGTTAATCAGGTGAATGGAAAGAATAAATCCATAGGGTGCACGTGGCGGCGTGACGGTGCAAGACGTACACTTTATTCTTGCGCATACCAGACGCTTCTTGCAAGATCTGCCGGAACTTGTCGCCCCACATGTTGGCAGCTTCATCAAGTACAGGGTCAGAGTAGAAAACAGAGGCACAGCTGGTGGAGGCAGGTTATCGTCAGGATTTGATTTGGCCATATTAAGCCAGCGGACGAGGAGCACATCCCCAGAATGGTCGTGTAAATTGGAAGGACTCACACGTGAAAGTTCAACGCTCTCCAAGGGAATGCCGTGCTCTCATCCGGCACCTGGCGGACTTTTCCAAAGGCGTAGCATTCGAACATGACGACCGAGTTCTTGGCGGATGGATGAAGTAGGCGAAACTCCAGATAGTGTTTCCATAGTTCCCCCGCGGCCGCAGGGTCAAGTTTCTCCAGAGCGACGGACCACGTCGGCTTCTGGCCGCCTTTGTATTGGCCGCGGTCGAGAACCGCGTTGATCTTGTTGTACGGCGTTGGCGAACTCTTCTGGTAGATAGGCCTTAGGCTGAAGAGAGGAGCAAATGCCTTTTGCGCATCTGAAGGCGTACCGGCATACCACAGTTCCAGCATGACCCCTGGCTGTAAAGCCATATGGGTTAGCGCTAGAGTTTTCATGACATGTACCGAAGGCCAAGCAAAAAGAGGGATCACATACGAATTCAAATGGTGGCAGGCCGGTGAAAGCGTAGTGAATTGACATTCCTTCTCCCAGGTCAAGATCATTGATGGTCTGAGTGACTTCTTCGATATGGTCTGGGAGGAAGATCATGGTGCTTTCCCAGTGTATGCCGTTGTTGATTTGCGGAAATGCGTTGACCTTCGCCGCCGTCACGATGCCAAAGTTATGTCCGGCTCCTTTCAAACCCCATAGAAGCTCGACATTTTCGGACGAAGAGACGGTGATGATGTCCCCCTTCGCAGTGATGAGCCGGAGAGATATCACATTGTCAATGGACATGCTGTAGTTGGCTTGAAGTCGACTGAAGCCGCCACCAAGCATCGCGCCACAGGCGCCAACGGAGTTACAGTTGCCGACAACTGTGGATTCAGTGAGTTAGTCCATTAGTCGGGTAGAGTACGATCAACCAATCTATCGCATGCAGAATCGACGCACCGACGTGTGCTTTTGCGGCATAGGCCGCGTCGATGACTTCACCAACCAAAGCCCCGGCTTCAATGATGGCCCACCCCTCTTTGAGGTTCACGGCTACGTTGTTTAAGCCTCTCAAGTTGATGAGAATCCCAGAATCTCCGAGATTCCATGATGTTGTCCACCCATGACCGCCAGTTTGAGCGAGGAATTCAACGTCATTTTGGATAGCCCATTGGACCTGGCCATTGTCAGCAGCTGAATCAACTCTCGCCATTTTGTCCATCTCTGAAACATTCCAATCATCAGAGACTCTAAGGAAATTCCACCTACTGTCTTTTGGACATCATTTTCTGTCGCTACGTTGATCACCGCGCCTGGCTGGGGTGCTGCATACTCACTCCACCTAATGGTATTTGGATAGAAGTCGGGGTCGCCAGGGAAGTTAATTGATGCCCCTTCATTGAGAACCTTGTCCAAGCTCTTCAGTTTATCCTTCAGATTCATGATGATTTGACTTGAAAGCAACGTGTTCACGAGCACCTTGTCTTCGGTCGTCATAAACACCTTGATTATTTGCACACTGAGTCCTTCACACTATATTGATCGAATACTCACCGAAACTTTGAGCTGAGAAAAGGGAAGGAGGAGCTGGTCTGCGCAGTACAGGGAATGCACATACCAGATGAGAAGACAATGTTCATTCCATCCAAAGAAAGCTCAGGGTTCACTTGCTCGTGCTGCATTTCTCAGCAATGGTGATCATTCTACTCTTTTATCTCACGTCATAAATATGTCAAACGAGGCTCTGCAATGAATATACTAATTGTAAATCTGTCATTTGGAGTCCAGAGCGCTCCAAAGAGTCTGCTGACAGGACTTTATGGATCATCTGCAAGTATGAAAGGACAATGTTCATTCCGTCCAACGAAAGCTCAGGCTTCACATACCCGTGCTGCATTCAGCAGGGGCGATCATTCTACTCTTTTATCTCACGTCATAAATATGTCAAAAAAAGTGTCAAACGAGGTTCTGGAATGAATATACTAATTGCAAAATTGTCATTTGGAGTCCAGAGCGCTCCATACAGTCTGCTGACAGCTCTTTGTGGATCATTCACTTCCACTGTCTTCAACCACTGTTTTGCAAAACTTGCTGCTGCTTTCGGCCATAGATGATGCAGTCCAACCAAAGAAAGAGGTAGTTGTGTGGTAACATGCACACACTCGCTCACGAAGTACCAAGCATAAGCTTATCTACATGCTTTCTTACCCTGGGGTACACATCCGTATGGGCAGTGACTCCCATCCAGCAATCTAGGTGGCCTCTTCCCTCGAAGACAACCCTCTCGTAGTCATCTGGACCATGTGCATCCCGAAGCATGGTGTATGAGACATCCGTGCTCTCAGGTGCATACACTGCATTATTTGCTCCTGAGAAGAAGAAAATGGGAATGCCTTTAAGGCGTGCAATGTTATATGGAGTCACGAGGTTGATCGATGTGGGGGGGTTGGTGGTTACATGACCGAGACAACCCATGGACGTGAGATGACCGAGGGAGCGCATGGATGTGCCGCCTAGGAAGTTCGCCAGCTGTGCGTGAGTTGGCTCGTTGAGGTTTTTGTGCGTCCAGAGGCTGTGGGAAATGGAAGCAACAACAGTTAGTGGTAATCTTCTCTTGGTGGAGCGGGAATTGAGGGATGAGCGCAGATGACAACAGATTACTTACCGGCCGAAAACTAAACTGCTTCTATGGCAGACGACTGAATCACAGATCTCTGCTTTGCTTCCCACGGGGTAGAAGCGTAAGACCTGATTGAGAATCTGTTGGATGAGAGAGTCGCCGAGGCTGCTAGTGCAGCTGAACCACGAACCCGCGAGCTTGTTGTAAAGGCTGTTCAGTGGGATCGGTAACGAAGCTTTGGCCCGGTTGACGTTGGCAAATATCGGATTCATGAAGACATTTGACGCGGTGATGCCTTTGATCCACCCGGCTGGAATGCTACCATCCAGAAGGCCCATGGACAACGCGACAGAGCCAGCGCAGTGAGCAATCACGTAGATCTTCTCCGCTTGCCCGCGTCTCTGCCCTTCATGCAACTCGCGGATTTTGGTCAAAGCAGCGAGGATGTCAAGCCGCGCGTCGAAGGTGGTATCTCCTTTTATGGCCGTCATGGTCTTGCCCACTCGATGCGTGACACAGTAGATCCGGTAGCCCGCTTCGCGGAAATAATCGATGGCATTCTTTTCGATAGTGGGAAGGCCGAATATTTGATAGTCGACTGCAGCGCCAGGAACAAAGAGAATAGTCGGTCTCGCGATGGATCCGTCCCTGCCTGGTGGATTCCACATTTGCATTGTGGAATGGATGCCATCCGAGGCGATCACAGTGAATGTCTCGGCTATCTCCGTTACGTTGCCGTAGCCATGAAATGTGGGACTGGGCCATTGGAGGCATGTCAACGGCGCGAAGAACATCTTAGCGGCCTCTCTAGTAAAGTAGGTAAGGAAGCTGGCCGCGGATTTGACCTTTGCGTACAGATTGCGGCCAGTGGGTTCGAGTGTTGCAAGTTCCGAGACAAAGTCTGCTGGTTGGATATGAAGCGTACCGCGTCCGATGACCTTACCGTCTGGTACTGTGATGGTGACGTACAGAGTGGATGTCGCTTTCCAAAATCCAATCGGATCAAAAGCAACGGAGGGATTGACAACTTTATAACCATTGAAACAGAGCTTCTCACGAGATGGGGATATCATCTCGAAGTTATAGGTCAAGTTCCGAGTAGTTGGTTCTCTTGTATCCTGATTGAAGAGCTGGAAATCGCCCCGATGCACCATGAATGGACCCTTAAGTCCTGCACAGGAGAAGGAGCCGGTCAGCATGGCGGAATGAGCGCTGCTCGAGACCACTTGGGGAAGTTAGCCTGCAACAGAGAAGAAACCTGGGATGTGGTAGAATTACAATCTTCGGTGTCCCAAGACTTCACACTGAGGAAAAACCTGGCCGCCTCGCATTCGCTGCGAGCGATTTTGGTGGCAAGATCAAAGTCTTTAACATCATCTCCAATGTGGATGAAGCCAGACATTACCTCCGTAAACCCAATTCCACTGGTCTGGTCATCCTTGGCCAAATCTATGAGTTCTTCCGTGGTTTTAATGTCTGCATGATCCATCACCGGGAATCTGGGTTCCCCATATAGGTTTAAGATGCCTATTACAAGTAAATATCGTCACCAGTGAATTTACTCGATTTAACTTACCATTGCTCGTATCGAAGTCAATGTCGATACCTCTCTTTTTTGCAGCCAGTTCGACTGACCTCTCGGCCAATGCCGTGATTGTGGCGAAAGGATTGGCTCCGAGAGCCGTGGGAACGAGAGCGCCGTCGCAGACATACAAACCTTCATGTACGCCAGTGCCGTCGCCTTGTAATACCTCGCCCATATGGTTTGTCCCGCCATTTGCACCTGTTCCATCTCTACTGATACAGGCTCCACCGCTGCAAGAAGAATGTCAGCTATAGGTAGCATTCGCATAATGGGATCCGACAGCACATACATTGCGTGAACAGTAATTTCTTGCTGCCCCAGAGCAGCCCAGAAGGGACTTCCCACGTAAGTTCCTCCAACAGCATTCGTCGCCTGCGCAAGGACTGAATCGAGGTACTCGACGTGCTCGGAGCGGCCTACGCCCAAGAATTTGAGTATCGGTCTATCATCTTGAAGCGTGAGAGTCGCCTGGTTGCCTAAGGTCACAAGTCCTATTAATGGCTGCATCGAGACATCAAAGAGAATGTAACAGGCGACTTACTGTCATGCGACATGACGAGATATACCTGAGTCTTCTCAGTGCTCCCCTTGCGGAAGTATGGACCCAGAAGCTGGCTGCCCTGCCTTGCCAACAAGTGTTTGACCTTTTCAAAAACACCAAGTCCCCTGGGAGCGATCTGCCCGGGCAAGAGTTCAAGCATAGTTTCGAATAACGGAGCCAGCGCTTGTGGTATGGTTCCTTCTTCGATGACGAACCCATCCAGCGGATCACGTTGGCTCCGACAATCAATCACCCCGGTGATACAGGGCCCGATGGGACGCTCTGGTGACGGAAATGGGCGCCCAACAGAGTTGACATTGTAGTCCGTATTGTAGCTATCCCTTACCGTGTTAGGGATGGAACACACGGGGGAAAAAGGAGCCCACGTACCCAAATGCGAGGATATCTCCATTGCCACTCATTCCAGTGCCGATGCACTCACTCATCTCCAGGCCCATCTGTTTACTGCGGAGAAGAATCTCGGTGGTGCCCAGGCTTCCGGCCCCAAGGAACACGCATTTTCTTGCGTGTACCCACATCAAGTCCTCGTAGATGTTTTCCTTGAATGCTCCCCGCTTGCCGCCATGCCAAGCAAAATAGACGATATATCCTTCTCCATCCGGGGCTGCCTTGAGATACCGCACTTCACATTCGCAGAACATTTCCGCGCCCCAGTTCCAGGCGTCGCTGAGATAATTCACCAAAGTACTCGACTTGCTCCCGTCATTGATGCCGGTGGCGTCCATGCCGGTGCCGGTGGAAGCATGCATTTCGACTCCAGTACTATTGGGTCCATCCACAAAGCGAGTGGTCTGCGGAACGCGATAGAATTTCTCGCCCCATCCCATAAGATTGGCTTGTTTCTGGAGTAGATCCAGTTTTGGCAGATTCGGATAATCAAGAGGATACGAAGCAGGTTCCAGAACGTCTCTGGCCCGGCCATAATCTGTAGGATGTTAGATCAATTCCAACTCTCCAGATCCTCCTATCCAGCAAGAAAGGAGGAGAAATCACAACCAGCAATCTCCTGTATCGAGCACATCGTTTGAAATCCCCCAGTTCTGGGCTGCCCGTAGAAGAAAAGAGGAAAAAAACATACACTTTTTCCATGCCGCCTCATCGTTCAGCTCCGTCGGCCAACTGTTCATGTTCAGAACCTGCTGATCGGCTTCCAAGAAGACGTTCGCATTCAGCAAGCTGGTTCCGCCTAGACCATTCCCGATAAACGCATTCTGTCCTTCCCCAACCACCAGGTGGTAGAGTCCTGTCGGATCTCCTCCTTCGGCCCACTTGCCCTTGGTCCTCCAGGGAGCGAATTCCCCGCTGACATGCAGCTCCTTCACGGCATCAGGCGGTCCCGCTGGAAACTCCCCGGGCCATTTCTCCTTGCCGCGCTCCAGCAAACAAACGCTCTGCCGACCCCTCGCCATTCGACTCGCCGCGACCCCCCGCCGTATCCAGAGCCAATGACGACAACGTCATAGGAGGTTCGCATGAGCTCAACAGGGCGGGAAATACGGGGATAGCGAGCATGTGATGTATCATGTCTGTTGAATTTGGCTTTGGTTTTGTCTTTCAACGGTGGTTGATCGACTTTAGGTCTTTGACCCTTGGTGGTGATGAAGGGGTCTGATGAGTTTCCATCTGTGGTCGGTTTGGAGACCTTGAGCTTTGGGGGACGTCCAGACCGGGAGTCAGAGGGTAATAAGCCGGTGGGATTGCAGGGCTCGTCACCGTCAACAAGAGGAGGCCGGATATCGCTGGCCATAATTCTCTGTTTTACGTCTTTCTCCCAGCACCTCGGATATATTCCAGTGTGACACCGATTGGCATGGAGGCTGCCGGTGCAATGGAATCTTTCTTCTAGACTTCCAACTCCTTTATAGCTCGGAGGTTTCACATGCCTATCATCGATAGTTATAGCTTCCCGTTCTTTTCGTCTTCTGGGCCTTATTTGAAAACAATATATGCAATTACAATCTGGACATCATCCTTCGCTCATAATTTGTCATTAAAGGAGCTACCGCTTGCTTTCATTGCTTGTCTCTCAATTGACAGATAGGCTTGTACAGAGCTCATCTGGGATCAAAAGGTTCGGTGTCGGGTCGCATGAGGTCATCGGTATTTGAGTGCTGTGTACAATATTTTAGTGCGAACCACTATCCACACTTCAAGTTGTTACATCGAATCTAGCCATGAAAAGGAGTACTTTTTCACAAGTCCATTTCAGCCGCGGCTTATATAAAGTGTAGTTTGTTCACTACTGGATCCCATGTCAGAACGAGTGGGGCCACGATAACACTAGAACCAATCATTCCCGAATCCATGGATCCCCTACATTGTGACGTTCTCGACCTCATGGACCAAGTAAACTTGAGAAAATTATCAATTACAACCGTATAAGCTGACTGAGCTCCGTGACCTTATGAGATGAAGGTCTAGAACTGTAGAGATTCGCCATGTGAGGATTGCCACCAAGCAGTAATAGTTGGATAGATGTCACTTCCAAAGACAAAGAGCAGGGTTAAACAAACCTAAAATATATTTGTATCCAGAAGCAGCAATAGACATGATTCATCACATGGATTGAACTGAGTTCTGTGATTTCCACGAGGTCAAGTTCTAGAACAAAACAGAGGCACCTCAAAACTTAATTCATTTCTGGGATCAGAACGTCGTTTAGCATCATTCAAAGTTATCACCCTGGAGTAATATTCTACAAAAAGAGACCCAATCAGCCTACTTACGTCTATGACTTCTGTGCATCCTTGGTAATCCTTGACTTCCCATATAAGGTGATTAGAATACATTACTGGCCATAGGACTTGAGGCAGCCGTATGAAATGTCCAGACATGGCAGGACATGACGTGCACAAAAGTTTAAAGGTCATGACGAACTGAGGATGGAATATTTACCAGTATGGACCCACGGACAGACTGATTCAGCGTCCGCCCATTCCTCCTGGTTTTGTATGGTAATTCGGGTATATTCACAAGTACAGCGTCGTAACACACTATAGCAGACCCCTGGGGCTCTCCCAACAGATCCTCATAATCGAGAACCAACACACTCCAGCTGGATAGCCTCTGTACTAGCCAGTACGCAGAATCCCTTGGCAGGTCAGGTTACATTTTACCTGCTGTATCCTGTTATATAAAGCATGATGGTTATCGAATTTGTCTGACATTCAAGACCAAACAGGCTACCCGAGTTGCATTTTTCCATAATGGCAGTGAAATTCTACGGCTCCCAAACTACTAGCGAGACAGTGGCTCCTCTGTCATATACAGGCTCCCCTTGGAAGCTCTTTCTCTTCGACAGCCTGCTGTTCTTGCGATGGAGCCCCTACCTGATCAATATTGTCCTTCCACTGTGGCCCTGTCTATCCCATGGCCTGGACGAACTCTATCCGTCCCTGCCCAATATCTATGACATCCTCCTGCATACTATTCTCGTCGTGGCACAATCGTTCTTCCTGATTTCTCTCCCATTCCTGATCACAGTCCCCTTCGTCTTCTACATCTTCTACATTGGACTATTCCTCGCGTTGAACACGTCCGTATGCAAGCTGCTCAATGGCAACATTCCCGAAGACGGTCTCAAGTCAACTGAGGACGATCATTCTGCCACTTGGAGACGGCACGATGATGAAAGCTGGATCTTCCTCAACGGCGTGGCGGTGGGGTGTGTCTCCATTGCGGTTTCCCAGAGTCTACATAACTTGCTAAGATGCCCTCACAGGAAACACTGGCTGCAAAGTAATATTGATAGAATATCACGAACCTTTCACCGTCCAGTGGTAGGGGTGCACAATAGAACGTATGTCCCGTCAATCTTTTCGGGAATCATGTTGAGGCGTCCGAGTCCTTGAGTCTAACTGGCACCAGAAACGGCATCATCTTCGATGTCATTCAATGCCTGATCCAACGCGCTTTACTCTACAGTAACTCCAATATCCGCCAGTGCCACGTGCTCATTAAGAGGGCTCTCTACGCACCCGGAATCAAGAAGGTTGTTCTCATCCTACATTCTCAAGGCGGCATCGAAGGTGGCATGATACTCGACTGGCTCTATGATGAAGTACCTCATGACTTGCTCAAACAGCTAGAAGTCTACACCTTCGGGAACGCCGCGAACCACTTCAACAACCCGTATCGAGTTCATATTCCCGTCGGTGCAGGTGCAGGCTCAGAGCCGACCTCTACTCATTTGCAAACGCGGAACAAGCGCACAGTGACCCATATTGAGCATTATGCAAACAGCGAGGACTTTGTGAGCCGATGGGGGGTTTTGCACTTCATGCGCAAAGTCACCGAAGACCCGCTGGCGAACAGATTCATGGGCAGCGTTTTTGAACGGCCTGGACGCGGGCACCAATTCAATCAGCACTATCTTGATAACATGTTCCCACTTGATCCAACTGGACGATTTGTGCGTCGCTTGGCCGATGGCGATTTTATGGAGATGGATGTCAGGATAGGTGACGGTACAGAAGCCAGGGAGGGGCTAGATCAGACCCTTGATGCAACATCAGGAAGCATCGGGCCCGAGGCAAGAATTCCAAGTAGTCGATCATCAGTGCGGACGGAGAGCCAAGTAAAAGCATCGAGGCCAGAAGGCACTAGGATTTCGGAAGTTGAAGTGGCGAGAACCAACGGGGTTCCCTGGAAGGTGAAGGATTTGAGTCGATTGTGGGGCTACTGCAATGGCGACTCTCCTGCGGCCATGTTGTGAAAAGAATGACAGGTACAAGGCCTCTTCGACTTTCTCTGTTCCCTACCCTCTGAATTTTAAATAAGACAGTTAAGAGCTTAGTAGGGCCCTACTGACCTCCGATCACACTAGTGAACCCTGCTGAATGACGCTGAATCTTGAGCTCAATCTCGTTCACGTTGATCCAAGCGGTGGTGGCGGATTATACTGATTTGGTCCATGTCAAGCCGATTTCATCTTCCTGTGTATATCCGTACATACTACTTGAATATTGTGCCGGCGATGCTATGGTCCACCCTCCCAGCTCAATCCATTGAGATGACATAAAACAGGAAGATGTGAATTGCCAATGGAGTCCAAGCGGGTCCCAGAGACCAGCCACTAGCGGTGAGGCCCCCAGGTACCGTGACTTGGGCCCAAGCTTTATTTTCATGGCTCCGGCCCCCAAAGTTCAATTAACACCGCTGGGTGTCCCGGTCAACAGGGAATTACGTTAGCGCGATTAGTCGGCGAAGACGAACTTCAGGCGAACGTATGAAGTCGCTACGGGTTTTCTTCCTGTTGGCCATGTTTCGGATATATGAGGTAACCAGTCAGAAATATTACACCTAGGGATCTAAAAACTTACCAACGGTATTGACCTACCTTGTCTGCAGGTATTAAGACTAGGGTTACGTCTCGGGGAAACCCTAAGTCAATTGTAGCTTTATGAGGTCCCGTCGAGTCGACCGATTTCGCTACGCCACTAATATCTAAAACGGGATCTATTTGGCTCTAGACGTTCAGAATAAACTTACCCTCTATCGCCTTTTTATCTTATAATATTCTACTATAGTTATACGAACTACGGCTAACTTCTACAATTTATTATAAGAGACCTACCCTAGGCTCGAGTGTAGGCCTAGGTATAGTCGATGCGGAGAAGGACAAAACGGGGTTTAATTCTTTGCCAGCTTAGCCTATTATTGTATATTATATATACCTAAATAAATAGTACCCCTGCCGCCTTAAACATTTAGGCCATAGTCCGCTATAGAGAATAGAGTTTCCTACATCTCCCTAACTAATATAACTATCGGGCTAAAGGGATAAAGAATAAGGCTACCGTTAATTAGTAGAAAATAATGGCCCTACGTGTAACGAATAGACTGCGCCAAAACCCGCGTTTGGGCCCGGACCCTAGGCCCAAGGCCCAACCCGTATAGGCTTTAGGCCTAACCCTCCGGGCCCAACCCAACCCGCGGGCCTATTACGGGCCCCTAATAGGCCCCTACAAAAGCCTAACTTTTTATAATATCTAGCTCTTGGCGTTTATAAAGCTACTGACTCACTTAAATAGAATACTATTACTTACCCTATTATAGTTACTACTATAATTTCTTTAGTATTTACTCTATTAATCAGCTAAAATATTAAGAAACTTATACGTATTTAGATTAAATTTATTTAGTAATAATATAATTACTAGAAGTAAGAGCTATTATATAATAAGGTAATATTACTAGTATAGTTTTAAAGCTACGATATATTATAGCTATAGAGATATATATTTAATATAGAGTACTATTTAGGCTTTCGGTAGCTCTTACTAGCTTTTATAGGCTCTTATAGGTTTTAGTAAGCTTTTATAGGCTTTCTACGGGTTTTAGTAGGTTTTTATAGACTTTCTATAGGTTTTAGTAGGATTTTATAGGTTTTCTATAGGCTTTCTATAGGCTTAGGATAGGTACTTAGAGCTAGAGCTTATAAGACTATAAATAATATATACCTAAACTATATTAATAAGGCTTAATTTCTAATAGCTATTAGATAGTTAGGCTAAGGATATATATAGTATCTAGGTAGTAGATAGCCTAAATTTCTAATAGCTATTAGAAATTAAGCCTATAGATATTTATAGTATCTAGGTAGTAGATAGCCCTAAATACTAATAGCTATTAGTAATTAAAGCTAGAGATATTTATAGTATTAATATTATAAATAGCTTAGAATCCTAATAACTATTAGAAATAAGGGCTCTAATAGGCTTTTATAGGCTTTTATAGGTTTTCTATAGGCTTTTATAGGCTTTCTATAGGTTTTTATAGGCTTTCGTAGGCTCTATAGACTTAGCCCTCTAGAATAAATAAGTATTACCTAATTATATAGTATAAAATAGCTTAGTAAGGCTTATCTTATAATATATTAATCTTAATTAATTATTATTTATTAGGTCTTCCTAATATAAAGTCTTCTAAAGAGTTAAGGTATATTTAATTTACTAAGACCTTACTTCTCTCTAATATCTTTCTTAGCTTATAACTATATTATAGAGTTAAACCTCTAAGCCTTTCTCTTTATCTCTCTATAATAGTAAATTAGAGAATCTTACTTATCTTACTCTTAAGAATATATAGTTATTTATACCTAAATTGTAACGATTTTACTACTTGTTAGGGTAGAAGGCCTATCGATCAGGTAAAGAATCGATGGCGAATAGATAATGAAACAATTATGATACAGTTTAGCCGTTCTTCTTTTTAAAGACTGAATCTTACCGATTTAGATTAAAAGGAAACGGGACACTCTCTTTTATTAGGGAATAACGATACCGAGTAATGATAAAGAATGATATAACTACTTTTAATATTAACGCTTCCCTATATTAGACTAATATATAATCCTTTATAATTTATTCCCCCTCTAATAGTAGCTGTCCTTAGCTATAATAGAGAAACAGGGATATTTCACTTCCGATTTATATAAGCAATAGACTTATAATAATAGTGTTAGTTATAAAGTCTATTTTACTTTTATAATTCCGTAGGCTAAAGTTCCTATCACTAATCCTTAATTAAATTAGCTAGGAACCGTAGCCCCGGGGTAAAGAGAAGTAAGAAAGAGAAAGAAAAGAATATAGCTAAGGCTATTTATAGTTTTTCTTTTTAGAGTCGTTATCCTTTTAAGACCGTTTTATTATAATAGGAATAATTAGTAGCGAGAGATATATTAATAGAGAATTTTAGTTAATTTAGGTATATTTTATATCCGAAAGTAGATATAAGTAAAAGGTACCTAAGATTAATTAGTATTAATATTAATTCTTTTATTATCGAGTTCTATTAGGTTTCCTATTTTCGATTAATAAGAGAAGGCGAGTAATTACTAGGAATCTAGGGGTATTTCGATATTTTCTTTTATTAGAAAATAAGGGTTTTAGCGTATTTTTATACGATAGGAGTTTCTAATTAGGCCGGAAGTTTCTATTCTAGTTATAGTTCGTTACTATTTATAATTTTTTAAATTATATATATATAATAGACCGGTAGTAATTTACCGATAAATTAGATATATTTCTAGTTCGTATAATAAAGAATTCTACGAACTAGTATACGTCTCTAATAATATAGGTTTTATAGGTAACGATATAATTTATCTCTTTTCGGCCGTTTTATCTTTTCTCGGTATTAATTATAAAATCCTTAGGTTTTTTCTTCTAGCGAAATTTTCTTCTTCGCTTATTAATACCCCTCTCTAATTACTATCTTTCTATAGTAGTTAGTTACCTTTTTACTCTCTTTCTATTAACCTTTCTATATCTTTTTAGCTAAGATACCTAAAAAGGCTATAGCTAGTCTAAAACTATATATTACTAAGATAGTTTTACCTATATTACTATAGTGTATAGGTTATTTCTATATTACCTTTATATAGTAGGACGGTACTAAACCCTTAGTAGTTTAGTACCGAATAATCTATCCTACTTCGAAGTCTTACGAGTACTATTATAAGAATTATAGAATCTATAAGGTAATATAGAATCTCCTATATATCTCTATTAATTAGATTTTACTAATTATATAAAGATCCTAGGTAGTATAATTAGAGACCGACTAGATTTTACTAGGCTTCTCGAGTTTATTAAGGAGTTTTAGGCCTCTTATTAAGATAGTATCGTTATTAATACTCCCCCGAATTACGATCTTTTAATAGGTACCTATCCGTTAGTATTTCTAAGGTATATTATTTAGGCTATATAATACTTTTATAATAGCTTTAATACCCTAGTTTCTACGTATTAGTACGAATATAAATTTAAAAGCTAAAAGGTAGCTAATAATATATATAATTATCTTCTTTTCTATAAGGTTTCTCTAATAATTTAATAGAAAACCTTAGTTAATTATAACTAGTATTTAATTTCCCGATAGATTACTATTTTTCTATTAGCTCGCCTTTTTATAGGTATTTCTTAAAAAGATATCGAGGCCTATAAAGATTCGATTTACCGCCGAATCGGCCCTACGGACGATAGATATAGTATATAGGTAGCTTATAAGAAGATATTCTTTAATAATATTTATAACGCTATTAAGGATTATCTTCCGTAAGAGCTATCTATTAGCTAGGAGGCTTTAGATATAGAAATATAGGTAACTAGCTAGTTATACCGTATTAATAATAACTAGCCTATTCTATATCTAACCTATTAAAATTTAATATAGATATTATAGGGTTTCGGGGTTTTTTCGTAGCTAGTTCGAAGGATATTTCTAAATTTTAATATATCTAATAACTTTTATAGCTAATAGCTAATTAAAATCTAATCGATAAGAATTAAGTAGAGAATAGCTAGCTTTTTACTACTATTTCGGAATAAGATAAAGATTTCTTAATTTTTTTACGGAATATAGAGACTATAGATTTTATATTATCTATATCTTCCTTAGGTACCTATTAGTTATACTCTAAGGGCTATTCTTTCTACTTAATAAGGAAGTATAATTTACTATATAATTATTTCTCTTTCTTAATTTCTTTAACTTCCTATTTATTATTATCTTCTAGGTTAGATATTAGTAGTAATTTATAACTATTTCGGTCCTATTACTCTATCTATAGTTTAAGATAGGATATATAGAATATATTATAAAGTCTTAAGTATTAAGCTAGTAATATAAGACGATACGCTTATTTTCTAATAGTATTTAAGACCCGAAACGGCCTAATAAATTTTAGAATAAGCTTTCGAGAGGATATTT